GTGGTTGGGAGGGCTATGTAGCATGTATACACGAAATAAGGGGGGGATAGCGTAGAAATTAGTTGACTAAACTCCACACACCAAATGGTGGTCCAAAATGGAAGGTATGGTAACCTTTGGCAAGCCATATCTCACCTCCTGAGGTACATACGCATAACAAATTTGGAATATAGCATCCTATCGCATGTAGCTACCACCCTGTCAATTTACAGAGCACACCGTGATGCGGTTGTAAAGTTAGTGAAAACCTCCAAACGGTCTGAAAAAGTTGGGGAAAACCGCAAGAAAGTTCGGGAAATAAAGGATTCCGCTACAAACAACCAGTCAGATTCTTGGCTTGGCCACTCTGTCCTAGTACTCCTCCAAATACACTCTGATACTTCTGTACATCTCACAATAGATTCTTTTGAGTGTACATTATGGACGGTCATGAAGTTATCTTGTGCATTGTCTATCACCAATTTTGACATGTTGCTTCCACTTGCTTAGTTCTCTATGTGGACCCTACCCCCCAGGGAACTGGGGGAAGGTACATTGCTAGTGTCTGCATAAGAGGATAGATGTATCACACAGCTCTGAAGGTATAGACAGTATGGGAAAATGTGTGCATGGATGGGACCAAATTCAGGGGGCAGCAAACTTGTTTGTTGTGACTATACATATGAATGCTAATGCTTTGGAGGGAGGGACATGTGTGATAGCTTGTGCTTGATCTCTTCCAGAATGAGACCTGTGTCTGTTGGTTTGGTATCAGCATACATGGACAGTGTACCAGGTACACAATCAATCAATCTTACATTAATTGAGGATAGACAGATCTGCTTGATGCACAAGCATTGCCTGATTGAGAAAAGGTCTTGGTGAGCCAGTGGTGAGCAGCAAATTCTGACTGACTTTACACAAAGCTTACAATCTCATGGTACTGTCTTTGCAGAGGGATCAGGGCACTGTTGTGTCTGACTGCTGCCAGGTGAGAGGGAGCAGGTAATCAGTGTTCATGAGCTTCAAGAGACTGCTTCATCATTGATAGTCTACTGTCCAAAGCCTGAAACATGTATCAGTGTTGGGCAATGTAGAGAAGTGTTTGGATACCACCAGCTTAAGGTTTCACTCACATATATGCTTTGTTGCAGTCTTTCTTGTCTGAATTGAAGCCCATGTAAACTGTCTGTTTCTAGCTGAAAGACACTACTACCTGCAGTAGTTTTTGGATATAGTTGTTCTGGATACCCATATGTTTTGTTTGCTATGTGCTTTTTTGCACTCTGTTTGACACAATCAAGTAGTTCCCCATAGGCTTGCTTTTGGGTTAGAGGCCTTGCCTGTGAATGGGCTGCCAGTCCTGATTTTGTTGTTCCACAAGACCATGGATACCCTGGCCCTTGACTGGGCCTTTTGGGAGTAACAAAAGGGTGCCTGACTGTAGTCTCTGGTAGAGACAGAGAGAGAGTGCTTGCTGCTTCAAAGCTGCTAGGCTCTGGAAGGTAAGACCAGCCTACCCATCTAGACCAAGTTTGAAAACTGGTGCTAGGTGTCTTGTGTGATGAGGACAACATGCTAACTCCCTCTGTTGATAGTGAGTCATCAAAAAAGTGATTGAAAGTGAACTGTCCAGAGACAGACAAGCCACTTGGACTGTTTGGTAGGTGGGGGAGCTTGAGAGGTGTGAGGGATTGTAAGCTGGAGGGTGGTTTCATTGCTGATGGCATTGCATAAGCTCTAGCAGTATTGGGGCTCAAAGTATGACTCACTTTCTGTTGTGTCCTGTGAATATCTGAGCATAAAGCTGGATTGCTTGATCTGTGAAGCATTCGAATATCTATTTGAGGGGGTAGCTATCAAGCTGCAGACCCCAGATAATTGTCAGCAAAAGCTATAGTTGATATATGTGGCCACTTGCCCTTGCAAGACTATTTGCAAGTCTGAGGAGAGGTGGGAAGGGAGAAAGAGATTGTCCTTGTGGGTATCAGTCATGACTCAAATATGAATGCAATTGCCATGAAGAGCCACCTACATGGTAGGAGATCAGCTCCTGATATGTCTCTTCTATTGACTCTGCCCAAAATGGCGCTTTTCCAGTGGAAAGCTCGAACAATGTAGCTCCCAGACTCCACCAATCCACATTACTTGTGTATCCCTTACTGAGAACAGCCTCACTGTTGATGGTTGATTGGGACTGACTTGACTGGATTATTGCATCCTCTGCAATTGCCAGAATCTCAGGGGCAATATAGTCCGGAGTCCCAATGGGCTGTGTGCAGAGATGCCGAGGGACATAAGGTAAGTCACCGGGGGGAGCAGCCTCGAGCACAGCAGCAGAGCCAAAATCGGTGAGGAGTAGATGATGGGTTTCAGTAATAAGAAAATTATGGGGCTTGATATCTCTGAAGACCAGTCATTTAGTGAGTCAAGGTGTAGACATAGCGCAACATACCGATGGGCAAACATGTTCTGATGAAGCCAATCCACAGCTGCAACCATCTGAGGCGCCCACCATCCTATCTCTTCTTCAGAGAGGCGAGGGAACGAGGAGCCAAGGGATGTCATTGAGCAGAGGCGGTCCCACAAGGAGCCACATGCAGCATATGTCGTAAGGAGATGTAGAGAGTCTGGGGTTTGAAAAGCCGCAGTGAGGTGTGGGAACAGTGGTACAGATTCTGATCGTGCAAGATTGTGAATATGCCGTTCATTGGCTAAAGATAATTGCTGTGCTGACCATCAGTACAATCAACAGGCGAGACTCAACGCACGGTACCCGCTCGTGCAACGTAGGCTTTTTGCATTGTTTTCAAAGCGTACACTTGCCCTCCTTGAGAATACCGGACAGCCTCAACCTAAAATAATGGATCAGCCCGATACTCATTGCTGATAAAGTGCTCACTACTCCAAATTGCCCTTCGCCCAGCGAGCCCAATACATCAAAGTCTTTTTTCGTCAAGCGCGCGTCCTCTATCTGGTCCATCTCTGGGTCATGTCAGGAGTCTGCCTTCACCATACAAATGAGCAGCTCACGATACTTGAGGATGTCTGCACAGCCTGCCCAAGCTTGAAGAAGAAGCACATCGAGAGTGGCGCCGTGTTGATCGGCTGGCGAAGGTGATGGCGAGATGGCGAACGTGTTTTGGAACCCGGAGGCTGTTGCAGCGTTCATTGTAAGCAGGCGTAGGAGGGCATCATAGCGGTCCGTGTAAGAGGCGGTCGCCATCTGGTCATGAGTTGAAGAGGCATGTGGAATATAAAACGAAAACACGGTCAATCCAAACCCGGGCGCGTTAGAGTACACGTCATGGCTTTCTGTCCGTCTCCAGTCGGAACGCCGCAACCTTCTCGACATCTCCCTCAACCATGAATCACCCAACGCCCATCATGGATATAGCGCGGTTCCTGCAGACTCTCAAGGTGGCAGACCTCAAAGCAAAATGCAGAGAGGTCAGAGCTCATATTTCTCCTCCGTCACACCCTGTGCTAAACTTTGTTGGCCAGCTCAAAATCACAAATTACTCGAAGCTCAACAAATCGCAGCTGATAGAGGTGATCTTGGCCCATGGCCATACTAACGCTCCTAGTGCCCCAAAGCCAACCGCATCATCGGCCATAGCCGGCGATCCGACCGATACCTGCCCTGCGGTTGTGCCAAAGCACAAGCGCCAAAGGACTGACTCATCCTCGAGCTTTCCCATACCCGATGGACTGAAAGAGTCTTTCAAGGCTCCCCAAAATCAAGATTCAACAACTTCAGCAGCGCATCCCATCCATCCCCGGGCGCGTCTTCCCTATATCACATCGACATCTTCCCTTACGCAGCAGCCCACCGACGACCTCAACGTTGCTGCCGCTAATGCAAGTTCCAGTTCCTTTCCCACGCTTTCAACAACTGGATTGTCCGAGCAACTCCCCGAGCGAATAGCTTCTACTGCATCCGCATCGCCTCGGAAGATCTCTTCCAAAACCAAGCCGGAAACTATACTGCCGTCTGTGATTAGGAAAAGGACTTTTCAGGCGCTCGTCCCGAAACCGAGACCCTCTCCGAGGACTGCGTTGGATCATGCCTCGAATACTTTTCCAAGTGAGCGCCAAGCGAGTCCAGGGATGAGCTCTCATGAGAGAGTGCATTATGTCAGCAACCACTTTCTCAACCAAGCATTTGCCTGCCTCCACAAGTATCGCGTCCATCCTATCAATTCGCCGCCCTTTCCCTGTTCTACGACATATTCTACGGCATACCCTATTGAGACGCGCACCTTGACGCATGATCTCCCTTTTCAAGCTATACACCCTTCTCTCTACACCTCAGTCTATCCATTTGGCGCCCTTGACGTCGCCATCCGGTTTTGGCTCTTTCGCCTACACACCCACATGCAGCAGGGTTGCGGAGAAGCATGGAGCGGAATGGGAGGCGGCCTAGGGCTGCTTGGGCCTGATCTGAGCACTTGGCCGGCGGTTGTGGGCTGCAGAATGGTTTCAAAGGATGTGTGGGTTGTCGATACAGAGTGCTCGCGGACGGATGAAGAGTCTGTCAATGGGGAAGTGGCGATCCACAAGGAGCGATTTTTGATACTTGAAGCTACCGGAGAGGTTATAGCTTCGGCCTCTTCAGCGCGACCTGTACAGCAACATGAGAGTGATAATGTCATTGAGGGATGTCGAGTGAGACCCGATTGGTTTGCGCGGATCCAGCAGGGCGATGCCTCCCACCCGCTTCTCCAGATGATCAAAACGAAGGAGGAAGACGCGTATCCGGCGGGAATCTCCAAATCATGGCAGAGCAGGGTTGGAAATGATCAGGAATTGTTGAAGACAGCAGAACGAGCTGTTCTGGCTAGCTGCGCGCTGAACAGGTGAGCGACTTCAGTGAAAGTCAATGGTCCCGATCGCTGATATGTTTGACAGCACAAGCGGCTGCAAGATGACGGCTGTGGAAATGGACGCTGAGAGCATTGGAAAGTCCACAGTAGTTCCCAGGTCAAAGGCTGGAGAGCGCGTTGCCTTGTATTTGCCAGAGTAAGTGCACTAATTATGAAACCCACTCACCGAAAGGTCTCTTCAAGTTCTGTCTGTCCATATCCCTCTCGAGCCGTTCCATCCCGCCCTAGCCCAAGTCCATCGCCAAACAGGTCACTCGCAATACGTCTTGCGGGATACTGGTCAGATTGTTGGTAACGAGGACGGCGTCGCGCCCTTGTGGCAGGGATTGCTGGGATGCGATTATGCTGGTCAGAGGGACGATAAGCTGGCGGAAAGTTTTTGGCAAGGTTGGGAAGAGAGGTTGTTGTCATAGAGGCGAAGAATAGTGGGGATCCAAGTGGCAATGCATCGACATTATTACATCTACTTCTTCTTGACCTCCTTCAGCTTGATGGTCTCGTCCCCAACAAAAATTCCCTAATGCGAGTCAGCGAATTCTTATGATCCCAGGTGGCACTTACCTTCCCTCTGTAAGGCTCGGGTCTTCTCCATTGCCGGATGGTAGCGGCATACTGACCCAGCTTCTGCTTATCCGTCCCACTGAGCATGATCTTTGTGGGCGCCGGCACAGTCACTTTGATCTCGGGCGGGATATCAATAAGCACAGGGTGAGCGAACCCTAGCTTGATATTGAGACGCTCAGTGGGGAGGACCTCGCCTGGCTGAGCATTCGTCTGCTTTGCCAACTTCCTGAACACCTCTGGGATCGGCTCTATCGCCGCTCTGTATCCAACGCCCACCAACCGAACTTCGAGATCAAATCCGGTAGACACGCCGGTCACGGCATTATTCAGGATAGACCTGGTCAAGCCCCAGAGACTGCGTTGCGTCTTGACTGTAGGATCGTGGACCGAGATTGTGATGGAGGCGTTTTGGGCAGTGGGAGGGGTGATGATGACGGAAGGGGCGATGGGGAGGGTGGCTGAGCCCAGGGGCCCTTTGACGGTGAATGTTCTGTGGGCCAGGGGGTTTGTGGGGTGTATGGACTGGTCTATAGAGGACGGCGGGAGAGAGAGGGTGACGGTGGGGGGGACGGGGATGGGGACCTTGCCGACATGGGAGCGGGCGGGCGGGGAGGAGTGGAAGCAGCGGGCGGCGAGCCTGAGGGAGGACATGGCGGCGGAGAGGCAGAGGTGGCAGAAACAAGACAGCAGCAAGAAAATATCAGAGGTGTATGATTACGTAATCTCCGTCTCTGCACCAAAAGCTATTATCAACTCTTCCGTCCTCTGCCAGACATATACATCCGCGCGCCATGGGTAAAAAAAAGAGATCCCAGGTCTTTGTACGTCAACCCCATCCTCGCGTCGGCCGTCGCTGACTCTTTGGCCAGGTGCTCAAGCCGTGGTGCTGGTACTGTGAGCGAGAGTTTGAAGACGATAAAGGTGAGTGCCTCGCTCTTGTACGTCCACCGCTGACAGGTGTGCAGTCCTATTGCAACACCAAAAGTCGAAACACTTCAAATGCCAATTATGTCCCCGAAAGCTGAATGTGAGCAGAAGCGTCACTCATATCTTTTCCACGCTGATGTCTTGGTTCAGACGGCGGGTGGTTTGATGGTCCACAGTCAACAAGTCCACAAGTGTGATCCTGAGCCGTGAGTCGATCACGCGTGCATCCATGTCAACATTGCTGATGGGCGCAGCCTTACCAATACTCTTCCTGGACGTGATGGTTACGACATTGAAATCTTTGGTATGGAGGGTGTGCCCGATAATGCCCAGTCGGAATGGAAGGCCAGGAAGGAGGCGGAGGCTGGAACAGCCCTTCTCGCTGCTGCAGCGGCCGGTAAAAGGCCCCAGACCATTTATGCTGTCATCCCGGAAGCCGACCTGCGATCGGCATTGGCCCAGCACAAGGTTCTCATGGCAAACAGAAACAAGGCTCCTTCAGCACCGTTACCCTTCCCTCCTTTTGCCGGTGCACCTCCCCCATTCCCTCCTCCTGGGTAATTCGCAGTCATTTTGTGCTGGACAGACTCGCTGACAGGCGTTCTAGATTCCCTCCGGGAGCTTTCCCGGGTATGCCACCTCCAACTATGCCTCCTGGCACGCTCCCTCCATTTGCGTAAGCTTTATCCTGCCGACTCTATTTCGATGGCTCATAGTGTTCTAGCCCTCCGGGTATCCGCCCGCCCTTTCCTCCTCCCCCCGGTCTGGCTGGTATGCCCCCTTATCCCGGTGCAGCCAACTCCCCCAATCCTCTTCCCGTCCCACCTACCCCGTCCTCCTTCCCACCAGCTGCCGCTGGCCCTGCTTTGTCTTCGCCAGCGCCCGATATTCCCGTTCAACCGCCTAAGGACGGTGTGATCTGGCCTGATACGACTGCTTCACCAGTATGTCCAGTCAACTCCCCATCTTTATGCCGCTGACGCGTCTTTATAGTATGAAAAACGTGCCCAGCAACCTAGGTACAGGTATACTTCACCAACGCCGAAAGAGGGAGATGACGATGGAAGCGGTATAGGCAAAAAGAGAAAGGCTGCCGCGGACTTTTTGTAAAAGATCTGATATGCATGTTGAACTGCGATCAATACAAGCATGCGCCCGTCTACATCATATCTTCGTTTGTCCATTCATCCACAACCTCGTAGAGTTCCTTGGCCAGACGAGCTTGTATCTCGTAAGATGTCTCCTTCTACGCCCTCGTCAGTACTCGTGCTATCGACATGTGTGGACCATACCTCTGTAGGCGGCACCGCTCGCACAAATATGTATCTTCTGCCCATCATGACCTTGCCCACTGGATTGTCCAAGGTATTCTTTCCGCCAGCAAAGTAGCCGCCAGTCTCCTGGAGGATGATAGCAGCAGCCTGAGCGCTTATCAGCATACCTCATAGCGGATGAAGTAAGACTCACGCAGACGTCCCATGGGTAACAACCCGCGTCCCTGGAAACCTGATTACCGACAGCATATCGAACGGCTTTATGACCTACCAGTATACATCAAGCTGCCCAGCAGCAACAGCGACAGCGTTACACGCTGTCGAGCCAGTAGCTGTTTGCCTGTTCAGCTTCTAGAAGCACACGAGATAGAAGACTCACTTCTGAGGGCGTGCGCCATCACACCACCCTTGACGCCTTTCTCGGGATCTCCCGCAAGTTTAGCGAAAGAAGATGTCTTCTTGGTGAATGTGTCTTGTCCTCGGTCGGACCCCCCTACAGATCCATGTCAGTGGGACAGGCAAAATGCACACCGACTTGAACTTACATTCGGCTCCAATCATGCAGCGAGACAAGTCGGTCAACGGTTGGGGTATACCACCGGTCAACGGAAGGGGCGTGCTCTGATTGAGGGTAGCACCGCCACCCGAGTAGGCAGAGAACTGTGATTCGATATCAGTACGCTATAATTGCCGCCAAAGATGTTGCTCACGATCTGCTTCATGAAGGGAAGGGCAATGACGCCAACGATGGGCTTGGATTTGTGCGCGACTCCAATGGAGCAAGCGACAAATGGGCTAAAGATTCGATCAGAAAACGAGATCATTAGATGTAGGACTGGGACTCACTAAGAATGTACAAAGCTGATATCAGCTTACGCCATGTAAGGCGAACCTACTTCATGGTACCCTTTGCTCGTCAGATTGGCTCCGGAAGTTGTGTACCTACATCAATGGGATCCACGATCCACGTGTAGTCGTCTGTCAAAGGAGGCCTATCTCCCGCAGCATAGGACTCTTCTCCTATGCTATACATTGCAAGCTTGAGACTGTTCACCGGGCACGCGCGATAGTCTTACAATTTGTGGCTGGGATATCTTTCAGCTACAGCATCTTTGATCATCTTTTCCACAGCCTCGTCTGTCTCGGTCACGAGCTTCTCGGTCAGCCCAGATCATGGTGCAGTAGCACGTACGTCTACAGAGTTCTTTTTCTCGTTCAGGCCGGTGGTAGAAGTCCATCGTTTTGCTGAGGCCTCGACGATGGTTGCGGATGCCTGGGGGTGTCAGGACGTATTGTCTGATGCTGGAGCACTCACCTTCTCTGCGAGAGAGTATGCAAAGTCGTAGATCTCCTTGTACTGCATGGTGATGCGATGGACCGAGGCTGGCTGCTGTGGCTTGTTGTGGCTTTGACTGTGCGGCGATCCGAGGCTGCCACAAAGGAGCGACGGGGTTATTTATTTCTGTGAGGACGCCCCCCACTTTATATTTCGGTCGTCCTCGCATCTCTGTTTTTGTGGCCGCAAAAAGAGAAGAGCACTCCAAAAATGATGCGATCCTCCCTCCAGTCCAGGCTCTCGTCAGCAGTCAGAACAGCAGAGCTCAGAGGTACGCAAGCCCGCCCCGTCGCCCCACGCTCACTCCCCGCAGCCGCTCGCCCCATCGCCGGCCCCTCTGTCCTCTCTGCCAGGACCTTTGCTACCAAGGCCCTCTCCACCCCCCGATTTCCCGCCGCTGCTTTCGCTCCCATCCGTCTCCCCTCCCGTGGCTACGCCGCCGAAGCCGGAGGCAAGTTTGCCCGAGCCAAGCCCCACTTCAAGTAGGTGCTTTTTTCCCCTTCTGTCTTGTCTGCCGGCTAAATGCGATGCAGCATCGGCACCATTGGCCATGTCGACCACGGAAAGACAACACTCACTGCCGCCATCACCAAGTACCTCGCCGAGTCTGGCGGTGGTAAATTCATGGACTACTCTCAGATCGACAAGGCTCCTGAAGAGAAGGCCCGAGGTATTACCATCTCTACTGCTGTATGTCCTTGAAGGTATCTGGTCATGACTTTGTGCTGATCGCCCGTAGCACGTCGAATACGAAACCCCCAACAGGCACTATGCCCACATCGACTGTCCCGGTCACGCCGATTGTGAGTACAGTCAGTTTCAAGCGACTGCAAGCTGATCACAATCCCTAGACATCAAAAACATGATTACCGGTGCTGCCCAGCTTGATGGTGCTATCATCGTCGTCTCTGCTACCGACGGTCAGATGCCCCAGACCCGCGAACATCTCCTTCTTGCCCGCCAGGTTGGCATCAAGAAGCTTGTTGTCTTTATCAACAAGGTCGACCAGGTTGACGACCCCGAAATGCTCGAATTGGTGGAGATGGAGATGAGGGAGCTGCTTGGTCAGTATGGCTACGATGGCGAGGGTACCCCTATTGTCATGGGTACTGCTCTTGCTGCCCTCGAGGGCCGCGACCCCGAGCGAGGTACCGAGAAGATCAAGGAGTTGATGGAAGCCGCCGATTCGTGGCTTGATGTCCCTGCCCGTACGTATCGCTCTCCTTCGGCTTCTTCCAACACTAACATGTTGTCATAGGTGACCTCGACAAGCCTTTCCTGATGTACGTGGAGGATGTCTTCTCTATCTCTGGTCGTGGTACCGTTGTCACCGGTAAGGTGGAGCGAGGCACCATCACCAAGGGTTCAGAAGTCGAGATCGTCGGCTTGGGTGACTCCATCAAGACTACCCTTACTGGTATCGAGATGTTCCACAAGGAGCTGGAGCGAGGAGAGGCTGGTGACAATATGGGTGCTCTTTTGCGAGGTATCAAGCGAGAGCAGGTCCGTCGTGGACAAGTCTTGGTTCAGCCCAGCTCGATCAAGTCTGTCAAGAAGTTTAAGGCTCAGATCTATGTAAGCCACCTGGATCCCCATGCCGCTCGATACTGATATCTGGCAGATCCTTACCAAGGAAGAGGGTGGTCGTTACACACCTTTCATGGCCAACTACCGTCCTCAACTCTTCATCCGAACCACCGACGTCACTTGTGCTTTGACTTTCCCCGAAGGAACTGAAGATGCCCACGAGAAGCTCGTCATGCCCGGAGACAATGTTGAGATGATCGGCGATCTTGTCCACGACATTGCCCTTGAGCCCGGATCTCGATTCACTCTGCGAGAGGGAGGCAAGACTATCGGCACTGGTATCGTGTCTGAAATCTTTGCTTAATCAGGGTATGGCGGCGTCTGGCTAGGCGCTTGATTTTCACCCAATCCAGCTGAAATTTACATTTACACCCAACTCATTCATCCCAGAAGCTGGTGTCTGGCTAGACCCTTGGTGCTTCGTATATGATGAATGCATTCACGCCCTACTCATGCACTGCCGAGGTTTTTCAGACTGATACACAACCGCCCTCTCACTAGCATTCAGGATGGAGACGCACATGTCCACAATGGTGATGGACACAGCAAAGCGTCGCTACGTACATTGCCGTAAAATAGTGCTTCTCTTGAACGGCTCAAGTATTACGGATCCTTGATCACACCCTGCCTGAAGGATATCTCTTGCACATGGAGAGGACAATGATCATCCTTAGAGTATCTGCATGTGCATTCACGACGTGTCTTTGGTCAGACTCATGTAGCCCCCTTCTATCTGATCTACGCTGACACTATGAGGAGACTCAAGTGTAGCGTCTAGTGCTGAACCATGAAGGACAGCGATATGACAAGAAACGAAGCCCTATTCCAAAGAGCGACCAGAATTCAAATCGGAAATGAGAGATGGCCTTGGCATGCAAACCCGCGGAGACGACGACAATGATGCGGTCCAAGACTTTGTTGCCCCCAAGAGCAGAAGTGATACCATACCTGAGACGACCGGTGACCAGAGGATGTTCATACAGGTTACAGACTCTAGTGTATCCCGGTCAAGCGTCCCGTAACGCCTCTGACAAATTGGACATGTCCAGTTTTCTACTCTCCCATTTCTCCTGCTCTTGTTGAAACCTTTCCTTCCATTTGTAGATGGATTTGTCCGTCACGACACTGGCCATTTTCAAGGAGAGGTCACGTAATCTAGTCAAAGCCTCTCGGATCTCTTCCTCATCTTGCCCGGGATGTGTCGCAGAGACGAGCTCGTCGTAAGCATCAATCAGATCTTCAGAGAGGGTCAAAAGGAGAGTCAGATCATTCTCTGGGAGTTGAGGGAGATATCTCGGCATGCTGGCATGTAGAAGCTGATGGAGAGCAAGAAGGGGTTTTATCTGTAGGCTCTGGTTAGTGATATCCAGTGGTATGACACAAGGCGTACGGCGGTGCTGCGAGCCTTCTCCTCGTCTGACAGACTGCCTTCGCCCAAACCCAACTCATCCCAACCATCGTCCTCGTTTTCTCCATCTCCCTCAAGTGTTTCTTTGAACTCTTCCCACGCATCCTTGATGATACTCTGGTGACTCTTCCATCTCCTAATGACAGCGGACCGTTCATCTTTCGATATGTCCTTTGTCATCCGGTCGATAGTTTCCCAAACCATACCAGTTGATCGAAGGTAATCCCCTCCGCTCTCCAACACTTGGATATGCCTCTCGAGTTCTCCCTCCACGGCAAATATTCCTTCTTTCCATTCTTTCCCCAGTTCACCTTTGGCCATGATGGCACAGCTGATGAGCTGATTGATCTGCTCAGAGATCTTTTCGAGTTGCTGTAGAGCGGCAGGGATCGTGACAGGAGGCTTGAAGGCAAGACCCAGAGATGTCAAAGATTGGCGAAGATTGGCGAGAAGCTGGCAGAAGGCATCCGGGAGACCATGCGGCATCGGCACATCTTTAGGGATGTCAGACAGGGCTTGGGCAGCCTGGTGACACGAGATACGGCAATCGCTGAGGCCTGGCTGTCAGCGCTGCTTGAAGCTTCAGATATCTACCTTTTTGGAGCTGCGAGTCTGGGACAGTCAGCGGTGGGAACATGGGGGGTCGGTAGTGCACTCACCTGTCATTCCACAATGCTTTCGACGTCTAGAAGGCTGCTAGAAGGCCAGCATAAATTTCAGAAAGTATAAGAGTGCCGAAGGCCATGGCATTACGTAATCCCGAACGCGACTCTTTTCGATTTCGATGGACGCGTCAACCCTCTCTTTCTCACCGCCGCCATGGACCCCGACGCCATCCAGGACCTCCTCCGGGGCATCACAGAGGAGCATCTCCTCGACCCCAGCAGCGACCCCCCGCCCCCTTCCTCGCCCTCCCTGCCCACCCTCCCCCCCTCCTCCCCACCCGTCGACCAAGACGGGCCGCCGTCGAAACGTATGCGCCTCGATCTCGACCGTCACCTGATTTCAACACCCAGCGCTTCATCCAGCGGGTTCCAAACAGCCGGGGGAAGGGCAGTCCCGCCCCCTTCTGCTGCTTCTCGCCTGAAGGCAATGAAGATGTTTGACGAGATAGACTCTGCCGCGGACCCGTTGCTATCCGCAACATCTCCTCCCGAGCCGGTCCCTCTGGTCGGATTCACAACGGGAAGAGGCAAGAAAGTTCCACCCCCTTCGGCCGCTGCTCAGCAAAGGGCAATGAAATTATTCGACGAAATCAACTCCACGGCAGTCCCCGACGCGGTCACGGCGCTCCCAATGCTGCCCGAGACTGGGGTGGGGCCGCAGAAGAGCGAAGAACGGCATACGCCCCCAGCTACTGCCGTGCAGAGATCGCCAGAAATTTCTGTTGATACTGGTACATTGATCAATCTCGTCACATCCGTACCGACTGCGCTTGATACACCTTCAGCAGACCTTTTTGTTGGTTTCAAGACTGGCGGTGGGAAGGCCGTACCTCCCCCTTCGGCTGCTGCTCGTCAACGAGCTTCAAAGTTGTTTGACGAGATAGAGAGTTCGACAGACCTGTTGTGCTCCACGCCGCTCCCAAACTCCCCGGGCCTTCAGACTGGCTTCAAGACCGGAAGAGGTTTCGCAGTCCCTGATCCGAGCGCTGCTGCCAAACAGAAAGCTTACAAGTTGTTTGAAGATCTCGACTCCCCCTCTCAGCTCCTAGATGCATCTGGTCAAGCCAAGTCCGGATTCAAAATGGGACGTAGAGAGGAGGTGCCAGAACCCAGCCTGGCTGCTCGGCATGTCCTCAAACATACTCAGAGCCTTTTGCCGAAACTTGATACAGACTCGCCCGTGCCCCCGGCCTTCAGGTCGCCAGCTCCAAAGTCTGGGACTCACCTTCGGTCTGGCCATGATATCTCGGTGTCTCTTGTCGGAGATGCGGAGAATGTTGCATCACCTACACCTGCGACGCCCGCCCTTGAACCGTTCAAAAAACGAAATACCAACCTTCAGCCGGCTACCCCCACCAGGACCCCCCTTTCCGCCAAGACCAACACCTACGCGAGTACAAAAAAGCCTATCCAGATCAGAACCCCGGCGTCCCAAGTACAAGCTCGAAGGATTGGCTTAGGTTCCACGCCTGCGCGAAAGTCCAAGAGAGGGTTTGTGACTCCATTTAGGGCTACACCCGCGCCCTTCAAAGAGGTGGCGACGCCGTCCAAGCCGAAAGCTGTAGTCTCGAATCCGGTCTTTGATCTTATGCGTGCGTCATTGCAAGTGCGTTTCCGAGTTGGCTGACAGTGGAGCAGGTCCGGAAAGTCGCCTCTCCCTCAAACAGGCGTTTCTTCATCCCCAGTACTACAGTCGGAATGAACTGGCCACAATGAACATGTGAGTAATTCATGATAAAACTAGACACTGACAGCTTGCCAGCCCTGACGAGATCGCCGCTGTGACACCCGACAATGCTGCTTTGTATCATTTCGCTCTAGACCAATCGACCTTTGGCACACAGCAAGCTTTGAAGGCGATCAGGGAGTGTGGATGCTCGTTGGCAACGTCTCGATGGGTTGAGAATCACTGGACGCTCATTCTGTGGAAGCTGGCTGGCCTTGTCCAAGCCAAGCCCGAGTTGTATGAGGACATGTGGAATGCCGAGGAGGTCACAAAACAGCTTCAATATAGGTGCGCTTTTCATCTTGCATGGCAAACCAAGCTGACGACTAGCAGATATGAGCGAGAGTTTGGCGCCGCCCAACGGCCCCTTATCCGACGCATCCAAGAGCACGACTCCTCGCCCAGTCTACCCATCGTTCTGGTCGTCTCTGCGGTTCACCGCTCCACAGAGGACGCAAGCCATATCAGTCTCGATCTGACGGATGGGTGGTACCACATTCGAGCTCAGATTGATGACTGCCTCAGACGTGCGGTTGAAAAGGGCAGGATCTGTGTGGGACGAAAACTTGCCGTGACCGGAGCAAAGCTAGAGTCTGGCAGTGATGGTGCCGAGGTGCTTGATGCCTACAAGTCTTCTAGGCTCATCGTGTCTGGCAATTCTACCTCGCTTGCGCGGTGGGACACTCGGCTCGGTATGCAGCCTCATCCGTTCATAGCTTCTCTGTCTAGCCTCACGGTGGACGGCGGGGTCGTGACACTGATGGATGTTGTGGTCGAAAAGGTTTTTCCTATGGCCTTTACCAGTGGCGACAGGACTTCTCGAGAGCCTCCATGGGACGAGGAGGAGGAACAATGTCGCCAGGACCAATGGAAGGTGCGTGTCGGATTTGACCCTTTGGCATGGCTGACCACACTTACAGAAGCAATACAAGGCAGAACGCGGCCGCCAAGAGGAAAAGCTGAGAAAAGAGATGGACAAGTTGCAAAATCTCGGTGCTATGCTAGCTGGATATGCCGAGGAAACAAACCCGACCATTAGTAGGTTGTATCTCATTCTTGAATGCGTCCACTGACGTTGGCTCGAGGCGAAGCACCAGACTCGATTGAAGATGACTTGGAGGAGCTACTCGGTTGTAAAGATGCTCCTTTGCGCATACGGAAGCTGGCGTCTGATCACATTGTGCACCTTGCCTTGTGCGCCAGGTCACGTCTCAATCAAGAGCTCGAAGAAGGAAGGTCGGAGATTGAGGCGCAATTGCGGGTACGTGTTTTCAGGTGATGACTGGCCTTGTTGCTGATATGGTGCAGACCACTTGCCCGCCCCGCGAAGTTCGAGACTTTCGCATCGTCAGATTCAAGGATGCTCAAGAAGTCCAACGAGAGTCATTCAGGACGGGAATGCTGAACGTATGGGACGCGAGGGGTTTGGGCGAGGGTAAATTGAAAGAAGGCGGGAGATATTTAGCAAGTCTTGTCCCGCGTTTCCGAGACCATTACTAACCCACTCTAGGTCTCCAACTTGATGCCCGGGAAAAGTGGCGATTGGCGCGTAAACAGAAGTCGTACAGACAAGGCAGAGGTGTATTTGCATACCAGACGAGATACTCGCTGGCAAGTTGTAAGCAATCAGTAGGCAAACGGTGTACTTTCGATAGTCTATGTTGTATATCATCACACATATGTAGTCATTCGTTTCGTTATCATCAACTGTTTTACAATTTCCACAACGCTTGCAGGGCATGAAAGGCAAAAGAAAAAAAGACCAAGAGCGCGAAAAACCCAAGGAAAGCAAGAAGGGAAAATACACGGAAATACACGAAATCATTGTTGTTGACCCATGGCATGGCCAAACATGGGCCGCGGCGTCGAAGCGTTATGCTCGCTGCCAAAGCTGGGCATAGCGAGATACTGCCCTTGCTGTCCATCAAAAGGCTGATGATGCGCATGTAGACCCGACTGGGGCCACTGCGACGACCCCTGACCAAAAGGCACCGCCGTGGACAGATCGGGGTTGGTGATCGTGTCGTGCTGGGGAATAAAGACGCTCATGGCGGGAATGTAGGTGGGGACGGGAGGAGAGCCGTTACCGATCGAGAGCTTGGTCTTGCGGAGGGCGGCAATGGAAACCCAGTCATCCAACCAAGTTTTGATGAGTTGAAACAAACCAAACGTCTGGTCGCTCTTCAACGTCTGGAAATGTATCAGCATCATCTTGGCAGACCCTAGGGTGGCTTACGAAATCTCTCATGACTTGCGAAGTGACAAAGCCCACTTTACATACCAGGGCACTCAGAGACGCGCCCCCAGTGGCGGCCTGCACATCCCTCAACATCTTGTCCACCCAACCGCCGAGCCTATCGATGGCGTACCCACCTTGCGCCAGATACTCTTCGGCCTCCACCAGCCAGTGGTAAAAGTCTTGGAGCACGGCTTCGATTACGTCTTGTTGGCACTGGCAAGAGAGGGCACACTGGTCGCTGACGTTGCGAACGTCGAGATTTTCCCAGGCGGTAATCATGGTGCGGACTTGGGACTGGTTGGCGAGAATGGGGCTGAGAGCAGCGGTGAGCTGGTGAAGATCGATAAAGCGGACTATACGACTGGTCAGGCTGGCTCGCAAAACAGATGTGTGGACTTACGGAAGAGGTGGGCCACCCGGGCGCTCATCTCAACCTTGCTTTCCGAAAAATTTTGGGGAAAGATGCCGAGAGACTCTTCCATGATGGCTTCCAAGTTGTCCGCAAGGGCGCGCAAAGAGCACTGGCTGGTCACTGGGCATGGCGAAGTGAGCTTATCAAGCAAGATGCCGACAATGTGCTGTAGCAACGTCAGCCGTGGTCGAGAGTTGGGAGAAGCACTCACGTCATAGCAGACAAGCATGGCCTCTGTGATCATGCTCGAGATGACAGGGTGAAGGCAGACCTGGACCAACGAGGGAGGCAGAGAGTTCCAGAACGTTCGGCACTGTGGACTGTTAGCTGGACTCACGGCATGCCAGGATACTTACATTCATCTCGTACTGGTCAAAATGGTAGCCTCTGATACACTCAACGATGATTTCCTCGTGTTGGCAGAAGGAGTTCCAAAAGCTCTGGAGGCTTTCCATCGACACTTCGTTGCCGAGCTCTGCTGCCACCGAGAGGGTGGGAAAGCCAGGCAACGAAAAGACGCGCACATGGGACTGACTGGCGCGAAAGCCAACAGAATTGACCGAGCTGGTGGTATGTCTCCTGGTGAACGCGGCCTTGGGTCTTTGCGGGGTGAAGAGCTCATGGATGGAGGTTGATCTGTCCCTGGATAGAGACTGCTGGGATGGGCGATAGCTGAGGGAGCCAAAGGGCTTTTGATCTTCTTCGTCGCTGTCGTCGACATCTTCGCCATCCATGACCATGTCGCGGTCGTTGGAAGATTGGAAATCCATGGAGCCGTCTTCGGGTGCGACGTGCCAAGCGCCGGACGAGTCGCCATAGTCGTTGAGGCGCTCGGCCTCAATCTGTATAGCCGGGCGGATGGAGACGTAGTGGTATTTTCTGGGAATCATCAGCTGGTGCGTATGTCGTATAAGGGAAGAAAGACTTGCGAATTGCCTCGGACACCCAAACGACGGGTCTTGATACCAGGGTAGGCGCTCCTTACTGCTTTGCCGAAAGATGCCGAGTTGATAGGCTTGATACCATACTCGTCACAGGACATGGTGTACGAGTGGTAAAGACCCTGTCGTGGGACAGTATGCGGCCCTGAGCGCGTATAGCTCATCAAGAGCCTGCTATTGTCAGCCATGCCCGTGTTGAGAGACGCAGACTCACCATCTTCTGACCCAGAGTGCTCTCGCCTTGTCCTGCTGAGAGCTACTACTCATCCCCTTGATCTCGTCTGCCTTTTCCGTCAAGTCGCTTCTGACGACGGCCTGTCTCTCTGCGGCCGAGCCCTGGAGCTTGAATTCGTTTCTGGAGAGGTCGGATTGGGACTGCTGGCGGGGGATGATCATGGAGCTGCTTCGACGGGCCCTGGAGAGCATGGGGCGGGGAGGCGAGGTACGGAGGGGCGTGTTGGTATAGGAGGTGGAGGAGGACGTGCGGCGGTGATGAAGAGAGAGGTCGTTGAAGCCACCGGCGATAGAGTTGGTGGTGGACCACGGAGTATGGGCCGAGTAGGTGGTGGATGCCGAGATGAGAGAGGCAATGTCGTCGCCTTCTTCGGATCTGTAGTATGGCGTCAGCCACGTCTCGCGGCGGGATAGTTGGGCTTACTTTATGGACAGCGACTCGGATCTCTGCCTGCTGTAGGGCATGCTCCTGCTCGCGCTTCTCTCTCTGGTGGTCATGATCTTGCCGAGACCCTGGGTCTGGACGGCAAGTTTGGGGTGTTGCTTGATGTCGGAGGCGGAAAACAGGTCACCAGTGGCAATGACGGGGTTGAACTCGCCGACGTGCTGGACTGGGTACATGTCCATGAACGGTGGGCGGTTCCAGGGCATCTTGGTGTCGATACCGTTGAGCGACGAGTAGGACGAGTGGCGCGAGTGGCTCGCAGATGGGATCTCGATGGGCGAGTCGGTAGAGACGTGCAGGCCGGGGTTGGAGTGGGTGGAGTGGAATGAGGAGAGGGACGAGTTGGACCAGGCGTGGTTGAGCATGTGCGGCTGGTAGGAGGAGGGGTCGATGAGCGGGTTGATGCCCATGTTGGGCTCGAGCTCGCCTGGGCATGTCAGCAGGGTGTGCTTGGGCCGGACATGGGATGGGACTCACGATCCCACGGCTCATTCTCTGGGGTCAAGGCGAGCGCCTCTGTGTCGAACTGCAGTCCCGCTGGGCTGGTGGGATCGGTGGGCGAGCTGGAGAGGGGGGCGGGGGGGAAGGAGAAGGCGGGGAGGGTGGCAGGCTCGGCCATGTTGTGGGGAAAGAGTGGTGTTTCTCGGAGCCAGTCGTCGAAGTGGGTGGTATATGAGTGGGTGGAAGGAAGTGGCAGTGGCAGTGGAAGGGCGGGGCAGCTGAAACGGCGGTCTCTGGGCGACAGCTCCCCTCCTTATGTATATCCCCAGGCACACACCACCGACGAGCCGTTGATGTCTCTTGTGATCTCCCGCTCGCCCCAGACATAGGCACGCTCGCCCCCAGCCCATCACCCTCTGTAACCTGTGTGGACAAACACGGGTGTGCAGAGGCACAGCCCGAGGGCCAGAGCATGCCGTCTGTCAGATATTAGCAGGGGCCTGATAACCACTGATAATCTTGATAAACCACATGCTCACGTCATCATCACAGAGTAGGCACCGCCCAGGCTCAGACAGTGCATTGGGCGTTTTGCCTACAAATACAACGCTCGTCCCCCGCCCCCCGCACAGCTCCTCGCTATGTTTATCCCCTCCACAGAGCCTTGTTTCACAAACCAGACCTCATGCTCCCGTGCCTCCCAAGACTCCGGATAATGCGGAACTACATACAGTACATCTCCTTAGTCGGTGTATAAACACTCCCTGTCGACTGTCCAAGTGTCGCGCTGATAATGGCTCAATGTATACATTCTTCCTGTATTTCTTCGTACATGTAATCACTCTTCTCGATCTATTTCGCAGCCAGTCTCCCCGGCATGGCCATGCAGCTTGTATCCCTAGCACCCTTAGAGCTTGGGGGGAGGGGGCTGGAACTGAGTACCCTTCTCAATGCTGGGACCGAGCTCCTTGACGGCCGCCGCGAGAAGCTCCTTCTCCACGTCGTCAATCTTGCCAATGGGGAGAATCTTTTCGATACCGGCAGGCTACACACATCCCTCAGCAAGCTTCCAACTACTCCATACAAGATACTCACGCCCAACTCGAGGTTGACCGAAAAGTAGTCGAGGTCGGCCCCGATTTCCTTCTGGACACCCTGACCGCCGGCATCCGCGCCGAGGTAGACGTAGGACTGGACGACCTTGCCCTTCTCCTTGCCAAACGCAGCTTGCAGCACAAAGTTGACGAATTCGGCACCAGCTAATCCAACAGTCAGTCTCGGCCGAAAAAAAGCAACGTCATACTCACCTTGAGCCATGGAGAGCGTAGCAGAACCAGCGCCGTCTGCAAAAGTCAGCCACAGCCATACAAGAGGGCAAAGGACGCACCCTTGGCCTTGACGACCTCGTCACCACCAAACTGGATCCTGTGCACAAGGGCGTCTCGCTGCTCCTTGTTGCTCAACACATCAGGCTACGACACGTCAGTGGACCGACAGCATCCTAGTCTCATCGCTTACAATAGCAGGCTTGGTCTGGGACAACAAGGGCAAGATCGAAGTACCAGAGTGACCACCGACAACGGGGATCGTGTACTTGGCCGCATCCTCGGGCTTGCCAACAACGGTAGCGACAAAGGTCGAGGCTCGAATGACATCCAAGTGGCTCACACCAAAGAGCCTAGCGACGCGAGTCAGCCTATCTTCGCTTCCACGCCCATTCACACCTACTTCCGGGGGTCAAACACGCCAGCCTTCTTCAAGGTCTCTGCAAACACGGGCACAGTCGAGTTGACCGGGTTTGAAATGACGAGAATGTAGGCCTTGGGGCACGCCTTGGCGATAGACGACGCGAGCGTGGCACAGATGCCGGCATTGATCTAAGTCCATATCAGTGGAAGCTCTCGAGTCCCGCTAGTATGTGTCCTTACGTTCTACAAGCGAACGAGGTCAGCTTCGCCCGAAGCAAGGCCAGCATTCACTCACAAAGAGGTCGTCTCGAGTCATACCAGGCTTTCTAGGAACACCAGCGGGTATGACGACAATGTCGGCACCTTCGAGGGCCTTCTCGGCACCACCGTCAGCAGGAAGGAAGCCCTTGACCTGGGCGGGAGTGGAGATGTGGGAAATGTCGGCAGCGACCTATGAAAGGAGGTCAGCGGGGGTCAGATGAGGGCTTCGACGTGGAGCCTTCTGTCCCCAGGTCATATGGCCAGTTTCGTAGCACCGGCTTCGAATGGCCGGCTTCGTATCGCACAGGGCGATGACAAAGGAGGCAATCCGGGCGGAGCAAGGAGCGGCAACGTACACCGGGGGCGTTGACGACATCGTAGAGGCTGAGCTCGGTGATGAGGGGGTTGAGCTTGAGCAAGAGAGAGAGGGGCTGGCCGATACCACCTGGGGTGGGAAGTGGTGAGCACACAGCAGGGGGGATGAGGAGGGGCGTACCAGCAGCACCTGCGACGACAGCTTTGACCATGACGGTAGTAGTAGTAGAGTAAGTAGAGAGGCAAAGGGAAGGAGAGATAGAAATGGAAATGGAAATGGAATAGGAAGGGATGAAGGGAACAGCTGACGCCACTAGATCAGCCTGGAGCCGGTGCCGGTCCCCGTCCGAACGCCGACCGGTTGGGGACGCGATGGGGGCCCGCCCTTATGTGGGGGGCATCTTGCAATCACAAGTGCACAACTCAGACAAGCATGCATACAGTACTCGTACAGTACTCGTACTCGTACTCTACAGGACCCCTAGAACTTGAACTTTTCTCCCTTCTCCCGCCCCTTCTTCTCGTCCTTCCGGGCCCGCTTCTTCATCTCCCCAGACACCACATCCTCAAACCCGCTTCGGTCAACGTCCGCTCCCGGCACGTATACCTTGCTCGCCTGGCTTCGACTCGCCTCGTACTTGGCACGCAGCTGCTCTTGCGTAAGGTCCTCGTCGCCATCCAGGGAGATCTCCACATCGCCGGCCTTGCGCTGCGCAACAGTCAGCGATGATGCCTTATTTTGAACATTCGTCTTACCTTTCTACCTCCGTCTTCTGCTCCCAACACAGCAGGTCCACCGTTCTGCCCCAGCGCACCGATATCGTACGTAGTAGAGCTTCCCATGAATCCCCGCGACGACGTCTCTCGCTCCGGCACGACCTGGTACAGCTCTCGAGGCCCAGAAGGTCTCTCGTCCGCTTGGGGCCTGGCATTCTTTCGCAGTTCGGAAAAGTTGAAATCGGGGGTCTCGAGACCACCCGGTACCGTCGAGGTGACCGATTGGTAGCCCGAAGGCGTGGCCATACCGGAGGGCGTGGCAAGACCGTCCGCAGGCACGTCACGAGATTCTTCTTCTTCTTCCTCCTCCTCTTCCGACTCTTCCTCGGACTCTTCCTCTTCTTCCTCCGGCATGTCCTCAATCTCACCCCAGAGTGTATGGTCAATTTGGTTCTGGTGCTGCTACCAATCAGCTTCATTATCATGAGAAATGTTAATACTCACGGCAATCTCGGCACCCTGCAGCTCGCCATATACATCGCCGTATAGAGGTCGGTTGAAGTCGTCAACAGGAGGCTTACCCCAGCCACCAGGGTGGAAACCCCATTGGGCACTACAGCCTTGTAAGCACTATACACTAATTTGAACAGGCCACATACCCGGAAGGAATGGGAGCATTCAATCCTCGGATACGGAGATTGGGATAACTAGGAGGAGGGCCGAACCGCTGCATGGCAATGAGCCAGGGTGGAGGAGCCAGAGGCGGGATGGACAAGGCATCATTCAATTCCGTTGAAAGCTCTCCAGGCTTCTTGGTACGCAAATCCGTCTCCAACTCTTTTCCTTCATAGTACCTACAAGATCGTTAGTCATAGATAGGCTTCGACTTGGTTAGACTCACGCTTCTCCGAACTTGCTCATGCTAGGCTTCCCCTGGTACCTAAAGAAAGCATCATGCAGCTTCTGATAGTCAATGTCCATCTTTCCCATCTTGGGCTGAACGCGTTCACGCGTCTTTTGTCGGAGAGATTGATCGGCTTCCTTGGCCTTCATGGCATCACGTTGCTCTCCAATACCAGTGTCCGCAATCCAGGCTAAAAATCCAAGTCAGAACAATGTCCGTCAAATAGATGCAAGACATACGAGGAAGAAGATAAGGAGGCTTCTCCATACCCCTCTTGCCAGCAAGGTAGTCTCGCTTCGCGTTCCAATGTTGGGGAACAGGGACAGTGCTGCAATGCGTCAATGATTGGAACTCTGAAAGGAGTTGGATACAGCTCACTTTCTGTAAGATTTGAGATTCACCAACAGACGGGGATCTCGGGCATCACAGTCAAACCAGTCCACAACTTCAGGTCGGTCGACCAGCTGTTTCAGCTCGGCAACTGTTAGTTTCTGTATACCTGTCAGCGCACCATTCTCCCACGATGATACCGCAGGCACGTACAGCCGCCTGCCTCTTCTGTCTCCTGGTCATCCCTTCCTGCTCCGCCGCCTTTCTCACCGCCCTCTCCTTGGCCTCCGCATCGTCATCCTCCTCATCCGAATAATAGATCTCTCCCTTCTGTGGTCCTTGCGCGGCTTCGTCCCCCTCAGTTGCTTCCTCTTGGAAGTGGGCAAAGACGCTGGAAAAGGCGGAGAAGTTAGGGTCATTGGGGTCGATTTCGAGGATAGAGTTGTCGATCGTCGAAGTCGTAGACTATGTTGTGTCAGGATCCATCATCAGACCTCTCTTCTATTGGCTCACCTCTGCTTCACTTTCGGGCTCAGTCACCGGCACACTCGCCCTCTCCTCCTTCTTCGGGACTCCAGCTTTAGCCTTTGCCTTTAAACGCTTCAGCGCACCCCTCGACTTGACGCCGGAAGTTTTGACAGGGGCGGCGACGGAGCCGTTGGACACATCCTTGCCGTTGGGAGCAGGGGCAGCAGCCGGGGCGGGCATAGTTGGGTTTTGGCGGGATCGGGGGTGGTGAGGAGGTGGGATGGGTTCGATATGGACCAAGCTCGCGGGCGGAGGAGAAAGAGACGGAAGCAAATGTTGACCCCTGCGTGCCTAATAAGACAAGGCGCAAAGAGGCCAACCTATCTCCTTGTTGTTTGTGCTCCTTTCTGTCCTTGTTTGCCCATACCTGACAGCGCCGGGTGCCCATGGATGCTTCATGCGGTGATCCACAGCGAAGCGAGCAGTTCACATCTGGATTTATACATGATAAACTACGGGATACATTTGGGTCGACAAATTATGGCTCGGAGCACGCAGAATGGTTGGCAACAGATGGAGCACTGTTTGCTTTCGATAAAACCACCCCCGTTGGGTCTTAGTATCGATATGTTTGACCAACAGGGGCCCCAGCAGGTCGCTCGTACTTGGATATGATCCACCAGGCATGCTGGACTTGCCGTCAGCGGCTAGTTTCTGCGTGTAGACGCATCACTCACAATGACGCCAGGAATCCAACCCAAGATGAAAAGTAGGACATTTATCCACAGATCAGCAGCGCATCCTCTCTTCATGAATCTGTCCACCCAATGTCAGCATGTACAGTACCAGCACGGATTGAAAGTACTTACACGGGGATGGGAGGGATGAAGAGGGCAAGAAAGTAGAGGAGGACATCTCCGGTGGCTGGAGCAGGGAGTCAACATATTTGTCCAGCGTATACCAACAGCAAGACACACAAGAAGGCGGACGGCTCATGATTTATTGCGGGTGTTGAGGTTTAGAGATATGTTATGGGAGAGTTATGTGTGGCAAATTGCTGCGCAGGACCCAGCACACAAACCAGCAGCAGGATCTGTCGACATCATTCTCGACAAACGCGCGGGGGGCCCCGCCTGCGCGGCTGCGTGAGTGCAAAGTTGGTACAACGGATTGTACACGACGGGGCTACCTTGTTATCCATTCTTGATACCAGGAATGATAGCTACTCTACGAGGAGTCAAAGTATCTGCTTTGGCACACTCACTCCTGGGGTGGCAAGAAATCTGTACAGCACGGGACAAGGTCTCATCGAATGATTGCTGACGCCCATTTAGGTGCCTATGGTAGATAGAGCCTGCACTTTTGGGGATGCGGCAAGCATATTTGGGGGTTTCTTCGTATATCAGTTCTGGATACAAAGAGGGCGGGCGAAAGGTGCCAAGCAGCCAAATGGCCGTTGGCTCGAGTCTGGAGGAAGAGATCAGGTGTATCTTTCGCCAAGTAAGTCGAGGCCCTTGTCCTGTAGCTGTGTTGCTGACTTTATCTATCGAAGCTGACAGCTGCGTATGTGATACGAAATACAAACGCTGGCGGCACCCTCGAAGATTGACGACGTCTGTTCGGGCATGATGAGGGGCTTTGTTGAGCCTAGCGGGATCCATGCTTTACCTCCCAGCTTGTTCTCTTCATTCCAAGATTCAACAAAGTCATCAAGTTCAAATTGCGAAATGGCACCTACGAGAAGGACACACCTTGGCATCGAGGTGGGAGGTCCGAGACAGCTCTTCGTTCCATGTGAGTGCCTGCGCAAAACTCTTGGAATCGCTGCTGATATCAGCCTAGTCATAACGTAGCACAGTCCGTCATACTTGAGATTACTGGTGGTTTGTTCTCGAACCTACTTCACTTTCAGGTATCAAAAACTGGTTTTGTGTTCAGCAGCGGACCGGGACGACTTGGCGAGTGGAAGCGCCCGTTGTATCAGACATGTAAGTCATGTTCAGTCGTGAGATGACATTGACACAGATGCAGAGGATCCCTCGGGCTTTGATGACCGACCAGACCGCGTGATCGTGCCCTTCATCTTCCCACCCACACCACGTAGCTGAAGATGTCCGATACTTCTGGGCTCAATTTTATCACAAAATGCGGCTAAGGGGCCGGGACGGAAGATTTGTATTTGGTCAACAGTCGGCACAAATCAACGAATACAGGGCGAGTCTTGTAGAAGGGCCAAACCCAGATTGGAACCGTATCACAGAGACGAATGCCCTCAGAGCGGATTGTGGAGGAACTCATGGATTTGAGGCAGGAAAACATTGCCTTCTTCGGAGTTGCTGAGGCAACAGTGAGTTATGCGCTGCCCCTTCGTGCATATACTTAACTGTTATTCAGACCTTTGTTATTCCTGATTTTGACTACAAGTATGGCTTCAGAGGCGCCCTTCCTGTCAACAATGAAACTTCCAGCGACGAAGATACCCACAGCAACGCAGCTCTTATGAGATCTTCATCGACTCGGTCCATCATCAACACTGTTGGGGGTGAGTGGCTGTCTTCCGACAGATATAAGTCGTTAAGCTAAGCTGTACTGATATATAGTGATCAGTTACTTAGACGTTGCGTTTCTTTGTAAAGAAGCAACGCGCCACCGCCAGAGATGGGAAGAGGCTTCAAGGACGCCTGGAATACTTGGGGGGAGTTATGTTATCCGGGTTGTGAAGTCGTTTGCGATGACTGTATTGGGCGCCGTGAGTCAGATTTCCGCTCTTTGGGTCATCGTATTGGGGCTACTGTTTGCTGATATGAACTTCCCATGATACCGTAGATGTCTTTCCACAAATTGCTTGTTTCAGAGCGGAACGAATAAAGGCTTCTCTGGCCCTCAATGGCCTGCCTTGGTCCTCGTCTACAAATTCGTCTTATCTCCTTCATGTCTTAGTACTTGGGCCTCACTACCCTACTTTTCTCACCTTTCCTGTAGTTTCTCAGCCTTCCATATTGCACGACTTACAGGCCTACCCGTACCCGTATCCGATCCTTGTCGTGGCCACTTAGGTGATTCGCACGGCCTTTCGTCTCGTCGTCGCTCTCATGTATATAGGACGACCTAATGCGACGAGATGCTGGAGTCAAGACCCTCTTCTTCAAAAACATCATCTTAGTCAAGACCCTCCTCTTCTCCTAAACAACATTTCTTCGCCCCATCTCTTCTTCTCTTCTTACCTTGACACTGGTAATATCATTACCTCTTGCTCATAAGCCAAAATTTACACCACTCCTGATGTTCGCTACACATTATTATCCATGTCGATTCCATCTAACAATTTTCTGAGTCATTTAGGAGATCAAATACAAGTCGATATCAAGAAATCAATCATCTCTCTGCCGCATGAAAGCATAATGCTCTTTCGTTGAATAGCCATCAACGTCATCCTCATCTACTACTGACTACTATAATCCAGCATACAGAGCAGATAGAGGATATCTTGTTCTCTGCCTGTCAATCCTAATGACCTTCATCTGTGTAAAACTCTCCACAGCGCTCTTGCCATTGAACCTGCCCCATCCACTATTCTTCGTCCCTCCTTGCGGCAGCACATGCTGGTCATGCGGACTCATTCCATTGATGTGCACATTTCCCATCTCCATCTTCTCCGCTACTTCGATCGCGTCCAGTCCCTGTCCGAACACGGAGGAGGAAAGTCCTGTTTCGTGACTGTTTGCCAGGCGAATCATGGAAGGGATATCGGGTGCAGTTTGTAGAGTGAAAAAGGGGGCGAAGGACTCTTCGTTGAGAATGGTGGCTGTGGAGGGCAGGTCCGTGAAGATGGTCGGGCGGACGGCGTTGGGGAAATCGGTAGAGCTCTCGGGGGCGGAGAAAACAATACGAGCGCCCTGTATAGACAAATGAGTCGGATGGCATATCGTCTGTCGAAAGCACTCACGGAGTCGATGGCCTGTTTTGCCATCGCCTGCGCTGTCTCGACGCCACTCGGCCTGACTAGCTCCATGCCCCCATTCCATTTGGCCTTCTCCGCTTCCCTTTTGAGGATGCTTTCAAACTCCGCTGCAACATCTTGATGGACAATGACCCTTTCAGTGGACATGCAGATTTGGCCAGAATTGAAGAAAGCACCGAAGAGGACCTGTCGTCGAGTCAGCGGAACGTTGATTGATGAAGTATGTCTTACATTGTTGGCTGCCAATTCTAGATCGGCAGATGGAAGAATGAGAGCTGGCGCTTTGCCTCCTAGCTCAAGCACAGAGGGTCTGGGCTAATGAGCACTGCATCACACATGTGTATCAGTTTGCTTACTTGAGATGCTCTCCGCACTGTCTCGCCAGGTTTCTGCCTAGTTTTGTCGAGCCGGTAAAGTTGACAAACTCGATTTCTATCAGCCAGCGAACAGACTTGTCACTCGACTTGGCTTACTCGGACGCTGTCGTCAGCAATGAGCTGTGACGTTCTCGCACCACTATCATGCTCTGAAAAGTTCAAAATCTGCAATACACCTTCAGGTATACCGACATCGGCAAACAGGGGCCCCAAGAATGCAGAAGCCTGGGGGATGACGGAGGAACCTGCGATTATGCGTGAGCGACATTCATAAGCCCTTCTGGACAACCCACCCCGGAGGATGACCGTGTTTCCGCAAGCCAAAGGATACACTTGAGACATAGTTTCAGTAAAGTTACGTCCATGTAGTCTGCAGTCTGCAGCTTACTTATGCTCCTCATCGCAAGACAAAGAGGAAAGTTGAAAGCCGGGATACTCAGCACGGGCCCGTAAGGCACCCTGCTCACGAGACCCAAGCTGCCGTCAACCGTCGGAGGCAACGACCCCTGGCGAAAATACAGTGAGCGAGGCAAATGCGGCTTTCATGCCAAAAAGACCCACTTCGTTGGATACAGCCCTAAGACATGGCTTTGGTCAGTGATGAATGTCCGGGCACGCAGCACACGCACGTCTCAGCAGCACCATCCACGAGATGCAAAGCATTGTGTAGGTCGACTCCTAGCATAACTTCCCCATACACAGTATCTGCTAGGAGCAATCTCTTCCATTCTTCAAGGCGTTCTTGCATCAGTGACGGTACCTGTGGCGTAGCTTCAGCACACAGACTAACAAGTTACCGATTGCGCAAATGGAACGTACCTTCCGCAAGATTGCGCGCCTCTCCCAGGCAGAGACCCCGCGCCATGCCTGGAAGGCTTCTCGACTGACTCTTGCTGCCTCAGATCTGGAGAAATGATCAGCTCCAAGGCCTCTTACGTCTGCATGACTCACGTCTCCTTCTCCCCAGCAACGACGACTTCACAGCTATCTTGCCTAGTCCTGGTGTGTTCCTGCGTGACAGTCCCAGCGCTCGAATCGAAGACTTCTTTGCCGCTAATCCACAGAGGGACTTTTGGGATCGTGCTTTTGCTCGGAGTGGTGGACAAGAGACGTATATCCCGTGGGGCGCAGAGTCCTCGAGAGCGCAAGCTGGGGAGGCGAGAGAGCGATTTGGGGACCATGTGAAGTATGGCTCGTCGGTGTGGTATGAAATAGTCGAGAGCCTGTGGTATAGGACACCTTAGGAAAGATTTGTGTTTGGGAGTGGCTTCCTGGAGACGAAGTACTGATATGGGAGGTTAACTTGAGCAGATAAGTAATTGAAATCGTAATTACTGTTCCTGGGGAAAAGTCGGGCAAATGGGGATTCCATAATGTTATAAGCCTATACAACCTTGATACAACCCAACATGGACAGCTACCAGACCCCCCTCTCCTCGTGCGCCCCTCTACATCTCCCCGTCATTGCTAACGTCGTCCAGCCGATATGCCTCCAAAGAGATGTCCAAGCTTTTCTCCAGTGCTGTGAGTCGACTCAATGGATCTCATACAGTGTACGGGCTGATACATCGTCAAGACCCGTTTCGGTACCTGGAGGAAGCTGTGGCTCAATCTTGCCATCGCCGAGAAGGTGCGCAGCGCACGGCAAATCGCCTGGTAACACACTGATGCCATATGCAGGAGCTTGGCCTGACCATCTCTGACAAGGCCATCGAACAGATGAAGGCCCATCTCGAACTTGACGAGGCTCAGATGAAGGTCGCTGCTGAGGAAGAGAAGAAGCGAAGGCGTGAGTGAAGATACCGTTCCGACGCACATCGCTGACCTTGGGCAGACGATGTCATGGCCCACGTTCACACTTTCGGCACTGTCGCTCCTGAGGCTGCCGGTATCATCCAGTACGACCATTCAGATCGCTGAAAGATTCTATACTAAACATCACACAGCTTGGGTGCCACTTCTTGCTACGTTACTGAGTGCGTAATCAGTGATCATACCGCTCCCAACTGACATGCTTAAAGCAACGCCGACCTCATCTTCCTCCGTGATGGTCTCGACATTCTTCTCCCCAAGCTTGCTACCGTCATTTCCCGCCTTTCGTCGTTCGCCCAACAATACCGAGACCTCCCTACTCTCGGTTTCACTCACTTCCAGCCCGCCCAGCTCACCACTGTCGGCAAGCGAGCCACCCTCTGGATCCAAGAGCTCCTCTGGGACTTGCGAAACCTCGAACGTGCGAGGAACGACCTTGGTTTCCGAGGCGTCAAGGGTACCACCGGTACCCAGGGCTCTTTCTTGGCCTTGTTCGATGGCGACCATGACAAGGTCGAGAAGCTTGACAAGAGAGTGACTGAGCTCTTTGGCTTTCCTTACGCCTACCCCGTGACTGGTCAGACCTACTCTCGAAAGATCGATGCCGATGTTCTCGGTCCTCTTTCCAGCTTTGGTGCCACCGTCCACAAGATCGCCACCGACAGTAAGTTTGAACGACAATGTCGAATCGAACCTGACTTTATAAAGTCCGATTGCTCGCCAACCTGAAGGAGATTGAGGAGCCTTTCGAGAAGGACCAGATTGGCAGCTCCGCCATGGCCTACAAGGTATGCCTTCCCTCGAATCAATCGACAACCACTAATGACAACCCCAGCGAAACCCCATGCGATGCGAGCGTGCTTGTTCCCTCGCCCGACACCTCATGGTCATCTACCAGAACACCCTCATGACCTCCTCTGTCCAATGGCTCGAGCGAACCCTCGACGACAGGTAAGCATTCGTGTTCCCTTTACGGGACGCGCTAACAATACCAGTGCCAACCGACGAGTCACCATCCCTGAGGCCTTCCTCACTGCCGACATCCTCCTGACCACTCTTCAAAACATCTCTGAAGGTCTCGTCGTCTACCCCCGCGTCATCGCCCGTCGTATCTCCCAGGAGCTCCCCTTCATGGCCACCGAGAACATCATCATGGCCATCGTCAAGGCCGGTGGTGACCGTCAAGAATGCCACGAAAAGGTACGAGTGCTCTCGCACCAGGCTGGTGCGGTTGTGAAGGAGGAGGGCGGTGAGAATGATCTGATCGAGAGGGTCAAGAAGGACAGCTACTTTGAGCCTATCTGGGCGCAGCTTGATGAGCTTTTGGACCCTAGGACTTTTGTTGGCAGGGCTCCCGAGCAGGTTGACGGATTTGTTTCCCAGTGGGTCGAGCCGGCTCTCAAGCCTTACGCCGAGTCTCTCAAGAACGTCAAGTCTGCCGAGTTGTCCGTTTAATTGGGTACTGTGAAACAGTCGTGATGTGGCCTGTTTCATGCTGGAGGAATTTCAACATCCCCAAAAAAGTTTGACCTGTCTGTTTATCAGCAGATGCATTTTCTTTGATGACGTTGCTATCCGACGGGCGGAGCGCGTCTGCGTTTGCTAATGTTTGTCGATACCGCAAGTCATCAGGTTGTTTTGGAGGCTGCAGATGAGGAGCTATCCACCATGAAGAGAGAAGCGAAAGCAGCAGACCGGAGGATGGGCGCAAGAGGGTCACAGAGAGCGGTCGAGTTGGGCAAAGGGATGAGATCCCTCAAAAGTACACCTTTGCACTAGAGACAGTGCTCCCCCACGATCATGCCGTTCCCAGGGTCACGAAGCTGGATCATTTTAAGAGGGCATGTGCTATGAGCTACTCTGGAACAAGGCAGAGTATGATGTGAGCGAGTGTATCTATTAGTGTGAATGAACCGAGGGTTGGCTTGTCTATTGGACTCCAGCGGACCATTCTCAGAATCCATGCGCGCAACTCTTCCTGGTCAATAAGACAACTTGTCATCCTTGAATGTCATACTCATACAATGCATCTGGTGGCCCTAAAGCTCGCCCTCTACGCCTGCTCCGAATAGATCTTGATGGTCTTATCAGCCCCACCAGTGATAAGTCTCGTCCCCGTCTTGTCAAACGTCGAACAGAACACACCCTACACAATACATCAGCTTTAGCCCCGAAAGCCTTGAGAAAGTACTCACAGCCTCGGCGTCAAGCGACCCCGGCTGAGGGATATCCTTCAAATGTTGGAACGGCAGTCCCGTCTTCCAATCCCACATGGTCAGTGTCCCATTGTCCGCACCCGAGAACAGCACCCCCTCTGAATTGACGCTCATCGTATTGATAATCGCCTCATGCCCCACAAAGTTGTTGACGAAAGTGCCTTCCGGACATTTCCACTTTTTGATATTGTTGCCACCGGCGGAGCCAGAGGCGAAGGAGTATTCGGTGGGGTGGATGGCTAGGGCGCGGACGGATTTTTTGTGGTGCGTGAGGGTTTGCATACATTTGCCTGCGGCCAAATCCCACAGCCTGTGTCCGGTGTTAAAAAGGCGATGAAAAGAGAGGGTGGACGTACCGAACGGTGCTGTCCATACTGCCAGAGATGATTTGGGGATCAGAGTCCTGAGTCTTGACATCTGCAACGGTGCTGGTGTGTCCGGTAAGAGTGTGCACGTTGGCTCTTGTCCTCATGTCCCATACCTATACAGAGTCAGCGCCATGCAAATGTGCCGCAGTTTACACTCACTCGAACAGCCGCATCTCGACCGGCAGTGACCAAGACATCCAGTGTGGGATGTACCGATAGCGAGTAGACACCAGAGTAGTGACCATGGTAGTGTCGGATGACCTTGTTTGTCTCCAAATCCCAGCATTTGACCATCTTGTCTTCAGCGCAGGAGAACAAGTATGGATGACGGTCTGATACAGCGAGACCACGGATGGTAGAGATGTGACCTGTCAATGAGAGCTTGAGCTCTCCGGAAGCAAGGTCCCAGATCTAGCACGGTCAGCAGGGGGCCAAAGAGGAGGCGGGATGACGCACCTTGACCACTCGGTCTCCAGCCCCAGTCGCAAACCACTGATTTCCAGGATCCACTGCAACAGCTCGCACCCATCCCATATGTCCAGAAATGACTCTTGAAAGTTTCCCTGCAGATTGTCAGCTTTCACCGTTTCTCAAAAACAAGATACGTACATTGCGGGTGATATTCCGGCTTGATCTCCCTCGCCTCCTTCTTCCGCATCAATGCCTGCGACAAACGCGAGCCTGCTTGACCCCCCTCCGCTGCGTATCCCTGTTGATGTCTGAACTTGACGAGGGCTTGGGGTTCGGGCGCTTGAGGACCACTGGACGAACTACCAGACGGGTTAGTCGATCTTTCTGAAGCGAATCTGTGACTCACGTCGACCGCGCCTCTGGTCCTCCAATGAGCTTGACGCCGGCAGCTGCAGCTCCAGGGGCAGCGATAGCAGCCTGGCTAGGTCGTTTGGGTCCGGCTGGGCCAGCTGTCTGAGATTGCAATATAGGCGGTAATGTCTGGACATCCTTGTACTCGATGCCCAGCTTTGTCGCGAGTTTTATCTTGTTTCTGTGAGATATGAGCTGTCATTTATGTCGAGCTGGTATGTTGGGCCTTACGCTCTGGCAAGACCGTCATCGATACTGGCCCCTTCGCCGGCATAGACGACTCTTGTCCTCTTTGTACCTGCCTTGACGAGATCTGCGAGGTTGGGAAGGGTGTGTTGGGCCGAGGGACCGGGCTGTTCTTGGGCAGCTACAGACATGGCGAGGGCGGGGGGGTAGACAAAGAACGATTGCAAGAGGATATAGGCGCAAGCATTGAAGCAAGGGTGAAGCAGCGGCAGGAGTGATAAGGGCGACTTTTATCCCACGTCACGCCGCCACCCCTCCTCCTCCTCCTCCTTCAGTTCTTCTTCTTGAATTGTTGTTCCCCGACTGACCCCGAGACATGATGACTTCAGCCTCACTTGACCACGTATCTCTGCATTCTACGTATCTCCCCATGCCCAGCACAGAACTCCCCTGGGTCCTCGCTAACCCTATACTGATCCATACCCTCTCCGTTGCCGCCGTGGGTGCTGCTAGCTGTGACTCTCTCAGGGTCAGTTCTTCGACACCGCTGGCCCTTCTCACCTTGTCTACAGATCTGGCGCGCTGTGTCTGCATTTTCTCGAGATGCCACAACAGGAGACAAACTGACCCACTCTCCTCCCACCTCCCCCTCTCCCTCAGTTTTTCGTCAATGGCGCGCTCAACCCCTCCGCACAAAGGCCAGGAAAGTACTTACCTCCATCTTCGCTCTGGCCATCTTCCTTGCTGTCGAGTTTGTGATTGATTAAAGACGGCTTCTTCGCCTCAGTATGGATTTTCATCTACACATGCGCGGTCAAGGGTGTGAGTCAAAAGATATTAGTGAGGAGGCTGATGGAAGCACCAGATACTCAGCCTGGTGAAACCTTCGCCATCGCAGGTACACTACGAGAGCACAACACCTGATGCTCCTGTCCACCTCGTCATCTCACCAGTAGACAACACCAATGATGTTCACCATGGCCTTCCCATCGCCGGCTCTATCGGCATAGTTGCTCTTGTAGCTTATGGTTATACCGCCCATCTACCATTGGTAGGAGCTGTCTTGACCTGGACCTACTCTTCCAACATTCGGATGAATCGCTTAAAGATGGGATCTACCATCCTCTCTATGCTTGGTGCGCTGGTGCGTGGACTTTCAGCGACTGAACTGCACCGGGCTGATATATTCACGCACAGGCGGTATCTTGCATCGTGGTAGGCGGCGTTTTTGCTGTTCTCTGGGGTCTCGGCACATGGAACGATGAGCCGAACAAAAAGCCGCCCTTGGAGGATCCCGTTCTTAGTGATTGGGTAACGAATCTCAATGCTTTCTACCTGTGCCTAATTACCTTGACTCACCCAGGTCTCATAGTAAGCTTTTACCCTCACCGTTCCACACTGCTGACTGCAGTCAAGATCACCATGACTTACCGATTTGAGTACTCTCAACTCGCCAACCAACTCACATTGGCAGAAGACGATCAAGACAAAGAGGATTCCTTTTCAGGTGTGACTAGCGTTGCACCAGTGTGCATCCCTGTCGACTATCCATCCTTCCCTTGCCCAATCACCATCACTTCTCTTCTATTCCTCTTTCTCTGCCTTGCCGCCATGGACCTAACCTTGGGCAAGAACATCGAATATGTCTCTCCGTTCCCTGCGCTTGTTGTCATATTCGTAGTCCCGTTCTTTACAGCTGTGGCTGCTGCTCAGCAGGGCAAGTTTGGGGAATGGTGGCGTTACCAAGAGACGTAAGGTTCCCGGTGAGCATATGTCACTCCATAAGCTGATGCGAAATGCAGGTGGGTCCCCCCAAAGCAGGATGATGAGGATGAGCCTCGATTGTGATTTGTCAATGCGTATTGGCAAGTGAACACTCTACATGTATATATATACCGGTTCGAATCATGCGCTATGTGCAGGCGCCCGGCACTGAGCAAATCGAATGGGTTCATGGTTTTCGCCGCCGGTATGAACGGCTCTCGTCATCTTTGTGGTTGCTGCCTGCTTTGACGAGAACTGCGGTGCCGAGCTGGAGGGCCTGCCTATAGTAGGGTAATGCAAATTGCCAAGGCGATCTGGGAGTAGATCATAAGTAAATGTAGGCGCACCCCACAGGTGTGTTGTAATTGTGTATGAAGGCAGCAAGGAGGAGATGATACGCACGGCGGTGCGTTTTCGTAATAGGATACATCATGTCGTCGCTTTCCTGGCTAGAAACCATAAAGCCCGTCTCTCTCATGCTCGCCGAGAGATGATGCGAATGCCTGCTGATGTCTTGTGGACGCACCTGCAGCAGCAGGCCGCGTGAAGGAGGGGTTGAGGAAATGTGGCCCTCGCCGCTCTCGGGTCTCGGCTGGCCGGTGGTTCCAGGCTGATCGGATGTTTGCCAAGTTCCGTGTTGACAAGTGTACAGCTTGCGGCGTCTGAAATGCAGAGCCTCACGGACACCTCTGGCCAGTGACTCGCTGGGAGGCCGAGAGCTATGTAGAGGCAAAGCACAAGCACCATGGCAACTGCTGCGCTGTTTCATACTCCGGGCGATCCGAGAGAAGGTTCAACTCTGTGCTCGGAGGGCACCCCAGATCCCAGACCCCGTCCCTCCTCCCTTCCGCTGCGACGCCCTTCAGCCCCCACTCCCTCGTTCGGGCGATCAGGCGCGAGGCAAGGCACACCCAGCACTGGTACGTACCTTGCCTTCCTGCGTTGCTTCACCCCACCGCCCGTGCGCCCTCGCCCATATATAACCCAAGACATTTCCATCTCTCTTTCTCCCATTCTCCCATTCTCCATTCACATCGTCAAAACAGAATGGCCAGCTACAAGTCTTTCCTCAGCAACGAGCTTTTCTCCATCAAGGGCAAGGTGAGTCACCTATCGGCTGCGTCTTCATCCCCATCTTATCTGGGTCTGCAGGTCGCCATCGTCACTGGAGGCGGCACTGGTAGGAGCCCATCTTCTCTTCTATGACTCTCCTGACCAATTTCTAGGTATTGGCAAGGGTATTGCCGCCGCCTTGACCCTTAACGGAGCCAAGGTCTTCATCGTCGGCCGCCGATTCGAAGTTGTCCAGGCTACCGCAAAGGAGCTCAGCGACGCCGCTGCCGAAGCCCAGACTGGTGGCGAGTGTATCCCCATCGAAGGCGATGTTGCTACCAAGCAAGGTGTCACTGAAGTCTACGACAAGATCTCTGCCAAGACTGACAAGGTGGGGTTTCGTGTACTGCTCACCGAGTCCGGACGCTCAATGGAATGTAGCTCGATTACCTGGTCAACAATGCTGGGTTCTCTGCCAACTGGCGCAAGATGGCTTCTGATCTTGTACGCCTCCCTTTTTTTCCATTTTTGTAACATGGTGACCTTGGCATATAGAACGACCCCAAGGAGCTCGCCGAACAACTCTGGTCTATCGAGGAGTACGTTGTATTTGGGCGTTTCATGCACTACTGACGTGAGACAGCTGCGACTTTGCCAACATGACCGCCATCCACACTGCCGGACCTTACTTTATGGCCATCAAGTTCCTCCCCTTGTTCCAAAAGTCAGAGAACCCTGCCATCACCAACATCACCTCCCTCGCAGCTCACTTCCTCAACCGGTATGTTCCTCCAAACTCTTGCTTTGCCAGCAAAACTCATAAAGTCTGCAGAGCCGTTTGTGAATTCTCTTATGCCCAATCCAAAGCCGCCGAGACCCACTTGACCCGATTGATGGCGGCCGGTCTCCTGCCCTACAAAGTCCGAGTAAACGCCGTCTGTCCCGGACTCTACCGCTCGCAGCTCACCACCGGCTCCACCGACCCTGACGCTCCCTTCTGGCCTCCTCAAATCAACGCCATGAACAACGGTGGTATCCCCGCTGGACGGGAGGGCAAGTGGGAAGAGATTGCGGGTGCTGTTTTGATGCTTGCCTCGCCTGCTGGACAATACTTTAACCAAGCCGAGCGTGAGACCCATTCTTCCGACAATGCTTCTAGATCACTGGCTGACAATCGTTTGCGTGCAGTCGTCATCGATGGAGGATGGCGTATGGTAAGCCTTTCTGTTAGTGCCTCGAAAGGCAGAAGCTTATGCGCCATCTCAGTGCACTTCTGCTTTGGATGTCAAGTAAAGAATGAATGGCGAGGAGAAAGTGGTCTTGCTACTCTTGCTTGCCAAATATCACACATACACGAATGTCCAGATGTCGGTTTACTGCCAGGAATGTCACTAGAGAAAGAAGAAATGCATGGTCTTGTCTTTCGCTCTGTGAGCCTCTGCGACCTTGTATTATGACACCGACATCAACAAGCTGCATTCTACGCGCATTCCTACATTTCCCAGTGGTGATATATGGCTGTGCTCGTCTACAAGTACATAGCCACGCCTCGACTCCTGCAGTGGTCACTGACCCTACCAGAACCCAACATCCCGATAGGCGAAGCGGACATGACCGATCGGGTAATTGCCAGCCGATGACGGGCGGGTTTCGACAATTCAAAAGGGAGATGGATCGGATTCAGTTCTCGTTTCTCCTCGTCTATAACCCCCCTCATACACCATGTCAGCCCTCACCACCCTCCGGCCAGCTCTTCGCACTGTTAGACCCATCGCCTTGTCTGCGACGAGGGGCATGGTGTCCAGTGAGTCACCAAGCAGACGTGGCCATGCTGACCCACGTACAGAATTTGTAAAGTATGACTGGGAGGACCCTCTTGACCTCAAGTCCCTTCTGACCGAAGAGGAGATTGCTATTCAGTGAGTCGAGCCAGCATATGCCAGATGAAAGAGCTCATTCCGTAGTGAAACAGCAAAGGCGTATGCGCAGGAGAACCTCCTTCCTCGAGTCGTTGAAGCGTACCGTACTGCAAGTCTGTGTGCTTGTTCTCAGCTACTCTCTACTGATCCAGTAACACCTACAGGAAGAGTTTGATCCTAAGATTATGCGCGAGATGGGCGAATTGGGTCTCTTGGGTGCCACCATTCAAGGCTACGGCTGCGCAGGTGTTTCTAGTGTCTCTTACGGCCTCATTGCTCGCGAGGTCGAAAGGTGAGATTCGTACCAATACCCATGTCCTTCAGACTAAGCTGATATGCACAGGGTGGATTCGGGATATCGATCGGCGATGAGCGTCCAGTCTTCTCGTAAAAATGGATATATTACTCTCCAGATGGATACTGACGACCTGTCGCAGTGGTGATGCACCCTATCAACGAATTCGGCACGGAAGAACAAAAGGAAAAGTATATCCCCAAGCTCGCCACCGGAGAGTACATTGGTGCTTTCGGCCTGACCGAGCCCAACCATGGCTCCGACCCTTCGTCGATGGAGACGACCGCCACCAAGACGGCCGATGGCTGGGTCCTCAACGGGTCCAAGACCTGGATCTCCAATGCTCCAGTCGCCGATGTGTTTGTCGTGTGGGCTCGTGTAGTGGAAGACGGCGAGAAGGGCAAAGTTCGCGGCTTTCTTCTCGAAAAGGGCTCCAAAGGTCTTGAGGCGCCTAAGATTGCCAACAAGATTGCCCTCCGAGCGAGCATAACAGGCTCTATATTCATGGACGGGGTCAAGGTGGGAGACGATGCGCTATTGCCAAAGAGCGGTGGATTGGGATCACCCTTCTCGTGTTTGAACAATGCCCGGTATGGTATCAGCTGGGGTGTGATGGGAGCTTTGGAGGATGTCGTGGCGAGGACGAGGGATTATGCGCTCGAGCGGTACGTTTTCCCTTTTTCACTTGGACATGACTGATATACGTGAAAGAAACCAATTCAAACGCCCCCTGGCCTCTTTCCAGCTCATCCAAAAGAAGCTCGCCGACGCCTCAACAGCCACGACCCTCGGCCTCCTCGGTGCCCTCCAGCTTGGACGGCTCAAGGACAAGGGCACCTGGTCCCCCGATATGGTTTCAATGATGAAGAGAAACAATTGCGGAGAAGCGCTACATCATTCGAGGGTGCTGTTGGATGTGCTCGGGGGCAATGCCTGCAGTGACGAATACCATGTGGGGAGGCATGCAGCCAATTTGCAGGTGGCTAATACTTATGAGGGAACGCATGTGAGTTTGTCCATCGTTTATTTGAGAGCCGTACTGACCATATTGTCAGGATATCCATGGTATGCCGACCCAACGTGCCGAAGACTTCACTGACATCTTGCAGCACTCATCTTGGGCAAAGCCATGACGGGTCTACAAGCTTTCGCCAATTGATACTCTTATGCTTTCATGTTTTATTTCATACCCACTATGCAATGCAACAGACTTTTACCTGTACACCCCTCACACAAGCTTTGGCTGGTTGACTGTCTCCGCCCCCAGACTACTAGCCAGATCATAGATGCCCAAAAACACAGCTCCGCCCATAGAGATCGCCATTGTACGCGGTACCCATCCAGAGAAGAGCGCAGCGGGTCCTTCGTTCCGGAGTATCCCGAGCAGGCGTGGGGGGAAGGAAAGGACGGACGGGGAGGGGTACTGGGGGAGGGTGGTGCCCGGCGCGAGAGGTGCGGCGGGAGTGGACGCTGCTGCTGCCGTCTATTTGACAATATCAGCATTTACGCTATCGTCTGAAAGCTACACACCCTAGCTTCAAGCATGACTCTTGTCTTGACCACATCCAAAGGCGTTGTAGACGCTGCCGCGATACCACCAGCCAGCGAGCCACATGCAGCGGCTTCATACGACGTCGGCCGTCTTCCGCCAAGATAGTGTCGAGAAAGTCTGGATTTGAAGAACTCGTAGAGAGGAAATTGTATAGAGGTGAAAGGTATCTGTCTTGTGATTAGCCGAGTTTGGGATGGAAGGTTACTAGGACGTACCTCTCGGGTGAGGGTGATACCGAATCCTCTATAGAAACCTCGGATACCCTCCAGCTTCATGATGCTCATGGCAGAGTGTATACTGCTCTTTCCTACGCCGTACGCACTCGTCTGCGTCCGTGATTTGACGACTTCTGTAGGGACTCTTATCAGGCATGACACCTGGTGTATGCGTCAGCGATACTCGAGCGAGGAAAGGGGACTGTCGCGTACGTATTCTGACCCGGAAGCAGCGGCCATGTGTGTCAGAGACGAGTTGTTGGCAAAGAGCTCTATCTTTGGCAGCTGCTTCTTCAAGGCCTCGTAGGTCACAAAGAATGCAGACGCTGAGGTCGATGGTCAGTACAAGGTCGACCTTCAACCCAGAGCTGGCCAAGTTGACTCGCCTCCTGGCGCGCTTCCCAATCCTACACTGCCTATACCTCTATATACCCCCTTGAATCCTCCCGAGTTCCAGAAGCCAGCGGAGGATTGTATACGTGTCTTGACGGTGTCGAGGGGGAAGAACATAAAGTCGACGGACAGGCCTGAGATGGCGCCGGACTGGGGAGGGTGTCAGCTGGGGAGGAGGGGCAAGAGGGGAGATGTACCAGGAGAGCGCGCTCGAAGGTGGGGGGCGGCGGTGGGGCTTCTTCTGGCATGGTGCTGGTGAGGAGAGATGTAGAGATAGTAAGTGGTCAAGTAAGTGGTGGTAGTAGTAACGGCCAACCGACGCTGCTTATGTAACAGCGGGGTCAATACAAGGGCTTCTTGCCATACTATCTACTTTCCATCCTCTATTACTCTACATCCCATACCACGATGGGGGAGGAGCAGCCCGCGTGGTTCACCCTGCAGCACCAGCGCAACATCATCGAGCTCGACTTTGCCGGCACACTCACCGCCACCGCCTACCTCACCGTCCTCCCCAACAACCCCTCCCTCCAGGCCATCTACCTCCACGCAAGCCCCCGCCTCCAGATCAACAACGTCACCCTCTCCTCGCCCACCACCAGCGAGCCCCTCCTCCCCACCCCGGCCTCCTTCGCCCTCTCCAACCCCTTCCAGCCCCTGCCCGTCAGAGAACCACCCATAGATATCAAGTCGCATCCAGAAATAAAGCGCAAGACCTGGACAGCGCTGGGAGAGAGCGACGAGGGAGAGCTGGCCGTATCGGTATCTGGCGGATGGGTGAGACTAGTAGAGAGTCCGAGCAGAGAGGGCCAGGATCCGCATGTTGCATTCGCGCCGATTCAAGTGCAGATTGACTACCAGCTCGTCGTTGGGGGGGATGTGATCGAAGGGATTGTCTTTAAAAGGCCAGGAGATGGAGGGAATGACTCGGTAGGTAAAAGAGTCTCGATGAAGAGGTATGCTGACTCTTGCCAGCAAATACCACACATGTTCCTCTCGCCCACCACCTACAACTCGGCACGAGTCTGGACGCCTTGTGTCGACAGTCTTTTCGAACGGTGTATGTGGGAGCTAGAGTTTATCGTTCCAAGATACCTCGAAGGAGGAGAGCCCGCAGATGGAGAAGAGGGGTTCCCTGTTATGGTAGTCAGCAGTGGTGAACTCATGGAACAGGTAAGCCGGTGGACAAACATGGTCAGAACTCACGCGATTGCAGATCACCCACCCCCATGATCCCAACAAGGTCATATTCTACTACTTTCAATCCACCCCTACCTCGGTGCAGCACATCTCTTTCGCCGCCGGGCCGTTCGAGATGCACTGCATCGACGACACGGCCCAGAAACCACTCATAGGTTTCTGCCTTCCAGGCGAGCTTGACCTGCTTCGAAATACAACTGCATTCCTCCCTGCTGTAATGGAATATGGGGTCAAGCGGGGCACGTCGTATCCCTTCAGCGACTTTAAAATCGTCTTTGTCAACGGCCCCCGAGTCGAATGCTTGACAGCAGCTACACTCGCTATTGCCTCTTCCGACCTTCTGCACCCCTCTACGGTGATCGAACAATCCATCAAAGTCCGACAGACCCTTGCCCTACCTATCATTCAGCAATGGGTCGGCATCTTTATCATTCAGCGTGCCTACTCGGATACCTGGGTAGTGAACGGTATTGCCCATTGGATGCTCGCCGAGTTTATCCAAACGCTTCTCGGAAATAACGAGTACCGGTTCCGGTTGAAAAAGGACATCGAGCGATGCGTGTATCAGGATCAAGGTCAACAATGGCCACTGTGTGTTCCGGGACAGGTGGATCCGCCTGACTCGTCGACGACAGCCTTTATCGACCTGAAAGCACCGCTAGTCCTACACATACTGCACCGACACATGCTTGCTGTGGGGACAGCGGGAGGACTCCCACCGGTCTTGACCAGGACATTCGTCACAGCATTGGGTGATACTCTACCTGAAAACAAGCTATCGACTGCCTTTTTCTTGCGGCTATGCCGCAAAATCTCCGGGCATGACCTGCAAGCTTTCCAGGAGCAGTGGATCTATGGGTCTGGTTGTCCTCGACTGTCTATCAGGACAAACTTTATCAAGAAAAAGTTTACAGTCGAGTTTATGGTTTCTGAAACGGCTCCCGCTTGGGAAACCATCCACGGCTTGAGTGAAAAGCAGAAAAAGGTGGCAATATGGCGCCGACCGACAAAGTTCTTTGAAGGCCCATTAACGATTCGTATTCACGAAGCCGATGGTGCCCCATTCGAACATCTGATCGATATCAAGACACCAAACAAGACGTATCCTCTACCGTTCAACACGAAATACAAGCGTACCCGTCGCTCTGGTCATATTGCTGCCCGATTCAACCGCACTCAGGATGCTGCTGCCGACGACTCGGCCGGGAATGACAATGAGGAAGAAGCAGGCCTTCAAGCTGTCGACCGCGGTGGTGTTTTCGTCCACCCGCCTTGGGATGACGAAGAAGAACGGCGGCGGTGGAAAGTCGCAGAATGGGGCGAGGGCGAGGCGAATGCGATGCTGGGTGAAGGAGGAGGGTACGAGTGGATCAGAGTGGATCCGGATTGCGAATGGCTGGCCGTATTCGAGTTTGCAGAGAAGCCTTGGTGCTGGATCAGTCAGCTGCAAGGGGATAAGGACGTGATTGCGCAGCTGGAGGCGATCAACAACATGCGAATGTATCCCTCACCGGTAATCGCGAGTGAGCTGGCCAAAACGGTCTTGGTCAAGAACTACTTTTACCGAGTGAGGATGGAGGCCGCAAGAGCTTTAGCAATGGTACGTCACTATCTCCTTTGGCAAGATGTCCCGCTTATGAGCATACAGTACAATACATCCGAGTGCGACTACGTCGGTTACTTTTACATAATGAAGATTTTCCAATCCTTCTACTGCCACCCAACCACGGGCACAGAAACAGAAGCTCCCGAAATTCAATGCCGGCCTCTGCCAAACAACTTTTCACACATTCCAGACTACTTTGTAAAGAAGGTGAGCGTCTGTTCCGCCTTTTGTAGACACATCTGACCATTTGTGCAGAGTCTGATAGCGGCAATGTCTGATTTGAGAGATCCGGCTTCACGGACGGTCTGGAGACATGTTCGCACCACCTTGCTCGGTCTTTTGCGATCCAATGACAATACATCCAACCAAGTATGTCCTCATATCTTCTGTCTGTGTGTCAGCGCTAATGTCAAACAGTATTCAGATTCCTACTATCTGGCTTCTATAATCACAGCTATATCTAATTCCTTTACAACCAGCTCTGTCGGTATAGGCCTCTTGTCCGAACTGGATCTCGAAGCAGAGCAGATTCTGTTGAAAGAAGCGGACGACGTGCTCGATAGGGCGATCACGGTGGACAGGCTGGTGCCCAGTTTCCATAATGTGGTCACAAAGGCGGTGTTGCAGAGCCAGATCAAGTCAATACTGGCGGGTCAGAGGACAAATGATGCCAGAGAATTGTTGAGTTATACTCGGTACGTGGTAGTGTATACAGAAGAGGACAGAACTGACATAGAGTAGAGAAGGCAATTTCGAACCGATCAGGATGGTGGCGTTTGATGGCCTCCTTTTGTGCAAACCTCCAGGGCGAAGTGTCAACGTTGACAGGTACCTTCTCGACGTCATTTCCTTCGACTCATCTCTCAACATCAGACGGCATGTTGCGCGTTCTTTGTCTGAAGCGGTGCTTGCCTCCCTAGCTATGGGTGAGATTACCGGGACACTATCGTTACCCGGGATTGTAGACGTCACGGACGAGACGGAACAGATGCGTGAACAGAGGGCAGAGGGACAGAACAACGCCATTGTCAAGGCGCTCAGGAAGGATTACGGGAGCAAGCCAGAAGTGAAGCAGCTTATACAGGCGCAGTTGATGTGAGCAGCTGTTATTGTTGTGAGACGAGTGCTGATCCATCCTACAGTAACGGATTCACGTCCCCTGACCCGGAAGTGCGGTTCGCTCTACTAAAAGTTGCAGAGATCATTGCATCTTCAACTGCCGAGCCTTTGCCGGGAAGCTTGATTAGCATCTCAACACCGACGACCAGTACACCTGTTGCACCGCTGCCTCCCAAAATCAGAATCAGCATGCCCAGCGCCGAGATCATGCCTGATTCGAATGGTTATGGTTTCCCGACCGTCGACAATCCCGTAATCACACCAAAAAGCAGCAAGGTTGTGCTCAACCCCACGGCTACTACTACAGCTGCGCCGAAAAGTGGAAAGAAGAAGAGGGATGGACCAAAGTCGCAAAGCAAGGGGCTGTCTGATAACGACCTGAAAGCAATCACCATTGCTCTCACGAAATTGGTGTCTGACAAAAGGAGTTTTTTCTTCCGACAACCTGTCGATCCTGTTCGAGACATGGCCCCCGAGTGAGTGCTCGCCTTCACACATGCGGTTTTGTCTGACGAATGGCAAGCTACGCGACGGTTATCAAGCATCCTATGGACTTGTCGACTATTCGTGCCAAACTAGACAACGGCATGTATTCTAGCAGACAAGAGTTTGTTGAGGATGTTCGTCTGATGATTGACAATTGTATGGCATATAACGTGTCCCCCCAAAGTGTCGTCCGGAAAGCTGGGGAACAATTTGAACGTTTCTTCAACAGTCGTAAGTGTGATCGACTGTATTCCCTGTCCCGGCTGACGGTCGTCACAGTGTGGGCCAAGACGGAGAATACTTTGTCCGCTCAGCGAGCTCCTGTTGCTCCTGCACCGATGGCCCCTCCGCCCACTATGGCCGAGGCACCCTTCAAACTCAAAGTCAAATCGGCCAAGAGCGTCCACATCGACTCTAACCCCGTCATGCCTCCGCCTCCCCTGCCGCCTACCAAACGCGTCTCTATATCTGCTCCCATTACGCCTGTTCAGGCAGGCCCGTCAACGGCGGACGAGAAGAAGGAGAAGAAGAAGCGAAAGGAGCCCGTCAAGGCTGCAAGGAACGATCTGGACGAGCTGTTGGGCGCAGAAGTGGATGCGATCACCTTTAGCCGAGTGTCCCCTGATGATCCCGTCGCACAGCTGCTCGATGAGCCCAAGCCCCCGAGCAAAAAGATCAAATTGCCCAGGTCTGCGCCAAAGAGACTTGACAGCTCGTCTGCAGACCCCAAGCCTTCGAGCGAGGGGAAGCCAAAGAAGCCAAAGATCAAGCTTGGCGCCTCTGCAGAGGGCTCATCGTCCCCCGCGCCCGAATTCCGAGCGCCTCCGCCGCCGCCTCCTGAGGTGCCTATGTCTATACCGTCCATGTCGGCGCCTATGGAGCCAGTACCAGTGGGTCTTGTTGTGAGACCGCCTCCGCCTCAGCCGCCTGCCACGCTGCCGCCCACAAAGTCCAATACCATGCCCTTCAAGGCGAAGAGAGCCAAGAATTTGTGGAACATGCTGCAAAAGGACCCGTCTGCCATTCTGGTAAGTCCGGGTGCGCATATACTCGCAAAGTGCTGACTTTGTTGAACAGTTTCTTCGACCCGTTGACCCTATCATGGATGGTTGTCCTACGTGAGAATTTGTGACTATGCAATGACACCAGACACTGACCTGGCCGTAGATATCTTGATGAGATCAAGGAACCCATGGACTTTGGAACGATAGGCAAAAAGATAGAGCAGAAAAAGTACAAAACGATGGGCTCGTTCGCGCGTGAGATTGAGCTCGTCTTTGCCAAGTGGGTGGTCAAACAAGCACCTCAACACCACAACTAACATTCAATGTAGCTGTCGTCAATTTAATCCTCCCGGAGAGATCACCGCGCTAGCCGACGCAGTAGAGGCAGTCTACTGGAAAGAGTGGCCTAAGGCAGTATCGCCCAAGATGAACGGGGACGAGAAGAAATCGATCACCTCGTTAATGAACCAAGCTCTGAAGAACCCTTTGAGCGAATGGTTCCGATTTGCAGGTACGTCTTGTGGCCTGCAGGCTTTCGGAAGTGCTAACAATCCTCAAAGTCGACCCTGTCGCTCTCGGTATTCCGCACTACTTTGACATGTAAGCAGCCTTCATCTGGTTTCAATCAACGCTGACATACCCCGCAGCATCCCTCGCGAAGACGCTCGAGATCTGGGCCTCATCAAATCTAAACTGGACAAGGGTCAGTATCAGACGGTAAAGCAAGTGGATGAAGACGTAGAGTTGATGGTGGAGAATGCGAGGGTGTTCAACGGCGAAGGGCCGGTGGTAGATGCGGCGAACGCTTTGGGGAAATGGTGGCAGACGCAAAGATCGAAACTGGAGGTGTAACACGTAGTCTCCGTCCCGAATTGCAGGAGGCAGCATCTGAGTGTATGCATTACTCGTTATGCTAGTGCTAGAAGTGCCCTCGACACTTTGTAAATATCTCCGCAAGGATTAATAACGATCCGCGCGGTTTGTTGTTGCATTCTGTCCTTTTCTCTCTTGGATGTCTCTCTGCCACCCTTTTAATATTCCTCGAGCCATGGCGCCCCCCTCCCCTGCCCCCCGGAACAAACTCGTCATCCGCCGGCTCCCCCCGACCCTCCCTGAAGACATCTTTTGGAACGCAGTCTCCACCTGGATCACCGATAAATCCTGTCTCTGCAAGTCCTATGTTGCCGGCAAAGCGCCCAATGGCAACCTCGACTCCCACCCCGTCCACTCGCGGGCCTATGTGCTCATGTCAGACCCGGAGGCGCTTGTAAACTTCCATCGAGGCTTTGACGGACATGTGTTCAGGTCCAAGACCGGTGAGCTGGATATGTGTCGCCGCTTGGCAGGCGTGCTGACGTGGAACAGGCGCGGAGTTCCAGGCTGTCGTAGAGTACGCACCTTATCAAAAGACGGTGCACAAGGCGAGGGTGAAGCCTGACAATAGGCAGGGAACGATCGATGAAGGTGATCAGCTCGTCTATGAACTCTGCGATCATTGCTAAACCCTGTCGCAGATCCCGACTTCCTTTCTTTCCTCAAGTTTCTTGATACGCCTGCTCCCGAGTCGGCTCAACATACTTTTGGTTAGTAGATATAAGCTGTCTAAGATACATTCTAACACTATCACAGTTCCTGCTGCCCCGCAACCCAGTACAACCCCTCTTCTCGACCATCTCCGCTCCCAAAAGTCGGCCAAATCAAAGGGCAAGGGCAAAGCGACCCCGGCTCCATCGCAAGCCCCCTCACAATCTGCTACCCCAGTGCCTACTGTTTCTGCGCCTCTGAAAGGCAAGGCGGCCGCTCTGGCATCTATCAAAGATGCTTCTCAAAGACGTCATCTTTTGGCCCAAGGGACACCGTCGCAGGTCATGGTGGCAGGAAAGGGACGGGAGGTGTCAATTGCGCCGTCTACAAGCACCTCCCCTGCTCCGGGATCTTCTGCCGCGGGCGGAGGTGCAAAGAAAGATGGGAAGGGCAAGGCGAAGGAGAAGGGCGACAAGGGGGGCGAGGGGGCAAAAGAAACAGGGGAAAAGGGGAAGAAGGGTAGGAGTAGGAACCGGAGCAAGAAAGACAAGAAGGAAAAGGGTGATGGTGCCGCCACACCCACTGACCGCCAAACGCCAAATCTTCAACCCAAATCCTTCCCTCCCCTCCCTCAGTCCACACCGAAAGCTCCGACTCCAGCGCCTGCTCCTCCTGCCGCAGCTGTCCCGGCTGCTCCGGCCCAGACTGTTCCGCCCTCTTCTAATCAACGTGCTCTGGCTCCTCGTGTTGCCCAACCTCCTCGTCCGCCTTTTGCACCGCAGGAACCCGCATTCACCGCCCGGCCGCCACCCCAAAGCCCCATTCGTCCACCTCCTATGCGAGGCGGGCATGTGAGACCTATGGGCCAGCCTGCACGACCACACATTCCAGCTATGAACCAGGGTATGCCTCTGAATCATTCTGTCCGACCTGTTTCTCCCCGTGGCGCTCCACCGCACATGGGATTGCATGCGAATTCTCCGTCCATGTTTAACGGTGGCGCTCGGCCAGCCCCTGGTCCTTCAGGTCAGGGTATGGGGCCGAGTAGTATGGCCCCTGGTGGAAGTGGAAATGGCAGCAGAAGGGGGAATAGGCCGCCGCCCAAGCAGGCTGCGCAGGTGACGATCCTGGCTCGCGATGCAGCAGCCGGCGCGGGGTCGGACACGGGTGCATCGTCTGCGAGGATAGATATGTAGGTGTATGCATAGACATGGCGACAAGTGCAAGTGGCGGACGGAAGCGCCGGGCCGCGGGACTGGCGGGCCGGCCGGCATCGTTCCGCTCGCATATAAGACGCCTCCCCTCGCACAATTGCATTCCTCTTCCCACCCATCTCTTCTCCACCATGCCTGTCCCAGCAACAAACGGAACTGCTCACCACAAGCGCGTCTTCCAGCCTGGCGTATGGGCACCCATCCCCTCCTTCTTTGACGCAAACGAAGACCTCGGTATGCTCTCCTCCTCTGCCTGTGGGTCGTTGCCGATTGACAACACCAGACATCTCCACCTTCCAGAAGCATGTTGTAGACCTGGCAAAAGTCGGCATGCAGCCCGTCGTCTGCGGGTCCATGGGCGAAGCGTTCCATCTCACAGACGACGAGCGCGTGACCTTGTTCAAGGCTGCTAGGGAAGCCTTGGACGAGGCGGGACTGGTAGACACTGTCGTTATCGCAGGGACGTGAGTACGCAATCTCATGTTGGTGCGCGAAACTGACATCAGTCGTAGCGGCGCCAACTCGACTCGTGCCACCATTGCTCTCTCCAAGCAAGCCGCTTCCGCGGGCGCCGACATTGTCATAGTAATCCCACCAGGTTACTTTTCCGGCGCCCTCTCTCCCCTCGCGCTCAAGACATTCTTTGCCGAAGTCTCTTCCGCCTCACCCATTCCTGTTCTGCTTTACAACTACCCCTCTGCCGCGGGCGGGATCGACCTGTCTTCAGACTTGGTCGAGGAGATTGCGAAAGCGAGCCCGAACGTTTGTGGGATCAAGTTGACTTGTGGGGCAGTCGGCAAGTTGACGAGGATAACTGCTGCCACTACCACCTCCAACTTTAAGGACCAATACCCGAGGAAGGATGAGCAAGTGAACCCTGGGTTCCTCACTCTTGGCGGGTTTGCAGACTTTCTTGCGCCTGCTGTTCTCGGCGGCAGAGGGCATGGTGCCATCATGGGGCTGGGCAACATCTATCCTCGCTCCATTGCCAAGCTCTTCCAGCTCTCCCTATCCATCGCGACTTCTCCTAGCCCCTCTGCTGCCTATCTGAAGTCTGTCCTCGCGCTGCAAGACCTCGTCTCTGGTGCCGATGCGTCTTTCGCCAAAGCTGGCATTGCCGGCACAAAGTGGTATCTGCAGAAACACAAAGGGTTTCCCAGTGCGAGACTCAGGCATCCTCTGCTCGAGTTCACCGAAGAGCAAGGGGCATTGTTGGAAAAGGACGAGGCAGTGGTGCGGTTGATGCAGGTAGAGAAGAAGCTTGCGTTTGAATAGTAGCACGTATCTGTCTGAATGCAAGATCCTGTTTTGTTGAGTCACCCATGATACATCGCAAACCGACCCTAGCGTTCCAGTACTCAAAACCACGCACGAACTAGAACGGAAGGAGAGAAGAGGAAAGTCGTAGAAACTACACAGACTGATTGGTACAAATGGGAAACTCTTGATTTTAACTTTGATCAAATGAAAACTACGAGCAGAAAAGAACTAATTCATTTGGGCTTTTCGAAGACTTTTGATTTAAACTTTTGGGAATTTGTTTACAGAGAAAGGAGAAAGCGAAAGGAAGGAAGGGGATGGAAGCGCTTAGTAGCCGCCACCGTAACCGCCCTGGGCACCTAAGGAGATTGTCAGCATGTTTAATGACAACCGGAAACCAGATCGTATGCACCGCCGTAGCTGCCACCGTAGGAAGCACCCTGGTCCTGACCGCCGTAGCCTATGAGGCCAAGGAGGCAAAGGATAATCGGAAGACGAGTCGAGAAGATGCGATTCAATGAACGGAGTGGGGATGCCGGATGGGGAGACACATAAGAGAGGCGAAACAAACAACCATCAGAACCGATTCCAATCAGATATGTAAACACGAGTGAACGCGTGCCGGGACCCCAGACGAGAAACCACAGCGAACCGCGTCAAGAAGGAATGAAAGACTTACCGCCCTGCTGCTCACCACCGTAGCCGCCGGACTGGTAGCCACCCTGCTGGGCACCACCGTAGCCGCCTTGGCCACCACCGTAGCCACCCTGGCCACCGTCTGATCGCAAAAGTCAGTAGAAACTCGTAAAGATACACGACAGAGAACGCACAGCCGCCGGACTGGTAACCACCCTGCTGGGCACCACCGTAGCCGCCTTGGCCACCACCGTAGCCACCCTGGCCACCGCCGTAGCCGCCCTGGCCACCGCCGTAACCGCCACCGTCTGGTTTGCGAGTCAGAACCTGAAACACGGAAGGAAAAAAGAGTCAAATACGCACAGCCAGAGTTGTAGCCACCACCGTAGCCACCACCACCACCACCACCGGCACCTCGAGAGTTGGCGAGGTTGACTCGGACACGTCGGCCGTCGAGCTCCTGCTCGTTCATGGCAGCGATAGCAGCCTCAGCCTCCTGGGGGGTACCGTAGGTCTAGAGAATGGATCAGACTTGGCAGATGACGTAGAGACAAGTGCACGAACAACGAAACCGAAACCTCGGGATCGACCGGTCTCACGGTCCTTCATGACGATGCACTGCGAAAGTTCAGAACGGATCTCTCGGAAAGCATGGAATCAACAAACGTCGGTGACGGTACCGTAGGCGCCGAAGGTCTACTTCCGACAACAGTGCATTGGCAAAGTGTTTTGAGACAGGCATGATGCAGCAATGACAGCGGAGCCAATGAGCCATATGGAGAGCGAGACGTGTGCGTACGACGAACATGAAGCGAGCCAGGTATAGAGTGAAACGAGATGACTAAATGAGCACAGAACAAGACACGACGAGAGACGGAAGCGAACCTGGTGGAGGATATCATCGGTGGTGTTCCAAGAGAGGTTGCCTAGAAGCCCGAGTCAGGAAACCGGTCGGACCTGTCATCATGATGAGACGAGGATATGCATCGTTCGAGGGACAAGTGCGCGGCGAGTATGCTACTTCTCCTCCGCTGTACCACGATCGGGAGGCAGAGAAGGTATGGAATATCCTCGAACGATGCACTGGGCGAGTGGTTGCGGGGGAGGGGTGCTGTGGGTGTACGCACCGACGTAGACTTTGGATCCGGACATTGTTGCTGTTGAGGATGAAGAAGAGATGAGGAAGAGAAATGATTGCATTGTGGGGCTATATATTCGCAGCGATCTCCGCTTGGACCCTGAGTAAATATTCTTCTTAACGTTCACCAGGCATAACGCCGCAGAGTGTGGCACTCCTCATCTACGTCAGTCTCCATGCCGCACAAGGCCACCAGCGACAGGGGCCAGCCCCCCCCCGGCAGCATGCTCGAGCTCAGGGCTCTGGCTGCAGAGCATGTCGACAAGTTTGCCAAGGAAGGGAGGCAGGCCGTCAAGGGGCAGTCCCGGACAGCGCAGCTCCAGAAGGCAAGTCGGGCGTGCGCTATGCATCAATGGTACTGACTATGCATCCAGGTCAAGGACCCGTTTTTCAAGCAATCCCCCGGGCTGGTCAAGAGACTTGCTGCAGAGGCGCGGAATGACGCCAAGCGGCGGCGATTCGCAGACGAGGACGGTCCGGACGAAGAGCAGCGGCGTGAGATCCTCAAGGCCAAGGCCAGAAAGTATGAACAGATCCAAAGAGGTGATTACTCTGGCTTGAGCAAGAAGGAAATTGAAGAGGCAGTCATTGATGTGAGTATGTTGGGGCGGACGTACAGGGCGGCGACTGACGGATGGGCAGTTTGAAAGAAAGCTTGAAGACGACTCGGACTATTCTTCAGACGAAGACGAATCTGCTCGGCCAACTCGTGCTCACTGGTCCGATGAAGTAAGTGCAGCATCAATTATATATGCATGCTGACCATGACTCTAGGGTGACTCTGACGGTGACGACCTCGCACAAGTTGAATATCTCGACGAGCTTGGACGGACCAGGGTTGGAACTCGCAGGGAAGCAAAGGAGGCTGAGCGACAAAGCCGCAAGGAGCGCGGTGGCCCGAAAGAGCTGATAGAAAGCGGAGCGGAAGGGTCGGCTTATGCTCAAGTCCAGTGAGTTCCAAGCACCACCAGTGGGATGCCGCTAACAAGGCAACAGACAATCCGAGGTGATCCGTAAGCCGCGATGTCTAGGATTTGAGCGACCAGTGCTGACGCCTCTCTGTCAGACGGTGAACAGCACGTGTTCCCTGTCTACCAGCCAGATCCAGAAGCTATCAAAGCAAAGTATCGGCAAGCCGAGGAAGAAGCTCGTGCTCATCATTACGATTCAAACAAAGAAGGTCTGTTGGGTGCTTTACCCTCTCGCGCTCCCGCTCATGTTGGTGTAGTAAGAGTGAAAGGTGCCGGTGCATATCAATTCTCTCTCGACGAAGACCTGCGCGCCCAACAACAAGCTGCCTTGAAGGCCTCTCGTCAAGAAACCGAGCAGGCTCGAGCCAAAGCATCTCAGAGAGGCGGCTTGACTGCAGCGCAGGAAGCGAGAAAGAGAAAGATGGATGAAAGAAAGGCAATGATTAATGCCAAGAGGGCGAAATTGCTGGGCGGAGAGGAAGAGGTGGAACGGCTTCGAAAGGAGAAGAAGGCCAAGGAAGCGGACGAATTCTTGAAGGGTCTGGAAATGGAATTGAAGTGATCATTTGTTGTATTCATATATCTAATAATCCGAGTGTATAAACAACCTTGACTGCATATGTAGATGAGTACACTGTGTATAGCAGGGGCAAATGAATAGGACGGCTTAGAGGACAAGTCAGCGGTATGAAAGTTGCAGTCAGACACGCACTCACGCACCAGGTTGGCAAACAACGACTGCTGCATTTGCAGGATCGACACCATACTCTTACAATGATCCTCTCGCAAATTATCACCAAGTGCAATGGCCCGCCCGTATGATCAAGGTCCATCGAACTTGCAAGTAGAAAAGGAAAGACGAGGTTGTGAAGAACTGCAGCGGAGCCGCGTGCTGTTCGGGAAGGCCACGTCTCGTCTACCGGCGATTGGCAGAGTACAGAAACCGTATACACAGGACGAGAGTCGAAAGAAACATGATTAGGTGGACATGAAACGCATTCTTGTGGCTGACTCCAGATGAGTCACTTGGCAGCTCGCTTGTGTATCCAGCGCATTCCAGGAGCCTAGCCCCTTCTCAGCCTCACGCTCCCCATCACATCTCCCCGCACACCACACAAGGCGTCACAGACGCGTCTCCTTTGGCAAAGATCTTGACCGACTGGAGCCGGTCGAGACGGTCAGGATCTGACCCGCAGCTGCGCTTGGCAGCATCCAAGATCTCGTCTTTATTGCCCGTGACGTTGGCAAACACGAATTGTTTGGGAGACTCGTATTGAGGGGTGCTATGAACAGGATATGGTCAGCCCCCGTGCCACACAAAGAACTTGGTTGACATACCTGCCCCGAGAGCGCGCAATCTCTGTAGGGAGATAGCTGTTGAAGAACGCGAGCATCTTGGTCTTCTGCAAGTCTATCCTGTTCTCATTCGCCTTCTCACCGGGCTTGACAAACATCTTGATCTCCTTTGCCTCTATGCCTCTCTCTGAGAGTCGCGAAGTGTCGCCAGGGGGTGTAATGAAGTAGCTCGGGTCTCCATTGTGTACGGTACAAGTGTCGCCACTGGACATGAAGTTTGGAAGCTCGTGTCGAATGATACCACTGGAGTGGAAGAGTGCGGTGTCTTCTTTGTTGGGCATGTGTAGGCAGTAATGCTTTTTGTTGGCCCGCCAAGCTTTGTAGAGCGCACAGTGCGGGGCCGCCACAAAGACCTGCTGCTCGGAGAGCTGCCACAGGGCCGAGGGTCCGAAAGCAATCTTTTCAGTGTTGGGAAACAGCCGAAGGAGTTCTCTTTCTTGCTTCTCCTCCTGGACGTGCTCGACGTAGGTGTTGAGATCAAAGACCTCCAGCCACCGCACAGCCTGTCGCATGTGCACAATGGCTTCGACTTCTTGGGCCTTGAGCGTCTTGACATACCCGAAGAGGTGCAGTTTCGACATGAACGAGTCGCCAGAGTGAAAAACTGCCGGCTTGTCGCACCTATCTGGACGACAAGCGACCGGCCACCTTTGGATTGACCAATCTTCCTTGACGGGCTCGTGGGAGAGAAACTCTCGAAAGAAGGGCGAAGCATTGTGACGGGTGAGTTCGATGCACTCGTACAAGCCGCGAACGTGTTGAGAGTAGGTGTCGCGAGACACGCGGATGAAGCTAGCAAGCTCGGGCTTGGAGCAGCAGAAGGGAATGGAATGGAAGATAAGGGCCTGGATCTCCGGAGGCAAGATGGAAAGCGAGGTGGTTGATGTGGGTGTTGCGGGCATGGCGATGGAGAGGGCTGCTTGCGGCGGGGGGTGCCGGGAGAGAGGAAGAGGAGAAGAATAGAAACGGGTGGCCATGGCCGACCACTTAGGCACGGCCACAATAGACAACAACACCTTCTTATCTGTTCCTGGCCGCGTACCACCGTGCCGCGCTCTTCAGGTAAAGTAGGTCAGAACTCAGAAGTAGCATCTCCCGGGTCCATGGTATACCCCAAGCTCGAAACAGCAAAGACGATCCCCACCCTCATTTCTTTTTACGACTACTCTAGCATGTCTCCGGGCCTGGTGTCAGTTACTAGCTTGAACACTGTGTGAGCGTCGAACCCCCAACTGCCATTTGCCAGATGTATATGCTCTAGCTGATGAGCAAGAACTTAGAACAGGCACACAAATGCATCAACGTCTAACGACACGCCAACTTCGTCCAAAGACTCTGGCATTCTTATGCATACAAGCTCAGTTCCTTAATGTATGGTAGCCTCTTGGATAATCCGCATGTCCCATTTTCCTCTGGCTGTTGACCGGGAGCTGCGGTGGCAAGCATCCGAGGGCATATGAGGGGCGGCTTCAGTCTTCCCTGGCCCGGGTATCGCAACGGCCTCCTGCACCTTAGAAGCATCTGGGGCTGACTGTTAAGCCAGAGCAAGATCACAACGCCTTGCCAACAGGTCATCGAGATTGAGATTCGTGTGGTAGGTATGACTACATTGCAGTAGAAGGCATTGCAACAGAATCAACTGAGGTGTTACGGAATAGAACAGGCTCTCAATTGAACAACTAGGTGGCCGGTGCTGCGCCAGTCGAGCTCGTACAGTCGCCAGACATGATCGTCGTAATTTGGGTCGCTGATTGGGTAGAACATCGGCAATGTTGAAAATGACTAGGACATGATATATCCGTCTAAGTGTATATTATTGTATATTTATATTATACGTATGCAAGGAGTATACCAAGGGGAACAATAATCAGAAATAGAATGGTCGACGCGGGAATCCCTCCGCGCGCTTCTGTCGGTGTTAAGGCATTTTTCATTTGCATCTAGGCGGCGATGTCCGCTCCCTGCACCTCTGCGATTTGATGCTTTTTGTTGCAATCTCTCTGCACGTACACTAACCCATCCCATACAGCAAACGTAAGCACCCCCATCCATCTGCCGCCCTAGCTGACGCCCCCCAGATGCGTGTCGACAGGTGTGACTTCTCCGGGTACAAGGTCTACCCCTCCAGGGGAAAGGTCTACGTCCGTGGCGACTCCAAGACTTTCCGATTCCTCAACTCCAAGAACGAGTCTCTTTTCCTCCAAAGGAAGAACCCCAGAAAGATCGCTTGGACTCAGGTCTACCGACGGTGCGTCAAGGACAGAACAAGGCAGGGGAAACGGGAATGCTGATTGGGGTCGCAGAATGCACAAGAAGGGTATCACTGAGGAGGTCGCCAAGAAGAGGTCCAGGAAGAACGTGAAGGTCCAGGTGGGTTTAGATTCAGATTCATGGGGCGACGGTGGAGGGTGGAGATGAAGGAGGGTGAAAGGAAGAGCCGGGCACGGGGAGCGGTGGATGCGAGCGGGCACACTGGAGGATCAAACCACCTCAAAAACATCGCTGACCTTTCTCAGCGTGGAATCGTTGGTGCCGACCTCGCCTCTATCCTCGCCAAGCGAACTGCCAAGCCCGAGGTCCGAGCCGCTGCCCGACAAGCCGCCATCACCAAGGCCAAGACTGAGAAGCGAGACAAGGAGACCCGAAAGGCCGCCAACAAGCCTACCCAGTCCAACGCCCCCAAGGTCTCTAAGCAGGCTGCCAAGGGCGGTGCTGGCAAGGGTGGTCGTTAAAAAGCTACTTTGGTAGTAGGGTGACTTTTAGGCGTTATTTTTATGCACGCTTGGGACGATACCAGCTGGGATCAGCATTGCAGACAATGGCAAAAGGGATGGCCATCATGGGAAAAGGATGTTAGTGTAGGGTTGCAGAGGCAAGGGCTGGGGGAGCCTCGGAGAACGTGAACGCAGACGGATGGCAGAAGACACTTTTCAAAGAGCTCCATCACTGACGTCGAATTTGGCATCCTTACCGACTGTAACACGTCCAACACACGGTAGCTGACACGACTGATGGCGTTTGCGCCTGTTTCACCATGAGGCGCTCATTCTTGGGTCAATATTGAAGCTGGCTCCTCGACTCACACTTCCAGCTACTTGTATTTACTCTGCCTCAAATCCGTCCCAACAGCCTCTTCTACAACGTCAGGGGCCGAATGGGTGTCAAAAAGTGTCAGAGGCCAGCCGTCAATCTGGCACATCAACACTGATGATTCTTTGTGTCTGGCATCCAAGGCCTGGGCTCTGTTTCAAGTATATTTCTGCGATATGGCAATGCAAATTCACGCGGATTGGGACTGTTGCTGGAGCGGTCCCATGAGATCTCTTTTGTTCTGGACCAAAGCGGCTTCCCTCTATCCCGTCGCATATGTACACCCGTGTAAGAATGCAACTATCGATACCGTGGTACGTACCCTGATTCTGCATCTCCACCACGGCCCTACGTAAAGTATGATGTCTCGATGGAAGTGTATATACTCTGGTGATCGATTCTTCGCATGAGAGTCCATGAACTTCTACCATACATGAAAGTCAAATAACAAATACGTCTCTACCTATCTCCCATACCCGACCGCCCTCCTCTCCGCCTCCATCCTTCCCCCTTCCACGACCCCCACAGCCTCATCCACCCAAGGCATCTGGAACAGGTCACTCCTCCTCAAGTCCTCTTCCCTGACAGACCCGCCATTGGCCGTAGCCTGACCAATCTGGTACCCGAGAGAGAGATCGAGATCACGCGCTTGGGCAGCAAGGTAGGAATTGATGAAGGATTGAGGGTTGGCGCTGCTCTCTTGTCAGCAAGGCGTTACAGCAGGGCAGATCTAGCTTACGCAAAAGATTCCAAGAAATCGCGCTTCTCCTTGAGCTCTCGTACAAAGTATGCCAACTCGGCCACCTTGTCCTCCATTTTCATCACTTCTGCTCCCTCTGGTCCCTCGAAGCTGCTAACCATGGATGCCATCTTGGACTTGAGAGGGTCCTCCATCTCGAGCGGAATGTCGAAACACTTCTGATGAAAGTTGTAGTCTTTTGTAACACTACCCGACTATCGTCAGAGAATGTTCAGCGATCTACAGGACGATACGTACTCGATGGTATAGGGGATTACAACAGGGTCGGGGTGCGCGAGATACCTCGAAGCGAGTTCCGGTAATTGGTGGAATGCCACACTTTCTTGCCCTTGCGGGAAAATCTATTGTCGCGTGAGCAACGGTCTCCCCGAATGATGCACTCTCACCTTTTCCAGGCCGCCTACCGGGCGCACAATGGTCCCATCATCCTTGTCCTGCGCTCCTGTGACCTTGACAAGCTTCCAAACCGCGCTCAACACCTCTGCCCTCGTTGCTTCGTGGACAGCTATCAGCCCCTTCAAAGGTTCCAGCACCTTGAACCTCTCCGGGTAGTGTGAAACGTGCAGCGTGATTCTACAAGGCACGTTCTGGTCACCCCGACGGAGGATCTCGAACCCGTCTAGAGGAGGGCCCTGATGGGCAGTAGCATGCCATTCGACAATGTTTCCTTCCGGGTAGGTGGGCGCTTCGCGATTGTCGAACTCGATGATGGCGGATTTCAGGAAGGTTGTAAACTTGCGTTTTGTCCGGTCCAGTCTCACATTTCCAGACTGTCACCGCCGTCAGAGTTATTACACACACAGAAGAGAGTGTAGAGAACGCACATCCAGGAGCCGTCCCTCAATCTTCAGGATCCATCCTGCAATGCCATCCCCGTTGCTGACATCCACCTCCTTCTTCTTGGGTGCACTCGGATCTTCCATTGTAACATCTCCTTCCGCCTTCTCCGCTTTGTCGCCTTCGGCACGGCTAGCGGACGCTTCGCCGGTAGGTGCAAGTCCAGCAGCAGCCGCGTCGAGCTCCTTTTGCCAATCTTGGTCGTGCGCCGTGTTGGAGACAAACACGCGTAATGCTCTCTTGACCTGTTGAATTGCATCAGCTAGCTCTTTTGTTAAATCACGTAGATAAAGAAGGGCATACACGCGTAGGCTTTCCCAGGGCATCGTTGACCTCCGCCTTCTTCCTCATGAGCGTCCAATCCAGCTTTTGCTCTACCTTCATCAGCTCGAGGAACGCGGGAGAGTCGGGGACTAGAGCCGCAAGGACATGGGGAGGGGGCAGAGGGGGGCGGGTGTGTTTCCTGCAGAGAGGTTAGCCTGGGCATGAGAGAGATGTAGGAGAGTGACTTGCGTTCTTCTCGAGTCAGCTTCGGCCTCTGCGCGTCTTTTGAGCTCTGCCTGTTGGGCAGCCTGTACAGCGTTGGGCTGTTGTCCAGGGGTAGACGAGTATGCGGGGGCAGACATTGCGATGGTCAAGGATGTCAATTTGAAAGAGCGCAAGAGGGATGGACGACTGCAGTGAATCTCGAGTTGTTGATTAGTTGTAATTACGGTGTTATTAGTAGACAATTGGGACCAAAGTTTGAACATTGAGCTTCAACTAGGAATTTGTACGACTTGACCAACGAACACTGCAGCAATGGCCAAAGCATCCTCCTCGAAATCACACACCCAGAGGGCACCATCGATAGAAGACGACTATCTCCAATCAGACTCTGAAGAAGACGAGTTTGCCCAAGGCTACGCTCCCGGTATCGCTGAGCAGTACGACGACGACGAGGAGGACGATGATGAAGATGACATTGAAGACGATAGTGAAGAAGAAGAGGGGGGTGCGAGGTGGGAGCCTGATCAGTGGAACGAGGATCAGGATACTGCTTCAGAGAGCGATGGTGGAAGTGAAGAAGAGAGCGATGATGATAGTGCAGAGCTGGTGAGTACTACTTGTCATATGTGAACTGGTGCTTACGGTCTCCAGAAACAATTGCAGAATAGCAAGTCAACCTATTTCGAGTATTGGCAAAGACTAACTCTGTACAGACCTCAAATCACTTCCCCTGGCGACTCTAGCCAAAGCTCAAAAATCTCTGGGTCAGAAAGCATCGTCTTCGTCTTCTACACAATCGAAGGAAGAAAAGCTCGCCGCGGCCAAGGCCAAGCTAGCGCAACTTCAAAGGGGCAAGGGTAGAGGCGTATCTGTTACAGACAGACCAGCTGGGCGTGTGAACAGAGATGCGAGTGACAGTGATGATTCCGGACCGGAGAGCGCTGCTGCAGGCCGGAGTAACAAGCATGCGTAAGTTTCATATTCTATACCATAGGTCAGTGCTAAGTCGCATGACAGTCCCGCGGCTATGAGCACCAAACGTCAGGTTACTCGTAAGCGTCAAGTCATTGACGTTCCAAAACCTGAACGCCGCGATCCCCGATTCTCCTCCCTCTCTGCCGGGCACGCCAACGCCGACCTGCATCACAAGTCCTACTCTTTCCTTCCATCTCTTCTTAAAGAAGAGCTGGTGTCTTTAAAGGCACAGGTTGCGGCGGCGAAGAAGGCGGAAAAGCAGTGTTCGCTGAGAGACAAGCCGCAAAGAGTAGAGGAGAGAGAACGATTGGAGGAGGAGATGGGGAGGGTGAGGACGAGGTTGGCAAGGGGAGAGAAGGAAGAGCTGGAGAGAGAGACTTTGGCAAAGGCTAAAAAGGAAGAAAGAGAGAAACGAGAGTCGGGTAAAGGAGCGTGGTATATGAAGAAGGGTCAGTCATCTCGCGTTCCCGCAAAGTATGTGCTAACTCTACCAAAGGCGAGAAGAGAGACCTCCTCCTCAAGGCCCGATTCGAGGACCTCGAGAAATCGGGGGGCAAAACAGCAGTCAAGAAACTTGTCGAGAGGAAGCGCAAGAAGATTGCAGGCAAGGAGAAGAAGAGCAGGCCTTTTGCACCGGGGGGTGGGAGTGTCGGAGAGGGTGGGAAGAGGCGTCGGGTTGCATGAGAACTTTTTTGGGTGTATCAACTTGCCCTCTGTATGCATCTATCTGGCATTGTCGATCACAGTAGCACGATGTCAAAGAAGACTGTGGTGATCGAGGCGGCCGGTAGAAGAAGGCTTCAAGTGCAGCTAAGTGCAGAAGCCACTTGCGACGCACACGGGTCTCCCGTACAGCTCCTTAGCCGTTACCCCTGAGATACATCCTACAGCTGAAGGTCCTTCTTCGCCTCCCCAATTCGCCATTGAAACGTCTGGAAGGTCCGATTTCCTCATGGTCGAGAAGCAGATCTTATAGGAAGGCTTGAAGGGAAGCGGTGCCGGACACAGAGTAGCTCGTATGCTAGGCATGTATATATGCATGGAAGTGCTGCGTACACATTTTACACCTTGTACCTTCTGCTGCCTCTGGAGAAGAACGTCTTGAGAACCCAGACCTGGGCCCTAAACCTGTGTCAGCTGACACTCCGTACCCTAGTCGGACCCGGCACTCACGCAGCCATCCCAACGACGATAATACACTCCAAGATTGTTAACCACAGAATCCTTCCCTGCGTACTCTTCACAGTAGAGAAGTTTCGATGGTGCCTCGTATGGAAGTACTTTTGGGTACGGGCGATGGAGTTGAGGACGCCGGAGATCTTGTACGTGGACTCTTCGAGGGCGGAGGTGTGCTCTTTGAGAGGTGGTTGTTGGCCTGAGAGGATACGGCGGGGCTCGGATTCAACCATAATGCTGGAGTAGCAGTCAGCATCTGCAGGCACGACAGGGAGGAGAATGAGACTTGCTCGAAATCCAGCAGCTTGTCCTGTGTGTACGCTTCGTTCTCAAAACAAAAGGAAAACTCTCCGAGCTGACAAGACGAGTGTGAGTTCATGCTCCGTGATATGGATAATGGTAATCACCTTGTTGGCAGTAAAGATATAGTCGCCCTGCTTTTCGGCAACGCCTTCCAGTATCACCTTGTCATCCGGGTCCATGACAATATAGTCAATTTCAAAGTTGCCCCCTGATTGCACTGCAAAGTAGAAGCCTAGCCGTAGTCAGCCTCCAGACTTTGATCTACAGATACACGACTTGCCAACTTTCTCTCCCAGCCCATCGACGTCGGCATAGTAGCAGCTCCGTTCGTTCGCGCCGAGCATGGCGGTGAGGGCTGTCGCGCTGACACTGCAGGCAGCCAAGAGGAGTAGATACAGGGCGGCGAGGGTTGACCGTGGTAGGAGGGCCATGGTGGGCGAGGTCGTGACAGGTCGTAAGAGAGATGCCACGTCCGGGAGGTTGAAAGTCATGAAACAACGGGAGCGTCACCAGCTTACGTAACACCATCGGGCACCTCCACCGCCCACAGCCAGCCCGTCAACGCCAGCATGCATACATACATCGACCACAAACACGCCACAGCCATGTCGACCTCCTGGGATAACGCCCGTAGACATGTCAGGGCCCTTGAAACAGCCCTCGACTCCAAACTATCAGCCTACTCGAGGTTAGCAGCTTCCATCGCACGCTCATCTTCGGGACTCGGCGGCAGTGGGGGAGGAAGCAGAGACGATATCGACGATGAGGGTATTGGAGGATATAAGCTTGTAGAAGAAGAAGTAGAGGAGCTTTTGCGAAAGGTGAGCAGTCCAAGAAGATAGGACATGGCGCAGAGCTGATACAGCTTGCGGTAGCTGGAACAAGCGATTGAGGACCTCATGGCGCTCATCAATTCGCCCAGTCAACCACCTTCGGCCTCTATGCAGCATGCTGCTCAAACGCATAGGGATAATCTGGACGATTACAGAAGAGATTTCATCAGGACGAGGGTGAGTTCGGGCCACCGGCTTTGGCGCGCCAACTGACACAAATCCAGAGCAATGTCGAGCAATCCATTCGGCGGTCAAACCTTCTGGGAGACGTGAGGAAGGACATCAAGTGAGTTTCAGGTACGCAGTGTACCCAAGCATGCGCTGATATCTTTGCAAGCGACTACAAGTCTGGGCGCTCCAGTGCCACAGACGCGCTCCTTCAAGATCGCTCTCGAATAGACTCCTCCCATCGCATGATCGATGACACTTTGAAGTTGGTCCTTGTCCTCTCTTCCTCTTTTGGTTTCCGGCTCACCCGTCTTCAGCCAAGCGTACGCGACCCGCTCAGATTTTGCCTCCCAGCGTACCTTACTGGGCTCCGTCGAATCCCGCATGGGAGGTGTCCTAAACCAGATGCCAGGGATCAATTCGCTCATTACGATGATCAAAACGAGAAGGAGAAGAGACACCGTCATCATGGGGTGCGTGGTTGCAGGCTGCGTGCTGTTGCTCTTGGGGTATCTGTTTGGGTTCTAGAAGAGGTTGTGATGAGACTTATTCCTCGATGAGTTAAACCTCCCATGTATCAGTTGTGTGCATCGTCAGTGCGCCGATATTGTCAAGCACCCGGAGGATAGTACAGATATCGAACTGATGGAACGCAGGTTACTCGTTGGGCACAATGTCAGTATGATGATAAATCTTCGGGGGTTCTTGAAGCTGACGTATGGTCAGATGGGCACAGCCGAGAGCAAACACGACCAAGGTGACGCTTATGTCACTCTATGTCCTGTGCCCAGCACGCGGAGTGTACTGGTGCAGTAATCCCCAAGCCACAGTATCTTTGCAGCTCCGCATTAACCTCACCACTTCGGCGTGCCGTCCGGTGTGACTTTTCGTGAAACCGATATACGGCTTCTTCGCCGAATGCTCCTTGCGTCGTCATTGTTTCAGGCATTCAGAATGTAGCTCACTATCCCCCGATCGTTGCTAAATACACAGCAGACTCAGGTCCTCCCTCCATCGAAGTCCCATCCCTCGTTCAGTCTCCCTCCTTCTTTCGTGTGCTCCCGAAACTATCTGTATCATACAACACGCAGCCCTGGTGGCCAGCTGATCAGTCTGCGACTTATCCCTTTCCTTCATTCCGTGGTGCAAGCATGGGCACTTCCCTCTCCAGATCGTCCCTCGCCACTGCATACAATGGACACTCGAACACATCTCACCAACCCACATCCTCTCTGGAAAGTCTGTCTTCTCTCCTATCTTCCGTTCATCAGTCTCCTACAAGCTCTAGCTCGACCTCTCTGTCCTACAAGGTGACTCTTCATGCTTTACCAAAGCTAATCCAATCGGTGGAGGAGATGAAGAGGGTCAGTGTTGTCGCGAAAGTGGTTGGTGATCTTGTTGCTGCGCCTGGTGTGAGTTCTCTTGTTATTCTGTCTTTGGTTCAAGAGACTTAGTGAAGAAGCAGGGCCTGGATGGTGAAGAGAAGAGACTATGTGATGAGAGAGGTATGGAGAGCGCGGTGCAAGAGCAGGATCCAGTAAGGCGAACTCGAAGCTCTTGATATCCTGTTGACACTCTCACAGGCTGCCCGTGAATTCCTGTCCGGGACCGATAACATCATGCCAAGTCCTCACCTTGCCACCTCTCAACACCAGTCTCGAGCCCCCCAATCACCTCCCTTCACACTCCTTTCTAGACCGACCACTCCCTGTGATGATACCAGTCCCGCCGGCCATGCCCATGACCCCTTACAATGCTCCCCTCCGAGAGCTCTCACGAGTTATACCCCTCGCGCGAGCATACAAAGGCTCCAAAGCTTGCCGACCCTACCTAGACTCGACATGATAGATTGTGATGAGGAGGTGGCTGCTATCACTGGTACGATCATGGAGAAAAGGTCCGGCAAAAGTCTCGGAGGAGAAGGACAAGAGCGGGAGACGAGGGGACACGTCTTCCAGGTCACGTCAGACTGTCCCGATACCATCGCCTCCGGCACCAACAACACCAACAAGCTACCCATTCTGGTCTCCCCATGTCCTTCCATCTCCGATCCGTTCCATCAACGAATCACCGTCTCAAGTATGCTTAGCCAATCTGACTCTCTTGAAAGCCTCTACTCTCGATACGCAACTATGGATGGCGGGCGACCTATGGAGGAGTCTATCCACGATACAATGCCTGAGCTGGAAGCTCTCGATGTCAAGGAGAGGGCTCAAGGCAATGTCGAAGCTGCAAACGTGTCTGAAACGCCCAAAGGGACCAAACCCGTCGTCGGGTTCCAACACCGACAGCAGGAGGTTATGCCTGATTTGGATAGCTCGAGCTCGTCCCCTATCTCACCCACTGTCCAGACTCCCAAGACCCCGACTAGACCGTTTTCGGCTCTACCGATCCCGGTGATCATAATCACTCCCGAGATCCCTGCTTCCAGCTCCTCCGAGATTGACTACTTCGCCTACAACGCTCGACTGTCGACCCGTCTTTCTACGTCTGCTTTTGAGTCGCCGAGTAAGACGGGAAAAGGAGGATCAAAGCGACAGGGGATGCTAGAGGTGCCGAAGAGGGAAACGAAAATTCGAGGAAGGAAGAACGTTTCTTCCAAGAAAATGAGAGAGAAGTCTACGAGAAGAAAGTTGGGTGACGAGAGCGTTGTCGTTCAAAGAGAGGCCGGAGCATCGGTCGGTATGTAGCGATAATGCCTTGCGACATGTAGGCTCAACTTTGACCTATGTTCCACCATGTACTAACATCCACTCGTAGTTCGGGGCATTACATATCACGGTCGAGTAGTAGAGCAGACAGCACGATGAGTAGAGTAGTAGTTTGAAAAAGCCGAGTCAACATATATAACCCGAGGTTCAGGCGAATGTATCATTGTATCATCATTATTTCAGGCTCGTGAAACACATTGCATATGGAAAACTTCTGTGACCTCAAACAGGTGTCTCACTTCTATCGCAGGATCCGCAGCTGCATGCAATGATGTCGGGGATGATATGGGCCTAATAACGGGTGAGCGGTTCTGCGGGTATCCCTCGTGTCAAGTATGACACCATTATACTTTGGGACGAAGGCTGCTGGCTTGGAACATTGAGACTCGTTGGGCTTCTAAAGCAGTAACTGAAAATGACTCTTCACCCACTCACTAGAGCGCGGTCTTTAGTCGAGGCTCGGTGTGCGCTGGGTGTCAATACTCTTGATGTCGTTGAAGTTCGCTGCACCCTGTATCTCCTGGCTGTGTGATCCGTGATGTCCAGCTTTTTTGCTGCTGCTACGCAGGGTGTGGTAAAGCTCCTAGGCAAGATATCACTTCTGCCTGATCGGTCAAAGGAGGGTTTTCCGATAAGCGCGTATCTCCAGTCGAAGCCATCCTTCCCCACTGGTACGTCGCAACGTCTGTAGTCTCCAGACACTGACCCAGATTGAGCATATTTTGGTTTTCATGGGTCGGTATTCGGTATAAGAGATTGAGTTTGACAACAATGACAGCAAGGGACTCCTTCTATCCTCTATGAGTCCTTGGTCCATGACTCGATGACCTTCTCGAGGTCGAACTTGGGATCTTCCGGGTCGGTGATCACTGAGAGACGCAGTCAGTACTTGCGTATTTTGGGTGTGTCTGCTGCAGGGAAGGAAGACGGAGTACGATAGGAGGGCGTGACGGCTGCTGACACGGACCACGTCAACAGAGGTGATTGTCCCGGGAAGCACCCCGGACACCTTAGAAGACATAGCCCTGCACCAACCAGCCACACGCAACTCCAAACGAATCTCTTCAAAGCGCGTCCAAGCCAAGCGGACCCAAGTAGACCCCGAATGCAACTCACATCCCGTCGCGGCACCGGCAACCTTCTTCGCAGCATACGCCTTCTTCGCCTCCTGCACGAGGTGCGCTCGGTGGGCGGCGTGGTGCTTGGCCTGTTTGTAAAGGATCATCGGGAGGGGGTGCGCAGGTGATTGGGACGAGTTTGTTGATTGGGCAAGGGTGAACGAGAGCGCGTGGGCGGTATCGACGACGCAGTTGATGAGAGCAAGCCATGGTCAGTTTTCAGCCCCGACAGCTTGCTGAGCCGGTACTTGCCTTGTCCTCGTCGTACTTGGTCTGTAGTGTGGACTGGTGGAAGACCCCGTAGGTGATACCGGTGAGGAGAGCGGACCAACGGACGACCTGTCTCGGGGTAAGCTTGCCCTGCGGATGCAGCTGGGGCACTCACGTTGACGGTAGGGGTGGCCATTTTGGGAATGTATGGATAGAAGAGGGGCTATGGATGCTGAGATGGCCAGCAAGGGATGAATATAATTCCGTCTTTCTCCGCTCCCGTGGCGCCGCGCGCTCATGAACGCGCTCCTCGACGTCTCTCTCACCCACCCGCCATGAACCCCGCCGTCCCCTGCTACACCATCATCCACGACGACCTCCTCGACGTCCCCTCCTCGGCAGACCTCAGGAATGCCCTCCAGAAGGGCTCCGACGAGGTCAAGCTCGAGACCATGCGCAGGATCATCGTCGGCACCCTCAACGGCCAGAACCATGTACGTGTCTCTCCACAGTCAGGGCATCGCTGACGGTTCCCAGTCCTCCCTTCTGATGCCCATCATCCAATATGTCATGCCCTCGCGCAACAAGCAGCTCAAGAAGATGCTCCATTTCTACTGGGAGTGAGTGAAACGTGGAACACCGCGGTCACAACTGATCGCATTTACAGAGTATGCCCCAAGCTGGACGAGCAGGGCAAGCTGAAGCAAGAGATGATCCTCGTCGTCAACGCGATCCGAAACGACCTCCAGCACCCCAACGAGTACATTCGAGGTGCTACCCTTCGATACCTCCAAAAGGTCCGCGAGTCAGAGTTGCTGGAACCGCTGGTCCCTACCGTCAGGTCGTGTCTGGAGCACAGACATTCCTTCGTCAGGAAGAATGCGGTGTTTGCAGTGTACTCGATCTTCCAGGACCATGAGCATCTCATTCCTGATGCGCCAGAGCTTCTGGAGACATTCCTCGTCGCTGTCAGTATATCCACCCAAACTGCGACTCTGCTGACTCTTGCTTAGGAGTCCGACTCTACATGTAAACGCAACGCCTTTGTCACCCTCTGCAACATCTCCCAACCCACCGCTGTCCGATACCTCCTCGAAAACTTTGACCAAATCGACAGCATGGACGAGCTCATGCAGATGTCTGTCATCGAGCTCGTTCGGAAGGAGGCCAAGACCGAGGGGAGCCACAGGGCCAAGTGGATCAGGTGTATCTCTGAGCTTCTTGGCTCCAAGTCACACGCCGTCAAGTACGAAGCCGCTACTAGCTTGACAACCTTGACCCAGAACCCGGCAGCTGTCAAGGCTGCTGCTGCGGCCCTCGCAGAGCTCATCGTCAAAGAGGCGGACAACAATGTCAAGCTCATTGTTCTTGACCGATTCAATGCGCTGCGGGAAAAGCATGAGCATGTGTTGGACGGGATGGTGATGGACATTTTGAAGGTGCTGAATTCGTACGTCCAACTCTTCTCAATTGGACGTCGCTAACTAGCGCAGCCCCGACATGGAAGTCAAGCGAAAGGCGATCGGTATTGCTCTCGAGATGGTCTCCTCTCGTAATGTTGAAGAAGTTGTCCTGTTCCTCAAGAAGCAGCTGCAGTCTACCATCGACCAAGACTTTGACAAGAATCTTGAATACCGACAGCTGCTCATCCAGAGCATCCACTCGTGCGCTATCCGATTCTCCGAAGTGGCCGCCAATGTCGTGTACGTCCTCATGGACTTCCTCGGCGACTCCAACAACCCATCAGCGGTGGATGTGATTGCTTTCGTGAGGGAAGTCGTAGAAAAGTTCCCCAAGTTGAGGGAGGCCATCACCAATAAGTTGATCTCTACTTTCGGCGAGATCAAATCAGGCAAGGTCTACAGGGGTGCCATGTGGATCGTTGGCGAGTACTGTGAAAAGCCGGAAGAGATCAAGCGGGCGGTCGGCGAGATCAGGCAGGTATTGGGTGAAATCCCCATCCTTGCTTCCGAGCAGGTGAGTCTTACATTTCAATGGCGCAAGCTAGCACTAAACAGCTTCAGCGTTTGTTGGATGAGCACGAGGCCGCCGACCAAGGGCACGCCGAGCAGGACGAGGACAAGCCCAAGGCTGTCACCACTACACGAGTTTTGGCCGATGGCACCTACGCCACCGAAACTGTCTACACTTCTTCTGCCGCTGCTGCCCGTCTTGAAGCTGTCCGCTCAGCTACCAAGCCTCCACTTCGAGCTCTTCTTCTTGGCGGCGACTTCTTCACCGGAAACGTGCTTGCGTCAACACTGACCAAGCTTGTCTTGAGGTATTCCGAAGCTGCTGGTGCAAATGACCCGACTGGTATCAACACGCTTCGCGCTGAGGCCATCTTGATCATGACCAGTGTGATTCGTGTCGGTCAGTCTAAATTCTCTGCCGTCCCCATCGACGAGGATGCCGAGGAACGAATTATGAACTGCATCGAGACTCTTGCGCAATTGCAAGGCAACAAGGCGCTTCACGATGTATTCTTGAAGGATACCAAGGCGGCGTACGCAAAGATGGTGGAGACTGAGGAAAAGAAGGCGCGTGAAAAGAAGGAGAGGGAAAGCAAGGTCGAGGTTGTGCAAGCGGATGACTTGATAGAGTTCAGGCAGTTGGCCAAGAAATCGACTGTGACCGAGGTTGACGATGTGAGTACTTTCTTTCACTATGGAGTTGAGCTTACGCGGCGCAGGTCGATGACGTCGTCAAAGCCACTGGCTCTACCCAACCTCAAGACGACTTTGTTTCCAAGCTTTCTCGCATCACACAACTCACTGGTTTCTCCGACCCTGTCTACGCCGAGACCGTCGTCACTTTGTCTCAATACGACATCATCCTCGACGTTCTGCTCGTCAACACCACCAACGAGACTTTGCAAAACTTGACGGTAGACTTTGCTACGCTGGGCGATTTGAAGCTTGTCGAACGACCGGCAGCTGTTACCCTGGGACCTCACGGCTTCCACAGTCTGTCAGCCACCGTCAAGGTCTCTTCCACTGAAACTGGTGTGATCTTTGGAGCCATTACATACTCTAAACAAGGCGCCTCCGATGCGGACGTCAGTATTGTGATGTCTGACATTCACGTCGACATCATGTCCTTTATCAAACCCAACTATGTCAACGAAGCTCAGTTCCGCAGTATGTGGACAGAGTTTGAGTGGGAAAACAAGGTGGCAGTGCAGACGGCCATTGGTCATCTGAGAGGCTACCTGGATCATCTGTTGAAGAGCACCCACATGGCGTTGTTGACGCCCGAGGCAGCGTTGAGCGGAGATTGCGACTTCTTGAGTGCCAACTTGGCCGCCAAGAGTCTGTTTGGTAGGTCAATTCAACTGAAGGTTGACTGGTCTCTGACGATTTCCTAGGTGAGGATGCGCTTGCCAATGCTTCCATTGAACGGACAGAAGACGGCCATATCACTGGTCACGTCAGGATAAGAAGCAAGACCCAGGGAATCGCTCTGAGCTTGGGTGACAAGATCACGTTGAGCCAGAAGGCTAATGTAACAGTCGCTGCGGCCTAAGAGGTGTCTTGCAGATGGGGGAAAATCGAGTTGGATCAGAGAGGTGGCCGTGGCCCGGCTTAGTAGAAGGGTTTCTGACGATATACCTGTAAAGAAATATGAATGTTTTCGTGCCAAGAACAGGCATATCGATGTGTCGCCATAGGAGAGTGCAAGACCTGGAAGCCAGTTTTGATTGATCCATGGCCGCTACCACGAACTGCACGAGTATTCACATTTCAGAGCCAGAGTCTGGACTGTTGAGCCTGGTGGACTGACGGGAGTATTTCGCGCACGGACGCGTTTGTCTTCGGGAAACAACAGGAACGCGACTGAAACGCATCTCCTCTATCACCGCCTCTGTTCTCTCTTTCTTCTCTACTTGCTATAGCTTGCTGTCCGCCCATCGGCCTATACCCGTTTGACTGTGCAGCTGTCCCCCAGGCCCACAGCCCAGCCCCACCGCCGAGGAACACCTCTTCACCGCACCCTTAACGCATCGACACGCCGCAGCGCCCCTTTCGGTGGCAACTTGACTCTCACTACTTTCAAGCATCTTTCCCCATATATCATACAATATGGTGTGTAGTCGCAACGTATCATGTGTCGCCCAGCTTACCGTTGTAGTCGACATATTCGCAAACGAATCCCAACAACCCTCATGCCGACCCCGAGCTCTTCTATGTGCGCCAAAACCGTATAGGTACGTGGGACTATATTGAACCAAAGACGGCACTGAAATACTTTGTGCTATGTACAGGCAAGGGCAGTTTCGGTGAAGTATACAAAGGGTAAGCAGTCGATATTCTCGGATTGCACTCTCGCTAACGACCCTCAAGCTACGACAAGCGCACCTCTCTCCCCGTCGCCATCAAGATTATCGACCTTGAAAGCGCAGAAGACGAGATTGATGATATCCAGCAAGAGATCCAAATTCTGGGACAACTGGATAGTGAATTTGTGACGAGGTATCATGGATCGTACCTCAAGGGGTCACATTTGTGGATTATCATGGAGTATTGTTCGGGTGGCTCCTGTTCGGACTTGGTCAGTGAACTCAGAACGCCAGCTAGCCATACGCTGACTGGACTGCAGATGAAAGCTGGAGTTTTCAGAGAGGAGTATATCGCCATTCTGGCGAGAGAGTTGCTGAGAGGTCTAGATTACCTGCACGAAGAGGGCAAGCTTCACAGAGACATCAAAGGTGCGCAGAGACTTTGAGCTGGCAACTATGACTGACCGCACGTAGCCGCCAACATTCTGCTCACTGCCAACGGCGATGTCAAGCTGGCCGATTTCGGTGTCTCCGGACAGCTTACTGCGACTATGACCAAGAAAGTGTGTTCACAGGCTTACTCAAGGAGAACTACACTCATGAATCCTCTAGAACACGTTTGTTGGTACACCATACTGGATGTCTCCCGAGGTCATCAAGCAGTCCGGGTACGACCACAAGGCCGATATCTGGAGTTTGGGTATGTGTACACCGCACTGTCTTTGATCGCAGTTTGACAGTCGCACAGGTATCACATGTATCGAGATGGCCATGGGCGAGCCCCCATATGCCGATCTTCACCCCATGAAGGTGCTCTTCCTCATTCCCAAGAATCCGCCTCCTCAGCTAGACGAGCGATTCTCCCGACCATTCCGTGACTTTGTCTCTCTCTGTCTCCAACGGGACCCTCGCAACGTCAGTCTTTCCCTTTCCTGTGGGCAGGCAGCCAAGACTGACTATCAACCTAGCGACCCACGGCCAAAGATCTGTTGAAGCACAAGTTCATCAAGACTGCCAGGAAGGCCTCGTACTTGACCGAGCTGGTCGAGAGATACGAACAGTGGAAGGCCGAAGGTGGAGCCAAACCTTCAGATGACGGATCTGGTGGGATGTCACAGGAGTCAGTCTTTCTGTCTTTCCACGAGTGTTGAGCTAATGCGTCACAGGCCTGGCTATGGACCTGCTGCTGATGCTCTCTGGGACTGTCGGTACCGTAATCCCGTGATGAGAAGCCAACTGACATCCTGCAGTTGGCACTGTACGCAACAACCTCCCCGGAACCGTTTCTCGAGCCGCCGGGCGCACCGTTCCTCCCACCGCTTCCCTATCCGGTACGGCCCAGACTCGAAACACCTCTACTCCAACCAAGTCCACCCATTCTGCCACGCCCACCCGCTCACAGACTGAACAATCTCTGCCGCCCTCCATGAGCGGCCGCGCCTTACCCCCAACACCGTCTAGAGGCAACCCTTCTTACAACAACGGCACCCCCTCTTACAACAACGGCACCCCCAACTCTGTCATCTCGGGGCATAGTCAGCAGGGGAGCGCGACGCCTACGGGGACAAGGGCGGAGGGTGGGGATGTGATGTATCCGACGGTGAGAGGGGCGGTGATCCCTCCCGGTTCGTCGGTGCCTGTTGCGGGGCAGGCACAACCTGAAGCTCAAGCTAAACAGCAACAGCACATTGATGATGAAGGGGACGAGGAAGTGATGCTCGAGGGCGTAATCATTCCTGCTATCAACAACGTGAGTTTTTACATGGTAATGCAATCCAAACTGACAAAGACGTAGCTGGCTACTCGGGTCCCCAACGACTATGCTCGAGCTACCCTTGCTCGTTTGCGAGAAGCCTTTATTGAAGCCGAGAGGTCTATTCCTGGAGTCACTTCGGCGTTTGTACTAGAGATTGTCGAAAATGTTGAACAGGTCGAAGAGCACTGATAACGAAATTATGTAGTAGATATCGAGCTGTTCAGTCGCGAGGGGGGCGAAGGTGTCGTTATTGTATATACATCATTATCAACGATTTTGCGAAGGTTGGGTTGCGGGAAAACGAACATCTCGTTACACCTATCGTTGTGTAGCTTTGTTGTCTCTCCGTCGGCACCACGGTCCTTGGTACATGCACACGGTATATAACCCTAGTGAAGGCAATTGACCACAAATGTACTCGGCTGCAGCTCATTTGACGAAGGCAAGTCAGTCATTGAGACATACGGTGGCATGACAGATCTATAGAATGACCCCTGCAAGCCCTTCCCCCCGACTCTCTTGCATCACGCTGCCCCGACTAGTACTCCAGACGTTACCCCATTACCAAAGTAGCCATCAGCCCCGGAATCAGGGCCGGAAGGGGGGGTCGAAGGACGTGGTATACGATGAAGAAGGCCGTAGCTGAAGGCCACCGAATCGTCAGACGTGTGCACAAGAATAGGGGACTTTGACGTACCCGATACCACATCCAATAAGGCCTTCTCCTCCCCACTGCCTTGTGGGGTAAAGTATTACTTCACGTAGATTGCTTTTGTCGCGAGTCAGCTTTGTTTGCATTCGGAGGGTGACACTCACTCGAGGTCAGAATTATAGACAAAGAGTCGCAAAGGCTTGTCGACGTGCCCTTCAATAAGCTTGTAGAAATCGTTTTCGGAATGTAACGGTCCGCCTGACCAAGCAAGTACATAGTCGCCCCAGGGTACAAGACCAGCCATCTACAACCCATTAGTGACCCTACCGCTTAGACATGAGAACAGAGCTCACCTCAGCCGGACTACCCTCCAAAACATCCAACACATGATACACGCTCTCTAGAGCATGAGCAGGATTACACACCCTCAAGCTCAAACCTAGCAGGGAAGGCTTTGCGTCGGGGTCGCCATTCTGTCTAGTTTGCTCTTCTGACCAAGCTCTTGACGGCGTCACGTACACATCTGCACTAGGGTCAAACAGGATCAGAAGGAATTGATGGAATCTTACCCCTGACTCTTTGAGATTTAGCATTATACACCCTCAACCCGATACGCTTCCCCTCATTATCCTCCAATATTCGCCCCAACACTTCTGGTCTCAGCGCCTGATCATCCCCAACACCATTTATCCCTATTCCCCCTTCTCTCTCTCCCGTACCCTTGAATGCTGATGGTGATGACGTGGAAGTGGGTTCGTTGGGGCTGGAATGTATTTGAACACCGACAAGGTAGTCAAAGTAGGGTTCCACGAGTCCGTCGACGGGGGAGTTGTCGGCGACGCGGAGGCAATGGAGGGCGAGATCCGGAAGGGAAGAAGGGAGAGAAGAGGATCCTTGTCCCATTGTGCGAGTTTGTGCCGGTGCTTGGGTTTGAAAGTATCGGCGTACAACAGAGAAATGACAATTAGGGTTTATAACGGACGGCAAACGGACGGACGCGTCGACAAAGATGAGGCGCCTTCCAACATCATCACTTCTATCGTGTACTCTAGGTTGACTCTAGTTTAGTTGGTTCCCCTTCTGCGCCTGTCGGCGACTGTAATAATTGATTCTCAGTCACACTATGATACATTGCATTCGTTCCATAGTCTAATAATCATCGCCCCTCGAGACAACCTCTTTACAGGTCGGTCTCAGCAAGATGGTGTGTTCAAATTGTGCAGTCATCGCTCCAGGCTCCGGGTCCACTAACGGAGGATAGTCAGAGATGAAGTCTTCGCGCACCAGCGTGTTCAACTGTATATGTTATCAGCCAACATGTTTTTGAGCGAGGGGAGTGACCTACAGCGAGGAGATAATTCTTTTCGCCAACGTGGTCGAGATATCTTCTACAGAAGGGAAGAGTACCAAAGTTTCTCTTGACGGAAGCCAATAAAGACTTGGCAGACTGCTGGCTGTAACAATGTCAGATTCAACGGAAAACATTCTACACGAAGCCAGACCCACTGCCCCTGGTACCTCTCGGGCGCGCTCGCGTTCAACGCATAGTGCGAACAAGCCCCCTGCTCAATGACCCTCCCCCGTCCTGTACTACCGAACGTCTCAATCGCAAAGTACTCTCCTTCTTCCATCTTCGCCTCATCCCTAGCGCTCCCGTGCTGCCTCACAATAGGCACAGACTTGCCCGGACGGGTACCGACACCGCCATGAATGGTGTAAGGAGTGATGGAGTGGCCGTTGAGGTTGGAAATGGATTTGACAGGGTACACTTTGCCATTCACTTCGACTTCGTATGATTCCATGACTTCTTGGACGGCTTCGCCAATGTCACACATACGGACATCGATACCAGCGGCCTAGAAAAAGTCAGTAAAAGGCAAATGGCAAAAGCGAGACGTACGCTGATACCGGCGTTGGTGGCGTCCTTGACGGCCTCGAGGAGTCTGTCCCAAGTAGGCTCAAAGTTCATGGTGAATGCAGAATCCACTATTCTTCCGTTGACGTGGACACCAAAGTCCACCTTCATCACGTCCTTGTCACCAAGCACTACTCCCTGTCAGCGCCCCTTCTCGGTTCATGCTGAGCAAGACTCACCTTGCTTGTCCCCAGGATTCGGCGTATAGTGCGCGGCCACCTCATTCACACTCAGCCCGGTCGGGAATCCAATTCCACTCTCAAATCCGTGTTCTTCCACCACAGCCCTCGTTCCGTCCTCGACCAGGTTCGCAATCTCCGTCATGGTCATGCCCGGCTTGATGGTCTTTTGAGCGTAGGCGCGGACTTGGCGGTGGACCTCGCCTGCACGACGAATGTTGGCATATTGGGTGGAAGGATCCCCTTGGGCGAGACGCTCGCGTTCACGACATTCGGCGGAACTTGTGCGGTAAGTGTTGCTAGGGAAAGATGAGAGGTGCGCCGACGCAGAGCAGGGCCAACTTACTCGTCCTTGTACTCGACTTCTTCTCCAACGGGGAAGATACCATTCTTATAGATTTTAGTGAGGCCGACTCGAGGGGGTTCAGACTGTGTCGCAGCAGCCGTCTTCTTCTTCTTGGCTACCATCGCCATTGAGCTTGAACTCGAAACTTTATTAAAGATCAGCTTGCTTACACTTCTTCTTCTTCTTCTTCTTCTTGGACTCTGGAAATGGCAACAGCAGACTATCAGTTTCTGAAGAAGATACATGTACAAAGCTACAAAGCGTACCTCCATTGGCAGGCCCATCGTCATTCTCGCCCTCATCATCGTCATCGTCGTTCTCCTCACCCTCTACGACTTCAGGCTCCTTCTCCTCCTTCTTTCCCTCCTTCGAGAGTTTGAGGCTCTCCACCTTTGGCAGTTCGGCGGACATTACAGTCTACTTTTTGGAATGTCAGCTCGTGTCGAAGATTCGTCAAAAAGTATCAGGAAAAGAAGTCTCAGGGAGTCGAAAAGTATCTACTGTGCCCGACCGAAGCCGAGCTGCAGAAGTCTAACATATCTTGGTGACAAGCATCATAGGAGAGGAGATGGAAACGAATGGAGACAAGACTCACGTTATTGAAAGATATGTGCGAAAGAGACTTGAGATGCCAAAATTCACGCCGAAAATAAGGCTGGTGGACGCTTATGTAATAAAGCGGGGATGTCCGGTCCGCCGTCCGCCAGAGGAGCTATGATGTGTTGCAATTCAAGTACTCTCACTAAGATCCACAATGGGCGCTTTACTATCCATTCCCCTCCTTACGGGTGGCCTGGGAACCCTCGCAGGTTCATTCGCATCCGGCTGTATGGTCTGCATGGGTACCTCCCTCCATGTCTCGCTGTTCCGACCGCCGCTCACTACCCACAGGTGGCACCGCCGCTTCTGCCTTCTTCAAGTCGTGCAACTGCAACTCCTCTATCGCCACCCGCGTTGGGTTTGGCGTGCGTCTCATGCAAGGTCACTATATACATCACTGACTCTTGGATAGCTCATATTCGCCCTGTCGTCGATGCTGGCATACTTGTCCAAGACAGATATTGCGATTCGCCAGCTGGAGAAGTTGAGCTGGGATTGGATCAAGATGGATTGCTCGGGCGGAAAGTGCTATGGGCTTCTGGCTGTGAGTGTGATGATTACCCAAGGAAATGGAAGCTGACAAAAGACAACCAGACCCACCGATTCTGTTTCGCTTTGGTCCTTTTCCACTTGTTCCTGTCAGCCCTCCTTATCGGTGTGCGATCTACCAAGGCTAAACGAGCTGCTCTTCAGAACGGGTAAGTACTCTACCTTCTGCATGAACCCCTAACAAACGTCTATCAGCTGGTGGGGTCCCAAGCTCCTATCCTATTTCCTCCTTTGTTTCCTCTCCTTCCTCATTCCCAACGAGTTCTTCATGGCATACGGCTCCTACATCGCTCCTATTGGCGCCTTCTTCTTCATCTTGATCGGCCTCGTCCTCCTCGTCGACTTTGCGCACACATGGTCCGAGACATGTCTGGACAATTGGGAGCGAAGCAATTCCAATCTGTGGCAGTTTATCTTGGTCGGCTCGACCTTTGGTATGTTTGCTGCTACCATCACCGTTACCACTCTCCTCTACGTCTTCTTTGCCGGATCAGGATGCGGTACCAATACATTCTTCATCACCTTCAACCTCATCCTCTCCGTCCTCGTCACTGTCATCGCCATCTCTCACCCTGTGCAAGAAGCCAACCCCAAATCCGGGCTCACCCAGGCGTCCATGGTGGCTGCCTATTGCACATACCTCACCTCTTCTGCCGTAGTCAACCATACCGACTCGGCTGGCGGCAAGTGTAATCCACTGCATGCTCGGGGCGGAACAGAGACGACCACTCTCCTGATCGGCGCGCTCTTCACCTTCCTCGCTATCGCCTATTCTACTTCCCGCGCTGCCACCCAGTCCACCGCACTCGTGGGAAAAGGCCACCGTGCCGGCGCTGGCGGCGCTATCGCCCTTCCGAATGACGTAGAGGACGAGGGGGAGGTCCGGCTGGTGACCAATCAGCCCAAGGGTAGGAAGGATGAGATGCGGTATCAGGCGATATTGGCGGCTGTCAACGCGGGGTCGCTACCGGCAAGTGTGTTGGATGAGCCGGAGGACGATGAGGATGAGATCGAGGCGGCTATGGGAGAAGAGAGGGATGATGAGCGTGCGGGAACAAAGTATAATGTGAGTACATCTATAGTCCTTTTGTTCGCGGCTAACGAAGTTACAGTATTCTTGGTTCCACATCATTTTTGCCATAGCCGCCATGTACGTCGCCGGTTTGTTGACCGACTGGGCGATCATATCTACCTCGCCCGTCGCGCACCCCACCGAGCCCCAATCTGCGGGACTCGCATTGGGGGCGTTCAACGAGCCCGACGTCTTCATCGGCAGGTCGGAGACGACCATGTGGATGAGGATCGTTAGTAGCTGGCTTTGTTTTGCGCTGTACACCTGGAGCCTGTGAGTACAATAACCTGACTATTAGCATAGGGGCTAACCGGGACGTAGGATTGGGCCTGTGGTCATGCCAGATCGGTTCGGGGACCTATAGAAGCCGCATATACGTTGTTTCTCATTATGTTTAGGCTGTGTATTGTGGCATGTAATCAATTGATTTAGGTTTCGCAACCAAGGCTGCTCTGCATCACTTCTACACTTGAGCGGCTACATAAGACATGCTCGAGTGACACGCTGTTCTTGGCCGGAAGCTGACTATGTATCTGTCCCTCAGACCTCTTCGGGATAGCTGGAGAGCCTTGGAAAGAGGCTGTGGGGTCAACCAGCCAGCTGCAGGCAAGACGTCCAGTACAAAGGAAAGCGGCACCAAACAAATGGACGATGGCTCTATAAAGGACGCCAAAGTGGAGGCAGCGCTCATCGCCGCCCTCGACCTCTCCTGCGTTGTGACTTCGACCTTGCCTTGTATCAGAAACCCATTCATCCCATCCAACTTATTCATCCACCATGCCACCCAGCGAGCCCATAGTCATCGACGACGTCGAGGAGGACTTCGATGCCGTGGAGGACAACCAGGCCATCAACGAGGTACGCTCCTCCATCTTCCTCGTGCGCGTCGAAAAGCTGACACCATATATAGCAATACAAGGTCTGGAAGAAGAAGTAAATCCCATCAGGCATTGCCCAGAGAGTCACTACTGACCTGTTATAGTACCCCATTCTTGTATGACACTGTCATCACCCACGCCCTCACCTGGCCCAGTCTGACCTGTCAATGGCTTCCCGATGTCACCGAGTACGCACCCACCCCAGCCCATCCCCCCATCATATTGACCCCATGCCCTGCAGCGTTCCCAACTCGGACTACACTAGTCAACGCATCATCATTGGCACTCACACCTCTGGCCAGTCCAACGACCACCTCATCATTGCCGAAGTCCTCCTCCCCAAGAAGGGCGCCGAAATTGCCGACAAGGCTCTCGCAGACTTGTATGACGAGGAAAAGCAGGAGATTGGGTCCTACTCTACCGCTCCCCCTGCCCGGATTAGGGCGATCCAAACTATCAACCACCGAGGCGAGGTCAACCGCGCCCGCTACATGCCCCAGAACCCGGAGCTTATTGCGACCAAGACGGTGAACGGGGAGGTGTTTGTGTTTGACAGGACAAAGCACGAGAGTAAGGCGCCGGCCAACGGAGAGTGTAAACCGGATATCAGGCTGAAGGGGCAGACCAAGGAAGGGTGAGCGAGGTGCTTCCATGGTGGAGAAGGAGCTAACGTCGGACAGGTATGGCTTGTCATGGAGTGGTCTGAAAGAGGGTCACATCCTGAGTGCCAGCGAGGACACCACTGTCGCCCACTGGTTCGTCCTTTTCGTTACCTGCCGCGCTTTGCTGACATGACCACAGGGATATCCAAGGCTATGCTAAGAAGGATCCAACTTTGCAGCCTCTGCGACTCTATACCGGTCACTCTGCCTACGTATCCGTGCGTGTTTTTTCTTTTACATTTGCATCCATCTGACTATTTCGGTAGGACGTCGAGTGGCACCCCCAGGATGAGAATGTGTTTGGTTCCGTTTCTGACGACGGCCAGATCATGATGTAGGCCTGTCGCACTCTTATTTGGAACCTGCTAATGACACTACACAGCTGGGACACCAGAGCCGAGAACCCTGCCAAGCCCAGCTCCCAGCTCCAGGGGTCCAACAGCGAGATCAACTGCATCGCCTTTGCGCCCAGCAGCCAATATCTCTTCCTCACCGGTTCTTCCGACAACGCAAGTACAATATACCGTGTAGAAATCCCAAGCTGACACTATTCATAGACCGTCGCTCTCTGGGACCTGCGAAAACTCTCCGTTAAGCACCACTCCTTTGAAGCTCATACCTCTGACGTCCTCCAACTCTCCTGGTCTCCCCACTCTCCCGTCCACTTTGCCTCCGCCTCCGCCGACCGACGTATCCACATCTGGGACCTCGACGCCATCGGCGCGGAGCAGACCCCCGACGACGCCGAGGATGGCCCGCCTGAGCTGCTCTTTGTGCACGGCGGTCACACGAGCAAGGTCTGCGATTTGAGTTGGAGCCCTAATTCGCCGTGGACGGTGGCGAGCACGGCGGAGGACAACATTTTGCAGGTCTGGGAGCCGTCGAGGCACTTGAGAGCCCCGTATGAGGCGGATTACGATGAGAAGGATTTGGAGTAGGGTCTTGATCGTGAGGACCTACATGTAGGGTCAGTACATCAAGTGATGTCATTCATGCTTCCAATTTCAGTCTCGAAAGGGCCAAGAATTCGTGAAGATTGCATTTGGCTCTCCCGTTACGCACCTCTTCCACAGCCCAAGATGGGTTCTCTATCCTCCGAGTACTCGACGTCCATCTACTGTTGCTGTTCTTTGATGACATCTGTGTCCGCTTCCACCCGCCTCGGCATCGACTGAGTAGCTCAGATGGGTTTTTGACATGGTGGCTGACTACTCTATGCGAATTTGAAGTTCTCGCAATGCGTCGGGGAGAGTCTTCAAGATGCCCTCGGATATCAGCACTGAAGACTGAATTGATGTTGTACATGTGGAGCAGTACAACAAAAGATGCTATCTATTATAACAGAGACTCTATCATATATCCCAAGTGAAGCAAGATCACAGCCCCCGCATATGCAGCGTATCCCTCTCAATCTTCTTCTTCTCCCTTCCGTCTTTACCAACCTCCACGATCCCCTTTGGCAAGCCCAACATTCCCCACTCTGGCAGATTTCCCAGACCTCCTCCCTTCCCGCCACCAACGATACCCTCCCACACTGGCCCGATATCAAATAGATCGATGAATTGCTGATCCACCGCGCGACTCTTTGGTGCAGAGAAGCGCCTGTATTCGTCGAATATACTGGTACGTGACCACGATTGGAGGCGTCGAATGCAGCCAATTAGACAACCTGTCCGGTGCTTGCCTTTGTTGCAGTGTATAAGGAGCGGGTGGTTACGCTTGTCACAAATGGCCACGAGGGCGGCGCAAATGACGTCCTCGGGAATGTTATCGAATGGTTCCTACGTCTGAAGTCAGCTAGGTGCCGGGGATGGCTGATGTAGGGACAAACTTTGTTGCCAGGAATGCCGAATTGCTATATCATCATCAGCTCAGGTTCCTGCAGACCAAGCTGCCATAACAGACCATGAATTGTATATCTTGGGATTGGCACCATTCCAGATTCGCTTTCGGGTACTCTTCCAGTACCAGTGTCCTGACACCCATCAGCATATCTTCCGCATACTATACGCATCACTCACAGAACAGTCTTCAGCCTCAACGTCTCCATAAACTTGAAATTCCTCTTCTTCGGGAACCCACACCGATACACGCCGCTGCTAACTAGACTAAAGTTCTCGGGCGGAACGAGGTCCTCTTCCGGGGCCGGCATTGCCGGGGGAGGAAGGTAGAGCGCATTCGGCGGAGGATGTTGTGCGATGAGGGTCGGAGGCGAAGTTGCTACGCCTGTCCCTTGACCTGAGGCGGTAGTTTGCCCCTTGGCCCCCTCAAATATGGTCGGGGAAGGCACCTGGCCTTTCCCATGAGGCGGCAGCGGTGACCCCGACGGCGGAGGAACAGAAGGGGCAGCTGAAGATATGTGCGAATGGATAATGTTTGCGAGAAAGGGAGGTATCTGGGCAGTAGCCGGCGGCGCCGTCTGAGGGCCCGGGACGGACGGGCCTGCTTGCAAGGCCGGTGAGGGGGGCATCGTGGGGTCTGTCGGTCCTTCCCTGGGGTATGGCAGTGCTGTTATAAGTCGACCATGGGCTGTGCTTGGGAAAATGGAAATGTGAGCAGAATGTATAAAGATGTGCAGTCTCGCTCATTGCTCGCTCGACGACCGGCCGAGTAAACAACCCTCAAACAGTTACGTAAACACATTCGTGTACGGTAGTAGTAAGTAGTACCGCGAACGTCAGCCTTCAGTCAAGATGTGATGGCGACAGATAGAGCGTGTGGCAGGAGAGAATACAATACATGCATTGGAGGAAAGACTGGATAATTGAAATCTTGACAGTGATTGAACAGGTGCAAACAAAGAATATGCCGATAGCCGTATAAATGATTTATTTTCGTACACTCGTAAGAGACACCCATGCGACATGAAAGATGTAGATATTAGAACGAGACAAGCAGTGATGAAGGGAAAGTACAAGTATGAAAGATGACAAGAGGAAATTTTCTAAAACACCATCGGTCTTTGGCCCACCCTCCTGCCAAAGCCTTCCTCCAGGCTGTTCTCTACAGCATCAAGATCCTCCCTCGTGGGCGTGTTGCTCGCGTACGAGGTGTAGTAGGTGGAAGTGGAGGACGGGGTGGTGGCAGCTGACGCGCCACCAGCCGGGGTACCAGCACGTGGTGTGGAGAAGCCTGAGCTGGGGTGGCCAAAGTAATCGTCGAGCTCGGAAGTGGAGTGGTTGCGGCGCGTGACATCGAGTGAAGGATCACCTGCCCAGCAGAAACTACAGCACTTGTCAGTAACACGGCTTTACTAGATAGAATCAACTCACTGCTCGATCAAGCTCGAATAACTCGCCATGCTGCTCATACTGTTCAGACTCGTCGAACTCTCACTGGCCTCGCTCGTCCTCGGGCTCCAGCTACCCCCATTGTCATACGGTGAACGGGGAGACTCGGGCGGCGTTGCCGTCGCCGTGCTCGACGAATCGAGCGAAGGAGGCGAGCCCATAGAGTTGTCCTCGATATGCTCCGGTTCACCGATGGTAAATTTTGGAGGGGCAGAGATCGTCCGGACAAGTGGTGGCTGGGTAGAGACGACCTTGGCAGCACGTACAGATGGAGGGGTCCGAGTCTTGGGCGTGAGAGACGGAGCGATGGGTTCAGGCGACGGCCCTTCCGGGGAAGGCCCTTCAACCTTGAGCCCCGGCACTGGCACTGCCTTGGCGTTCGACCTCGGCGAGGTAAAGACATTGCTGTCGCCAACCAACTTGTCCTGGTCGAATTTGGGCGAGTAGAATGTCGTAGCAGCCGGGCTACTAGGGCGCTTGGGCGCATCAAAGCTTAGCAGACCCGTCTTCATCTCTGGCAAGGGCACAGGCGACCTCAGCGGCGAGTTAGAGTTGCGTCTCGCCAAGTTCAGCGACGCGCCAAAATCATATCTTGCCGCCAGCGACCCGCCCCGTCCGTTCGAATCCGCCGCCTTGACCTCGAGCGGCGCCAGCGACGCTCGGGGAGAGGCCTTTTTGTTGTTGAAGGAAAAGTTCCGGGACGAGTTGGGCGACAAGGGCGGACGGTCGTCGTCGTCTTTGAGTCTATCGAGCTTGGCGCGCAAGTCGGCCATCCTGTCATCTCCACCTGCGACACTCCACTGGGAGCTTTTGCCCCCGACCGCCTTGCCCATACCAGGCTGAACGGGAGCAGCGTCCCGCGCGCCCTTGGTAGGCTGTCGAGCAGGGCGGTTTTTGGTGAACAATACCTGGTAGTTTTGCCCACCATTCGAATCCCAAATCTCCCTCCCATTCACGTTATACCTCGCGGCGATGAACAGCGTCTTTTGCTCAATCTTGGGGATCAAATCGCCCAGCTTGATTGTAAAAGTGAACCTATCGTACTGCCCGCCCTTGACAGATTCCTTGAAAACACCAGTGACTTCAGACGTCGTCTGCCACCAGTCAAAGGTAAATCGCACAGCGACCCACTTTTGGAAAGACAGGTTTTTGCAGATGATGACGCCTCGAAGGGACTGGCGATCGTCATTGAGAAAGATGGACTCGAGGTAGAGATCGGATTGGGGGTCATGGTACGTCGGAAAGTTGGGAAGCGAGATCTGCAGGACCTTGCGTTCTTCCTCCATATCGCCAAACGGATAATCGTCCCCTTCATCCTCCATCAACGGCGACCCGTCTCGGCTGACCACCAGCGGTTTCTGGTCATGCACAAAGAGCTTGATGCGCTCGAGATGGGAGTCAAAGTGCACGAATTTGAGGGCAGATGGCGTAGAAGGGCACGATTTGGACTCGTACATGGCCCGACCTTCGTCCATGGGCGTCGCAGCCCCACTGGACCCGCCATGCTGCTTGAGCGCAGACTTGAGCACCTGGCCCGACTTTTTGCGAATGAGGGCGCTCCCAAAGCGGGTCGACGGAATTGCGGTATGGATAGCAGGGGTATCGGAGATGGGCGGGATGGCGTCGAGGTTGAGTTTGAGGCCGTTCTCGGGCCGTCGGCGTGGTGGAAGATGGATGGGAGGCGTGTGGGCGACGGTGCTGGGGTGACGGCGGGGGACCATCTGGGGGGATGTGGCTGCCGAGGCAGAGGTTGCTGGCGGGGGAAGAGGTGTGGAGATGGTTGGGACGGATGCAGTGGCGCGGTGGACGGCTCGGGGCTTGACGAGAGGGGTGTTGTCGGGCGAACTGGCGGCTGAGCTGGTAGCAGAGCTGAAGTTGCTCCCGGGAATCTCTGTGAAACCAAACAGCTTCGACCGTCTGCCCCTCTTGGCAGCTATTGTGAGCGAGTCGGCAGCCATGGCGAGGGTCTTTTTGGGCGGCGAGCGCACTTCCGGAAAGACGTGGAGCGGGATGGAGACGGAGCCCGGGGAGGAGGGGGCAGAGGACAGGGGACTGTGTAATGGGGACGACCGGGCGACAAATGCGGGGATGGAAGATGCCATGGAGAGGGGAGTCGATGAGCGCACGACGGGGTGGTTTGATGGCGGCGGGGTGAGGGTGACTTCATCAGAAGGAGACTCGACCCTGTCGGGGGTGGGAGGGGAGACAAAGATTGATCCGGCGTCGTCAGACCTGAAAACAATCAGCTCCACTTGTTGCCGCGATCATGAAGACGTACTTGTGATCCCCGACATTCAGCCTCAAGCCATGCAGCCTCATCTCGCCCACATCTTGCCCGTCGTTCGTCATTGAGGGCCTCGCAAAGAATTGGAAGGCATCCATGAGGGGGGACGGCGTGTCTGTTTCGAGGACTCTTGAGCGACAGAGGGATGCGAGGAGCGAGTGGGATTCTCTGAGGCGGAGACGAGAAGTACGCCGGGTAGGGGGGAGGGTATCGCGAGGAGGAAGATTCTCTACAGCCATCGGATGAGCACAGGGGAGATGATGGAGTTGGCAGAAAGGAGAAAAGTTTTAGACAGGCGAGATACACACCAAAGGATGCACGGGACAATGGGGCGTGTTGTTTACGGTCCAGAGCAGAGACCGACGACGCTTTGTACAGCCTGGAATTGGGCGACTCACGAGTAGATATGTCCGCAATGTGGGGACAATAAGACAAACAAGAGATATCCCCAAAAGGGCCGCTAACGGAGAGGAAGATTATACGGAATAGATATGCCGAAAAGCCAGGCCGGCGTGGGCGGGAGTGTCACGCGAAGATGATCCACCTGCTGCTTTGGGAGAGTCGCTGGAGGGGGGCAGGGTGGGCCTGGGTGGATGATAGATAGATGTGGGAGAAGGAGAGATGGGCGGAGTGTCGAGGGAGGGCCAAGTGCGGGGTGAAGAAAAGCGTACATACATATGACTGGCAACGTAAGCATGGCCCCAATCACATCCCCACGCGCCCCGCCCAGGCCCCGCCCAGGCCCCGCCAAACGCTGACGTCAATTAAGAATGGGAACAACCTGGTCTAAAGTCTAAATTACCCCTTGCCTGGCCCGCCTCTTTCTGCAGATTTTTGAGCTGCATGTATCGACCATTCAAAGAGACCAGCCCTCTCAGAGCATAGCTGCTTGTTCTCCCCTACCAATGAGGCCATGTCAGACAATTATCCTCACCAAGAGAGCTCATCAGAAGGAAGTGGGTAACGGGTGACGGGCTTTCTCCTATCGCCCTGCGCTAAAGAAACGGCCCCCGCGGCTCCAGAAATCGACGGGTGCCGATCATACAAGTACGAGTACGCTAAAAACGCAGTTCATTAATGCATTGCAACAAACAGAAGTTGGGTGATCGGAATGAAGAAGGAATTCCATACGCAGCACGCTACATATGTACTTGTCCCGCCTCCTCCTCCTCCAATGAGGCCACTGACCCCTCTTCTGTACCCCCGGCCGCTTTGAATCGCTCCTTCAGCACCTCGCATACCTCCTCCCAAGGCGCATTCAATGGCAGCCCATCAAATATACTTGTCTGCTCGTAGTGGTACTTCTTTCGGCTGACCCACCTATAATTGACAAACTCATATCTCCCTGGATTACCAAACGCCTCTTCCAAAACAATGATATCCCACGATCCTCCCAATTCTCGAAGAGAGCGCCAAAAGCCCACATCTTTCCGCCCTTCAAGAAACGTTTTTCCATCTCCCATAGCATGAAGCGCCCGCGCTGCGAACTCTACATCACCCCACTGGGACGCGAGGTGGAACCAGCCCCAGGGATCATGGTATATAGCAACACGGTAGAACTCGTCAACTATCTTTCGAGAAAGCTTGTCGTTGAGATCCCACTTGCGATGGAACAAGAATAAGTTGCCAGTCTCGTCTACCGATAGCGGGAAAGTCCTGTTTCCACTGAGGGCGGCGAGTTCTAGAAAGCATTGCAGGGTGGCAGAGGTCTCTTCCATCTCAATGGGCGCACCAGTGGAAGGCGCTCGAGTGCTCGAGTTCTCGATGCCAGTATCAACCTTGGCGTCGGCGTCAGATGTAGAGCTGGTAATAGGCCGGGGAACACTGAGCATATCGCTGAAGACTTTACTAACACATATATGAGCATGTCGCGGACACCGATCGAGTGCAATCGCAGGGATGAGAAGAGACCCACCTGGCCTTCCCGAGACGATACCCGTCGACGCAGAACAAGACGTTATCAGAGGACAAGAGGTGAACATCCCCTTTTTGGTAGTCTTCGTGGACTGTAGGTGGCGTTTGCTTGGATGGGGCCGTCGGGCTTTCTGCCATCTTGAATAAGACTGGGATTTGAAAGAAGGTCTGTCTTACTGAGAAAAACAGACAAGGAGATCGAGAAGAGGAGCGGGATGTCAGGAAAAGCTTGCGCACGCTGAACACGTACTTCGAGCACGACGTCTTCTGCTAGGGCAAGGTACACACCCTTTGATTGGCAGGTTATATCGTGACTCACATGGTACGTACATTGGTGGGCCTTGCGGGATAGGCATACCTTGATGTTGCCAGCAGCGCAGGGTGAGGTTCAAAATTCTCGTTCAACGTGGCGGGCGTTTCGCTTAGCGTGAAGCCCGTCTGGATGTGTCAGTTTCCTCTGAATCTATCGTGTTATGAGACCCGTAATCAATCACTAGCCATTCAAAGTCGACGGGGGACTGGTAGAGAGACAAGAGACAAGCGGTCATATACTGCAAACACAATATCAGGATGGGTGCGCTATGCATACGCACACCTGATCCCTCATCCTCTGCCTCTATTCTCTACCGTCTACGCCCCTTCTGCACCATCTCAAATCCATCTTCATCCACAACGGGCTCCTGTCTCTCTCTCCTAGGCTCGCTAGCCTCCAGCTGGGGCGCCTGATCTCCATCCACCTCCATATCATCCTCGTCCTCTCCACTCGACGAATCGTCCTCTTCAGCAGCAGCCCCCTTGGACGCCTGCACACCCGACTTCCTGACCTCCCTCGCCTTGTTCTCCAACGTCGACACGATAGCCTCGGGGTTGGCTTCTGTCAAGACATGCTTCCACAACCTCGTAAGGTCAGAAGCCACCGACTCGATAGACCCATCCTCCAGCCTAGCCTCAAACTCATCCTCCATAATTTGAGTGAGGAGGTCGATGAGGTCGTCTTGGTCGAGAGGAGGGTCGTTGGCATCGTTCGGGTCAACCGTAGGAGCGGCCGCTGGTGTGGCAGGGTCGGCAGGGAGGTAGGTGGCACGAGATTCAAACTCGTCAATGAGGGTGGATGCGATCCAAGTCTTCTTGTCTGCAGACTCGGAGCCTCCCCATTCCTCGGCGACGGCAATAGTAAGGGCAGGCCAGAGGTCGAGCAGGGCAAGAGTGCCTCGGGCGAAGAGAAGGATGGTAGGGGAAGTTTCTGTGGGTTGGGACATGCCAGTATGTGACTTTGTGGGTGGGACAGGTTATGAGGGGTGGGCAGTGCCAGCAGAGGGTGGGATGGGGTGGAAAACGATGTGAGAATGTTTTTGAAGGCAATGCTCGGATCGCCGCCGGTCTCAAAAATTACAGAGCAGCGGACATGCCCGCCTGATGTTAGGACGCGTAGAAACGCGTAACATTGTTAATTAGGGGTGCACTAGCGAGGTGGATGCAAGTCTCACCAAAGGTATATAAAGTAGTCTCACAATGCACCTCTTCCTCTTCTCCTTCCCATCTTCATCTCTCATCCTACTATCCGCCTTACACCCTCCCCGGTTTGTCGCCTGTCGCTTTGCAGTAAGCCTCTGAACAGCCCTTGCCGCCCACCGCTAACGTCAACCTCTCATAGACTGACCCCAGCATATTCTCCCCACCATGACTCCCCTGACGTCCAACCCACCCCGCTCCCACCACACCCGAGCGCACTCCACTTCCACCGCCTTCAACGGCCAGCCCCAGTCCAAGACTCGAGCCGCACGATCCAAGTCTCTCGCCGGGCCCCCCCCACCTGCCAAATCCGCCGGGCTGGGCTTCCTCTCCGGAGGGCTTCCCACCGGCCCGAGCCCCCAGCTCCACCCCTACGACTCCATCTCTTCACTCCCCGACGTCGAAGCCCTGGGTCTGCCTCCTGCCTCTGTGTCCGAGCTTCGTCAACGAACCCAGCAGCTCATTCAGAATTCCATCACAAGCACGCGCATCAACGCCACTCCCTTTGATCAACCAACCTTCCAGTTCCCTTCCTTGGCTACTTTACCTGGGGAAGTCCCTTTGCACATGCAAGCCGACGACTATGCTCTCCTCCAGGCTATGGAGCAGTTTGGCGTAGGCAACTCTTACGCCAACAACACCCAGGCTGTTCCTGCTCTAAACCTTGGTCATAACCGGCAGTCATCAAGCATATCCAATGTCTTTGACCCTCCTCGCTTTGCGTATAGCCGCACCGGCAACCGTGCTTTTCGTACTCGATCGCGGGCTTCCAGCAGGGCTTCGGACACGTTTGTCACCGAGGGTCGAGAGGCGTACGGTCCGTCCAAGACATTGTGGCTGGGAAATATCGATGTGCAGGTCACCAAGGGTATGATCTATGAAGAGTTTGAGCATTATGGGCCCATCGAGAACATCAGGGTTCTGCCGGAGAAGGTGAGCCGTGATTCAACGTGTGCTGCATTACTAATGATGGAGTAGACCTGCGCCTTTGTCAACTTTGTCAATTCAACATCGGCTGTGACTGCTCATGAGGACATCTTGAAGAGGCAGGGCGGCGTGATGCTGTCACTCAACAAGACTGCTCCTGTACTCCTCGGCTTTGGAAAAGACAATTCTCACAGACGGACCGCTTCCACCCTCTCTGCCGCGTTCTCCACCTCTGCCGAAACGGCCACCGGGAATAATGGCTGCCCGCATGGCATAGCACCGACCAGAGCCATTCGGATTGAACGAGTACCCGAGAATGTTTCTTCCACCACCCTGTCACAGATATTCTCTCCTTTTGGCTCTGTTGAGAATACCAGAATTCTTCCTGGCAAAGTGAGTCTCGTCCCCGGCACGTTAATGCATCTCCGCTGACCTCCGGGTAGCGCCACGGTTTTGTCAACTTTGAACTCTTGGACTCTGCCGTCGCCGCCTACGAATCGCTCAACGGCAAGCCCCTTTTCGGTCCCGACTTTGGTCCTGTCCGCATCGACTTTGCCCGAGTTCCCACCCGCGCCCCTAGTCAGCTCAAGGTCACTTTTCTGACCGGCGACAGCCTCGCCGAGGCTCTTGGCACTGTCAAAGGCGCCGACTCGGTTCCCATGGAGCGGCAAATGTGTGATGAAGACGGTGACGTGGAGAACTACCGCAGTCCATTCCTGTTGGACATCCTGAAGGAGGGTGTGCACGAAAAGGTCTTGAAGAAGGGGTTGACTCTGGACGGACATGTGTCTGAGAAACAATTGATCATGCAAATGCTGAGTGAGGAGGATGAGGATGAGGATGTTAGAGCTGTGGATAGTGAGTCTCTTTGCTATCTTTTTCATTCCCGCTGAGGTTCTGTAGCCGATCGACCTGTCAGGTTGGCGTACAAGACCGACATTCCTCAGCTACAATCCTTGCCCCTGGAAACCTTCACTACTGTGGACTTGAAGCAGATTGAGTCCGAGCTGAAGGATGACACCACTGTGACTGAAGAGATTGACGAATTCGCCTTGAATTGCCTATCCAGTCTTACTCAGGTGAGTCGCTCGAACTGGGATCTGGAGGCGCAAGCTTATCTTGCCTAGCTGGCTCTTCACGGCGTCGGGAATGGGATTGTCCAGAGCCTTTTCAAGAGTGCATCTTCCTTCATTCGTCTTACCATCATTCGTAACCTCGCCCCTCAACTCGCGTCTATCGGATGTCACATGCGCGGCACTTGGGTTACACAAGCGCTCGTTGATAACAGCAAGGCCCGTGATGAGCGTCGTGCGATTGTCGACGCCTTTCGAGACTGGATTCCCGCTTTGATGAGCGACAAGATCGGCAACTACATTTGCTCGGCTCTGGTAGCTTATGGTCCCGAGCACAACAGTGTCGTATTTGATGCTGCTGTGGATAGGATGCTTGAAGTGGCTCAGGATAGGTTTGGAGCGCGATGTTTGATCAGGTGCTTGGACAGCACCCATACTACTTGGTATCAGAAGGTAAGCTGGGGTGTGTATCTCTGGCTCACAGTACTGACTTTCTATCCAGAAAAAGGTGGCGACAGCAATCATCCTCAATTCCATACCCCTGGTCACCAGCTCCAATGGTGCGCTACTCGTCACTTGGTTACTCGAGTCTATCGACATACCCCGTCGATGCGAGCTTCTGGCCAAAAGGTTCTTGCCCCACCTCACCCATCTCTGTATTCATGGTATTGCTTCAACCGCCATCCTTCGAAGTGAGTGATATTGATCAAGTCCTCGTATAGATGCTGACAACCATAGTCATCGCTCAAACGTCCGACAATGCGGCTTCTAGCTTGCTTATCAGCGGCATCTTTCGCACAAGGAACGACAACGTCCTACAGGAGCTTCTGAGCGACCCCCAGAATGGCCTTCCCTTCATTGCCAAGATCGTCGCCATCGACACCGTTCCTCACGACCAGCGTCTTGTGCTGGAAGAAGCAATCAAGCGAACTCTCCCAATCGTCCACAACCGCAGCTCTACAGAGTATCAGACGCTCAGCAGATCTCTCAAGGCCGGCCATCAACATCACACCACTTCTAAAAAGCGCCCGTCCAAGCCCGCTTTGCGCACGTCCCGAAGCAACATCCTCCAGCCCAAGCAATTCCACGAGCGTCGAAAGTCTTCCCTGTCGAAACTCCCGCCCCGCTTCACTACACCTCAGATCACATCCGAGCAAGCCCACTGGTACGATACGCCTATCGTTGCCTTACCTTCTCCCGAATTTCGTCCAGTGAAGATTGTCGCCCCTGATGAGCGAAAGAAGGGATACAAGTATGCGAGTGACGGACGTTCGGCTTATCAGGCGGATGGAGACGCCTCTGACGATGACGATGCGTCGTCCACCTCGAGCTACAAGACTTTTCACACTGGAATGCCGGACCACTCTATGGAAGTGCCCGCGATGGACATACTGTACTTGGACGATTCCATCGACTCGCATCAAGAGCTCACACCGGCTATGACGACCTCTTCTCTCTCCCCGACTCCTACTGTCATCTCCACTCCCGCCCTCTCGATCCAATTCCCAGGTCACTATCCCGAACCGTCCCATAGATTCGCGTCCGAGTCGAGGCCGAGCGACCAGTCAACCGATGGGCTACAGCTGAACGTTGCGCCGGAAGATATCAAAGCCGAGGTGAAAGTGGAGAGTAAGGCAGAAAAAGGAGAGTCCTCGACAAAGAAGGCGCGTAGGCTGTCTCAGTCTGTAGCGGTGAGTTCTTCAGCAACGTCTTGGCTGTTGCTGAACATGTTCTTTGTAGCACGTCCCAGAGACGATCGTGGAAGAAGGATCCGTACCTTGACGAAGACAAACGACCAATGACGATATTGTAAAGTAGCACTTATCACGGACGATTCTTATAGTCTCATGATCAAAGACATCGGCGTTGACGGTATATACGACTAGTCCGTCAGTACATGTATGCGCGATTGTATCTACATGTTCAGAGTTGCATGATATTGCCCAATATTGCCAGGTGTTAGCGCTGTGTGTAGCTGAGTCTGTCGAGTGATGTATTGGTTTCTGCATTGGTCGTATTTGCCAAGGGGATGGACGCTGGCCACGGCTTTGCATCCTTCTGCAGAAAATGCTGCGAGATCCTGCGTGGTACATGTCTCTCGCCGTCGTCGAACGGTGGGCAGTTATCCTCAGCAGATCTCCGCGAGTAGATCGATTCTAGATCCTGCCGGCTCGGCGTGAGTCTCTGCATTGGGCAAGCACTTGCAGGCGGTATATATACCCAGCAGCGATGTGATCCGTTGCCCGTACGATCCACTGACAAGATGCGGCTTGCTACCTTGCTGACGCTGCGATGGGTGGGGGCGGGCAGCGATAAGCGGAGGCGTACCTGCCCCGGATGCCGTTTGCGGGCGGGGGCAAAAAGGAATGGGCGGGCTGTGGATGGTCTTCAACACCACGCCATGGACGCCCCCTCCCTCCCTGCCGCATCCATCCTCCTCAACGCCCCAGGCCGCCCACCCGCCTCCCCCAGCAGCACTCCCCACAATGGCGCTCCCCTAGACTCCAGCATCTCCGGCTCGTCCCTCCAGAGCACAAGCACCGGCACCAGCAACGGCAATCCCTTTTTCAGCTCAGACTCGTCCCAGACGAGCATACCCCACTCATCGCCCCCGCTCTCCTCGTCTGCCCGCGATCCATCCCCGGCCCCTTCCCACACCTCGTCCTTCTCCTCACAGCAGGGCTCGGGCGGCTACTACCCCTCGTCCATGACTGCTCCTGGCTCCCCTTCACTCGGCGCTGTCAACCGGCGTACCAGCACACCCAAGATCTCTTTTGCCCCCCTCCCCACCGTGCCACCCGAGTTTCGCAGGCGAAATTCCATCTCTCTTGGTGTGGCTTCGCGCCGAAACCTGATCGGTGCGCAGAATGGCCTACCCCCAGGCGTGCAAAAGCATAGCGGGGTGCATAGTGTGATTATGAACGATGAAGAGTGGGAAGAGTACCAGAGGCAGTACCATGAACGGAAGGGGTGAGTCATTATGTCCTTTGGTGTTTACTAGTATAGTGGACCTTGGGCCGAGAGAAACGCGTTGATGCCTGTGGCAATATTGTCCGGGCGGGGCATGCATGGCATGGGGTGCTTTCCACCACCTCACTGGCCTCGGAGGCATTCCGGTATACTACTTGGGGCTGTCTGTGGCGTTACGGGGAACATCTACCGGGGAACGCCCTTGGCGCGGGGCGTAGACCGAGCTCAGCTGACATTCTGGCTATAGCAACGACGGCGTCGTCGACGTAGGACAACTTGCCAAATCCGGTGCCAAAGCCCTTTGGCGCTCCGTCAAACGTCGGCGTTCCTCCTCCCAAACCTCCCAGGCCTCCCAAACATCCACCGACTCGGCGTCCACCAACCTCTCCAACGCGCAATCCGCCGGCTCGGGCTCGGCGTCCGGTGTGTCCCAGCAGGGAAGTTTATCAACCAAGCCGGGTGGAGCGGGAGAGACGATGAGCAGTTTGCATACTGTGGAAGAGGATGATGAGCACCATTCGCCTCCGGCTCCGGCAGCGGACCTTGTCAGAGACGATTCGGGCGCGCAACCCCTCCATGCACCGCTTGCCAAACGCCCGAGATCGCCGGGTGTCAAGCTCACCAAAGAGGCGCTGGCAGCCGAAGGCTTGGACGACGGCGATGGCGAGGGAGGCGAGGCTACCCCGAGGCGGAGACCCAGCCCGCCGCCGAGGTTGGCCGACAAGCTTCCCACCGCAGACGAGCTCGCAGAAGGTCGCGAAGAAGAAGACGACGGGGAAGACGATTATGAAGACTCGTCGGTGGGATACGAAGAGGAGCACGACGAGCTCAGTACGGTCGAAGAGAAGGAAGACATTTCGGCTCACGCGCATCACCATGCTCAGCACGAGCACCATGATCACGAGCACGAGTCGCACGAGGAGAGGGATAGGGATAGGAAGGCGTCCGTGTTGGGTTTCGATGTGGAGCGATTCGGTTTGATGGAGATTGGGGAGCAGCAGCACAGGGGGAGGAGATGATTCGATTTAGAACCATTTGTAGTGAAAATGCTCATGACCGAGAGCTATTTGGACAGATTTATACATGGCTGATTCTATCGAGAGGTTTTTTTGTACTTATACCACGACGCAATGTACGCATATATTTGGTCGCCATTCATTACCTTTAGACGACGGGGGTAGTCGTATTATAACGCGCTCAAAAGAGGGGTGTAGAGATCGTGGCGGTGTCGGTGACATGTCCAGAGATTGATGGAGTACGTGAGGTCAGTCAAGCGCTTCCGCACGCTGCTTGCATGCACCAGAACCTCCGATGCGTCCTATATGAGCCAATGCTTGTGGATGCATGCAAGGCGATGAGGCGATCCAAAAGTGGGCGTCGTACACTTTTTCTTCAGGTTTTCCCGATGCGCAGAATTGATGCGGTCAGTCCATTTCGTGTTGTCCTAGGTCGGGCGATCCAAGTAGATTGTACAGGTCAGACATCCCTTGAGTGACGCAGCTGGATCTCGCTGAGTGTCGATTGCGTGACACTACGTAAAAGTTGTCGATGAATCCCATTTTGAAAACGTATGGGCGGATGACCATTGAATTCGCTTTTGTTTGCTGCGCCAAGCTGAGGAAATACCAGGTTGCTACCCAGGATAGAAGCAAGGGAGGACAATGTCGGTGAAGGTTGGAACGTCCAGAGAAAGCGCGGGAACCAGAAAAACCCATCGTTTGGTCAGTAGATAATTTGAGTGGTCTCCCGCGCGAAGCTTCCTGGTTTCCCCGATTCCCCTTCTACCCATTCCAAGGTCACTTTCCAGCTCATCCCAGACGGCACACTCTATCCACAATCCCTCCCTAGTTTTTGTCGCCGCCGCCAGGTGTCACAGGTCAGCCCAAATCCCACGTTCGCCATGCCCTCATGCAGTTGCGATATTGTCGAGAAGAATGTGTTGAGGTGGAATAGGATGTGTCATGCGACAGAAGATGCTAGTGCCAACAAGCAGAAAAAAACAGATCCATCCAAAGAACGCTCTCCTCTACTACTTCGTGTCTTTGGTGAATTTAGTTCTTCCTTCGGAAAGAGCAACCTGAGCAGATTGTCAGTCGGTCGCTTCATGTGATGGCAAGTGGACGCACCCTCGGTCAACTTGGCCTTACCACCGGTCGGCTGGCAAAGAGCGGTAGCGCAACCTTGGCACTGGACGACGGTAGAAGCGTGGGAGAAGACGGTACTGTTGTTGAAATGTCCGATTGATAGGGGTGAGCGGGAGAGGTGGAAAAGAAGGACAGGGTTGATCAGCGAGACCCCACGACATCGAGACATGCAACTCACGTGATGGCGAAGCATCCGGGGCACTTGACGTCCATGAAGAAAGAGTTGGGCTCAGGGACGATCTTCTTGAGCTTGTGGGTACGGGCCTGGACAGAGGCGGGTCGGTTGACGAGGTCGACGGCGAGAACCTGCAAAGAGTCAGCATCACGCCATTTCGGAATGTCTGGTGGCTGGATGAGTCGTGCTTGGACAGATCGATCGGGGGAACGAGGGACACCAGGAGAGACAGCTGCCACGGGGGACAAAGCAGCCCGCCCCGGGTAGATACCGCCGCCGCCGATTTTTGGCTCGAGCATAACCCCCCCTCTTCCCCCTGATCACGCCTTTCCCCAGTTCCTTCATATATCCCTCATACCCCCCACGCCTTATAGCCCTCCATGCCCCCCCGTCCGATCTATCCTAGCACGCCACCGGCCACACGAGCTGGCTCTACTTACCATTTTGGCTAGATCTGTTGGTTTTTTGTGGTTTTGGTGTTGGCGTGTAGGGGGTTCGTATGGTTACCGCAAGGATGTCGAGGCGAGGCCGGCGATGCTTGCGAGAGATTTTATGGGAGAAGGAGAAGAGAGCTGAGGTGTCTCCTGCCACACTCAACCCGCAATCCTGCAAAAGCCTCCCCTAATCCCGCCGGGGAATCCGCAGTGGCGCCTGTACTATGACAAATCTTAATTACGCTTTTGTGTTAATTACGCTCTTCCTTTATCGCCGACAGGAGCGAAGCTATGCATCCCATGGAACCAAATGCATACAAAATCAACATGTACATCAACGCAGCCGCACAACACCCTCCCGTCCGGATGGCACATCCGCTGCTTTGCCATCCGCAACCAACTTTCCAGCAGACTTGAGCTGCTTCTTGCGCTCAGTAGCAAACGTCTCGGTATGAGACTTTTTCTCTGCCCTTCGGGCCTGTTACACGAGTCAGTGCAATCTATGCAGCATGACGAGACACTCACGGCTCGCTCGGCCTTGACGGCAGCCTTCCTGGCCTTCTTGTCGTCCGCCGCTTCGCCCTTCTGACGCGCTACTGTCACCCTGGGCCCGCCCTCACGCTCAGTCTCGGAGCCAGAGTCGGATTCAGACTCTTCCTCTCGCACGGGCGGGGCAGCTTGGGCTTCTCTGGGCTTGCGCTTGGGGTTGCGAATCGTACCAGGGTGGTTCTCCGTATTTGTCCGCGTACCTGCTTCTGTCAGCCTAGCACCTTTTGATGGGGATGACTTACTCAGAATACTCTCGACATCCCACTTGGGGCCATCCTCCTGCCTTACCCTCTCGGTCTGCGCGGGTCTTTTCGGACCCTTGCCTCCCCTGGACATATCTTCCCTCTCAATCTCCATGATTCTCTTCCTATTCTCCTCCTTCTCCTCATCCTGCCCTTCAATAGCCGCCCTCATCACCCTGAGCTTCTCCGGACCCGTCATTGTCGTTCCACCCAAAGCCGGTCTCAACCTCCTGCCTACGATTTCATAGTTGTCCAGGAAATCGTCCATGATGGACTCAAAGTCGTCTCGCGAGAGTTCAGGGGGTACGGCGGTGGCGTTTGAAGCGCGCGAGGCATGGGAAGCGAGAGAGAAGCGCGAGGCGGTTGAAAAGTTGGAAGCGGCGATGGATGCTGTCCCATCGTCCGAGTCGTCCCAGTCTTCCTCTTCTTCCTCTTCGTCATCATACAAGTAGTCCATCTCGACCTGTGCAGATGTCAGTATCAGTCTCCGCGTCGATATCGCCACGCACCTTGTCGAACCGATCATCCAAATCTCTCAGACCCTGCGTTCGGAACATGCTTGAACTACTCATACTCATGCCAGACGCATCACTGGGTCCCCTCTTTCCTCTTCTCTTCTTTCCGCCTTGGACCATCATGTCGCTCATGTTACTCGCCAAGCTTCCAATGGTATCGGCCATTTCACTCCTCTCCTCCTCTCCCCACATGTCTTCGCCAGCTTCAGACACAACCTCCGGAAGCTTGTGTTGTTGAGCTTTAAAGGCCTTGAACCTGTCTTCCCAAGTCTCTTCCCTCTCTTCGCCTTCTTCCAAAGGTTTCTTGTCCATAGGCTTGCCCTGCTCGTCTACACCCCACTCAGCAAACTCCCAAGGGACCTCCTCCTGCGCGCTCCTCTCTCCTCCCTTCACGAGGCTTCCAAACCAATCTTCATCGTCCCCTTCCTCATCCACAAACTCGTCATCATCCAGCGCTTCAAGCACTTGACGGAGATGCGGGTCCATGTCCGGCTGCAAACCCTGCAGCTCTGTGGGGATAGCCTCACTCCTAGCCCTTGCCTCCTGCACGCTCATCATGGCCTTGCTCGGCAACACAGTCTCTGGCAGTTTGAACATGTCATCATCGACCGCTCCTCCTTTGGCCTTTTGCTTTCCACCCTTCATTCCTGGGGCGACGCCAGATCCACCCTTGGGGGCAGCGATAAGCCACGAGTCACCGCCCGCGGCAAGACCACCAACGGGCTTGAGATGCTGCATGTAGTCGTAGGCAGAGTCGTCGTAGGTGATTCCGTAGAGAGCCGCTTCGCCTTCATTGGATCGGATCTTGGACTTGTCGAGGGAAGCTTCAAGTTCGGCAAGAGAGAGCTCGGCCTGTCATGAGATCAGCATTTCGTCTTTGCCGTTTGCCTCTCTAGCTCTCAGCACGAACACACCTTCTTGTCGTTTCCCCTGGAGACCGCCTTCAAGACTCTCTGTCCAACATCGGGATCATTGATAAGCGGATCTTGCTGCGAACGGTGGACAAGCTGGAAATGTTGTGCGTTGGGACCGCGGAAGGTAGAGCCTTTAGGAGGCATTGCGGTTTATGTTTTTCGGTCTTGCTTTCGATTTCAGGGGGTAGAGGCGGTGGGCGCGCTTGGTGGGAAGGGGAGCTTGGGGGCTTGAAGGGCAAGAAGCTGAGGGTGTTGTTGATGAGTGCGTGCAGTAGTGAAGGATTTTGTCGAGGTCGCCTCCACTCTCGAACTTTTGATCCCGTCGGCATGTGCCCGATGATGCTTCTCGACTTGCGCTCTTTCGTTTTCGCACCTTTTTACACCTACAAAACTCAACCACTCGCTTCCACTACTCCCTCAAATCAAATCAATCAACATGTCTTCTTTCTTTGGATCTGGCGCCGCTGGTACTGGTACGTTCTTTACCCTAGAGATTGCTGGAGAAAGGAAGACTGATAATTTGTGCAGCCGACATGGCCAACCGCAAGGAGCAGATGAAGCAGTCTATCCAACAAGAGGTAGGCATTATCCCGGTCACCATTGATCGACCGGTCAGGGTGGACAAGGACATGTCTGGGCGCGGCGAGGGTTTTTTTGGAGAGAGTGAGAGATGGAGAACGAACGATGAAGGACCGAGGATGGAGGACAAAAGAGCATGGTTCAGAGCTAATGTTTGTAATACAGCTCGCTATCGCCAACGCCCAGCAGCTCATTAACAAGATCAACGAAAACGTACGTCTCTTTATGTCTGCGTTCATGCTATGTACTGACGCTCGTCGCAGTGTTTCGCCAAGTGCGTCACCAAGCCTTCTACCGAATTGACTGGTTCTCAAGAAGTATGTCCCTTCTCCCCACCCCGTGTTTACTAGGATGGTGGCTCTGGGAACAAGTACCAAGAACGATAGCTGACAGTGTACAACAGACTTGTCTATCCCAATGTATGGGTCTTTACATGGCCGCCTTCGACCAGGTGTCTCGATCGTATGTCCAGAGGATATCGAAGGAGAGGGGAGGTCTTCCCGGTCTCTAATGTCCGAGTGGAGAATGAGGAAGTTAGGAGATACAGTCCAGAAGAGCGGCAGGAAGACGACATATCATGTAAAACACAACTCTATGCATCACTAGCGCACAACAGAATCTACTCTTCGTCGTCGTCGTCGTCATCGTCTCCACCCTCTTCTCTCCAGACCTTGTAGATCTTTCTCCTATTGGGCTCCGTCGCACCACCATGCGCGGCAGCGTTGAACATTCCCCTCAGAACCGATCCCTTCAGCTCTTCCGGCGTGCTCCTCTCCTTCCCTCCTTCTTTCGCGGTAGAGTGCATAACGATATGCGCATACATCGGCTCCTCCTTCTTTGTCCTCTTTGCGGGTCTCTCAGAGTCGGCCACGGGAGTGGAGGAAGCGAGGGAGAGGGAAGTGAGGATGGGGGTGAAGAGCGAGGACATGAGGCGCGTGTGGACTGTCTTTGTGGGGGTTCGGGCGAGGAGAATGGTGTGAGGGGTAAGGAGAGAGGCGACAGGGCAGGGGGGCTATTTACGGGTTAATGAGGAAGGGACGCGAGAGATGATGGGCTTACTTGGGAGGTGACTTCGGGCAAAGCGAGAACCTTGTCGAGCTCTTCGAGGTAGATATCGGACAAGTGGTTGGCAAGCGACTCGGGAACACTTCGATCTTCCCATCTACGACATTCCATCAGCTCTGTCCAATCGCGAAACATGACAGACGTACCCGACAGGTCCACCCTTCTTCATCAAAACATCATTGACCGCAGCCACCTTCTCCTCCTTCCATTGCTCCCTCGCCAACAGCCTAAATGTCGCATTGACATACTTACGCATGAGCATATAGTACTTGTCCATCCTCAGCCTGTCGATACCTGTCCATTCTCGGACGATGGCTTGCCAGAACCCAGCGAGGAAGGCGAGTGCGGCGGGGAAAGTGTCGGAGGGGTTGGAGGGGGCGATGAGCAGAAGAAGGTCGGAGAGGGAAGTAGCGAGAGCTTGTTGGACAAGGGGCTTGTCGGACATCCAGAAGCCTGGTCTTTGTCAGTCCTCGATTGAGCTCGTTCGTACAGGAGACGCACAGTAGAACAATCCCTTCCAGAGTTTGGCCATCTCTTTATCTTCCAGCGGCACATACTTGCTTCCTTCTCCCTCCCCACTTCCCTGGGACACAAATGCAACCAATCCTGCAATAGCCCTGTCTCTGACCTTCTTGTCTGTCACCGGGTCAGCAGCTGCGAAGAGCCAAACAGTTCAAAACATACCGGTGTGGGCGAGCTGTTTACCGAGGGGGAGGGCTGCTTGCACCGTCTCTTCCTCTGTCGCGCGGGACTTTCCCTTTCGGTTACTGGGGGCGGGCATTGGATTTGTACTTGCGGTTGTATAGCGAGTGCAGTCCGTTGATGCGACCAAAAAGTCAACAACTTTTGGATATCACGTGACTGTATGGTTCGGCGGCCGAGAGCTGTCGCCTGTCGCCGTATACGTACTCGCGTATGAAACAAGTTGGTATCTTTTGTACTCCGAGGCGACACAGTTGTGGCCCAGCGTGTGAGTTCCAGTACCACTGTGTAATTGTTCCAGCCGCGTATATTCCAACTCAATGTTGATATCAGTCTTCTTCAGATCGATATGGAGTCAAGAATGAGATGACGTGATCTGCAGAATCGAGGCGACAGCTTTTTGTCTCGGGGGTGCACATCACTGATCCACAAAAGCTGCATGCAGACCATCGTGTTCAAAAGCACTGGAGAACCAACCAAAGTACATATCCTGACTGCGACACCTGGTGCACCTCGACAGCAACAAAGAAGCAGCTTGCGTAGTAGGGCCTATGGGTCAAGGCAACAATTAGCAGCACTTATGACTGCTGCTGCTGCATGAGGTGTGATCGCACGATCCACGCGCCTATTGATAGCAAGACAATGGAAGGTCAGGATACTGCACGGTAGTCTCCGAGAGTGACTGGCTTACACTGGTCGCAAATCACCCCCCCGCTGCGCCCGACCCTGATTGCGTGGCCCCGATGGCCGCCTGCAAGCTGAGGCCTTGTTGCTGGCAGACGTGAATACCACACATCGGGTTCAAACAGCGATAGTTGGGGTCGGGGCCTGGAGCCTGCCCCCCAGTTCCTCCTTGACCATTTCCGCCTTGACCAGCTCCTCCTTGAGCACCGTGACCGCCTTGGTACGCATGCTGGGGACCTCCTGCGTAGTGGTATTGCTGCTGATAGTAGCTCATGATATTGCGTTTCTCTCTTCTGTTATGAGCTCGTTGTCAGCTTTTCACCTTCGCGAATGCTGCGTTCTTTTTCTTGGAGATGGCTTCGTTCACTCACCGAACTTTGATGAGTGTAGATCACGTATATCTATGAGGTAGCGTGCTGTAAAAGATATACGACTAGGGAGGATGATATATTGGCCCTTTTTGTATCCCGTTGCGACTCTGAGTGAAGCAGTCATCTGACCGAGGGTGATTCCTGACGCAATCGGACACGCTGCAGTCTGCAAGCTATATCATGCTGCAGAAAGATCTTCGCACCCAACCAAGGAAATCTAGTCCTGCACGACGTGGGCGGCATGGGAGGCGCAGCGCAAACATAAAAGCAGTATGGTTCTGCTACCTTGCGCAAAGCATGAAGCGTGACATTGAGTGAAGTGTTGTGGCGCAGTGGATAGAAGCATACCCAGAGTGTCTGTATCGTATTCGATTGCAAATGATACAGTTCCAGGGTATGCGTCACTACTGCAATTGATATCAGAGGCCGCCTGCGGTCTGCTACATACTCGGTGTATTCCTCTTCCTACAGTAGTAGTGATGACTTTCGCTGTTATGGTTGTCATGTTGAAGCATGTTCGGAGAAGACAGCTTCTTGTCACGTTGTAACTGTAGATAGATGTGGCTTGTCGGGGGAAAGAGCCGGTACACAATACTATTGCGCTACGCTCACAATGCACAGCACGAGTGTCCCCCTATGTACTCGTGCCGAATACATGCCTTCCAGGCCCCTCCAGGAGTGGGCAAACGGAATGTGACGCACGTAGGCCTGGGCGGCGGCGTGTTCCGGCCGTGTCACGGTGCTATCATCTCTGCTGAGACACGTCCATATTATGGGCACGCACGAGGCAGGGGTCCTTTGGAGGTCGGTGCTTGGCGCGTGGCGTGGAGCTGGGCGAGCGACTGTCTTATGTATCATTGCAATGTTGCTTTTCCCTTTGTACATCACCCGGAAGTTGTTATTCAGCAGCGAGAACCTCCCACGCCATGTCCTACCTTCTCAAGAAGCCCTGCAGTCATGAAGGCTGTCCCAAACATGCTATAGGCACCCTTTTCCACTGCGGAACCTGCGCAAAAGTGTGGTGTCTAGAGCATTTTCGTGCCTATCCACCGCATGTTTGCCAAATACTTATTATGGTATGTACTGAAGCCACTTGGCGGCCCAAGTTTCTTGCTAATAAACAGTCACAGGCAAGTTTCAAACCGGGCGGGGGAAAGGCTCGTCAGATAAAAGAGAAGATTGGCGTAAAAACGTCAGATGACAAGCATGCAGTGAGTGATGATGATTACCGGGATGAGAACGAGCGAGATTGAAGTGCTGACCATAGTACTCTCTGATAGTACCAGCGCACTGTTGAAGCCATCGACTCACACAAGATCACTCATCAGGCATCTCTCATTCGCCCTGGGCACACTTGCTCTCTCGTCACTCCATATATGCCAAATGACGACTGTCCTACGGCTCCAGCAGAGTACAAAATCGGCTGGGTGAACATTCACCTTCCTCTCATATTCGATGACGGAGTCAAGTGGATCGTCCGCATTCCTCGAAGGCACAACGGGGACGCTCCACCCAACCTGCACAACTTGGTGGCTTCCAGTGAAGCTGCGACTCTTCGGGTTTTGCATCAGAATGGTGCCAAGGTCCCCAACGCTTGGATGCCGGTGGAAGGAAATCCTGACGAGGCTGCAAACGGTGAGTTCGATGCCTTGTAGCCTTCTCCTACATCTGACACATAGCACTAGGAAGATACTTCTTTGAGGAGTTTGTCGAAGGCGTACCCTACATTGACGGCGACTACATGAACACGCTTCATCCAGACCGGGATCGGTTCACCGCCAGTCTTCTCGAATTTGCGCAGCACTACATTGCCGTTGCAGACATCAAACTCGAAGTCAAAGGTATTGGATCGCTCTACCCGTCTGACAACTCCTGTGGCTACACCTTGGGCCCTATCACGAGCATGGGTACTTTCATGCGGCCCGAGCCTCCCTACTTCTTGGGCCCTTTCAAAACGCTGAGGGACCGCTATATCGCGCATATTGAACAAGTTCTGTTCCACATCAGAAATTTGTCCTTCCTCATGATTGCCCCAATACGGACCTATGTGTGGTTAATGGAGCTGCAAGACATAATCAAAGAGTGTGAGGTCCTCGGTCGTGAGGAGGATGACTTCTATATTCGTCACGCGGATGACTGGTTTCGACAAACCATGAGGGATAGCGAGGGCCATCTCACAGGATGCTTGGACTGGGAATGGTAAGTGGCCTGCTTTCAGATACTTCAAGCACCAGCTGATTGGATTGCTACAGGGCTTATACCACAACCAAAAGCGAAGCTTTCTCTTCCCCTCTTCATCTCCATATCGCCCATCCGTGGACTGAAGGCGACAATGCGCTTAGTCCTGACGAGCTCTTGATGATCGATTGTTTCATCAAGCTCGGTCGACCGGACCTCGGAGATTGTATTCGTCAGGGAAGACTTTACCTTCGTCTCGAAGAAGCCTTGCGTATCGATTGGGAATTGTTCTATATGAACCGACGCGGGAACTTCAATGGAGTTCTTGCAGCCTTCAGAGATCAAGGACAGCAGGTCCCTGGTCCCTTCGAAAGCGACGAGGAGCTGAAGGTCTGGCTCGAAAGCTTGGAGAAGAAACGTCAAGAGAATGGAGAGTTGGATGAGGTAAGAGCTACCTGGAGGGCGTATAGTGCTGTGTGGAAGGAGGCCGAAAGGAGAGACGAGGAGACCTGGGAGGATGTGGTTGCAGAGCAGTACAAAAAGCTTGGTTTGGAGGAAGTTGATAGTGCCGAAAAGTAAACATTCTGGACCGTACTAGTCGATTATGCCTCTAGCTCTTTGATGGTTCGTAGGATGTGGACGATGAGGCTGTATTATAGACATATAATGCTGCATTAGTCACACGCTTGCACCACCTCTAAGCCTGATCCATGACAACATCCCCGTTTTGCGGGCTCTCCTCCTTGGCCTGACGAAAGTCAGCTTTCCGCATACTTGTATCGATGCAGTGTACTCACATCAAGATCTCCCTGTTCTTCGCCCTGCGCCTCGGGCTCTTCGATTTGAGCCGTTGTCTGTTCTTCTCCTCCGGCCGTCGTGACGGCGGAGTCGACTGTCGTCTCCCGCAGCTCCTCAGGCTTATCTTCTCCTACCTCCTCTTTCTCGACTGGCGGCTCAGCAGGAGCCTGTCCCTCGCCCGCTTTATCCTCGTCCTTGGCCTCCTCGTCCTTGGCCTCCTCGTCCTTGGCCTCCTCGTCCTTGGCCTCCTCGTCCTTGGCCTCTCCCTCGACCTCTCCCTCTTTCCCATCTCCCGCTGTTTCTTGACTCTCAATCTCCTTCTGCTCCTCTTCGCCTTCCTTCTCCTCACTCTCGCCTACTTTCACTTCACCCTGACCATCTTTCGGCGCCTGGGCTTTGGGCTCCTGGGACTGTTTGATGGTCTCCAGTAAAAGATGGATAGATCGCTGTTGTTTGAGAGCAGGGAAGTGTTTGAGCGAAGTTTGAGAAGCAAGACGGAGGGCACGCCAGTTGGCTGTTGTTTTGCGCTGACAGAGAGTCAGGACCGTCCATGAAAGCAGAATGAACAAGCGTACCTCTTTGTTGGCAGCGAGCTTTTCAGGGTCCACCTGCCCCATAGCCTTGTCATCTTCTTCATCCTCCTCCATTTTCCTTATCAGCTCATCCAAACCCTCCACCGTCGTCGCACTGCTACCATGAGCCTCTTTCCGGGTAACGTAGATGTGACTTACGGCGCTTTGCCCTTCAACTGATCAATGCTCTTGAAGCCATTGCTCCACAACATTGATAATGACCTAGAGCCGACCTTGAAAGAGTATGGATAGGGCGCGTTGAGTCGCCTGGACCAATCTTCGGAGGCGGATTTGGCGCTGGACGAAGCGTCGAGGGGCGGTATCTCGAAAGCACCTTCCGGACAGCCATCATTCTTCCAAGACGCCTATGCACAATGTCAGTCGAGCCCATGAAACATCATGAGTACCCACATAATGAGCCTCCTGTCGAATGATACTGAAAATAGTATCCTCAAACCCAGCTCCACCCGACATCTTCTTCATCTCCCCCCTGATCTCTTTGATCTTGGCCGTCACCCACTCCTCATCTGCCTTTTCCAGCACAAACGACCTCGGCATCCCGCCCGTAAAAGCTTGTTTGCCCGCATGGGCGGGCGTGAGGTTGAGCAGGAATTGAAAGAGGATAAGGTACTGGACGAGGATCTGGCGGCGGAAGGACGGGTCGAGGAGTTCGTAGGAGAAGAGACGCTTGCCGGTGAGATAGCGGGGGTGGAAGAACCCTCCGTCTTCTCGCTTTCTCTTTTTGCCCACAGTCTCGTCTTTGCCGGACAATTCCTTTTCCTTCTGTGTCTCCTCAAAGAGTCTTGGGAGAACGAGACCGGATTTTTGGCGGAAGGTTTGGAAGGGCGTTTGGGGTGGCGAACCAACAGGAGGGCCGTCGAGGGACGGGGGGTGGGCAAAGTATCGTTGGAGAGACCAGAGGGTGGAGTAAAAGTCTGCTTCTGGCGGGGCGACCGGTGTCAGGGGTTGGGGAGCTGCTTCCTTCTCCTCCGCATTCACCATATCCACATCGCCCTTCTCTTCCGTCTCTTCCTTGACCTCTTCATCCACTTTGATATCCTCGCTCGGAGCCTCTTCTTCTTCCCATACCGTCTTGACCTCCCCATAGTCGCCCCTCATATTGATTGCACTCTTGTCCGCCACACTGAACACGGAGCTCGCAAACTGGTGTATTCTTCCTCGAAACACCAGATCACTCGGTGTTCTCGGCAGAAACCTCAAGAAAGCGTTGATAGTTCGGAGTAGCGGTAGAGATTTGCCTCGAGACGGGAGCATGCCTTTGGTGTATCTCTTTGAACGAGTTTCGATGTATGACCATAGGCGACGCCATGTTGTAATGGACAGGAGTTCGACAAGTTCTTCGAGGAGTGGGATGAAGAGGGCTCCGGGTTCGAGAGATGGTGATTCTGCGGCTGTCAGAGCGAGCTTGAGAGCGGTGGCGGATACTCACCTTGGTTGGCAATGAATGCGACTTCGTACAGCGTGAGAATGATGTCTAGACGATCTTGCAAGGCCACTTGAAAGACCTGCTTGTCTTTTTCACTGGCATCCTCACTGGGCTCGGGCAACTGCACTCTGTCAATTCTGATACAATCCTCCAAAGCAGCACATACTTGTCCATTGATGACTGCGAGCACCACAAATTCTCTCCCTATCAGCTCTAGAACACTCCTCACTATATCCGGGTTCTTTGCAAGGCCGTCTGGCAGCTCGGGGCTGATCGAGTAGGAGTGCCATATGGAAGAGAGCTTGTCGGTAAGCTCTTGCGTGGATATGGGCCCGGAATGCTGGGGATTGGGTGGACAGGACGCTGCGAGGTCCTGCAAGGGTTGCAGCAGTGGTTGGTGAAGGGCCATCGTGTGTCAGCGGTTCAGCGTGTCAGTGTCAGAGGAGTATGCTATGGTCGATGTAACGGGACCAGATGTGCTTATGTAACACCAGGAACCAGGGCCAGGGCGGGACGCGTCTGGTGTCTTTTGGGTCGGTTGTTGAGCGTGACAGGGGACAGCGGACGCGTCCATCTCCTTCTCTCTTTCTTTCTTCTTTCTTCTTTCTTCTGTCTTCTGTCTTCTCCCTTCTCTTCTCTATACCCCATACCCACCCTCTGGACCGCCCCGTGCCTCTTTGACAGAGCACCGCCCACCCACAACCCTCTTTTCACACCCCTCACACAACCCCCTGTCCATAGCCATGCTCACCCCGTACTTCGCCCTCTCCCTCGCCCTCCTCTCCACCCTCGCAGGGGCTGCGCCCTCCCTCAACTACCCCCCAGCAGAACAGCTTCCCCCCGTAGCCCGCGTCGGGTCCACATTCGCTTTCGACCTGCTACCCAACACCTTCAACTCCTCGTCCACCATCACCTACACCACGTCCACCCTCCCCACATGGCTCTCATGGGACTCCCCCACCCTCTCGTTCTACGGCACACCCGCTCTGAGTGACGAGGGAGAGACGCCGGTGCAAATCACCGCCACCGATGACACGGGCTCGACGCGTTCAAATTTCACGCTGATCGTCACCAATTATACGTCCCCTGCTGTGCACGAGTCTTTCTTCGCCCAGACTGCTGCGCCCAGCCTCCACGACATTGCTTCTGCCAGCATCTTGCCCAATGGTACGGGTGTGTCCATCCCGCCCTGGTGGTCATTCTCCCTGGGCTTTCAATGGGACACGTTCAGGCTGTCCGAGGAGAACAATAATGGCAGACTGTACAATGCCGCGCATGCCGAAGGTTTCGTCGGTCTCCCTTCGTGGCTCAACTTTGACAACAATACCTTTACCTTTACCGGTGTCTCCCCGGGCGAAGGCAGCTACACCATCGTCGCGACTGGCACCGATTTCTGGGGCTACACCGGCGCGCAGACCAGCTTTGTGATTGAAATTGGAGAAGGCCAGAGCATTGAGATGGCGAGGGATTTCAACTTCTCCAGCATCTCGACTATTGCCAAGGGCAAGGTGGACTACGATGTGGATTTGAGCGGGGTGCTGGTGGGAGGCAGTGCGGCGGAAGAGAGTGACTTGAATGTGACTTTGGCGAGTGAAGACTTTTCATGGCTGTCCTATGACAGGTGAGCCCTTTCTCTTACATCGCGACGCGTCTAATAGGTTTTCAGTTCCAAGAACGTTCTCTCCGGCACGGTCCCCGACTCTTACCAGAACGGTACCTCCTCTTCCCTCTCCATCCCCTTGACCATCGCTTCGACCAACACCTCCAGCACCTTGACCCTCTCCACTTGGCTTGCTCTCGATATCACCCCCTACTTTTTCTCCACCTACTCCCTTCCCAATGCCACCGTCTCCCCTTCCTCCCAGTACTCTCTCGACCTCTCGCAGTACCTAACAAACTCTACTGCTCAAGTCAACGCGACTGTCACCCCGAACGACGCGGCGAGTTGGTTGACGTATTTCACGGAGAACAAGACTTTGATTGGGACTGCACCGGAGAGCCCGAAATACAATCAGGTAGCGGTGGTCTTTGAGGCGGTAGTCGGCGCTCTTACGGCGACGACGACGCTGGATATTGGCATCACTGGAGTCTCCGACACGTCCGGGAGTACCGGTACAGCTTCTGTGCCGAGCAATACCAGTTCGAGTGCAGCGGCCCACCACGGTCTATCTACAGGCGCGAAAATCGCTCTTGGCGTAGTGTTTGGTCTACTTGGTCTCATTCTCCTGCTTGTCCTCCTCTGGTTCCTCTGCTGCCGCCGCAGAAAGGACAAGAAGGATGATGACGAGTCGGATGAAAAGCGTCCTCGAGCATCTGCCGGTCCCGACCTTGGTGACCCCTTCCGTCGTAGCGTAGGCCTCGAACCTGTCAGGAGTGTCAATGATACTACCCTCGGCTACTCTGACACCACTGCCTACACTGCTCGCTCTCCTGCTTCCATGAGCAGCAATGCTACCGCTGTCGAAAAGCCTCACAGGCTTGACGGCATGAAGGGTATCATCACCTGGGACGAAACTGGGGAAGAACATCTCGAGTACAACCCCGACTTTTCAAGAGACTTTGTCGGATACCCAGATGTCATTGCCACACAAGACCCCGTCGATGCCAACATGAGTGATTACACTCGGTCTTTCATGTCGGCGAGCTCCAGAGCGAGCTGGCAGAGCAAGTCGAGTTTCAATTGGTCTTCTGGTGACGGCTCTGGAGAAGGCGCCAGGCCTTTCAGCTCGGAGGGTCAAGATTTGGAGAGGGCGGCGGCGGCGGGAGGTATTGTAGGACTGGGAATGAACAGGATGTCGACGGCGGAAAGTATTCCCCGACCCCGACCCGATTTCACTCCTCGATACCCTCGACACCAGTCTCCCGCAGTCCTCGCTCGGTTGACGGGAGAAGACTCTCTCAGCTCCCACGACTCTTTCAGCGAATTCCACTCTTCCTACGAAGGTGCTCACGACTCTTATCAAAGTCGCTCGGCATTCGACACTGGCTCCAACTTTGACGAGACAATGTCAAACGCCGGCACCAACTCTATGATGGGCACCGGTTCCGTCTTCCAGAGCCGATCTCAGCAGATGAACTCTTCTGGTGTGGATTCTATGGGGTTTAGAAGGAGCGGGCTGAGTCAGATTGGGGAGAGCTCGGATTTCAAGACGAGTGACACGGATGGGACGGATGGGGAGGGTGAAGAGGCTGCCGTGCTCGCCACTGCTCGACGCACTAGCGTTGATCCCCGGGGCGACAGCCCCAGGGTGATCCAGACTGACCGAGCTGCCCGAGACGCGCACACGACTAGCGGCATGTTTGATGACGCCGACTCTCGTCCGTCTACCATGTACGACCCCAGCTCCAACGCTGGCCTTGGATACCCCAACTCTGTCATCTACTTTGGCTCCCCTCAACCCGACGTTGCCGAAGCCGGCGATGAGGCTTATACCTCTCAGCGAGCGAGCGGCGCTCCCAGCGAGTCCACCGCAAGGGCGAGTACCATCAGGGCTGTCCCTTTTAGAGATAGCAACCCCATCTCGCCTTCTCTTCCTCAGCCGGGATCGTTCATCCGACACCGTCGCACCAACACTGCCGGCTCTGGCTTTGGCTCACAAAGCTCGTCCCGCGTCGTCTCTGGGGCTTCAGCCTCAGGGGCCAACGACGGCCGCGTGTATGCCACGTCCAACGAGACCTTTTCTATTCACCCTGCCATCCACCCACCTCCAACCGTTCAGCTGTCTGCGGCTACTTGGTCTTCCAACCCTCCATCCACCTATCGTGCTGAATTAGAGGGTGGGGGCAGTCTGCCAGGGTGGTTGCACTTTGATGCTAGAGAGTTGGAACTTTGGGGTGTTCCTCCACAGAGAGTGGTCGGGCAGCAATGGGTCATTAGAATATTGGAGAAGCTGCCGAGAGATCCGAGAAGGGCCGATCCGTCGAGCTTTGGCTATGAGCCGGCGCAGGAAAGGGAAGTGGGTAGGGTGATGGTTGAGTGAGTCAAATTGACATCTCTGCTTGGTTAATTTGCTGACTGGTCTTGCAGGGTGACAGAGAAGATGAGAAGTCCTCAAGTCTCCTATGAGGGATCACCGCATGCCTTATAGAATGCGCAATTGTGGGTGTGAGGCGGCAGTGTACGTGTATCGGTCTGTCGTCTGTCTATCTTACTGACAATCTCCTAGGTCGTCATCTCGAATCAGTTCTTCCGGGCAAGGTCCCGGGCTACTTTACTTTATATAATCCGAATTGATTTTCTTCAATCAACTTGCGTTCTCTTTTCAAAAGTATTTCGCTATACTTATTATTGTTTTCTTATCTTTGTAGTGCTAGTCGCTATCGTTTGTCATAGAAACTGTTTCTTTTTGGGTATCATGCGGACAATTTTCTTCCCTGATGAGTCTCTATCAAGCAACCAATCGAATCTGGTCTAGTTTCGCAATTCCATCCCATATTATCCATCCATGCAACAACAAACAAGTCATTTATCGTAGATACATCGGATGGTACAAGCACTCCAGTCATACATAACGTCGGCTCCTTGCTGAATCCGCTGACGATCAATACATCCCCCCAACGTCGCTGCTGCCCTTCGGGTTGATGACCTTGGACCAGTTACGCTCCATCTTGGTGAGGACACTGCTGTATGACATCAAAATGTTTCGGAGATATGACCGGAGGAGGAAGTGGTCGAATCGGTCGCTCTGCAAAAGCCATCAGTTATCAGTTTTGTTGCGAGAATGCGTAACCCACAGCCACGATAGCGGCCTTCCAGTCGGCCATATTTGGGTATTTCGCCCAGTCCATGCCCAACTTCACCCTGTCGGTGTAATGAGCCCGCACGCCATTCTGCATGCTGTTGCACTTTTTGTACGTGTCCAAGAGCTCGCGGATGACGAGCTGCTGGACCTCGGCACCGAAAGAATTTCCATCTTCGATAAGAGGGATTTCTAGATCAAGCCAGAGTTTCAAATCTTGAGCCAAAAAGTGAAGGTCTTCGAGCTCCCTACAGATACATCAGCGTGTCTTTGTTGGGACATTGCATGTGACTTACTTGGTGATGATTTTGATACACTCATTCTGCGTCTCGTTGACCTTGAATACCTCAAACCAGTGCATTCCCATCCGGACACCTCCCTCCTGCTCCTCAGTGAGGTTGGTCGAGCGAGTGACAATGTCTTGGGGCAACACGACCTGAAACTTGTCCTTACCCATCGTCCCCTCCTCGCTTTCGCTCGCAGCACCATTTCCATTACTGTCATTGAGGTCTAGCCCGCCAATCCCCTTAGGGAGCTCTGGTTGACCGATAGTGGGCTCCGCGTAAGCCTTTTCAAAGACGATGTCCTTCCAGAATGGCGAGTTTGGGTCGTTCTCGCCTTCGAGAAGCTTTTGGATGTGGAGGATCTTGGAGGGAAAGTCGTTGTGGATGATGGCAGCGGCTTGAACTCGGCGGGCAGCGAGAAGATCCTACTCTGAAGTCAGCTCTGATCACGTGAAAGATACAAGATCACTCACTCTCAAGACTTGGGGCTGGGGCTGCGTCTTCATGACGTCCTCCATCTTGGGCAGGTTGTTGCTGAACTTGGGCATCTTGGTGATAGTGTCTCGTGATTGGATTTTCAAAGATGAGTATGGAGGGATACTGTTCGATGGATGCAGGACCTTTTATACTTCTTCTTCATCGACACTTGGGTTATCTCTTGACAAAGGGTACAGTATTGGATAAAGGAGACGGAAAGTTCAGCATCGCACCTTCCTTTTGCTCAGAAGTGCACTGTGTTCAGATCAGTATGCCTTTGGACGCTTTGGGGTAGCTACGTAAGCTGAAGGACCACGAAGATCTGCCGGCAAAGGTGAGGGACGTTGCGAATGGAAAGATAGCGACAAGAATAGTCGCTTGACATTACAATTGGCGAGGCCCAGAATAACACACCTCATTCTATTGTTTACAACTTTCTCCTTTTATGGCTTATCCATCGGGATTCTGATCACTTCACCCCACACAACCTCCCTTCAGACTCGCTGAACCTCTTCTAGGAATGACGAGTGGATGGTCGAGGCGAAGCGTCGGCGCCTAATGGAATTTGGAGTAAAGGACCAAGAGGATAAGGAGTACGAGGACGATGATGATACCGATTGAGAGGAACTTTTGTTGGTACATCCTACCAGGGAGATCAGCAAGTCTGTAAGCGGGAATCCAGTCGATATGCGAGGCGGCTTACTTGAAGATCATCTTCTTGAGAGTCCCGGCTGCTCTGTCAATGGAAGAGTCCGCCTGAGTGAGCTGTAATGATGTTAGTCCGCCGCGGATCTTCTTTCAACTGGGATAGCGCTCACAGTATCTCTGGTGTTCTCCAGCTGCTCTCTCTGCCCCCTAAGGTTTCTGAGGATCTCCGAGCCCACTCCTTCCGTCTCCAGCGCGATCCTGTGCGCATTGTCCAGTCGCCCTGAGCTGTCCTCCAGAGTCTGAGTTCCTTGCAGCAGGCGTGAACGAGTCGAGTATGGTTCGGGGTCATCAGAGTATGGGTCGTCGGCGTGCGGGCAGCGGCCGCTTTGACCTGCTCCGCCGGGACCGGAGAGGAGTTCGGAACGCTGGGATTCGAAGCGGAGGTCGCGCTGTCGTTGTTAGTCGATAGCGGTATGACAGGGTAGCGTGGACGTACTAGGGTCTTCTTGACCTTGTCAAGTCCTTGCTTCGAGGTAGCTAAACGCCCTTGGTACGTTGAGCGGATCGACACTGGCATCGAAGGAAGCTCCACTTCCATCTGCCCGACCTGTTCTCATAGCATGAGCATCATCGTCACGAATCACAAGTTCCGGACGTACAATTTCCTCTGCTTCATCTATTTCCTCGGACACCTTCTTGAGCGCCGCCTTCCTCTGCTCCCCAGTCAGCCCCTTGACTTCCCCATCGAGCTTGGCCTTCAGACCGCCGAGCAGCTGCTTGAGGTCCTCGTCATAGTTCTCGAACAAGGCGCTACGGGAGGTCAGCGTGCATCTACGTGTTCCTCTGTGCTGCTATACGTACGTGGGTGAGTTGTCCATGTTGAGATGTGGATGCAGAAGAGATGAAAGAGATAGATATAGATAGATGACATGTGACGGCCGGGTGGCAACACTTACGTAATCATTCTAGGCCGGCGGCTGTTCTTTGTTGTTTTCGCGTTGTCAGGTTCATCTTCTCGCTCGCTCACACCCAAAACATCCCCTCGAGACCCACAAGCCATGAACTTCTTCAGTCGCCAAAAGACAAAGTCTCCGGCAGACAACGTCAAGAGTCTGAGGGACAACATCCTGCGCTTGGAGAACGCGACCGGTGAGGGGAGCAAGAAGGTGAGTCGAGCTGGTGCGAGTTTCGGACGCTGGTTGGGACTTCCTGGGTGTGCTTGCTCTGCCATCCTAGCCACCCATCACCTCCCACGCTGGGACATATCAGATCGCCAGCTGACGCCGTCTTTCTACCCACAGATCAATGAAGAGATCTCCCGCCAGATCGCCGCTGTCAAAGCTGCCCTCTCTGGAGAGTCGGATGGCGAGCCTTCTCCCGACATTGTGGCGCAGGTGGCAAACGAGGTGTACGCGCAAGATCTCTTGAGTCTCATGGTGTTACACCTTGGACGATTCGACTTTGAGGTGAGTTGTTGTTTGTTATCATGTCTACAGGACAGGTGGACGTGTCTTTGAGAGATATGGGCTGCCTCTTCTCAGACTTGAGCGACTTGTCCTCAGAGAGTATACTCGCTGACGCGTGTGTGTAGGCCAGGAAAGACGTCTGCAATATCTACAACATCCTCCTCCGCCGCCAGCTTGGCACTCGTTCTCCCACCGTCGACACCATCGCCACCCGGCCCGACATCATCTTTGACACTCTCAAAGGGTGAGCACTATCTCTCTTCCCGCTCGTTCGCAATCATCAGGGTGTTTGGGGAGGCCCGTACACAGACGCACGGACCATTCGTCCTCAGGGACGGGCCTGGATTCGGGCACCAGAGCCCGCCTAAGAATCGTGCTGATGACCACATAAGCTATGCCAACCCCGATGTCGCGCTCAATACCGGTATGATCTTGAAAGAGATGCTGAGATATGAGCCCCTTGCGAGAATAGTGCTCTACTCGGACCAGTGAGTTTATCCTTGCCCTCCCGAAGACTCGCGCTAACCACTGGTAAGGTTCTATACGTTCCCTAATTACATCGAGAACACATCTTTCGGCATCTCCTGTGATGCTCTGGCCAACATGAAGGTATTTCAGCCCACTCGGCATCAAGATCTTGCTCATCAGTCTCACAGGAAACGCTTACACGACATAAACCCATGGTCGCCCAATACCTCGAAGCCAATTATGACCGGGTGGGTATCATCCATTTTCCCTTCGCCAGACGCTCATCACTCTTCAGTTCTTCGCCATGTACAACACCCTGATCCTCTCATCCAACTACGTGACCAAGCGTCAATCCCTCAAACTCCTCGGCGAGATCTTGCTCGACCGCGCCAACTACAACATCATGACGCGCTATATTGGATCAGAGGCAAACTTGAAGATGATGATGAACTTTTTGAGGGACAAGAGCAAGAATATTCAGTTTGAGGCGTTCCATGTGTTCAAGGTGAGTCATGGCTTCGATCGTTGAATGACATGGCTGAAAGAACTGTAGGTGTTTGTTGCCAACCCGAACAAACCAGCTCAGATTGCTAGTATTCTGCGGAGGAACAAGGATAAACTTCTGGTATTCCTCAAAGAATTCCACAACGATAAAGATGGTACGTTATATACTTTTCCGAGCTTGCAGACGCTAACGGGTCATGTCAGATGAACAATTCAACGTGAATATACTGATTCCTGCGTTGAGAATGACAATGCTGATATCGTGTACTTGTGTAGGACGAGAAACAGTTCCTCATCCATCAAAGTAGGCCCTCTCCCCTGTCGCAACAATTCTACCGCTAACAGAAGCCATAGTTCAGCAGCTGTAGATCGCGGTGTATTGAGCCACCGGTTCCTTCAGCTCTGTTCCGAATGTCTTTTCTCATTTCCTCATTACGATCTTTTAACGCCCCTTGCATGCAAATTCGATATTAGTCTCAACAGGTCATGACCGGGTACCCGCGTCTACGCTTCTCGGCGGAAAAGGCGACAACAGACGACACTCGGGCCATGTGGCGCGGAACGGACCATAAGGAGATCGCGCTGATGAAGCAGGACAAACAGATCACCCACCAATCACCCACAGGAGATGGGGCTCCCACCCTCGGCTCTCGAGCCTTTGCAGAGTCTACACAGTACAACGTCTTCTCCTTCAATCTTCCTTTTGATCTCATCATCCCTTGGCCATGCTCCATTTTCCGTGCAGCTATCCCGACTGCCACAGGCGCTTCATTGCCAACCCCATCAGGTCCCCCGGATGTGCTTGTTGCCTCCTCATGTTCTGCGCGGTCCACAACGACAAATCGTATCACAAGTGCATGGGTTTATCCGTGAGTATCTCGCAAAGATCTGTAGAAGCATGTTCAATGGATCACAGGAGGACGAATTCGAAGATGAGGCCGACAAATACAGAGACGACCATCAGCTACGTGCTTTGGTTCTTTCATGCCGGTGGTGTGATCTCAGCGCTTATATCATATATGTGAGTAGATTCCAGAATATGTCAAAACGATTCAATCTCTCGATATATCGACGAAAGCCTCTGCTCTACGCCCTGGTTTCACTGCCCAAGTGGTCACTGAGAATGAGGCAAAGTTCTTCCCAGTGGGGATACCAACATCCATGTCCCTGTCATATTCGACGATGGCGTCAAGTGGCTGGCGAGGATACCACTCTCAGGTTTCCGATCTCCCCCTCCGGGGATGCACAAGATGGTGTATGATAGCTTCACCGTCACTTGCAACTATATGCGGAAGGCGGGCATGAAGGTACCAGCGGTTCATGCGCCTGCCATACGTTCTGAGCAGGAGGGTGAGACTGATTATCAGACAATTATTTCATTCTGGATGCGAAAGGTTGACGTCGTGTCGTGGCAGTGCCCTTGGTCTTCATGGAGTTTCTTCCAGGCCAAGAATGCCCTGCTCCCATGCACGACAAAACTAATACTTGCCTTGCCCACATCTCAACCACGATCGAAGGCCCCGCGGATTTCTACCGACATCCAGCTCTCCGCCTTACCTCCGTTCCGAGCCTTCGGTTCCCTTTTTCCTGCCGAGAAGGATGACAAACCGACTGTGGGCCTTTGCTGGAAACTGCGGTCAGCTCCCCCTTCCCTCCTCACTATCTCGGCCCCTTCCCGACCGCAAAGTCTCGCTGGCTTGGATGTAACGATTTGCTTCGTAACAGAAGCAGGCGGTCCACAGCGACAGTAATGCATCGCCAAACACATGATTATCCAGATAAAGTAAAACGAACAAGAGCAAATAACAAGCCCCAATCAACCCTGGACTCATCTTCAGCATCAGCTGACTAAAGCCGCCAGCCATCCCTATCCAGCCGCTCTCGAATACATCAGAACACACCAACGTCCTTCGCCCTCGCCCTCTCCGCTCGCTTCTTCTCTTTCCTCCTTCTAGAGCACGTCTTCCCACTACCACTGCTCTTACTTCCTCTCCCTTGTCCATTCCTATCCTGTGCAGACGACTTGCCCCCGTCGTTCGAATCTGTACTCTCTGCGCTAGCGCTGACCGTTACAGCGGAAGCTGACGACGCCAGGCTGTAAGGATAGGAGCGGGAAGTAGTGTGGTTGGACAGTGGTTGTGCCCAAGAAGAGGTAACCGAAGACGAGGCGGGCTCTGTCACGGACGCTTCGCGATTCGCGGATGACCCCTGGGCAGCCCATGAAGAGACCATGTTAGACAGAGAGCTGGAATTGACAGTGTCGGAAGCGACAGCTAGGACTCCGGAGGAGATGGGGGCCCTGCCAGTGCTGGTGATGGTGGAAGACACTTCGGAGCTGTCATCCTTAGATATCTCCGCGGACTGACTCGAGATTCCAGCATGTGCAGACGCCGCCTCAGCTGAACTCAGCCCTTGCTTGACCGGTTCGGTCACTGCAGCTAGAATGCCTGAGCTAGATGTAGGGATGGAGTTGACACTTTCACTCTCGGAATCGCTGGTAACAGAGCTTCCAGACACTTTCTCTGACTGACTTGAAGTACCAGTATGGAAATAGGTCGATAGCTGAGGATTTACCGGGGTTGGAAGCGAACCGGAGGAAGAGTTTGTCAGATGCGCGGTGTCGTCGGAGGACAGGCTCGTGGTTGACAAAGTCCCGCTGCTGGCAGATAACCCCTCGTCGCCTGTGTCGCTGGCGGCGCTTTCTTCGGGCCCTTCCTTTTCACTGCCCTCTTCATCGACTTGTTCAGAAGCATTGCCACTGGCTGTCGCAGATACAGAGTTGCCTGCTCGCGTGGTAGTCGGCATAGTCGTTTGGGCCATTATGCTCCCATCTGACAATGAATCGCCAGGGCGCTGGGCTACCGAGGCCTTCTCAGTGGGGACAATGAGACCGCTCGCGGCGGTGCTCTCGCTGGTCATGGTCTGCTCCAAATCGGAAGACGCCTCGCTCGAACTTTCCGTGGATGTACCGATAGCCGTAGTAACATCGCTGGTCCACTGACTCTGGGTCGGCCCATTCTCAGCCCAAGAGAACGTCAACGTAGCTCCCAGCCCATCAGCGTCCGCCTCTCCACCCATACCATCGCTAAGCCCTTCACTCGCACTCATACTCCCAGAAGCAGTGACATCAGTCTGCACAGCCGCAACACCCCCAGCGCCCGTGAATTGTCCAATAGTCGTTCCACCCGCCGTGAAAACGAATGGTGAATCTCCGTCCACTGAGTCCGAGTCGGAGGAGGATGTAGGAGTGGGTGAGGTAGTTGACATTGAGAAGGCGCCGTAGCTTGTTTCGTCGGACCCATAAAAGGCAGAAGAAGCCTCAAACCATGACTCACTGCTAGAGGATGACGATTGCCCGGAAGCCTCTGATGACCAAACGTCACTCGTGCCCGACGCCTCGGAGGCCCAAGCCTCGCTAGTGCTCGCAGCCTTCCAGCTTTCGACGCTAGACGCCACATTTGCCAATGAGGAGGAGTCCGACGTCGATGAAGCTGCTCCGATGTTACCAGCCTGGCTAGGTGTCTCGTCTGTAGACGCCTGCTGTTGAGTGGCTGACGTCTGTTGCACAGCCATCTGGGAAGAAGTGGCCGTCTGGGCTGTGCTTTCGGCGCTAGCTTCGGATGTGGTGCTTGTCTCATAGCCGGAGGTGGTAGAAGCGGCTGATAAGGATGTGCTTTCCTCTGAGATTTCAGGGGTAGGCTGCTGATCCTGGGACACAACAGTCGTAGGCTGAGCCGCGGTGGTTGTAATTTCTTCCGCGGAGGTGAAAGGTGTAGAAGGTTTCGATGTATATTGCATCGCAGAAGACTGCTCGGTAGTCGAAGGCTCCACGTACTCTGAAGATGAAGCCTCAGAGACATCTGTTGTCGCCTTAACAGATTTACTGGACACCTCTGCGGGCGGCTCGAGAGTAGTGATTTGCGCCTCCGTAGTGCTTTCGGCAGATGTACTGCTCTGAGAGGTGGTACTTGTTTCTTCGAAGGTGGAAGAGGGCCGCTCTTCCTGAGCGCTTGTTGACACTAGCGCCGCTTCGCTCGTACTCGTAGAGACCTCCGAGCTGTATAAGCTAGAGACATCGCTCGCGTCGGCAGCTAGCGAGCTGTACGAAGCGGAGCTACTGGGCTGCTCCTGGGCAGCAGACGAAGAGGTAATTTGCTCGGCGTCGGTCACTGTTGACGTCGGGGGAGCTTGGGCAGTCGAACTTTCCGTAGAGCTGGTGGACGCAGAAGTAGAAGTAGGGGTGTAAATAGTGGACTCGAGAGTCGACGAGGAAGTGGTGATTTCTTCTGTGGTGCTTGCGACAAGTTGAGTGGCACTAGCTGCGAAAAGAGAATCAGCTCAAGATCTTGAGAGGATCAAAAGCAAACATACCTTCTTGAGTCGTCTCGGCCACCTCTTCAGACGTAGTCGTCGGTTGCAGCTGCTCCGCCGTTGTACTCTGCTCTTCCGTCGTAGTCTGCTGCTCCATCTGCGACGTTGAACTCTCTTCGGCGGCAGATGACTGAGCAGCGGTAGCAACAGCTACCGCTTGAGTGCTAGACGCAAGGGAAGAAGATGAGGAATCGGATGTAGCTGATTGCTGGGTGGTAGATGGGGTCTGGGAAGTGCTTGGCTCTTGACTGGTCTCTTCAGAGGTGGGCGCCAGCTCCGATGTGGTAGTAAACTGCTCGGTAGTTCCAGGCGTCTCGATTGCAATTGACTGATCAACCATGGTCGGCTGATCAATCGTGCTGGACGCTTCGGTCGTACTCGGAGCGGAGATTGGGGTCGTGCTGACCGCCGCAATACTAGAAGTCTCAGCTGAAACCACCTGTGAGGTCTCGGCTTGAGAAGTGGCAGCCTCGAGACTGGTCTCAGCATCAGATGTGGCCGATGGAATGTTTTCCGAAGTGCTCGAGCTCTCGGCGGGCTCGACAGAGCTGGTGGTTGGCTCTACGCTAGTGATGGGTGTCGCGCTGATGGTAGATTCAACGCTGGTGGTGGGATCAACGCTGGTGGTAGGCTCGATGGTGGAGGTAGAATCAACGCTGCTAGTCGATTCAACGCTGCTGGTGGTAGGCTCGATACTGGAGGTAGATTCAACGCTGCCAGTCGGTTCAACGCTGCTTGTTGGGGCAACGCTGGTTGTAGGTTCAACGCTGCTTGTCGGGAAAACGCTGGTGGCGGCATCAGCAGATGAGGTGGCCTCAGTTGCAGATGCTCCAGCGCTGAGCGTGATTGCCTGACTCCAGACAGCAGCGCTTGCGTCGTTCGTCGAAGGATCGGGAAGGACGAGACCAGAAGGAAGGAGGCTGTCCGATGCCCCGCTACAATAGACGTCAGATGGGTTGCTCTTCTCCTCAGGAGCAATGCTCACCATATGATGGGTTGATAGGTCGTAGGATCCAAGATATTACCTCCAGCGGTATTGTCATACATCGTCCCAGCACTTTCATCCCACTTGAGGTCCCTTCCCAGAAGGTACATGGCTTGCATCTGAGAAAGAGCAACAACGCAGCCTGCCGTTAAACCGCCGCTCGCCGACGCTGTCTGGGCGTAGATGCCCATACTCGACGACGCGGCATCTCCGGAAGAAGAGATGGGCCAGTCAACCGAGACACTGCCCGAGGCGGCGCATACAGGAACCATGGCGGTGATGACATTGGGGGTCTCGAGCGAGGCGACTTGGGCAAGGATGATGCAGGTGGAAGGAGAAGATACTGTGATCGTGCCAGACGACTGGGCGAGGGCTAGTGGAGTGGCGAGGAGAATGAAGAAGGCGGAGAATGGCTGGAACAACAGTCGAAACATTGTGGGGTGTCAAAAGAGTGTGGGACCGCCGGAGGGATTGCGGGAGGCGACTGTTGGGCGCTTAGAAAGAGGATGAATTAGGGAATGGACTAGAGATAGATGGTCAAACGGGTTCGTTTGAGAGGGATCCCCCAGTATAAGTAGGGATTACTGGATCCGCAAAAAGGACCCAATCACCCCCTTCGTGTGCTGTGTGCACAGCCAACGACCCTGCCGGGGGCGAAGGCATGGAGATGGCATCCAAGATGGCTCAATCCGATCTTGCTTTGACAAAGGAGATGCCGAGGTTCCTGCCTGTGAATGGCATGGTGGTGATAGGGTGTCGATGGAAAGGCTCCTTGAAAGGGATAGCTGGGATTGATTGTGCACAGGGCGGTGTAGAAAGGAAGGTGGAGCCTGGTTTTACTCATAAGTTACCCTGTAGTATTGTCGTGGGGCATCCCCTGATGGACAAGAAAGAGAAAGAGGCTGCGTGAGCAAGAACAGAGTCGCAGTCGAGGACGGAGGTGCCCGCCGCGTACTCGGCTGGCCGAGCGCGTGCTTTATGGGTGACGGATTTAAGAGTGGAGGCGAGATGCTATACGTATCAGGGAACCCGAAGCCAATGCCATGCTATTCACTCCTGCCGTTACTTTCCCAGAGTGCTCCTCTCGTTATCCACCTTCCTGCAGCAACCCCGAGCCATCTAACCCACTCCCATCACTGTCCCTTGCCCCCGCCACCCACCTCCCGAACATTGCCGACGAACGTCTTCCAAACCCTGATATCACCATGGGCCGCACCTTCAGGGTCTACCTGGCTGGGGAGAAAGTACTGGCTTGCAAGCAATGTGGGAACCATCTCGCTGTCAGCGAAGGTGTCATATCTGAGGTGGGTCGCTATCAACATGACCCCTCATCCGGTCCTGAGTGGCAATACCGCTCGGTCCGCTGGATGGGCCGGGCTCAATCGGTACTTACTCTGTTTTGGATAGCACTTTCGAGGCCAGCACGGTACCGCATGGCTTGTGCAACAAGTGTAAGCACCTCGAAGAGTCGTCTGCGCAGTGCTGATATCGTTATGCAGGGTGAATACATACACGGGGGACGCCGAAGACCGGGAGATGAGCACTGGTCGTCACACCGTTCGAGATGTATTCTGCCGGGTATGCCACACTACCCTTGGTTGGAAATACGTGAGTACACCAAAGTCATATCTGCTCTGTGCAATCACTAACACCACCCTGTTCTAGGACTATGCTTTCGAGTACAGCCAAAAGTACAAAGAAGGCAAATTCATCCTCGAAAAAGCCTTATTCTCCGAGAAACCTGAGCGACGAGATATCGGTCTTGTGCCCCGTATCGAAGAGATTCCTATCCGCGACATCATCGCTGCGCGGGTGTGAGCTACAAGTTTGTGCGTCTTCCCTGGTCCCCCAACACGACATACCTCAACTTCACTTTCTTCCTCTCTTATCTCTCTTCATTTGTATATCCTTCCACCAAGACTGTTGATTTTGCTGTATCTGTACCTAGTAATGTTGTTTGAATGCTTGGGGTACTTGTTCGCCTTCTTGTCCATATCATAATATGTTGTTTACCCTTATCTACTTCTTTCCCATGTGTCTATCACTTTTCTGTTTATTCGTTCCTGCACTGGCGATTGCAACTTTTCGTTTGGTCAACCCCAGCGTATGCACATCTGTTGAACCTGGTACCGTACTCCATCGGTCCAACGGCCCTTTGCTGATGGCAACGTTTACATACTCGATCAAGTCGGTCTGCGAAGAGCACAATCGAGTAAGCTCGCGCCTCCCCAAGTCCTTTACCCACTCGCATATAATTGTAAATATCAGTCCCTTTGACACTGCTTTATACTTGCTGAATCAAATCGGACATATCTTCACACTCTTATTTTAAACGCAAAGGGCTCAAAAAGTCGCGCTTCTCCGACAAATACATCAACAAGGGACGGACATCAAAATCACTACTGTATCCATCATCGCTTGCTGCCCTCGGCCATAAAAATCGCTGAATAGCTCCTTGTCCCTTATTCCTTTCATCTGACTGCTCGTTTCACTCTTGACTTGTGAGAATGATGCAGCTTGCGGCCGGAAGACCAGTGATGTGTGTATTTCCAGGGCTGTTTTCCTTTGATTCCATTGATTCTATATGTGTAACTCATATGCAGGGGTTATGAACTGCCTTTTCTTCTCACGAGTACGTTACTTAAAGACACCGTACACTCCTGCCCCTTTGCCCCACACATTGCACAGAGTTCCGTCAACCAGGGAAGTAACGTTATCAAGTTCGAACGTTTCAGCCCGCATACCTCGTCCACGCAGTCTTGGTACCTCGTGAGTCTGGCTATGGTTATTGGCTCTGCGCTTGCGGTATTACTAGGTCTAATATGCTTCACTGCCGTAGCTCCTCGTCGAAACGGCAAAACTCACACCGCCGCCCAAATCAGTCGTTCTCATCTTATCGACAAATTGTTGTTGCCGAACCTGACAACTCAACTGAGTGATTAGACACGAACAAAATACATTGGGCTCACCTCATCCACCTCGAGACATTCGCCTGTACCACGCCCCGTTCAAGCACAACCGCCATCGATCAACGCACACCTTACTTGTGTCGCCTCCGAGATCGCGATACCGTTCATCTCGCGTCCGTTGGGCAGATACGCTCCCTTCACTTCATTCGCTGGCTTGACCGCGGTTCAGCTCGTCAATAACTCATCAGAACTACAACGGGTGGTATTCCTTTCAGGTCATACCTAAATAGATCTGCACATCCTTGGGCCAAAGCCTTCCTTTACACCCTTCACAAGAACGAGAGGTCAAGTGTATTGATCAATTGCGTGACAATACTTGCGTTCCTTGTCTGCTTTGTCAAAGTCAAAGCTCGTCAATTGATGTCCGTCAGAGTCTGCAACCTCTCTCCACCGAATCCCCAAGCATACTCCCAAGATCAAACCCAGACATGTCGAAAAAGCATCTACGTAATGACAGAGTCAACGATGATCAGGATAGACGCTCTCCAAGTGTCAGGTCACTAGAAAGTGAGGAAGGTATGAGCCGAGTCTCTCGTGAGCCCGAGATTGTCATGCTGTCACCGAGTCCCGGCCCCAAGACGATTGCTGAACCGGCCGTGGGACCCAGAGGGTCTTCTTCTAGTACGTCTGTCTCTTGAGAAGTATGAACAAGTCAAGTTGATGTTGTCTTCAGCAAAGAACAGAGAAGCGGCTTCCAGATCTCCCAAGTCCCCTCATCATCTCCCTCTCCTCTTCCGCTCCTCGTCACTTGCACTGAGACCGCTCGTCACGGACACCATCGTCCCACAACACCACCGACGAAAGTCTTCGTCTTCGCATGTTCAGGTCCGCGGTGGATCTGGCTCTCCACGATACTCGAGCTCTCCGCGTAGTCCACGCGCACCTGGTCACCCAACACGACCGTCATATCATCATCCAGCACCTTATTACTCCTCTCCCCATGCAAGAGAGTACGACCACCGACCTCCTTTATACCCCCATCCACCTCACCATGCGCCTCACGCATATGATCCGTATTCGCCTGCACCACCCGTCTATCCTCATCGCCACCACTCCTCTTTGCCTCCCATCCATACCCAACAAGCAGAATACTACCCTACACCGATCAGTACCGACAGACTCTATCCTCCTGGACCTCCCCCAGGCCATCCTCACCCCCGCGCTTATCCTCACGCCTACGAAGCATACAACCTTCTCTACCCCCCGCCTTCGTATGTCTACCCTCCTCGCAGAGAGCCTGGGTACCGCGCACCATGGTCTGCACAGAGATCAAGGCTTCACGGCCATCCTTACGCGCCTCCGCCGGGACGAGGGTATCCGGAAGATGGGATGAGGTATCATTCTGCTGGACCGGTGCCCTCGGAGGGGCATAGGAATCTGGCTGCGGGTCCGAGTGCGGGAGTGAGAGAGAGGAGAAGTCCGGCAAGTGCTATCGTCCCTAGGGGTGCTGGGGGTGCAAACTTCAAATCGCCTAGGAAGCGAGGTCAGTTCACTATTGCTTCCTCGAGATCTTATAGAGACTGACAGCGACATAGCGGACGATATGCAGCTTTCTATCCTCAGTGACGTCTTCCAGCGTACGGCTTACCCAACGACGGAGGAAAGAGACGAGCTCGCTCGACAACTAGGAATGACGTCGAGGAGTGTCCAAATCTGGGTATGTGCTGTTCCCTCTATCATTCATTTTCACGACTAACAGCTTCACCACTTAGTTTCAGAACCGTCGCAGAGCGGTGAAAGTCGATCAACAATCAGCAGCCGAACGAGCGGAAGCTGAATACCGCGAGCTGGCCGTAGATCCCCGGACGCATGACATGTTACCGGGCGCTATGTACGACGAAAGGAGACCAATGTCTGTAGAGCTTAGGATCGCCCATGATGCTGTTGAGGACAGGGAAGGGGTCGTGAGAGAGGGCGCAGGAGTGAAGAGAGAGAGGGTCTCGCCTTGATCCGCGTGTGTAGGTTGATCGTTGTTTGCGTCGATGCTTGTTGGACAAAAAGGATTTGTACGGCGTATCATACTTGAACATACAGCTGCAGACATTGGAAAAGAGCAGCAGATTTCATATGAAGACAACTTTGGTAAATGTACAAGTTCGCGTCCGTGGCAAAATATCAGACATCCACTCTAACTCTATGGCTCATAGTCGCTTATACCACCCGTACTAACTCCACCAGTGCTACCCCCAGTGCTCCTCTCCCTACTCCTGCTCCTGCTCAACGCCAGCCCATTGGGTCCGAGGATGGCAGCGTACTGCCCCCTTTTTGGGTCCTTTTGCCTCTTTTGCAGATGTTTGCGGACTTTACGTTCAGGGCGGACGACGATGACGGGGACGGGAGAGTGGGAGACAGAGAATCGAGAGACAGAGCCCATGCCTGGTGCGCCGAGGGCCATACCCCAGGATTGGAGCTTGGAGCGTTGACCTTTGGTGCCAACCACGAGGGCTAAACGAGGTCAGATGGTACATTTGGCAGGTATAGGAGAGGGACTTACAGTCCGGACGGTAAAGAGCAATCATCTTCAGAAGAATCTCGGACACCTTGCCGGCGACGAATTCGACAATGACCGAGATCTTGCGCGTGTCATCGGCCTCGTCATTCTTTTGAAGCACCAGTTTCAGGAGAGACTGGGCTTCTTCTCTGAACTCGTCCTGCGTCTTGTCACTTTGACGTTCTATATCATGTCAGCGCAAGTACCATACAATGAATCATGACTAACCTCCATCATCGACCTCGATGACCCGCAGCGCAACCACCTCGTCGCCATCCTCCACCAGCTCGCTCATCAACCATTCGAGCGCCGACTCTCCACTTTCATCCGGTGAACACGCTACGGCAAAGACTCGCGTGTTCCTAGACCGTTTGTACCCCTCGCTCTTGGCTTGGCACGTGAAAGCAAACAGGGCAGCGGGGCCAGCTTCGAACGCCTCGAAACCGACCTTGCGGCGGTACTTGCCGTCTCCTTGACTACTCGAGTTGGTTCGCGTTCGAGGTATGCCTGTGGTATGGTGCATAGCGCTTGGAAGATGTGAGCTGTTGGGATAGGAGGGGGAGCGGGTATGGGAGGGAGGGTGGTCTGGAAGCTGGACGGAGACGTGGGAGTTGGAGCCGGGAAGGGTGGCGGATGCTGGGGGAGAGGAGGGGGTCTGTGAGGTGGAGTCGAGTGCGAACGGGCTGTCGTTGTTGTCTGCGAGAGAGCTGATGCTGTGGCGGAAGATGGACATTTTGTATGCTGATACAGGATACGCGAGACTGCAAAGGACAGTCCGGATGCGGCCAGCGGAGGACCGAGTCATCGCAGCGGAACCAAATCGTCCCTAGCAATGGCTCACTTGTCCTACTCTTCTCTTCCACCGCCATGCCCCTCTGCACCCGCTGTGCATGCCCCGTAGACACCCTCTACACCGTATACAACTCGCAACAGAACATCCGCCTCACAGTCTGCGTACGTCCCCCTCCAACTGCCCCCACGAGCTCACACAGCACAGCCCAGATGCAACCAGTTTGCAGATCCCCTTATAGAGCATCCCTCCCTCCTACTCTTCCTCGATCTTGTCCTCCTCAAACCCCGGGTATTCCTCCATCTCCTGTTCAATAGAGGATCAGTGCCGTTTCTGTCTGCCGCTCCCAACCCTCCGGAGGAGGAACGCGAGGCTATACGACGTGGCCGGCTTGTTGACGATCTTTCGTTGCTATTATCACTCAGCATCACCGCAGAAGTACTCGTGAGGCTTCTCGGTTTTGAAAATCTGGATACCGAGAGAGTTGGAGCGACAATCGGCTTGGTGCTACTAGAAGGCGTCGCTCAGCACCTTGCTACGCTAGGCCTTGCACTGGCGGCGCTCAAAGTGCGAAGCTGGGACTCTGTGTCCTTGAAGCAGCTGAGGGCACAACCTCTGGAACTACAAGATGGTAGACAGCAATACTTCTTGTGAGCCATTCTCCTCACAGAGAGGGTATATGCTCATTGACGACAGGCCTATACTGATTCCGATCACTCTCCTTTATACCGCGCTCCTTCCGCTTCTCTTCCAGCTATTCCTCTATCCCTGGACCAACCCTGTCACGACTCATCAGACACCAACATCCCTCCTGTCAACTCTTCCCATTCTGGGATCGTGGGCACCCTCGCCCGCCATCACCGCCTTTGACAAACATCTGAGCTTGCAGTGGGCGCAGACAGACAAGATCTGGGCTGGTACGAGACTTTTGGGTGGTATGAGTGCGGGGTTTGGGCTGAGGGTGCTTCTTCCAACGAAACCGTGGGAGACCACGGGGATCGTTCTCGCGGGTTGGGTCGCTGCAGGCCTGGTCGGGGCGTTTGGGAAGGAACTCCTTCAGGGGTGATTCACGCGGCCTTGAATCTGTGAGGCTGTACTCTACCGTACGAGCATCTCGGTGTGGCGTCCCCGCAAACCGGAGAACTTTGCCCTAGCCAGGACGACTCTGTCTACACATCCTTTCCTCGCCCCTTGCATTCCACTAGTGAAACCCTTCGGCCTTCCTTTGATGCCCCCTGATCCGAATGCAGGGGTACAATCATTGGGTCAGCTTGCTTTGTGAACAGAATTCGAACGCCATGTGGCCCCGAGACCTATAAATTGGCCTGCAAGGATCCGAATGGCCCCGCATCGGCCAACTCAGAACGTCTGAGCCTCCCATATCCCCTCACCTCGGCATCATCTCTTCCTAACGATTCATCACACCATGTCCAATACCTATCTTTTCGCTCTCCTCTTCCTTCTCCTCCCCATATCCTTCGCCCAACAAGCCGGCAACTTTTCCCTCAAACTCTCCACTTCCTCCTCTTCCTGCATCATCCTCTCTCAACTCACAATCCCTTCCGCCGACTCGCCTGTCACACTCCAAGCGTCTATCCCCATCTGTTCCGACTCGTCCCCTTTGGCCGATGACGGCTCAGGAGAGAGGAACGTCACTTGGCCTCTCGCCGAAGAAGGTTCGAGCGCGGCGAGTTCTTTAGCCATCTATGGAAACATCGACAAAGGCGATGGCGATCTTGTCGAAGCGGGTTGTGTGATGGAGCTCAGTATCGACCAGGTGCAGTACCTGCTAGGTCGCGATTTGAGCTGGAACCCGCAAGATCAGCTCTGGGATAACGGGGGGGATGGGTATGTTATGAATGGCACCACTGGCGGGACGTTGACTTGGTGAGTCTTATTCAACGAGTATTCAACGTGTTGCTGATGGGATTGTAGTAGCGATGCTGTGGCCACCCTCTTGCCCGCCAACGCCCAGCTTCCCAACCCGTACAGGGTCAGCGCAGATGACGATGCGTGGAGCACTGCTATCACCCTCGACACTTCTTCCGACAGCCCTATCTCTGCCTCAGAAAGCTCCTCAGAGTCCTCAGCCTCGAGCGAGACTACGAGTTCTTCGAGCACGAGTGCCCAAATCTCAAGGACGACTGTCACTTCGAGCAGCACGGCGTCTTCGGCAGAGTCGTCGGCTACGGATGACGGTAGCGGTGAAAGTGGAACCTCGTCATCGGCCCAGCAGTCGACCGCCTCGTCCTCTGCAATTTCCACCTCGTCCTACTCCAGCTCCACCTCGGAGCAAAATGAACTCACGGTCAAAACCAGTCAGACCAGCTCGAGCTTTGATGCTGCCTCCATTACATCCAGTGATATCGTGGGGGTGGAAGCTTCGAGCATTGCTTCCAGCTCGTCCAGTGTCTTGAGCAGCAGCTCCTCATCATCTACCGAAACAGTCCCCACCTCTGCATCGACTACACTACCCTCGTCCACCCAAAAGGCTGTCACCACAACGGCCCCGAGCACTAGCGCAAGTAGCAACAGCGACGGGTCTTGTGTGCCGGTGACAATTACACAAGTGCAAACTGTGACTGTCAGCGCTGGTTCCGAGAGGAGATGGTGGATGTATAGGGACTGAGCGTGTGGGTCTTGGGAGTGGGCATACCCTGTAAATCGTCATCATAATCGTAAAGAGGGACAGCGATCTGCATGTACCCAATTCTCTCGACCGCGGGCTCTTCAACTGGGTCAACTGGTGAATAGCAAGCCCCCTTTTCGTGTTCCGTCGTCGAATACAATGGGATCGCGTATGTCAGAGGCCCCCCTTCGGGTATTTTCCCTCTAACGGTCACAGACTGGGTTGTCGTGGACCGGTTACCAGGAGTACGAATTTCATTCTGTTCCAAGACACATGCGCAGTACAACTCTACTCAATTATCCATCAACCACAATGTTCGCCGCCCCTTGACGAGAGATACACAACCTCGGACCGATGATTCGAGGATTCCGCCTACAACAGCCAATGGACGAACCTGCCCCACCAAGTTGTGGGAATCTTGTCCGGGATCTGGTACTCTTCCTCGAGCCTTCCGGTATAGAGGTCGGCTTCCGACGCTTTGATAGCCTACACGATATCGTCAGCTGGTAGATGCACAAGGAAGAATGCGACCTACCTTGGTCTTCTTGAATATCTTCCAGCAACCCATGGGAATGAAGTACAACGGAAGACCTGTGTGATGGTCAGAGTTGTTTTCCAATGGACGAGAGAGACTGATACTCACTGATATAGTTTGCCACAAAGTCGGAAGCATTCCAGTTTCCCTTCAAAAACACCGAGAACCCACTGAACAACACGATAACTGAACACATCAATGTCCCATAGTATGCCAAATACGGTTGACACAGACTTTTCCAGGGCAAAGTGTTTCGCTCGATGCCCTGGGCTTTGAGTGCGGCGTGGAATCGAGTGTAGGTAAAGCAAAGGGAGCCCCAGGTAAGAAGGCCAGTGAGAGAGGTGATACTTTGGAGCCAATCAAAAGCCTGAGTCGCGCCACCTGATCCAGCACCTATCATAACATGTTAGCGAAAGGCTTTGGTCTTGTAGATTGCGCCTACTGAGGAAAGCCAACAGCCCAAAAGATGAGATACAAGCCACCGAGTAGTATGGGATTCCTCTCTTGTTTGTCTTGGCAAAGAATTTGGGCGCTTTCCCGCCCAAAGACAGAGCGACGAGCGAACGTGAGCCAGCGTAGATGTATGTGTTTCCGGCTGACCAAGCACTGGTGATCACGGCAGCATTGAAAATGGATGGGAGGACAGAGATACCAGAATTCTCAATGGCGACCACGAAGGGAGAAGACGCGGCGTTGCCGGTGCCACCAGTCAGACGAGCGTCGTTGTAAGGGACGCTGTTGAACTGGTCAGAACGACGACCATCGACGGAACAAGCTTGACTCACAGCATACCGATGAGGAGGATACCAATCACATCTGTGGAACATTCAGACATCAGCGAAGTGTCTACTGCGTGCGGTGCGACGTACAGAAGAAGATGATTCGGTAGACGACCCTGCGAACAGCTCTCGGGATCTGTTTGTGGGGATTGGTGCATTCTGCTGCCGCAAGCACGACCACCTCTCCACCGTTGTAGGAGAACGCAGCGGTGACAAAGGTACTACACGCAGGTCATTACACTGCTGGGACTGGATGCAATGATGCTTACGAGAAGAATGCCAAAAAGCGACCAAGTGATCCTGATATCCCCGGGAATGTGTTGAACGCTCCAGGGTCTTTCCAATACCTGAACCCGATCCTGTCGTGCGTAGGCCCACCACCGAGGTCGAGGATAATGCCCAGAATAATCAGTCTACATTGGATTAGCCAATGGTACTTGCGTTGAATAGGGTGACTTACACGACAAAAGTAATGACCTTGATACTTGCGGTGATGACTTCAGCCTCACCATACCATTTCACGGATATGAAGTTGATACAGATCATGGGAACGAGAGCCACCGCGATCCAGATAGCAGCGTTAAGAGAGGACCAGTAGCCGATGAGCACTGCGACGGCGGAGAGCTCTGAAGCGATAGCGAGGCCGAAACTAGCAAGAAGTACTGTACGTCAGACAGTCGCGATGTCATTTGTTTGTACGCAACCTACTTGAGAGTGTCTTTAGATTGTTAGCAGTGTCCATCAAGAGAGAAGAACTCTCACAATTCCATCCCAGGCCGAAAGCGAATGCGGGGTCGACAAAACGTCCTGCCAGGTTGGGAAAATTACCGGCAGATGGCAGCTACATTCCGCAATTAGCAACAGCAGGTTGTATCGGGACTATGAAGTTACCAACCAGGGTGGTCATTTCCCCGATAGATTGCATCTACGTCAAAAGTCAGCAATCCTCGCTCCTGCTACTCGTTGAACGTACCAAAGACCACGATATCGTACCAGTGAGAGAGTAAGCTAAAAGCACACCTGCAGGACCTGCATTGGCAAGAGCAGCACCACTGGCAACGAACAGACCTATACCCGTCCCATGAGCCACATCCCCAGAAGAGGAGAAAGACACTGCGTACCGACACCGATACCACCACCGAACCCAATGAAACTGACATGTCGCCCCTTCAAGTGTCGTTGGAGAGGGTCACGAGGGACCAGATCTGTGAAGACAAGTCAGTCTCAGCTGCCAACCAGGACGGACGATAACATACTCCCATCCCCATATGCCTCCCTGTCATCGACAGCGTTTACAACCGTACACTCGATGTCTTGCTCCCCTTTCTCTCCCGCCGGCGTCTCTGCCGAGTAGTTGCTACCAGCCTTGACGTCGACATTCTTTTCCTCGTTCATGGCTTTCGATGTATGTGACAGAAATACGATCATGGGGGGAAATACAGTGCATGGCCAGCTAATATATACTCGATCTGGAGGTCACATGCGATAAAGCATGCTGATCGAGCGTTAGGCGTTCATACAGTACTGTAGATAAGGAGGGGTCCATGATTAAGAGGATTACTAACCTCCGGATTGCCGAAGCCTTGTTTATTGGCCCCGAAGGCAAGCTAGATGGCGCTTAATTGGGAAGGAGGGGCTGAGATAGGGCGACCGCTCAAGTGCCGACAGCATCCGATATTTCTTAGCTCGAATGAGCATCCCGAGGACCCGTGCATGCTCTCGGGGTGTACATGTGTTGATAGCTGGACGTCCTACTGCTACCTGGATTACCCGGGCCAGGGAAGACTGAAGCCGCGGGTAATGCAAAGACCAAAAGGGAGGAGGGAGCGTCTGCTTGCCACATGCCACATGCATGAGAGTCGAAAGCAAACCACACTTTGTCATTCGTGGCACGCCCTTCCGGCGATAAACATCTTGACAGAAGGCCGAGAGATAAGAAGGAGACGCGCGGACTTTAGCAGTAGCCTGGACACCGAGGGTGCCAGATAATCGCAGATGACCGAAATGACACGAAGGTTGGTTGTGATTCTTTATGTGACATATAATACTTGTGTATTGCTTACAATGCCAATCCAGCGCCAGCACAGTAGCTTTATCCTATTGTCAGAGCTATGCACTTTTCAGCTGGCAGAGGCTACTTCTTGACCTCTTTTTGGGCGGAATGAGGAAGGTTCTTTTCTCTTGACTGTGCCTATTTTATAGCTTGTCCATACGGACTGATCACTGAGAGGCATACCACCACGAGCCAGCTCAAGATATCTCATGCAATGCTCCTCGCTCTAGGATAACCTTACAACCAAACGAAGAAGCCTTACAGTAACCAATCGAGGGACTTGCCCCACCAAGTGGTAGGCGGTTTGTCTGGGACCTCATAATCCGCCTCAAGTCTTCCAGTGTAAAGGTCAGCTTCCGAAGCTTTGACCATCTACAATACCTCTGTCAGTCAAGCACACGCAGCAGACTCGAAGACTCACCTTGGTTCTCTTATAGATCTTCCAGCCAGCGATGGGAATCAAGAACAATGGGATACCTGTGCCAATGTCAGATCCGTCCTGCATCAATTGCCTTTGTACAAAGCGTCTGAACTCACTGATATAGTTTGCCACAAAGTCGGACGCGTTCCAGTTTCCCTTCATGAACACTGGGAATCCACTGAACAAGACGATGATGGTGCACATGAGCAGCCCGTACCACGCCAGGTAGGGCTGGAACATGCTCTTCCAAGGAAGCGAATCCCGACTAATGCCCTGGCTTTTGAGCGCAGCGTAGAATCTGATGTATGTGAAGCAGAGAGCACCCCAGGTAAGGAGATAGGTGAGAGCGGTGATGTCTTGTAATCAATCGAATGCTTGGGGAGCGCCACCACTACCAGCACCTTTGCAATGTCAGCTTCCTGTGCTTCTTCCAGGAGGAAAGCGCTCACTCAGGTAGGCCAAGAATCCAAATGCCGAGGTGCATGCCACCGACCAATACGGGATACCATTTCTGCTCGCCTTTGACAAGAACCTTGGCGCGTGTCCACTCAAGGACAAGGCGACGAGGGATCGGGATCCAGCGTAGATGTAGGTGTTTCCGGCAGACCAGGCGCTGATGAGGACGGCGGCGTTGAAGATGGAGGGAAGGACGGAGATTCCGGCGTTCTCAATGGCGACAACGAAGGGAGAAGAGGCGGCGTTGCCCGTACCAGCAGTAAGACGGGAGTCGGTGTAGGGGACCCTATCATTGGTATCAGATACAGTCCTATGGGGAGCTGAAGGTCACAACTCACAGCATGCCGATGATGATAACGCCAATGACATCTATGATTGTGTTAGAAAGGAGCGTTGAAGGGCTCTGGCTACTGACAGAAGAAGACAATTCGGTAGACGACCCTGCGAACAGCTCTCGGGATTTGCTTGTGAGGATCGGTACATTCGGCGGCGGCAAGAATGACCACTTCACCCCCGGTATACGAGTAGGCCGCATTGATAAAGGTGCTACAAACTAGTCAGCTTTCGGCCACACGGCAATGAAAGAGGTGCTCACTTGAAGAATGCCAAAAAGCGACCAAGAGATCCAGTGACGCCCGGATACGTGTTGAACGCGCCAGGGTCATTCCAATACCTAAACCCGATCCTGTCGTGCTTGGGCCCACCTCCCAGGTCGAGAATGATACCAAGGATGATCAAACTATGTTTCATGAGCTCCTCGTCCCTCTGGAATGTTGTGAAACTCACACAACGAAAGTGATGATTTTGATACTCGCGGTAACCTGGAATGTTAGGCAACTCCTACAATGAAAGTGATGTACTCACGACTTCAGTCTCGCCATACCATTTCACGGACTCAAAGTTGACAGCGATCATGGGCACTAGGCAGACGGTAATCCAGATGGCCGAATTCAATGAAGACCAGTACCCAATGAGGACAGCAGCCGCCGACAGCTCTGAAGCGACTGAAAGACCGGAACTGGAACTGTGTCAGCGAGAATGAGATGCCAATCGATGATTCAAGCTGACCCGAGAAAGTCTACACGTTGTTAGCATTATCGCGGTCACATTGCACGGGAGGGGCCTCACAGTTCCAGCCCATTCCAAAACCTAGTGACCTATCGACGAATAGTGTCGCAAAGTAAGGGAAATTACCCGCAGAAGGCAACTGTACTTTTGTCAGCTCCGAGCCTCAAGACACATGGCCAGCACATACAAGCGTGGTTATTTCGCCCACAGATTGCATCTATAACAAGTCAGCAAGGTCCCAAGATAGATCCAATCCCAGGACATACCAACGCCCACGTTACCGTGCCGACCAGAGCGTAGGCCAACAGGAGACCAGCCGGACCTGCGGTCGCAAGTGCCGCACCACTCGCAACATATACACCTGTTTGCACTCGTCAAAAAACAGTCCAGAATCAAGCCCAAAAACGTACCAACACCGATACCTCCTCCGAATCCTATAAAGGTCACATGTCGGCCTTTGAGGCGACGCTGCAATGGGGCACGGACCAGAACATCTAAAGCAGGGGTAGTTATTAGCAAAAGTCCAGCCGCAGAAAGCCATCAGCCACATACCTCCATCAGCATACGCCTCCCTGTCATCGCCAGCATTTCGGGTATTGTAGTCGATAATCGGTTGTCCCTCCTGTGCTGGCGTCTCCTTCGGATCTGCCGAGTAGTTGCTGCTGGGCTTCGAGTCGAAATCCTTCTCCATAGGCGTCGTCAACATCCTGGCGGTGTGTTTGTTGTACAGGTAGTGGGGGAGGGTCGATTATTGGCTCATCAAATACTATACAGTTGGTAGAAGAAGCAGAAAGGTGAACAACATTATTGCAACTCGAATTGAAATTTCTTGGTCTGAGGTCCAGATCACAAATAAACGATGTGGCATGAAAGTCGCGATGGAGTGCTCCGAACTGCACTGTCAAATTGGAACCAGCCTTTAGCTACAAGACGAGCTGTACCATAAAGACCATATTTACATGTGCATGCATCGAGTGCATAGCGACAAAGCATCGATACGGTAGAAAAACAAAGATGTGATCAAGGCAAGTTTACCAACGAACAAACAAAAGTTTCCCTTCGGCCGCCGGCGAACCGAAGTAAATTACCGAAAGTGCGCTCATCATCTCTTTCATCGAGATCAATCACTCTCAACACTGCCAGTTGAGGTGTCTATGTATCGCAACTTGGGGGAGTCACTGGATCAATCTAGCCATATCATGGCGTCGTCCATCGTGCTGCAGCATGTTGTGGGGGTTCCCTATCCCTTGCTATTTGACTGCACTCTGCTGACGCGTGCAGGTCGATATTAAAGCTGCTGCTCTTTCCATGGAACATCCGAGAGCTGTCAGGTCTCTAATGCCCAACAGAATAGCCCATGAGTCTTCAACTGGATTCTCCTCATGCCTCAACTTCCATGCCACGAGATATATCGCTGCATCACTCAACGTTCAGCGCTTACCCCTTACTTTACCATGTGACGTCGAATCTCCAAGGCACATCACTCCCAGGTGATCACAATGGAAAAGATATTTCATACCTGCTCTCTGGACCACGGGCCTGACCTCCTATGCATAGGGCGATGAGGGCGGTTACGTAACGCTGAACATCATTCGCGCCTTCATTGGACGGTGCCAAGTGCGAAACTTGCCGAGGGAGTGGTGGCGATGTCCGACATTCCCCGTCGAGGCAGCTTCCAATCGGCGTGCGGCAATCTCAATTCACCTCCTCTTGTTCTCTTGCTCTCTTGTTCTCTCTCCATAACCCCATGTTCCGCCCCAACTCCCTCCTCCGCGCCACCCAGGGCATCCCCGCCTCCTCCTCCGCCACCGCCACCGCCTTCCGCCCATTATTCGCCGCCACCCGCTCTTTCCACGCGACCTCCAGTGCTCAGCTCGCGACCCCCGTCGAGGCCAAGCCCTCCAAGATCAAGGAGTTCAAGATTTACCGATGGGTGAGTGGGCAAAGTCATCGCCGTGGTGTGGGCAAGCAGGCGTGGGGTGGAAAGGGCAATGGCGGCTCAGGTGGATTCGATGGACGGTCACTGACAGACGACGTCGTTTAGAACCCGGATGTGCCGAACGAAAAGCCCAAGCTCCAGAGCTACAAGGTCGACCTCTCTCAATGTGGCCCTATGATGCTCGATGCTCTGGTAAGTGCTTGCCATCACCATCAACCGTACCGTCTGACATTTTCCATAGATCAAGATCAAGAACGAGCTTGACCCTACCCTCACTTTCCGACGATCGTGCAGAGAAGGTATCTGCGGGTCTTGTGCCATGAACATTGACGGCGTCAACACTCTTGCGTGCTTGTGCCGGATTCCCAAGGACACCAAGACGGAGAGCAAGATCTACCCCCTCCCCCATATGTATGTGGTCAAGGACCTCGTCCCCGATTTGACCCACTTCTAGTAAGTACTCCCGTGACCAGCCAGGCCTTCACTGACAACCACCGCAGTAAACAATACAAGTCGATCGAGCCTTACCTCAAGAACGACAACCCCCCGGCGCAGGGAGAGTTTTTGCAGACCCAGGAGGACAGGAAGAAGCTGGACGGAATGTACGAGTGTATCCTGTGTGCGTGCTGCTCAACATCTTGTCCTTCTGTAAGTCCCCTCCATTTCGATACATCCACAACGCTGACCCAAAACGCAGTACTGGTGGAACCAAGATCAATATCTCGGTCCGGCGGTGTTGATGCAGGCGTACAGATGGATGGCCGACTCTCGAGTAAGTCCACCATGCCCCCCGTGGAGCCCAGCCGTTCAATCGCGAGGGGCGACGCGAGATGATCGTCTAGACACCGGGCTGACCATAACCGAACCAATCAGGACGCGTACGGTGCCGAACGTAAGGAGAAGATGCAGAACACAATGTCGCTTTACCGATGCCACACTATCTTCAACGTGAGTCGATCTGCCATGCCTTAGGCCTCGTCTAGAAGATGGAGCTGATTTTGGGTTAGTGCTCGCGAACATGTCCCAAGGGTCTCAACCCCGCTGCTGCGATCGCCAAAATGAAGCTCGAGATGGCCACCAACGAGTAAGAGCTGGACTGTGAGGCTTAGCATGAGAATAAGGCAGGGACCGGTAGTGCATGAGTCGGCTGTAGTGGATTGATACGACGGCTGCGGCCAGTCTGTTTGTATTTTTTGGTATTATGCATCAGCAGATACGACCCCATGAAAACGCGGGTAGGGTCGCTGCCCCCGCTGCCTCTTGCATGGGACTAGCCCACGCAGCGAGCCCCATCGAGGGGCTGCATGTTGGTGTAGCAATGCTGGGCCCACCCATGCATGGCAGGGATGTATGCAGGAGGAAGTGCCACTTTGCGGCGTTAACAGTAGCCGGGCAGTGGTCCGCTATTCCGACAGAATGCCGGATGCTGTTCCTGGGGGGAGATGGTCTTTCGTTCTCTCTTTCGTTCTCTCTTTCTCTTTTCAACACCAAAATACTCCCCATGTTCGCCCGCCAGCTCACCAAGAACTCCTCCGCCATCGCCCGAGGCTTCGCCTCCTCCGCCCGTGCCCACAAGCAGGTCGCCGTCCTCGGTGCCGCCGGTGGTATCGGCCAGCCCATGTCCCTCCTCCTCAAGTCCAACCCCGCCGTCACCGGTCTCCGACTCTACGACATCCGAGGCGCCCCCGGTGTTGCCGCTGATATCTCTCACGTCAACACCCAGTCCGTCGTCAAGGGTTTCGAGAAGGACGAGTGAGTTTGCGCAGCGTGGGAAGGGGTGTGGTACGACACCCCGGGACAGAGGCTGACATGGCATTCGAATCACAGCATCAAGGAGGCCCTCACCGGTGCCGAGATCATCATCATCCCCGCTGGTGTCCCCAGGAAGCCTGGAATGACGTGAGTGCCTGTCTTCAATCTACAGCCAACGAGGGCAACGTGGTTTCACGCCGTTGTATGCTGACATTGTCATTTGCCCATCAGCCGTGATGACCTTTTCGTGAGTCTTGAGGTGGCCTTGGAAGTAGCAGGCCTGACTTTTGCATAGAACACCAACGCCTCCATCGTCCGTGACCTTGCCGAGGCCGTTGCCGAGTACGCCCCCAAGGCCTTCATCGGTATCATCTCCAACCCCGTCAACTCTACCGTCCCCATCTTTGCCGAGGTCCTCAAGAAGAAGGGCGTCTTTGACGAGAAGAGGTGCGTCGGCGTTCTTCATACTTTGGCCTGACTAACATTGGACAGGCTTTTCGGTATCACCACCCTCGATGTCGTCCGAGCTTCCCGATTCCTCGGTGAGATCACCAACAAGGACCCCAAGGACGTCCAGGTCACCGTCGTCGGTGGTCACTCTGGTGTCACCATCGTCCCCCTCCTCTCCCAAACTCCCGCTGGTAAGGGTGTCGACGGTGAGGCCTATAAGGCTTTGGTGAACAGGATCCAGTTCGGTGGTGACGAGGTCGTCAAGGCCAAGGCCGGTACTGGTTCTGCTACCCTCTCTATGGGTTACGGTGCGTTCTCCCTTTGTATATGATAGCCCAGCTGACTTTTCTACAGCCGGTGCCCGATTCACCGACTCTCTTATCCGAGCCCTCAACGGCGAGTCTGGTGTCGTCGAGCCCACTTTCGTCAAGTCTCCCCTCTACGAGTCTGAGGGTGTCGAGTACTTTGCCTCCAACGTCGAGCTTGGCCCCGAGGGTGTTAAGAAGATCAACTCTGTTGGCGAGTTGAGCGCTGAGGAGCAAGAGTTGTTGAAGGCCGCTTTGCCCGAGTACGTCCTCTTTCATTGTCACGCTAATGATGACGGCTGATGGTGATTGTAGCCTTGTCAAGAACATCAAGAAGGGTGTCGAATTTGTCAAGGCTTAAGATGGGAGTTTAGATGGTCGAAGATAAAGAAGGTCAAGAGGCTGTAGCAATGCATACGCGTCTCTTTCGTCTCCCGCTACGGTCTGCAGGTGGAATTCACAGAGAATCAGGTGTACGTCACGTTGCAATCCGTCTACTATCAATGCTCGACATGTTCACCGCACTACCTGTAAGTCCTGGCCACTTGAACAGGGTGGTGGATCAATTGACGCTACAAATCGCATCAGCGCCTATTCGCCCCATCAGTCTCTTACGTACTCTCCACATTTCTCTGACACTGCAATCAGGCTTTTCACCATCGTCGACCGCTGCTCCGTCCCACGCTACCATGGGATCGTTATAGTAACTCGCACTGGGCTGTAGAGATGTCCACTCGAGGTCATTAAGACCATTCACAGTGTGCCAACTGGCAGCCTTGTAATCACAGTACCATTGCGACGCAAGCGACTCTGCGCCAGCTCTGTGTTCTCCCTTGTAAGCCGAGACAGACGTAGGCGCCACCTGCCTCGAACAGACTGGACAAATCGCCGAGTGTCCAACACTTCTCGTGCTCAAACTTGTCGTGCGCGCAGCAGAAGCCGACCCATCTTCCTGCGCTTGGCGTACAGATACGTTCCGCAGAGGTTTTGCAGATCTGATGATCTGCGTTTGATCTTACTCGTGAGCGGCACATGACTGGTTGGTACAGACTGTGGTTGACCAGCGAGAGCCGTCGGCGGTGTTTGTGTGGCGGAAGTGAGAGAGAGAACCGGTGCAGGTAGAACAAGTGTGGCTTGTAACGCCAAAGTCTTCAGTGTTGACGGACCTTGCGAGTTTCGTGTTGGTGGAGTGATTGAGAGGTGCTGAGAGGTGTTGTCGTTGCTGGGGAGGACAGCGCTATTGGCTGAATTTATAGGACAGATTGGCTGTCTGACAGCTGACTGGAGGGCAAGATCGGAGTCGCTGGGTATTCATGTCCCGCGCACCTTTTTTCCATTTATCATGGCCACACATTTCCTTACATTCATTCATGATTGCAATGATTGCATGCCAGTCCTTTGAGGTATCAGTTGGCAAGCAGGTGGGACGAGGTGCATTGTGAGAGGGACGCCATACTATGACGTCAGGTGCTAGGTTAGTCATGACAAGCGGGAGTATGCGAGGGTTGAATGGATGTAGCCAGTGTAACCAGTGTCCTCGCCGCCAACGTGATCACGTCGCGATACGTGAACAAACGAGCAGGTCTATAGCAGTAGCAGCTCCCCGACTACACTTCTCCAAGATGGATCGTAATGCCCTTCGTCTCGGAGTGCGTACAACTAAATCACATCAGCCTCATCTTGTCAATGATCGATGATGCCCGCTGAGTTTGTAGACTTACCCTGTTCAACATCCCAAATGCTTCTTCCACATCGTATGAAAAGCTCTCGTGGGATCTCATGGAGGTGATGACACTTCGTGCCCGCTGGCGTCCAGTCTCTTCCAGCATCATTGATCCTATCAAACGTCAGCAAAAGCAGTCTCATTTCACAAGGCTGTTCATGCATACCTAGGATGATGGTAGCAATCAACATATTGATTGTCGTAATCGACCTGGACTGCTCCAGGAGTCGCAACCCTTTGCACGCCGCGGTCTGGACTGTCTCGTGAGAGTGAGCGTGATGTAAAAGATCGACCAAGAGTACAACCTAAGAAAGGTCAGAGCCATCTATAGCAGGGGTGGCAACTTACTCTCAGAGTATAAATCATGATCTGATTACCCAGAATGATTTTCAGTGGCGTTTGGCCATCCATCTCCTCCCCTGCTACCCATATGTCCAGCTCCAGAAGCAAATCATTGGCTTTTGTTGTATTCTGGCCGATATAGGTTGGATCAGATATTGATTGCAACACGTTTTCCTCGTAGACCAGTATGTTGACTCGGTTTGCCTATCAGATCGTAAGCTTGTATTCTCTCCTCGGCGCCAGATAAGCCTACCAGCTCTAGAACTCCCGCGTCCATCCCGCATTTGTTTCGAAAGTCCTCGGATGATCTCTCGCCTTGGCCTGTTGCATGATCATACCTGGTGTCATGATGAGCACCATGATTGTCTGCCTCTGGAAGTTGACTCACCACCATGGTTGGAAAGGCTCCGCAATGAGCTGTGGCTGTTGCCCAGTCGCGAGACAGCGCCATACATCCACCAACACCAGTTGCTCAAGGACAGCTCTGGTCCTTGCAAAGTGGGGCTTACCACACGCTGCTTCCAGCATCGCTGCTGGACCGCCTTGCGCGCCCACAAGGTCACAGGCGATGGTTAGAGCATTCTTCCACTTGATCCCCCCAATCATCACTTGAGATATGATGGCGCAAAGGAGACTGGTGAGAAGCACCAGTGTGTTATCTGGCGTTGTCTCGATAGTCGGCAACTTGAGTAATAGAGCAGAAAGGCACAAGTCCATCGATGATTGACTTAGGCACGTTCCGATAGCTCTGAGCCGTGTGATTGTGTTGGTGCTTGAAATGCCGTTTGGGAGTGATGGTCTTGCCCAAGTACCTCTTGGTAGACCTTTGAGATACCCTTTCTGCTGCTGCAGCAGAAGAGAAGATCGATGAACAGCGGCGATAGAGAGAAGGGATATCAAGAGCGCATCCGAGTGAAGATGCGAGCCTCGGGGGTGCGCAATACTGTAAGATATATCGAAGAATTGGATGGGCTTGTCTGCTTGGGGTATAGCGCACAAGTTGATGGTGCCTGTGATATGTACGATATGTCAGAGATCAGACAAGACATTATAGAAAATGCTTACCGAAGCACATGAAGTGCTGCATCTGAGCCCGAGCATAGCATAAGCCAACGCCGATACGGATACGCCCTTGAGGGCTGCTATGACTCACCAATTCTCTCTCTTCAGCGTCCCAGAAGATCAAAGCTAGGTAGTCTGGAGGATCAAGATTGACAGTGGGCCGGTCGTTCGTGTTGCGCCAGTTGCTGGGGTATACACACTACCTTTTGTGAGCTTATATCATTCATTGTTATTACCCACATCTCTCCCGGCAGCCAGACATCGCCCACAGCCTGGTGTTTGCTCGTCACATCTACTGGTGGTGAGTGGCAATGCGAATGGAAGCCGACACTGGTCAACATACTTTCGCCTCCTTTTCTTGCACTCCAGACAGCCTGCACCAGACCTGTCAGGCTATGTATCATAGAAGAGGAGACTGCCATACCTGCCCGACTACGAGTCAGCTTGGATCGTTTTGCTGCATTATTGCTGCTATCGTTGTCGCTGATGCCCTCTGGCTGGGGAGCTAGTACAGTAGCAGGAGTAGAGGCCATTCTCTGAGGGTGCTAACTGCGGGAAGTGGGGCGTAGTAAGAAACACCGCTGGTTTCAAAAAGCAACAAACGTTATTCTATCGCCGAGATCAGGTAGACATGTTGGAGCAGCAGTAGTGGCGCAGCCGACGAGATAAGACGAGGCGGCGGCCGCCATATTATTGTGCCGAAGTCGAATTTGGTCCCGTGTCGTTATTGTCGTGCTCTTTCTGATGTAATCATGATATTATGCATATGCTCAAAGCAGCACTTCAAAATACTGCTCCAGTTCACTGATGAATACCACAAATAACATCTCGACCACAAATAACAGCAACAGGTCAACGTCTACGAAGGAGTTCTAAACACTCTACGGGTGACGTGTTGAAATTTCGACAAAGGCTTTGTCGCTCTCTTCTCCTCAGCCGCGAGGGTAATGGCGTCAATCTCCTCGATATTACTCTCAAAGTCCATATCTTTGGCCTCGACACCCCACGTGATCGATCCATTGCGCAAAAAGTCTTTCAACTTCCACCCGGCGTAGCAGCAGATGAAAATGAAGACTGCCCCGTATGTAAAGATGAAATCTGTGACAACGAATTCACCAGGTCCAAAGAAGGTATAGCCACTGATAAAGAGTCAGTCACGTGGGTCTCTAGAGCATAGGAAGACTCACCTGAAAATAAGAGCAAAAGCGGACCAAACCAATGTATACCAGGCCGAGAACCGAGGGATCAATCCTCGAGCAGGTAAAAAGTCAAGGCCGATACCCTGAGCCACCAGACCGGCTCGGAATCGAAGATAAGAGCTAAAGAAATGAAAGTGAGAATACTGTACGTTTATGTCAGAGAGCGGACTCACGCAGCCACGACGATCCAGGTGATGAGCTGTGTAGCGGTGGTCAAGTTGATCAGCCACTGGAGGACTGTTGTGCGACGGTCTTTTAGCATGGAGCACATCTTTTTGAACGGCAACGCACCAGTGTTGGTACCGTTGGATACGGCGAGATATGACAAGCAAGACAGAGCTAGAGTTATAAGAACACAGACATAGGGTAGACCGTGCTTGTTGACTTTCGTGACGAATTTGGGTGCCTGACCTTGAAGACCGAGACCATACAGTGTTCGGCTAGCCGCGAATGACATCGAGGATCCCGACGAGAATAGTGAAAGCAATATTCCTGCAGTCAGAATGTCGGGCAGGACGGGGATCCCTAAGCGGTTCATATTGATGACATACTGCCAAGCAACATATCAGCTCTACTGAAGGCTGGAGGAGACGAAGTGCACTTACGGGTGAGCGAGCAGTGTTGGACGAGGCACTGAGGAGGTTGTCGTCGTTATAAGGAGCGTTTATCCCCACAAAGAGCGCGCCACCAACGTAGAAAGCAATGATACGGTAGATGGTAGATTTGAAAGCTTTTGGGAGGACACGACGAGGATCTTTCACCTCTCCGGCGACGAGCGCGATATAATCGGGGCCCACCTGGAGTGTGGTGAGCTTGGAATCTTATTAAAGCTGGCTACCACTCACGATACCATAAGCGCCCCATTGCACGGCATGCCACACGTCATAGGCTCTACCAGTGGGAGTGGAAGCCGCAAAGGCACCAGGATCTTTCCAGAATCTAGCAACAGTCTCAGAGATACGTTCAGTGGCAGTAAAGTGACCTACCGAAATCCATATCTGTCATGGAGCGGATTTCCTCCTAGCATGGTGACAATTGTGAATATAAACATTCCGACTATCAAGAATACTTTCAAGATACTGATCCAGAATTCTACGTTTATATCAGCAAGGCTACTTCAGTATTGGCAAGTACAAAAATCACCTGTTTCGCCGTATACCCGAACATTCACCACTTGCACTACAAGAAGTAGGACAAGCCCCACAGATATACATATCGCTGGATGCAAATCGGGCGCCCAGTACGCAACCAGTACGTTGAAGGCTAAGTCTGGTCATCAGTCCAGCCACAAGACAAGGGCATAAGGGCGTACATGTAAGCTCAGTCGCTATGAGAGCCACTTGAGTGACAAAGTAATTCCCTGAGAATCTATTGAGTACTTGTACGAGAGCAGCGGGCAGCGGAAGTGACACTTACAGCCAAGCGCAAAGCCGATAGACTGGTCAAGGAAGCGACTACTGTAGTGAACAAAGCCGCCGTCTATAGGCAGCAACGTGCTCATCTCCACCAAAAAGTTGCTTATCGCCTACGGGACCATTCCGTCAGTCAGTCTTTTGGCCACTAAAGGACAGGCGAACTCACCCAGACGACCGTCGCCCATAAAGAAACCCCTATCAAGAGAGCCAAAGGTCCGCCTGTCAGTGGACCTCCAATGGAGATGAAAACCGAAGATCCAATGGCGCCAGATATGGCTATGAGCTGCAAGTGCCTCGGGCGAAGTCCACTACAGCTATAATGAGCGCATGTCTACGCCTCAACTACTGATACTCACCGATGAGAATGGGATATCGTCGTGACAGCGTCACCACCGGCTGTCGCATCGACTTCGAAGACGGCAATGTCTGTAGTTGCGAGCTTGATAGAACCCGAGTCGGTCATCTTGTGCAACTCTTTTGATTCGTGGAATGAGAGCCGAAATGCCGGGGGTACATATACGAGCAGCTGTTGGTCTTTAGCAAAATAGCAAGAAGCGCTTCAAACACGGGTGGAGATACGATGATAAGCGTACATATATCATTGGATCGGTGGACGCATGGGAGGCGGATAAATGCGCCTAGATGCGCTTACATATCAGCAGCGACATTCCGGTGAACGCTGGGTACAGCCCGTACAGGGAAGACCGGAAGACGCGGAAGAGCGAGAGACTAAAAAGCGAGAGTGGATAAGTGCGCTTAAAGGGAAGCGCCGAGGGCCCGGTTAGATAAAGGCACGCGCTATCATTCTGTGCTGCAGTCGCAGGGCAAGTTGCGCCGTATGCAATGCATCTTGTGCCGTGGATGATGGCCACAAGCGGGCCGGCCATGTGCGTTTTCCAGAGAACGCCAAGCTAGTGCCACCCGGGAAAAGCATCGATAAGTTGACAATCGCCCCATTGTTTTCTTCCTCCAGTGAACTTCTTTATCAAACACCGCCATGGCCAAGCTCAAGAACTTTGTGCTCCAGGTGGACGATACATCCTCCAGTCTCAATGCTGGTCTGCCCCTCGCCAAAGGCATGTCTTTGTCTCATTGGCAACAAACGACACGCTCGCATCCGTTACTGAACGAGCGGACAACTCGAGTACTGCCTGCTGAAGCGGATATCGTTGTCATTGGATCCGGGGTGAGCATCACATGTACCACAAAAGTATGAAAGTATCTAGCCATGATTACTGAAAGCGTACATTAGCTCTCCGGCGCGCTCACCGCACTGTCTCTTCTTCGATCTGATACACCACCTGCATCAATCGTTATGCTCGAGGCGCGCGAGCTCTGTTCTGGTGCTACGGGTAAAAATGCTGGTCACTGTAAGCCTGATGCTTACAGGGGATATTCCGAGTATGAAGAACGATTTGGTGCCAAAGAAGCTATCAAAGTAAGCTCCCTTCCTGCTCTGGCAGACCGACCGCTAATGCGATTTTAGATCCTCGCGAACGAGAAACGTACTTGGCAAGCGATGGTCGCTTTTGTCAAAGACAATGAAGTTGACTGTGATCTATGGACCGGAAAGACTGTGAGCCTGTACTTCTGTTCTAATGGCCCTTGGCTAATCAAACAGATGGACGTCTTTATGGACGAGGAATCGACTACCAAAGCGGCAAGTGTATTCCAAGCCTTCCAAGAGGCGGGCGGGGATGTCTCAGCCATAGAGGTGACGAGTGAGCGAAGCAAAGCTAGAAAGGTAAGCTTGCCTATGATACTGTGTAGTGCATGACTGACATGGTAACAGGTCTCTCGTCTCGAGGATGCCCGAGCAGTGTACGCCTGGGACGCATCGACGCTACATCCATGGAAACTAGGTGAGTTTGTCCTATTGTTTCCATTCAAACACCAGCCAATGACACGATGAGACAGTCGCTCACATCATTCAACAATGTCTCAAGGCTGGGCTCAACCTTCAAACATGGACGCCGGTCCTGTCCATCACGGAATCCAGCCATGGGTGGACAGTCAACACCGACCAAGGGTCCATCAATACACCCACCGTCATCCACGCCACAAACGGCTTTGCTTGTGCACTTCTCCCCGAGATGACATCCCTGATCGATCCCACTCCTCATATGTGCAACCGCATCTACCCATCTAGCTCCTTCTCTGGTACCAACGCCCTGCATAACTCTTACGGCGTCATCTACGCGAACGGCATGTACTCTGTGAACCCGAGGAGTATTTCTGATGGAGTCATCCTCGTCGGTGGAAGCCCTCCAAGCTTGCACGAGCTCGAAGAGTATGTTGCAAAGGACAAGAAGAGACAGACAGATGATAGCCTGGTCAATTTCGAACCAGTCACAACCTCGGTGCGCGAATTGGGGTCGAAAGGGTTTCGCTGGTGAGCTATGCGATCTACGAATGTTCATCCATATGCTGATCGTATATAAGGGAGTCATCAGACTATGGCGCTGCTACGCAATACGACTGCTCTTGGAGTGGGATTCTCGGTATGGTACGTAACACACCTGTGAGCATATGATCCTAAAACCTGTGATACTCATATTGGAACAGAGCGCCGACAGCGTCCCGTTCGTTGGTGCTGTCCCAGGTAAGCCGGGTCAATGGATGTCATGCGGGCACAACGGACACGGCATGGTGAGTCATCTCGCAATATCTTACCTGAGCCTGAACGTCTCACTGAGTTTCTGCTCCGCAGGCACGCATCTTCACCTGCGCGCCAGCTTTGGCAAAGCTCGTCCAAGGTCGTAGCTGGTCCGAGACTGGTCTGCCTGGTTGTTTTCAAGTCACAGAGGAACGTCTGCGCGGGTTGAAAAAGTTATGAGTGCTTTTAGATGGATATGCCATTTATTGGGATATATATATCAATTATCGTCCATGGATGAGATATGTGGTATCGCTGCTGCATGTTCGGCTTCGACAGTGTTGACAGTGCCTTCGGCCACCGTACAAGTGACTTTTCCTGCGGTACCGAAAAGTCATTCACGGGCGCGACAACACCCCCATGCCAGGCCGTGCAGAGATAGCAGCCGAGAAGCAGTGCAAGGAAAGAAATGGAGAAAGCAGGGTAATAAAGGGCAAGAAGAAAGCTGTGGGCAGTGGACCTGAGCGGAAGACCGAGATCGCTGCAAGAAAAAATTTCAGTTCTCGCGAGGCGATGCTAAATAAACATCACCCAGTTGAGAGATAACTTTGAGGGATCTTTACAAGCGCACGTAATCCTTCACAGCCAGAACGGCAACCATACGGGGACATGGCGGGAGGCGCCCAAGGTTAGAGATATCGGACGATAGCGGCGGAAGGAATGGCAGGAGGCGTTGGGATTGGGGGATGGTGAAGGTGCTGGATGAGGCGATATGTTGGAATCTGAGTATGTAACTCGAAAGGCAATTGCCAGATGCAAGGTGTGCCTCGCGCGGGAGACCTAAGAGAAGAACAACGGGCAACTGCCTCACCAGGCACCAGGTCGATTCCCCATGCTGATCTCGTTGGAGACTGTCCATGTGGATATGCCCTTGCCATGTATCTCTTGCACGGTTGCACCGCCCTCTACGCCGTGCTGCCCTGCCCCGAGGGCCCAAACAGGACGCAGAGAGCTTGGCTCGGTGGATCTCGGCGGACGCCGTGGTGGTTCCCTGAGATCGGATCAGGGACGACGCGCTGTGCCTGGGGACGCGTTGTTTTTCTCCTCGAGGAATATAAGGGAGCACGGGAATCACATCTCTTTTCTCTTTTCTCCATCATTCAACCCCCGCTCGCTCTTTATAACCCCCAATCCTAATCCCCTCATCCACCACAACCTCCCAACCCACCACCCACAATGCACCCCACCACGGTCCTCGCTACCCTCCTTGCCACCCTCGCCGTCTCCAACGCCCTCCAGGTCACCAGCCCTACCGAGGACGACGTCTGGTCCTCCAGTGGCTCCCAGACCATCTCTTGGGACTCTGTCTCTACCGACCCCGACACCTTCGTGATTGAGCTCGTCGAATCTGTAAGTTGGACTCTTCCATCACGTTTTTTGAGAGTGCGGGCATGGTGAGCGGAGCGGCGTCCAAGACGTGATTTGTGGCCTTGCAGGCGTCGCAAAGTGGCGCGGTCGACATCCCTTCTCTCTTTCTCTTTCTTTATACGGCACCGCAATTCGGCTCCGCGACCGCGTCCGCAACATACTTCGGAGTTTACCCAGGAGGGACCGCGCGCTGACAATTCTTTTCCATCACAGGGTGGCCAGAACGGTGTTACCATTGTCAGGAACCAGACTTCCAGCGAAAACTCTGTCACCGTCTCTTATCCCGACGGTGACTGGCCCACTGGTACCGCTTTCCAGATCAACCTCCTCTCTGCCAGGTCTGCCATCCTCGCCCAGTCTGACCAGTTCAACATCACCGAGTCCGCCTCTTCTTCTTCATCCTCCTCTTCCGAGTCTAGCTCTTCTTCAAGCTCTTCCAGCGCTTCTTCAAGCTCTTCCAGCGCTTCTTCGAGCTCTTCCTCTGCTGCCGTCACCAGCACCTCCGCTGCCGCTTCTAGCAGTGGCGCCAGCTCTGCCGCCGCTGGCTCTTCTACCTCTGGCTCCATCCCCAACTCTGTGAGTTTTTCCTCCTCAAAAGTCAAACAATGTTGACCCAACATAGTCTGCCGCCGCCTCCTCTGCTTCTTCTGGCTCTGCCCTTACCTCCTCCGTCGCCATCGGCTCCATCGCCCTTGCCTTCGTTGGTGCTTTGAGCGTCATTGCCTAAACGCCCACTCTTTCTGTATATAGCCTTTGAAGAATGTCGTGGTGTCAAGACGGCTAGACTTTTTCCTCTTTCGTGGTCGTGGTCGGTATTACAAATACAGCGCTCTTTGAGTGCCAGTAGCTTTATATTCGTCGGTTTACATCGTATGGACAATTTTTCCTTAGATATCTCGGTCTGGTTGATATGAATCCTCTATCCATCCTGCCGTTTCACATACAGTTTCACATGTTGCAAGGCAGCTGACCATAAGTCTGCTGATAAGAGATAAGATAGAGGTTCCTGCAGATTGATGCTATGATAGCGTTGTATAGCGGCCGTCTAGTGTGTTCTAGGGCGACGCGTCGACGCGTCTGTGAGATCTGGAAAAAGTGCTGCGGCCTGCGGATCCAAACATGAACCTACTTACTAATCGAACATGCACGATTGTACGATTCATGTCGCATCCTGCCCATGGTCTCCCAGCCTCTCTCCCACAGCCTGGTCTTGCCCAATCTGGCCAGAACGTCGCCCTTGACGACTTCGACCGGGATCTTTGGGACATTCGCAAGAATCAGTCGTTCCAAACTTGCAGTGTCTTGATCCGACAGTCGACGCTTTCAATACTTTCGTTTCTCACCTCTGCGAGCACCAGGCTTTGCTGACTGGTACCAACTGTTGCGTCAGCGACCTTGTCGTCCGCGTTCGTATGATTTCGGGCCTCGGCCATGAGCTTACAGAGGTGCGAGTGCTCAGTAAGCTGGGAAACGGTGGGCTCTATCACCAACCTCGGCCTCGAGTCTCTTATCTCCGATGTACTCGAATATTGGGAGACAGAGCTGAGAGAGCAAAGACGTCCCCGTTCCCTTGTTTGATCTGATCGCTATTCTGTCCAGTCGACGACCCCTACTCCGGCTCTGCCCACTGGGCCGGACCCCAGTGCCATTGAACAAAAGCCGCTGAACGGCAGCTATGGCTGAACCCCGAAGTTCGTCTTCCCAAAGGCTCTGTTGGCGCTCGAGCTCGCAACTATCTGAAGAGCCCAGGGGTATGTTTCCAATGTCGTCAGAAAGGGCATATGCGAGCGGACTGTCCTTACGGAGATGCTCTCGGCGACCGGTAGTCATCGAGAAGATTGATGCCGTGGAATCCAAGTCAGTCCTCTTGTCATGCCCACTCGCCTCACAACTGATCGATCTTGAGGTTGGGTGCTCCGGTCGTTGTCGTCAACATTTGTTGACAAAGGGAGGGGAGACAGAGTCATTGAAAGAGTATTCAGTGGCCCGGCATATGTTCCTTAGTGGTACAGCGTGCTATGCGCCGTTCGTCGTTTTCATCCTTCATCCCTGGACTTTGGGCAATTAAATGCAGAGCAATCACATGCAGATGCTAATGCAGAGAATGTAAAAAGTACGACCTAGATGCCAGGCGTATACATGGATGTCTCGCCACCACCAGTCCTCCCGCCTTATCGCGCAGGTGCTAGAGGGACCGGAGGAGCCGGATTGATCTTGTTGTCCAGGCCCAACATACCGCAGAACGATAGCGTTTGAGGGTTGGTATACCAAGCCGCTACATCACTTGTCAGTCTATTTCCGAGTAGCTACCTCAAAGAAACTTACTAGCACTCCCTCCGGGCTCTCCTTGTGGAGGTGCCGTCCACCAGAATCTCTGCACCCTCCCCACATCAATCTTCCCCTTCTCCCATACCAACTCCTCTCCCTCCTCTTCACCCTCCTTCGGGATCTGCGGTACCAACAGACCTTCTTCTCTCATCCTTATCCGTTCGTCTTCAATCATCTGTCCTAGTATATGCGAGGGAGGGGGGCGGATGGCGTGGTATTCCAGGGGGAGGTAGGGGTGGAGGGCGCGGGTGATGGCGAGCCATTCGGGGTCGTATGTCAGGCGTGGAGGGTATGAAGGGTTTGGTTCAAGGTCGGGGATCTCTATAAACTGTTGAACAGTCAGCAACAGCCTCCAATAGAAGCAGAGCAAGGGAAACATACCTGCATATGCCTCTTATTCGGCCCACACTTGTCCAGCGCCAAAAACTTGGTGGACCCCGGGACTCCTTGCCCACCAGGTGCATTCTTTGCGAGTTCAGACCATCGTTTCTTTTCTTCCTCTGCTTCTTTGCGTAAGCGCTCGGCTATGGCGTCGTCGGGAGAGGGGGCGATGGTGCCGGTAGCGGTAGATCCGTCACCTTTGGCACGGGCAGCAGCGAGGAGGTCGGCGGATTCGTCGATGGGTTCCATGAGGGTGGTAGAGGGCTGGGTGGGTTCAGAAGCGGGAACAGGTACGGGGGCGGCAGTGTGGGCAGCAGGGGCAGGGGCAGGGATAGAGTCATTGGTGGGGGCAGCAGGGGAAGGTGGGTCATCGATCTCGTCGTCCAACACAATCTCGTCCGGGTTTTCGCCGGCAGGTGTTTGAGAGACTCCTTGCGGGGCGGCAGTGGGAGTATCAAACTCGTCGTCGTCCACTAGGATCTCATCCGGGTTCCCCCTCTCCTTGACCCCTCCTCCGGTCGCGGGGAGATCCTCAAACTCTCCATCATCCATTACGATCTCATCTGGGTTCCCCTTTGCCCCATCTCCCATATCTTCATCGTCATCAATCTTGATCTCATCCGGGTTGCCCGCCTTTCCAGTCTCCACCAGCGGTTCTTCGTCCTCAATCAAGATCTCATCAGGATTGTGGACCGATTGATTTTGAGCGATCAAGTCTTGAGAGTGCGAGGGAAAGTTGTGCTGGTAGAGGGCAGCGAATTTGACGTGGAGATGGGCGGCAAACCAGTAGGCGGGTTGAAAGTGGTTCATGAGTTTGAGCAGGGGTGGTGAGCCGAGGCTGTTGTTCTGGACCTGCCTCGGAATGTCAGTCTTACTGGGTAGGACAGGATAGAGGTACTCGCCTCTTCAGCAAAGAATGGTTTTCTCCTCAGGAGAGCTTGCTTGTCTCCATGATGGGCTATTGTAGTTGGCCAGTCGTGAGACATGACAATAGTATTTGGCGACGGCGTTAACTGGAATAAGATGAGTCTTGGTCAGGGCCGGTACTTTGGCTGCTTACCCGCATAAGCTTCTCGACATCATACTCTCGGATATGGTAGATCGTCCGCAGAGATTTAGAGTCATAAGGGACCCTCTCGTGGTGGCCTATAGTCCTCGTCAGCTCTCGACCTCGACAACCTGATAGACACTTGCCTTTCGTATAGTCAAACGACTTGTAAATACCACTAGCTCCTACAATTCGCAGCCCATTCACGTATACACTCCCAGCAGCTCCCATGTAGTATATGCTCGGCGCCAGCCACCCTCCATGATACAATTCCCACATGTAGTTGCTCGCCTCATGATTACCGCCGATGACAATTGTCAAGACTGGCGCAACTCGCTGACCCGAGTAATACTGCTGGAAAGTGCCGAGCTGCTTAAATTTGTCCGGGACAGCGAGAGATGGAAAGTCGTGGACAGAGCGGAGAGCTTGGAAATCACCACAGAGAAGGAGGAGGTCGATCTGATTGCCGGTAGTGGTGGTGTACTGCTCGACTGTGTCGTATATTTCGGCGAGACTGCCGTGGGAGCAACCTTGGATGGCAATCTGCCGATATTAGCGGTATATTTGGTGATTCTGGCGACTCACTCTCATGATGGGCTCCAGAGGCTCTCTAGGTGGGCGAGATATCAAAAATACAAAGGTCAACCGAATAAACAGCAAGATGCGGCGGAGAGGTGTGCGAACTGCGAAGCGGTCATGTCCGTAAAGAAACGAGAACGCGAAAGTGATGACGGTGATGCAGCGGCCTGTCTTGTTTCTGCATATCATATCTTGACCGCCTTGCATCCGCTGTCAGCCACCTCTCTTCCCAGCTTCCGACCCCTTCAACTTTGCTCTATATGGTCACAAAGAGGGAGCTGCAGTGCCATCTATACCAAGTTCGCAGTTCTTCTGCAGTGGAGCATCAATCTATCGTATACATTTTCATTGCTGCTGTCTCAAGACACATCATCGACTCATCCACCACAATGATACCACTCATCCCCCCAATGTTGCCTTCCAACAAAGATATACTTGCGAAATACTCAAAGTTACGTGGCAAGTCCAAAATACTATGAAAGGATACTCTGGGCTGACTTCTGCTTCAGGTCAGCTTATCTGCATGGATCTCATCAGAGCGTATGGGAGTTTGATACAACTTGATTCCTTTATAGGCGCGATACGTCTGTCGTTAGATTGCCATATTGAGGAGCGCATGAGTGACATGGAGGATTCTCGAGTGACGCGAGTTTCGGTGACTTGTGTCAGCGACATGACGAGGTGTGTCCATCTATCTTCGGCTACAAATTCTTTCAATTCCTTTTGAGATATGTCGCTGACTGCTAAATCATTCATGCTCAGATCTGGACCTCGATGGGTGAGCATCAACTTATCTCTGACCAAATGAAAAGTCTTGCTCATGACCGTATTAGTGATAATCACCAACGCCATGTGCCATGTGCATATATGGGAAATCAACGGAGTCATACCTGAGCACTGACACCCATTTGGGGATCCCGGTTCGGAGCCTCTGACTTTGGACTGGTACCACCAGCAGGTTCTCCCCTCTTACTTTATAGGCAGAGCAAAAGACGTCTTGCGTACCCATGAAGAAGGGTTGCCTTCTTACTGGTGGGAAACTTTACATGTGCTATCTCCTATATCGAGGTGCTTCCCTTCTTCCGGCTTCCTCGAGGTATACCTATCGACCAGGAAGCCATTTGACTGAGTTCGTTTTCCGAGAGAGGCGAGTCTAGAGGTCGAAAGGGAGTGGTACCGTTTGGAGCCTAGAATGTTTGGGGTGTCTCGTGTGATTTTGCATCTCATCATTCTGACGTGATTGCTGACCATGAGGAAGAAGGCTCGTCCGTTCTCTGGCCCTGAGCTCACAGATACAGAGTCGGAGACCCAGAAGTCAATCAAGGCCACATCTCCCCCTCAACTTTGAGTCTCATCATCCGGGTCCGACCTACCTGAACGCATGCCACATGACTCAGGGCTGTTTTTGAAGAATTAACAACCGATTCAGACGCCAGTAGTGCGGCAACGCCCTCGATTGTTGGATGAGAAGTTGTTGCCGTCAAAGCCACTGCGCTCTTACATACGATGATGAGAGCGAGCCACGATATTGAGGTAGCGCGCCGGAGCTCAACCCAAGGGTAGAGACTTACTTAGCGTGTCTCTGCTGATATGTACTCGTATATTGCCACTTTGATGATTCTCAGGCATAGGTTGAGTGACGCTTCGCAGAGGTCTTTAATGCTACTACTACTCTCAATAACTTCATATATCATCACGCCAAACACCCCCAAGTCTACGTACCAATGGTGATGCATGAAACATCCAGCCACGAGCTACTGACAAGGTCTGAAATGCTTCAAGTATTCGGGGCCAGTTGGAGAAATATAGGGAGATAAAGATATAGTAGGATAAACTATGCGCGTCTCCGACCGTTGCGGAGCAAGCTCTCTAGGACTTGAGAGAGCTGGACGTCGTTTTCCGGTGCTTAGGTACTAGATGCATCGGTGTATACAAAGCCATTCATCCATGAGCTACAAACACTTGATGCTTTGTTCAGACTTGATATGATCGCTATCACTCAACGTCTTCCATCGATGGCCAGTAGGAATAACCCTGAAAATCCTTTTTCTTCTTCCCACCTCTCCTCCATCCAATGTGATTCAATCCTCTGCATGGACATTGTCGGCAGGTCTACTAGGACTCCTCCCAAGATCGAGCGTGCCAGCTCAAGAAAGAGTGGTAACCCCACCCACGGCCAGACCGAGAACTCCCTTCCTTCCATCATATCGGACCTCGTAACACCAACAAACATGCTTCAGCATTGCGTGCTCACGCATACTTGCTACATGCTGCATCAAATGACCAGATCTCTTCGGTGTCCAGCAGACGCATCTCAACACGACACCCGTTCAATTCTCCGATCTCCGAGCCGCGACCCTCCGAGAGATATAGAGTCAAGGCTGTGCCCGTGTCCAGCGCGTTGATGTCCCGTGTCACCTCGAAATTATCACAGGCCTCGTTGCCCGAATGGATACCCCTTACCGTGTCTTATCAAAAGGGACCTTCACAACATTTTGGCCCGCGTGCTTTATTAGTGTCGTTTGGGTGCTGTGTAACGTTTGATGAAACGTAGAATAACCACCGTGCTACGATTTGAGTTGATTTAGCACTGTCTTGGCATTTTACGTTGATAAAGGAGGGGAGATTGAGAATCAACGTGTGTTGTACTACTCGGTCACGTTGGGCACTGAGCACTGACATTGCTCCGAGCATGGAGCACATACGTTCGAGTGCCATGGTGATCTGCGATTGTCGAGAGAGCTGTACTGGCCGACGTGGCTGCTACTTGGAGACTTGACACATATTACAAACCACGCCTGAAACTCTCCAACAGCAGACAAAGCCAGCAGCCAACAAGTAGTCTCGAATGATGATAAATCGTAAAGGGTCGTGATTCATCTAGAAAGATACAAGTCATAGCGAGTCGTATACCACAATCCTTCATGATTCTTCCAATACACGTGTCTCCCTTCACGCTCATGTAGGAATCGACCTACTTGTCTGCATTCGTTTTCGTAGCACCCTTCCGAACACTTTGAACCTGCTCCAAAGCCCAAGCTCTAGAAGCATCATCTTGATCCGCACTCTCGGTCCACCGACGATTACCTATTTCACCCCATCAGACTTTTACTGTCAATTTCTCGATTCAAGATGGACTCACCAACAATGCCATACCCCTTCACCCCCTCCCCTCTAACACTCTCCACCTCCCACTCCCAGCCCGCCTTTAATCCCACCCACCCAAGCCACTTGACATAACTAGAATATACGCCGTGCTTCTCTTGCTCCCCATTAACGAGAGGTAACCATTCCTGTGGTGAATGGGGGTGAACAGGAGGGTCGTAAGTGCAGTCAGTAAACATGGCAGATGGGGAGAAGAGATGGAGACAGCAGGGGAAGGAAAGGAATGGGATGGGAGTCTTGGGAAGGAGGGAGAAGAGAGGGATCCATGGCTGTGTTTATCAGCCGTATCCTATCATAGACGAAGAAGACACATACAGTCAACTGGTCCGCATGATTGCCTATTAGAAAACTGTCATCTCTTACCACACTCCCACTCCACCCTCCCGACTTCCACTCGTCCAAAGTCGCAGGAAACCAAGCGGGAGGATCAATCTCGAGAGAGTGGAGCCTAGCTTGGGTGCTTGAGGGGTATGAAGACCAGGCTTGGCGTGGACGTAAATCATATCCTACACCTTGATACCCCTGCAACGATAGTCAGTCGGAGGGCCGGAGCGGGATGGTCAAGTGGTATAGTGTGGACGCACTTCCGAAGCGAGGATATGCACAAGCAGCCCATTACCCTAACAACGCGCATCAGCCAAAAGATAAGGACTGAGAGATAACGACATACACAGCCAAGGTCGACGAAGCCAGCTTTCGGCCGCCCCCAAGTATCCCAGGCCCGTCTTGGGCCTCCCGCTCCACCTCCACATGCACCATCCTTATCGTTATCGCCCCGCGGGTACAGGTCTCTCCACATGATCATGAGGAACGCAGCGGCTGCGATATCATGCTGGCCCCATTCTGCGAGGTCGTCTGGCAAAGCAGAATCATCCGGATGGTGCGATAAGGAGCGGGAAGAGGTGCGTAGTTGATCGAGAGGGAAGGAGGACTTCTTCTTTGCGAGGTGTCTGTGACGTTCTTTCAGGATGAGGTAAAGCGCAGAAAAGTCGAGAACTTTGGCGTCATAGTGCAATAATGAATCATGCGTAGAAACCGGAGCTTTGGATGATAACGAGAGCGGGATCGACAGTATCGACAGGATCGCCCATGGCTGAACGCTGGTTAATAACCTCCCGAGAAGCAATAGAAGCAATTTTTCGAGTAACGTACATCGCTTGATAGTGTTTCGTCTTGGGCCTGGCGGAAAAGCCTGCCTAGATGTTCCTCGCAGTGCTGATAGAGGGATGGCCTATCATCTTTGCCCTCGAAGCGATTGTCGCTTTTATCGTCGGATTTATTCGGTGGAGGCGGCCGAAGGTCGTTATGGTCGTTAACAGAAATAGAAGAAATAGAAGATGTGCTAGCCAGAGGCGAGCTTCTCTTTGGCTTGCTGCTCAAGCGTGAGGCAATACTTGCAAGTGCCGGGTGAGCCCCCCGAGGGGCGAGAAACGAGGGGGGAGGAGGCGAATGGGAACGAGGGGGACTTGTGGGAAAGGGGACGTAGTGGATCGAGACGCGACCACAGGGTACAGCATGGTCAAACGTTGTTGTCGGGATGCTATCACCCTGTTGCGCATTTTGCCAAGGCTCCCAGACATAGGCTAGCTTTTGTATGCGAGGACAGAATGGCGAATCGGAGGCTTTGGTGACAGGTGCACGTGGCGTGAGGACGATCACTGCTATGTCGTGGTCGGGAGCGCTGTAGAAGTGTATAGCATGATGTAGCGTGGCCCCGGTCGTGCTGTGGGGTGGGCTGAAACGTAAAGAGACGTCCACAAGGTCGAGCTGGGTATTGCGGACTACGAGCTGATGCGGTGCGGTTTCTGGGCGGTCTGGGGCTTCTGGGGCTTCTGGGGCTTCTGGGGCGAGCTGGGCGCGAAGGGCAGCGAGGAAGGCGGGCAGCTGGAGGGGGCAGGGGGCGGCGAGCAGCGGGAGCCACGGGGCAGGCAGCACAGAGCCATTACACATGGGTCGGCCGTGATCTTTTTCGTGGGAATGCCAAGACCGCACAAGCCGCAAAAAAAGATTAGATAAGCTCAAGCGGCCGTCGCCGAGTGCCAAGGGACCTAACGTCGATCAGCGCACGCACGTCGCTAAGTAGCATCATATCTTATGTGTTGACGTTAGCACGTAGCAGCGCACTATGCATCTGCAACTGCGATCACCATGACTCGCCCGCTAACGACACCATCCAGTGCGCCATCCTAGACACCAGTACCGCAAAGGCCCCGCCCAGCCAAACAGCCACGCCTCTTGCCGACCATTTTTTTATCGCCCAGCCTTTATAACCAACCACCGTGCCCCACATGCATCCCCCACATCTGCCTTTCCTTTCCTTTCTTTCACAACCCACCCATAATTACCCACCATGTTTGCAGCGCCGGCGCCGCAACAGCCCCCCCTCTCTACCACCAGTTCTTCTACCACCCTCTCCCAGGACCCGACCGTCATTGACGGCGAGGGCTTTGGTGTAGAGCAGGTGGCCAATCAGGATGCTGTCAGGGAAGAAGCTCTTGAGGCCCGTGAAGAGCACGAGCAGCATCAGCCTATCAGTACGAGCTCTTCTACCACCGCCGTCAACGAGTATATCAGCGCCAACAAGCACGCCACTTTCAGCGACCTGGGGCACAAGTGTGACTCCGTCGAGCCTATCAAGCCGGTCAATCCGGAAGACCCTCCCCCTCCCCCATCTTCTGCCACTGAGCGCCCATACTCGGCCTTCTCCAACTCTACAAAACGGCTCATCGTCGGCATTGGCGCCCTCGCCGCCGTCTTTTCGCCTATATCATCCAACATCTTTGTGCCTGCCATTCCTACCCTTGCCGAGGCTTTCGGCAGGTCGGAATCTGACATTTCCCAGGCTGTCACCATCTATCTTGTCTTCCAGGCCGTCACCCCGTCCTTCTTTGGCTCCATGTCTGACAGCTTCGGCCGACGACCATTGTATATCATGACCCTCGTCATCTACCTCGGTGCCAACATGGGTCTCGCCCTTATGCCTACTTCTCAGTACTGGCTCCTCCTCTTCCTCCGTGCGCTTCAAGCAACGGGTGGCAGTGCAGTCATCTCGATCGGCTATGGATGTATCTCTGACGTCGCCGCCCCTCGAGAGAGGGGCAAGTATGCTGCCGTCATTCAGGCTGGTTCTACGACCGGCCCCGCCCTCGGACCGTAAGTCTCCCACTCCCTCTGTGTTCTCAAGCTAACATCAATCAGGTTAATTGGTGGTATCTTGACCCAGACCCTCGGATGGCGAAGTGTCTTTTGGTTCCTCGTCATCGCGACCTGCGTCGCCTTGATCCCTCTCGTCCTCTTTATGCCCGAGACTCTGCGCTCCCTCGTTGGCGACGGATCTATTCCCCCGCCACCACTCAACACTTCTCCCATCGTGCTCATCCAGAAGCGCAACGCCGCTCGTAAGGCTGCTGCTGTCAATGCACCTCCCGAGCCCGTCGAAGAGATTGAGCGCCCGCCTCGCAAGCCTGTAAGTCCTCTTCTTTTCTTATGCGACTCTGGCTGACATCAAAGCAGTACCAGCCATTCTCTACCTTTGCTATCCTCGCGACCCCCGAGATCATATGTTGCTTCATCTTTGTCTCCCTCCTCTACCTCCAATACTACTGCTCCCTCACCCTCCTCTCCACCGCCCTCAAAGACTCTTACGGTCTCAACGAGATCAAGATCGGTCTCGCCTACCTCCCCCTGGGCCTCGGTACCATCATCTCTTCCCAGCTCAATGGCCGTCAGCTTGACTACTACTACCGTAAAGAAGAATCCCGTGTCGGTGGAGACTATTCGTCCAAACCGCACCAGTTCAACACCGAATGGACTAGGATCCGGTGTCTAATTCCATTCGCGGTGTGTTCGTGTTTGGCGACCATTGGGCAGGGTTGGTGCTTGGAGAAACATGTGCACCTTGCGCCGACACTAATCTTCAACTTTTTCGTCGGTTTGGGGTCTGGCACTGTCGGATCTAGTGAGTCTTCTCCATGTTTGATATCAAGCTGATCAGCCAAAAGTCACCGTCTACGCTCAAGATGTCAAGCCCGGAAAAGGCGGTGCCGTCTCTGCCTCCGTATGTTCTTTCTCGCCCTACCTTCTATCACAGCTGACCTCTTTGCCAGTTCAACCTTGTTCGTTGTATGTTCGCTGCCATTGCGGTCGCATGCGTGCAAACCATGTACAACGCCATCGGCGCTGGGTGGACATTCGTTCTTCTCACAGGCCTCGTCATTGCCGGTTCTCCACTGCCCATCATCACCGTCTTCAAGGGCAAGCAGTGGAGGGACAAGAGGAAGGAAAAGAAGGAGTTGAAAAAGATGAAGAAGGCGGAGAAGCGGGAGGAGAAGCAGGCGGGGGTGAAGAACTAAGGAACGGGTAAAGAGTGACTGCCTGGTGCAGACTCTTTCAATCCTCCTCCTTGTAAAAAAAAAAGGCTTCGGTGTAAGTCGAATGTTTTTTATAGTACGGACTCTTTCACCCAACTAGACATTCAGACCCGGACCTTCTTAGATATAGACGCTCTCTTTCCCCATCAGTTAGACTTTAGATTCCCCCAATTCGTTTGTGATATACGACCTCAGATACGACCCAGACACATTCGCTAGTAGACTTTTGGAGATAGAACGTGACCGAAGAGATTAGAAGACTCGTAAGAAGAGAAAAACAAGCCTGTATAGATATCTTTGCGCGGCCTCGTTAACAACCTTTCATTTGGGATGTGTGTAGCCTATAGATCTTGTTTTCTGATATGAATATATATAAACAACTCTTCAAGGGCTATGGGACTTCCTCTACATGCATCGGTTGTGGTTGTCCGCAGAATAGAGGGCTTGTCCGCGAAAGGCGTCAATCAACTTGCAACTCCTCTCGCACGGTCTTTTGCACCGTCAATTCTCTCCACTACTGTCTCATGGAGGATTGCATTGGATACATAGGCCACTCGCCGTGACGTGGAGGAGGGGTTTGTTGAGCATAACATAGGGCCAGGGCCCAGGACGCCCTTGGGACGCCCGCATGTTCTTATGGTGGTAGAGATAGCGGCGACACCCGCCATCGGCTTTGGCCGGCTCTGCCCTGAGAGCTGTAGAAAAAGCTTGATCTCTAGACCTGGCTCGACATTTTCAACGCACAACGATACAGCCCCCAACAGCACTTCTTGCTGGAATGTCATCACAGCACGACGAAGGGCATCGACTGCCGAGTGCCCATCTATAAAGAGGCTTCAGATGTCTTCACCACAATCGGCCATCCGACATCCACCACCAGAAAATCCACCGGGGCCGTCGCACGACACTGCAGCCTTGAAAAATGATGTCGCCGGTGGCAAAACCTCTCTACAGGGAGGAGAAGGGGATCGAGAGGCCGTAGCTGGCGAGCAGCAACACAACCCGCCGAAAACGCCTTTTACGCCATTACAGCCCACCCAAACCTCCCTCTCCCAGCGACCCTACTCTGCCTTTTCAAAATCCACCAAGCGCCTAATCGTCGTACTGGGAGGCATAGCAGCTATTTTCTCCCCAATATCCTCCAACATATTCGTCCCCGCAATCCCTACCCTTGCTCAAGCGTTCAACAGATCAGAGTCCGACATCTCTCAGGCCGTCACCGTTTACCTCATCTTTCAGGCCATCACCCCCTCCATCTTTGGCTCGATGTCAGACTCTTTCGGGAGGCGACCGCTGTATGTTGCCACCCTCATCGTCTATCTGTGCGCCAACATCGGTCTCGCTGTCATACCGACCTCGGCGTATTGGCTACTTCTTGTTCTACGGGCTTTGCAGTCAACTGGAGGGAGCGCCGTCGTGAGCATAGGATTCGGCTGCATCAGCGATTTTGCAGAGCCGAGAGAGAGGGGCAGGTATGCTGCCTGGTTCCAGACGGGTGCCATGGCGGGGCCTGCGTTCGGACCGTGAGTACCTTCCAAATCTGAAATGGCATGTCTGATGATCATGTAGACTTCTCGGTGGTGTATTGACGCAAAGTCTTGGTTGGCGGAGCATCTTTTGGTTTCTTGCCATTGCAGATGCCGTGGTACTCATCCCGCTCATCCTCTTTCTCCCCGAGACCCTTCGCTCTTTGGTTGGCGATGGGTCGATACCACCGCCATCGCTCAACACTTCTCCAATCGTGCTGTATCAGCGCAAGCAGATGGCAAAGCGACTGGCAGAGGAGGATGGGGAGATGGAACCGGTCGTCAGGCCTGAGCCAAAGCCTGTAAGTGTGATTAAGATTGTTCGTATGCTTGCTGACATTGAGCAGTATCGCCCGTTCTCCACATTCATGATCCTCTTGACTCCAGAGATCATCTGCTGCTTCGTGTTCACGTCCCTGCTCTATCTCCAATTCTACTCGAGCTTGACGCTGTTTTCAACCGCGCTCAAGAACTCGTACCACTTGTCAGAGGTCAAAATCGGTCTATGCTACTTGTGAGCTCCCCCATCTCTTCCCGGTCCAAGTGCTAACCCCTTGTAGACCGTCCGGCATTGGCACCCTGATCTCCTCCCAGTTGAACGGACGTCAGCTCGACTATTACTTCCGCCGCGAAGAACGTCGCGTCGGGGGAGACTATCGCTCCAAGCCCCTTTTGTTCAACATTGAAAAGACGAGAATCCGATGTCTTGCACCATTCGCAATCATGTCGTGTTTGGCGACGGTGGCGCAGGGGTGGTGTCTGCAGGCGAAAGCGCATTTAGCGGCGACGCTCGTAATGAACTTTTTCGTGGGACTGGGGTCAGGGACGAATGGGAGTGGTGAGTTGTCGGCACTGTGACATGCTTGGGATACAGCTGACGTAAAATATATAGTGACTGTTTATGGGCAAGATATCAAACCCGGAAAAGGCGGTGCCGTCTCAGCCGCTGTACGTATCATCCGCATACCCTATAAGTAACCGTATCTGACGTTTACTCTAGCTTAATTTGGTTCGCTGTCTATTTGGGGCCATAGGAGTCGCCAGTATCCAAACAATGTACAAGACCATGGGCGCCGGCTGGACTTTCGTCCTTCTTACTGGGCTAGTCATACTGGGCTCGCCTCTGCCCATCATCACGGTGTACAAGGGGAGAGGGTGGAGGGAAAAGAGGAATGCGAGGCATGCGAAGAAGGCGGAGGAGCAGGCAAACAAGGCTGTCAAAGTGTAAAGACTCACTCCTATGACTAAGATCATGATAGATGTCTTTCTAGATTAGCAAGAGGATACTTTATAGACAGTTGTACTGATGCATTTTGGGTTCCATGCTTGTATAGCCACAGTATTGAATTGGCCTAATTATACACATAAATGTAGAGTGATATGATATAAAAGCCAAGGACCCATGTTGGTCTAGATGTTACAAATGATAACAACTTGTTCGTTCTCCCCTCGACGACGCTGCTATGCCCATCACCACTCCCTCCTCCCCTTTCTCCCTCTACTGACACCCCTCTCGGCCTGGCCGATCGCCAGCCCCGTGCTCCTATCACGCCCCCTATCTTCCTCATGAACAGCCCCGAGCTCTTGCCCATACGCATACCTCTCCGGCGCCGCCTCCCATACACCCCCATGCCCATCCCTCTCTCCCGTCCATGCTTGTCCACCACGACTGAGAGAGCGAGAAGCGGACGGGGAGGTGGAAGTCTGCGAAGTCTGCGAGTGTCGTGATCTCGAGCGAGATTTGGCATTCGGGTGAGACCGCTGATCGTTCTGCGGAGTGGGTACAGGTCGAGGGCCTTGAGCGGGAAAGTTTGTCGCCATGGCTTCTCTAAACTTTCCGCTCTGGGCAGGAGCAGACTGGGGATGCCAAACGTGGCCGGCTCGATTGGCGCTCTCGGAACGAGATCGATTGTTACTCGAAGGTATAGGCACAGGGGTCTGATTGGAAGGTGTACCCTGCTGTCTAGCAAACGCCAAAGCCGAGGGGGTATTACGCTGAGGCGGATAAGGCGAGTTGCTGGAAGATGCGTAATCATAATCCCGTCTTGCCGACCTTCCTCGATCCAGCTCGACACTCTCAAGACCCCTCGCAAGCTCCACCCCGTCCAAAGCAAACATCGGACGATGCCCACTGCTCCTGCTCCTAGACGCACTGACGCTGCGTGAACGGCCAACGGACGGCATGTTGGGTTGGGGGAGGAGAGCGAATGGGTCGCGTGGAGTGTAGTTGGAGGAAGAGAGCGGTGGTTCGATCTGGCCGCTGCGGTCTCGCGAACGAGAGATATCGCGCAGACGAGGATTGGGTGAGAGGATCGGTACCGGCTGCGAGCTGTTTCTGCCCAAGGGGTCCAAATACCGGTCACCCAGTCCGAATCCCTTAGCTCTTGATCGACTCCTGCTTTTACTTCGACTCTGCACTTCCCTCCATCCCACTATAGCATCGCTTTCCCTGATCCTCTTGATCGTCCACCTCGCCTCCCTATCTCCATCCAGACACCCCACGAGACACTCTTCCCACTCCTTTCCCAAGCCCTGTGGTACTTCCCAAGACCCGCGCAGAATCTTCATCTGCAAACGCGGGTCGAACGCGTCCACAAAGGGCAGACGTCCAGTCAACAGGGCGTGGAGGATGATGCCAACAGCCCAGATGTCCTGGGCGAGAGAAGGACCGGAAGGCGGAGCACGGAGCAGTTCAGGTGGGGCGTAGGGTAGAGAGGCGGAAGGGAATGGCTGGGAGGCGACAGCGGCGCCTTCAGGAGTATGGAGGTGGTGCTCATTTGAAACTCGGCGAGGTCCATGAGAGTGAGGGTTGGAATGCCTATAAGGCGATGGCAGCCTGCTAGAACCTCGTTGAAAGTTGCTAGGTAACGTCGAATGGCGTCCCACACCACCAGCATTCCCATTCAACGGCGGTGGTATCGTTGCCATCTCTCTCCCCCGTCGCGGCTCGCCTATCCCCACCTGCTGCGCCATGTAAAAGTCACAGACCATGACTTTACCAGAAAGATCCACCAAAAAGTTGTCCAGCTTCAGATCACCATGCAAGAGGCCTCCCGGGAACCCGGAGTAACCGTCGTGCATTGCCGAAACGGCCGCGACAACGCCAGGGAACCACTTGCGCGCCGTCTTGTCTGACCCGCCTTCTTTCTGGAGGACATCCAAGAGCGACCCGCCCGGCATGTAGGGTATAAAGAGGAATGTGACAGAGGGTGTGCGGTGCATGTCTAATAGCGGTAGGAGACAGGGGTGTTTTGGAAGGTTTTGCCATGTCTGAATTTCCTCTTCAAATTTTTCCAGAGAACCGCTCCGATCAGAGAGGTCATCTCGCTTCACAATCTTGCAGGCGAAGACTTCGCCCGTCTTGACGAGTATCGCCTTGCGCACAGTCGAGAATCCACCCCGGCCCACCAGCTTGCCGAGCGTATAGCCCAAGACTCTCGCCCCTTCCGCATCCGGGGCGACCTGCGAAGCACCCCCGCTGGAGGACGACGAAAAGTACGACAAGAAGTGGTTGGCTGGCGAAAACGCGTTTGCGGAGAGGTTGGACATGTCTGATATCGAAGGAGACGGTGGCCCCGAAGGTCCGGGGTCTGAAAGGAACGAAGGCGAGGCGCCTCCATTGGATCTATAGGAGAGCTGCCGCTGGGGAGGATTCGCATGGTGGGAGAAGAGTGGGTGGCGGGAGGCTGCTGGGGGCGTATAAACAGTATTTGGATTTGGTCCTTGCGGCGAAGACATATTCGATGCAGCTTCCCCAAACGAGGGGCCTGATGCTCCTCCTCTTAAACTCGATATTCGCCGCAGATCTGACCCTCCCGACAAACCGCCTTCGTTGATGGTTCTCTTGGCCGGCGTTCCGGGCTCATCGGCGCTGGTGGCGGCAGCTTTAGACGCGTGAAGGCGCGAGATGAAGAGGGATGCGGGGGATGGTTGTGGTGATGGTCGGATGGAGGGTGGTGAGGAGAGTGAGCTGGCAGTTGAGCTCTCTCCAACATGGGACAGTTGTCTTTGAGGGGCAGGGGTGGCTAAAGGTGGTTCCCTGCTGGGGTCAGCATAGATAGTGGGTCAAAGACAGCTTTACTCACGCAACAGTCTGGGAACCGGAAGGACCCGCTATCCGCTGGGGCGAGAGAGCATGGTGAGCAAAGAGGGGATGGCGAGAAGCGGCAGGGGGGATGTACGAGGTAGTATTTGGATATGCCCCCCGAGACGAGGACGGATCTGGCACCGGATCTGACGCCTCTCCTTCTGTCCCTCTGAGATAGGGCGTTCTCCGTCTATCCGTTCCTGCTTGCCCGCTGGGCCCGCTGGCGGTAGACTCGCTTCCCTGGGTCACGGGAGCATGCAGACGCGAGATGAACAAAGAAGCGGGTGAGGGCGAGGTGTTTGAAGCATGCAGCATCCTGCCAAGAAGATCAGCCGAAATGAGGAACGTGTGATTGGGGGATGCCTTACGAAACGACGCTGCGTGCTGTGGGGTGTGTGTGAGGGATGTGGGGTGGCAGGGAAGGGAACAGCCAGGTGGGCAGGGCGGCGTAGGCGTAATCGAAGAAGATGACGAGAGAAGGGAGGATAGAAGCGAGAGGATTGTTGTTGCAGGTCAGCGGACATGAGCGAACCACCGGCATCCTCTATCCGCATCCCGCCGATTCTTCATTCAACCTCTACTTTCTTCATGGCCATGCTGTAAGTGCCTTCGGGAGGAGGGAGTAATACAGGAGCATGTCGCTCTACTTGTGAATGGAAATATGCATGTGCTGATCTGCAGCAATAATAATGGCTAATGGAAACTCTCGCCAAGAAGCTTTTGGTTGTGTCAACATATTCCTCAGCTATTTGCACAGCTGAACTACTCTTACGCTCTGATTAACTACATAACTACGGAAGAACACAGGAGTGTCAATCTGAGCTGCTACCTCAGGGAGATTGACTAGATGATCAGTACCTTCTAGTTTCCGGCTTCTGATCGAACGCTGTAAATCAAACAGCGCATGAGACACCACAGACAGGCAGAGCCATAGTCTGAGAGCTACGCGTTCTTACATATCGAGTCTTAAAGAATGGAATGTCGGTTGATCGAGAGAGGGATGATGGTGAAGAAGGCGGCGGTCGCCGACCGAGGTTGCGATGACAAGTCGTCTCGACGCGAGGCTTCTCGTTCCACCAGCATCCGATTTCACTTCCAACAACCATATTCCACCAACGCATACATCATGGCACCCAAAGAGTGAGTCCCCCCTCGCGCCCATAGAAGAAGCAGCTGACATGGCGGAACAGGAATTGGGAAAAGTGTGAGCCAGGTCGCCGAGCCATTTGGAGCCATCAGACACTAACATCTATACAGACGAGAAGAAGGCTACCGATGACAAGGAGGAAAAAATCGTAGCCCTCGACGAGTCTGATATCCAGATCCTCAAGACCTACGTACGCCCCCATCCTTCTCCCACAAGCTACTCACAACTTACACAAACCGCAGGGCCAAGGACCTTATTCTCTCCAGCTCAAGAAGATTGAGAAGGACCTGAACGAGATCCAGAAACGTGTCAATGAGAAGATTGGTATTAGAGAGTCGGACACGGGGTTGGCGCCTGCGAACTTGTGGGATATTGCGGCGGACAAGCAGAGGGGTGGGAGGCCTTTCCAGGTGGCGAGGTGTCAGACTATCATCAAGTCTGGTGAGCTTGCATCGAGAGATATCATGGGAACGGGAGCTGATGGAGTAGTAGCGAACCAACAGCCGGCAGACCAGCCGTTGAACCCTCAAGATGGCGCGGGAGCGGGTAACCCGGATGGAGACCGATATGTCATCTCTATCAAGCAGGTGGCCAAGTTTGTCGTCGGTCTTGGGGATGATGTCTCGCCTACTGATGTTGAGGAGGGTATGCGGGTTGGGTAGGTAACACTTCTGGGTATCATGGCCAGGCTGACAGTTTCCATAGTGTCGACCAAGTGACTTACAAGATCATGATCCCCTTACCACCCAGAATCGACCCTTCCGTCACCATGATGCAAGTCGAGGAGCGCCCCTCCATCACGTATGCCGATGTTGGTGGATGCAAGGAGCAGATTGAAAAGTTGCGGGAAGTTGTCGAGCTGCCCTTATTAGAGGTGAGTGCCCTTCCTCGTCCCCTTGTGTCGATCTGACGAGTGGCAGCCCGAGCGATTCGTCAACCTTGGTATCGAGCCTCCCAAGGGTGTCCTTCTCTACGGCCCTCCCGGTACCGGTAAGACACTCTGTGCCCGAGCCGTCGCCAACCGAACCGACTCTACTTTTATCCGTGTCATCGGTTCCGAGCTTGTGCAGAAATACATTGGTGAAGGTGCCCGTATGGTCCGAGAACTGTTCGAGATGGCCCGCTCAAAGAAAGCGTGTATCATCTTCTTTGATGAGATTGATGCCGTTGGAGGAGCGCGATTCGATGACGGTGCCGGCGGTGATAATGAGGTGCAGAGGACGATGTTGGAGTTGATCAACCAGCTTGATGGCTTCGACCCCAGAGGAAACATCAAGGTCATCATGGCTACCAACAGGTATGTAATATTATACCTCTGCATTCAACACAGCTGACATTGACCAGACCCGACACCCTCGATCCCGCCCTTCTTCGTCCCGGACGTCTCGACCGTAAAGTCGAATTCTCCCTCCCCGACAACGAAGGCCGTACCCACATCCTCCGAATCCACGGCAAATCCATGTCTGTCGAGCGCGACATACGATACGAGCTCATTGCGCGTCTGTGTCCCAACGCCACCGGTGCCGAGCTCAAGGCGGTGGCTACAGAGGCGGGTATGTTTGCCATCAGGGCGAGGAGAAAGGTGGCGACCGAGAGGGACTTTTTGGATGCGGTGGAAAAGGTCATCAGGCAGGGTACCAAGTTTTCGAGTACTGCGTTGTATGCGCAGTACAACTAGACGGGAGTAGATATGTATGAATGTAAAATGATTATGGCCAGTGAGAGCAGCAGGGGAGTATCAACGTTGAGTCAACATGAATAAGCCACGTCAGGACGGAAGCAATAATCTGGAGAAGGACGTCAGCCGCACTGTTCGCGCACCGTCCTGCATTGCTTCCTCATTTCGCGCCCGCCCACGTCCTCCCCAGCGCCCCCCGCCGCCCCGCCTCCTGCCGCTATATTTCTTACTCGGCCCCAAGAATCGATTAGGCCCCTTTCATGGCTGCATCCCCCAGCCCCACAGCGCAGGACACAGCACAAGCCGCTGATCCCATTATCCCATAACCACCGCCTGCCCCATGTCCGCCCCGCCCCTGCTCCAGCCGCAGAATATACGCCCGCCGCGCGACCACGCACACCATCCTGCACAACCAGAGCGCGCACACTCGTCCTCGCAACATGCCCGGACAAACCCACCGTGGCCTGTCTACTACCCTGTAGGCGGCACTTCATATCTTTTGGAGGGGACCGGCATCTTTGTCGATCCCCGTACTGGCGTTGGTCTCTCGGTATGGATAGATCCATCTCTAGAAGATTTGTATGGACTTATCAAAGTCATATGGGTGAGTGAGCTTTGCTTTGACAGCGTCGTGAAGCCGGCGCGCGAACATTGCGTCTTGTGTCCTTTGATCAGTCGCTGACAGGTGTCCTTTGGTATCATTGTTCGTCTCTATCATAAACAGAAAGAAGGCGGCCACATATCTCCCACCCCCGACAGCCCTGCGACCCAACTCCTCCTCGTATCACCTCACCAAACCCCTACCCTTGAACGATACTCGCATCCCGAACGCCTTCCTTCCCTTCGCCACCACAACATCAATATCCCGAAAGAGCCTTTGCCCGGCCGGGAGCTTGCTTGGCAAGTCAAGGTCATGCTTGACCGGTGCTGGATTCACCGCTGCCTCACAGCGGGGCACTTTGTCGGGTATAAAGACGACTGGGGAGGATGTCGGATCGGGGGACCTCCGGCTCATGTCAAGATGTACCCATTAGAGCCTATGAGGTGGCTCATGCGGTTTGTGGACGGAGGTCTAGCCCTGGACGGGACGGGGAGAGCTGGAGGGGAAATTTCGCGAGACGCAATGCGGAGAGAAGGAGATGATAGTGATGAGGACATTTTGGCCTTGCCCGGCCCTCCGAGGGTTCCCGCCAGTCGAAGCAATGTAGTTGGGAATGGAAGACCGCGGGTCGAGAGCGCGGTTTCGTCGAGTAGTCGACCGGTCGCTCAACAGCATAATACGGGCACGTTCAATCGCAATCCCAATGCCGGACCGGGGCCCTCCCGAGCTGCAGGAGCTGGAGCTCCTACAGGTTCTCCAGCTCCCGTCCTGCCGGCAAAGCCCAAGACTATTCCATCTCCTTCAAAATACGAATCTCCTTCTCTTCATCCAACGCTCCAAGGTTACACCTCTGCGAAATCCAAGCCCAAGCCTCTCCCATCCCAAAATTCTTCCTCGGCTGTTCCAGCCCAGAGTTTCTACCAGGGGAGCGGTCCTCGGCCTTCAAATAAGGGCAAAACTCCTGCGAGGGATGAAGAGCAGTCGGCAGAGTCTGATAGTGACGTTGGTGCCTACGAGTCTGACGGGGATTGGCCGACAGGCAGCCAGGTGCCAAAGAGCGACTTTGTGTCTAGGGAGACGACGACGTTGAGTGAACTGGACGAGATCATGACAATTGAGAGGATGTGCTTGGGGCCTGGTATCAGGGATAGCTATTTTATCGGTCTGCTTCGCAAAAAGGTGCGTCCTCAAAGGTGCCGTCTCAAATGGCATGCTAACGTTATCACAGTACGGCGCATACTCCTACGCGGCTTGGCGAGATATCTATATCTGCTGGTTATACCAGAACGGCCAATTCTCCTACCTCTCCGCATCATGCCCCGATTCGCTCGAGTACAGCACGAGGTCCGCTCAAAGACCTATACAAGCCGATGAATATCACGACGATACCCCGAGGTATATCCCGATGGAACCCTCGACTTTGAGCTGGAGTGATGTCAATCATGTGTTTGAAAAGGAGAATGAGATTATCTGGAATGCCAATCTCAATTTGGATGAAACAGGCCACTATCTGGGGGACAAGGTAAGTCTAGTGGCGTTATTTGGATCTGCGCTCACGAGAGAGAGCAGTATGGCGTATACCTCGGATCGACTTGGAAAGCATACTTTACACGCTGGAGGAAGCAAAAGCAAGGCAAACTCATAGACGAGGACGAACAAGAGCCCGCGCCCAAAGCTCCCGTCAAGCCTGCGGTCCAACGCGCTCCTACTGTAATCCGGCCCACTCGCGGACCCAAGCGCAAATCACCCTACTCCCCTCCACCGCCCGCTGCCCGACGAAAGCCTTCCCCGCCTTCCCAACAAAGATTCCCAGGCCCTTCCCGGCGCAAATCGCTGGCTCGGCCTATGGTCGACACGGGGGAAGAGTCTGATTTGGATGATGGGGCAAAGGATATTGACTCGGATGATGAGCCGGCAGTCAAGACTGGTACGGGGCAAGGGGTGACAGAGTACATGACGAACGAAACGTTGTGCAAGATTTTTGAGGAGAGGGATGCGGAGTGGGAAGGACGGGGCGCATCGAGGAGTGAAATTGCCGGGTGGCTGGAGAAAGAGGTGAGGCCAATCATTCGAAAGCGGACTGGAGGCTAACGCTATTACAGATCGGTGTCTACAGTGTCGGCTCCTGGCAAATCTACTACAATAACTGGAAGACTAAGAAGGGACGTTTTATCTACCTCGCCAAAGACACCAAACCCAAACCATCGCCGAAGGTCGTCAAGCCCAGGCCGTCTCTCGTGCCCCCTGCCCCTCCTCTCATGCGCGCGGCTCCTCGCCCGGCGCCTCGCAAGTCTGCGCCTCGCGCTCCTGCTGTCAGCACCAACCCCCAACCATCTGCTTCTCGTCCTTCCATTGGCAAATCGCCCGCACAGCCCGCGGCCAAGCCCGCAGGACCAAAGAAGCAGAAGAAGCCAAAGGTGGCTGTGGTGCCAAAGAAGAGTTTCACGGATGAAGAGGAGAAGGCTATGGCGCAGTATGTTGTGAATTACAATGTGACGACGGTTTTGCCTAGTTATCTCACTTGGCAGGGCTGGGCTGCCAATCCCCGAGGCGTGAGTTATCCACATACCCTCCATGACCTATAGCTCACAATTTGTGCAGTATCCCAAGCGTACGCCTACGTCCTACGCCACCCACTGCTGGAAGTTCCGTGATCGCATGGAGGCCCTCGTTGCACAGTTCAAGGGTACGCCCAACGACACTCGCTGGCACGGCCAACTCGCCAAAGGCGGTCCGGGTACCAAGGATAAGGACAGGACGCTCACGGTGGATCCGAGCGATAGACTGGCGATGGCGATGGCCTTGGCGGGGGTGGATATGGATACAGATGAGGAAGAAGAGGTGGTGGTGGATGCGGACGAAGAGCTGGAGTCTGAATAAAATCATAGGGTTGGTATCTTGTTTCCTCCAGCTTGAAAGTCGCGGAATAGATGTATAGTAGCCACTCATTGTAGACTGTAGTGATGCATGACAGGAGACGACAAGAATATGCAAGACATCGGGTACTCTGAGCTACTTGTTCCCGTAACGGAGTAAGGGTCTTACAGGAGTTATAGCAAAATTTCCCGTATCATAAAGGGAGTTTGAACAATTCCCCGTGTACTGTCTCCTTCACAGCGCGTGCTTTGCTGTTCTGTCGTGAGGGTGCACAGCACTCACGAAACGTCCATTAAAGATCATCGCGACACTTCCTGGCTTGTTTCTTGGCCTGGATGCAGCGACAAGCGACTATACGGATCAGGATCCATTAGTCGCCTTGATCCGGTCAAGTGTGGTCCTAACATATTGTCTCTGCCAGAAATTTTTTGTCTTGTTGTTGCGCCATATTGCGAGAGAGGCTAAGAAACTGGAGCCACCAGCGCTATTACTCTCGCAGGAGCTTTCGACCTGCTCGCAGCGGCCGTCTCTTCTTCTACGGCCGCGTGCTCGACCCCCGCTTTGGCTGCAAATCCATCCTCCACGTTGATTACCCATGGCGGCGGTATATATCCTCCGTGAATATCGTTGTTTTCGACAGAGGGCAAGGAAGAGTTCAGAGAATGATCGATGTCAAGCGTTGGGGTCGGACAGAAGTTGGGAGGAGTGGAAAGAGGTATGCCTGATAGCCACTTGTTGACGTCTTCATTAACGTAAGTAAGAGATCAGACTCCATGTCTGTCTTTATTGGAATTAGAGACCGTGTGTAAATGGACGTACTGGGTTGGCAGTCGTCAATGTAGGTGATACTTTGCTGGGGTGTCTGTGTAATCTCCGCGCGCCAGCGTTGTCAGCTTGTTGTACAAGTAAACCTGATCAGGTGATGTCACTGACCTTCCCCAGTACGAAGTCCCCGATCCTCCTGGTCCAGCGCCCCACCCTGCTTGCTGCTCCCGGCTGTGGCAGCTCTACCGTTGCAACCGTCATCAGCACCTTCACGATCTTCTTCAAAGCCGCCACTTTTCTCATCGGCGCCGCCCCCAAAGCCACTATATCTATCAAGACCGCCTATACCGCCACCGTTGCCATCTCCAGCACCTCCATCACCAACAACACCAGCATTACGACCTGCACCTCCACCACTAACGGCATGTCCATCGTCAGGACCATCCCCCCTCCGGCTATGATCAAGTTCCAGATCACCGTCCGAATCATCTCTCGCTCTAAGCTTTTTCCGCCTGGGCATCTCCTTGAAGATATTATCAGGGGGTGTGCGGGAAGGTGGTTGGTGCGGGTGGGGTATTCCATTGAAGAAGCGTTCCAGTGCCTCGGATGGTTCCAGACCCTCTTCACTGCTACCGCTCCAGGTGACGGCCTGTTCGATCCTCAGCCTTCCGCTCAGACGATCACGCTCTCCCAGCCACGGAGGTGGAACCAGTCGTCGTAGACGCCTCTTGATACTGAGATCCTTGACCGCGCTCCATATAGCGTAGAAATAGTTCCAACTGAACTCTATGCCTTCCGAGTCGCCCCCAAAAACATGCGGGAATGAGAAGTGATCGTCGCTGATAAAGGCCATCATTTGGGAGGAATGCCGTTGGGGACCTCGAAAAGGACGGTCTTGTCGTCGAGGACGATCATGCAGGCGTGCCCTCTGTCTACGGCGAAACCCCCCAAATACCAACCGCATGCGGCATGATCGCCCAAGAGATATGCAGCTTCTTGGACTAAGGCGGTCGCGGCAGACGTAACGATCGACTTGACTTCGAAGACGGCGGGACAGACGATGTCCAACAGTTCGTCGTCTTTGAGGTCGAAGACTGTGTATAGCAGGGAGTTCTTGGAAGTGCAAGACTCGTTTGTTTTCGAACCTTCGGCCTGCCGAGATGTGTCAATGAAGGACGATGTTGGAATCCTAGAAGATTATTCACACGTTTGTAGGTGTACCTGAGCGAGGCAGTGAATGCCAAATCCGGGTTTTTTAACGCCTTCTCGCTCATCCATTTCTCGTATTCTTTACAAAGCCAGCTCTGAGGATACGTCATCGTTGAGCCTTCATGTTCACAAGAGAAGTGATTGAAAGCAAAGGTGGATCTCGAATAATGACGGAAGAACCCGTACTTGAGATCTAGGATCGGCCCTTCCTTGATACCAATAAAGTCTCATGAGAGTTTGCTCCATAGAACCTGCACCGAGCTCTCAAACGGGTCATTGTCGATATCTCTGAGTGTATGCTGTATCGAGCTGGGAGTGGGAGGATCGCATGAAACCTGCGGGTAGAGCTCGCCGAATGTCTCGGGACTAGACGACATGGTGACGGCCATAAACGTGTGATCAATAAAGAGAAGAGAGGAGAGCCATAACGGAGATAGGAGGGTCTTACGCTACAGCAGAATTCCAGACATTCTTAAGTATCCCCCCATTTACATATCATCATCATCGGCCTCGCTGCGTCTTTCGGTCGATGCTCTTCCAATTCGTCGCTTCTTTATCTACTCGCTGTCACCCACCTACCATGTCCAGAGCATTCATCTCCTCCCTGCGCCCTGGCCTTGCCCCCCGAACAGTCATCGCCCCCCTCTCCCTCCGCCATGCCTCCTCCTCCTCTTCTCCCCTCGAACCCTCCACCTCCCACACCCAGCCGTCCCACTCCCAACCGACCGGCAGCTTGCCTCTTTCATGGCCCAAGTATCTGACACTGAGGAGGCAGCAGCGCTTGTGGCATAGCGTTACCACAGTGCCTACGACGTTGGCGGGACTCTTTTTGGGTGGAGGATACTTTGCTAGTCTGGAAGCGGATCCTACTCAGTTGATCTTTGGGATTGAGCCTATGTACGTGGAGATTATGGATGTGTATAGAATTGAACGCTGACATTTGAGTGAAGGTTTGTGTATGGAGGTGCTACGTGAGTCTTCAAAAGTCAAGGGAGCAAGTGTAAGGATGACATACTAACCATTGTAATCATCTCTGCCTAATAGAATGGCTTGCATGGGTAAGCACTTCCCGAACTGCGAAACTCGCTCTCAACTTACTGACCTCCCTCCTAGGTCTCGGCTACCTCCTCGGCCCTACCGTAGGCTCCGGCCTGTTCTCCATCACCCACCCCTCCCTTGCCCGCGGCAACCCTGCCCCGCTAGAAGTGATGGACCGCGAGTTCTACCACAGAATCAAGAAGAACAGGGCAGACCCGAGGTTCCAGAGCGTGCAGAACATTGTACCAGACTTTTATGGAGAGAAGGTAATTTGTCTTTCCCAAATCGCTGGAGGAGAAAGGAGAGATGGCCCAGCTGAAGAAGGGATGAGGAATAGATGCTGACTCAATCGTGCGCAGATTGTGTCGCTCTCAACGTACAGGCGCTGGCTCCGAGACCAAGCGGCGTACAAGAAGAAGGCCATGCACGGTCTTCCTGACGAGCAGGAATAGAGTGTTGACTGGAGAGGACAAGGAGAGGAAGAAGGAATCATATCGCCAAGCATGCATTAATCACTCCCCCATCCCATACTAATCGTGTGATGTGATCTATCTACTCGCTGATTATTGTCCACGACGTCCCCAGAGACAAGACCATGCAGCAAACTTTGCTTTCCACGCCACGCTGCGAGCAAGGTTGTTTGAAGCCGAACAGTGGAACAAATTTGTACATACGATATGTAGAACACACTAGCTGCCGTTACGAGGGCTAGATGGAGCACTTCATTCTGAGTTCGCTCAGAAAGATGGCTCCCAGAGATGTTTGAAGACAGGACATGAATCAACCTCCACTCGTGCCCTCGGCGCCCGGGGATTTCTCTGCATCTCTTGCAACAATTCACGCTTTCCCTCCATCTATCCGCCCATCATGAGATCCTCTCGCCCCTTGGTGTAAGTGGCCCGTGTCCTGCTTCTCTGCTGCTCTGCTGACCCCTTCCAGCCTCCTCCGCCGTCCCCAAACCCTCCCCCTCAGGCCTCTTCTCAGACGGCCCCTCTCTTCTGTGCCCCCCACCAGAAATATCAACCACCGCACAAACGAGTACACCGACTCTACCATCTACGCATTCTCCTACCTCTCCCGAACCATCAAATACGTCCTCATATCTCTTGTCGGTATCGGGGCTACAGGCTTAATTGGGTTTGAAGGGCTGCATTTCTGGGTTGAGAAGGTGGGCATGGGGGCGCCCAGTAGGGAGGATTCTGGGATAGACGGTGTGTGGGGATGGGACGGAGAGCACCAGGGATGGACAGGTGGACCCAAGGGCGGGACTGACCCCCGTTTGGGATTTAAAGCTCGCCACGCCCTCAGAGCTGCTTGGATATCCCAAGAATGGGGTGCCGGCTCCTCCGCCTCTATCGAAAAAGGCATGCACACCTCCGCCTTCCACCCCGACTATGTTGCGGCCCGTTCGATCATCACTAGAACCCAGGCGGATCAGGCGGGGGGTGGGGTGAGAAAGAGGGTCGATCGGGGGTATGAGATTGCGGATGAGTATGTGGATTTGGCGATCAAAGAGGCAAAGAAGAAGGGGTTGGTGTTCCCGCCTGAACTCAGTGGAGCAAGGGCTTCTGGACCAACGTTCGACAACGATGGGTACAAGGGGCTGCACGGCGATCCAGCGGCGATGGACCTGCTTCTGCTCAAAGCAGGCGTCTTGGAGAGAATCAACACGTTTGACTCGCTCGCTCATGCCAAAGACGTATACGAGCAAGTACTATCTTCTCTATCCTCTTCTGCTCTCGCACCTGGCAGTGTCAGCCCGGGCGGACAGGCAAAGGTGATGCGCCTCGCGAGTAAAGTCGGCGATCTCTGCGCGAGGACGGGAAGTAGAGACGAAGCTACGAAATGGTGGTCATGGGGTCTTGGCCACGTTGGGATAGATGTCCAAAGAAAGGTGGTAGGGCAGGTGGAAGGCAAACCTGCTGCAGGGGTGAAAGATCTCCCACCGCCAGTGCTGAGAGCTACCATTGCCCTCATCACCTCTGCGTCTGCCCAGCTCGCCACTACTTCTTCTCTCCAAGCGGCTTCCGAACTCCAAGCCCTCGGCCTTACCTACCTCACTCCTCCTCCCCTCATCCCCGCCAACCAAACTCCAGCAGCAGAGCTTCACTGGACGTGGCTCACCCAACGTTCCTCCCTTTTGAAACTCCACCTCTCTTCAGTCCTCTACGCTCTGCAAAAGACCAACCCTCGCTCTCTCCCACTCCTTGCTGAGGCCAAGGAAGAGGCGGAGGAGGTCATTGCGGATATCAACCCCATGCCGAAAGAGTATCTCGATAAGAGCAAAGCGACAACGCCGGCGGCAAAGCTCCTCGCTCGAGATGCGCTCCTCACGGGCGCAGAGATTGCTTTCACCAGGGGTCTTCTCCTGGAGAGGACTGTATCCCCAGCTGCCTCTACTTCCTCATCATGGTCCATCCCCTTCTTCTCATCCCTCACCACCTCTTCGGCTTCTAAACTACGACCCACTACTCTTACCACCCTCCAAGCCGCGCAGAAAGAGTTCCAACGTGCCACAGCGCTCTCTCTGCTTGAGTCTGGCGCAGACAAGCGTAAGAAGGGGCCCAAGGAAGAAGGTCAGGAAGAGGCAGTGGTGGTCGGTAGAGGGGAAGAGTGGGCAAAGTATAATAGGAGTTTGGAGAGGGTTAATGGAAAGATCGATGAGCTTTTGGGGGTTGGACAGGGAGCTGAGGTGAAGGAAGAGGTGCAGAAGGTTTAATAGTGCAGGAAGGGGATTATATGTGCTATGCAAATGGTCTATAGACTTTTGTGCGTTGCCTCTAAGACACTTTAGACACTTTGGCTATGTCCATGTTTCCGCCTGCCTTCAAATCGCCTCGAAACCTTTCTCAAGAATAGGTGAGAAGGTTCCTAGTGATCTCACAGCGTTGGTGAGCAAGAACACTGCACCAAGAAGATACAAGTACATCACTCCCCAACTCGATTTTCTCCCGATGTGTGCTCAGCCCAGACAGCGACGTGATTGCTTGAGTTATGAGTGAGGGGTCGGGAAATCATTAGGCGGCGATGGGCGGTTTGACGGATGTTGATAGAAAGCAGTGAGCAGAATGTTTTATGATCAGCCAGCCAAAAAGATACTGAAGATTCCGGCCGATTGCAGATATTCGACGAGACGAGTGCGCCCCTGAACGTTCAAGCCATCCCTGTGTCCCAGCCAACCGGCAAGCCCATACCCCATTCGTCCAAGCTGAAATCCATCCGGCTTGAGGTTAGATCAGACACGCGACCACATCTGTCTCTCGCGATGTCGACGACGCATGACGCCATGTGCAGTGAAAATGTATACATCTTCCCTACAGTCCCATCCTTTCTATATTTTCATATAAAGAGGTTTTTAGGCGGAAGCCTTAGCCTCACGCTGAGCCTTCTCGGAACCTTGGGCGGCGAATCGGGCGTTTCGGCGGAACTGCAATGGTCGTTAGCACCAGGTCGTACAATGGTGTCTGGCAAGGATGAGCGAGGTATGGGAAGGGTCGGGTGGAGATAAGACTGCTGGGATGAGGTGACGCGCGGCAGTGGAGCATAGCTTCCCCTCCTAAAAAGGCGGGTTCCTTCGGCCCATCTCCCACACCCGGCATCCAGCCATCCCCAGTGCCACAGTAGTCCCATCTCCATCCCATTCCCATGCCATCCATGTCCTTGCCAGATTTTGCGAGTTGACGAACCTTGGGGTCAACACCCTTGAGGGAGTGGTACTTGTTGGTCTTAGGCCTCTGGATCTTGTTCCTGTGGGCTATAGGCAAAGTCAACACTCTGTTCTTTCCCCGTCCCAATGCCCATCCCCCCATCATTCCCCTGTTCCCTTCCCTCTCCGACGCCACGCCGACTAGAATGCGACTAACCCTTCTTGTTCTGGTTGTGGGCGGTGTGGTTCTTTGACTTGGCCATTTTGACGAGTACCCTGGTGTCTGTCAGCGCTCTCCCCTGTGACCCCCATGGCTGTACTCACTGGCTGTATGCGCTTAATGGTTGAGAGACCCAACAATCCCTCAAAACCTACAAAGTGAGCGCCAGTGCGGCAGCGCGACGGAATCAAACGGAATCAAATTTGGAGGATGGTTTTTATCGCCGATGGTTGCGTCGTGCCTTAGGTGACTGTCCATGGACCATGTCCTTGCGCCGTCCATGACGACGTCAGACTTGCAGAATGATGATCTGGCTCCATGTTGTAAGGGCGTGAAAAGCAGACATGTATTTGTTGCTGATGGATCATACAAGAGGGTCGAACATTGATCATGTCATTGAACTGAGTCTGCTGCATGGATCTTTAATACCGGAAAGAGCCCGTATGACACCACTACCCCGAAATATAACTCCAGAAGTCAGGGAGATCCATTTGGTCCGCTGTTCTTCTCCATAGCCCTCCGTCCCACCCTCCACGCCCTCTCCCAATCTCTAGGCCCAACCCCCATTGCCTATGATCCTTCGATGCACTGAGACGAGCTCATCCCCTGGCTTCTCTTCATCACTTCCCTCAAACTCCTCGTGAAAGGTATCCTCCATCCCGAAGATACCCTTCTGGCGTTACTACACGGACTTGACGACATCGTCGTCTTGTCGTTGTCTCCAACCACGGTAAGCTTCCCTCCCCCTAATGTCGCCCACACTCGCTTCTTGTACTCACTTTTGATACAGGCGGTCGTCAGCTCGATGCTGCTCCAGCAACCATAGACGCCCTGCCATCTATCGCCGACGTTATCCTAGGCTGGATACCGATCTTCTTTGATGGGGGCGTGAGGAAAGGGCTTGACGTGTTTCGAGCGTTGGTTCTGGGTGCTGATATTGTCTTGCTCGGGCGTGCCGTCCTCTGGGGGTAAGCACCCTGATGCTGAACCATACAAAGGTCAGAGTGCTGATGATAAAACGATAGCTTGGCAGCCAAGGGCGAAATTGGTGTAGGCCTCGCCCTAGATATCATCACCGAAGAGTTCAAACTCCTCATGGCGCTCGCGGGCGTGACGGACGTCTCACAGATGAGAAGATCCACTCTGGCGTTGGTCAACCCTTCTCAGATTGGGTTGGACAGGGTGGAAGATGCAGAGTGGGAAGATAGGCGGGTATGGTGAGCTTTTAGTGCGGGCGTTTGGGGCGTGTATGTGCATGATCCCTATAAGGCGATGGTGATCTTCGTGTGGAAGCTGTAATGTCATACGTGAGTCGTGTCACACAGAGAGCTGTGCTGCAATCGTTGAAGGGCCAACCTCCATGAGCACGTGACTGGTTGCATGACTGTCGTGATCGAATGTAGAACGAGGAGCCGGATAGAGCCGGGTGGTATCACCCATATTAATCGACCTGCAGCTTGTGAATCAAGAGCTGATGAGGAGCTGACAGTCGACAATCAGCATTTGTAGACCATTGCGAATACTCAAGCTCACCTCCGTCCTCGTCAAACTGGGGCCCTTCGGCGACGTATCCAAACTTGGTGTAAAAGGGGATGACATAGAGCTATCACGCGTCAGCCACAGCCCTTCCAGTGAATGAACCATTGGCATACCTGAGAATGGCACTTGATATCTATCCATTTCTTCCCTCCCTCCTCATAAACAGCCCCCAGATTCTGCTTGACTGCATTCTCCTTGACAAACGTCTCCAGCGCCTCCACCAACACCTTTCCAAACCCATACTGTCTGTATTCCTTCTGCACCGCTAAGCGCGTGAGCTTGTTCTTTCCGGGTACGAATCGGATAGTGCCGACAGGGTACTCTGTGGTACCACCTGCGGTGGCGGGGTTGGGAGTGAGGGAAGAGGTGGCTACGGGTGGAGGGGAGGGGAGAGGGGTGGTGAGGAGAAAGTGGATCGATTGGGGGTCGTACCTGTACATGGTCAATAATGAAAATAGAATTATGAGGGAAGGGCCTACTCGTCGATCTCGTCATCATGAGAAAACCCTTGCTCGACGACAAACACTACTCCAGTCAGCAACTGAATCACTGTCAGGTAGCGTGTGCGCACCCTCAATGCGGACATCATAGCACGCCTGGACGAGCTCTTGCGAGTCTGCGACCTTGATGGTATAAGCCGGCCTGACGGCGGGGGATGGTGCGGCCATTGTGGATGTTGGAAATGAGATGGAGATGGACTACTTCAAGACTACTTATGGACGGGACTGCTATCGAGACCGACGGGCTGGGTATCACGTGCGAAAGCCACGTGGAGGGCGGGGGTCGCCGCTGCGCCATGCTGTTCGTCACTGTACTCGTACTTGGTGCATCCCATCTCTTTCTTGCCCTCTCAAAACAAAAACAACCCCCCTGGAGAGACATTGCCCAACATGGACATGTTTGAAAGTGAGTACAGCTTTCATAAGAGCAGTCAGCTCCTTACGACAGCCCCTTGCAACGTCTTGGCGCGCCCGTGAAACGCGAAGCTGACTCTCCCACCAGGTCTTGCCAAACAGGCATCCCAGATCACCATGTACGACGTCAAGTCGTACTATGAACAAGCCAAAAACGCTGTCCTCAATGTCAGCGAGATGGAGGCGAAAGTGAGGGAAGCGACGAATGACGACCCTTGGGGCGCGAGTTCGACGTTGATGTTGCAGATCGCCGAGGGGTGAGTGTGCATTTACAGTACGAGATGTCAGAGCTGACGATTTGTAGAACCCACAACTTGTAAGTCCAGCTTGAGGAGTGGTCGACGGGTGACTGATTGTGGACAGTGCTCAATTCAATGAGATCATGCCCTGCATCTACTCCCGATTTATGGAGTGAGTACCCTCACGCGTATCTCGATGACAGTTCTAACTTTGTCACAGGAAGGAAGCCCGCGAGTGGCGTCAGATATACAAGGCTCTCACTCTCCTCGAATTCCTCGTCAAAAACGGCTCCGAACGCGTCGTAGATGACGCCCGGGCCCACATCTCTACTATCAAGATGCTCCGTAGCTTCCACTATGTTGACGAAAAGTCCAAGGACCAGGGCATCAACGGTATGTCTTTCCTATTCTCTATGGTAACACGACTGACAAAGCCACAGTGCGAAACAGGGCAAACGAGATTGCGCTGTTATTGGGTGACGTCGACAAGATCCGAATCGAGCGCCGCAAGGCCAAGGCTAACAGGAACAAGTACCAAGGCGGGGGCAATGACGGTGGAATGAGCTTTGTGACTTCTTCTGGAAGCAGGTACGGCGGTTTCGGGAGTGATTCCTTGGGCGGAGGTGGGGGTAGTGGAAGCAGCTCGGGTATCAACTCTGTTTCGGACCATTACCGCTCAGCACCCCGAGGAGGTTTCAACGATTCCTCTCAACAAACCCAGTTCGACGAGTACGAGGGCGCCGACGACTTTGACGACCAGCCTCCCCCTAGACGGACGACCTCCGTGTCCCACAGAACGGGTTCGAGGGCTGCGTCTGGCGGGGCGCCTCCGAAGCCGGTAGCAAAGGAAGAGAAGAAGGCAGAGAAGCCGAAGGAAGTCAATTTGTTTGACTTTGATGACGAACCTCTGTCTGCATCTGTGCCCGCTGCTGCTCCGGCAGCTTCCTCTTCTGTACTTGATGGTGACTTCATCTTTCACTCTGTTACACACCCAGCTAACGTGAATATAGACGACTTTGACGACTTCCAATCGGCCGCCCCTACTCCCGCTCCTGCTGCTCCCAAGACCACCAACAACGTCTTTGACCTCCTCAACTCCAACTCCTCTTCCATCCCCACCTCCACCCCTGCTCCCGCCTCTGCCCCCAGCACCAGCTTCGGCGCATTCACTTCCCCTCCCCTTACCGCCTCCAAACCGCCCACCACCTCTTACCCCTCCTACACCTCGCAATCAACTGCCACCGCTAGCCAGGCGCAGACCCCAGCAGCCACCTCACCCAAGCCCAAGGGCAGCACCTTTGACGACCTCTTTGCGTCGTCGCTCTCGTCTTTGGGGAAGCCTGTGCAGCAGCAGTCGGGAGGAGGCGGTAAGACGATCAAGGATCTGGAGAAGGAGAAGATGAGCAGTACTTTGTGGGGTGCGGGCACTGGGGCTGGTGCACCTGCTGCCGCTGCTCCCCAAGCTCCGGCTGCGGCCAAGCCAGCGGCTGGAGGGAACTTTGATGACTTGTTGCTGTAAAGAAGCCACTGGGCTGTGATACCTCCTCTTTTTGAAGTCTTCTTGCGAATCTTTTTGTGTATGGTTTGAGCATGGATCTTTGTATCGGTCGGGTATCAGGGTGCATACGTACTCGGTCTCAGGGCGTAACTTGGTGACCAGTGGAGAAGACATACCTGAATCGAGACAAGAGATCTGAGGGAATCCATTCTCCCGCCTCACTCATAGATCACCCCTCCCTCTTTCGCTCTCTCGTTCTGGCTGCTGGCGTGCGATATTCTTCGCATGAGTGCGCTCGGTTGAGCGAAAGGACCCGCGACTTACCGCTGTTTACGTGATTGTTATGCGAGTAATTACCGTGTTAATAATCCGCCCTTTGTTGCTGTGTTTGTTTTGACTTTTGACTTTTGCATCACGCATCTCTATCATCTCCACAATGCTCGGCGGCGCAGGCATGGATCCCGGCTACATCCTCAGACACCCCGTCTTCCTCGTCACCTTCATCGTCGCCATCCCAGCATGGATCATCGCCTTCGCAGGACAGTGTGCCATGGAGGCAAAGTTCAGTCAGTCCCTTCACGACCCGACGAGGTTTGGTCTACGAGGTATGGACGAGAGAGCTGACTCTTGGGGGTATAGCATCTGGCAATGGGCATACGCCAGTAGCGGGCACGCAGTGGTTCAATATATGGCTTCAGCTGTACGTCTCTCAACATATGTTCATCCGAACCTCGTGTGTCCTTTCCATGCCCGTTCAGAGCTGATCGCGATTCCCTACAGGGCTATCATAATACACCTCTTGTACGCGTGTCCACCATAAGACCTGCCTGAAATGAGCTGACATGTGGATAGCCTTGCGTTGACGTCTGATACTCTGGCTCTACACCGTTTCCAAATCTCCATCTTCTTGGCAATCGCGACTGCCCTCGCCGTCGGTGGCGTGCAGTTCATCTTCCAGACTGAAGGCCCCTTCATCGCATCTGGTGTCGGATGGCTGCTACTGACCATCGTCAACGTGGGTCTCACCGCATGCTAATCATGTGATCGGCAGCTGACTTGCGCGTGTGGGATATAGCTTATCTGGATCCTCTATCTCACCTCTGAAGAAGACACCCTCATCTACAACCTCCTCAACTCGCGCGGCAATGGTGGTCTCTCTACCCACGGCAACAGGCGTATTGGCGGCGGGATCGCTAGGCGTGATTCGGATGCCTACAGTGGCGGTATGGGTAACGGCGGCGGCCGGGGAGAGCTCGGTATGGGCGGTGGCATGGGTGGGGGCACTGTCGGCATGGGCACTGGAATGTCGAGAGGAATCTCGTCCAACAATGTGAATGGGGCTTCGGCAGGATATGGAGGTGGTTACGCACCGGCTGCTACGGATACGACCCCTCAAAAGCAGGGCCCGGCAGCTCGTGAATACGGAGCTGCTTCTCCAGCGATGGACGATCCTTACAAGAGCCGCGCCAAGTGAGTCGCTCTCTTTTCCAGGTGACTCGTGTGCTAACGTGACGAAAAGGGCGCTGTACGCGTACTCTGCTTCTGCCGACGACCCCAATGAGGTATCATTCATGAAGGGCGATATCCTTGATGTTGTGGATGCTAGTGGAAAGTGGTTCCAGGTTAGGACACCTTCTGGTGCTACAGGTGTACGTACCATTTTCGTCATGTGAGTATGTGAGCTGATTTGATGGATAGATTGCGCCTTCAAACTACCTCGCCATGCTGTGAACCTCCCCCGCCGCCTTCCTTAATCTTGCCACCTTTTGACTTGTGTCCCTCGCAGAGGTCATATAGCCGAGAGTTGGACAAGGTTCATTCTAGCACCCCCCTTGATTGTCGAAGAGTCGCAGGAGAAAGAGGAGAAAGTTTCATGAGAGGCATGATTGATACGTAGACGACCCATTGCAACGACGTACTCTATATCCCTCTTCCCCTTTCGTATAACTCATGTTAATTTAATTTTGGTCTCTCTTTCGCTCGGTCCATTTGAGCCATGAAGGGAAATTTCTTCACCCTGCAGCACTAATGCAAGCAGAGTATGGTCTACATGATGCCAGGCATCTACAATTGTTCTATTACATTTTATTTCCCCCCTCCTGTGCCCACATCCCCTTGTCACAATCACTTTCCACCCTTCTTCTTCTTCTTCTTGTTCTTCTTCTTTGCTCCACCTCCACCACCCGCTCCTCCAGCCGCAGCTTCACCTTGGCCCGCTTCAGGGGACGGAGCCCTCGAAGGATTCTCCGAAGCTTGCCCCGACGTAGATGTGTCTACCGTAGCCGGTGTAGGAGGTTCAGCTAGAGCCTCGAAGGGAGGTACAACGAGTTCTTGCCCTTCGTCTTCGGCGCTGGGTGGGTTGACTGGTTCGGAATCTTGGCCGACGGCATTGGAAGATTCTTCAATTGAAGAGGTAGGGATTGTCTCAAGAACTATGCTTTCGTTGGTATCGCCCAAGTGACATAGATACAGGTACTCACCAGACTCTTCAACGGCGTTGCCATTCTTGATCTCTTCTCCATTGTTGACCGGTCCCACGGTGGTTTCATCCCTCTCTGCCGTGAGTTCGGCGGAAACGTTGCCCGTCTTTGCCTCGACTGTCTCTGGCACACTGTCTTCCACCTTCGTCACCACAGCCTCCTCTACAGCAGGCGATGTTGCTGGAATCTTGATCAGTACCTTTTCACCAGAAGAGACGATAAACTCACAGTTGACCGGAGTGTTCTCCTTGGCCACTGGAGCCTCAGCGGGAATATCCTCTGCCACTTTCTGGGTATCTTCTACGCCCGACGATGTCACTGCAGTTGCATTAGTGAATGCCTATGCTGAGATCGATTTACTCACGGTCAGAAAGAGGCTCAGGCGTTTTAGCTGTTATCTCAGTTCCGTTCAGGGGCAGCTTCTCCTCGGGCGGTTCAGTTGCTGAAATCACCGGCGCTATCTCGGTATCGACAGCCTTTGGCGACGACGCTTCGATTCCAACGTCCTTCACGCCGGGTTCAGGCTCGCTGACCTCCTTCTGGGGACTTGCCGTTTTTTCAACAAGTTCATCGGTGGCTTCTCCGTTTTGAGCTTCAACTTCACCAGCGGTCTCCACAGAGGTGCCTTCACTCAAAGCGGGCTTTGTAGCAGCTGGCTTTGTCGATGACACTGGAAGATCTGGGACAGAAGGATCTGTAGAGACAGTCTCGACAGGGGCCTCGGGAACGACCGGCTCCGGCAGAGAGCGCCCTGGTGTCTCGGCTTGAGTCACTGAAGCCTCGGATTCAGCCTTTGGCGTTGATGTAGATCCTTCCTGCTGAGAGGCTGGCTCGACCTTGGCAGCCTCCGTGTCCGGCGCCTCTTCTCCAACAATCGCTTCAATCTCTTCCGGCGTCCTCGACATATCCACATCTTCCTCGGGCTCTTCATGGAGGGTGTTCTCCTCCACCTCAGCCCTGTCCTTTTCCTTTTCCCTTTCCCTCTGCTCCTTTCTCGGCACCGGCTCCTTGAGTGTGAGCCCTTCGGCATTCTCCTTCACCCAGCTTTCCAGCTGCTCAAGCCTCTTCCCTAATTCTCCTTCTATTACCCTCTCTTGCTTCGTGTCAATCTCGGCCCCTTCGTCACCGAATACGCCTTCCTCCAGCTTGTCCATCAGGTACGGTACCACAACCTTAGCCCATACATGCCCCGCAGCAACGCTGACTCTCTTTGCTTCACGTCGTCTTGACGCCCTCTGTTCAGGCGTGAGCAAGACTTCAGAATTGCGTCTCAACAAGTCTGCGCGAGGGGCGGAAGGGGTACGTGTATGTGTCGGACGGCCGCCGGGTCCTGCGAATGTGGGACTTGAAGCGATAGACGGGCTTGGGGGCGCGTCTTCGGAGTGGGCAGAGGTGTGTCGGAGGTACGCCAGTAACGCTGTTGTACCGGACAGGAGGGAGGCGGAGTGAAGGGCGAGAATCTGAGAGTGAAGAGAGAGGGGAGCGAGGAGTCGGAGGTTGTTGAACGCCGTAAGATGGGCGTTTATCAGAGTCACGAATGGCGGGTAATGCGTCGCGACTTCGATGATCTCCCCGTTCGTAGGTAATGAAGGAGGAGAAGAGGGGGCGGAGACGAGGAATGGGATGTAGTCTGGTACGACGAGGGATTTGGAGGGTGCTGCGAACGTTTTAGAGGACTCGCGGAGGAGGGCGGAGAATTCCGTAGAAGCAGAGGAGATGGAACCGGAGAACGAAGCCATGGCCGTCTCTCCAAAAGGCTCTGATATAAGTGGGGCAAAGTCAAGGCCGACTCGGGAGAAGGACATGACGCAGTAGCCCAGCTGAATGAGGATCGAAGACATTGATGCGGCATCGGACGACAGGCGGGGGACGTAAGAGTGCACAAGCGCAACCAGCTCGGTGACCGCCTGACTTGCGAAAGCGGTCACATGCGGTAGAGAAGCGGGAGAGTCGAGGAATATGGTGGTGAACTGGGCAATAATGTCGTAGACATACTCTCGGAAGAGATCGATGTATTTGCGCAGGTACCGCACAGGATCGCCCTTGTCCCTCTCAATATGTACCAACTGTGTCCGGTAATTGCGATACCTGCTGGCGATAAACACCAATCCAAGCTCTATCTCATCCATAGCCTCCAGTCGCCGCAGGAAAGAGACGGCTTTGACAAGAGATGGCAGCTTGACAGGTTCGCGCAGCAGGGTGAGGAGCTGGGCAAGCATGAGCTGGAGGACGTTGTCGACTTCTTTCACGACGTCTTGAACGAGGGAAATGTCTTTGTACCTCTCGCTCAAAGAGCGCGAATGGGAAAGAAGCTCCATGGCTTCTTGATAGTACCCATTCCTGACGCACGTCTCCATGAGCTGAGGGATCTCTAGCAGGTCCAAGAGCTTGTCCTGGTGTTCCTGTATCAGAGACGCCTTCCCCCGCACCCTCTGGATCTTTCCACTTTCATTCGTAAAGATCCGGCATTCCTCTTCCAGAGTTGGTATTGAGTCAATGAGCTTGCTCAATGATCCCGAAAAGTCGTCGAAAGCCGACTTGACAGCCGAAGAGCATTTGTGTACCGAGATGAAAGTGGGGTACTCTCGGAAGCAGAGGTTTGTGAGATCAGACTCGACGGTGGATGATTCGAGAGAGATGAGGCTCGGCTGGCGGGTGAGCTCTGGGAGGGGGAGGGCGAGGAGGTGGTCGAGGTAGGAGGAGGCAGCGGGGGAGGTGATGTCTGTGGCGGTGGAGGATTGTAGTAAGTCCTGGAGAGAGGCCTGGTGGGCTTCTGGGTCCTCCATGGTTTGTTTTGGGGCATGCGACCGTAAAGACGAGATGAAGTTGAAAGAATGAGTAGATTGCGGAAGATCGGTGCAAGCTGGGTGCAAGTGCGTGGACATAATTACAAGTAAGAAACGCGTAAAATGAAAATAAATAAGGCCGGGCCAATAAGTCATGCATGCAGAGATAATGTGAGGCGACATTCATAAGGAATATGTGGGGCTTATATTAGGTCTGACCAGTCGAGAACGCAAGGTCACGATGGTAGTATAAGAAGAGAGACTGAGAGCGTCATGTTGAGTGAGCGAGCGCCGGACCGATCACCAAGATGCAGCTGAAATGCTACAACCACATCATTGCTGCGCCTAGTAGTATACGAGTACAGAACAGTATTGTTGTACGTAGGTAGCCATAAGTGCATCAAAAAGCTAGCTGACATACTTTCATGGAGAGCAGGCGACGAGTGTCTTTACAAGCCTTTTTTGTGGCTGTCCTCGCCGTTGTGCTGCCATTTGACGTTCGTACACTTGGACAGTCCTCGAGTGTGATGCCTTCATTTTCTGCAAGAGTACAGTCTTGCCAATGACAACAATGTTCCCCCATCCCTCTGGTAAGGTGTCCCTTCTCACAGTTGCCAGAGCGCCCTCGAACGCGTCGTGTTCAACGATGGTGAGAAAGAAGAACGCGAAACTGAGACCCGGGCGGTTGAGAGATTCCTCTATATCTCCTACGACTTCCATCAAGAAGTTTTGAACGTTTTCGACCTGTTGCTGGGCCTCTTCCAGAGTGTCATTGGGGGGAAGAAGGCGCAAGTGAGATTCCATCATGTCGCGAAACATGGATTGTATCATGTGCTGGTGGATCACGTCGCGCAATTGTGGGGCAGCATTGTACTTGTGTGCAAGCCCGCCACCAATCTCCACGTCAATCTTGCACGGGTATTGAGAGGTGTGAGAGACAAAAGCTCGGGCCAATAGAACGCCGTTCAGTCGAAGAACCGCTTCCTTTCCGTAGTCCTCGAGAGCTTCGCGCAGAACCAGGTGCAGCTTGGGTGTGCGTTGGCGAGAGACGGGGAAGGATGGGAACTCTGCCAAATCCAGTTCACAGGGGGGTACGGTACCTGTCGTACAATTAGGATTCCGTCTTCATACAAGCGAAGCGGAATCTTACTGAACCGTGATTTGATCAATGTGATGGCACGGAGAGTCATGACGAAGTGGATGTCTCGAAACGGATGAGGTTGCTATCAAGCTGAAAGAGTAAGAGATGTGTGAGCTGACGAAGATGGAAAAGAAGCATAGCATATCATGTCCCGAAGATGCTCCAGCGGATAATACCAATCGAATGCAGCGTCCACATGAAATCAGTCGCGTCTTTGCCCCACGGAAACATGCCGCAATTCGACGGCTTTTCGCGGTACATACATCGAATTGGCCTGCCATTACAAGGCCAACAGTACCGGATACCGCCAGAACAACAACACCAAGGTCTGCATGGCCGCTCTCACCTCTGTTTTCAAGACGTGGCACTTGCGTGGCACCCTGTTCTATCTTCGGCCGGGCATGTATAGTCACGTGACATAGTGCTGAGTCGGATCGACGTTTTTGGATTGGACGAATCAACGCGATTTGATTAGAGAGAGTTCTGTTTTTTTCTTCATCTCCACCAAAAATGCTCTCCAGACGCATAGCAGCCACCACCTCCAAGCGGGGCTTCCACGCCTCCGCCACAGCCTCCAAAGAGGTCATCATGAACAGATACTCAAGGACAATCACCCAGCCAAAAGCCCAGGGTGCTTCCCAGGTTCGTACACTGAAATTTACGCGCACGACTCGGACAGGGTGTTGACAATGCCGTGTTAGGCTATGCTTTACGCCACAGATGGTGTGGACGCACCTGAGGACTTCAACAAGGCTATGGTCGGTGTTGGAAGTGTGTGGTACGAGGGTAACCCGTAAGTGGCCTCCCGCAAAATGCAACGAGGTCAGAGCTGATCCACATAAAGATGTAACGGTCATATTTTGGCTTTGGGGCAGAGGGTCAAGCAGTCTCTCGTCAATTCTGGCCTTATTGGCTACCAATTCGGAACTGTCGGTGTCTCAGATGGTATCTCCATGGGTACGAAGGGAAGTAAGTGAATGTCTACTTGAAATTTCGAACCGCCTTTGACATACCGCAGTGTCCTACTCCCTCCAATCCCGAGACCTCATCGCCGACTCTGTGGAATCAGCCGCTGGTGGTCACTGGCTCGACGGTATGGTCGTCCTTCCCGGATGTGACAAGAACATGCCCGGTACCCTCATCGCCCTCGGTCGACTCAACCGACCTGGATTGATGGTCTACGGTGGTACTATCAAGCCTGGAAGCTGTGGAGGAGAGGTGCTGGACATCGTCTCTGCTTTCCAAGCGTACGGTAAGTATCTGCAGGACGGCCAAACGGAGGAGGCAGAGAGGCAGAGGCAGGCGACCATCAGAAATTCTTGCCCTGGTCCTGGTGCTTGTGGAGGAGTGAGTCGTAGCCGTTTGACTAAGAGGGCAGTGCTGACCTCCCGTAGATGTACACTGCCAACACCATCGCTTCGTCCGCTGAGGCTCTCGGTATGACCATCCCTGGTTCATCATCGACCCCTGCCGTCTACCCCGAGAAGTTGGGCGAGTGTGACTCTGTGGGAGACGTCATGAAGAACCTTTTGGAGGAGAACATTCTCCCCAGAGACATCATGACAAGACAGGCTTTCGAGAACGCTATGGTGCGTAACCTTTGCCTTGAGCCTCAAACATGACTGACAGATTTATAGGCTCTCACCATGGTCCTCGGTGGTTCCACCAACGTCGTCCTCCATCTCATCGCCATCGCCCACTCTGTCGGTGTCAAACTCACCATCGACGACTTCCAAGCCGTCTCCGACCGTGTTCCCCTCCTTGCCGACCTGAAACCTTCCGGGAAATACGTCATGGAAGACATCCACAACATTGGTGGTACTCCCGCCGTCATCCACCACCTCATCAAGAAGGGCATCATGACTGGCGAAGGGCTGACCGTCACCGGCAAGACCCTTGGAGAGAACTGTGACCGGTGGGTTGAGAAGCACGGAAGCAAGTGGGAAGGACAGAAGATCATCATGCCCACCGAGAAGCCTATCAAGGAGACTGGTCACATCCGTATCCTCCGAGGCAACCTCGCTCCCGGCGGTGCCGTCTCCAAGATCACCGGCAAGGAAGGTGTTCGCTTCACCGGCAAGTGCCGTGCCTTTGACGAGGAAGAGCTCTTCGTCAAGGCTGTCGAGTCTGGGTCGATCAAGAAGGGCGAGAAGACTGTCGTTGTGCTGAGATACCTCGGTCCCAAGGGTGGACCCGGTATGCCCGAGATGCTCAAGCCCACGAGTTTGATCATGGGTGCTGGTCTTGGTTACGACGTCGCGTGCTTGACCGACGGTCGATTCTCTGGTGGTTCGCACGGTTTCGTCGTGGGTCACGTCGTGCCCGAAGCTCAGGTTGGTGGGCCCATCGGTCTTGTCCGAGATGGCGACATCATTTCTATCGACGCTGTCGCCAACACTCTTACCGTTGATGTGTCTGACGAGGAAATGGAGAGGAGGAGGAAGGAATGGGTCGCTCCTCCCCTCAAGGTCACTCAGGGAGCTTTGTTGAAGTATGCCAGGGCTGTCACGGATGCTTCTCAGGGTTGTGGTGAGTCTGATGTTTTCTAAACGAGAGAACTTTGCTGACACAGTGCCAGTCACCGACCTCTAATAATATATCCAACATTTTCACAAAGTCTGTACCAGAGACGACACATACCTTTGTACAGTATAAAAGTAGTATCCATATTCTTCCCTTTAGCATTTGTGAATTCATGCATCTCCCCGGTCGACGCTGTCCATTCGAGACTTGCGCAGGGCTGTTCTTCAGCACGGCGTGGGGATGTCGACTATACATCGTTGGCCATGCGTTGCTGATACGGGGCTGTATGTGACCCTTGAGCATCCTCCTTGTGTGCAGCATGATTGATCAACACTTGGCCTCTTTGCATCGTGCAGCAGCAGCAGCAGAAGAGAGGCCGCGAGAGCAGTTACGTAAACGCATTGCCTACGCGTCTGACGCGTTCGAGGGAGCAAGGGTGTTTGAAGGGTGTTGTTGATTTCGACCAAGTAACTCAAACACCTTTAGCTTTGATATCCCCTCTTTCTTCTACACGCTACCGCACATACCCACTCAGCAGATAGAGCTGGAATGTCTACATTATTCAACATGTAAGCACACCTCTTCAGCCGAGCGCACCTCGCTAACCCCAAACACAGCAAGAGCGGCCAATCTCGCAGTACGTTTTCAGACTCTGGAAGTCGAGGAGGTCCTCCGAACGACCCCAGACAGCTTCTGATAGACTTTCTACTTAGCTTTCAAGCCAAAGAAGGTTGCCGAAGGTACAAAACAATGGCAGCTGAAGCAGTACGCCCAGCAGACCCTGGTAAGTCCGTGCGCTCGCCTGAGGATCGGCTATCATGTTGTTGCCAAGGAGGCGTAACGATGATGATCTGATATATCGTAGGGATCTGGTAACCTCAGGACCGCTGTCAAGCTACCGGAAGGAGAGGACCTTCAGGAATGGATTGCGGTGCATGGTGCGTGGTGTCTGCTTGTGAAACGGTTTGGAAAGGTACTGATGATTTTCAGTGGTGGACTTTTTCAACCATGTCAACATGCTCTATGGGACTGTCTCTGAGTTCTGCACGCCTGCTGAAGTGAGTGATCACAAGCTTGCCAGACATGCGTCGGAGCTGATGGTGTGCGCAGTGCCCTATAATGAACGCCGGCCCCAAGTACGAGTACTTCTGGGAAGATGGAACCAACTAGTATGTCCCTCTCGCCCCTCTTGTTTCATCAAGCTCACCTCTGTTTGATAGCAAAAAGCCAACCCACCTCTCTGCTCCTGCTTACGTCGAAGCCCTCATGTCTTGGACGCAATCCATCCTCGACGACGAGAAGCACTTTCCTCAGACAATCGGCAAACGCTTCCCACCTACTTTCATGACCACCGCCAAGACGATCCTCAGGAGACTGTTCAGAGTCTACGCGCACATCTACCACTCGCATTTCGACCAAATCTGTGCTCTTGGTATTGAGGGTAGGTCCAACTTGTGAGATGGGAAATCGAGCTAATGAAATTGATAGCTCACTTGAACACCAACTATCGACACTTTTTGCTCTTTGTTGACGAGGTGAGATATCCAAGCTTTCGTCAATACACTTGCTGATGATCCTGTAGTTTGCTCTGTTGTCCGAGAAGGATCTTGTTCCTCTCGAGGACTTCAACAAGACCATCTTGAACGAGACTGGGAAGTAAATGGCATACTGGGCCGTGTATAGAGTATTGGGGCGATGGACGGAGGCGTTCTGGGTCTTGCTTCGTCTGCGCGACATGCATTTGTACTATACAACATATGACTCATCTTGTATGGCTCTACATGACCTCTTCCATGTCGTCGTCGTCGTCCTCGTCCTCGTCCTCGTCCATAATTTCAGGCTTCACAAAAGGCTCAAGCCCATCCTCATCCTTCACTTCACCCTTGACACCCTCGCCCTGAGCACCATTCCAATTTCCTTCCTTCCAAACGGCCTTCAGCTGCCAGTACCCTTGGTACTGTCCATCCTTAACCTGCTCCGACACATCTTTGAGCACTTCACGCAACCACGCTTCCGGCTGTTCAAGAGTCTGTTTAAGAGACGTAAGAGACCAGTAGGGGTGGTCGCGGAAACAATGAAAGATGCGGTCGGTCAGCTCGTGGCGTTCGAGACGAGCGAAACGTTCTCCAGACGGTTTGTTTGAGAGCTGCAAGTCATCAGCAAGTAGCATGTTGCGAATATCGTAGACTCACAATCATATTGCTGCCGAACTTGGAGTTGGCGCTCTTGAAACCACTCGCCAGCTGGTTCTGCTCTGCTTGAGAAAGTCCAGTGTCCTCCATTCGCACAATCGGTCTACACGATAGTCAGCACAGACAGACGTCCAGATGACAAGACGCACCTCTTTGACTTTTCCGCATCCAGACCACGCTCTTTGACCAGCTGCAAGTACTTTGCATTGCGTACAGGCTGAACATGCCCTTCATGGTCAACTCTAGCCACCAACTTGGGGTTCGCCTTGTCCCGCTTCTTTCTTCCCCACGCATCCCGCGGCACATATGCTTTCACCCCGGGCTTGACGTCCTCCCCTCCCGCCCCACGATCCCCGGCGCCACTTCCACTTCCCTTCTCATACACCTTTTTCGTCTCTGAGAACACATATGTATTCTTTGATCTTTCGACCGGGATGTTGACATCGAATTCGTCTGGGATCCCTTCAGTGTCGTATCTCGCCCGCTTTGCTCGCTGTCCTTCGACCTCGTGTTCATTCGGGTGCGTTAAACGAAGAGTGACCTTGGGTGGAGTGGTAGAGTTGTCTACCAGTAAGCGGCCAAGTTCAATTCCGCCTTCTTGAACTTCTTCCCAGCGCCTGAGGAGAAAGTTTGGGACTTTGATGGCCCAGATGGAGGAGGCGTCTTTCTGGTCGGAAATGAGCAGGCGTTCGTCGTCGGCGGGGGCGGGGGGGATCGCAGCCGATGTTGAGGCGGATGGGGCGGACATATCGACGTATGGGTTGGTATGTGAGACAAGAGATGAATAGAGAGAGTGGCAACGAAAAGTCAATTCCATCATGAATGAGTTCGAGAAGTGCGTATGGATTTGATTCCGCCCGGGCCGACGGATACAAACGAAGGGTGACGTTCTTTCTGCGTTCTTTGGTTCCATCTTTATCCTCTTCCATATCCACAACCGCCCACCGAGCCGATATGAGCGATGGAATCACCTTCGCCCCGCTGCCCATGCTGCCAGCTTGACCAGCACCCGCTATACTGCGCCTCCTGCCTCCGCGAAGGGTCTGTCCCCTGCAACTGTACTGCTGTCCGCGCTGACGAAGCGTAGTATTGCTCTGCACAATGAACTTTTGAGTAATCTCCAATCAAGGATTGATTCTATAGTCAGCCAGTCTGCTGGGCTGCTGGAGAGTGGGCCGTATGCCGCAGGACCGTCTCGCGAGAAGGGTCGAGGAGTCAGCGCTTGGAGAGAATTGAAGGCGGAAGTGGCGGATAGGGAGAGGAGATGTGCCGCGCTGAGAAGCAAGATTGCCGAGAAGGAAATAGCCACTGAAGATGGTGAGTGGTCGTTCTATGTACAGTCGAATGGAGCTGACGCAGTCAAAGCTCGTAGTCGTGCGGCTCAGAGCACCGTTCACCAGCGCCGCGAGACCTTGTCCAAAGTCAAGGCTTCGTCATCTCCGGCTACGTATCTACAACAATCCATCAATAACACTCGGCTGGGGCAGCAAGACGCGACCCTGCGCATTATACATGCTCGGCAGGTACTCGTACGAGAAGCTGTGGCGGTGTTCGGCCTCTGCACGCGACCATCTGGAGAATGGGAGATAGCGGGATTGGTCTTGCCTGAGCCTGAGCGATTTCGGTGTATGTCGTTATCAGTCCATTCGGACACTTGCTAACAGTACTGCAGTACATTCATCGTACAATACAAATGCGGCCCTCCTTCACACAATCCACCTATTATCCCTCGTTACATCCTATCTCGCCATCGATCTGCCTTACCTCCCCCTGCCACCACCACCGCTGGAGAAACCCCATATCGGCCGGCCGCTGATCAAACCCAACCTGCCCTTCGTATCCACCACGAAGTGGCGCGATAAGCATGTCTTGTGGATGTCCAGTACGGCTTCTATAGCGAGCAAGCTCAAAACCCGAGGCGAGCCACCATCTTCCGCCAAGCTGCTATCAAACCCAACGATCGCGGGGATCATCGCAAAGTCTAGCAGCAAGCAAAAGCAGTTCTTGACTTCTTTTGCGCTGTTGGCATTCTCGGTAGCATACCTGGCTTGGTCTCAGGATGTCCCGGGAATTGGGATCAAAGACGCAGACGAATTGTCGCCTACCGAGTCGGACGACGAGACCCATTCCCGTCCCCAATCCCGCGCCGCCCCAGACAGAAGCGCAGTCCTCATATCCGCCACCTCCATCCTCCACCTCATCCACGCTACCGCCCTCTCCCCTACGCTCGGGCACAAGTCCCACGCGCCGGGTGGGACGCGGCAGCTGGGCCACTTGGGGTTCGGGCTGGATGTGGCGAAAGTTGTGGGGACGGTGTTGAAGGCGGAGGAGGGAAAGTGGGGTGGCAGGAGAGGGGATGATGGGGAGGTGCTGAGTGAGGGGTGGGATATGCTGGATAATGGAGGGATATGAAGTTGCCTCAGTCATCGTTTTCTTGATCTTTTGCATCTATGTCATTGTATGTATAGACCAACACGCACACGCGATAGCTTTCTATATATGAATGAATAACATCATCATATTGCAGTGACACACCCCTCCGTGCTGCCTGAGAACAGTGAGAAGGTACACTTGAAGTAAGCAAATCAAAGCATGCATCGGCAGACGACAACTCGAGACACAATATAGACGCCATATAATCTAGTTGGTGAACCAATACAAAGCAGCATACTGCACGCTCAAATCTTCACCTTCGGTATCGCACTGCCACAAAATCAGTCAACGCCCCCCACAAAAAGCTAGAAACTTACGGTAGAAGGAGCCTGCCCGTTCACAGTGTCCAGCCTGTACACGCTTTTGGCCAAGGTGCCCTGTCCCTCGACGGCAGTAAGATGGAGCCAGGGGACATTGACGGACGGGTCTGTAAGGTCATTGGAGGCGGCGGTTTTGGAGACGAGGACTTGGTCGGTAGAGCCGACGAAGAGGGGAGAGATGGCCCCTGTAGTGTTGGATCCGGGTGTATCGCTGTGAAAAGTCAACACAGGTAAATCGAGAGATGGGATGAAACGTACACAAAGAGGTGGTGGATAGCCACAGGCAAGTTCAGAGTGTCAGGGTATTGGAGGGCAGAGAATGCCATCTCGGGGAGCAACGTGCTAAGATCGTTGGTATCCACTTTGCCAGCAGTCATAGAGTAGAGGCAGGTCACATCAAACAAACTGCCACAGGGGTCAGCGCGGAACCAAACAATAATGAAGAGAACAGGGCAAGGGACGTACTTGGCAAGAGCGCCAGTAGACACGTAAGCCCCGGAAGTACAAGTATAGTTCTGAATACCCCTGCCCACGGCGATAGTTGAGCTCGGCTGGCCGTCAACTAGAGAAAGGGAGGAGGACCCAAGGGCCACGGTGACGTTTGAGACGCTGCATCCCTGAGAAAAGCTTTTGGCAAGGTCGGGGAAGGACTGGGATTGGATGGAGGAGATAGAGGAGAGGTCGGGGGAGCGATGGACAGCACAAGAGAGCACTGCCTGCAGCGGGGTAAGGAGGGCGATGAGGGGAGATGTAAACATTGTTATAAGGTCTTTGTAGGAGAGAGTGTAAGATATGAGAGTTGGTAGACAAGTGAGTGTGGTTGGTGAGAAGGAAAGTGGGTAGAGTCAGCTCTTTATATACCTTTTCTGGGCTCGAGACGATGCTTGAAATCACAAACGTTACCTGTGATCTGCAGCCAGCGCCAACATCTACCTCGGGCCCTCGGGCGGTGCACCACAGTGCATTGCGCTTTGAACATAAACACAGAGTTTGTATGTGTATACTCACTCCAGGCCGTGCTGTCCACAGCAACCATCCAGGGTCGGATGAAGTCGACAAAGAGACAGCGCAAAATGAGAGAAGAGCTATTCAGGGGTTGAGAAGAAATTGGAAGGACGTGTAAGAGCTGATGAGCGCCCATCAATGTCCATCTCATTGTGTTACTCTGCTACGGAAGCAGCTGCCAATGTGTGTCAGAGCGACCACAGTTTGTAGGGCGCCAAAGGAGGAGACCGATCGACAGGGACCGGGTGAAGTGTCTCTCGTTCGATTGCAATTGAGTGTGTGTGGGTTGTGTGTTTGTGTCGGTGGACGGTGGCACGCAAGGGGGTCATGGAGGAGAAGAGGGAAGGGGCAAGTTGTTCTTCTCAACAACGTCGCTCCCGGTCGATGTATGATCTCCTGGACACCCCTATTACAGCATCCAGACCTTAAGGAAGGAGTGAGAATGCCTTCTTCCGACGGACACTGCGGATGCAGAAGGGCAAGACGAGCGCAGCCTTCTCGGCTAGCCGAGCAGTGACTCAAATATTGAAACCTATTCTTGTCCCGAGAACGTCTCACAAGATGACAGTGCTGTCGTATGCGATGTATTTAGACGTAATTCATTCATTCATATTCCTTCTTTCCATTTCCTCCCTTCTTTTTCGACTTTTCAGATACGGATCAAGCGATGAGATAACATCCCCCCAGCTTTAGTAGCCAGAGTTACCACCGCCGTAGCCGCCACCGCCGGAGGAAGAGTTGGAGTTACCTCCGAAGCCACCACCGGAAGACTCGTGACCACCTCGGCCGCCAGACTGTCCACCGCTAGAGTAGGAGTCGTTTCCGGAAGATCCACCGCTACACCGAAGTCAGCCTCTATCCCACGACCGAAATATGAAGAGAAAACGTACTAGCCGCCCTGGCCACCAGAAGAGTGGGACGAAGAGTTGTTGCTTCCACCGAAGCCAGACGACTGGTTGGAAGAAGAGTTGGAAGAACCATAAGAGTCGGATCCGCCTCGGCCGCCGGAAGAACCGCTAAGAGAGCCAGGTCAGCGATGACGAGTATGAGAAGAAGGGATGAGAACGCACTAAGATTGGTTACCGGAAGAGCCGTACGAGGAGCTGTTGTTGTTGTCGTTGGAACCTCTACAATGTATGTCAGTATACGTGCCCAGAGGTGATGACGTGGACGTCGGAGAAGGGGACATACCCGTAACCACCACCGCTGCTGGAGTTGTTGGAAGAACCGTAGCTGTCCTTACCGCCCTTGTTGGAGGAGCCGTAGCTGTCGCTGCCAGAGTTACCGGAGGAGCCGTAGCTATCGCTGCCAGAGTTACCGGAGGAGCCGAAGCCACCGCTGGAACCGTGCTGATTAGAGGAAGAGTTGGAGTTGTGGCCGGACTGGCCGTAGCTGTCGCTGCCAGAGCTACCGGAGGATCCGAAGCCACCGCTGGAACCGTGCTGTTTAGAGGAAGAGTTGGAGTTGTGGCCGGACTGGCCGTAGCTGTCGCTGCCAGAGTTACCGGAGGAGCCGTAGCTATCGCTGCCAGAGTTACCGGAGGAGCCGAAGCCACCGCTGGAACCGTGCTGGTTAGAGGAAGAGTTGGAGTTGTGGCCGGACTGGCCGTAACCGCCGCCTCCAGACTGGTTGTTGGAGGAAGACTAGGAGAGAGTCAGCATATGAAAGACGTGTGAAGATAGGATGGGACGCACGTTGTTGTCGTTACCAGAGAAGCTGTCGAGGAGCTAGACAGGTGACAGGTCAGCATTGTTGAATGACAGAGAGGGGTCAGGGACGTACACCCATTGTGAATGTCCTGTGGTTTGGTTTGTGGTGTGGTGTTGGTGTATGAAAGAGAAGATGGGAAAGAGAAGAGAGATGCAGCTGGGTATATATGCCCTTCAGCTGGATCGCCTCATGACTACGGACGGAAGCAATGGCGTGACGTACCCCCCTCATTTCGACAGATAGTGCATAGTGCCTGTGGACCCGTAAAAAAATCTCGGCATTTTAGGCCGCGCGAATGTTTGGGTGTGCACGATTGACCCTATCTTTCTTTCGGTTTTCGAGTGATGGATGTATTTTCGTGCGGCTCGTGCAGAATAGACAGGGTGGGATGTTCCGGGGCCGTGTTCGGTTTAAATGTGTACAGCGTGCAGCGCGTGCAGATGGGAAGAATGTCAAGATCGTCGTGATCTGACATGATGGAACATTGCCTGTCATATGGCAAGCTGCAACGCTCTCATCTCGTGCACAAGGGCAAGCAAGGCGTGATCAGGTCATCGTAAGAGCGTTGTTACGAGAGCAAGGCAGTGTGGAAATTATGGAACATGGCCCCCGTCTCATTAAGCCATCACCGGCCATCCAGTGACACGGGTCCGATAAACCAACGACAGCATGCTATCATGCACAGTCAAGGCACCTTGGCTTCGAATTTCTCATCTGTTGATCTGTACCATGAGCATACACCGGTCTTTGACCAGTTCGGGCCCTTCGGGGGGTGCAGGGCGAGTCTTAATTAGTAATCAAGATTCAAGATGATCTTCATGAGCTACGGCCAGGCTCGGCAGCAATCCACTCGGCCCGGAGGGTAAAGTGTCGATCGCTGCGCTCCCTTCGTCTCCTGCCAGGCTGGCCAACTGCCACTCTCATGCTCTGTCTCGTAGCGTCATGCGGTGTCTTGACTCTCTTGCCGTGATGTCTTGGTAGATCTCGCGCTGAATCATGATGGACGCGTCGTCGGAAGCCCGGCGACGTGGCATCTCCTCCTTGTCTTGTCGCTACATCGCGCCTGTTCTTCCCTCGCTGGAGATTTTAAGGGGAGACCCCATTGCGTGCATCAACAAAATTAATCACGCACAGGCATCCACATCTGCAGCCCAATCATGCAAAAAAATAGAACAGGAACTTGCAGCTAGCCATGACATCATCCGTCCAATGCCGGCATCCAAAATGGCGGCGATCACCGACAGCCGATACACCTGCGCGTCCTTTTGTAAGCTGTGGCAGTGAACCAAACAAGCAGACAGAGGGACATCGATGCCCGCACGGATCCTCGCCCCGCCACGGTCAGCCCACGCCCAGGTGGCAGCATTCGTCGACCGCCACAGGCAGCTCCTCGCCCTCGAACGCAGCGCAGAGGAGGAGCAGACACGCCTCCTCAATTCAAAATGCTCCCCAAAACTACTCGAGCAGCGGGGGCTGGCTATCAACAGTCTCGGTGTTTCTGACATCAGCATTGGCTTGGGCGGGAAAAGGTATATCTATCTGTGCATCTGTATCTCAAAGCTGACAATCTATTCAGCCTGGTGGAGCTGCACCGTCCACTAGCATACCACACCTCGCAAGCCCTTCCACCGCACACCTTTCGGAGCGGTGATCCCGTCCGTATAGAAGCTCACGTCAGCTCTTCCACCTCCAAAAGCAAGGGCAAAAAGAAGGATAACGACGATGAAGGTGCTGTGGAAGGTGTCGTCTACAGAGTCGGCCCGGAAAAGGTGGTCGTCGCTGTGAGCGAGACGAAGGAGATCGACTTGCCTGAGCGTCTACGATTGTAAGTCCCCACTAGCTGATTGATGGGTATGGGCTGAAGACATGGAAGACTCAAGCTGGCGAATTCTGTGACGTTTGATCGTATGAACCGTACCCTCGACCACCTTGCCCGACTTGTGCTTCCCGAACCAGACGCCCCGCCTCCACGCGCCTTCAACTTTCCCCTGATCCGTTCACTCCTCGGCATGCAGCTCCCCACATGGTCTGAAGAAGTCCCCCCTACAAGAGCATCCCTCGAGACCGACGGCGGGGAAAAAGTCAATGATATAGAATGGTTCGGCGAGAACTTGAATGATAGCCAGAAAGAAGCTATTCGGTTCTGTCTCAAGGCCCATGATATCGCTTGCATCCACGGTCCGCCAGGCGTAAGTCTGTTTTCACATCCATATTCATTATCTGACAAATGTGGAAGACTGGTAAAACGCACACCCTCGTCGAACTCGTATACCAGCTCCTCGCCCGCCCCGTCCCGTCATCCTCCAACTCTGCAAGCACCTCCCAACCCCCCAGAATCCTCATATGCACCCCCTCCAACCTCGCACTCGATAACCTCCTTACCCGGCTCCACGCCCTGTCTTCCCTCTCGCCATACTCGTCCCTCGCTCCGCCGGGCTCTATACTCCGAATAGGCCACCCGACGAGGGTGCACAAAGATTTAGTGAGAGAGACGTTGGATTGGCGGGCTGCTAATGGGGAACAAGGGGGGTTGTTGAGGGATGTTGGGAAAGAGATGCAGACGCATCTTGGCGATTTGGGAAGGAAGAGGGGAGAGAAAGGGGCGGTGAAGGGTAAGGAGAGGGGCAAGAAGTGGGAGGAAGTTAGAGAGTTGCGTAAAGAGTGAGCCCTTGTCCCTCTTGAGGGTATCATCGAGCTGATGGTTTGTAGATACCGCGCAAGGGAGGGCAAAGTTGTTAGTACAGTCGTCAACGGCGCCCAAGTCGTACTTGCTACATGCCACTCCGCCGGCGCAAGACAGCTGAACAATATGATCTTCGACATTTGCATCATTGATGAAGCGACGCAAGCTGTTGAGCCAGTATGCTGGGTACCAATTTTGAAGGCGAGCAAATTGATCCTTGCTGGTGATCCGCAGCAGGTAAGTCCAACTCTCGAAGAGAAAGAAACTGTGACTGATGAGGTGTAGCTCCCACCGACAATCATGTCCAAAGACTCTGTGCCCGCCGTGAAAAACGTAGAGCAAGCCATCCAATCAATCTCCCTTGGGCCCTCCCTCCAACCTCCAAAGACACTCGAAACGACCCTGTTCGAACGACTCGAAAAACTCTATGGCGCCGGCATCAAACGCGTCTTGCAAGTGCAATACCGAATGAACGAGCACATTGCTTCCTTCCCTTCCGAAACTCTGTACGAGTCTGCCCTCGTTTCCGATGCTTCTGTCGCTGAGAGGACGTTGGCGCATTTCCCCGGTGTGGAAGGGGAAGAAGAAGAGGTGAAGGATGATCTCGAGCCGACGGTGGTATTCTTTGACACGGCCGAATGCGAGTTTTACGAGAGGACGGAGGGGGACGAGGATAAGAGTGTGAAAGCGGCGATTGGGGAGGGGAGTAAAAGTAATGCGAATGAAGCCGAGATTGCGGCCAAGTGGGCTCGAAAGCTTGTAAGTCGTCCATCCTCTTTCCTGCCTGTCCATCTGGCGTGAGGCTGATGGAAGGGCTAGGTTTCGTACGGGATACCGCCGGCGGAGATCGGTATTGTGACGCCGTACCAAGCGCAGGTGGCTCTGATCTCGTCGATGCTACATGAAGAGTTCCCAGAGATGACGATCGGAAGTGTCGACGGCTTGCAGGGACAAGAACGAGAGGTGAGTACGCCATAGACTATGCGGAGTGCGCGCTGACCTACGGTAGGCGATCATCCTCTCGCTGGTGCGATCCAACGTGGCAGGCGAGGTCGGCTTCTTGGGCGAGTATAGGCGGTTGAATGTGGCAATGACGCGAGCAAAACGGCAGCTTGTACGTCTCCTTCCCCAACTCTCAAGGTACGATGGCTAACGATGAGGTAGTGCGTTATTGGAGACTCCAAGACTGTGGCGAGGGGGAGCAAGTACTTGAAAAAGTGGATGGACTGGTTGGAGGCAGAGGCGGATATGAGATGGGCAGGAGACGAGATGGTGTAAATCATGTATTCCTGTCTACTGCATCCGACCACTCATTCAATGCTGTTTTACATTCGGCTTTTCTATTATTGCTGTTTCTACATCCAACCTCTCCATTGTGGTCGTCTTTTCGGATCTCATTATGACCATTTCAGTGTCTTATTATACTTGTTGCGTGTTTTCTCTTGTTTTGCCGTCTTTCTTTGCCTTATTAATTGTCGGATACTCATACACAATAGGGTCACAATGAGGGGTCGGGTCTTAGACGAGAGTCTGATAAGGGGTGAATTCGTTCATCGTGCTCCAACTCTTCTTCGCCGCCTCCGTAAACTCGTCCACATGCGTCTGCACCAACTCGCCCTCCTCTCCTCCCACTCTAAACTCCTCTGCACACCATTCAAAACTGTCCAGCTCCACATCGCCCAACGTCACATGCGCCCCCTCAGAGGAAGAGCCAGAAGCACAAGAAGAGATGGCGAGGGCATTGTGCTCGAGGCCGCCCGGGGCGATAGAAGAGGGGTCGTGGATCCTTTGCGGGTCGATGGTACCAAAGAAATCAGTGCGCTGGGACTGTTCAGCGAGAAGAGAAAACGGGTGAGACCGAGGGGAGAGGGCGAGGTGTGTGGCACGGTTGGGCGAGGGAGTTGGGTAAGACGTATCAAAAGTCGCGGGGAAAGGGCTCTCGCTGTCGCTCTCATCGCCACTCATGGCATCATTCTCATCCTCATCCATAGACAGCCTCCTGTACGATGGCACAGGAGCCGTGGCCTCGCTCTTCATCTCATTCACAAACTTCTTCTTCTGCAAGACAGCAGGAGAAGGAGGAGGGGTGGGAAGAGTACCGGCGCCGGCGCCAATAAATTGAATATCGTCCTTCATGTCGTTCCAGTCGTCGAGAGAGATGGGTTTGGAAAGTGCATCGCGCTGGTGGCGGGGGAGCTTGCTGAGGTAAACACAGCCCTTCTTGTCTTTCTGACACAAGCTGCAGTTGTCTCGCTCGTCGCACTACACCCCAGGATTAGCGCAGGTGTAAAAGGCTGGATTACGACATACCTTCTGACGCCTGTAGCGACACCATGTACAAGCCTCGCCTGCTCGTCTACCCTCACGCGCCTTGCCCAAAGGCTTCTTGCTGCTACCAAAGAAGGAAGCTTTGGCGCCCTTGTTGGTTGATCCAGGAGGACGGCCACGGCGCTTCTTGGGTGGGGTGTCGGTACTAGATCCGGAGGTACTGGGTGGCAAAGAGGGACGCTTGAACTCGGTCTCTGACTCGTCGCCGTCGTCTATAGCGTTACCCAAGGCCAGGGCGGTGGTGATAGATGGGGCTCGAAGGGCACTCTGTCGAACGGGCCTGTGGAATTCCGGCTTGATCTCTGAAGAGGACATCATGAAACAGAACGGTGGGATGCTGTTAGAGACCATCAGTATTTTGATCTAGCCAGCGTTTACCTCACTTGGTGAGAAAGCTCCAACCTTTCGTTATACACTACAATACTTGCCACTCTGAAGGGCGGTTTACAACAGGACTGAGACTATGCGATGATACAACGGACACGGTCGCGAGATGGACTCGGTGGGGTCCAGGGGGTGCTGGGGGGTGTGGGCGAGGAGAATTGCTGCCCACTAGATGGAGATGCAAAAGAGAAATGGAAGTGGCGAATTGTGTGGGATGTCTTGCTTCAGGCGGGTCCAGAAAGGGGAGTGTGCCGCCCGCCCTAGATAGCGGCGAAGCTACAGCCACCAGCTCCCGATGCACGTCTTATCAGCTGCCAAACATGATACTCCCTCCCGCCCACGGCATCCTACCGTAGTCTCCCCCAGAGCATGAGGTACTATCGTGCACTGCAGCAGGGCATTACGGCGTCGTGCGCTCATAGAACGGCCGGGACATGCCACCATGAACTTTCTTGCCGCTCCTCTTCTTTTTTATGTCCTCTGGCCTGGACTACCATCGAACAGGCCTGTGGTTCGCGCGTTCTGGCCCCAGGAGTCATGGCCATAAAAATGCATGCGAGATGCGACTCATCGTGCTGGCCGGGCGATAAATTAGTGTTTGTGATAGAGACAAGGCACGATCAAGGGTATCTCACCCGCTGACCGCCGGCCTGGGTGGGGGTCTGGCCGGTCTGGGGGAGCAATAAATCAGAGTCGTCTTGGCCATAGCTTTCCAACCGTATCCATCTGCGACTATGAGAGCTATCACATTGCAAAACGAACAAGTGCCAAGGACGCCCGTAACTCTGCAGCATTCGAGTAGCATATGCTTCGATTGGGTCGGAATCGAGACTATACAGCGGCTTCACAGTACAGAGTCATAGTCACACACTTGACACTTGTTGTGACAATTTTCATAAACTTTTCAGGTCTCCATTTTGGGTCTAAGAAAGCAAGATATTGGGTCTGGGACGCCTGGGTAGTATATGTACTTCGTACATACGTACCCGCAAACAAGAGGCGTCGCTCATCTTTTAAAGCACGACATCACGGGCCAGGGGCGATCCGCGGGTGACTTGCTCATCCCCATCTTCCGTACACTGGTGTCTCGGGAAGAAAGCTTTCAGACGTCATTATGGCAAAAATTGAAGGATTCCTACTGGCCCGACCAAGTTGACGATAGGCAAGTACGCTAATCGCATCCTACCACTCCCGAGGGGATAATGTTTGGCTCCAAGAAGAAGCGCGTTGTTGTTGTTGTCGTTCACTGACGATGCGCAAGCAGTGCATCCTCACCGCGCACAGTACAGTACAGTAGTACGAATACAGACAGCAGTACTAGCACTCTACTCACTAGAGTATTCAGTACGAGTACTCCCAAGCTGCTGCACACTACAGGGGGGTGATACTGGGTGCTCTTCTTCGCACGCTTCTGTAGCCAAACTGAATCTGGTCGCGGGACCTCTGAACACACAGCCCAGAAGAGGTAAATGAAGTGTTCTGGGAGAGGAAGAGAACAAGGTTATTCATTGGCACTTCCATGTCATCATCATCTGTGGTGTGCGTGTCTCTTGATCCTATTACCATCTCAACAGTCATTGTGCCTCGACAAGATTACAGTTTATCATCCTTAGTCTTTTTGGATAGGTAAGGTGCTCATATATAGTCGAATGTATGCCAACGCGCTGTGGTGCATCGGTGCTGATGGCCGAAGCCTCTTTTGTTACTTTAGCGGAAGCTAAGATTAGGAACTAGAATAGAGAAAAACGACAACTAGCTGGTATAGAGAAGGAATAGCATATATCAAATGTGAGCACAGCATACAATGTGGACGAGACGACGATAGCAACTCTATAAGCGTAACCAAGTCTGACATACGGTTCAATACAATTACATACGAAGCTACGACAAAACCGGCAAACATACCATCACCGACAGCCAATGTGAAGAAGGAGCTGTAAATCCCTTCCTAGTAGACATGTGGACCGACCGTACTTCAACCAGGGTCTCCCCCGAGGGTGACGGCGGGATCATGATGACACACAGTAGGTCACTAAGAGTCGTGAGCAACGCATGTATGGACGAGGAATCTTCCGCTTTTGAGCGAGGCCGGTTGCTACTCGTTGGACAGAGTTCTCGAGGGAAATTGATGCGGACGCAGTACTGAAGCTATTGGCATTCGGAGAAAGTCGTACATTGAACTTGACGATAGCAGAGCTATGTGTGATAAGCCCAGCCTCCAGAAGGTTTTGAACAACATGACAAGGCAGCATCAACCCGAGAAGAAGGGAAGGTATGAAACGAATGCTGGAATTGTTGAAGAGCAAATCCCACTTCCTGGTTCTCGTTTTCCTCCTCTACTTCGGACTCTTCCCCCCACAGGCGGAAGACGAGAAGAGAAAGAGGTTCTTGGAGCGACAAAAGGCACATTCCGCCCCTTGCGAGTTCTGTTTCGAGACCGTTGATGCGGTCCGTTCCTTCAACTTGATGAGCTGGTGGTCCCTCCTCGCCGTTAAAGCAGGACGTTCCTTCAGCTTAGGGGGCGCGGGTTCATAAGTTGAGCGGGCGGTTCCTCCTCCTGAAAGATCGAGGGGTCGTTTGGTAGGTTCACTGGCGGTTGTTCTAACTGCGACGAGTCTTCTTGCTGATCTGCGCCAGTGTCTCGGTCGCCAGGTTCTCCGCTAGTGTCAACTCCCATCTCCCTCATCACCTCTTTCTCTGGCCCTTCACTGCTGTCTACCTCTCTCTCCGGACGAGCCTCCGGGCTTGGAGCCCGCTTACGCATTCTGGGTGCGGCGATCTGCGTTGGTGCCTCGGTTGTCGGAGCCGGCCGTTCCAAGAGGTTTGGCGTAGTAGTCGGTACTACTCTTTGAGACTCTACTGGGGCAGGGATGTCAGGAATGAGTGAGTGCCCGGTCGCACTCTTCTTGACGTCTCTGCTTTGAATGACTTTGCCTGTAGACTCAAATCGTACGACCCAACCGCTTTGACCTGGCGCCAACTCCCCTTTTTCGGTGTCAAACCGACTCTTCAATCTAATCTCTGCTGTGCAATTATTAGTTCCCCAAACATCAATGCAGATTGGAGGTTAGGCTTTCGACCCGTGAGTTTGTACCAGGCGTTTACGCCATCGTCACCGACGCTCGTCTTCATGAGCATGATAGAGGCGTACTCCGCTGCGTAGTCCCAAAACTGATGGCCCAACATTGCAGTTGCCAGCATCGCACTTATCATCCACTTTAGCGTCCCGTTGAATCGTTCTGCTACACCGTTGAGTTCAGCGGTGTAACGAGGTGTGATCTGGTGTATGATGCCCTGTGAGTTGTACCAGTCTTGCGCGCCCATTCTTCCTGGCATCCCTGCCAAAGGATTTTAAGCCGGTACGTTTCCTATTTGAGCAGCTTCTGCCAAGACTTCTGCTTTCTGGGTCTGGGGAAGATGCTCAAACAGGAAACGTACCGGCTTAAAATCCTTTGGCAGGGATGCCAGAAGAATACGCAACGATTGTCTGTGGTGTACCCGTACCTAGCATCTTGCGCCTCGAGGTATAGGAGGTTGAACTTCTTGAGGTGCGCCTCCATCTGCTCAGCTGTGGGGCCGGCGTTGAGCTTCAGCTGACGGATCTTGAGGTCGATCTCGGCCCTGTGCTCGGCCGAGAGGTTCTCAGCCAGATAATCCACACATATCCTTCGCCGAGAAGAGATCTCGGATATCCACCAAGAAACCAGCATCTACGCTCGATTTGATCACCCCCTGGGCGCAGGCCTCCCGCTTCCGCCATTCCTCCCAGTCTCCCTTCGCATCGTCGTCCATCTTCTTCTCTGTGGGTGGGACGGACCCCGCTCGCACAGTCCTGGCCTTGTCCTCGGCCCGAGACGGTTCGACGTCGGTCCCCTCGATAATCCCCAAACACCCCTTCAAGGTAAGGTAGTTTTCCACCGCCAGCTTCCAGGTGTGTTAGTTCTGACCGCTGGTGAGGACAGGGATCCCCGAGATCGTTGTGGAGTCTTGGACCGACATGTTGATCTAAGTGTGGTCTGGGGTGTGGTTGTGTTGTGTGGTAATGTGGTGAGGTGTATATGTATGATGCTGCCTAATAAAGGCTAATGCATCTGACTTCTAATCTGTTGATGTTGGGGTAAAGTGGGGTTGGTTCATCTCTTCTTCTACGCTACTCCCGGCGCCTTATATATCTTGCGCCCCCCGCTATGGAAAGTACTAGAATATCTATTGTGTCCCCTGTGCTTAGTAAGCAAGCCCCTGGTAGTATATACTACTAGAAGTTCTTACTGCTGTCTTCCCCCGCTTACTAATACTACTACAAGGACTCCCTCACTTCTATTTACTAAAATGTTCTAGAACTATGAAGTGTCGGTCATCACCGAATGACAGGCATCATCCGGCCTGCCGACGCGTTTCTTGCATCTTACTGCTGAGGCGTCTCTTTCCACTTCGCCGATCTCAAATCATTCTCACCGACACAATAAGCCCCACCCGTCTCCCCCAGAGGCGAGAGTCCCATCGCCGCCACCATTCACTCCCCTCGCAACCTCAGAATGCCTCCCCCAGGCCCGTCTCCTGGGTCCACTACGCCGGCCTCCCTCTCCCATTTTGCCATATTCAACCCTTACCTCAAGCCTTCCGAGATTCACAAGAATCCCAACGAAGAAGAGAGAGATAGAGATGATGAGGATGATCAGAGGGAGGCAGCACAGATCTTATTCTATACTGCCAGAGAGGGTGGAGGAGTCAGTCGGAATACGATGCTAAGGCAGGTAGGACTAGCTAAGGGTTTGATGGCGTTTGGAGAGTGAGTCGGCCCCTAGCATAGGCAAGGGCTCCATGCTAATAGAGGACTGCAGTATGGTAGCGAAAGAAGACGCCAAGTTCTGGTCGATACGCTCGCACAAACAACGTTTAATAATCTACACCCCAGAGCCCGACTTCTACATCTACATCGTGAGTCGGGCATCGATCAAGTCTGTACTGATCATAAGCAGTGCATTCTACTGGCGAACGTAGGCGAAAACAATGACCCCGCTCCAGCTGCTCAGGGTCTGTCAGACCAGTTACTGGTCTCTGGTTTGACTAGAGGGTATGAAGACTTTCGCGTAAGTCCTCCTTGCTTGTCCTTCCCTCAGATCACTTACCTCTATCCAAGCTTCTCCATGGCACCTTGTCATCTCAGACCCCTCTCACACCCTCCACTTCCTCTACAGTCGACAGATTCTTCACTCGCTTCGCCTTTGAATACGAAGCCTCTCACGTTTCGGAGTCACCGTCGATGAGAAAGTGGTTGGGTGGGTTCCCGCTTGTGCATGTGTCTCTTGACGAGACTGTAAACACATTCATGAAGGAGTGGGGTGAGGAGTACCCAATGATGATAATCGGCAAAGACGGTCCTCTACATACCAGTTCCGAGATCACCGACCTCCCTCTCCTCCGCCACCTGACTCACCTCGTTCAACTCTCCCTACCCCCTCCACCTCCACTTCCCGTATCCTCGAAGGCCTCCAAAGCAGAGCAAACCAGCTCTCTCGGCTTTGGCCTCCTGAGTTTAGGAGCAGGCAAGAAGAAAGCACCAAATGATTTGGAGAAGGGACGGAAGGCCAGTTGGCCGACTTTGGGCTGGGTGCCAGACTTGCGTCGGGTTTCCTCCCCTTCTCTGCCTTCTTTCCAAGCATTGTACAACACTTCGCTTCCTCAGCCTCCTGCAGTTCTCCCGCCTGTATCGGAAGCGGGGAAAGGGGCAGATGTGGGGCAAGACAAGAAGAATTGGGACTTTGGCCTGGGCGCTATAGGCGACGCGGTGGGGAATGTGAGGAATGTTTTCGGGCTTCCGGCGCTACCTGGGAAGGGGACCAAGCCTGCTTCCGGCACAAAGTCTGAGGCGACACAGGAGATCTCCGAAGCTGCCTCGGAGGGCACTGAGAGCGACGTTAGTGCGACCATCGTCCCTTCTCTGCCATCCGAAACTTCGGAGACTCCCGAACCAGCCCCAGAAGTGCCAGACACGATCGTCCCGCAAGTCGTCAAAGAGCTGGATGAAGCTGAGAGAGAAGAAGACCCCCAGGGGCAAGTAGAAGCTGGCGACGTTTCTCTTCCTGAACTAGCAGAAGCCGTCCAAGCGGACGAAGAGATGGAGTGGGATGATCGGTCGGTATGGATTACCGTCCCCTCTGCAAAAGAAGGAAGCGAGCATGCAGAGGAAGCGGGAGGTGGGCTGGAAGAAAGGAGACTGTATTGGATCATTGTAAGTACTGCATTTGCTTCTGATGCAGCTGCTGATGTGGGTATAGCGTGACACAATCCTGATAGCCATCATTCTCCCCACAAAACTCGAAAAACCATACCCTCTCCCACCCAGTGTCCTTACGCTCAAGCTCGTCGCTTCGATCTCCTCTCTCATGTGGCCTCCACCAGAAAAGGGCATCAAGTCTGAGAAGGGAAAGGAAAAAGAAGGGGCGTGGGTGTATCAGAGGGGTGACCAGATGCAGGAAGAAGGCGAGATACCTAAAGATCTCGAAAAGACTTTTGTCAACTTCCGTGGGGCTTTTGCCAGGTGCGCTTTCTATCCACAGTCTCCCTCACTCGTTCGCTCACGGTGTACCTCATAGATCACCAGTCATTAACGAATTCATGGGCAAGACTGCTTCGTCCAGGTTCGTGGTAGCAAAAAGGAATCAAGAGAGTGAGATGTATCTGGCTTGTGCGCCAGCGGACGGGAGTCTTACGGATGCAGAACGTGAGTCTCTGTTCTCTTGATGACGAGCAAAAAGAGGTCCAGGAATGTTGGCTGATGAGTTGATATGTAGAGTCTCTGCGAGCGATAGTAAGAGCTCATCCGGAGATTGAAATCTAGAGTGAGAATGGCAGCCGGGGGGCGCATAGTGTATTGATGTTGTACTATTCTTTCTACCAGCTCTATAATCATGAAGTTATGTGCGTTCTACGCTACATGCGACCATTGATAAGCATCTCACAGGAAAGGACAGATGCCGGCATCGCATGTGGCGCAGCGGAAACACCACTTTTTTTCCTCTCTTTCCCTCTTTCCCCGCCTAGCCTTCAAAATGCTCAAACCACTTATCTTCACGATCATTCTCTACGCCTACTTCACCTAAGGAATACTCCTCGGCCACCCTAGAGTAGATCCCGCCCAGCCTCAACCGGGACCAAACAACAGCTACACGTACTAACACCACCCAGATAATGGTCTTCAACAGCATCCTGCACAAGGATTCCTCCTCTGGTAAGCCCAACATCACTCCGTCCTCCAGGCATAAGCAATTGACATTGAAACAATAGAATCCAAATACTCATTGTTCGGCAAGTCGCGGTCGACCTCATGCTGTCCAACTTTTCCGCCTCCTTGCCCAAAGCGACTGAACGCCTCCGTCAACCTTGCTCTCCAATGCTGTCCCAGCCCATTGGACATCAAAGGCATCGTCCTCGGTCGTGTTTTCTTTGACCTCACCTCTCGATTCGATTGCGGGCTGAGTATACAAGTCGGGTGCGGGTTGGTGGAGAGCAACTTTACCGCGGCCAAAGGTGGGCCAGGGGAAGTGAGGGTCTGTGATGTTGTCCATTACCGGATCACACAAAGGGTTCTCGCTTCGACCATGCTGGCTCTCCTGGGGCGCCTTCCCCGGCCCCGATCGGAAAGAGAAGCGGAAGACCTCCTGTGCCAGGTCCGGGGCCTGATGAAAGGCGTATGGGCGGATATCGACCAGGCTTTCAACAATCCCTCTTCCATGCGCGCTTTTGAGACCATCTTTCTTCCGTTCCATGACGACAGAGCTGGTTTCCAACTCGCCCTGAATAGCCTGAGGCAGGATATCTTGCCCGACGAATGGGAGCCGGTACTGAGGATGGGGGCGGGAATGTTGAAGGTGCAGATGATTGTGCATAGTTGCAATGGAGAGCGGAGAAAGACTTATCAGCGGATGGCGGGAAAGATGATCTGTGGACACTTGACGGATAAGAGGAGCCCCTTGTCCGAGATTGAGAGAGGAAGGGTGGAAGAGCAGCTACGGGTCAATATTGATTGTACACCTAGTTTGGAATCGCCGTGTTACGGGTGATATTCCTGGAGAATGAGACACATGGGAGCAGTGCGTGGACATGTATACATCTATCTACATCGTGAGGAGCATACAAAACCAACGTTATCCTAGCGCCAGCGCAGATACAGTCTAACCGAGTACTATTTGTTGTGCCAGAGCAGCGTCTTTAGACTTGTCCAAGTCTCGGAATCTCGGTACAAGTATCCTGCAAGACTATCAGCTGACATCCTACTTTTAAAAAAGCAGTACTCACTCATACTATTGCTCAATCCCGGCTGCATCCTCTCTCCACGGTGTCTAAACATGTACATCGCCACCGCCCAACTCAGCGTCGCTACGATGGTGAACGGAACCTGCGCCGGCGGGATGGGTTTAGGGTTGCCCGCTGGAGAGGTGATAGATGGGAGAGGGTGAGACAGGGGCTGGAAGGGGTGAGCGGGAGGTGTTGATTGAGAGTATAGACGTGGGAGCAGGGCGAGTATGTTGCGGCCGAGCACGTAGAGGACGATTTGCTCGTTGATCTGCAGGGTATCAGTGATGGCGTCGGCATTGTGCGTAAGGTACGCACGGGCGTCCTATCACCAAAGATCCAATACCCTCCGAGACCTCCGGCCACAAGCGTGTCGAGATTTCTTTCTTTGCCTCCATTGAGCTTCTTTTGCAAGAGCAGGAGAGTTTTGTAGATGGTCACGAATTTGCAGAGGTTGAGAGCGTGGGTCTTGGTCGCCGTGAAGATGCCACGAATCTTGGCGGGGAGACTATCGGAGAATATACATGATGAGTGCTCTGGGAGGTACGGAGAATGGAGGAGAGCTTACGGTTTGTGGGAAAAGAGAAAGGTCATGACCAGAGCATGGGGGAAGCCTAGGTGCTGTCAGTGGAATGCCGGAAGGCTCTTCGTTGTCAGTTGCGTACGGATCTTGCAGCCGTATACGAGCCCATTTCTAGCACCCTTGAGAATGGCCAGCAGGTCGTGGTTTGCTGGGCTGCACGAAGTGATCAGAAGACAGGGAGGGCATGGTGGATCCTAGGGACGCACTCGAGGAGGAATCGCTGGAGGGCCGACATGGTGGGCTATGGGAGATGAGAGGCAAATCGAGATGTAGATGGGAAGGTGGGGTGCTTTATAGATCGCAATAGGAGATAAGCGCAAGTACACAATCTGCGCGACACCTTTCGGCAAGTCAACGGGTTCCTTAGCCGAACCCGTGACATCACCACTTCCATCTTCTCTTCCACCGTCTCTGGTTGCATACTTTAGAGACGTTGCATAGAGACATGTACAGCAGCAGAGACGGCATATGGTCAGGGTGTCTTGATGAATGATATCATGATTATTGATGCACTTTCTCTGGTCACCTGGCACTGGGAAGACCTCAGGTGTGTTCAGGATACCACATGGGATTCCCTGTTCCGCACACGTTCCCATATATTCATCTATATCCTTCGCGGTACCTTCCAATTACGCAAAGACATTCGTGTATATTTGCTTGATCCGGACAGGAGCTTTTGTCGCCTGCTCCTTCTCCCGCGCCACGAACCTCTTCCCAATCTTCACCTGTTTCCCAGCATATTTCTTGACCATACTGAGTCCCCAGAAATCGGATGCGATGCTGTCAAAGTGTTGCTTATCTAGGCATGCCCAAGTACGGATGTAAAACCCGGGCTCCAAAAGCTGCTCCAAGCACTTTGCGAGATCGTACACCATCCCCCTAAGGACGGAGTTTATGTCAATGAGCCGCCTCTGGCCCTCTGCCTTACTATCCACCATCGTCCCATCAGGCACAAAGAATCCGTCGATGCCTTGTTGTAATAACAATCTGGCAATGTGGTAGATGAGGTAGATTCTTCTGCTTGGTAGTGGCATGGTAATTGGGGTATCGTCTTCCAATGAGATGTTGCGGGAGAGAGGGTAGGCTGGAAGGATGAGTCAGACGCTGGAAGAGCGCAGAGGCAGAATGTCCCGGGCCTGGAGCCGCCGGTGAGATACGTTTGCGTGAACAGGTGGGGGGTCGTGTGTGACTCGGTTCCAGAGTAGGGGTGGGGGATTGGTAGGACTGAAGGTGGAGAGCTGCGGAAGTAGAACCATGCGCCGAGGGGGAGGAAGAAGAGGTGCAGGTTTCGGAATCGCGAGAGGAAACGTCGTCTGCGTCGTCTGTTTCGTCGTCCGATGGCGATGAGCAGCATTCGCGACCAACTGCACGGTGAAGCGCGGTCAGAATCATGGATGTCTGAGAGGATGTGAAGGGCCGTCACTTACGATCTTCCACCATATAAAGATTCAAATCTCCGGGGTCCAAAGCTAATATCATGGCTGGCGGTTGTGGTGATGAATGATCAGAGCTGTGACGATTTTCGAGGGGATTGTATAGTTTCTGTAAAAGACTTGGTCTGAAATATGAACGGCGAAAGGTTCTTCAGTGCCGAGTGTGGCATCTTTCCACATTCCGGCGGAAACATGGTGGTTTCCGCAGTTACTCTGTACTGGATAAGTATTCGTTGTGTGTTGGAGCTGCTCTTGAATCGTCGTCTTGACGACCGCCGGAGATAAACACGCTTACGTAATCCAGACACGTCCCGAGATATCCCCACCAGAATGACAAGGGGCGCCAAGGGAGGACAAAGGCAAGCGGGTGGCGGGGGGCGTGGGCGAGGGGGGGCATGGCATGGGAGGGGCGAGGGGGGCTGTGGGCTGTGGACGGCATGCAGCGACCCAGAGTGGCTTGTAATGGGATTAGAAACGGGGCCAAATGAGGGACAGCATTAGAGTTCCTGGCTTGTGCGTCATTGCAAGACGACCAAGATTGACCAAGAATTGTTTCCGTTCTCTCATCACACTCATCCACCATGGCCCCTAGAAAGAACAAGGAAGCCGCCTCCTGGGAAGTCAACAAGGACACCCCCAAGCCCCAGGGCGAGACCCGTCCAAGGAGGGCATACTGCGTCAAGGAGCTCGTCACCGGTACGTCCTCGTCGACAACACACGCGCTGACGTCTGTCCAGAGCCTGCCCCTGGTGTCACCACCGTCCACGACCTTCTTCTCTACGCTGCCAAGACCCACGGCGACAAGAAGGGTTTCGCTGCCCGAGACGTCATCAAGGTCATCACAGAGGAGAAGGAGGTGACCAAGAATGTCGGCGGCAAACAGCAGAAGGAGATGAAGAAGTGGAACTATTTCAAGCTCTCCGACTACGACTGGCTCTCTTACAACCAGTTCCTCGACTTTGCCAAGCATGTCGGTTCTGGATTGAGGCAGCTTGTTGGTGAGGACTCGCGAAAGGAAAAGTTTTTCAACATTTACGGTCAAACATCGTGCGTAGCTTGTTCAAATCGAGCTGCTGTGGCGAACGCTGACGCGGAGATTGTAGCCGTAACTGGATGCTTGTCGCCCAAGCTTGTGCCTTCAACGCCGTCCCTATCTCCACCGCCTACGACTCTCTCGGACCTGATGGCCTCAGACACGCCCTCAACGAGGCCGAAGTCCGCGGCATGTTTACCAACGCCGACCTCTTCGGTACCCTCATCAAGGTCATTGAACAGACCAAGACTGTCGACCTGATTGTCTATGACGGCAAGGCCGATGAGAAGCTCCTTGAGCAGATCAAGGGTGTCAGGGAGGGTTTGAAAGTGATCCATTTGGATGAGGTTGTCGAGCTCGGCAAGAAGCAGCCTGTGGAGGCTATCCGAGCCAAGTCCGAGGATGTGTACTGCTGCATGTACACCAGTGGTTCCAGTAAGTCGCCCGATGTGTACTTGGGCGCACTGACCCAGACTATAGCCGGTACCCCTAAGGGTGTGCTCCTTACGCACCTCAACGTCGTCTCGGCCGTTGCCTCCGTTTGGACTCTCTTGTACGAATACCTCACCCCCAAAGACTCTTACCTCGCCTTCCTCCCCCTCGCCCATATCCTCGAATTTGTCGTCGAAAACTCTTTCGTCTTTGCTGGTCTTCCCATCGGTTACGGTCGAGTCAAGACTTTGACTGACGCGAGTGTACGAGAGTGCAAGGGTGATATCGCCGAGTTTAAGCCTGTAAGTCTTGGGTATAGATAGGTCATTTCGCGCTGACGCGCATACAGTCCATCATGGTCGGTGTCCCCGCCGTCTGGGAGCTTATCCGAAAGGGTATCCTCTCCAAGGTCGACCAAGCCGGCGGCCTCAAGAAATCTGTCTTCAACTTTGCCCTCAAGGCCAAGACTGCCGCTAACGCTTACGGCATTCCGTTCGTTGCTGGTCTGACCGACGCTATCGTCTTTGACGCCGTCCGCGCCCAGACTGGTGGCAACTTGAAGATCATGTTTAGCGGTGGCGGTGCTGTTTCCAAGAGCACTCAGCAGTTCTTGAGTACTGCTCTCGTCACCATGATTCAGGGTGAGTTACGCCATTAGGCTGCAAGAATTACACTGACTTTTTGTAGGTTACGGTCTTACCGAGTCTACTGCCATGGCCGCCATCCTCAACCCGGGATGGATGCAATACGGCGCCGTCGGTGGCCCCGTCCCCGCCGCCGAGGTCAAGCTCGTCGACGCCCCCGAAGCCGGCTACTTGTCCACCAACGACCCTCCCACCGGTGAGATTCTCGTCCGCGGCCCTGCCATCTTCAAGGGCTACTACAAGCGACCTGACCTCGACAAGGAGGCCTTCACCGAGGACGGTTGGTTCCGCACTGGTGATGTTGGTCAGTGGAACAAGGACGGTACTCTGTCCATCATCGACCGACTGAAGAACCTCGTCAAGCTTTCTGGTGGTGAATACATTGCCATCGAGTACCTCGAGTCCATCTACAAGTCTTGCCCCTTGGTTGCCAACGGTGCCGTCATTGCCAACGGCGAGCACAACAAGCCCGCCATGGTCGTCGTCGGCCACCCCCAGAACCTGCCTGCTTTCGCCAAGAAGAATGGCTTGGGAGATAGTGAGGACCTTGAGCACTTGTGCACGGATGAAAAGGTTGTGGAGGCCGCGCTCAAAGAGTTGAATGCGGTGGGTAAGAAGGCTGGGTTGAAGGGTATGGAGCTGTTGGAGGCGATTGTGCTTGTGGCGGATGAGTGGACACCTGAAAGTGGATTCTTGACAGCTGCCCAGAGTAAGTCCTGTCCTATGGTATGGAGTATGGCTGACTTTGTGTCCAGAGCTGCAAAGAAAGACCATCGACAAGCACTACGAAGACAGGATCAAGGCTGTCTACCCTTAAGCTTGTCTTTAACGCATTCACCTCCCCATCGCGATCTTTTCTTGCCGCAATATGCCCGATACCAGATAATGAGAAGGAAAGAGACGTTTCGATAGTTGATGATTGGACATATATTTCACGGTAGCACCAACTCGCCACGTCATGCGATTTGACAAGGCTCGCGTAGAAACGACTTCTCGGTGATAGCTTCCAAAGCCGCTCATTTCATGTATTATGTATCTTCACACCCTATTCGGAGCTATGCCAACCAATCGAGCCAGTCACAAGTTCATTAGAGCATTGTCATTAAGGTATGTATTAGTTCTATGCCACGACTACGCCTGAGCCCTACTTCCCTCCTCTTGCTGCACACCACCCTCCCCCAACACCTTTGTTTCTCCCCAGCTGACCGACCTCTGCTTCTTCACTTTTGGCTTGGGAGCCTTTCCCTCACTCCCTCCAGCCACAAACTCTTCCCCGATCCTGCTCTCTTCATCCCCCGGGGCGATAGACTCGAAAATAGCCTCTCCTTCTTCCTCCAGCTTCCTAATCTCCTCATCGAGGTCGATGTCTGGTCCGGTACCAGTCCTGGGCCCGCCAATCATCTCATACCCCTCCCCTTCCACTTTATCCCACTGAATCTGATCCACATCCTTGAAACCCTCAGGCATGCACAGATAGAACACAAGCACACTCAAACACGCGCCTCCGACCAGGTCGATCAGGTAGTGGTGCGAGAGGTACATGGTAGCCCACCAGAGCACGCCGACATATGCCCAGAAGAAGGGTTTGAATCGGGGGAAGAAATGGGAGAGGAAGAGGGCTTCCATGGTGGCTGTGCCGGCGTGGAGGGAGGGGAAGGCGCCAAAGACGAGAGGGGCGGAGCCAAAGGCGTTTGTGTAGCCGGAAGAGTGGAAGACCCGGTCGATACGCATCAGGCCACCGGGAGAGCCAGCCATCGAGTAGTCGGCGGGAGTGAGGCCGTGGATGATTTCATACCCTGCTTCCATGTTAGAGACAGTTGTGCTTAGAATGAGGAGGGACATACAAGGGGCAGCGGCGGGGAAGAGGATTTGGCAAACGACTCCTAGAAGATTCATCCACCCGAACGCCAATCCAAAGTATTGAACCGCGCCTCTGGGGCCAACAGACCAGAGGACCAAAGCGACAACGAACGGGATAGTGAAATGCAGTACGCCATATGGCAGCCAGGCAATGACATCCAGCACGGCATTGGTATATCGCGTTTGCAAGTCGGAGATGTTCGCACCGTAGAGCACAGATTCGAGGGCAGGCAAGAGGGCGACGTGGATAGTCGGTCGACGGCCGGAGGGGATAAAGCGAGCACAGAAGAAAGTGATGAGCCATGCAAAGATGGGAGTCGCTGGCCATACGAATTGCGAGGTGATTGGTAGCAGTATGGCCGTGCCATATACCAGTGGTATCGCGAATTTGAGCAAGAACGGCTCCATTATATAGAGACTATGCAGCGCACATGCCACCATGAACGCCAGAGGCAGGGTGTTGCCGAGGGTGAATTTATGTTGTTTCAGACGATTCAGCGTCTTGCGAGGGTCCCGAGAAAGGTCGAGGCGAAGCAGCGATGCCTGGATCGCGAGCAGGAAGGGTTTCAGCACGGCGAGGGGGGAGAATGAGGGGCGCGCCTCTGTGGTGAGGGGTGCCAGTGTCCGCCCAAACGAGGACATGTTTGAGGGGGGTTTGTTTTTTGAAAATTGTGAATGCAAGAGGACATGAGTGAGCCCGAACAAGAGGAACAACGCGCCAAGTGGGGGACGCCGCTTTCACGTGACCAAGTGTGGCACTCTATTAAGCGAGAGTTGATGTGGCGAGCCTGGATGGCTGGGTGAATGTTGGGCATCTGGGACCGGGCCATGCCATTTCTATCAATCGCAAAGAGTGCCATCTAATCCATGTCGAGCTTCTAGCACCTGACTGCCCACACCAAGCAGGTCAGCCATGATGATGATGACACTCAATTATTACCAGACATTCATCATAACCTTCAACGGCACGATGCTATCAGATGGCTTTACTTCTCTGTTTCACTCCGGTGTCATCTAATATATTGAGTCTGCGTCCCTCAGCTACCATCTCTGAGTGGCTGCGCTAGTGGATCATGTTGCAAATTGCCTTCCTTTCTCCTCACACTCCTTTCGCACTCCTTTCTTCTGGTGTCGCTAGCACGGCAATCCTTCCATGGGCTCTCTCAATCATTCACAATGGATTCAGAATTGCATACAAGCATTTCCGCCCTTGACAAACACTGTATAGCTACGCATACCGCGACTGCGCCCTTGTTCTGAAGAGACGAAACTTGTCGCCCCAACTCCATCTAACAAAGTCGACTTTCTCTTCAAATACGTACCGATCTCGATGCCTCTCCTCAAACACTCCATCCCCTTGGGGATCATCTACCTTCTCGGCCTGATCAGCTCTGTCAAAGCTCAGGACGATAGTGATACTAGCCAGTGGCCAGAATGGGTCACAAACGACTACGATTGTGGTACGTTGGATCTCTTTCACTGACATGACAGGCTGACGTTTGCGCCCAGTGATCGGATGTCTTTCCGGTTTCAACGACACCATCACCACTATACCTCAGTAAGCATTCCTCATACCTAACAAAGACAAGCGACTGAATAGAGATTGATTGTCAGGGCCGACCTTGAGTCTGCGGCTTACGGCTGTTCATCTTCGACCTGTACTGGTGACTCTACGGGAAATTACTATCAGATTCTATACTACATCCAAGTAAGGGTCTATCTCTTTTCCTCGATTCTCTTCCTGACCTTCCAAAGCTCTTCTACGCCACAGGCTCCATTTACGAGTGGTCCGACTCTGCCCCAGACGGCTACAAACACGCCACTTTCACCTCCTCCGAAGCTACTTCCGACGCCGCCGTTAGCGGCTCGTCTGATGATAGCAACGATGGCAGCGACAGTGCTGATAGCACAGATTCGTCTACAGACAGTGCCGATGTCTCTGCTTCCGCTACAGACTCTTCCAGCCCCGAAGGAACTGGCTCGGCGGATGGCGATTCTGGAGCGGCGGAGACTGGCGCTGTTGACGTTGCTGAGAGTTCCAGTACCGGAGCAAGCACGTCCTCCAAGCAGTCTTCTTCTGCTTCTGGATCAGCATCCTCTAGTGCCAAGACTGGAACTTCTAGTCCATCTTCCACAGTTGCGGCAGACCAGAGTGAAGGTACCAGTAGCGCGGGCACGAAGGTCGGCATTGCTGTTGGGGTGCAGGGCGTCTTGGCAGTTGCTGTTGCCGTTGCTGCTGGGGGGCTCTGGACTGGTCTATAGTCGTATGTTTGAGCACAGGGAAAGATTTCCTGGAGAGGATTATAGATCATGTATATATATACCGTTTGCCGGCCTTGAAGTTTGGTGATGCCATCGATGTGTTGGAACTGCCTGACGGCGGTGTCTGCATTTATGATACAGCATAGCATCTGGCGAGAGATGTGACTATAGGAACATGATCATACAACCTGCGAAACATCACATAAAACATCTTCTCCCTGTCACTGCCCTTGCCCTTGCCATCCTCCGTGAAACCTCGGTCCCATCTGATACCCCATCTGCCCTTGAGGCTGGAATTGTCCGTAGCCTTGAGGTTGGGGCTGCATCCCCATCCCCATATGCGGCATCCCCATCTGGCCCATTCCCATTTGCCCCATTCCATGCGTCACGCCCTGCATCTCCATTCCCGGAAACCCAGGCGCCATACCAAACTGCCCTTGAGGTTGTGGATTGTCGAATCCCGGCTGACCACCGTTGATCCCCATTCCCCGACCTCCTTGATGTTGAGGCTGAGGTTGGAACCCACCAAACTGCCCCATGTTCCCACCCATCATGCCCATAGCCATATTGGCCATCATCATCTGCTCCATCGACATTCCCTGCATTATCATTGGATTTGGGAAACCCGGCTGCATCTGGGGCTGGACGTGGGCGGTGAATGACTGGCTGGGATGCACCATAGGGGTATTTGGCCCGCTTGAGCCCAAAGACATGCGATGCGGTGCAGGGGACGGTCTGTTACTGCTTCCCGTCGGTCCTGACCCGCCTCCCTGGCCAAGACGCGGCCCACGCCTTTGAGGCGACTTTGGCCGCAGTTGGTCGATCTCTGGGTGGAACGGCAAGATTGCCTTTCCGTCTGACTCTGGGACAAGCGAAGGGTAGGTGGCGGGGTTGAATATTTGGACCGGCACTGATTCACCTGATGGTGTTGGCGCAGTGGAGGGAAAAGGCGAGAGACCGGCTGTGACCCACCCCTGGCGGGCGAGGTGAGGTTGAGAGAATATCTCAAGCCGACGGGTGCCGAGGCAGAAGTTTTCGATGAGGGTATACAGATATGGCGGGTACTTCGGTCCGTCGTCACCTACAGTCTATCAGCATGGTACAATACAAATTTACAAGCTCACCTTCTGGTTCCTCCCAAATGATCACATCCGTGTCGACATTACAATGAGCGAAACGCACATCGACACTTCTCTTAATTGTTCCTCTAATCCCCATCAGGCAGTGTTCCTTCTGGCTTGCGAAGAGTGCCCCTGAAGGCGCCCCTTCTCCATCTCTCCTCTTCCCATTCTTCCCCTTATTCGTCTTGACCCAAACGATATCCTCTGCTCGCCTGAAACCCCACTTTGCGAAACATTCTCTTCCCCTCTCGAGCCCTTCTTCATCTCCTCGCCCGACCCATAAGAAGACCACTGCAGTGTCGGCTGACAGTTGGCGAATGGGAATGTCTGCGGTCTTATCCCAGTCTGATACGGGGTTGATACGGATGACGTCGAATTTGCAGGTGGAGAAATTGTTGAGGAGAGAGTCGCGGGGAGAGTTTGAGGGTGATAGAGGGGCGTATAAGGGTGGATGGGCGTTTGCGGCGACTAATTGGGTCTTCAGGTTCATCAACTTCTTCAGTGCTGGGTATCTACAATTCAATATGGTCAGCTAGATCATACACATCATACAATGCAATACGTACTCGTCACAGATCTCGCCTTCGCCAGCACCCATAATGAAATTACTCCCACACTCCCCAGTAGCATTATACCACTCGCAATAGTCATTCCGTACCGTCTCTTCCTCCTTGACATATCCCACTACGTTATCCTTGCTGGGCAGTCCATCTTCAGCTCCAGAGCGCGGGGCAGCTTGAGGGGCCCGCCCGCGGATGCGGACCTGCGCAGGAAAGGTCTCGCCTGGGGCTATGAGCTGCCGCCGTTCGGCCTGGCGGTCGAGGATGTTGTTGAGGAATGATCTATGGGCTACAAGGGCTGCCATTATCTCATGGCCCCTCTGTCGGATAGTCGCTGGATTAAAAGTCACGGATGCTCTGCGAATGGACACGCTGATGCAACAGAGTGGAGGTCAGGTACCACCACGCGAATACTCCAAGTGTCAATTCTTGTCTTTTCTCCCATTCCATGTTGACCGACAAAAGACCCCACCTCGGCTTGCTGGTGCATCTTACAGCCATCTCTCGACCAACTTTCAGAACAACAAGTCCGTCAGTGGTCTGTATGCCCCTCCAAATAGTGATCGACTGTCAGATGCATCCGGTGCGTCCATCCGTCATCCGTCCGTCGGAATTCAAGCCGGGAGCAGAAAGTCATGCACGCACGGTACACGGCACAGTCTCATCAATTCCCGGAAGTAACAGCGAATGCTCATGGAATCACAAAGGTACTGCATAGAGAAGATGGAACGGTAGGTGACCTGATCATATCATGATCGCAAAGAGTGTATGCTTGTTATAGGTAGCCCTGTCGAGTCTTCTTCAAGCAGGAGTGAAAGTCTAAAGGACACCAAAATCAGCATTTGCTCCAAAAGTCACCATAGGGAGACAAGACTCACAAGCTCATGATCGACCTTGTCGGCACACTCGTGCTGGTCGATCTCCTTGCTGTCCTCCCACTTCCTCATGCAGATACCTGCCAGCGCGCATACGCATGTCAACACACATGACTAACCAAATCTCGCACAGAGGTCTACGCACCGTTGGAAGTAGATATGAGGCCATCGGATGCGTAACTCAAGAGCTGACCGGCAGGGTTCCAGCCGCAAGGCTGAAGAGAATACTTGCCACCATTGTGAGGCACGTAGCCGGCATCGATACAGAGGTCAGGGTAGGCTTGGAGGTTGATGACCTTGTTGTCGAAGGGAGCGCTGTTGGTAAAGTTCCACATCTGGAGGTCGTAGCCTTCTGTGCCGTTGCTGACGCAGGAGCCGCTAGGTCCAGTCAGGGAGTGCACGGACCGGGATGAGCGACTGCATTACTCACAAAGAGATGGCGGCACCGATGTGGGCATCGTTGGCCTTGACACAGAGGGTCAGGTCATCCCATTCTATCAGAAAGTCAGAAATCATCCCATTGTCAACAGCCAGGAAACCAACGAAGCAGGCGACCAAACTTGGCACTCTCTCGAGGAACGACAGCGGCGGAGGTGAGGCCCAAGATGGGGAGCAAGGCGAGAAGAGTAGAGGCAATCATGGTAGCTAAAGGGGATTATAGTGATGTAGTAAAAAAACAATAGATGCTGGGGAAGATAGAAATACTGTTGTTTGGCTGCTTATATACACAGCGTCTTGCCTGATCTGTTCCGAAAGATCAGATATCCCGACGGGTCGACAACGCACAACAAGCGCAACGGGCGACAAGACAGGGCCGATATCCTCTGACAGCCAGCAGTACAGCAACATACGCTGTACATCAGAGGGGATAACAGCACTGATCTTACCCTGCATCCCTGGGGCACGTCTTGGCTGTGCCTTCAACAAAATTGTCAGCTGGCATACTGTAGCGAGCAGATGTCCCCGTCGGAAACGGACCTGCGAAATACCTCCGGCTTGCCGAAAACGCGGCGCGGTCTTCAGCTCGACTCTGCTCGATACCGGCATTGGTGTATGATGCTTGCGTATACGAGGCTACAATGACGAACGCAGTAGTACATGGTCAGTAAGAACATTATTTTGAAGGTTGAAGGACCGCCACCGCCCGCCGGCACCACGTGGCACGCGTTTGAGAGGAACTCTCCTTTGAGGTTTTTCAATGCGCTCAGATCAACGGTATGGAAGGTAGATAAAAAGGATCACTTTTATCTCTGGTGACGATACTTGCGCATGCAAGATATATTTCTTTATAGAAGCTTACGACCCATATCCAAGACCGGCTAGAGTCATCCCACGAAAGCCAACGCGAGAATCGATCGTGAAACGCGAAAAGTCATTAAGCCGGTGGCAAGATGTCGAGCAACATCATCGAGGACACAGCGGCAGGTATCGATACCGACGCCGACTCCGGCCTGACGTGCATAAATCCATCTGCATGGGACACCATCATAAGTAAGCTTATATCTGTCATTGGACTCGCACTGCTCCAGAAATGAGCTGACGTCCATGCAGAAATCACAATAGCTTTGATGATAGCCGAGCTGGTCATCGGCATACTCTTTGCTTTCTTACGGATGAGGAGGCATAGAGTGGATCACGAGCATGGGCTGACACATGCTTACAAGGGGTGGCTCAAAAGAAAGCTGAAACGGGAGGGTCATGTCAAGTGATGATGGCATCATGGGACGTATATATGATGTGTCGTGCCCACAGAGAGGATGCTAGTGATGCAATGTTGCTTGTCCCATTTGCTCATGCGCACAATGTGTCGCGCTACCTTCTGCCACATCTGTTTTCAATCCCTTTTTCGCATCTCATCCATTCACATCCCTCCTCCTTTGATTATAATTCTTATGGACCAGCGCGCTCATGCCACCTCAGAAGTAGATTCTACAATACCAACCATACATAGAATAGGTGTATAGCCATGTTGGAAAGTATACCTGGCGTGACAAAGCCTGGTGATTCTGTCTGCCTCGCCCGCTGGCTGCTCATCGTCATATGCTGTGAGTTCCAAATTGCCCCGCTTCCCCATCTCCTCAATCGTCGTATGGGCTGCGTACTCATCGTAATCACAAAGTCACTTTCGCCCTCATCCTATCCGCTCTAATCACTCTCATCATACTTTCTATCAGAGAGATATGGCTAATGCGACGATCGAAAGAAGGGTTGGTGAAGGAAGAAGTTGAGAAGGAGAGGTTGATCGATATTGCGGAGGAGAGTGGGGTAAAGGTGAAGGCGGATTGAGGTGATGGGTGGCGGGCGAGACTATGTATGCCTTTGAAGGGATACTCTATTAGAGTCTGATTTGGACTGTGTGTAAAGATCCGGGAGGATTGAGAAGCATCATAAGACTGTTCACAATGCAATGATGGCGCACTGCGCTGCAGCCTCCTTGCGATCGCCGTACGCCTTATATATACAAGCAGCTGGCTCCTTACGTCAAGTCATATCCATCGTTGAATACCCTTCCCCAACAATGTCATCCCGAAGCACCATGTTTCAATATACCACAAGATCTCTCGTGGATCTCGAGGAAGAGTATCATACAGATCACTGGGAAGAGATCCCGTCCCCGACCAGGGGTGGCAACAACCATCGGGCTACCTCTCCCTCAAAGTCCAAGTGAGTTCCCAACCAGCTTACCAGAAAGATATCTAGTAGTGGTAGTACTGAGCTCATATACTGTCATAGGGTACAGCAGTCATGCTCGGGTGAGACGAACAAGAAGCCGAAAAGAGAAGGACAAGTGATCGAGCAGCAACACCACAAAGAAGCTGTTGGGGACCCTGGGCATGCGGTCTCGGTTGAGCGAAGTTTGTAATATAGTCTGTCCACCCAATCTTTTTGCTCCATACTATGCATGGATAGGATTTTACTTGTCTTACAACATTCAAGAGGCAATAATGTTGTATTGCGGCTCGGCTTTGCTTATTAGTTGGCTCCCGCCGGATCTCGGGCCCCAAGCGCCCCGAGCGCGCCGAAACCGAGGTCGACCGTCAACATATAAATGACTCCTCGCATTCCTCACTCCCTCTTAAATCCTCTATTTTCGTCCATTTCACCGCCCAGCAATGTCGTCCCAGATTCCCCTTGTAGCCAACGCCGGCCTCACTCAGCACAACTACTCGCTCTTTGCCCTGCCTGCGGGATACATCCTTGCGTGCGTGGCGGAGGCGACCTGTCGAATTCCGAGCTGATGCAGAGCTAGCATGGCACCTTTCTGGTTTGCTGTAGCCAACATCAGAACCAAAGTAGGATGGGAGGCTTTTGACCTCACCGTGAGTGCTAGTGTCTGGCCACCCTCGAGGCCGGGGTTCCTCTGCCGTGACATCATGTGTTGTGACTGAATGCGCACACAGAACCCTAGACAGAGCTACAAGAAGCTTGAAACTGCCAAAGTTGAGCCCAGGGTGAGCATCTCATTAGCGCTGTCAGCTACAAAGTCTGATACTACACCTATCAAAGCTGTATGGTCGTATCACTCGCGCTCTTGCGGCGAGCGACAACACCTTCACGTGCGCCCTCTTTCCTATCCCCACATTGTCAGATACTTGCCGCCTACTCAAAGCTGACCTACCTCTTCTCAGCAATATTGGATACTTTGCAGCCTCCGTTGTTGCAGGCAATCTCGCTCATCTCAGTGCACGGACCCTCAACACTTGTGCTGCGGTATGGATTGTCTCTCGGATTGCCTATAATTACGCCTACATCGTCACCGAGCAGAGTATGTCTCATCCACCATGGGCTATGCTTTGGCGACCTGCAGCTGACTGAGAGGCTGATATAGCCAAATTTGGGAGGATCCGATCGTTCTTTTTCACGGTCAGCGTCGGGGCGTGTTTCACGTTGATCGTCAAGGCTGCCAATAAGCTCAGCAGCGCTCCCTGGTAGATACTTGATTTCCGTAAGCGCTATTGCTGTCCATATTCCAACCATCTCTGATGTGACTATACATGCAACCCGTCGTCAAGCACACACTTGTTGGATGTCGTCAGCAAGAAGTCAACGATAACACAATGGCGGTGCTATAATAACGATCGAACTCAATAAGAAGAATCCTCCTCGATAGCACCACTATGTCCAACTGATCGTTGATGAGTATGGTTCTTTTCTTATCATGTTGAAGAGAACAACGGCCACTGTCCGGTCTCCTGTCCGGCACAACAACCACAAGATCGCTTAAGTCAGTCGTCGGTCGGCCGCCGGCCAAGCGTCATCGATCGACGAAAAGTCACAAATATCCAACAACTTCTTATCTTTCTCTATCCACTCTCTCTGTACTCTCTGCAAACACCAAGAAGTCAGCCATGTCTTCCCAACTCCCCTTCGTCTCCCAAGCTGGTCTCACGCAGCACAACTACTCTCTCTATGCCCTGCCTGTTGGGTATCTCCTCGCGTAAGTCGTCCTCGGCCCCTTCCCCTGCAGCCTCACTTCCTCAGTCTAGGATGATTGCTGATATCTTGTCGATAGCATGGGGCCTTTCTGGTATGCCGTTGGGCTGATCAGGAAGCATGCGGGAAAGAAGGCGTTCGACCTTGCTGTAAGTTCTTCTTCAAAGCTGCCTCGTATTCATAGTGGAGGTGGAGTGGAAGAGATGCTGATAAGGTCAATGGACTAAGTAGAACCCCCGAGAGAGCTTCAAGAAGCTCGGAGAGGCCAAGATCGATCCCAAGGTACGTGCTTAAGTATCTACCAGGAGTTTGGTCGATGATTAGATCAACCGCCGTGTCACCCGCGCGACTGCAGCGAGCGACAACACCTTCTCGTACGCTTCCCCATCCACAGTAACCATATTATGATCTCACCTTGAATCCTACAGCAACTTGGGCTACTTTTCAGCTTCCGTCGTAGCCGGCAACCTCGCCCACCTCAGTGCCCGCACGCTCAACACTTGTGTCGCCGTCTGGATCGTCTCCCGAATCGCCTTTGCTTTGTTGTATATCAACACCGAAAACTGTAAGCTCTCCTCATACAGTCTACATAAGAGCTTGTGAGCTGATAGTGTTGAATTGTAGCTAAGAACGCGAGATATCGATCTATCATTTTCACCGTCGGCGTTCTGGCTTGCACTACCCTCATCATCAAGGCTGCCAACAAGCTCAGCAGCGTCCCTTGGTGATCAGATGTGAATATAGATGTCTAGGTAGAGAGATAAATGCAAGCATATGCCGGACGTTCTCGAATCTGATGACAGAGCACGAGTGACATGATAGTCGGGTACATGGTTTTTAGAACAACAGTGAATTTACAGTGATACAGTCATGGTGTTGTTGATGCTGGGTATAGGCCTTCCTCCCCCACGTAGCTCTATGGTCCACATGGCACCCTGGGACAAGCTCTCTGAGGGACTGTGGCAGCAAATCGCCGACCCGAGCTACGGCTGATGTTGCCCATTGACAGCCGCTGGTCCATCCGGTGCACCCGTCTCACCGGCCCCTCCTCCATTCGGAACGTTCTGCGCACTCTCTGACCCTTCTTCCCCACCGCCATTTGTCTCCTGGGGCGGCTTGATAGGCTGATGGCGCCGTTCGGGTAAAGGGACCTCGGGGAAGTTCTCTGAAACGGCTTCGTGCAGTTGTCGACGAAAACTCTGTCATTGTATCAGCTCTCTGGCTTTTTCATGAAAGTGGAAATTAGGGGATCCGCGTACCTCCAACCCGAGGACTCTGCCTAGAGCATACTGATTCTCGCCCGTAGCTCTTGTGATAGCTTGCTTTGTATACGTGTGAGGGTTTTTATGTCGGTCTACATGCCTGCGCGAGGTCAGCTTAGATATGTGATGTAAAAATACCACTTACTCAACGATCTGATGAGGAACCGAGTCTGTCATCTGAGACGAAAGCTGCGAGAGGTTCACAAAAGCCTTATTAATGTTCTCTCTACACGAAGCCAGAGTGTATCAGCGTATTTCTTTCCCGCAATAATAGGACACCACTTACAGATATCCCGGCACAGCATCTTCTCTATTTTCTCTCACGTACCCTGCACTGATCTCCATCTCATAAAGATCCTGTGCCAGCTGCAAGAGCTGATTCTCCACAGCCGTGCGGATGGCCTCTTGATCCGGGGCGGCGGGCGGGGCGGAAGGCGCAGGGGTGGGGGCGCCGGGAAGGAGAAGGGCTTCTGAGGGAGTAGGGGCTGGGGAGGGGAGGTGGTTTGGGTCGAGGGACATATTTGGTGGAATTCGGAGAAATGTAAGAGGAGAGTGATTTGAGGCAGATAGCCGAAGTTGCGAATGAATGAAAGTGGAGGCATCTTCATCTGTCATCACATCTCACTCTTCTCTATCATCTCAAAAATATGTCTTCCCAGCCCTCTCGCCCAGATACACCCTCAACGTCCTCTACTCCAGACATCACAGACGACTTCTCACGGCTAGACCTCCACACTCTCCGAGAACAGAGCTCAAGCTCGGCTTCATCAGCAATCGCCGCTGGCAAGGACAAGGTCGATGAGGATGAGGAGCTAGAACGGTTCAGGGCACAATGGCGGCAAGAGCTGCTGGCTAAAAAGTCTGAAGGAGGAGTCGGAGGAGAGACTGGGAAGAGTCTGCCCAAGAAAGAGAATAGAGAGGTTGAAGATGTGGAGGTAGACGGGAAGGGCAAGGGCAAGCAAGTATCACCAAAAGCGACCAAAGCTCCCCAATTACCGACCTTCCAAGACGAATACGATGAGGCACCGACTATGGGGCCTCTAGCGCATACGGTTGCCCCTACTATCAACCGGACGCACGCTCCAAAGAAGACCTTGACGCACAGGGAGCGCGCTATCCAGACGTATGCCAAAGCTGTGGAGAGCGAGCAGAGTGGGCAGCTCAACGAGGCATTGATACATTACCGCAGGGCTTTCAAGATGGACGGTGAGTCATCATTAGATTGACAAATATAAAATGCTGATCAAACCACAGATGAGGTTGACAAGCTGTATACCAAGTCCATGGCCAAAGCCTCGGCAGACCAAATCGCTGAGAAGGCGGCGATCAGTGAAGACCTCATGTCAGAGATCCCCAACTCTTCAGACATCATCTCTCCATCTGCCCCTGCCGAGGAGCCGTACTCTTTCCAGAGACATATCCAGCTCGACGCCGACTATGACAAATCATCCGCCTTGCCTAGCATCGCGACCTCCACCGCGCACAAATCACCGCTATCAACTATCCTGGGGTCACTTCCGATCAATCCCTGGGAGTTTGCCTTTCTTCCAGAGAATGATAAACTCCCTATCCCCATCGCCAATCTCCCTGCCGAGCTCATCGACCCCATCCTTGCACATCTCGATGTGATCTGGATAGAGCGCTTCGCGTCAACTTGTTGGCGGGCGCGCTATCTGACGAGCGCATCGATGGCTTGGAGAAGGGTGTGCGAGAGGATCTACCGGCCGCCTGCAATGGTGCCGCCGGGAGGGGCTGTAAAGACACAAGATCTCGTGAAAAAACATGGCGGAGAATGGCGGACGACGTTGATTGAAGAAGAACGAGTTCGGATGGACGGCTGTTACATCGCAGTCTGTCATTACATGTGCGTATCTTCTCACAACATTTAATGGATTCCACTGACAATGTTTCAGTCGACCAGGTGCTGGTGAAGAATGGGTGACCATCACCCACCTGATCACATACCATCGCTATCTCCGCTTCTACCCTGACGGCTCCGTCATCTCCTACCTTACCACAGACCATCCCTCCGATGTGGTACCTGTCCTCAAGCCTTCCCTTCGGGGCAAAGGCCTCCACTTTGGCCGTTGGCGTCTTCTCCGCTCCGATGCTCCCTTGGACCCGGAGAACGATCCCATCTGGGTCCCCTCAGAACCACATGAGAAGAAGCCGGCTCGCATCTTCGTCTCTGGGCTACTAGAGCCAGGTATCAAGGAGGCGAAGTACGAATTTGAGATGGAGTTGGCATTGAGAGAGACTAGTAGGGGGAGATGGAACAAGCTGGACCTCTTGGAATATCGATCAGTCAATCTGGGAACAGATGAAACGCTGGGGCTGGGGTTGAGGAACCAAAAGCCATTCTACTTTTCCAAGTGAGTCTCCTTTTCAATGGAAGGAAACGAAACTGACTTGAAGCAGGGTTCGCTCATACAACCCGCCATTTTGAAGTGAGCCAAAGCGCATAGACTCTTTTGCATTGCATACACATAAACATATTGCATGGCTTGTTGAATGTACTAATATATCATCGTCTGATGCTCCTAGACCGTCTCAGATACCCCCCGTACACCACTTTTCAAATTCATCATTTTCATCCACGGGGACGTCAACTGTTGAAATATCAAGACAGCCAATATCGGGCGCGAATGAGACTCACCTTCCAGTCCGAGTACAGCTCTCTGATCAACCACATTCCCGTTCCTCATGGCACTGCCCCTCCTGTCTGTGTCCACAGTCTCCATACTGACTTCGTCGTAGAGGTTCGGTTGTGTTTTGTGCTGATTCGAGAGCTCCATCATACGAAGTCGCTTTGCTGCCGGCCGTCCAAAGCCACCGATGTTGAGTGGAGCGAGCCGTCTGACTGGCTGCGCAATAGCCGTAGGTCGGGAGACTGGCATCTCGTCTCTTGGTATCCCACCATCTTTGCTATCGTCTCCCATGGTCAAAGGAGTGCAGGGTCTGCTGTTCAACTCAATCGACATCTTTCTCATGTCCAAATCCCAATCCCCGTCCGTTCGGCTCTGCCTGAAAGGCGACTGTTTCCTCGTCATGTGGTGAGGTTCTTCCTCTTCCTCTTCGTACTCCTGAAGCAGATCGTCGACATTGAAATCTTGTACGGGGTGAGGGGAGCTTGAGAGAGTGAGAGGAGCTTCGGCCTGAGATTTCGCCGTAGGCTGCGTGTGAACGGACGATTTCTTGTGAGGCTTTGGTCCGAAATCCGGGCTGTCGGTCAGTGTCTCATATCCATCGGAGAAGATGCCCCGAGTAGGCATGAGCTCGCACGTGTCTTCATCGTGCTTGCGTTTCTTCGATGCGATCGGTTGGGCTGGGCGCTGCGATCGAGGTGGGTCCTCCAAAGAGACTTGAGAGTTCTGCTGACTTGCAAGGAGGTGGGAGCCTCTGTCTCGGGCTGGTGGTGCAGTACGCTTTTTGGACTTGCTGGACTTGCCGGACTTGGATTTGTCAAAGAATCTCGACTTCACCGGTTCGGTTTCTTCGTCGGAGGGGGCGAGGTCGTCGAGGTTGTAGGTGTCGGGAGTTTCGTCCTCAGAGTGTGCCATGAAGAGTGGTTCTTGATGGTGTCTAGCGTGATTCACTACCCAAAAGATCAGTCGCGGATGCACAGCGCACGTAACAGTACATACCTTTGGATTCCAACGTATCTTCAATTTCTGAATCCAAGGGTGCAGTGCTCTTCACTCTGGATCCTTGCTCGTCCACGGATTCTGACCGTCGAACTATCCTGGATTCCCTGACACGGCTGATCGCTGTGCTCGGCTTCAGAGCTTGCTTGTTGGGAGCGTTACTAGCGTTCTTCGGCTTGCCTAAGCCGCTGATAGACTGTGTACGGTTTCGAGGGGTAGGTTGAGCGGTCTGCGAAGCTTTCTGAGAGCTGGCGATTGGAGAAGGCGATCTGCTCATAGAGCGTTCTTGTTGTACCCGTTGAACAGCTACAATAAGTCAGCAATGACCATGCAAAGTGGACAGTCTGTCACTACCTTTTGCAACAGCCGTAGGTCTTGAATCTCCTTGAAGGGCATCGATGGTTTTCTGGGTTTCTTTCATCCTGTCCGTCTCTGTCCACATATCAGCCCTCTTTTCTTCTATGTTTGGTATACATAGTAGGAAACGAGCTTACCAGTCTTGACGTTCCCATTTCCAGCTCCCTTGGCAGCAGCCTTGTCCTTCTTCCTCGAGGGGACCCCAACTTTGCAGCAGTTGTGCTGGCAGCTTTGTTTATCTTTGCAGTTGTGATGACAAGGGACGTTTCCATTGGGAAGACGCTCCTCTGGCTCAGGGTCCGGTTCCACCAACGTACGTTGAGAAGGATTCTCTGTTCAGGAATCAGTATCGCTTGATGGGTGACATTTGCTGGGGGCTCACGAGCTAGCGCCTCGTCTTGCTCTTCCATATCTTCTGGGTAGACCGAGCTGTCGAGATGGGTCTCATACTCCTCCATTGTGCAACAACCGGCCACTTCGTCCACTGCTTGCGTCAGATCGAACTTTGCTCAACAGCAACTCACCTGCAACGACTGCAACAACTTTCTCACAGCGCCGATCCAAGGTCACAGGCAGCACAAAACTGGTATCCTTGTTGTCCAATTTGCGAAGCTCCATACGTCGATAGCCGATGAAGGAGCCATCTTGTCGCAGGAACAGAGTTGATAGATTGTACAGCGTAATGAAACCACCTCGTTTGCCTTTGGATTCGGTGGACAGGACCTTGCTTTTGGGGCGGATGTTGATTCGAAGATTGAGAACGTTTGATGCGCCATCATAGTTCATTCCTTCCTCTCTGTAGCACCATTTAAAACTGGTTTACCATTAGAAGACTCACTCAATGGAGACGTGAAACCGAGGCATCCTGCGGGCTTGATCATGTATACCGCGGGCGAACTCGCTGTTTCTGTTGAGCCACAATTGAATTTTTTCGGTCCCGACGTCGAGGAGTTCCTCAAACGCTGCGATTGGCAGTCGTCAGGCTGAGTACCTTTTGCCAAGACGAACCTACTTGAGATACCGTTTTGACCCAACACACAAATGGATTTTGGACCTTGAAGGTTGATCAGAAAGACGAAAAGCCACAACAGTCAGAGTCACCCACCGATGCTAGGAATCTGTCGGAATATGGTAGGCGAGTCCTCCCATGCCTTACCGGAAAGGGTCCTATGGAGCTCCAAGGCTGAGCGGGCGGCCGTCCCATACTCTCGATTCAAAGCAAACTGGACGATGGCTGAGCACGCAGTATAGCGTCAGCTTTGGCAGAATCTGCAAGTCACCACCTCACTCACCTTTGGCAATGCGGGGAGCATGGTTGTAAATGGCCATCAATGTCTGAATTGGGGGAGATATCTCTGTCTTCTTGACTATATCATCCAATATGATGTTACCGAATGTGACCTGAAGCATAAGAAACACTTTGTCGCTGTGATAGATACGTTAGCGCACGGGGCATGCAGATCTGCAACACTCACGCATAATTTTGAACCTTCTCCCCGAGAGGGAAGCGTATCTCCTGATTATCTCGAAGCTTGTTCAAGAACTGGTAGTGCGCGTCAGCCGTGAAGCTCCTATGTGACACACTGAGCCTTACACTGGATTCTCCTTGTCTGATACGAAGGTCTGCGAATCTTCTAAGCAGTCAGTAGTGACTCAACAGCACAGCAGCATACCCACTCGGTAGCCCCAGCAAGGATTTCCAGCAGGTCTTGCAAAGTAGACATTGGAGACATCTCTTTGATGGAGCACATCTAGAAGATGTGAGCACGGCGCCTATACACGGTGTGAATGCGTACAGTTCCATAGGCTTTCGTCGATGTCAGCTTCTTACCTTGTCCATAGATTGAGGCACTTACAAATCATACTTCCACTCATGATCTTTCCCGTCTCTGTAGGAGTCAAACCATCGTCTTCGGACCTCTCGATGAAGCCATCTCTTTCGAGGTTCAGCAGTGCTTCCTAGATGTTTGTGGTGAGTACAGATCTCGTGTCGACAAAAAGAGAGACTGACCTCGACATAGTGATCCAGCCATTCTTCCCACGAATCGTGGGCAGGTTTGTCTTTGGCATTTGAGAGAGCATAGTATCGGGGATTCTGCTGGATACGAATGTGGAAGAAAGAGCTATACCTGGCATCAGCTGAGTCGTTGGCTGGTTGCAATTAGAAGCTTGCTTTCTCAACCACTCCTGCGCAGAGTAGACGGATGTAATCGTTCCGAGGCCGATCTCGCTGTTGATGTCTGCTTCTTGTCAGTATAAGGACGCACGTCAATACTGCAGCGACTGACATTCTGTAAGATTCTCATGCCTACCAAGCTATGTCAGTACTGTTCTTGTAGAGCTGAAGGGATTCAAACCTACAAACAGCTCTCAAGCACCGTCTGCGACCGTAACATCGTCTCATACTTCCGGACCTTTGACCTCTCGCACATGACCACCACCACACCCGACTTGTCATACTGGGGTCTACCTGCTCTGCCCATCATTTGCTACGACCTCGTCAGAAAGATACCTGACTGCGGCCACCGGGCGACTTACCTGTATATCGATGTCGGAATACTCCTTGAAGCCAGTAGCCGGCCCTTGCCAAGCCATGACCCCCTTGATGACGACCGTATGCGCGGGCAAGTTGACTCCCACAGCAAGAGTTGAGGTGGAAGCGATCATGTGCAATTTGCCGTCTCGGAAGCCGTCTTCGATGGCCCGCCTGTCGCCATAGTCCAGACCTGCATGGTGGACCGCGATACCGCACGTCGAAAGCTCGGAGATTCTCTTGTCTTGAAGGTCGAGTCTTACCCTACAGATGGGTCAGATACATGAGACCTCTCGTATCAGTAGAAAAACTGACCCGGGTGGATGTTGCCATGGGAGCTTGAGACCCTTTGCTCGTGACTCTTCATACATCGAGAATATGAGATCGGCCGTAGCTTGACAGGCTGCAGCGCCAAATCAGAAGACATGCCCATGTGTTACGTGTTTATCAAGAACTCACACTTTCGGGTAGGACAGAAGACGAGGACGGGTTGCCCTGCTGCGTGTTTGAGAAGAATCGGGAACAGCTCTTTGTCCATTCTGCTTGCCAATGCCCAGTCGTTGCCGCCGCTGTCGATTCCATAAGTCTCTCTTGAGAGCGGGACTGGTCGGAACTCCTCCCCAAACTGCACTTTGTCAGCTATCAATCGAGAGATTCACAGTGCGGTCGAGTTACCTTGTACACCTTCGCCATAGGCATGTCGTCCACATTCGTCTCCCCTTGCGTCTTCTTCTTATCCAAGTCCTTGCCGATAATCACACCTCGTGAGAGCTGACCGTACTCATATCTAGCGGGACCGAGCCACCTGGCGATATCGTCGATGTTCGGTACAGTCGCGCTCAGAGCGACAAATCGGATACCTTTGCCGAGACCTTTCATGCGAGAGATCACGACTTCGAGTGTGGCTCCTCGGCTTTCTCGAAGAATGTGGACCTGGAGGGTACATCAGCTTCGACAGCTTTCGCAGAACGATTGAGACCTTACTTCATCGATCATGATCAGCCTCAGCCGATGAGCCATGTTTTCCATGTTTCGGGAGCGACGAGTCATGGAGTCAAACTTCTCGGGCTACGAACGTATATCAGATATGGAGACGGTGAGTGTGGGATGTAGACGTACGGTAGTAACGATCAAATCGGCTCCTCGAATAGAGTTGTAGATTGTTGAGGCATTACCGTAATCCCCGGTGATCTCGACACCTTTTGCGAGTCAGTTGCACATCAATAGATAAAGACCCGAGCTTACAAATCACATCTGGTAAAGCCACACCCATTCGTTCTTGCCAATCTTTAGCCTTCTCATTACAGAGAGCTTTTGTTGGGGCGATATAGATGGCGAGTGGTTTAATCGAATCGTCCGGGGTCTTGTACGAGAGGCAGTGTAGGAAAGCCAGTTCGAATATGGTCGTCTTTCCAGAGCCAGTCGGGGCTGATACGACAAGGTTCTCGTCGCTGGAGTATGTCTGCAGACGATACAGTCAATGAGTGGCAACTTAAGCGATGAGGAGCTCACATCATCGAAAACATAACTTTGAACGTCGTTGAACGCGGGAAACTTGAACAGCTTCCTCTCGTCCATAGCTGGGCATATCATCAGCCAAATTCACCAGTCATTATTACGAGTGTACTCACGCAGTCTTGAGATAGGCACCAGAGATTTCCCACGCTTGTTAGGGGCAACATTCTTCTTCATGGACTCTCTATTCTTGACGACATCCGCAGTGGCGACCGGCTCATCATCATCGTATACAGCGTCGGCTGTCGACAAGTCAGCCGTCTCCACTGGAACGAAAGAGTGAGAGCGACAGACCTTCATACTGAAGACTTTGATTTGCGGCTTGCACGAAATCGTCATCATCCCAGATCTCATCTCCAAAGTCCTCACTTTTCTGCGCCTTCACTCCTGGTTTCGCTCTTTGCAAGGTATTGGCAGATGCAAAGCTCATCTCACGCGAGCGCGAGTTGTATTCGGGTGCATCTGGCCGGTCAGAGAGATATGCACGCTGATGTCGACCGGTAGGGAGCTCGGTCGTGTTCTGAGAGCGAGGAAAAGAAGGGGCAGGGCGCTGGAAGGCGGGCGAAGCGGGGTGGAAAGGCCGAGCGGGCGGCGGCTGGAAGGATGGATGGCAGGACGGAAGGGCCAGAACTACTGAGATAAGCTCGACGATATGGCAAGGTTGAATGATCACTCACCTGGACTCTGGTTCATGTTTCTCATCCCCGCTCCAAATGGAAGATACTCATCCTCGCCGTCGTCGTCAGAACCAGTGCCCCAAAGAGGCTGATCGTCGGTAAAGTCCATATCCTGGCGAGCTGTGAAAAGATTGATGAGACGAAGTGTCAATGAGATTTATAAAAGATGCGTTGAAGAAAAAAAATGGGAAGATGTGAATTGCAATGGTTGACTGGACTGTCCTCTGTGTTCAGCGGAGCCTCCACCGTGTGTGTCCGTGCACCATGGATAACGCGTTGTGCAGAACTCACGGTGTCGGACAAGAGCATATCATATCTTCGTACAGCTGTCTAGTTCGTCACCCAATACCTATTCCTCGTCATCACCTTCTTCCTCATCTTCGCTGACCTCGATACCCTTCTCCTTCATCACCTCCTTGTCCCTCATCCGCTTCCCTGTCAACTCGTCGAGCAACACTAACAGATCTTCGTGCTCCTTCGCCTCCTCTTCCCTCCTAGTCTTTTCCTCCGCAAGGGAAGTCTCGAGCTCCTTGACCTTGCCGTCGAGCTCGGCAGCACGCTTCTTCGCTTGCTTGTTGCTACCTCCCTGGGCAGGCTCAGCAGCAGCAGCGGCGGCCGGGGCAGCAGCAAGCTTCTCTTCAAGCTCCTTGATCTTGCTCTCAAGAGTGGCAGTCTTGTCTTCTCCGGCCGTTGTCTTTTCGGCAGACGCTTTGGCGCTTTCTTCCAGCTCTTTCACTCGCACCTCTTCCTGTTTCAGCTTTTCTTGGTATTCTGCCTCCTTCAGCTTCCACTCTTCCTCTCTCTTGGCAATCTCCTCCTCCTTCTTCTTCAAAGCTTCCTCGGCTTCGGCTTGTTTCCCTGTATCGGCGGCAGGATCGGAAGGAGCGGTTGCTGGGGCAGGAGACGCCTTCGCCACGGCCACCTCTTCCTCGAGCTTCTTGACCTTGCCCTCCAAATCCTTCATCTTTGTCTCTCTTCCTTTAGCGCTCATCCTGGCCAGCTGCAGCTCGCTGCTGGCCTTCTCATAGTCCGCCTTCACCTTCTCAAACTCCTCCTTCACGTTGCCGAGCTCCTTGGAAGTGGTTTCAGCGCCGGCAGCAGTCTCCTCTGACTTTGCGAACGCTTCTCTCAATCCAGCCAGCTCGCTTTCCAGAGCCTCGACCAGCGCCTTGCTCTCTTCAAGCTGGGCTGTAAGAGTCTTCACTTGCTCACCAAGCTCAAAAGTTTGTTGTGTAAGAGCATCTTGCGATGTCTTGTGCTCGGCATGAATGGAGTCGAGTTTGGAGGTGAGAGAGGCGACTTCGTCGGTCTGAGTCTTCAGCTTCGAACGGAGAGAGAGGATGATGGCGGTGGTCTCGGTGTCGTCGGGAGCTAGTTCAAATGTCAATGTATGACTTTCAAGTCTCATGGGTGACTCACTGTTGGACCCGCGAACTGCATCAGGATCGATAGCGATTGATCTTTGGATCGTGTCTGCGCCATAGTCAGCTTCAAGTCGTACCAAGTCGTACGTTAACGAGGATCGTACAGTAATGGTTCTTCCAGAAATCCACAAACGCCCAATCAAACCACACTTCCACATCTTCGTCCGCCTCTTCCTCGCCCTGATGGCTCTGCTGCTGTGCCACCTGCTCGTCCAACTCAAAGTCCAAAGGCTGCACCGCTCTAAACCTCACATCCTCCCTCAACCTCGCCATTCGCGACACAAACTGGTCCGGGCCGATACGAGAGTGGAGGATGGGATGTAATGTCGCTCGGGTGATTTCTCCGGGTTCGCGGTTAAACTCGTAACAGACACCGAGAAGGAAGGCGGAAAGACCTTGGATTAAGGGGTCGATAGAAGTGTTTTGGGTGATAGGTTGGATGAGCTGCGTTTGGTTAGCGTTGATCTTGACAGTAGATCGTAACTTACTGCTTGAAGGTTGTTGCTTTCACTGAGGAACTCCTTGACACTCTTGGGGCTGTCCCACAACCACGTACACAGCAACATCAAGTACCCCACAATGACCCTCGTCCATTCCTCCTCTTCCTTCAGTCCGTCAGACGCGCCTTCCTTGGCGGCCTTGTTCACGCACTCAGTCTGCTCCCTAGAAGCGAGAAGCAAATTCCCCACGACAAGCTGGATAAGAGACACCTTATCGTCATCGGTATCGACAGCAGAATCAGAGTCGCCCGAGGGGAAGGTAACGTCCCGAGCGAGCTTTTTGGCGTGCTCGGAATTTCGAATGAGGTGTGATAAGAGAAGACAGGAGAACAAGGGCGGGTAGGGGTCGAAATCTGGGGAGAGGGAGGCGTGCGGGAGCTCAAGAAGGCCGGTGAGGATGAGGGAACTCGCTGAAGGTTGGTCTTGGGATTGACCGTCTGCAGTTGGGTCGAGAAGAGACGATAAGAGTCCGATTCGAGCATCGTCGTTGCCTGACAAGTATGCCTGAAACATATTGACGCCTGCAGACCTCGACCTCAGGCTTCTACCCCCGGAAGAGGGATCGCCCTCAACAACACTTTCCACAAGCGCCACAACAGCAGGCTTTGGAGGCACGCGGACGAAGCCGCCGTTGGGGTTGACTTCATCGGCAGGGACAGCCAAGAGGTGTGACACCTGGAGAGAAGCGAAGAGATCCTGGTTGATGGGAGACGAGGTGAGGATGGGCGTGAGAGTAGAGAGGCATTGTGATTTAATGGAAGCGGGAGCGTTGGAAGCAAGAGAGAGCTCGAGCAGGCATCGAGTCACACCGCTGGCTGCCATGGCGTTCTAATGTATGTTAGTAAAGTCCCGAATGAAGTAGGAGGACGTACTTGGTTGCCTCCACCAGGGCCTCCGACGAGCATCCTGACGAGACCAAGCACCAAGCTGGTGTTGTCAACCTTCTGCTCAGGCCAATATTGCAGAGCAAACTCTTCCGGCGTCGCTTCATCCTTCGCTAACGGTGATGGGAAGCCCAAGATGTGAGGGATTTGGGGAATAAGGGTGAGCTCTCGGAAGTAGTTCTAGTAATGATGAGCACCAACACAACACCCTTACAATCGTGCTCACCTGATTTGACACATTGAATCGCAAGAGATAGCCGACAGCAGCCAAGGCATCTTGCACAACGATACCGCCATCAACGCCTCCCTCAGAATCAATGATCTGGAACAACTTCTCAAAGGCGCCCGAGAATGCCACAATCTTTTGGAGATCCTGGTTGCCGCTCAGCATTGCAGGGAAGAGCAACAGCGCCTCGTTTCGCAGCATCTCGCTGGCGCCCCCAGCCATGGTCGGTCCCGTGGAAGTGTCGAGTACTGCCAGGATGCCGTCGATCCCAGGAGGTGGGGCAGACATGATGTAGGATTGCGCGACTTGGGAGCGAGAAGCGAGGAGTTGGGAGAGGAATTGAATTGAGAAGAATCGTGGATAAAATGAACTAGAGGACGAGATAAGATTGATCAGAGTATGGGCGGGTTTGGGGTCCTGCTTGGATGTCAGTTTGGTTCTTGCAGTCGAGCAAGCACTTACTTCGAGGAAGGCATCGGTGAAGAATAGCCCAAGGTCATCTTTGGCCGGCTTCTCAGCAGTTTCGCACAGCTGCATCAGCGTTTCGAGAGTAGCCTTTGCAATCTCGACATCGAAGGGAGCATCATGCTCCAGGACCGCAATCAAAGACGGCAAGGCATTGTGCCCGACATCCTGCGATATGTCAGCTACACCTGATATCCACGGGATGTTCTTACCTCTTTCCAGTCCCTGCTGAGGCCCTTGAGCCCCAATACAGCCGTCCGCCTATCTTCGACGGCTGCGCTGGTCTGAATCCTGTCGACGAGCTTCTCGATGGTCTCTGTCGCGGTCTGTGGGGCGCCGAGGTCTCCTCTGAGCTGGTTGTAGGCGGAGGAGAGCCTGGTGGAGAACATGGAGCCGAGCTGGTTTGTGTTCATTGTGGCTGCGATGTGCCCCAGGTCGGATGGACTTGTGCGCGCTAAGTGTCGAGTGGAACGGCATCAAATACCCAGGCACGTTCCAAAGACGCGTCGACGGAGCAGAAGCTGCACTGATCGGGGTGTCTTTGCTATGCATGCAGCCAGCCAGAGGAAGCGCAATGCAATAGCAGCAGAGCTGGCCCATGTATGTATTTGTATGCATGCCTCATAGGCCTAGCTATCAGCCCTTCGGCAACCGCCGCCCGTCACGCGTTTGGCCCGCGCGGTTGCTGCCGCTGCTGTTGTTGTTGATGAGTTCTCGCTTGTTGCCATTTTCACTCACCATCTCGACCGTGTTCTTCTCTTGTCTTTACAATTCTTGCCACCCACCTTTCCCATGTCGCAAGGATATCCTCGGCCTAACCCCCATCCCCAGCACCCTCTGTACCCATCCCCGGTCGTCCTTCCAGCATCCAGCGACACCATCGTTGCTTCATCCCCCGCCCACGGGATCACTCAACATCCCGATTCCATGCGTCGGTCGTACCCCATAGGCCTGTCAAGTGATGCGGGTCTGGTCGGCGTAGACGGCTCGCTCAAGCGACGGAAAATATCACCCACTCTGTATGAAAACACTGGTGGTGTGCAAGGTATACCTACACCCATTACCGCTGCAGGGTTCTTCCAGCCTCCCCACCAACAGCCATTGAAACAATCTGCTCCCCTGAATCCGGTCATATCAACACCAGCGTTGCTATACAGCTATGCCCAGTCAGCCCATGCTGAATCCCAAACACATCTACAACAATCCTTCATCCCGCCGTACATCAGTGCCGATCGGAAATCAGGTTATCCTATAGCCAGACTCTATCCCCCTTCTCCACCCATGACGCCTCCCTCACCTCTAGCAACTCCATTACCTCGGTACACCCATGACTCTGAGGCTCGACAAAAAGCTCTCGGATATCTGCTTTTGGCGTTGGACCTACTCCGGGCGGGGTTGAAAAGCAACGAGTTGTCAGACCGGGAAAAGGTCGTGTTTGCGCTCGAGTTTGGATTGGTAGGGGTGAAAGTGTGGAGCGCATGGAAATCATGTTCGATAACGGGCAAGGAGAGAAGGAAGAATGAGAGCGGAAGGTTGATGGACGAGATGCAAGAGTTTGTCGGTCAGGCTGTGAGTTGGTCGCAATCCCGCATGATATCTTGTTGAGACATAGCAGTCTTTAGTGGCTGAGCGCCAATCCTCGCTGGCTCTTCTGAAACTGCAACTGGAGCTTCTGAATGCCAGACTGGCGTTCATGCAGGGCAAGTTCAACCTCGGTAAGAGATTAGTCAGGAATGGTCTGGCTGCGTGCAAGTGAGTCAAACAGCAACAGTGCCACTATCTGAGCTAATGTCGATCTTAAGGAATGACCATTGTCATCGTTATGGCCTTTACTTGCTCCACCTCGAGCACATTGAAACCACTGGGCCTGGTGAATACCTCAACATCGTGACTGAATTCCTGGTACGTCCTTGACTAGGGCTCTCGAGCTAGGCTGACGCTCTTTGCAGAATGAAGCCGAACGCAACAAGCATCAGGAAATTGTACAGCTTGCATCACTCCTCAAAGCCAGAATAGCTTTCGTCCATCGCCGATGGGAGCTCGTCCCTTCCGCTTTGGCCGCCTTGGCTGGCGCTCTCAACTCGCCCTTCTCTGATCATACCTCTGTCCCGGCTAACTTGCTCCCTGGAGCATCGGAACTAGAGCAGAGTTGGCTGGCGTCAATGAATGTGCACTACTTGACATTGAAAGCTTTGTGGGAGGGCAGGAGGGGAGATGATGCGGTCACCAAGGCGGTGTTGAAGCAGGTCTACGCTTTGATGGATATGTCGAGTGACAAGGGCACTTTCAACGCTCTCCGGGCAAGCGGAGGAGTTTTCATGGTTCGTGTTTCAATCTCAGCGGCTTTGGCATTGCTAATGGACGAGCAGCTACCACTTCCGAACTCTCAACCCCTCCTGATACAACTCACTCCGCCCAACATCACTTACATGCTCACATACCTGACGACGGTTGTCACGCGCCGCGAGTTTACAGGATCAATTGCCTCTTGCCGCACGCTCGTCCATGCAAAGGTCTTCAAGGAGACAGAGCACGTTGCGAGAGCCGAGGATATGTGGGATATTGGATGTGAGCTTCTTCTCTTGATCTATCGAGCAAAGCTGATCGGACTGCAGTCTCTGGCTGTCATGGGCTGGCAGACGTCGTAGCGCTGCAAAGAAAGGTTGCCTCAATCAGGGCAGAAGTGTCACTTGAGCAAGCTACAGCGCTCATGTACCGAGGGAGCTTCAAGGAGAGCCTCAGTGTAAGTCCACCTGACTTTACCTGTACAAAAGTTCATATGGAAAATAGCTTCTATACGAAACGGTCGACTATCTGCAGAAGAATGACATATTCGCTCCCCTTTCCCCTCAGCTCTGTCTGCTGTTCGCCCAACACGCCCACCTGCTTGGCCTCACCGAGACCGCCACCCGTTACTACACCGCCTGCAAAGCCCTCATCAATACCGGCAGCGAATTGTCTCTCATTGCTGAGATCGGTATACTGGGGGCGCACAGCAAGTTGGAAGGCTTGATGCAGGATCTCATGGTGCAAGATGAGGTCAATGGGCTAGCAGAGAAGTGTAAAGGGAGTACCAGTGCGACATTCAGTGCGGCCGGACAATTCCTGGCGAGCATGATAGATGACAACAGGGTCAACTCCAAGTGAGTTCGATTTTTGAGAAAGAATACTCAGTTGACGGATGGCACAGGAAGAAGCTTTCGACAGCTTATGAGATCAGCCAGAAGGCAAACAACCACATCCTTCGTTTGCTCATCTTTGCGTACACCACAAGTACCCATCATTACGGAGGTCGCCAGCGGATGCAACGACAGCTCGAGACGGGGAAAGATATCGCAAAGATGCTGGGCGGCAAGGACAGGCCAGACGGGGTGGGGCAGGTCGTGCTCGGCTGGTGGTTCGCGAGGCGACTGAAAGGTGAGTTGGTTCAGACATTGAAGAGCTACGCGGCTGATGAGCGCAGAATTCTACAGGCAGGAAGGGGCCGCGGAGGCAGCGGCTGAGGCGAAGCAGAGTGAAAAGGTGCACTTGGAGCGGCTCCAAGATGTCAGGAGGGAAGCTGAAAAGATGTTCAACGACAATTGACTCGCTATCAATCTATAATCTAGACCATCAGTATCTTTGTCATCCTTCCTGGGAGAAACCTTGTATCAATCAGTTGTATATAATCAACATGTCATGTCGTAATCTAATCCCTGCTTTTCTAGGCCACGCGACAAAGCACTTCTCCTCCAAGACCAGCTCTCCATGCTTCCCAGCCTTCCATATATCTGTCCACGCCAGTCCTGCCTTCCCTCTTGTCCTCTGCCGTCCTGACTATCAAGATCTCTCCCAAGCCCACACCCGGCACATTCCTCGCTCTCTTTCCCACCAATAATCTTCCCAGCTCTTCCCTCGAGACTACCACTCTGAATGAAGACTTTGACACCAAGCCCATCCTCCTCAAGACCGGTTGCCCATCCCGGTGCTTCAGCCCTATCCAAAGCTTCTTTGCCGGTACGGGCAAAGCCTCGAAGCTCTTGGGATCGGGGCCTTCTGGGGAGCCCAAAGATACGTTGGACACCAGTCCAGAGCGGAGGAGGATGGAGGAGATGGCAAGGGAGGAGGAGGTGTAGGGGACGGCTGTGCGGGGGTGGAACGCGCGCGAGGTGTTTTGGAGGTGGGCGCAGAGGTTGGCCGGCAGGGAGCCTAATCGAGACATGTCTGGTAGTGTGGTGTGGGGGAGAAGTGGTGGTGTAGGTGGGTGGGTGATGTCCTCGCTTTTTGATGCGTATGCAACAATATCGAAAAGTCGGGCAAATGCAAGAGATGAATAGAATTCCGCCACGCGTTATAACCCCGTAAATTTCCGTGAGCCGGTAAAGAAACTTGGAGGGCTTTAAACATCTCTCAACTTTCACTTTCTTGCTCTTTTCATCATGTTTGTTTCCAGATCAGCCATCGCTGGACCATCCCGCATCCCCATCCAGGCCACCCAGACAGTATGCCGACGTGCTGCGACTAGGAGATATGCCTCCGAGGCTCAGGAAGAGTCTGCCGAGCCGGCCGACGAGCTCTCGCAAATGAAGCTCGACCCTTCCCCTCAACTGCCAGCAGGGCTTCAGAAGAGGGAAGGTCGAATCTTTTACCAAGATTGGATGAGAGTCGAAGGAGGACAGTTCAGGGTGCCGCAGAAGGGGCAGAAGGCCAAGTGGCTTGGTGGACATGTCGTGAGTGCTATCATGTCCCCATGTATGTCAGGAGCTAACAATTGAACAGCCATACACCAGTAATCCTTCCTTCCGACCTCCACCGCCATTGTCCAACTATACCCAAGACGCCATCTATGCCGACTTGGTAAGAGGTGCCGACGTTGCCGAGGTTTCGACAAAGTTCAACGTGTCCAAAAGCAGGGTTGATGCGGTGAGAAAGCTCAAGGAGATTGAGATAGAGTTCCAGCGAAGAGTGAGTCATCGTATCAATTTGTCCCACCACTTTCTACTTGCTACCCCTGATGAGAAAAAATATGACATAACCTTCGTTCTGAAGACTAATTCCCATGGTTACCATCTATTTTCTTCACTTTCTGAAACCTTTCTCTTCCTGTGCATCTTGACAACCGCGAAAGAACCTACGCTGACGATTGTGCGTTCTTCTGTTGTCGCTGCCACGAATAATAGGTAAGCCACCTCTCCTTGTTTTTTTTTTTCAACTCTTCTTTACTATGATGTTTAACGATTAGTCTTTAAGACAACTACATGGTTCCTACTTACGCTTTACCTGCTGAACCTTTCTATCACGCTTCCGTCAATTCTTCTAGAATTTTTGGCTGACACTTCTACAGTCTCTTCCTCTACAACGCGCTTTCTTGGAGGGTATGGAGCCTCTGTTAGGTGTCCGCACACCCATCAACCCCCGCACCAAAAAGTACGACGTCGCTATTGCTCGAGACATCGACATGGCCTACGAATCACATCCCTCCGTCTCTGCCGAACGCCTGGAAGAACAACGGTTCGAATCGGGTGTCGGTCAAGAGGGCGCTTTCGGTGACCGTTCTCGTGAGAGTGCCCAGCCCGGTATTGAGCGGACGGCATGGGAATGGCGAGATGAAGAGAAGGCTCTCGAAGATCGTCGTTTACTGGCGGCGAAGGAGGCGGAGGTCAAGCAACAGCCTGGTCACGAGGGTATCGTCCACGAGGTCCTTCAGAAGGAGGTGCAGTCCTCTTCTATGTTCCCCACCCCTGCTGTCGAGGAAAGTATCAAGAGAAAGGAGAGAGAGGAGCTCAAAGCGGCCAAGGCGAAGAAGGATCACGTGGATGTGGAAGGGGTGACTGTTGGCGATATTCACTTTGTGGACACATCGTTCACCAAGGCGTTCGTCAGCGAGAACAAGGGGCAGAAGGCCAGAGAGAAGCGAGAGAGGAGGAAGAATAGGGCTGCTGGGCAGGCGTAGAGTAGTGAGAAGTTAATTATGAAATAATGACCACTACGTATACGCACATCGCACATTCGAAGCACACACAGGCTTCCAGAAGTATTGGCAGCCGAGTTCTGACTTGAACGGGCAATGCGCTTTCCTGCGTACTGTGCGAGCACATTGTGCTTGGCGCACGACTTTGCGTCTCCTGGCTCTCTATGGTTTATGCTTCGATACCCCAGAAGGGATGAGATCTATCGATCCGTAGCAGCTCGATGCTGACTTCCTGAGATTTTCCCGCGAAATGCGCATTCATGAAGCTCGGCCATCCGCAGCCTCGCTTCTCCCTTTTTCCTCTTTTTTCCCCAGCAGCGACTGTCAACTCCGTGGTTCTCTTTTCACCTCAACCTTATAATTCTAATAATGCAATAACGACAACAACAGCCGCCATGTCATACCACCAAGTCCCCCGCGACGACCCTTCCGACCTCCCCACCACCTATCCTCCCGTGCAACACATAGGCCCTCCCTATACCCTCCGCCCCACAAAACACCGCGTCACCCCCTCCCTTGTCCTCAAATATACCCTCTATGCCGTCGGCAGCCTCGTCGTCTTTCACTACGTTTTCGTCGGCGCGTTCCCTTCCTCCCGGTATACAAAAAACTTCCGGGAGCAGTGGCAAAACATCGGGTGGACAGAGGACGACAAGGTGTACGCCGAGCAAAGCACGGCAGCATCCGATCTGCTAGCACAGCTCGATCCAGATGCTGGGCAGCCGGGGACGTTCTTCAGGGACGCGTACCCGCTGAGGACAATGCTGGCATTCTGGGAGCTGGCTCAGAAAGAGGTCGAAGAGAGAGGCTTGAACACGTGTTCAGACCAGCTGGGGAAGGGGCTTGTTGAGGGTTATCATCGCAGTCAGCTCGACTACTGCATACCTCCGGGCAAAATGGGGCTCGACCTGATAGACAACAACATGACTGCGTGGGAGGTTGAGGCGGGCGAAAAAGTCGAGGCGACGAGGATTGTGTGCTCGCCTGTCCACCGTGACAGCTTTACCAAGTGGTGGCCGTACCCTGCAGCGCCATGTGTCTCCACCAACATGCGTACGGTCATCGGGGAAGAGAAAAAGTACCGGGCGGTAGGCTGTAGAGTGACGAACGATGGGCAGGACTTGAACAACGAGATGGGACGAGAAAAGTTTATCGGGACATCAGCAGAGTCGCTCGATATGGATGACGAAAGAGGCGACTGTAAAGAAAGAATTGAGCACACTATGGTTCTCATCCCGAGACAAGATCAATGGAACCCGTAAGCTCTGCTTCACATGAGTCATGAGCGATGTTCACGAGATCGTAGCTTCCACGTCTCTGAGGACCTCATCACCACCCTCGTCTCGCTCTTCATATCCGCCCGCACGGCGCCCCATCTCATCAACACACGCATGCAGTTGGTCTTTACCGACAACTTTGTCATGGACCGAAACCACTTTACGCCTCTGTGGGATCGGATAGGAGCGTGGGCACCGAGAAGGTTGAGACTTGATCCGTGGAATGAGGGAGAGTGCTGTGAGTCTTCTCTGGATCTTCAAAGCGGTTGTACTGATATATTTGCAGTGACAAACGCGATCCATAGTGTCAGTGCCGGTGCTTCTTTGCTTTCCGCGATGGGTGTGGGCTCTTCGTATGTTCCTTCAGGTTTGGGTGTTATTCAATCTGACGCTGCCTAGCTACACGTGCGCTTCAACCCTCACATGGGCCGCGGCACATTATTACCGCCACCTCTTTGGTCTTTTACCTCCATCGCTCTCCGCTTCTGCCACAGAGGAGAAAACGGATAAACGCAAACCCATCAACCTCCTTTGGCTTTCTCGTGAAAAGCTGGACCGTTACGCTCAGAGCCACCACGACTGGTCATCATGGCGAGATGTTCGGCATATCAACAACGAGAAAGAGTTCATCTCTACACTCCGAGAGGGTATAAAATCTATGTGTGAAGAAGGCAGTGAGTCGGCTGCCATGTTTGGGAAAGCCGGTTGTGTCTTTGAAGACTCTCGAGACACCCCCGAGACGTGGGCTTCGACCACCCTCTCCCCTACGGACCCGGTCCCCATCCGTTTCGCAGCAATCGACCCTTCCGTCCACGCCCTCGAGACCCAGATCCACTACACAGGTCACACCAACATTCTCCTCTCCCCGCACTCTGGCGCTCTCGGTCTCTCCCTCTTCCTTCCCCCTGGAGAAGGTGTGATAGTGGAGCTGCAGGTAGACAATGTGATGGGCAACTATCATTTCCAGCATATGGCTGGGGAGATGGGACATCGGTATGAGTCTGTGAGGATTGATAGGACCGTGGATTCAAAGAGAGTCTGGTTCTACGTGAAGAATTGGTTGGAGAAGCTTGGGGCGGAGGGAGTGTGAGCGCGGGGAGGAGTTGCGGATTTTTGTTTGTTGACATTGAGCATTTGGGATCTTGACCTAGCATGGGACACAGCTTGTACTCGTTCTTGAGCATGTAATTGCATCGCTTGTGCTCTTTTCAGAACCAGGCTTCGCGGAGACATCGGTGCGACTGGTGCGACTAGACTCTATATCATAGCAGATAATCACATTGACATTTCGCCCTCAAGAGTCCAGCGACGCTGCCCTCAATCCCTGATTGCGGCTCAATCAAACGGTATAGGCTTGATTCCTGGTCGATTTGTGAGCGCGGGCAAGCCCTTGTCTTTGGCGTCCTGCGCGGCAGCAAACGCCGACGGAACTGGGTTGATCATCAGCCTGGTGTCTAACGTACAGTACCGGACAGACATACCAGGTATACCACAGCAGTCCATCGTCCACCCCTTCTCACCAGCATCATGTACGTGCCCATGTTCATCCTCCTTTCCACTCTCTCCATCCACCCATCCTTCGGCCTCAAGGTCCTTTCTCAGCTGTTCATCCTCCTCCACACTCGGGAACCTCAACAAGCTACCAAACAGCGCATGCTGCATGACCGGCAGCTTGCCAAGAACCTCCGCCACAAACATCTTGACCATCCCTTCGTTCACTTTGGCCCACGCTTTGACGGCGGAAATGTCGTCGAGCATTGGAGAGTGCCAGCGGAGAGACGCGGTCTTGATAGAGTTGATGAACTGGATGCAGGAGAGGTAGATGTAGTCTTTGGAGAATTCGGCGAGGATCTCGGGATCGTGGATGGCCTTGGGACGCAGGTATTTGTGATCTGCGGTAACACGCATCAGCTTGGGCCTTGCCACCTCGAAGATTACTCACCTTTGAGCTGAGCAGCTCCCCAGAGGAAGGGTAAGAAGTGATAGTCGTCCAAGCCCCATACACCATGCGAACCAGCAGGTTCCAGCCAGTATGTCGATTGGAGATAGCGCATCACATTGATGTATCTCCAGAAAACACCCAGTACGAGGAATGAGTAGTCATCTTTGGTGAAGACACCGAGCTTTGTCAAGCAAAGCCTGTTGAGATGTCAGTTTAGATAAAGTCTGAGAGGTGATGAAACGTACAGCCAGCACAAGAAATTCAGCTCCATCCCACTCCCATAATCCACTCTCTCCTTATTACCCCATGACTCTTGAAAGTAGACTTCGACTTCCTTGATGGCTTCCTTTGGTAATTCAGGGATCACTTCGTGTAGCGATAGTATCGATGATGATATTTTGTCGTAAAAGGTCTTGAAAGCAGGGTTGCCGAATCTGGACAGCTTGTTGTCCACGGGGGGAGTGGCGTGGGCAAGTTCCAATACTTGGTCTAATACTGCCAGAACAGGTTTCGTCCGCTACATGTCTGCTCAGCTTGGACCCATTTGCGTACCATTGACAACTTACCTCCGATCCTTCTCCAGCTTCTGAAAGCTTCTTTCCCACGACGCTCGTGTTTAGATCTTCAATGAAGGATAGTATATCCTTGTGCGCCTGAGATCTTTGGAAAGCGGCGAGATGGGCTTTGGAGAGGATGCGTTTGACGGGCACTTGGTACTCGTGTGAAGGCAAGCTGGCGTGGTTGGACATTGTGGGGTGAGATGAAAAGGTGCTGTGAGAAAATGGGAGAGACAAGAAATGCCAAAAGAAAGAAAAGAAGTCATGGTGGCCGCAAGGTGCAAGAAGCCGGCGATGACCGTAGCGGTCTCTTCCAACAGTTCCAAGTCCAGCAAGTACATTTTGCATGCTATATACCTACTTCCTCATTCTACTGCTAGTCATGTCCGTCTCCGCATATACCGACACCATCATGCTCTTCGTACGTGCCGGTGCGCTGGGGAGACACAGCGCTGACCTTTCATTCGGCAGGGCGACTCGCTTACCCAGGCGTTGTCGGCTGGCTCGTTCTCCCAGAGGATGTCAGAGTGGTATCTCAGGAGAGCTGACGTCGTAAATAGAGGTTTTGGAGGTGCGTCTTACGGGCTATGTGTGAATACAAGCTGACATATGAACAGGGTATACTTCGGAATGGTCCGTATACTAAGATGGTGGTGATATCTTGCTAACCTTGTCCTAGGGCTATTTCTGTGTTTGAACAAGTATACGCCACACAGGAAGAGAGGAAACAAGGCAAAGCTCAGAATGTCAAACTGATCACCATCTGGCTCGGTAAGTGTCTAAAGTACAACTGGCACCACTCTAATACACATGCAGGCGCCAACGACGCTTGCCTCCCCGGCACTCCTCAACACGTCCCCGTCGACAAATACAAGGCCAACCTTGTCCATCTTCTCAGCCTTCTCACCTCTGCTGCGTCTCCTTACTATTCGCCTGAAACAAAGATCATCCTCATCACTCCTCCACCTGTGTGCACTTCCAAGTGGCTCACAAGCCGGATCTCGAAATGGGAGTTCTTTGGCAAGGAGGGAGAGAAGCCGGACCAGAATAGGGATCAGGCTGTGGCAAAGACGTACGCGGAGGGGTGTTTGGCAGTGGCCAAGGAGCAAGGAGTTGAGGTTGTGGATCTCTGGGGGGCTATCGTGAAGGCTGCAGGTGGTGAAGGCGACGCAGAGCTCGACTCTTACTTATAGTGAGTCACTCCCAGCTGGCGATACTCTCATACTAATTGTGGCTTAGTGACGGCGTCCACCTCACGCCTCCCGCATATGCTGTTCTCTTCGAGGAAGTGAAGAAAGTCATTGTGACTAAGTTCCCTGAGCTCAACCCCGAGACCATGCCCATGAGGATGCCTCAGTGAGTCAACGATTACCGATGGCAGGCAATACTAATATAACATAGCTGGGCGGATATTGATCCTGAGAACCCTCGACCTGCTTTTGAAAAGGTCAAGAAGGGGCGTTTGCAAGGCGAGCTTTAATGGGCCAGAAGAGCCAAACTCATAGATGTAGATGCTAATTGATATGTAAACAAGTCCATTCTTGATATAAAAAGTCCCTGAAGGAGGATTGCTACTGTGTATTGAGTTGACTGTCGAAAAACAGACGGAAGGACTGAAGGAGAGAGAGGTTTCAGGTTGTGGTTGTCACTCGCGCCGGGTCGTTTTCGCGTCTTGTACTTGTAAACAAATCATTTCTCTTTTCCATCTCATCTCTGCCTTTCCACGTCCGCCCCTGTCCTGCAGCCTCAGCACCCACGCACCCCATCGCCGACCTCTCGCCCCTAGCATCCCAGCGAAAGATGCAGCCCAACGGCCACCCAGCGTACTACCAGTACCCTCAGTCGTCCATCTCCTCTTCATCCTCATTACCGCCTCAGTCACCATACTCGCCCTATCCTCCTCAAAGCCCTTATGCGGCAGGAGAGCTGGGACAAATCCCCCACAGCGGTTCCCCATACGGTTCGGTCCCTTCGTCCACTTCCTCTCGCTCCTCGTACGGCGCGCCCCCGCCCATACCTTCACATTCATACCCCAGCAACAGCTATCCCAACCCCCACCCCTACTCGTACTCCAACCGTATCCCCAGTGTAGAGGCTGTCCCATCACCGGTGCCCAAAGTCGCCTATGAAGCCCCCGTGTTCCAGACTTTTCAGGAAAGAAAAAGGGCAAAGGATGCTGCGCTGAGAGCGAAGGCGAGCCAGGGAGATCTCAGAGCGGGTAGAGGAGCCATGCCACCTCCCCCTATACCTCAGAACCTCCCTCCAGTGCCGCAGATCCCCCAGGCAGCTTACTCTGTACCGCCATCAACAATGAGAGGGCCGTCTCCAGGGCCAGAGGCGATGGCAATGATGGCCAAGCCCGGTGGCATGGGACCGCCTCCTGTACCCCCAACACGCTCGAGAAGCCCAGCGCCATCCCCTTCCAACTCTGTTCCCCCAATCCCTGTGTCCAGTCAAGGAGGGAGGCCTTTGCCATCCCCACGCGGACGCACGCCGTTGTCGGTGAACACGAGCCCTGCAAGTGGCGGACGCGCCCTGCCGTCTTCACCGGTTCCCCACACTGCTCCTTCGCAGACACCTTCGCCTCACCCTTATGCCTCGGCGCAGCCTTCTCCCACCATCTCGACGCCCTCCCAGCAGCAGCCGGATCTGGATAGATCAGATACCCTGTCGTCTGTAAAATCGCTAGATCGAGCGAGCTTTTCGTCCTCTCCCTCCTCTGCTTCAAGAAGACCTCTGCCGAAACCCCCTGGGGGCGTGGTGGCCTCCAAGAGTCTGGATAGAGGGACTCCATCATTGGGAGATATGGGAGAGGCGTACCGAAAAGGGAGGAGACAGCCGTCTACCGTCAACGAGGAGAGTGAACCGGAAGACGAGTTGGCGAACGGGATGAGAGCTATGGGCATTCAGGCGAACGGGGGCTCGAGATCACCTTCTCCTCAACCTCCTGCAATCGTGGTTCCCACCATCAGCGCCCCATCTGAGTCTTCCGACCCGCATGCCCCCGCCAAATTTACCCCGCTCCCTTCCTTTTCCTTCTCCGACTCTGACGCTTCATCAGCTGCCTCGGAGGACGAATCCAACCATGTCACACCCAAGGCCGAGCGGACATCCAAGAAGGAGGATCCAGATGCTGCGATCTCGTTTGCGGGCGCGCCTATGATTACTGTCTCGTCCTCTGATACCGCGGACGAGCCAGCTGGCGAGATCAGTTTTGCCGTCCCTTCCATCTCTGTCGGCGGTGCTCCTGCCTTATCTGTGCCCGTCCCTTCCATCTCTACCCCTCACTCTCACTCTCACTCTCACCAGCACCCGAATGACACTCGCACGCGTGTTCAGTCTTCCTCTGCCATCCTCTGTACCGGCTGTGGCCAGCCTATCATCGGGCGTATCGTCAACGCCATGAACCAGCGCTGGCACCCTCAGTGCTTCATGTGCGCCGAATGCGGAGAGCTCTTGGAGCATGTTAGCAGTTATGAGTTTGAAGGGAAGGCGTACTGTCATTTGGATTACCACGACGTGAGTGTTCTACTATCTGACGCTCTCTTGCGCTGACTATGTGACAGAAATTCGCCCATCACTGTCATCACTGCAAAACGCCCATCGTCGAACCACGCTTCATCACACTGAACGATGACGTCCTCGGACAGCGATACTACCACGAGCTTCACTTCTTCTGCTCCGAGTGTGGTGACCCGTTCTTGGACCCTTCCAAATCGTCAGCGCCGGGCACCGAAAAAGCTCGTGCAAATGGAGACGACGAAGGGGATGACGGAGAGACGAGTGATTTCGTCATTCACAAGGGCCATCCTTACTGCGAGAACTGTCACGTTCGTCTGCATAAGCCCAAGTGTAAGGGATGTAGGAAGCCTATCAGGGATATGGCAGTAGGAGCGCTGGGAGGAAAGTGGCACAAGGAGTGTTTCGTTTGTACCGTGAGTTTCTGCTTTTCATTGCGCCGTGGGCTGGGCTGACGGGCGTGTAGAACTGCAAAGGAGAGTTTGGCAACGGACTGTTCTTTCCCCATCAGGGAGGAGCGTTTTGTACGACGTGCTACCAGGAGACTATGGTGGGGGCGTGATTGTGGGGTTTGTGTGGGGTGTATGTGGGGATGAGGGTGATACGAGCATAGATGATACGGACATCAACGAACTATGAGAGAAATGATTATGTGACCTTTATCTGAGCTTCAAGTGGTCATTGTACATGTAATTGAACGTTGGCTTTTGCTTTGCTACCTCAACCTCAAGACGACTTCGACATTTCCGCCCAGGCTCTGACCGACTTGTGTGGCTTACTTTCAACAACTTGGTCACGTGATGGAGTTGGTCACCATACCTGTCTAACAAGTTTATCTTGCTCTTCACAGGAGGTCGGCGGTTCGATCCCGCCCGGGATCATTCTTTTTGCTTTTTGTCCCTCAAGCCCTTTCTATCGTTTGTCTCTCCCATCTCTCCCTATAATCAACATGACCCCTCTACCGTACATACAAGTGATGTACGAGACCTAGCAAGCCGTCTAGCATGGGTTTTAGCGCGGGTGACAACTCAGCAATCGGAGCTCCCCGCTGTGCCTGAAGATCAGCCAAGCATGCAGGGCCGGAGCACACGGCGGAGGCTGAAAGCTTTTTCTGCTGGGCGTTTTGTGTACGGACACATCTCGCAGTTCCATCTCCCGTCCATCTACCTCCTACCGGCATCCTCGTCATCGTTCCTTCATTCAATATCTCCTTATAATCCCCTCCAAAGGCAACGCCGCCCCCTATCATCCTCTCCGCCTTGCTTATCGCCGCCACGCCCCGACTCCACGCCTCGCCCCACCACCATGTCTCTCCACCCTCAATACTCCAGCGACGACCACGACCCATTCCTCTCACGAAACCCCTCTGCCACCTCCTCGCTGCCTACTGTCGAAGACGCATCCAACCAACCTCAGTACGCGCCCGAACAACAACATTACGCGCCTCCACCGCTACCGCCAAGGCCGTCTGCGGCCCTCACGAGAAAGCCTGTACCAGCCATCTCGGACAGTGATCTGCCTGCACTTCGACGTCGGCGGTCTTCAGCAACTCCTCCCCCAGTACCTCCTCGCCCCAATAATCAGTACTCAACCTACGTAGCAGCACCTGCTGCAGCCTATACTGTCCAACCGCAGGGGCCGGTTGACTCGCGCTTGCCACCGGCCTCGTCCGGTGCTGCATATGTTGCCACGAATGAGAAGGCGGGCTATGAGCCGAAGCGGAGAAGTTGCTGGCCAGCTACAAGGAGGGGGAAGTGGATTCTCTTTGGCATCATCGCGGCGTTGATCGTCATTATCGCTGTTGTCGCCGCCGTCTGCGCCGTCGTCATTCCCAACCACTCGTCCTCCTCGTCATCTTCATCCTCTAGCAATGTGGGCTCGGCTTCAGACAATGGTGGACATCCTCTCTCTATCGCTGATGGAGGGGTGGATAAAGGCGAGGCAGGCGATATCCCTGTACACGGTAATCGCTCAGCAGATCACTTTGTCATGACCACCAACCGTTCCATCGTCGTCACCCGTCTAGACCCCATTGTCAACCCAGGCGCTATCGGATCGCACATGCACCGAGTGCACGGGTCATCGTACTTTACGCAAAACTTGACAACGGCCACCGAAATGCAAGAGTTGGCGAACTGTACGACCACAATCGTCCAGGATGATCTGTCGGCGTACTGGGTATCGGCGCTCTATTATCGATACTCAAACGGGTCACTGGTATCTGTACCTCTCGATAGGACATCACTCTACTACTTTCAGAAAGCGCCTACCGGAGAGACCATTTACCCCTTCCCCGACAACTACAACATTGTGGCCGGTAACCCATACAGGAGATCTGTGAACGAATCCGACCCGTGAGTCTTGCTTGCTCTGATTTCGTGCCACATTATACTTACCCGATAACCAGCAATCACACCGCATTATGGTACCAATGCTACCGAGGGGACGGCAATGATCTCAAGTCCTGGGGCTTTCCCAAGAGTGCTTGCTCCGGCGGTCTCGTTCAGGGTATACAATTGTAAACCTTAATCTTCAGGCTTTGCAGGGTACATCGCTGACATGTCTTGTCCAGTCCCAGTTGCTGGGATGGTGTATACGCGGACGACGGAGACTATACCGACCATGTCACGTACCCAACGGACGACACCAATGGCTATTACTGTCCCTCTGGTGCGTCTTCTTGCCTCTCTCTTGTCTCTGTCTGACGAAGACATAGATTTCCCGAAGAAGTTTATCACTCTGCAATTTGAGACTGTCTTTGCCGTTTACGACTTTCCCTACAACGGAAACAACAACATCACTTGGTTGTTGGCTAATGGAGATACCACTGGCGTATGTGCCTCGTCTGGATATGTGAAAGTAGAGCTGACCGAGCGTTCAGTATGGTATCCATGCGGACTTCATGAACGGTTGGAAGACCTCTGTTCTTCAAGGTGTCTTGGACGACTGTCGATACATGAACGCGACCGATATTGATTCTGGCAAGTTTCATCATCATTTTTCCATGCTTCGATACTGACTCTCAGACCATAGTCGCCGACGACCCTCCCAATTGCCCCCACTTGAACGCCTCCATCAACTTGGACATCACTTACTCCTGTCGCCTCCAAACATCCATCGTCAACGAAGAAGTAGGCGAGACAGTGTCCACCGCATTGACGTATTTGCCAGGGTGCAATGCTATCTGGTCTGGGAATACGAGCAAGCCTGCTTGTCCTGATGGGCGGGTTGAGGGAGGAGATCTGGATCTTGTCTCTGGGAGCGTGTACTATAGGGAAGAGCCTTATATCAGCGGAGGCAGTGAGGCTTTGGTGGCTTGATCTTATATGGGAGGAGCCTATTTCCACGTGGCGGGGAGTCGCGTTGGGCGCACTAGTATCTCGCATGATTAGATGATTAAAAGGGATCGATCCTCTTGGATTACATATAGATTTTTAATGTCCTGATCTCGACCTGGTGTCGAATGGATACTTTGTTGTGATAGATGCTATGCAGAAAGGTCCTCAATCGGATAATGGGACCCCGCGCCGCGCCGCAAGCCCGCGCATAAGTACGAGTACGGCAGATACTGAAACCATGCCGTCGTCATCAGCCCCTGTCTCTCGTAAGTCATTGAATCGATGACTGCTCACTGGTCAGAGCTCCAGACAGCTGCAACAGCTGGCAACTTCACTATTCTCTGCATCTGCTGTCAAGCATGGACTCATGGAGCATGTACTGTGTAATAGTTGTACCAACCTTGTACTCAGATAAGTTAGTCACCAAACTCATTTAAGCGTTGTTGTTTGTTTGTTGTTTTCTGCTTGCATACGTATCACAATTTCAGGATCCCGAATCCCGCCTTCTCTGTAGTGCCAAACGAATGTGCCGATATTGGTGCCGGTATCTATCTTCAAGGAATTACGGCGACCTCAATTGATTGCAAGCATCCCATCACCACATTCCCATCCCACATTCGTAACTGCTCTCCGTGCAGCCTCGTGATCGCTTTCCCACCTTTTTATATAATCTTCCTCGTCCTTCGCGAGTTCTCATCCCCCACATTCGTTATTAATCTACCGCACCCATTCCCTTGTCAACAAGCTAGCATGTCGCTCTCTATCACCCAAGTTGTTGCCGTGCTTCTCACTATAGCATCGGTCGCCGTGGCTATCCCTCTACCGGTATACGACCCTTATGAGAGGCAGCACTGGCCTGCGTAGACTGCGCGGTGAGTTATCGGGCTTCTTTCTCTCCCTCTGTCCGTGAGCTAACCAGCCGCCGCAGCCTCAATCATAACATTCTCCAAGACCTCCAATACTCTGTTTCCGAAACTGTATCACGACTAGCCCATGACGAGACTCCTCCCGATCCCTTATCTTCTTTCCCTCTCCCCCTCCCCCCAGTCCCCTGTTTTAGGTAAGGCCACTCTCATGTTGTTCTCAGCGAACGTTGTTCAGATGTACGAGTACTGTACTAATCATCTCAATAGCTTGCTATTTCCGCTTCCTTCTTAATTTCTTCGTTGTAATATATCTACAAGTAGTATAATATCGCTCTATGGACAAATATGGCTCTCGCGACAGCAGCATAAGTCACATTAGTATGGTTCTGTACCCGTCTCGTCGATCCATGTGTGCGCCGATGGAGATCTGTGAGAACACAATTCTCATGATGAATATCAGTAGTTGAGGTGGTGAGATCAGTTGACTTATTGATCATGGGAATCGAGCATGGGAATCGAGCCAGTGATGATGGTCGGGTGCAATGCTGAATGTTGACATTGCTGCGGATAGATAGTGAAGTGCGAGATCGTCATTGCATTCGGCGACCACGCTCTATCCAAAACGTCTCATGGACTCATGATACTTCACCCACACACCCGGACCTCCCCAAATCTGCCGACTATCCCGTCCCTGTTCTTCACACAGACAAGCGCCTTCCCTTCCCAGCCCTTGACATGGCCTTTCTGGCCAGCGGCAGAAGGATAAGCAGCCTGGAGAAGCTCAACATACCCTCGCAAGGTGATAGTCCCGAGCGCGTGGCCTTGTCCGCGAGTGAGAGAGATATTGCCCGAGTCAGTATAGCCTATCAGTCTCTGATGTGACGATGGGGCTTGACCGAGCTAGTGAGAGTAGCAATGAGCCAGTGATCATGACCGGACATGGAATAAACCTACCTTCTGCAATTCAGTCACTTCTCCAGCAAAGTTGAAGCCGTCGTCTTCCCGCTCGTACGCTTGGATCCACTTTTCTCTTTCTTCACCCACCAGCCCACAGATCATCGCCATATCGCCCGGCGACCCTCTGCCCAACACGTCTATCTCAACATGTAACACTGTCTCATTGAACAAAGCCTCAGCTTTGGTCGGGGGCAAAGCGGACAAAGAGCGCTGACGACGAAATGTGTTGAGCTGTTTCAGGAGCTGTAGAGGGGTAAGGCTGGATGAGATGTAGGTGGAAAAGGGATGTGGGAGCAGGTAAGGTTTGCAGGGCGAGGAAGTGTTCAAAGACGCCTCTTCGGCAGATGTGTCTCCACTCTGGCTATAATCAGCGACTAGCATGCCAGAATTGAGATAGACACTTACCAGCAATTTGTCCCAGTCTGGCGTCCAAGGGCTACTGGTCCCAACCTTTGCAAACTCCACCCTCTTTCCAGGCGGCTTCCTATCCCACGTCTCCTTCTCAAATGCAGCCTTACCCTCGTGCCACCTATCCCCCGCCTCACAAACTCCGCTGAAATACTCTGGAAAACTATGCACGCCAGCTTCCCTGTGCTGCACTTTGCGCTCGTTGAGACCGCCGATGAGCGTACCGGTGTAGGCGATAGAGGTGAGGAGGTACTGGGCCCACGAAGTCGGGAGAATGAGTGTGAAGCCGTGGAATGATTGGGGAGTTGTAGAGGGGGGAGGATGTGTGGAGCGCTTGAATAGCATGATGGGGAGTCGGTCATCAGACTGCCGGGGATGCAGTCTCGTTCCTGGCAATCCGAGCTGACAAGAGGTCAGTGATGTGTTTGCGAGTCACAGTGGAACTCACCTTGTGCCGCCGAGCGTCGAGCTGGAACTTAGTATATGTGACTTCCGAGGCATTTTCTCGTGACTCGGCATCCCACAACAAAGAGAAAGCCAGCTCCATTGTCGGCTCAATGATATCGTCGCGAAGGACTCCGTCGTTGGTGCCGGACTGCTCAGCTTCTGAGAGCTTGGGCGGGGGGAAACTGAAAGTGGTCAGTACGTTACAGATGTAGCTACGTGTACCACTCACTGGAGACGAGGGTCGTAAGCTTGGAGACCGATCACAGTGCCATCAGGTATGTTCGAGGGGTCTTGCAACCCGTTAAACACCTACGAACTATCAGCTTGAGTTGCTCAATCCGATGAGTAGACCCACTCTCTGCTTGAGTGTCTCCTCAGACTTGCATAGCCTCAACACACGTCGAAGTACCTCTCCAGACTTTGGTCCCATTATCTCCAGCGCTTCCAGCTGGTCTCTCAGATCTCGGATCTGTAAGCCTTGACTAGCACTGGAGGATGACCCGGCTTCACTCAGAATGTGTAGCGAAGTGGTTTTGAAGAGCGTCCAAACGTGGTTGAAGATTGAAGGGTGGAGTCGGATCCAAACCGTTCTACCATTTTTCGCGTGAGTTGTAGGCTGCCAAAAGACTTCTCCAGGCCCGATCAGCCCTTGAGGGAAAGCGTCATATTGGTAGAACGAGATGCTGGCTACCCTAGCCCCACTTTCGAACATATCACCCGCAAACTTTCCGTCCGTCACACCACCAAGCAGTCGTATGATATCCTCTCTCCACCCTTCCAGTTCAATAACCCCATAGTAGCTCACATCCCAAGCGACCGCTTTCCGCCTCCCTGCTCTATATGCCGGCCTGAAACTCTTCAGTGTCGGGCTCATAGGAAGTCTCCATCCCCAGTGGTTGACCATGTGGTGGCGCTTGGCGTGCCATATATGGGTAGGGAGCCAGCGCTTGGAGCGTTGACGTATACGGAAGAGGGCGGTGCGGGATAGGTGCGAGCGAAGGTTGCCTTTGGCGCGAAGTTTGGCAATCTTGCGATGCTTTTTGGCGATGTTGTCGGCAGCGTCAATCTACTATTGTCAGTGGAGTATATGGTTGCTAGCAGAAGACATACTTCGGCAGCTGCTCGGCTACGGAGGCGTTTTGGCACTCGGCGAGGGTTATGACTAGCAGCTCGACGACGAAGATGTCTAGGGAGCGACTGGAATGCTCGAGTGTTTCCTTGCGTCCTACAGACATTCAGATAGAGTCGTGGGAATACTATGAATGGTTCACATACGCTGCGCTCTTGATAGCAGTTTGGAAGGCATGTATTTCCATGGCTCTCGTCTAATTCAGCTCTAGTCAGCAAAGATACCTGATTGATATGTGTCAAGCTGACCTGCGCGAATTTTTCAACTTGTATCAGGTTGGGAAGTCTTTTTACTTCTATAGTGATTGTCAGCGATATAACTTTGATGATTCAACTGACTCACCATCGACTAAACCCATGACATCTCCCAAGACTTGCCTCTCCTTGCCCTTCCCGGCCGCACTAGCTCTCTCATTCTTCTTCAGCAGATCCACTGTTTTATTGACCACTTTCTGTGGTCTCCCATAAGGCTTCTGGGATGCAGCCTTGCTCGCTGGCTTGGACATGCTTTTGGGGGTTGTCTGCACAAGATGTCTGCACAAGACTTTCTGAAATTACTTTGTTGGGCTTGTTTTGGTATTAGAGGTCCGAAATCAGTTACGTAACAGTCCATATGTGCGATCTCGTCTTCATTTTCGCTCGACTACTTGGTCTGCCACTCTTTTCTTGTCTCCCTGCCTGCCATCTCCATCCCGGCTTCAATGTCGTTCACTCGCTTCCCCCGCATTACCCTGTCGGCTCGACAGTTCTCCACCTCCATCTCCCGTCAACAGGGGTCTCAGAAATCTCCTATGGAGCTCTTACGCGGCCATCTCGACCAAAAAGTCGCCCAGTCTGGCACTGCTGGGCCGTCGAGTGCATCTTCAGTACTGGGAGAGGACAGAAAAGTGTTCAAGAAGAATGAGGTACGTGCGGCCTTGAATATAGTGAGCATTACTAATCTCAATTAGTTCCTTCGACCTCAAGCGTTTACCGCCGAATCTCTTTCTCCTGAACCCAGACCCCGCGCCCGCTCCCCCCTTCTCGGTCCCCCCAAAAAGATAGCTGCCAAGCTTGATCCCTTCCACATCACCAAGACCAACCCTCTGTCACACGATCTCAACCCCCACTACGCGTACGAGTTTGTCAATGCCATGGGCAAGATCAGGAGTCGGGCGGAAACAGGGTTGACTTGGAAGTCGCAGAGGAGAGTAGGAAAGCTTGTGAGGAGAGCGAGAGCGATGGGGCTTATTAGCAGATGGGTCAATCGGCCAGTGCCCGGAGGGATGGGGAGCGTCAACAGGCCGTACTAGGGTAGTGACATGAACATGTAGGCCTATCACATATTGCATACTTTATCAAAAGCAATATCCTATCTGTCTTCGCCAATGACTGTATATATGGCCTGCGGTCCCTTGTAATTATAGTCAATCTTGGAGATACTGTGCTTTCCTTGCGTTTCTGTGAAAGCGACCTGCAGAACGTCAGCTATGATTACGACCTGATCAAGACCAAGCTTACCCTCGCAACAAGCTGTCCACCCAAGAACGGCGCAAGGTCGGTCGTAGACTTTCGATAATTGGCAAAGTATTCGGGAATGCTCAAAAGACGCAACTTGGACGGTTGACAGTCGGATACGAGCTCCGCAGAGGACAAGAGGTAAGGCGAAAGGTAGGTGACAAGCGCAGGAGAGAAGGCTGGGGAGTGTCAGCTTTGCCAAAGTCAAATTCCACAACGTACATTGAATCTTGGCCGTCTCTCCGATCACAGCGACACCGTCCCAGATAGCAAGCTTTTCTCCCAAGCTCAAACTGGCGCTCTCGATCGCTCGCCCAACGGCCTCCCAGACGGTATCCCCACCAACAGTCTTGCCAGTCAATAACGGTTCGCAAAGACGATGCCGCACGGGACCCAATTGGATTTCCTTTTCGGGCAACGAGGGAATGGTCACCACAATTAAATCAACTTGCTCGGCTGCTCGAGCCGCAGCGTCGGCAGCAGCCCTGTTGGCGGCGGCGACTGCCTGGGCCTGTTGCTTCTTGCTCTTATGAGAGCTCACAGCAGGGGCGGCAGTGGCATCTCCAGCGAGCCTGTACATTGTCAGCAATGTCAGACGCAAGTTAGACTCACTTTTTAGCGACATCAAATGACTCGTCCTCTTCCTCTTGAACTCCTCTGATCGCCTCAGCAGCCCTGCTATCCAGCGCAGGCACCTCGATATCGGGGCCAGTACACTCTTTCCACACGAACTCAGCCACCTCTTTGACAAGCTTTCGTTTTTCTTCCCCCTGCAACGATTCCTTCCCTGCTGCCGCTTTGAGCTCCTTGTCCAGATCTTCATCCTCCATCAGCAATCCCTCGAAAAAGGCTTCACAGTCCAGTCGTCCCACATCCGCGGTCGTCGTGCATTCCCACCTGACGATAGAGTCCGTGACCAAGAACACTGACGACTCTGAAGGGCCGATGTAGATCACAATGCCAGTCGTAGCACCGAGAGCAAAGAGACCAGCCAGGGGCGCGGGGAGGATGGAAAACATTGGAGAGTTGATAGCCTCGAATGCGAATTGGGTGTAGGAGGCCTGAGTAGACAGTGGTAGAAGAGGAGGGGAGGCGGGAGGTATCAAAAGAAGGGGGATAGTGTTGCTTGGGATGTTTATACCAGCGAGAGCGTAAACATGTGAGCTGCTTGGAGTCAGTACAGCTCGGAGGGAAAACAAGACAACGCACATGACGAATTCTCGTCCTTCCCAGTCTTCCGCTCCCTCACTCGGCCTGAACGGCCATCTCCATTCCAGACTTCGTTCTCGTCCGTCCTCTTGCGCGTTAAGCAACTCTTCGCCGACCAGCCATCCGCTCTTCGACCCAGCTTCCTGGCCATCCGCCACTTGGATGTCACCGTTTGTGTCTCCAGCTTTGCTTGAGGATGCTGTTGGGACAGCGTAACAAGCACGGATTGTCTTTCCGGTGCGTCAGCTTTCGATTCATCAAGGCCGAGGGGCTTACAATGACCGGGGCTGGGAAGAGCTCGCCGATGGCAAAGGCTGCCCTAATAGTGTCAGTGTCGCAGTCTATGACGAGGGGTCTCATGTCCTTGAAGTTGAAGGTCATGATGGCTGAGGGTTATTGGTTTGCGATGAAAGAGATGATGGATGCAACGCGTGAACGGATTCGAGCTTCATGAGTTGGTTGTTTTTACGTAGGCGCGCTGGGGGCGGAGGGGGCCGCCACTATACTCCTCTCTTGCACAGTGCACTGCATGAACTGACCGATGGAGCACTCAAATCATCGTGCATACATACATCCTTACAGAGCACAAAGCTACTAGATAGAACAGCATCCTTCAAGGAAGCAAAATGACCAACGGCCGTAGAGGGGAACCAGATAAAGAGGGACAGTATATAGAAAGCGGAACAGGCATGAACATCGATGGTCGTGAGCTATTCGCTTGATCATCAGCGCCTTCGTCTTGCAATGATTCGGCTCACGTACCACTGATATGTACAGTGTGATAGGTATATAGCCACTCGATGTCAGGACAATCAAGGGACTGCCGAAGGCTCTGCTCGAGGACCCACTGTTGACCATCAGCTCCAATCCATACGGTGTCTGAATGCACTCACGTCGGGCGTCAAAGTAATGACCCGGCTTTCTCAGAGGCATCCCTCTTCGCAGTCTCTGAGAATTCGACATGTTGTGCTCTGTTCTATCCACCAGGGATGGCTTTTCGTCTGTTGGTGTGGGCGCGCCGGCTGCCTGGCAGATCATGAGGGCGAAGGCGAGAAGGATGAGAAGGAAGGGGAGTAGTCTGGCCATTGTAGGAGGGTCGAGAGGGTGGGAGATCAAGGTCGGTTGGAAGGGCGAAAAGCCTCGCTCAGCGAGGACGACTTTCGAAAAGAGTGCGTCCAGAAACAAAATAGAAGAGATGAGGCGGGACGTAAGATTTCTGGGTTCAGCAGGGGCAGTGGAGGTTGGGCGCTTTGTATGAGAGAAAGAGAATATCGAAAGAAAAACCAAAGAAAGAGACGATATGAAGAAGAAACGAATGCTGGCTGGCATCGAAATCGGCCATCGTAATATGTAGCTCGCCACCCACGACACCATTCTTGCCACGTTATTCGAGGCTCTACAGCTCCGATCGATCTTTTCCCAGTGTCCACCCCCTGCCCCTTCCCTGTGTCCGCGTCGGCCAGCTGCTCCAGGCCTCCAATCTTCGTCTGATATCTGATACATATATTGGCCGAAACTGAAATTCAAAGACCAGAGACAATAATAAGGTTACAAGCAGACGTTCTCTCGGAGCTGGGAGCTCAGCTGTGTCTCTGTGATACCTGTGGGCTGTGTCTCTGTTCGTTCTGCTCTGCAAATCTGGCAGCAAGTACTCCTACATGGCCTCGCCAGGGCCTTGAGGACTTGAGCTGAGGGTCCATAGTCTGCACGAGACAATGGAGCTGTGGGACTGGGAAGTCTGCTCGGACGATGGAGATTCCAGCAATGTGTTCATCATAAAACTGCCTCAAGCGGTGAGAAATCAGAGGTGGAAAGAACTGAAAACAAACAAAGTTCGACGTCGGTTGAACGTTGATTCGGTAATTGACCAGCCTTCCGTGCCTGGTGCCTGAGTCTCATGTTTTGGATTTCGACGCGCCGCCGCGCGCACCAACGAACTTGCATCGAAAAGACTGACATCAGAAAGAAGGGTTCCGATGCTATTGCCAGTCCAGTGATAGCATTAGCATACTTACAACATAATCATCCAGTCTATAGCGAAGGAATGGTATTGACAACGGCCGCTGTGCGGCCTGTTTCTTCACCACCCGTCCCCAGGCCCGCGCCTGGTCATCGCGCAACCTGTTCTGGTATTGCTGGGGAAGCAGTATCGTCGCGATGAGAAAAGGCGGCACTGGAATATCAGGAGGCCAATCTCTGCTCCGCTAAAGGACGTACTAAGGGATTAAACAACGAGGAGGAAGCATAACGCGGCCATCCAAGCAAAGCTATAGACCTTGCAAACGATGACTGTGGCATAGCTTACTCGATAACCTCCCCATATCTTTCTCACTACTATCACAAAATATTATACATATTGCCACAAAAGTGAGCTTGCTCTTCTGCTTGACACCCGGAACAAGCAAGGCCTGCTAGAAGTCACCACCATTTCCGCCTTCAGCTTCTTCAGCGGCACGCGTTGGGCGTGTTTCCACGAGCTTGACATCTGCATGTTTCCGCTGCTCCTCTCAAGGAGATATAACTCACTATCCAAATCATTTCTTTCATCTCATCTTCTCATCATCTCTCGAATCATGTCATCGCCATCCACACCCACAACCTCCAGGCTTGACCACGTCCTTCCCATCCAACCACCGACCACGGGTGTTTCGACTTCCGAGAACATGGCAGACCGTTATCTCGTCAAAATCAACCAAGAATGTCGCAGATTGGACATTCTAGCCCAGAAGACCTTTGATGTCTTCAACATGCTCTGCAAGGGCACGTTCGATGCGGAGAAATACTGGGAGGATCGCGAGTTGGAAAAGATGAAGTATCTTGAGAAGGCACTGGGCGGGTACAATGTTGCATCAACGGTGAGCCATGAGAGACATTGCAGTAGGTTCTTCAGTCGCGTTACGAGACCTGAGATTGATGACGGCATAGCTCTTGAATCGCCCACATCCAGCCACTCGGAGGATGAGGCTTGCCATGGCGGGAAAACGCCTCTCTTCTAAGCAGTGTCGTCTTTGTGAGGAGCGGTCCAAAGAGGAGATTTCAGCCGATAGTTAAAGATGCATCCAGATCATACGATAAAAAAGGCGAGAGAAAGCAGTGCATAACAAAGTTTTTGCTTGACTAATTTGAGCTTCGACTTTTGCTGCAGACTGACTACACATCCCATGGTGATCTGCCGAAAGCATCTTGTACACACCCCGTTCACATCTCCGCCGCATGCGCTTCAACGCCTCCCTTCGCCCATCAGAAACTCATTGACTCTCTTCAACGCCGCCCTTGCTGGATTTCCATCCGGCCAGAGTGAGACCATCGAGTGAAGCCTGTCTGCAATAGTACCCTTTGTGATCGACGTTTGCTCTGGCAAGTCGGCAATAGAAGGCAGAGCACAGAGAAGCACAAGGGCGAGGGGTATAATGGCTTTGCGTGATTCTATCGGGGATGGAATGCGGGCAGCAGAGAAGGGGTTGACTGGAGCGTCCGACGAGCATTGTTTGACGGCTGCGTCTAGATCCGAAGGTGTTGCTGACCCAATTACGATACCGCGTTTGCCCTCCAGTTCCTTGGCAAATGCCACTAGCTCTGATAGAGCTGTGGAGTACGCCTTGCCATCTGCTTTGGCTGAAGGTACGGCCAGAACGTAGCGTTCCCCGTCTTGGAGAGTGGTGAGGTGTTTGATGTTCTTGGGACACTTGTCGAGCTCGATTATAGCAACATATGAGATATGGGAGCGTTTCCAGGTTGAAGAGGATGAAGGGGAAGATGGGGATCCGACGTCGAGTGCTAATCGCGAGTGAGAGGCTGGTACGCCTACGAATTCCGCCGAGGAGGATAAAGACATATCGTCCAATCGAGTAGAGAGGGTAGATTCGCTGTTGCTAGAGCCGACAATCTTGTCAACCAGAGCGGGTAGGTCGTCTCTCTCTGCCGAGAGTAGTTCACCCCGGTGCGCGTGAAAGACAGCCGGTTTCAGGCCCTACAGACATCGTTAGCGGCATACACGCAGCTCATCAGCAGGAATAACTCACCCGGGCCCAAAGCTCATCATCATCCCCGCCTCCGGGTACATACTCGAATCCCACTTTCCGCAGTCCGACGCTCGTCACAGAGGGAATCTTGTCGCCCCCTTCGTTAACCCACCTCGAGGCGGAGAGACACATGATGGGGGTAAAGTCGACAGAGTCGGCGATGAAAGGCGGGGAAGACGTAGAAGGGTGGAGGAAGAATGGCCGAAGGGGTTTGTTGAGCTTGGGAAGGGGCAATGTCGAGCGCTGATCGATGGATCAGTGTTATCGCACAGAACGTCGAAAGCCTTTTACGCACCTCCAAGGACTCTGCCCACCCTTGAAGTCTCGCCTCTATCTGCGAACGCTCTGTAGCGGGTACTATCTGAGGCGGCATATATACCTGGGTGTCCCACTCCTCTCCTCGCTTCTCCCGCAGTGATATGGCCAGATTGATTACAGCGCACCTGATGGTCATGAGCAACAGCCGGCATGGAAATCAACAACTTGCCATATCGGTACTGTTTTGGACAAACCGTCTGGCATTCTCTTCCCCTTCCTCGTGGAATCGACCAATATCAACCTGCAAATGGTCAATTTTGAAGCCTGAGCTTTTCTGACTACACTCACCCTCCTCGCTCTGCCGCATAGCTGGCAAACGACAAATTAGATCTTCTCAAGTTGAAGTCCCAGTGCTAGCAAAGTTTCAGTCTACATATCTCGGAACGCGTATTCTACTCACAGACATGTGTCCATCTGTGGACTTGAAGTATGCGTAGACTTTTGAGCTTGTCTATGGTCCCAATAATCAGATCATTGACCTTTCTCTGACAAGCACTATGGGCTTACAGCGGGATCACAGTACCATGTACCGCATCTCTGATTTGCTGCATATAAGTCAGCTTTGGAAGTACTGTATACCTTGAAATTATCTACTCACGGACTACCTCAAAACGACCACCGTACCAGTTGTTGGCAACACTCTTGACGAAAGCGTCATCTGCGGCGATGGAATGAAGACGATTGAAGAGATCATGCTGCGCCGCGTATTTCTTCACCGCGCGCAAGTCTGACATTACGAGCGGCCAATTGTGATCTAGAGAGGTGAGTTTAGAAGAGAGCAAAAGAAAGGCAAAGATACTCGGCAGCTGGCGACAAAAAGTGGAGGCAAAGTGATCAAAACACAAAAAGCAAAAAGATGATCCCGGGCGGGATCGAACCGCCGACCTCCTGTGAAGAGCAAGATAAACTTGTTAGACAGGTATGGTGACCAACTCCATCACGTGACCATATTGATGAAGGAGTAGCACATAGGTTGACTGAGTCTACTACGTTTACCACAATTATAAAGGGAGTGCGGTGGCGAGGTAAACTTGCTGCATGCTGCCACCACAACTTGCAAACAACTTGTATTGACGTAATATACCATTTTCCTATGTATTTAGGTCGCTTCCAATAATGAACCGTCGTTTCCCATCAACCGTCGCTTCCAAGCTTCTCGTGGATTGTTGCTGTGTCTAATCGACTCGACATATATCAGATTGAAGCTGATTGCCCGCATACGACAACGTTATATTTTAGAGATGCATTTTATCTCTTCCGACTCTACTTTCTCGGCATCATCGAGACAAAGCGAACAGGGATGGATCCAACCAGCAATCCTGCGGAGCACGCCGAAAGAGAAGTCCGTAATACCCTCCCGGCAGTGGACACCAGTCGTGAAGCATGGTTATACGTCTGTGCTGGCTTCTTGATGGTAATACTGTTTTGGGGACCGATGTCTACTTCTGCGGTAAACTTGAAAGGGTATGCTTCTATGCCCGTACGTCCGAGCTTCGGGGAGGGTTAAGTGAATGGTGGGCTAATGACTTCCGCTGATGATAGCTGTTTGCGGACGTGTCTGAAACACAAATTTCTCTCGTCGGAACCCTATCGCTACTGTTCGGCTGTAAGCTCCATCTGCCTCTTCATATTTTTCAGGAGTAACAATCTAACACATCGGCTCATTAGGCACTCTTTCTCTTCCTTTACTTTATTCTTCCCTTGAGCGATGAAACCCTGTCTTTGGCTCGGTGTTGGCATGTATGTGGTATCACTGATGATTGCGAGCTTTGCGAAAAATATGCCGTTGTTGGTCTTATTCCAAGGCGTGGGTCCCGGTAAGCCAGTCAATCTCCCTCAACATGACTTCTCGGAGGACCAACGCTAACATGACTGCAGGTATCGCTGCAGCTGTGACGGCTTCTCCTGTCATCCGATGGCTTCCCGAGTACGTCAATATTTCAGTGTCAATTCCGGTTCTGTATCGACTGACATCAAGTTGAAGGTGGTTTGACAAACGGAAGGGAACTGCTGGGGGAATCATGTTCCGCGGCGGAGGCGTTGGTGGCATGGTAAGCACTCAACAAGTCACGTCAAAGCGGCCAGCGTATACTGAAAGCGGTCTTCTTTTATAGTACATGCCCTTCCTGTTTGAATACCTGATTGCCAGGCTTGGATATCAATGGTCCCTCCGTATCACTGCCATCTTTACAGCTGTCATTGCCGTTCGTCCTCTTCTCCTTTAGTGGACTCTACCAACCAAGACTGACGTCGACACAGAGCATTGCAGTATATTTTGAGAACCCGCGTATTCCTATATCCACTCGCGCACATATCAATTGTATGCCCATGCCTCCCTTCCTGTCCACTTTGGCGATGGAGTTTCATGGGGACCTTCGTCTGTACCGTATTGTTCTTGCGAAGCATAACGCACAGAGTACTGACCCAATACAGCAACGTTGTCTTGTTTCTACCCCGCTTTTCTGATACGCCCAATGGCGCGCAAGGTGCAGGGCTGCTGGCGGCCTTCAACGTCAGCTGTATTGGCTCCGAAGTCATCTGGGGACTTCTTACTGATGCACGTACTCCCCGTTCTCGCCAATGACTCACCATAGCGTATGAAACCTCCGTTCGCCATGGCCATCTGCTCTTCTCTCGGCGTCCTTCTTGTGTTCACCCTCTGGGGTTTTGGCGGTAATCAAGGTCTTCCTGTTCTGATGCCATTCGCTATTTGCTTCGGTCTCCCCGCTTCCGGGTTCTGTTCGATGTGGTTCCAAAATGCAGGGGACATTGCTGGGCCCGATAAAGAGCAGCAGAGTTTGCTGTCTGCCGGTACGTTACGTTCTTTGACCCGATGTTTAGACTTGAGAGGAAGTGAGAATTGATTGACCACCAAGGTTGGAGTATTGCAAGAGGCTTGGGGGCAGTCGCCGGACCCACCATCGGCTCTGCACTGTATCGCACACCTTCTGTACCGGGTTCAAACCGCTGGGGCTCTGCTGGCTCCCCCGGACTCGTTGGGCTTGTAGCAGCGAGTCTGGCTGGTAGCGCGTTGGTGGTATTGGTATTCAGATATGCCGGAAATTCTGTGAAGTCTTTGAGACAGTACAATAATTCAGAGATGGGACAGCGACGACCCACGAGTGAGTTTGGAGTCGAGCTCAACGAGAGAAGGTAGACTTTGAAAACGTCGTTTGTTTCCTTGCATGAGGATTGCACTTTTTTCAGTACGCATATGTATCTCAAATACGATGGTGTTGCTCTTGCTGGCTGTATTCGGTAGCCAATCAAGCCAAGGGTCCCACCATTGTCTTTTGCATCAAAGCAATTCGTGCCAAACTTCCGTCGAATAGCCGGCCTGAGCGCGTTTAGGCTAATTCCCCGTGGAGGTTGTCCGGCCAGCTCGGAATTTCCATAACGCAACCGAATAACGAGAGCCCACATGACCGGCAGCAGCATGGCAGCTCGCAGAATAAGAAGAATCCATCTTCTCATCTTCAGTAGTCACACCAGCAGGCTATCGAGATAAGTCATGGACCCGCTCCAGACTTCCGCCGAAAATCCTGAAAGAGAAGTCCGCGCCCTCCCGGCCGTAGACACAAGTCGAGAGGCATGGCTCTATGTCTTTGCCGGCTTCTCCATGGAAATGCTGTTCTGGGGTCCGATGTACTCTACTGCAGTGTACTTGAAAGAGTATGCTGCTATGCCTGTATGTCGGAGCTTGATGTGGATGTAGACGGTGCGCTAATTTGGTCTTGTTGGTAGCTGTTCAAAGATGTATCGGAGACTGAGATCTCTCTTGTTGGAACGCTCGGACTCCTCTTTGGCTGTCAGTCTCCTTTTTCTCTTGCAGCCAGGATAACGACCTAAACAAAATACAGACATCCTTTCCCTTCCCCTGCTCTACTTTTACAACGCCTATCCACGAGCGATGAAGCCTTCTCTGTGGTTCGGGGTGGCCTTGTATGTAGTCTCTATGCTCATTGCGAGCTTTGTCAAGAGCATGCCGCTGTTGATCTTGTTCCAAGGTGTAGGACCTGGTGAGTCACAGCAGCGTTTTGAGGTGCATATACTGAGAGAAGGTTGCAGGTATAGCGGCGGCTTTGACAGCTTCACCGATCATCCGATGGATCCCCGAGTACGTTCATACATCGCGAGAGTCATTGGTGATCAGTACTGACATCATCCTTCAGATGGTTTGATAAGCGGAAAGGTACAGCTGGAGGAATCATTTTTGCCGGAGGAGGTGTCGGAGGTGTTGTAAGTCTATCCTCACCATGTCGATCTACGCAAATCTGTACTGACTACTCATAGTACATGCCATTCCTGTTCGAATTTCTCATCGGTAAACTTGGCTACCAATGGTCGCTCCGTATCACCGCCATATCCACTGCGACCATTGCTGTACGTCCCTTCATCTCGATACTGTTCTATGAAGCCAGCACTGACGAAATGACAGAGCGTTGCAGTATTCTTCGCCAACCCGCGTATCCCCATCTCCTCCCGTGCCCGTATCAACCGTATGCCCATGCCTCCCTTCTTCACCACCTACCTTCGGTGGGGTTTCTTGTGCACCTTCCTGTGCACCATGTTTCAGTCTTTTGGGTACTAGTGAGTCTACCCCCTCGATGAATAGTCGACAGAGGAGCTGACCGTGGTGCAGCAATGTCAACTTGTTCTTGCCTCGCTTCTCCGACACGCTCAAGGGCGCAGAAGGTGCTGGGCTTCTGGCGGCATTCAACGTCAGCTGTATCGGCTCGCAGATCATCTGGGGCCTTCTCACCGACGTACGTCCTTCTCCCCTCTCCATATCCCATCCCCATCCCTTCTGACACTACATCGCAGCGTATGAAACCAGCAGCGGCCATGGCGATCTCTTCTTCCCTCGGCGCCCTCTTCGTCCTCACCCTCTGGGGCTTTGGCGGTAACCAAGGCCTTCCCGTGCTTGCCCCCTTTGCCATCCTCTTCGGTCTCGCGGCGGGTGGATTCTGTTCCATGTGGTTCCAGAACGCAGGCGACATTGCCGGGCCCGACAAAGAGCAGCAAAGTCTGCTTTCAGCTGGTAAGTGCTTTCTCGTTATGCGGTGGGATATGTAAGCTGAAAAGAGGTCAAGGTTGGAGTATCGCAAGGGGCGTGGGAGCAGTCATCGGCCCCACCATCGGCTCTGCTCTCTATCGCACCCCTTCTGTACCAGGCTCGAACCGCTGGGGATCTGCTGGTTCCCCCGGACTTGTCGGGCTTGTAGCAGCGAGTCTGGCTGGCAGCGCGTTGGTGGTGTTGGTATTCCGATACGCCGAGAGTGCTGTCAAGGCACTGAGAAAGTACAGGAATGGAGAGATGGAACGGCGGCGGGTCGGTGACTTTGGTGTGGAACTTGTCGAACGGTCGACTTGATCACTTATCCACTGGCGTGGTCTCTGTTGTTTGGTATCTTGATACACATATGCATCCGCAGTCATCTCTTTCCAGTGGTCTTCTCACATTTTTGCTTCTTTTTACAACTTGGTCCCAATCAAGCTTTACCGAGGACTTCCTTGACGCCCTTGATGACTTTCTCAAGGTCACCCCTCTCCCTGTCGACGGCGGTGATGCCCATGTGGCCGATACGGAAGTATTCCGAAGCGATGGCCTTGTGGATACCACCAGCCACAACGATATCCTTCCTACACCATCCATCAGTCACCAATCATCAAATCAAAAGACAGGAACCTACTCGGCAAGCTTGGGAAGCACATCCGGCGCCGTAACACCCTTAGGGAACCTCACAGCCGTCATACCATTAGCCGCGATATCCCTGCTCTTCGGTACAAAGTCCAGCCCGAGCTCCGCCAAGCTGTCTTTGACGTAGGCGCTAGCCTTCTTGTGTGCGGCAAAGCGGTCCGCGATGGGGGAGGAAAGGATGGCTTTGAGGGAGGTGTTGAGGGCGTAGATAAGCTGAACGGGGGCTAGTTTGTGTCAGTCATGTAGCTGAACTGGGGAGAGGGGTGAGGCTTACGGGTAGCAAAGTAGGAAGGCTTGCCGGCTTCGTAGTTTTGCATGACGGGGGTCCATCGCTTCCACGAGATGTAGTATGCGCCGATAGGAGTCTTTCTGCTCTCCACAGTCTTCTCAAGCATCAGTCACTTACTCTAGCGACTTGAACTACACTCACCTGGATAGCCCTCTTACTAGCAAGCACCACACTCAAACCAGGGGGCACCCCCAAACCCTTCTGAGTCGCACTGAGCACGACATCCACTCCCCACTCGTCAAATTTGATCTCCTCCGAAGCCACCGAGCACACCGCGTCGAGGGCGATAAGTGTGTCGGGAGAGTGCTTCTTGACGAGGGAGGCGATGTGGCCGGCGGGGGAGAGGACGCCGGTGGAAGTGTCGACGTGGGTGATGGTGAGGAGCTTGGGCTTGGAGGCGAGGGCGGAGATGATGGCGTCGTCGGTGGGGATGCTACCGACTTCGGCCTTGACCTGGGTCACCTTGGCGCCGTATGCTTCAAGACTGTACCCGGTCAGCGCAGCCTTCAGCTCTGGCGGACGACTTACCAGTCCGCGAAACCGTCACTAAAGTACCCAGTGTTGAGCACTACCGCCTCCTCGCCCTGCTCGATGAGGTTGGCGGCAGTGGCGTCCCATCCGAGGGTGCCGCTTCCCGCGATGAGGAACGGCTGGGACCCGCTCTCCTTCTTGGACAAAAGGACGTCACGAAGGAGGGAGAGGGATTCGCCAAAGACGGGGATGAAGGCGGGGGAGGTGTGGGCTGTGCCGGGGGTGGCGTTGGCGAGGAGGACGGGGTCTGAGAACTCGATGGGGCCGGGGATGACGAGGAGCTTGTGGGCTGCCTGGGTGAACGACATGGTGTTTGGGAGAGATGTCCTTGTGGCTGGGATATATATTTGGGCGACTTTTTTTTCCAAGCCCGTCGTGGTTCGGAGATAAACTGATTTGCCGAGGCGAGGCCAAATCCCTTGCAAAGGCGTGTAGCTGATGCTGCATTATTATTATGGACAATTATGGACTGGTACAAATCTAGATACAGGTCATGCCTCTCAAGCACGCAGATTAGGTGTAAATGTTGGAAATGGCCCCCCTCCACGGCGCCCCGACGCTCCCTCCGTGCCGGCCGTCAACAGTGATCAGATGATCAGATGGTCTTTGCAAACGCAATGAACCCAGACAGTCCTCGGAACTGGCCCTTCGCGGTCGCACCATAGTGCTCCAACGTATGCCCTTCTTCATCCCGCCACACACCGTCAGACTCGACGGCGCCATACTTCATGGTGTTTTGGTTGGAGACCAAAGTGTCCATCATCTCGGCGACGATTTGTCGAGAGTCGAGCATGACATTGACTTCTTGAGAATGGAACCATGATTGTGAATCTATTGCTTTGTTAGTAGCGGTCCACAGCGAACATGAAGCACTCACCCTGGTTTCCATTGCCGATAATCAACACCTCATCGTCAAACGCCGCAAACTTGATATGACAATTTCGCTGCTTCACCACCGCATTCAGCGGTCTCACCTGGTCCTTGCCCGTATACCAATACACCTTCAAATACTGCTCCTTCTTCTCCGCCTTTAGCTTCTTGAACAACCTGTCCACCACCTCTTCATTGGTGCCTCCCTGGAACGGGATCGATTCTCCTTTATCGTTGAACCCGAGGTCGACGAGGAGATAGACGTCGACGCCCCGGCGACAGGCTTGCTTGACGGCACGCACGATGGGGCGGGCGTTGAGGGTGGGGGTCTGAATAAAGACCTTCTTTTTCGCGTACCGGAAGCCGGCGAGCCAGGCGGCGTTCTGGGGATTGCGAATGTCGTGGTGACCGGGGACTGTTCGCTGTCAGCTGGCAACTAGAGAAACAAGGAAATGCTCACATCCGTGGGGCTTTCGACAGCACATGGCGATAGGGAAAGGCTCATGCGGGGCATGTACGACATGAGGCCTATAATTATCAAGGTCGTCTGAATCTTCCACCGTCGCCCAAGCTTCCGACAATGCTCCAGCATCTATCTCGAGTCAGCGCCTACCCACTCTCATAATTGGAAGCACTCACTAAACCTTTGCGACAATTGAAACATTCTCTTACTCCCCGTCCCCTCTGGCTGCGTCTCGTCCGTCGACGACTTTTTCCCCTCGGGGATATCCAGCGCCACACTCTTCTTGGCCGTCTCGTACCCCGCAGCCATCTCATCTGGCATCTGCGCCGAGAGCGGTAGAGTCTCTTCCCTGCTATTGGTAGGCGCCGGCTTGAGGCCATGACCAGCCGATACCGCAGCGAGTATCTCGGCATCCGTCGGCTGGTCGGCCGTACGTTCCAGCGTCCTCCCTCTGCCCCTACCTTGCAGCGTCACATCCTCCCCCGGGATCGTCCCGCTCTCATTCGCCACAGCCTTTCCCGGCGCATTCTCCTCTGTGATATTCAGAGTCGACGCGTTCGGCGATTCCGTCAAGCCCCTCACACCATACATCGGCCCATCCTCATGCGCAAACGCCACATGGTGCTTTGCCCTGCCCTCGCCGTGCTCATGTTCGAGACTATGGCGCGAGATACCTTCCGAGTCGAACGTGTCTCGCCGCTGGGGCCCGTCCGCGATCATGCGGGAAGCCCAGGCGTCGTCGGCGAGGGTATCGCCAGGCTGGGGGTAGGTTTTGGATTTGGGTGGGAGCTCGACGGTGATGGTCGGAGAAGAGGTTCCCTCGGAAGGCGCTAGAAGCGTCCTGTGCTTTTCTTCATCCCGGTCTGCTGGACATTAGTTTTGCTCGAACGGAAAAAGTAGTGGACTTACGCCTCTCCCGGCTCGGCCTTCGACTAGGACCCCTAGACCCTACCCGACTACTGGACCCCATCCTGCCCTGCATTCCCAGTCCCCACCTATCCTTAAACTCTCTCAACTCCTTCATAGCCGTCTGCGCCCTCGCCTCCAGCTCTTCCGCCGGTTTCCATTCCGCCGCTCGCTGTCTCTGCTGATCCACAACTTTCTGCACCGCCGCAAACAGACGTTCACCAGCAGTATCGTGGTGCGCGAACCGCGAGTCTTCATTATCTTTTGTCTGACGGCGGAGGAGCAAGCGCGCGGCTCGAGCTGCTTTGAGGATTTCGATATCGTCGAAATACGGGTTATGGTCCTGGAACAAGTACTGGATATTCCCCTCCGCATCCCTTGGGGGCGCATACGGCGTTCCCATACAAGGCAACGGCGGAGTCAACTTGTTGTACCAAGAATGCAGGGCAATCTCGTAGAACGCATCGACGATGGGCCCTTCGAAATGCGACATGAGCTCGAGGTTGGGCCGGTCTTGGATGTTGTTCGAGTTGATGAGGGCGACTTTGCGGTCAACGATGAGGAATTTGGCGTGGAATGTGCCCAGGAGGACTTTGTGAAAGTTCTACCCAAAACAATCAGCATGGTTGGAGGAGGGAGAGGAGGGACGTACGATGACTTCCATGTTGAGGCCTGGGATAGCATCCTTGGCCGGCAAGTCGAGTGGTGTCCACCCGCTCGGAGGTACGAATGCATGGGCATTCCACAGCTGCTCCCACGATCCTCTGTCATACATCACCTTGACGGTAATGATGGGCTTTTTCTCCTTGATGATTGTCGCCGACAAGTCAAGCAGCGCTTGGGTGATGGTGTTGACAGAATTGGACGGTTGCCAGTAGTTTGTAGCCAAAAACACCTCCTTCTCAGCACGAACGATGACGTCTCGGTAGTGTTGCATGATGTCGGGGATGAGGGAGATGATGGAGAGGGGCATGGTGGTGGTGGAGCCCAAGAGGTCGGGAGGGACGAGGCCGGAGAGGGGATCGCGCTCGAGCGTTGGTAATAGTGATAGATACATCTGCCCCTATCAGCTCGATGCCATTTGAATCAGAGCTACTCACCTTCCAGAACAATTCAGAGACGACAGCCCCATCTCCCTCCTCCCCTTCCAGCTTCCACCCCGCCCGCTGCCTCAGCTCATGTCCTTGAGCTTCCCACCTAGATTCCTCCTTTTCCGTCAACCCATCAATCACGCTATGCTTGACCTTGAACCGTCTCAGCAGCCTCATCAGCGGATTAGGCTGGGGAAAGACTTTGCGGATGGCTTTGGAGGCAGAGTGGTCGGGATGGGCGAGGAGGTGGGTGGAAATGAGTTTGGGTGGGTGGAGGTTGTGTTTCGGGGGCTGCCCTGGGCTGGGTTCGTGGAGGAGAGGGTGGGCGGTCGGTGCTGAGCTTGGCTGGGAGTCGGACTGAAAGTTGGGCTGGGGGTAGGCAGAAGGGGCTTGAGGGGAGATGGGGACGGCCTCTGTAGCCGACGCGGGAGGGACGGTGACTGGGGGTGTAGCGGTAGACACCTCCCTCATGGGAATGTTGCTTTCGCTGGCAGACATGGCGGTGTATGGGTTCCAGCTTGGGGTATTTGCTGTAGGAGGAAAACGATTTCACACGGGACGGTGCTTTGACGTCGTAGGTCGTATAGCTCGCGAGATCTGAGGAGGCTGTGCAGTCGGTGGCTTTTGGTGGCTGCCTTCCCGCTGCCTTCCTTTGAGAGGTGGGTGAATTGATTTATAGTCGTCTGTCAGGAAGCGGCGGGGAGAGAGTCTTGGGCTGGCAGATGGACGGGGCACTGTAGAGTACTGCTTCGTTCGGGCTGCCGGGGGTGCAGTACTCGAGTACGCTGTGGAGTGCGGGGATCGCCGAGCTGTGGCTCAGAACCGTCAGAAGGCGCAGTGCAGGATGTCAGCTTCCCTTTGAATGCCTTCATCCACTCTGTCAGCTTGGCATAGGCAGGCTGGGGATGGCCGCGGCTTTTCCAGCCTATGGAGAGGCCTTCTATATATGGGTAAGCCGAGTCATACCCTCAGATGATAGAGGCCAGAGTCCCATTGCCGGTGACGCGATATGCCTATTTGGCTCCTCCATCCCGATATCATCATTTGCGACTGAGATTCTGCAAACGTCGCCGTCCTTCACAAAGCACACACTGACATTACACACAATTCTATGAATCACCCATACCAACCCAAGAATCCCAAGCACCTAATATAAGAACCAAAAAGACCCTCCCTCAACCCAATCCAACCCTAAAACCTCGGCGCATTCATGATAATCCCACACAAACACCCTGCCGCCGTACCAGCAATAGGTACAGTCAGCACCCACCCCAAAAATATCCACCCGAAAGCACGCCAGTTGAGCGACTTGACGCCGCCCGAGACGATACCGACGCCCGCGGTGGCGCCTGTGATGCACATGGTGGATGATACCGGGATACCGTCTGTTCCTTTTGTTAGCTTGGGAGGGGAGAGGAAAGCAGGGAGAAGGACGTACATTGGGAAGCGAGGAGGACGGTGATGGAAGAGCCTAGTTCCATGGAAAAGCCTCGCGAAGGCGAGTGCATGGTGAGACGGTTACCGAGCACAGCCATGATATTCTATCCTCCTATCAGCTCCATCCACTTCCACCAAAGCAAAGCCACTTACATAACCATAAGTCGCCAACCCCAACACCAACATCAACCCCCCCCCCACAAAGATCCAAATCGGTGTCTCTGTGTCTGTCGGCGTCACCACTCCCTCCGACCAAACATAGTAGATAGCCGCGAACGGCCCGACAGCGTTGGCGAGGTCGTTCGAGCCGTGCGCAAACGAGTTGGTGCAGGCGGTCATGACTTGCATAAAGGAGAAGAGGTGTTCGGTTTCGTTGTCGTATTGCGCGGCTTGGGCGTACATGGCCATCATGCGGTCGGACTGTTTGCCTTGGCCTTTGTGGGATTGCATCGCGTGAATGTCGACTATGCTTTTATGAGCTCGATCACTGTAAAGGAGACAAAGGGATTACCTGAAGTGCCGTGCAAAAGAGCTCGAGGCAACCTGTACCTAAACAAGATCCAAAGGTTCTTGGGCGACAACAAGTTGCCCTCCAACTTGTGCTCATCCGCCTCCAACTCCTCAAGCTTACTCCCATATACCTTCTTCTCGCTGGCAAGCGGCGCTACATTCGCTTCAAGATCGCGCTCCTTATCTTGAGAGATGGACTTTTCGCCATCAGGCGAAGAAGTGTGGTCATTGTCGGAAAGGGTAACGGAAGTGGGGCGAACAGCCTCAGGAGAGGTGGTAGGTTTGGCGCTCTCGGCGGGGTGTTGGTCGTCTCGGTCGTACACTCGATAGTCGGGCACATGTGCCATCTCTTGTCCCGAAGGAGGAGCAGGCGGCGCAGCTCGCCACCAAAGCGCCGGGCCGTAGAAAAAGTGGTACCACCTCAAAGCTAATAGCTTCATTCAGCTTTTTCCCTCAATGTTGACAAGCTGATAAGAGAGAGGGGAACTGACTGTAGTCTTTCTTGATGACCTTGGCGTGGACGAATGGCATCCAGAAGAGGATGGCGAGTGCGGCGATGACGAGACCGGTGAGCACGATGGCGAGGGCGATGGTCGTCTGAGGCAACTGGTTGAGTTTGAGCTGGGGAGCGCCCTTGTACACTATTCCCTCGTATCAGTTGCTGCCCCTCCACACGTAACAAAGACGTACCAATGGACATGGTCAAAATAGCAGCCACCCCGAAAAAGTAGACCGGCGCCGCCCTCAACCCCGCCCGCACAGGATCTTTCCGCTTCAAAACCGCATACTTTGTCAACAAATACACCGTCGCACCGAACGCGGCAGAGATACCGGGGCCGATGATGAATCCCGCAAAGATGGTGGCGAGACCGTTACCGCCGTTCCAGCCCCACTGGACGGCACCGGGTCCGTCGAGGGCGACTCCGATACCGGCGAGGGCGGAGACGATCGAGTAGGTTGTGGAGACTGGCCATGATTTGCTGTTCTACTGTCAGCACTTGCTTTCTAGAAGGGTTGAGAGGGGACGTACCGGGTAGCGATCATGAGCCAGGTAGCACTCGCCACGAGCGCACAGACGAATCCCAAAAGCTCCATCCCGGCATTATTCTTGAAAGCAGACATGGAGATGATACCATTTTTGATCGTACCCGCCACTTGGGCGCCTGCGAGCACACCGCCGAGGAACTCGCAGATGGCGGCGAGGCATGTGGCTTGGCGGAGGGTCAGGGAGCGGGAGGAGATGGAGGTGGCGAACGAGTTGGCAACGCTGTGGCGGATTAGCAGGAGATCACGAGGTGAAGGAAGGCGACGTACTCGTTCGCGCCAATGTTGTAAGCATCCAGAGCGGCAAAGATACAACCAAAGGCGAAGAGGTAGTCCCATTGGTGGAGAGCTGGCATCTTGAAGGTGCTTCTTGCTTGACTAGCTGCAGAGGCTTTTGAGAAGGGTTGGGTGATACAGAGCTCAGTGAGTGGAGCTCTTTATACTCTTCTGCGATTTCGGGACCTGAAATGAGAGCCAGAAACGTTTCATACGAGCTGTACAAAATGCTATGAAGCAGCATGGAAGGATGACCCCATTCACAGCAAGTGAAGGCGAATAGGTATGGAAGTTGAATGAACGTGTGTGATGATTCTGATTCGCCAAGAGAACTGACATAAAAGCCAAGGAAGGTCGCTCGAGGTCGAGGCTCGTCCGGTGGAATGCAGGATGATAGTGATGGACTTGAGCAGCCTCAGTACGATAGGGGTAACAGAGTGAGCGTATGCAAGGGACGTACAGTGGTCTGCGACGACGGAGACAGAGAGACGAGCCAGCGAGAAATTCAGCACACGACGAGCGAGAGCCAGATTCTTGGCAGGGCAGACGCGCCCTGATACCGGGACACCGAACATTATTCCTCATGTCTCTCGTGTGGGTTCCATTCAATTCACAAACGTGGAGAGTCTCATGTACATGTTTTGTAGCATGGCGCTGATAAACTCTCAGAAATCTCGTTCGCCTCTTGTCTCTGCCTCTTCTTTCCAGGCAAGTGAGACACGAAGCAAAAACCAAAAAAATATTTGGTTCCGAAGAACCTCCTCTCTGCTCGAGTTTGTCATCCTTATGCAGGGGCAATGCTAATCTTCTCTGTATTGTTCCAATTTTTCTTATGCCACCCCGAAGGGGGCGAGGTATGACGCTTCAGCGGGGAGGGGTTACTTCCATTTTGGCGGATCGTCGGGCAACAACTATGGGGTCTGTAGAATCGATTGGGATGTGATTCGCCTGAAGATGAGCACGGAAGCATGGCGGCATGGTCATCACGGGCATGAGATAGAAACAAGTACAACTTTGTATCAAGCACGAGTACAGCTTTCGAAGGTTTGCCGGATCCCGGCTGCTCTTGCTCTACGCGCGTTGCAGCTCCTCTCGCGAGTGTTGGATCCAACTCCATATCGCAGCCGACGGGTAATATATCAGAAAGCCACTGCCTACCGCTCCCAGTGCGACCAGCGTCGCTTGAAGCTTGTTAGCTCGCGCCCGAGGAAAGAGAACAGGGGCATACCTATGACGGTGTAGTATACCGAGACATGCCGAGTGCGTTTCACTCTGAGACTCTCGTTCATTCTTACAATCTCATTGTTCAGATACATCTCCTGCCGCGGATATTAGCTTTGTTCCTGGGAAAGGAGTAGACGCACCACTTCATCAGCCCACATCTCCATCCTCGTCAAAGCATCGCCCTTCCCGCCATCTTCCACCCTCTTCAGCTTTCTTCCTCCACTAGCCAACGTCCCTTGATCCGCTTCGCCACTTTGCTTTTGACTAGACGCAGTACCACCAATGACGACGTCCCGCCAGGGGGTCGTGCGTTCACGCATGGTTTCCACATCTTCAGCGCGGTGTCGAATGGTTTGACGGAGCTTGTCTTGGAAGGCAGGGATGTAGACTTGAAGAGCTTGTTGGATGTCGTCTGTCACTCCCTGAATTGTCATGTCAGCCAAGTACGGAGAGGTATATGTATGAAGACCAACCTCTGCATCGTCGTCTGTCTTGGCCACGCGCTCGAGAATCCCCTGCATGTTTGTCAAGAGGTGATGTCGGACAGTCGACTATGTTGGGTCAGCACGTGGTGAATGTGCTCGCCATGGCCTTACAAGTGTCGACCGGATGACTCGCTCGTGCTCATCACAAGCAGCCGTCAGTCGCTCAATCTCCCTCTCCAGCGAACTACACTGATCAGCACCAACCCCTTGCCTCGCGCGTTGACACCCACTTGAGACTGTTTGCAGTCAGCGGCACCTGTACGCTCTTCTTCCTTGTAGGCATGGGTAGCACGGCAGGAGCGGATCTGAGGGCTGGGGACGGGGGGCGAGCTGTGGCATTGATCTCTATCTTTGGTGGGCGGTGTGGTGCGGGGCTTGTGGGCTGTGAGAGGGGTGCACGGCGGGTGTCTGGTGCGAGGAGAATGTCCTCGGCTGTCCGTCCTGGCATCGTCGCGGTTATAATTATAGCAGAGAGGTCGAAGAGAACGTCAATAGGCGGCCATCTCCGATAACTCTCCCAGGCACTGCCTCCACTTGCGATTTCCGGCCACTCCGACCGAGATGGTGACGTCTGCAGGGAGTGCAGTGAAGAGTAGATGGGATGCATTCTTCTCTTCTTCTTCTTCTCCATCTACCAGTACCATGCCCACAGACCCCCAATCCACCGTCGACAAGCTCGGCATCCCCATCCCAGGCATCCAGGTCCGTCCCACTACCAATCCCCATAGTCCAAACTGACCACAACGTCTCTAGGATCATGCGCTCATTGGAAACTTGCGGGTATGTCCATGTAGCATTCACAATGCCACGGTTGACGGGAGTGTAGACCGCAGCGCTGGTTAGCACAAATGGCTCTATCGAGTCTATGTGTATCCCGTACTTTGACTCTCCCAGGTGGGTCTTGTCTCGTCTAGGGTTCTCATCGACGCTTACACGGGTATCCAAAGTGTTTTCGCAAGAGTCGTCGATGCCAACAAGGGTGGACATTTCTCCATCACCCCGTGAGTCCTTGTCTGGTCACCATAACAAGTACTGACGTCCATTCAGTACCTTTGATTTCAAGCCGTACGCCATCTCTGAGTCTGAGCAGATCTACGCTCACCTGATCTCATAGCAAACAAGCCTATGCCCCCAACTCGAATGTGCTAGTCTCCAAGTTCCTCAGCGAACAGGGCGTCGGCGTGATGACCGACTTCCTTGTACCCAAGGGAGCAACCCAGTCTTCGCAAAAGCCTCACCTGCCTTGGCTCATCAGGAAGGTGGAGAGTATCCGCGGCAAGGTTCCCTTCAGAATGGAGTTTTCTCCCGCCTTCAACTACTGTCGAGACAAGCATACCACTACAGTGATTATCTCTATGCCAGAAGGAAAAGACAGGAGCTGACAAAAAGCAGATGGTTCCAGACGACTCTTCCGCGTCCTTCGCGACCCAGCCTACAAAAGCGCTCTTCACCTCACCCAGCCTGGTGCTCGACCTTCGAACCGTCGCTTGGTCTTCCGACTCGTGCGTTTCTGATCCCGAAGTCACTTTCAACATCGAAGACTTTCAAGAGTCTCGCGGCCTCCTCGGGCCTTCCGTCACTTCCAATTTCGAGCTCGAGGAAGGACAGACTGTCGTTTTTGTGATGAGAGAAGTGGGGGATTACAAGTACGAGAGTGAGAAGCATGAGGAGATTGCGAATCCGAGATCGATGAGGCAGAAGGATCTCGGGCTGCCATTGGACCAAATGCTGGAAGCTACCAACAAGCTGAGACACAAGGAGAACCCGGTTCTGACCAGGGTCCGTGGGTATCTCTGGATATCTTGACTATGCTGACCAGCCCCTATAGTCGCTCGTAGAATCGCTTCTCAAAAACACCAACACGTATTGGCGAAAATGGATTGGAAAAAATCAGTACCAAGGCCGTTGGAGCGAAGAGCTCCTCCGTTCCGCCCTCGTCCTGTAAGCTACCTGCGTCTTCACCAAACAGCTCTAGCTGACACGAGTCGCCAGCAAGATGCTCGTCTTCGAGGAGACCGGCGCCATCGTCGCAGCCCCCACTTTCTCCCTCCCCGAGCACATCGGCGGCGTCCGTAACTGGGACTATCGCTTCACCTGGGTCCGCGACTCATCCTTCACACTCTACGCCCTCATCCGTATGGGCTTTACGGAAGAGGCAAATGCATTTGTCGAGTTTATCTTGAACAGGCTGAAAGAGCGAACCTCGGATGGGTCTTTGCAAATGTACGTCTCTCTCATCCAGAAAGCATGATCGAGCTGATCAGTGGGAAAGCGTGTACACGATTCACGGAGGTAAAGACCTTGAAGAAATTGAGCTCTCGCATCTGGAAGGGCACAAGGGCTCCAAGCCTGTGCGTATTGGAAATGGCGCCGCCGACCATCTTCAACTCGTGCGCCCTCTGTTCACCCGGTACAGTACTAAACAGCTGGCTAACTGTGCCTCAGGATATCTATGGCGAATTGATGGATTGTATCTACCTCGCGCAGAAGCATAGTAAACCTCTTGCAAGTCTTATACAGGAAGGAGAAGGGATTGCAAGCTAATGGTCATACTTAGAGCTGGGACTCTTGGGTCGCAATCAGACAAGTCGTGGATTACGTTTGCACCCAAACGGAAGTCGAGGACCTTTCCATCTGGTACGTCTCTTCTGTCCACGATACGCCTTTCCCCATATTCACTCTCGATTTCAGGGAAGTTCGTGGGAAGAGGAAGAATTTCCTCTACTCAAAAGTCATGATGTGGGTCGCTATCGACCGCGGTATCCGTCTTGCCGATAAACGCTGTCTGCCTTGTCCTCAGCGACAAAAGTGGATGGACAAGAGAGACAAGTTGTATGAGGATGTGCAGAACAAGGGATGGAAGTGAGTCTATCTTGTTTCCCTGTTGGGGGTTAATACTGATGAGGAGCTAGCCCGGAGAAGAAGTTCTATGCACAGAGTTTCGAGGATCTGGACGCTTTGGATTCTTCTGTCTGTCAGTATCGTTCCACTTTATGGTATGATCATTTGCTGACGACTTGTGTGATAGTGATAATGCCTCTGGTGTTTTTCACTTCTGCCGCCGATCCGCGCTTCACCAGCACCCTGGATGCCATCCTCAAAACGTGATTGTCTCCATATCTTTTTTCCAAACTCCAGCTAACTCCCAGGATAGACCCGAGAAAGGCGGCCTCACAGCCAACTCTTCCGTCTATCGCTATAACGCTGCGCTTTCCGACGACGGTGTTGGCGGCGAGGAAGGGGCTTTCTCGTTGTGCACGCTATGGTGTGTGGAGGCCTTGACGAGAGCGGGTGTCTATGACGAAAAGTATTTGGACATTGCGTGAGTGCTCCACCTTACCTGAGATATCACCGATCTAATGCGTTACTGACGATGGGCAGGATGAATATGTTCATGGACTTTTTGGGGTATGGTAATCATATCGGGCTCTACTCTGAGGAGATCAGCGCAGGCGGTGAAGGCTTGGGTGTAAGTTTTCCTTCATCTTTCTCATCTCCCTCTCGAGAGACGAGTCACTTATCTACTCTGGATATAGAACACACCTCAAGCATTCTCACATGTTACTCTGATTTCAGCGGCTTTCAACTTGAACAGAGCACTCAGTGGAGCTCGCGTGGATTAAGGCAACTGATGATGAAATGTTATAAGTGGAATCTCTTACAGTACCATATTCAGAAAGTGAACAGAGGAAGGGTGCATCTGAATAAAATCGATCATCACCTCACACAACGCCATTATACGCGACCGGTAGACAGTACAGATGCATTGACACTCTCAGCTGTGCCCAATAATCAATGCTGGGGGTAACATCCTTACGTTTTTGATATCGACCTTGCCACTACGAGTACCATCGAGGAGGAGTACACAACAGCGTACGTGACGCTCAATCGACAAGGAGTCGGTCCAGCCTCCATCATTCCTCAACTTCTGGTTGTCGTATAGCTTTTCAGGATGGCTGAGCGTCTAAGAGACATCCTTTTGCATGTTCCTGATCACCACAGTGTTCCATTTGTCTCTCGCTCAATCCGTGTATTGAACTGAGCTGAGCGTTTTTGCCCTTGTCGATCAGCCAATGTTGGGATAGGATAAACATGTGTGCTTCACTCTCAACAAGCTGTTGTAATACAGCGGTATATGGTCACGTGATGGAGTTGGTCACCATACCTGTCTAACAAGTTTATCTTGCTCTTCACAGGAGGTCGGCGGTTCGATCCCGCCCGGGATCATTCTTTTTGCTCTTTGTCTCTTATTGACCCTATACATACAGCCGGCAAAGATCATTTCCTTTGTTTACTTGTCAATCGCATTAGGTTTCAGGCAGGCGTTCTTTTTTTGCTTCGTTCTATAAGGTAATCAATACAAAAAACATTAGAAAATTCACAATGCCACGTGTAATCAGATAAGGAATAAGGAATTTTCCCAACCGCGGCCGCCACCCCGCCAAGCGCCTGAAATTTCACTCTCCTCTTTCATCGCCTGTTTTCTTGAACCCGCTATACTTCCGCCATGTCTGTCCAAGTCACCCCAGAGCAAATGTCGCAGCTGCGCGACACCCTCCTCAACACGGCGGGCACCACCCCGCTCCACGAGCGATTCAGAGCTCTCTTCATGCTCAAGGCTGTCGGCACCGATGAGGTCGTCGATATCGTGTCCGAGGGTGCGTGTCTCTATGATAGTGGAGAGCTATGCTGACAAAGAGAAAGGCCTGAAAGACCCCTCGCCTCTTCTCAAGCACGAGCTCGCCTACGTCCTCGGCCAGCTCCTCAACCACCGAGCCCTCCCGACTCTCTCGGGCGTTCTCGCCAACCCCACCGGCGAGCACTGCGCCATGGTCCGTCACGAAGCCGCCGAAGCTCTTGGCGCTATCGGTGCCGAGGAAAGCTTGCCCATCTTGAGAAAGTACAGGGATGAGGAGGAGAACAGGGAGGTCAGGGAGACTTGCGAGATTGCTGTCGGCAAGATCGAGTTTGATCTCAGTGAAGAGGGCAAGGCGAGGAAGCAAAAGTGAGCACACTCCCTCTGCAATCATACAAGAGCTGACAAGAGCAGCCCCGACTACCCTACCATCGATCCCGCGCCTTCTGCCGAGGCCGCCGACATCCCTTCCCTCACCGCCGAGCTCCTCAACCCCAAGCTCCCCCTCTTCCATCGCTACCGTGCCATGTTTGCCCTCCGTGACTATGGATCCGGCTCCAAAGAGGCCGTCCACGCCCTCGCGCAAGGTTTCTCCGACGGCTCTGCCCTCTTCCGACACGAAATTGCATACATTTTCGGTCAACTCAGTTCGCCGTACAGTGTTCCCAGTCTGTTGAAGAGGCTGAGGGATCCTGTCGAAGACGATATGGTACGACACGAGGCTGCTGAGGCTCTTGGTGGTATCGCTTCTGACGGCGTAGACCCTGAAGAAGGCGAGGGAGAGGGCGAGGAGCTGCCTGAAGGCGGTGTGCTTCAGGTGTTGAGAGAGTGGGCTGTCAAGGCCGATGCTCCCCCCGTCGTCAGAGAGTCTTGTCAAGTCGCCCTCGACATGTGGGAATACGAAAACTCTACCGAGCAGTTTAACCCCCTCGACTCGCTCGGTGCCAAGGAGAACACTACCGGTATGGAGAGGAGTGCCGCTGCTGCTGTAGCTGCTATGGCTGCTTAAGCTACTGTCTCTGGCGAGATCTAGTTGGATAAAAGAAAAGCGAGATTAGCTTTCAAGATTTGTTTTCACAGTCTCCCTTTCCGAGGACCTGTTGTATACCCTGCATATATGTATCCAAGCCATACCCTCTGCATCACATCTATAAGGACATGTTACACTGCGTACCCCTGACTGAGCTTTTCTTCAATTTCCCTTCCCAGCTCTCCCAACCTGGGCTCTTTTCCTGTCCACTTCTTTACAACCGCCCTGCCTTTTTCCACCTTGCCCACCGCCAAGCCACCGCTCACCTTGTCCGCCGAGATCAGGTTGCCAAATGCGACGGCCGCGCGGTAGACCGTCTCTGTATCGCCTCCTTCCACCTTTTCCGTCGAGATGATTGCGATGACAAGGTCGAGCAGCAGAGGCGCGAGGGAAGAAGGGAGGAGTGAGAACTGGGCAGAGATAGAGTAGTTGAGGGCGACGGTGGCAGCAGCCACTCGGCTGTTTTTACCCACGCCTTGCCAGGAGATACCGCCAAGAGCAGTGAGCACTTGTTGGCCGACGGTTTCTTGGTTCAGCACTCCTCGGCCGGACGACGTGTTGAACTTGTTGGCCAGGGCTCGGAGGGTGAGGAGGAGGTTGGTATCCTGAGGCTTTGACAGCGGGCCAGAAGATGCCTGCAGAGTCTGGGTAATGATGGCAGGGGAGAGGGCAGAAGTCGCTGGAGAAGTCGCTGACAGCGCTCGGAGGAGGTCGACAAGAGGGAATCGCTTATCCTCTGGCCATCGCGAGATGATACCCGTCAACGTGTTGGGATCAAACTTTTCCTGTCCATCCCCGCCTTCGGGATTCGGCAGGGCCACAGAAGGCAGCGAGAGGAAAGCATACACCTCGGTCAAGGCCTTGTTTTCATCCGTCGTCAACTCGGCCCCGGTACCCTTCAACTGTTCGTTGAATTGGGCTACTTTGCCCTTGACGGCGGCGACGTTGATTTGCTTGAATGCGAGCCAGGACTTGACTGGCAAGACAGCTTGTTTCTGCTTTTTCGCTGCGGGGGTAGATGCAGGAGGAGGGGTGGAGGAGTATGCACCGGAAGAGGTGAATGGGTCACCCCCACCGTACGAAGGCGTATGGGTCGGGACGCCGCCTCCGGTGTATCGCGATCCACCCGTAAAGGGATCCGCATTGTTAGCCTGCCCCCCGGCCATCGGCACTCCCCCTCCAGTATACCTCGACCCGCCCGTAAACGGATCCACATACCCCTGCGCCTCTCCGCCACCCAACGTCTGCCCCGCCGTATTCTTCTCTATAAACTGCACCACCTGATCCAAATAACTCCCCGGCAGTTCATTGTCCTGCAAAAAGGTTTGCGCTGCGATCCAAGGGTTTTGAGCGGTATTGTAGGGGAGTTTGAGGGGGGGCATGCCTTCGGAGACGTCGACGTCGAATACATAGTCGTATTCTTTGCCTTGGTAGAGTTGTTTGCGGGATTGGCCGATGGCGTCGACGACTTGGCCGATCTGTTGCCAGGTGGATTCCGGGGTAGACCACTGGATAGAGTCAGCCATGAGACTCGAGGCGGAGAAGGTGGGCTTACTTGGTAAGCTTCAACTTGGCCATTGTTGTTGATCATCAACACCTGGCCATCTTTCTTGCCCTCCCGCCCCAAAGCCTCCATACCAGGCAAATCCGAATGCTTCACATCCCCTACCTGACTCTTATCCAACTGTCGCCCTTTCACCTCTGCATCCCAGACCGCCAGCTCTTCCTCTGGCGCAACAAGCTCTGGCGAGTTGGTGAAGAACCGGATGGTAGAGTCTGACGAGGAGGACACGATATAAGGTCCAGAGGAAGGGGAGGAAGGAGGGGGAGGGGCGGTGGTGCAGGACCAGAGAGAGTTGGATGTGTGGGGGATGGTTTGGACGAGTTCAGAGTCGGACCAGACGCGCATGGTGCCGTCTTCGCCGGTGGAGATGGCGCCGCTGCCGTCGGGGAGGGCGGTGATGGAGTAGACGAAGGATGTGTGGCCAGAAAGGGTGTTGATGGGGGCAGGCTTGTCGAAAGAGTAGATATTGATGTTGCTATCCCGGAGGGAGTTTAGAAATGTCAACTGGAATGGAAAGGCTAAATGTGACGTACCCATCATTCGAACAACTCCAGAATCCTTGCCCATCGGGTCTCAGAGCCAAACCTCGAACAGGTTGAGTGTGCCCGGTATAAGTTTGCAAAGGCGTCGATCTACCCGAGGCAAGGTCGAGAGAGTGGAGGATGATCCTGTTGTCGGCGGAAGCTGTGAGGAGACGGTCTTCGCCCACAAACTTGACAGACCAGATGGCTTGTTCGTGAGCCTTGATGGAGAGGGCCTTTTTAAAGTCTTTCCAGACAATGACGCTCCTGCTGTGGGTTAGTGGGTAGTTTTTGAGCCAAGACGGGAGACGCACTTGTCCCATGATCCGGTAGCGACGAGTCCGTCGTGGCTGACGTCGATGCAACACAGGTTCTGGGAGTGTTCGATGAGGGTGTGGACTGGCTCGGGCAGTTCGTCTTGGGCTGGGGGAGCTGAGGCTGGGGCGGGGAGGGGGTAGCTGGCGAGTATGCCGGACTGTGACCCGACGAGCAGGTACGGTGCGCCGTGGGAGCGGGTGAGGGCGGCACAGCTGAGATAGCGCTTCTCGGGGCCCTCCACCCGCAGCTTGACGTCCCACTCCCGGCATGTCGTGGACGGGCCCCATACGAGCGCGGACCCGTCCCGGGAGGCGGAGAGGAGGAGGGGGATGCCCGCGTTCGGGGTGGCCACGTGGCGCACATCGGCAGCGTGCCCGTGCAGAGAGAAGGCGAGCTTGTACGGGGCGGACATGGCCGGGGAGTGTAGAGGAAGAGATCCTGGAGAAGAGAAGAGAAGAGTGGCGTCAGCGTCGGGCACCGCCGCCCCTCTTGCCCCGGCCGCCGGGCAGCAGTGGCACTTGTCCCTCCTTCTTCTAACAAGTACGGCATCAGCGACATGCCGGATCTCCTCACCCCCCAGGTCCTGGCCATGGGCAAGTACACTCATTTCTGCGTGCGCCCACTGACACCCACCACAGCCGGCCCACTCGTCCTCGATACCTTCATCAAGCACTACCTCGGTAACAATACCAGCAAGCACAAGGACAAGGACAAGGCAAGGGAGGACCTCATGTATGATGAGGGTGCGCATTCATATCTCACCACGACGAACCATCACTGACTATAAACTGCAGCGTTCGTTTTGATGAAGGTGCGTTGTAAAGGAGGTGGAGCGGGCAACAACTGACGACATCAGACCTTTCTCGAAATGTCTACAAAGTACCGCCAGTATACGCCCCCCGAGTCAAGCTGACGATTGAATAGACACCCCGTTGCAGCTTTGCAGCGATTCGGCCAGGTCCGCACGCCCTCCCCGCCGTGGGTGGCCGTACACCGCATCCACGTCCCCCACCCCACCCTCGCCTCCGCCGCCGCATACCTCATCCAAGGTTTCGGCGGTGAAGAGATGGCGTACAAGATTGCGGGTGGTACGAAATGGTGGCAAGTACGCGCGGGGCCGGGAGTGGAAGCCGAGTGGATCGTGATGAAGAAGGATTGGAGAGAGGTCGTGGCGGCGGAGAAAAAGGAGAGGAAGGAGAAGCCAGGGAAGGGGAAGGAGGAGAAAGAGAAAGATGATTGTGGGTACACACCTTTCAAGAGACCATGCTGACGTCTTCCAGTCCGTCCCGAGATGGACCGCCTCCGCTGCATGCTCTACAGTAAGTGTGATGTTTTGTGACCGACTGTTCTCATACGCCATAGTCCATGGCGGCGCTTACTACTGGGGATCCATCAACACCCACCGCTACACCATCTGGCGCCACGCTCGCAAAATGCACGGCCGATGCTTTGCCGTCAACTACCGCAAAGCACCCCAATACCCCTTCCCCTGCGCCCTCCAAGACTGTCTCGCGGCCTACCTCTACCTCACCAACCCCCCGCCTGACGCGCCGCATACAGCGATAGACCCGAAAAACATTGTGTTGGCGGGAGATTCGGCTGGTGGCGGGTTGTGTTTGGCCTTGTTGCAGGTGTTGAGAGATACGCCGGGGCTCGAGTTGCCGGCTGGGGCGGTATTGATCAGTCCCTGGTCGGATTTGACACATAGCTTCCCGAGTATCCTCGAGAATACAGCGACGGACGTCATCCCGCCATACGGCTTCATCCACAAACCCTCCTCCCTCTGGCCGCCTCCCCCGCCCATCCTCACTGACGCCGTCCAGTCCCGACTGCGCACCAAGATGCGCGAAGCCATCGTCCGTGTGCGGGAGCACGAGAAGGCAGGCAAAGTCCCGCCTGAGAGCGATGTGGCCGAGGGCAACAAGTTGAAAAAGATATTGTCGAAAGTGTCGTCCCATCACGACAAGGAGGTCCGAGCGTCGTCACCGACAGATATTCATTCGCCTCGGGATACCGAAACACCAGGCAGCCCCGATCCAAAAGACCTTCAGCCTACCGTCGAAGGCTCTGATGCCCACCCCAAGCCGCACCACCCGCTTCCCCACTCATCCGCCGCCAACCCTGCCTCTCTCTTCTCCCACCTCTCCCCTCTCTCCGGAAACGCTGGCCAGCCAAAGACCCTCGCTTTGGACCACGTCCCACTGGAGCTCAGGGTCAAAGGGGAGAAGGTGGTGTTGGACACGCAGATTCAGCTCTACGCTACGAATTCACAGCTGAACCATCCCTGGGTGAGCCCTGTGCTGGGATACCTCGGAGGTCTACCCCCGTTGTATATCATGGCGGGCGATAATGAGGTCTTGCGGGATGAAATCATCTACCTGTACGTCCTCTTCTTCCCCTCCTCTTCACAATCTGACCATTCTCCATCTGACCATTCTCCAGGGCGCACAAAGCAGCAAACCCCAAAGCCTACCCCCTCCGCCCAGACGTCTACCCCCTCCTCCCGTCTCTAGAAGGCATCGAATCCCGCTACGGCCCCACCAACGTCCATCTCCAAATCTACGACGGTGTCTGCCACGACCTCCCCTTGTTCAGCATGACCAAAGCCGCCCGAGGGTGTTTCAGAGCTATCGCGTCTTTTGCCCGATACGTGACGCCCTCGGCCCCCGGGAGTCATTATGTGAACCGGACGCCTGCTGGGAGTAGCGCTCCGTCCAGGAGAGGGTCCGCGGATGGGCCTGAGAGGGTTGATGGAGAGGGGAAAGTCATACTTGGAGTAGGGGTGGCTGCTTCGCCCGAAAAGCTCTCGGCACAGCTGCCCGAGGCGCGTCTTGCCACACCTTCTACGCTGACGCTCAATTCGAGTGTGCGTCCCCTCGCACCCTCTACCTCCAAAGGTTCCACTACCTCTCTCATCTCCTCCGCCTCTGGCACGTCGACGCCGATGACTGCTAGCTTCACCGGCATCGCCCCCGCTGGTGAAAGTATCTCTTCAGAGCGCGAAGTATTCTACACGCCAAATCAAGGCGATTTCGAAGGTATGGAAGTATTAAAGACGGAGGACGATCCCGAAAAAGAGAGGGGGATCTTACCGCCAAAGAGGGGTAAGAGCCTGTTGAGTGAGACGCCGTCGGGGACACCAGGTCGGCTAGAGTCGCCGGATATGTCGAGCGTACCAAGTCAGCTTGATGCTCTTGATCCAAACCACCCGCACCCCATCATCTCCCCCAACCGTCATTCATCTACACTCCAGCCATCTACCCCGTCTACTCCGATTACACCTGCGACCCCTGCGACCCCTGCAACGCCCGCCACGCCCGCCACTCCGGGATCGGCTGAAAAGACCATCAGGAGGCACAAAAGCCTTGCTTGGCTGCAAGGTTCTTCTGGGTCCGATTCTCGCAAGGGTAGTCACGGGAGCTCGAGTGAGAAAGATGGGGACAAGGAGAAGGAGTTTCATGGGCTGGATGATTCGAGGGCAAAGGAAGGCGAGTCGGGATGGCCGGGAATGTATCGGGGTGATAATGTGAGTACCCTACGCCATTCCAGGCGGGTGATTGGATGCTGATAGAGTGCAAAAGCCGTTTGGATCAGACCATATGATTCGCGAACGGATCGATCCCTTGGGCATCACCCGACCGCTTACTCCCATTTCTGACATTCCCGCTCTGCAGATCCCATCAGATGAAATCGGTCTCATCAGGGAAGGTCCTGCTATGCGATACATCAATGGCCAGACACTCTGGGACAAGAAATATAAAAAGGTCGGAGAGAGGGTGGAGAAGAAACGAAGGAGAAACTTGAAGGAAGCTCAGAAAGTTGCAGAGAGGGGTGGAGAAGATGGAGGGTTTGAAGGCGTTGTGAGAGAGGCGATCAAGGCCGAGAAAGAGAGCAATGCTCTGAAAAAGGCAAACAAAGAAAAGGCCAAGAAGGAGGCCAGCAAGGGCGGGGACGAGGATTGGGAGAGTGAGGCGCAGGAAGGTGGGAGCGGTGAATGTAGTAGGTCGTGGGACTGGGCTCTTCAAGGGGAAGCTCCTCCCCCAAGTGCCATTGTCTCTCGTCGTGATTTCGTGAGCATCACCCCCCTCTCACCTTGAAGATGAATGCTGACCACAACAGGCCGAGGCGCGTCAACTAGCTCTCATGGCAGACCGTATCGACTCTTCCGCCTCCCACTCTACTCCTTTCCATGGCCTCAACATTTGGGTCGGCCTCGCGGGTCTGTTTGGGGGAAGTGGAAATGAAAAGGAAAAGACCAAAGAGATGCTGCAAGAGTTGAAGGAAGAACGGGAGAAGGAGAAGGAGGAGGAAAAGTTGGGGAGGGAGAAGGGGAAGGATGAAGGGCATATTAAGGGTGGGAAGGGAAAGTGGTGGAAGTTTGGAAATCGCTGAGATGTTTGGCTGTGTATAGACAGAGAGTGAATGATCTCGGTTGCGAGGGAAAGTGATTGAAGTTTGGAAAAGGTCAAAAGATTTGATTGTGTATGTGGGATAGAAAAGGGGTAGTTGTAGAAATGTTTTGGTACGATCGACATCGATAGAGTGCTCTTGTTCAAAAAGTTGGTTGGTGAGGATGCAAAGTTATGACTTGTGGTTCTGCTCAGGCTTCCTTGATACCTTATTTTTTCCCAATTCCATCCAGAATGTCGCTCACATGAAAAGATCATACAATGCTAAAATGCCAAGATGCTATCGCCCCCTCACTTCTTCCCCTCATCCTTGATCCACCTCTTCGGCACACCCCTGCCCACAAGCGACTCGATGATAATCTTCTGCTGACTCCCCTGCACCTGTACTTCCACCAATCCAAGCTTCGGGCTCACCCCCTCCCTCGGCTGCACACTCGCCGAGCCGGCACACTTTTTACGCATCTCTTCCGCAAAAGACTCGGCAGGGATGGAGAAGAGCTCGAGGCCGGTGATGTGGGTGACGGTACGACGGCCGCCTCGAGATTTGATGGTGAGGGTGATTGGTTGGAGGGCACCTTTTCTGTAATACCGTGTCAGTACAGATATTGAACGGGGCGTGGACAGAGACTTACTTGATGGTGCCACCGATGGACACGGCCCAGCTCACTCCATTCCTCAGCTTTGCAATCACATCATCTCTAGCCATGCTCTGGCCCGGGTCTGGCTTTTTGACGCCCACAGCCTTCCCCAGCTCCTCATCCAACAGCACAAATCTGTGATTGCTTGGCACAATCAGATCGTGCTTGTTGATATATTCGTCTAGTGTCTGTCTCAAAGCAGAAGGTGGGTAGTACTCGGATTTGGAGAGACCGCACGCTTCCCAGAAGAACAATGCAGGCGAGATGGGTTTCCACAGTTCTTGAATATCGATCGGCTGGGATGCTGATTGGGCAGGCTTGCCATCAGCGCCCTCTGGGTTGGCAGCGGCCTCCCGAGCAGCCTTCTTTACGGCTTTCGCCTCTTCCTGCGCTATCGTCGTATATCCCTCATACGCCTGTAGATCCGGGTGTTTCGGGTCAAAGCTGACCACCGTTACTTCTCCTTTACTCTCCTTGATCTTGACGATCCCTTCCTTGTTGATCTCTTTCATCCATTTGGCCAGCTTTTTCCATTCACTTTTGGCAATGACGACTTCGTCCCTCTTGTCTTTGGGAATGTAGGAAGGGCGAGAGGGGAGGATGTGGGAAGAGTATAGGAGGGAAGCGGGCATGGGGAAAGAAGAAGGTTGGAGGGAGGAGAGGGCTTGGAGAAGGGAGAGAGAGAGGAGGGAAGAGATTTCGTCGGGGGTGAGAGGGGCGGAGGAGATGGTTGGTTCGGATGATTCCCCAGTAGCATCTCCGGATACAGCGAGATTTTCTATCGGTGGAAGATCGTCCTTCGCTTTGCCGCCTGGAGCTGAAGCCAAGGGGACCTCGGGAGCTGGAAGAGCGAACGTCGGAGGTGTCGATTTCGAACCAAGCTCCCAAAGACTGCGATACCGATCAGTTTCAGTCACAGCCTACTCTCGAGAGACACTCACTGGTCTTCTATTATACAAAGCACGTCTGCAAACTTGCCCTCTTCTTTCTCTTCCCCACCCTGCAACAGCTGGATCCTCCTCTCCCAAGCACCCCTCATGCCACCATCAGCGGCTATTCTGCCAACTCCCACATAATGAACATCATCATTCCTAGATGGGGAGGTTGCAAAAGCGACCAGGCGGTCTTTTTGTACGTCAGGGAGGAGATGGGGCTTGTCAATGTTGCGAACGGCAGGAATGAAGAGTGGTGCACCGGTCAGGATTGGGGGAGGCATGGGATGGTATATCTGGATGACCGGCAGGATGGGACGAGGAAGGGGGAGTGTAAGGAGGTATACTTGATATCTCGTCAGCATTTGATCTACGTCACCGAATGTGACATACACGTAGGGATATACTCTTTCGAGTTGCGGCCAAAGGACATCCAGAGAGGGTTGCCATCAGGTGCTATCCAGAATGTCTGTTGAGCCCGATTAGCTTGTACTCGACAAGATACACCAGCCACCTACTCCTTCAACGCCAGTACTGTTTTCGAAAGTGCCCGTTTTGACGCCTTCTGGAAGAATAAGTTTGCCGAGCTCTTTCTTGTCATTGTCGTCGGTGCTGGCGACAAGCGAAGGGAACTGCTCGAAGATGGCAGCCAAGAGCTGTCTCCGGGCGGACGAGCGGATGGGCGTTGCGTTTGATTGGTGCACAAGGGGTTTCTTGAACATGGCGCTGGGAATGTCTAACCTGTGGAGAGGAGAAACGAAGGTATGAAAGTGAGTTGCAAGGAGACGATGGTCACTTTACCCCGCGGGGAACATCCTTTCGTAGCTCTTCTCTTTGGTTCCGTTCATCATGAATCAACACAGTGTATTTGTATACCTATACATACCTCCGAGCGGCTGTGCATGGAGACACTCGACGCTGTCCAAAGGTTTTGCAAGGACAAAAAGCAAAAAGAATGATCCCGGGCGGGATCGAACCGCCGACCTCCTGTGAAGAGCAAGATAAACTTGTTAGACAGGTATGGTGACCAACTCCATCACGTGACCATATACCGCTGTATTACAACAGCTTGTTGAGAAGCAGTACAAATAATGCCCTCAGTTCAGTTCTATGACATCTCTTAACAGCTTGATTCAACCTGTCTTCGATTACATGATGATGTGTCTGCGTCTCTACATCTCCACTCTGTCCCCCTATAGTGCCAGTCGGTAGTAAATGGGTATAACGCTGATATCATTGTCTTACTGGGGACCCTCTGTACGTGGCAGTTTACGAGACTACTCGCGACGTAGAGACCTTTCGGGTCAAACATCCTATGCAGTGCCTCCTGTGACCTGTCTATCTTGTCATTCTTCTCTCGCTTACGTCGTGTGAGCAAGGTTGTTCCATGGCCAACGTTATGTAGCCCAATCTAGCGCGAGATCAACAGCAGATCCGGCCCGTGCCTGCGCGTCATGCGCCGGCTGCAACACATCTATCTCTGTGCGATGGACAGATTTCAGATTCCAGATCCATCTTCATCTCCTGTCCTGTAAATTTCTGCTGATACCCCTGTACATACATACCCTTCGGCGAGAGATGCCGCCATCCACTCGCTCGAAGCTCAGACAGCCCGTGCTCTCACCAGGTAAACAACAGGCCGAAGAGCGCGCTAGGGGATCCAACAACAACAAGGGAGACGAGGACCAGCCGACATTTGAGATTGTCGTGTTGGGAAGTGGAGGAGGACCTCTAGAGACTGATTGTGCTGGGTGAGTCGCCACAACGTCTCTTGCGGCGTTATGTAACGATGGCGTTACCAGTATCCTGGGCACGAGCTTATTCTCCGTGTGGAAATACAGGTATTTGGTCAAGCCTTATGGGAGCAAGTGGGAGGATGGGGTACTTGGAGTCGAGGGCGGTGAGTCCAGCGCAACCATCTCATTCAAAGCCATTGACAAGAAGGGATAGGTTCTGGTCTTGGTGCTCTAGCGACGCTACTCTCAACGCGCAAAGCGAAAGACCTCTTCCCCGGCGTTGTGTTCCCCCGCGAATACAACACCCCTCTGCTGAAAGCATCCTACATCTTCTCTTTTCTATCGTGAGATCTTGCCTCACTCCAATAGCAGAGTAGAATGCTGATCAAACTCAGATCATATGTGATAACTCACTCACACATGGACCATGTCCTCTCCCTCGTCATGCTCACCGGCTCCTTCCCCTACCTCGCCCCTGAGCCGACCTCTGCTCCTGCCCAGAAATCTGACCCCTCTCTCCCTTCCCTCCCCGCATCATCTCCCAAACCCCCAACAACAGTCTACGGCACAAAAGGCACCCTCAAACGCTTCTCCATGGCCTACAAAGGCGCTCTCTGGCCTGAACTCGCCGATTTCGATCCTAACAGCCAAGAAGCGGACGACCCAGAGCCTATATCCGACATGCTCTGGGACTATGCTATAGAAGGAGGGGACAGGCAGAAGAAACGCAAGCTTGAAGAGCTGGCACAGCCGAACAAGTCTTTGTATGTGGCGGGGGCACCGGTATTGCCGACGTCTAGGAGATCATCTTATGCGGCGCTGGATCCTGCTTCAGAGTCTGCTCTGAGCTCTCCTGGGGATATTCTCCACCCATGTTTGACCTTTGCTCCGTATGTTTTCTTTCCCTCATGAGCAAGCAGGCGCTCATACCCTGCAGCTTGGCTACTACCAAAAGTGTTGGGTCCATGGTTCAAAACCTTCCCCTATCCATCCGACCGTTTCCCCTGTTGCACGGTGCGACTTCTCAAGGAGAGTTTGAATCCTCTGCCTTCTTCATCCGACACGTCCCCCCCGCCCACTCTTTTGCACCACCTCCTCAAAATTACAACAAAAGCCCCAACTCACAAGAGAAGGAATTTCTTTTCTTTGGAGACATGGAGAGCGCTTACCGTAGACCCGGGGAGGAAACGGTAGACAAGGACAGAGCTGTGGAAGCGGGAAAGATGAACAGGGATGTATGGACCGAGGCGGCCAAGTCTTGGGATGAAGGGCGGTTGTCTGGTGTTTTCGTAAGCTGGTTTCCACCATCCTCAGAGGAAAGGTTGATGGATAGCAACAGCTCGAGTGTTCATATGACTCTTCAAGGCCGGCACAGTCCATGTACGGGCACATATCACCTCCAGGGTTGTATCACGAATTGAAGACTCTTGCTAGTCTGGTACAATCGAAAGATGAAAAGTCAGCTTCCTTCGTCCTCCCCTCCAGGCAGCTCAAGAGCTGACATTCCGCTACAGGGAACCTCTCCGAGGTCTGAAAGTATTCGTGATTCACATTAAAGAATCTCTCCTCCCCAACGCCGAGGGCAAGGCGCAGAGAGAGATTGTCATGCGCGAGCTGCGCCAGCTGGAAGAGGAAGGTAAGCTGGGTGTGATTCTTACGGATCCGAAACGCGGGGATAGATTAGGTGAGTCTGCTTTGCATATTGACCATTGTCTACAATCAAAACCGGGGAAGCAAGCGCTGACAGAGGGTACCCAGTCATATAGAAAGAGCATATCCATTCATATACATTGTTTGTATCAACAAGTCATTCTGTTCCCTGTCATGTCACTCAGACACACTATCCTGTTGCCTTTAGTCTTCTTACGTTCTCAACCTTGACCTCTAAAACCATCCGACGTTCACAATCCCTTGCCAACAGCATCTCCCGCCCTATCCGCAAACTTGCCCATGACATCCCACCACCACTCTTCATCCGTCCCATCCGCTTTGTGCTTCTCCGCTTCCCTCGCCACATGTGCCAAGTAGCCGTACACCCCGTCCCTTTCAAAGGCTTTTCGGACATTGGGAGACGAAGGGGAAGTGGAGGATGATAGGATACGGGGGCCGCTCAGGGAAGATGGGAGGAAGAGGTAAGTATAGCCCAAAGAGGCGAGGGTCGAAACTGTGAGTTTGAGATCACTGGGTGCTTTTGGTGGTGTCAGCCATGACCAAAATAGAGGATACCGGGAAGCGCTCACTGGTAGCGACGGCAGGGAGGTTATACGCCATCCATTTGCCAGGGTGCGTCTCTTGTACCCCCTTCGCAATCGCTTCCGCTTCCTCCACCCCTTGCCCATGTCCGCAGGCCCAAACGACATCAGCGATGCGAGCCGTGATACGAGCTCTCGAGATGGCCGCAGACAAGCCGCCATTGTAGGGGTACCAACCTTCGGTCGTGCGGGCTGCATCGGCAGACCAATAGAATGTCGAAGAGAGCTTTTGGGCAAGGGCGTATGCTTCAGAAGCGTTGAGCCCCTTACTCTTCTTCTCAAACTCAGCCCATTGCTCCGGACGACTCGTCTTGAAAGCATCATCCAAGGTGGCAAGTTTGGCTTCGCGCACCCACTCTGCCTTGTCCGAGTGACCTTCGGCGTGGTAAAAGTCTCGTGGAAGAGGGACGGTGGAGCCGAGAATGTAGGGGCGGTCTCGTGGGTCGATAGTTGATGTGATGTGAGTAGCGAAAGGGGCGTCGGTACGTGCTATGGATATCATCTCTGATCTTTCAAGCTGTAAGCTATTGTCTAAGAGAGCGTGTGATTGACTCACCCCATGATATCTAGCTGCAGTTTCCCAGCCGTCAACCTTCTTAGAAACTCGCACACCGGCACCACCACTTCTCCCTCCCCATCCTTCTTGTCATGCCTCGATGCTCCGCTCAACGAGTCATCTAGATGGTAACCTGCAGCCCCACTCAAAGCTAGAAGCTTGACATGCTTCATGATGACGGTATGCGCCCCATGCCCTGTCGCTGCGTCGGCAATGAGCGGGAGAATGTCGTTCCCTGCATCGGTGGAAGGGGATGTTGAGGCGGATGCTTCGTAAGAGAGAGGGATGGGAGACGAAGATTGGGGTGCGTTAAGACGGATGGTACGGGCAGACAGGAGCTGTGAGCGATAAAGGGATTGGACGTTCTTGGGAACTGTCTCGAAGGTGTCGTGACTCTGGAGTTCTTGGTGAGCCTCATTAATACTTTTCAGAGCTCGACAGGTGCTCACGATGTCCAAAGCACTTTCATTCGGATTGGAAACGTGCGTTGAGCTCGACACATACGCTGTCTCTATGCACTGTCAGCCCAACCCCGAAAGCACACGCTAGTTCCACCTTCACGACTCACCAAAGCCAGCATCGGCCATCAAGCCCAGCCCTACCAGATCATTCGCGCTCGAGCTCAAGCTGACCTCCTTGTTCTTTTGTAATTTCTCAAAGATCCCCCTCAGTTTGCGGGGCATTGCGTTGGAGCATTGGACCGGAGGAAAGACGTCTCGGAGGGATGCGACGGTGTCGGCAGAGTAGGGGCGGTGAATAGCAGCCTGAGATGGGGTGTCCCACCATGTTTGGATAGCAGCAGGATCTAGCCAGTTACTGTTGTCTGTCATTTTAGGATGATGGGGGCAGAGTGAGACAGCTGCGATGGAGATGGGTTTATATGGCGACGTATACTGGACTGGACTGCCTCCACTTTCGGATGGAACCGGATTCGGGCTCGGCTCGTCCGAAATCATAGAAGCTATTGTTTGGTCCGGAACAAGTAGGGAGCCACATAGCAGAGAGAATGGCATATGTTGTGGCTCACCGTGAGATGCTACCGATATTGCCCGAGCCCCGAGCGCGAAGATTCGGCATCAATGGCCGATAAGAGACAAAAAGCAAAAAGAATGATCCCGGGCGGGATCGAACCGCCGACCTCCTGTGAAGAGCAAGACAAACTTGTTAGACAGGTATGGTGACCAACTCCATCACGTGACCAATTTGTTGAAAGTTACCCACAGGAGTCGGTGAGACCCTGAGATCCTATCAACAAGTCTGCGATTGTCTCACAAGCTCACGACTGCAGCCATCTTCTTGCTATCCATAGGACTAGAATATGAAGAAGAAGAGAGAATGCAAGGTGGAGACTTTGTCGATTTTGAGACAGAAGCGAAAGCCAGTCCCGTGCAGTCGTGTTCAGTATCAGCTTCAGTCATCGTTGAGGCTCTCTAGAGTAGTCAAGTTCAAGCTCGGGTTTTGGGAGGTCGTAGCAGATAAGCCAGTTCAATACTAGTACATTGTTGTTATGCATGTGATTACCGTTTGATCATGAGTATGTGAAAAGAGAAAACCCCGAATACCTGAACTCCCACTTCCATCATCGCCGGATGTACCCTCCTTAGACAGTGTCTTCCAAGCAGAGCTTGGGCATGATGTTCATACCCATGAGCTGCGTCATTCGTCAGCAAGATTACAAACCGCGTAGAGATGGAGACTCACCTCCTGGATAAGAAGCTTCGCGGCGTAGGGAATCGTCAAGCCCACCACGCCCTTCCCGCTCTTACACTTCGGACACCAGTTGTTGTACCCCAACATACCACAAGTCTCGCAGACTTGGGTCTCGAAAGCGTCCGATGAGATCATCAATCGTTCGAGTAGTAGTTGTGTGGCACCGTAACCGATGAGACTGTATCATATGGTCAGCTGATAAGAGTTAGAGCGGTGAAAGGGACGTACCAATCTCTTTCCATTTCACCAAGACGGAGACCACCATCCTTTGAACGACCCTCCGTGGGCTGACGTGTGAGGTTGGCTCGAGGACCGGTAGGTCGAGCGTGCATCTTGTCCATGACCATGTGCTACATTTCGTCAGCATTATACTAGGCCATCTGGAATGCGGCGTACCTTGAGCTTCTGGTAGTAGATAGGACCAAAGTAGACATACGCCTCCATGGGCTGTCCGGTGATACCGCTCGTCAACATATCCTTACCGCCATACGAAAAGCCGTTCTCAATGAGGATCTGAGACATGTCGACGACCTTGGAACCACCGAACGCTGTTCCGTATTGAAGTTTACCAGCGAGGACACCGGCTTTGCCAGAGAGCAACTCAATCATCTTTCCAACAGTCCTGTCAAAGCTGTCAGTACTGCTCACACAGCCCAATGAATATACTCACATTCGCGAAGGGAAACCGTGAGGGTTCATAATTATATCCGGCACGATACCCTGGTCATTAAACGGCATATCCGCCTGCGGCACGATCAAACCACATACACCCTTCTGCCCGTGTCTCGACGAGAACTTGTCTCCCAGCTCTGGTCTTCTCGTCTGCCTCGTCAACAGCTTGATCAAAGCTCCATCCTCTCCTTCCGTCAGCATGACCTTGTCGATCAAGATAGGCTCGGGCGTCTTGTGCGTGACGGGGTTGGCCTTGTACATTTGCGTATCTGTCCCGCGCGTGTCGACGGGCGTTTCACGGTGGACCATGACGTCGAATTGGTTGATAGTGGCTCCGGGGGCGACCATGCCGTCTGCCTTGTCGACGAAAGTGTACGCGTCGGGACGTTGGGGCGGGTCGGGGTAGGCGGTACGTTCGTGCGAGCCGTTGTGGAACGTACGCATGGGTACAGTCTGTTTCTTCAAGACATGACATCTTCCGAATCCTCGATCCAAGGACGCGCGGTTCAAGATCAGAGCATCTTCGATATCATACCCAGAGAACGACATGACAGCGACTGTCGCGTTCTGCCCAGCAGGAAGTTTATTGTAGCCGATGAGCTCGATCGTCTTGGTCTTGACCATAGGCTGCTGAGGGTAGGTCATGAGGTACAAGAGAGTATCGATACGGTTGAGTTGGTTGTATGCGATAGCGCCAATAGCTTGCTTACCCATAGCGCACTGATAGGTGTTACGGGGAGACTGGTTGTGATGGGGGTAGGGAATAAGACCGGCGACGGCACCGAGGATGGTGAAAGGTTCAATTTCGAGGTGGGTAGTCCCCTCCTCGATCTCGTGCTCGTAACAAGCAATGAAGGAATCGTTCTCTTCGTTGACATCGAGATACTCGACAAGACCAGCTCTGAGGAAGTGGTCGAAAGTGACCTTGCCTTCTTTGAGAAGACGGACGTGCTCGGTGGTGACTCGAGAGTGGCCCTTCTCGACAATGATCATCGGTCGACAGATACGCCCACCATCACTGGCAATGTAGATGACCTTTTGGTGGTGGTTGATGTAGATGGAGACGAATTCCGAAGTCCTGCCTGCCCTCCTCAGCTTTCTGAAAGTCCTCACAAACTTCTTCGCCATCTTGGTCACTCCGACGATCGTACCGTTCACCTGCACCAGGTGCACACCTGGGCGGTACAGCTCGTTACCGGTGACAAGTGAAATATCCTCCACGCCCAACATCCAGACCAGCTTATGTAGCGGGCCCTCGGGCACATCGGTCGTGATATGCGTCATCAACGCCAAATTCTTGACCAATCCACACGCCTCTCCTTCGGGTGTATCTGACGGACAAAGCATACCCCACTGACTCGGCTGCAACGCACGCGGACCAGAGACCTTTCTCGTCTTTTCGAATTGCGACGAGATACGCGTCATCATACCCAGTGCGGCGATGAAACTGAGTCGAGAAAGGACGTGCGTGACACCGGCCCGTTCGACGTGGAATCGCTTGAGCGACCAATTGCCGGTAGAGATGGAACGGACGAAGGCTTGGGTGATGGGGTCACCACCTTGGCGGATAAGGGTACCGGCGTCGAAGGGGCCTGCGCGATTGACCTTTTCGAGGATCTTGTCCATGCGCTTTTTGAGTTCGCTGTTGAAGGTTTTGAAAGAGTCTTCGAAGAGAAGGGAGAGTAGTTGACCAGCCCTGAAACGGATGAGTGCATGTACGAGGGTGATGATCAGTGAACCTACAATTCCAGACGCTTGTTACCGACATAATCTCGGTCATCGACCATATGGTCGTCCACCATAGCCATCAATACTCTCCTTGCCATCGTCGCAAGATAGATACACTTCGGTCTGAAGTTCATGTTCTTTACAGGAACGTGGCCAAGTACCATCGCAGCGAGTGCTTGCTGAGCGACATCGGTAGGGGTGAGCTTTTGAGCAGATGTGCCGTCGTCCTTGGCCTGGTTGGGCGAAACCCTCGCACCAATCCACTCCAACGCCTGACGCCTTGTGAAAGTCTTCTCCTTGGCAGCCTCTTCCAGGGACACACCGAATGCCTCTTGGTATCGTTCATCAGATCCACAGATGAGTTGAAGAATCTCCTTGTCGGCAGTGAGACCCATTGCTTTGAGGGCGATGACGATAGGGATGAACTCTTTGAAAGAGTTGTGACGGAGGTATAGACGGTTGGCTTTTGTGACGACGTAGGTCTTGACAACTCGGTCGTGAGTCGATCTGGCGAGGGTCAGTGACAGTAATGACAATCTCAAGAGAGACTTACGAGGTGACTTCTGCCGTGACTTCATCCTTCTTGCTATCCTTCATGACAAGAATACGATTCTTGCTCAACTGCTCCTGCACCAAAATGACCTTTTCCGTCCCCTTCACCACAAAGTACCCTCCAGGGTCCATCGGACATTCACCCATCCTAGCCAGCTCTGCCTCGTTCTTGTCTTTGAGGTTACACAAAGCACTTCTCAACATGACCGGCAACATTCCAATCTGCACTCCTCGCTGTTTGATCCTCTTCTCTTCGCCCATATACTCTACGTCCACAAAGATGGGAGCAGAGTACGTAGAGTCCGTTAGACGGCACTCCATGGGAGTAAGGGGCGATGCGACCTGATTGGCATCATGCCTTGAAGGTCTGCCGACCCGAATGTCGGTATAACGAATGTAGTAACGAGGGTTGATATCGGAGATGACTAGGGAGTTGGCGGCGAGGATGGCTTTGATATCGACCTTGACAAAGTAGTCGAAAGAGTCTAAATGTTGCTTGACAAGACCCTTGACCTTCAAGAAGGCTGGTAGTAATTGCCATTTATCCTGTTTCGATTAGTCACGGTCCAAAACATGGATGGAGGTACTCACTTCAACCGTCTTGACGCCCTTGGCATACCAATCCGCACCCTTCTTATCCCCATAAGTCTGTTTCATAAGCTCTACCCATTCCTCCTCTCCCAAGTTGCGCTCAATTTTGGGTTTGACATCCACCTGCTCGGCTCGGGCGGGCGCCTTGCCCTTTGTAGCAGCCGTGGCAGCGCGTGGTTTCGTTGTCGATGGCCCAGCTTTGGCGACCTTTTTGGGAGGTGCCGAAGATGTCGATGGGCGTTTGGGGGGAGCCTTGGGCGGCATGCTGGGGAGCGGAGGAAGATGGATGAGGAGAAGGACGCATATGTGGCTGCACAAGGGCGAGTTTTGAATTTGTGAGTGAAATTTGGTTCCGTTTTCTTTACATAAGCGTCCCCGGCCGGCGGGCTTTTGTTGATCGATGACCTTTGCTGTACATATACTGCTTGATGCATCCATAGCTGAGCAGCAGGGTAACCAGTAGATTATGCTACATATTAGAGCAAGTTGAAGCTCAAATCTGACGAAAATGAAGCGAATTTTGCTGCCAACCTCTCACCCTTCTTCAACATTATCAAATCTCCAGTCTACCAGACTGTGACCACGGGTACGATGCTTGTATCCGCACCGGATATCTTACAACCTTCCCAAAATCCTGTGGTACAAGTACATGGTGTCTCCATGTCTCGATTCGATCACAGCTGCGTCATGATGAGGCGATCTGGGTTTCAGTCAACCTTCGGCATCTCACGGTCTCCGTTGAAGAACTCACGTATAACGTATCTCTCCCCTACTCTACGCCGTCTCATACTGATCCACATGCTTACTAGCCGCCCTCCCCCCAATCACCCCCCCCCCTCCGCCAGCCCCTCCAATGCCCAGCCCCCCTCCGCCAAACATCTCCCGGCTCCTAAACTCATGACTACTATACACCTTCCCTCCCCAAGCACTCGCATTTGCCCCCGGGCCTTCTTGTCCTTCGATACGACAGTAAGAGGGGGGGATGGAGAAGGGCGGGGAGATGGCTGTTGAGAGGGATTGGGTGAGGTGGGGAGCGAGGAGGTTGAGGAGGGTGGGGAGAGGGAGGGAGGGGGTTTTGGAGGATTGTGATGGGGAAAGAGGAGGTTGGGAGAGGGTTTGGAGGAAGGCAGACTCGGTTGAGGAGGGCATAGCAGGTGTTGACGGGTGAGGGGGAGGTGAAGAGAAGCAAGTGCGCAATGGGTCATCGGGGGAGAGCGGCGCAAGGTATGGCCCAGCCAGGCGCTTGGCCTCTGGGAAAGCGAGCTTCTTGCCGACGACCTCTGATGATGCTAGGAGGAGATTGGCGAGGACTTGGCGTGCGTATCCTGATGTGATAGACAAGCTCCTCTGGTAGTTGGGATCCAGGACGTTGCTTATCGTCGTCCACCTTGGGACGACTCCCACCAATTGTCTCCAAACGAGGACATCCTGGACTTGGGCCTTATGGAGCAGATCAAGGACCAATCTCAAACCCTCGCTATCCTCCTCTTTAGCAAAGCGCTCTCCCAACTCTAGCAACCTCGAAAGGTTACTCCTCCGTTCCGCCGGCTCTACCCGAAGAAGGTCATCCTCCTCTATCTGCGTCTGATGTTGCAGTATACTCGAAAGAGCCGGTACCCCGATACTCAGGTTCTCCCAGGCTGCAGTATGCCTCTCAGAGCTCGAGGGGTGGAGCAGAGGCTTGAAAGGATGATCGTTGGGGAGAAGCTCGGAGAGTGGTGGTTGAGACGCGTACGTCCAGTCGTCTAGAAGCTTTTTGGCAAAGGGCGAAGAGGGGTGTTGCAGGATGGAGAAGAGGTACTGGTCGCTCTCTAGCGTGGCTGAGAGAACGGACTTGTCGGTCTCGGCGAGCAAGTCGAGACATTCCAAGGCTCGTGATATCTCCGCAGAGTCGGCTGAAGATGAGAGACAGTCTAATAGCGCTGTGGGACTGTCGCCAGCCCACGTCCATAACCAGGAGTAGTCTTCCAACGACGATACACTAGACGAGATGTCTGACGCTTCGATGGGTACGGCAGCTTCGTCTGAGGGGTTGGTGTAGCCGTAGACTGAAATCGTCAATTGCTCGACAGGCGCGCGGAGCATGATCATTCTGCTAACCGTCTGTCCTTATCAGCTTGGCCCAAACAATTACATGATCATCACTCACTCCTTCCGGCATATCTATAGGATAGTCCACAGCATGGTCGCCTCCTTCATAGTCTATGGTAGTCGACACGAGGGCATTGACGGGATTTGAAGGAGAGATATTGAACAAGAGCTGGCCCGACCATGAATGTGGATAAGTTACACTGAATCGTCAAGTGAGAACAGTCACGGTCCCTAGCGCAGTGAGCTTACCCTTGGCCGACCAACGATCTGACGCCTTCTGGGATGATACGAACGGATGCGACTCGGGCGGGTGCTGAGAAACGGAGGACGAGGAGGGAGTGGGCAGTGTTTGTGGGATAGAAGGCGGGCGTGGAGGAATGGTAGAGGAGAGAAGGCACCATCGCTGGGTCTCGGTATTGTGCGTGCGATTTTGTTGGACAGTCCATCATCATCGCAGCATGGCGTGGACGGCGAAGACCGAAAGTGGAGGTGTCATGCATACGTAATGCGGCATCAAATGTTCCCAGGCCATTGGCCAATGCCGCCGGCGCGGCTCTCTCCCAACTCTCTCCCAGCTTTCAAAAAAGACTATATGCTGGGATGGGCGAGGGGCCTCAGCATAGCGCTGAAGGGAGACGGTGCCAAAGCATGGCAGGTCCGACTGTGCGCAGGTTGGATCAGAATCCCCGATCGACTCGGATCTCGGTGAACCGAATCAGTCATCCGATGGCGAAACTTGAAAGGGCCTTACGTCAACGTGTATGTGATCTGCCTAATATTCAGGTGTTAATTTATACTTGATTCTATATGTATAGCATGTCGTCGAAACGAAATGGACCGAGTACCGTCGCACCTTTTGCGCCAACACCAACTGCGACGCGGACACTCCGGAGCACATCTTCCAGGGCAACTTGGGGATATTATCATCCGTGATAATTGGTTCGTCCACGGCCATTGACTCGTGTGTCTGTAGAAATGGTGAGCTGTGGGGACGGTGTGGGGACAGAGAGAGGCGAACCCGGGGGGTTGGATTCGGAGGCTTGTGGTCAGTGAGGTCGGTGATGTTCGCTGAGTTGTTGAGAGCCTGTGGGGATGGTGAATTGTGGGTGCGTTGGGGGGGGAGGGGTTGATGTGGCGTACCTTGGGGTGTCGGGGTGGAGGCGCTTGGGTATCTGTCCGGAGGTTGTTGTTCTCAGTCTCTTCATCATGTTTGAGATTTTCTAGCTCCACTTGGTAGGTGGTCGGGCGCTTTGAGAAGAACAGCCATTTGTTCGTTCCCGGGTAAAGTTCCGCTTGGTATTCGGTCTCTTCTATACGTTTTTTGAGGGCGTCCATACGCAGAGCGTTGGCCGATCTGGTGACAACAGCGTTGGCTAGGTAGATGAAGCCTCCCTGTAGATGTGTGACCTCGCTCGAAATCGTCCTTAACTGACCTATGATGCTGTTCTGCGATTTCTGCAGGTTCTTCATCTGCTTGTCGATTTTGGTGAGCGTATTGCCGGCCCCTTGGAGAGTACCGGTTGGGTCGTTGACAGTGACGGTGGTGGGAATACGTGGTTTGTTTAGTTCTTCGTTGAGATTCTACACCAGCTGGGGGGCAGTGCCCCCGGCGAACAGCTGTTGTGTGGCATGGTAGGCTAGGTGGGGGTTTGGCGGGGGGACGATGAGGGTGTCGAGGGTGGGGTGTATGTAGGGGACGTGGTCCTCCGTGTCGAACCATCCCGCAAGCGTTGGGTGGGCTGCGGAAAAGTGTGCAGCGAGCTGCTGGAGAATCACCATGGCGGACGCCATGGAGTGTCTAGTGACCTCGAGGTCGATTGAGAGAGCGCCGCAGTACCCGGGGAAGGTGAATTGGTCATGGTGGCTTGATTCGATGAGGAAATCGGGGTGTGTGGTGAAATCGCCCCCAGAGATGACAGTAGTAGTGTTGGCGGTGGAGGGGAAGGGGAGAGAGATAGCGTGAGTGGTCGCACCCGGGATTCGTCCGAATCGCCGGCTCCACGGGGGGGCTTTGTAGGCTTTGAGCTCCTTCTCTATGAAGGGGGCAATCTCCGTTTTGAAGTCAAGTGACTCTGCTGTGCGGGATCCGCCCGCCTTCTCGAACCAGGTGGCTTTGACCCATGTGGATTTGTCGTTGCGGCGGCATGGGGACCAGATGGCTTCAACACCCGCGTTGATCGAGGCTATGATAAGAAATTCGAGATCTCGTTGGTTGGCTTCTCCTCGGGCGAAGTACGGAGTGTCGAGGCGCACGAGGAGGGTTTGATCGTCCTTTCTGTCGTACCCTGCGGGGAAGGTGAGCCGTCCTTCTTACCAAAAGATTAAGGAAATGCTTATCATACCTAGGTCCCAATGATGCGTCCGCGTCCAATGGCACCGAAGCTGACATCACCGACAACACTCACGACCGCGTCCTCACCCCTGATGGTATACACTGCCGCTGGCCAGCAGGCTCCCAAGAAAGCCAGTGACGGTTTCCGGTTTGAAGCGCACGGACAAGGGTGACACCAGCCTGTACCTATTCACCCGGGGACGTAAGGCGTTGTGCCTTGGTACATAGACAAGGGTGGGAGCGACGGACGATAGTTGATGAACATTGTGTGAAGCTCCCAGACTGTCCAAGTAAGTATTAGTGGTCTGGCCCTTGCAGCTTGATGTCTGATACATCATACATGTAGCTACAGTCACACCCGCCCTGAGCATCAGCCGTATCCTGGCTAGCATGCACGCCCTTCCTTTAAGGGGGAAATCGTCTGTCCCCCAACGAAATGGGGAAATCGACTGTACCCCAACCACCGCAGCATCCTTTCAGATGTGCTATCATTGTGGACGCCTACCGGATCAGACATTGCGATGTATGTACAGTACTGCCAGTATCTCAACATATATATAGACATAGAAAACCCTTCACCCGCGACCTTCCTAGATCAGCTACTATGACGAACACAATGCGGTCAATTATCGATGATGAGTTCGCATTCAGGGTCGAGCAAGAAATCCAGCGCTGCCTAGCCGCGTGGCAGATACGGGGAGCAAGCATTATCATAGTTCAACATGATAGCCACAATATCTTGACTTTCGGACAAAGAGACGAGCACTCTCCCGTCACTCCCTCAGTAAGCTTTCTACCACCCACTCGCTCAGCTCTGACAACGCCGAGTAGACCCGCTTTGCCCTCGCCTCAAACTCCAAGCTTATCACCGCTCTGCTTCTTGTTCGGGCCCTCGCCTCCAACTCTCCCCCTCTGCCAGTCAACACCCCTATCAAAGCCATCCTTCCCTCTTTCCGTCTCGCCAACCCGCTTGCCGAAGCCGAATGTACTGTCGAAGACATTCTCTCCCACAGGACAGGCTTGCCGGGGTACGATGAGATGTTTGAACCAGGATACGTCATGGGAGAATTGGTCGAGAGGCTTGCGACATTGGAGCTGAGTGGCGGATTCAGGGAGAGGCATCAGTACAACTCGATACTCTTCGATTTAGCCGCGATTCTCGTGGAGAAACTCACAGGTCAAGCCTTCGATGTTTACGCCCATGAGCAACTCTTCCAACCCCTTGGCTTAACCTCCGCCACATTCTACCATACTCCTGACCAGGGCGAGTTTGCGAAGTCATTCTGGCAGAGAGTCGACCAAAACGGTGAAGGAGACGAAGGCCGTTGGATCGAGTATGGTATTGAAAGGTGCCAAGGCGCTATAGGTACTGGAAGACTGTGGATGGACAGCAACGACATGGTCAGTTTCCTATCTTATCTTTTGACTGGTGCTTACTTGAATCAACATTTGTACAGGCCAAATGGACCCAAGCGCTCCCGAGTATACCCGAATACGCCGAAGCTGTCATTCCCCGTACGATCGCGGGTGCAGCTGGTGGCCTAGAGTTTCCAGACCAGACCGTCCTGTACGGATTAGCGCACCGTGCGAGCACCCATCGAGGTGTGCTAATCCATGAGCATGGGGGAGAGATACCTGTAAGCCCGTCCGCGGACAACGTAACTCGAGGTAGAGTTGATGGAACTATAGGGATTCCTGTCCAAAGTCGCCAGACTTCCCGAGTACAACGCCGGCTTCGCCATCCTCTGCAACTCCGATCCCGGAGGCAAGTATTTACGAGCACTTGTGAAGTGCCGCATGATCGAGTACTTTGCAAGCCTTCCTCGGAAAGACTGGTTTGCTGTGCTAGATGCTAAGCGTCAAGGCGCATTCCGATCTTTCTCCGCCGTCTCTATCCGAGCGCCTTTTACCTCCGATGAACTTGCAGTAGATGTGAGCTCCCTCGTGGACACTTGGTCGTCTCCCGGATTTGCCACTTGGATCATCGACCATCATCAGGTAGTACCCTCTCTCCCGGCGGAGATGGGGTCTTTGCCCTTTGTAGCGAGTCTATATGGCTCTGTGGAGTTGATCTTCTCGCCGGCTCCTTCGTCCTTGCTTGAAGATGGTAGCACCAATGTAGGGAAGAAGGGAGAGAGGTGGAATGGGTGCAAGGCGTGGACGAGCTACGACACCGGCGAGGTGTTCTTCGGCGATCCGTTCCACATTGAAGTTGTCGACAATAGAATGAAGGTTGTTGGCATGACGGGTGTGGGGGAGGGCTTAAGTGAGGAGGACTGGCCGATTTGGTTCTCGCGAAGTGTCTGAGTCTGTTATTATTTTTGTTTAGAGATAAGAATAGAGTGTTTGTCGAATGATATACAATTCTGCATCAGAAACAACAGTCATAAGAGCGATCCATCTAAGCACCCTCTCCTCCTGTGAAATCATCAGCATTTGCCCATCTACAAGCGGATACTCAAGACTCACCACTCTCATTGGTAAACGTGATATGCTTTTCGATATCCGCCCCGGTCACTGTCGGCCGGTTGACAGCGATAGACTTTTCAAAGTCATTGATGCTGAGTAACGGTTCGAGGAGCTCGTCAGAGGCGACATCCGTCCAAGTCTTCTCAACTGCACCGGGGGCACCAGGGGAGCAGGGGGTGAGTTTGGTCTTGGGACCGGCTTCTGTGTCTTCTGTGACCTGCTTACAGAGTCAGCGGCGTTCGTAAAGATCAGTTGTCGCACTTACCTCTCTGAAATGGGTAGCGCTCAACACCTTTCTGACCGGCTGCATCAAAGCATCTCTGACGATCACCGCGATATCACTTCCCGAGTATCCATCCGTCTGCTCCGCGAGGTGGGTAAAGTCGGCAGGGTTGAGACCGTGTGGTGTAGAGCCAATGTTGATTTCAAACATTCTGCGTCGGGCGGCAACGTCGGGGAGGGGGATGTATATTCTCTTTTCGAATCTGTACACCTTGTCAGTGAAATGTCAGGTGAGTAGAACAGGGGCGTACCGTCGCTTGATAGCGGGATCAAGTTGCCAGGGGATGTTTGTAGCACCCAAAACAAGCACTCCTGTCTCTTCGTTTCCGACACCGTTCATTTGGACAAGGAATTCGGTCTTGATACGCCTTGAAGCTTCTGATTCTCCTTCGCCTCGCGCACCTGTGAGAGAGTCGATTTCATCGATGAAGATGATGGCAGGCTTTTGTTCACGAGCCATTTGGAACAGCTGCTTCACGAGACTACATAGATTGAGTTAAAGTCAGGACACACGAGAGAATTGCTCACCGTTCACTTTCACCCATCCACTTGGAAACCAGGTCACTACTAGACACCGAGAAGAACGTGCTCTTCGCCTCTGTAGCCACAGCCTTCGCCAAATAACTCTTACCGGTACCCGGAGGTCCGTAAAGTAAGATACCCCTCCACGGAGTCCTTTTTCCCGTGAACAGCTGCGGGAACTTGATCGGCAAGATGACCGCTTCCTTCAACGCCTCCTTCGCCTGCGCCAAACCCGCCACATCGTCCCATTGCACGTTCGGGCTCTCCGACAAGATAGCTCCCTGAAGTCCTGAACGGAGCTTCTTGATATCAGGATCATCCCCATCTTCTCCCTTGACGTCGGAACCTCCAGTAGAGGAGCCGGCGCCGGCACCGGTGGCGGACATCTTGGATTTGGAGCGTTTTTCGTCTGATTTGGCGATATGTTCTTTGAGCTTTTCGGCGCGGTCGAGGTACTCGGTAAACTTCTTGCGGATGAGTTCTTTGAGCTTGTCGTTCTTCTCGTCTGGTATCTTGGGTAAGGCTGGGTCGGGAAGGGGCATAGTATGACGTACACTTCATAGCCTGCGGACGGGTCAGCAATGGACATTTGCAGGGCAAAGGAGCATACCATCATGAAATAATCAAGAGCATCTTGATACTGCTTGTATGCCTCCTACGTGGCGTCAGTCGGGCACCCTATCGTCTAGGATCGACGCACGGCATAGTTCTGCTTGACGTCCTCGTCGATGGCCTTTTGGACCAGAGCTATTGCTTTCTGCAGATAGTCAGCCTACTACCCATTGCTCTTTCTCCAGCCCATCTCACATCTAGAAAGTTCGAGTTGCTCATCCCGGGCGATGCAGATAGAGATGCAACAGGCCATGAGCGCGGGATCAACAACTCAAGGAGCCAAAGGCGTTACGTAAGCGCGCTACTCTTCTCTATCATTGTTGCTTGTCGACCCTTTTTTCCTCTGCATCTCTAGTTGACATATACATTCCCGCCCACCATGGCCAGCGCATCTGGATACAACCACCACAGGTTCGCCCGCGCCGTGCTCAAAAAGTCGCGCAAATGGGAGCCATCCCTCACCGTCCAGCTCCATGCTAATCATTGGCGTTTTGAGAACTCGGCAAGTGTCACGCATCCATTATAGCCTTTGCTCATACTGTACCAGCCCATGAACTTTCAATACGAAGGCCCCATGAAACCTTTTCTCCTCGCCGTCCGCTCCCAAGTCATCCCCGCTTCTCTCATTCCCTTCCTATACGACATCCAGCCCCCAATCTCCTTTGTCGACGGCTGCCTCGTAGTCGAGCTCCAAGACTTTCGCCGGACACCTGAATCACGTTCCAGAGTAGTGATGCGGCCTGCGGCGGAGACGCTGCCACAGACTATCGACGTGATGCTCGAGCGGAAAGGGCAGGCGTGGGATGATCAACTCGCATTAGAGCTGGAGAGTCGCATTATCGCTGCTACTTCCCCTCCTCTCTATCTAGGGACCTCAATTATGGCTACCCGCAATGCGAGCCTCGCCCTATCCATTACTTCCCCCGCCCACCCCAACTTGTCATCTGAAGGCTCCCTGCGACAGCCCCTCTCAGCCGAGTCTGACCAGGCCTCCTCGCTCGACCGTATGCGCAAGCTCGTACTCGCAGGATCGAGCCAAGGCAGCGGCGCAGCGCCTTTCCAGCCGGATTGGCTTGTGTTGAGGTCGAGGGAGCAGTTTGAAGCGATGAAGATGGCGAGGGACAGAGGGTTTGCGCCGCCGGGAAGTCAGGGGCCGGGGTCGATTGGGCCGAGGTCGTCGGTGGGACCAGGGATGGGCTTGGATGGTAAAGATGATGGTGGCAAGAGGAAGGGGAAGAAAAGGCCTGGAGAGGAAGATGAGGCGGAAGTGGCTAAGCCAAAGTCAAAGAAGAAGAAGAAGAATCCACAGGCTGCTGTCGAGGTGGAGGACAAGAAGAGGCCTTCAACGAAGAAGGGCGGGGACAAGAAGAAAGCGTCAAAGAAGAAGGATGCTTAGAGTGTATTGTCGCATGGTTGTATACTAATAGACTATTCATATGTATTGTAGCAGTATCAGGATCATGTTCAGCCTCAGCCCGTACTCACCGACGCCTGGACGCCTGCTCTCGTATGCCGCCATATACGGCCGGTCACCTCCATCCTAAGATTACAGATTTGGCTTTCACCAAAGGGGAGGCGACAGCAATGGGACGGCTAGCAAACAGTCCGGGCATCTTCCCAGGCGAAGGACGTAAAGGCGGGAGGAAGTGAAGAACGCTTGATGTTGATAACAACAGAGACACCATGAAAGCATCAAGTTTCAGCCATGGATTTATGACAGGTCACTCGCCTGACAACTGTCTACAACATGCATTATTGTTTACAATTATAGGATACGATACAGATTATCATGACTTGTTCTGGGCAGAAGTATTGCCCTTTTCTTCTTTGATCTTCATACTGTCGATAGATCAGCACCTGATTCATGCCCATAGGAGCGACTTACGTCAATAACACGATTTCAACCAGTCTTTCCACTGCTCCAGCTTCCCTCTCCCCAGGCTCCCGCTTCGCATATTTCGCTTGCTCAATGTACTTGACCCACGAGTTCAGCAGAACTCTGAGACCGGTGTCTTCTTGCGGAGGGATGGTGGAGGAAGAAGAGGGGGATTCGAACGGGTTTTGAGGGCTGGAAGATGGGATACGCTTGAGGGCGTTGTAGAATGGTTGATATGACAAAGGGCTGTAGGATAGATCGTCTTTGACTCCCAGCGCCTCGCCTATAAGTAGGCAGTCAGCACTTTCCCTCGTCCGAAGCCAGAAGTGAGCTTACGCATGACGCTGACGCTGCCCAATATCCAACTCCTAAAGTGCTTCCCCTCCCACTTCGTCCCAGGCCTTCCCCACCCTTCCTGCTGCCCCGTAGTAGCCTGGCTGATATGGCTGATCACTGCCGTCCGCGAGTATTCCGTAGCGATATGGTTTGCGACTTTTGGAGGGACGTCGTCGGGTTTGGTGGGGATGTAGGGCTTGGGCATGGTCTTGAGCATCTTTTTGATTGATATTATACGGGACCAGGAGTGGGTTATACAAAGGAATGCCTGGTCCATGTCAGTATTGGCTCCTTCAGGCATGGATTGTACCCACAGTGATGACATATGCCAGGACAACAACCAACACATTCCAATTCTTCTGCCCTCCTGTCCTCCACGCCTGTGCTCCCATGCCCCAGGCCGCTGCCACCAGAAGCGCAGCATTGAGAAGAACACAAAACCAAAAGGACGAATGATACAGTATAGAGCGGACCTTGGTCCATTTCAGCCGTTTCCTCTTCTTCTTGGGTTCTTTGGGCTGGCGGGATACCGTATTTTCGAGAAGAGGACGGGGTGTCGGTGGATAGCTGTGGGCGGCGGGGGACTGGGGGAAGGAGCGGTGGGTGGCGGAGGTGGGAGGGACGCGGGAGATGGGGGTGTAGAGGGTGTTGTTGGGGGTGAGGGGGGATTTGGAGTGGAACATGGCGAGTATTATAACATGGTGGTGATAAAGAAAAAGCGAAAGAAAGAATAATGCAGATGTTGTTTTGGACAAAGCGCGGACATTCCGGACATGGAACCGACGTCCGGACCCGAATCGCTTTGCCTCAATTCAACTGCAGTTCTACTTCTAAGTACCCGCTTTTCTCTGGCCCCATAGCTGTACATATAATTGCATAAACCCTTGAGGAATCACACCAAGGCTGGATTATCGAAACATCTTTCCATTTCATGATCATATCATTATGCGCCTGACCCCCCATACTGCGCAACACCAGCCTCATTACCTCACCATCTAGACTTGCCCTGCTCCAGCTGCTTCTCCAAAGCCGATCCTGGATGCTCCTCCGAATCCGCCCCCTCATTCGCCGTCTCATGGAACGCCGGACCAACACCCGCGCCTGTATGTTGGTTGGCAACCGGGGCGGGAGGGAGTTCGTGGCTCTCGTGTCTATCATTCCATGTCAGCTTGCTTCGCTACACACGGAGAAGGGGACTTACTGTTCACGACGCGCTGGAGGAGGGGTAGTCTGACGGACGAGATGCCTGAAAGATCGGACTTCGTTGAGGATAAAGTCACGCATACCCGAGACAGAGTCTTCTTCTTCAAAGGAGAAATCGAATGGGACTTCACACAAAGGCTCGTCAGTAGGGTCGTGCCACACCGCCAAACTGCCAGTCTGTCAGCTAGACCTCTACAGAAATGGGGGAAGACGTACTAGGGGTGCTCCAAAGCCTCTTGACACCCAAACCTTTTCGCCGGGTCAAACGTCAACAACTTGCCCAACAGGTCCAACGCCAAAGGCGACGCGGTCGGGTAAAGCGTCTCGAATCGTACCCTAGGCTTGATGGGCAAGCTTCGGATGTAATCTTGCGCACGAGGGGAACCGACGCGGCGGAGAGTATCTTCGGTGGGGGTACCGAGGAGGTTGAGGATCTTGTTCAGTTGGTCGACGTAGTCTTCGCCCTTGAAGATGGGCTTGCCGCCAAGAAGTTCGGCGAGGATACAGCCGACAGACCACATGTCGATGCTTGATGTCTGATCTCAAGAGTCAGCGAGACCAGACTAGAGTATGAAGGGTACGCACGTAGTTGGCAAAGCTCAGCATGATTTCGGGGGCTCTGTACCACCTCGTCGCAACGTCTTTACACCCATCAGCTCAGGTCTCACGGCCCCAAAAGCAGAGACCCACATTCAGTCATGAATCCTGCCTGTCCCTGGTCCGTCTGAACCGCACCAGGCTGGAACCCACGCGCCAATCCGAAATCACAAATCTTGAGTTCACAATCGGCATTCACCAGCAAGTTTCCGGGTTTCAAGTCTCGGTGGAGAACGTTGGCAGAGTGGATGTACTATGACGCGAGTCAAATGAGTCTAAGATGAAGATACGAGACGGGACGGCTTACTTTGAGACCACAGAGGGTTTGGTAGAGGAAAGATTGGAAATGGGCGTCGGACAGAGGCTGGCCAGATCGGATCTATAACAGACACATCAGCTTCACGCCCCACTCCATGCATCTTCCCCACCTAAGACCTCTTCCGAAACTGGGAAGCTACTCACAATAGCATGCAAATCCGCCTCCATCAGCTCTTCATACAAGTACACTTCCCTAAACTGGCCTGATCCGGGAGGGTCAAAGACAATATCCATGTCGTACAAGCTAGCAGCAGAGTTAGTAGGGCGTATAGGGAGGGGAGATTGCCGGATTGAGTTGATGGGACACACCAGGTGATCTGTGCGCGAGATTGAATGTCAGCTAGTGATCCATGCCTTGCCTTGCCTTCCCTTCCCTCCCCGCCCCAGCCCCCTCTTCCCCGTCTGAGATGAAACAAAGACTCACGTTCTTATGGCCTCTGAAGTGATGCAGCAACCTCAACTCTCTCAAACACCGCTTGGTCAAGATCTTTTTCTGAAACACATTCGTTACTTTCTTGACGGCACAGGTCTCGCCCGTCATCGAGTTGCGTGCGGACGAGACGCAGCCGTAAGCGCCTTGTCCGAGCTCCTTGACGAATTGCCATGGTTGTTGGAGGACACTGAATGGAGAAAGCGGGGAGAGGTCAGTCGTGTTCACAATGAGTAAGACGGGGAGGTGGGGATGGAGACGATCGGAGCTGGAGCTGAGGGGAACTTACTAGACGTTGTTGGGCGTTTGGAACAGCTGGCGGGGTGTATTATCCATGGCACTCCTGTAGTGCGCTGGCAAGAAGAAAGATGAAATGAAAGAGAAGATGGAAAATGAATCGCAAGGCAACCACAGCCGAGCATACACAGCAACACACAGCCACGCGCAGGTGGAGGTTCAGGTACAGGTTACGTAAGCCCGCATGTTCATGGCCGCCGCCCAGCCGCCGCCGCCGACGGAAGTGGGCGTATGTATGCGAGCCTGGTGAGGTTACATATATGTAGTGGCTATGTAGAAGAGGTTCACAGACTACATGAATGAAGCTGTCTTCAACAGATCATGAACGACAATGAGTCTGTTGACTGAGGTCGTCGATAGAGAAGAATGGCCGGTGACACCCGCCCCATGAAGCCGCAGCAACGGCTCGACTTGCAACTTTGCCCTCCTGGCAGAGCTAAGGTATTCGGAGCTGATCAAGTCTGTATGCTCAAAAGGCATAAGATGTAGAAAAGGAGGTGGACGATCTCACATCTGTTAACCAGCTTCCGTTGTCCCCTGGCTGAACGGGGCGAACAAGTATCATTCGTTGATTATCGTGCGCCATCTTCATCCTGCACTCCAGGGGCGGTCAAATGGTAGCGAGGAGTGACCCCTTTTGATATTCTCCAGAACCATTGCCCCGGCCAACAAGAGCTGTTCATTCATAAAGTCTTCTTCTGCCGATCAACATGTCGCGATAGACGATCTGACGAGGAGACCTAACCGACCGACAACCAATCGTCTTGACCTGGTCCTCTAGCTTTCAAGTCTACAGTATATATCTGTTAATGGGAGATCCTTGTAAGTACCCGCTCCACAGCACAGCAGAAGTAGTGCTTATCTGGTAGATCTCATATGGGTTCTGGCTATATGCCCCACCGGCGCATTGATCACCGCGCGTCCTTCACTTCTCGCGGGGTAACTGTGATATCTCTTTTCTCTTTCACCTTTCTACAACAGCTTACCACTCCCTTCACTACTCCTAGTATCTCTATTCAACAACTCGACCATACCACTCAGGTGGTCTCTCGATCGACCCTCGTCTTACAGAGGCGTTCAGAAGCAACGCCCCGCCGTACACACCACCATCCCGAAGAGGTGCACTCATCCTGGCACCCATCCTCCTTCCCCTCCTTTATATCTCATCCTGGCCGTCCTACCCCTCCATCCATCGATTACCCCTCTCACCACTCATCAGGAGCTGAGCCTGTGAAGATGGATGTGGTGCTAAATGTACAAGTGAATACGTTCTCGTTGCTGCTTGAAGTCGTTCAACTGATAGACTTCTGCGCTCGGACTGCGCTCGGACTCTCCCATCCCAGCTTCTTCTTCAGTATTCTCGTTGCGCCACGTTATTCGTCTTCTTCTCGTCACTCTCGCTCTCGCATGCCCGATCCCCGACCCGCTCAACGCCTTTTGCAAGACGTGTGCAATACGCCCTACAGCAACGCCCTCCCCAGCGCTCTCCTGTGAAAAACGACAACACAATTTGGACACCTTGCAAATCAGCAGCCCAACATGTTTCCTGAGGAGTGATATCCCAGTTGACCTGAAAGGTGTATTGGTTGACGCGATGTGCATGTCTATCACACCCTCTGCCAAACCAAAGTCGCCCGCCGACCTGTATCTACAAGGACACTTCAATATAACCGGACAGCTGTCAAACTTACCAAATCTTCCATCCTTTCCTGGTGAGCTCTTCCGCCTCTTCTTCTCTTCTGCTTCTTTGTCCGTCGGTTCCGCCCCTGTTGAGCGCATGATCCGACCGAACGAGAATGTAAACTGCTGTACATACATACGTCAGCAACATCGTCATCACTTTACCAGCTTTTCTCCACGTTGCCCTTCACCTTCCTTTCTCCTGCCTTCCAGAATGTTCTCTGAAAGGGGTCCACTCTAGTTCAGTCTTCTACACGCGCATTGGTATAATGACGGTGGTCGGTTGTGACACGGGGATGGGGTGATGATGCTGCTAGGGAAAGCTGATTAATGCTGTGCTGGTCACTTTGATGAGTGGGTTACGGATGATGGTGTTCGAGGGGCGGACCCAGACTCTCTTCCTGACCTCCCGTACAGAACATAAACTAACGACACACCCCAGTAATTCAACATCCCCTCGCTCGAACCCCTAAACCCATCCACTCCCCGACCCCCCATCCGACTATTGTTTGGGCCTACCCCGACGGCTCACAGCGATCAGTGACATGCATGGTCTCAGGAAAGGAGGCGTCCTTTCCGCTCGGAGGGTATTGGTGCATCAATACTACCGGGCCAGGCCCTCCCGCGCACCGGGTCGATTGATTGTGACGCCCATCACACACACCTGTTCCTGTTCCAACACCCCGGACACCGGGCGATTGGGGGTGGGCAGTCGCCTCCTTTCGCTGCATTTTTTCCTCCCCGCTCGTCTTTCTCTCTCGGGATGTGTCTCTTGCGAGGTAGAGGAAAGACGGGCTCTTATCACAGAGGGGCGCGTCGGAGATGGCCGAGCGGCAGTCCCCCACTCTCCCTGGATCCCCCACTCTCTTTTCCTCGGCGGGAGAGATAGGGTCAGGTGGGGAAGCAGTTAGCAGCGCAATCCATAAAAGCGGGCTACATATAACATCCCTGTGTGCGTCCTGCCGATCCATCTCGTCCTCCTTGTGCATCACTCCCCCCTAATACTCTTCTGTTTGGTCCGCCTCACCCCGCCGTCTCCCCCGACGAACGCGACTACACGCACTCCTTTCGGCCCATACGCACACTCTACGCCCTGCCTGTTTGTGTCCCACTAGAAACAAGAACTTTTCTCGAATTTCCGAGAGCATATATCTAGTAACCCATAACTTGCCCGTCATCCCACCCAAAAACGAAGCGATGCTTCCCGACATTCTCTTCATCTCTCCCACCATTATCTCTGGCGCAGAAGACGCCATCCCCTACCCCGCCGATGTCCTCATTTCTGCTGATACCGGCCTCATCACCACCATCGCCCCGCCATTTACCCTCTCGTGTCAGCTCTTATTCGAGAGGTCGAAGGCGCGCGAGAGGGGTGATAAAGTGCAAGAGGTAAAGGAGATAGAAGCCGAGGGGCTGGTCCTTTGCCCGGGATTTATTGACCTGCATGCGCATTCGGATCTGTATGTGTTGACGCATCCGGATCATATAGCAAAGGTCTCTCAGGGATGTACTGTACGTCTCTCTTCTTCTTCTTCTTCTGAGCTGACTCCTTGACAGACCGAAGTCCTGGGCCAAGACGGCATTTCCTACTCTCCCATCTCCTCTCCCTCGCAACTGACCGCCATACGCTCCCAAATCGCTGCTTGGAACGGCAACCCCAACCCTGCAGACTACCCAGAGGTGACGGGTTTGTTTGAGTGGAAGAGCACAGGGGACTATTTGGATTGTTTGGAGAGGAATGGGGTGAGCGTCAACGTCTGTACGCTTGTGCCGCAGGTGAGTGTTCTCCTCCTGCTTATCCTCTACTTCTTTCCTCTCGAAGTATTTGGATGGAGGTATGGGAGAAGTGACAAGAGCTGATCGGGGAATAGGGCAATTTGAGGTTACTAGCCTGCGGACCATGGGACAAGATCGCCACGGCTGACGAGATCGAGCAACAAGGCCAGCTGCTACGCAAATCCATGCGCGAAGGTGCCGTCGGCATGTCTTCGTACGTCTCCCCTCATCTATTCACAATTACAATACTAACGTTAATGCAGAGGCCTGACATACACCCCGGGGATGTACGCCTCCACCTCCGAGCTCTCCACCTTATGTACCATCCTCGCCCAAGAATTCCCCGGAAGCTTCTATGCGCCGCATCATAGGAGCTACGGGTACAAGGCGTTGGAGAGCTATGGCGAGATGTTGGGTTTGGCAAAGGATACGGGGTGTGCTGTTCGTAAGTCTCCCTTCCCTCTCATCTAGGAATGTTTATTGACGTGAAACAAGATTTAACACACGCAACTTTAAACTTTCCCGAAAACACCTCGAAAGCCCCGCTCCTTCTCTCTCTCATTGACTCCCACCGTTCCCTCGGGTGCGACATTACCCTGGACACATACCCTTACCTTCCCGGATGCACCACTCTTTCTTCTCTGCTTCCTTCCTGGGCGTCTGCGGGCGGGCCGGAGGAGACGATGAGGAGGTTGAAGGATGAAGTTTGTAGGGAGAAGATTAGGAGGCAGGTGGAGATTGAGGGGTGTGATGGGGGCCATGGGATCCCTACGGATTGGGGAGTTATTGCCGTACGCCTCTCTCCTCGCTTCTTCTCGTTCCCTCGAATACTGACTTTGGGCACAGATCGGATCCACCTCCAACCCGGCCCTATCCCACCTCAACGGCCGGCTCATCTCCGAAATCGCCCGCTCCTCCTCCCTTCCGCCCATCGCCGTTTTCTTTGACATTCTGTTGCAAGACAAGCTGGGCACGAGCTGCGTGATGCATATAGGCAATGAAGAGAATGTGCGGATGATTATGGGGCATGAGACGCATTGTGCGGGGTCGGATGCGATCTTGCATGGTGAGGGGTTACATCCCAGGGTATATCGTTGAGCGTTTGCTGCTTTTGATGATAGCTGATTTGGTATAGGCTTATGGCACATTCCCGCGCTTCCTAGGACACTACTCCCGCGACCTCAGCCTCATCCCCTTACCCAACATGATCGCCCACATGACCTCCCGTCCCGCCAAACGGCTCTCCCTCTTCCCCCTCCGCGGTCTGATTGCCCCCGGCTCATTCGCCGACATTGTCGTCTTTGACCCAAAGACGATCAAGGATAAGAGTACGTTTGACAAACCGAAAGAGAGGGCGGAGGGAGTCAAGTGGGTTGTGGTGGGGGGCAAGGTGGTGGTTGGGGATGGGGAGGTTTTGAAGGGTGTCAGGGGAGGGAAGGTGTTGAGGAGGAGGGAGGGCGGGAAGGTTTGGTGAGGTGCTCTCTTTCTTGGTTGTTGCTTTTGCTTTTTTGCTTTTGCTTTTTTGCTTTTGCTTTTTTGGACATTTGCCTTTTCCTACTGATCTTGTTGCTTTTCTTCTACTTTTTGCTTGCTCTGATATATATATAAAAGACTTGGTAGATTTTACATAGTGGAGTCCATACTACATATCTGATATCTAGGCCTCAAGTATCATTCCACTATCTGTATGGTTTCGTAGACTCAAAATGTATCAAAGAAGGCTGCTACAGTTCTCAAGTGAACCGACCATTTCATGCGCCATCCGAACAGAGCGGTCAGTGAAAGAATGAGCAGTGAAAGAATGTTCATAATCGTCTTATGGGGCACCTATGATACCCAAGTGAGATCGAAGGCCGACCTGCCATACCTTGTTCTTAGACGACTCGCTTGAGTTAGCAACTTCTGCAAAAGGCGGGTTGCTCTCTCTTCCCCACTCTGCCCCCACCCCTTCCCGTTCTCAAACTAGACCTTACGTTGGTATTGCACGATATAGCTAAATGTACATCCGGCATCACATGGTACCTCTATCCTTGAGTAAGGAGAGGAACCACTTAGAAAAGAGCACAAGATGCTCCCCCACCTTTCCCCACTCTGGTCGGCTGGTCGGCAATAAAGATTGGACCCCGCGATAAGCCGCTCAGGAAATTCGCCGAGCCTCTGCCGAATCGATGGATCGAGTGGAAGTCGGGAGGGGGATGCATGGGACTGCATGAGGGAGAACAGGGGTATGCATGAGGTGAGTCTGGAAGGGAAGAGGAGAGATGGATGGGATGCATACACATGAGGCATTCCTCCGACTCGCCGACGGTCAGGGTGTAGCAAATCACGCGCTTCAGTCCACCCGAGATAAGAATCCCGACCCCTTATAAGACCCATCTTTTTCTTCCATCCCCTCGCCCATCCCATTCTGAATATCAACAATGTCCACCTCCACCCCCCTCTCGTTCTACTCCCTCCCAGACAAGGGCCAGCTTCAGAAGGCATTCGTCGGCAAGCCGCTCTCCGCTTTGCGCACCCCGGCTTTGATTGTGGATAGAAAGGTCTTCAAGGAGAACTGTGAGCGTGTCACGGGGGAGGCAAATGCTAGAGGGATGGCTTTCAGGGCGCATGTCAAAAGTGAGTCCTCATCTCTGAATATTGACGAAGAAAGAGCTGACAGGAGCGATAGCGCACAAGACGACTGAAGGCACGAGGATGCAGGTGGAAGCTGCTGGCGGTGTCAAAGCTGTCATTGCATCGACTATGGTCGAGGTCTGGCAGGTCGTTCAATCTGGCTTGGTGGAAGAAGGCCTTGTGGATGATGTACGTTCCGCCGCCCTTCCTTCCTGTTTTCTGTACCTTGACGAGTGGGGAGCTCATGGGAAGGCTAGATTCTGTATAGCATGCCCATAGGCGCCGATAAACTGGAGGACATCACCTCTGCTCAAGACGCTATGGTTGGTAAAGGTGTGATCCGGATTATGGTCGACCACGCCCAGCAGATTCAGTTCCTCCAGGCGTACAACAGGAGACTGGCTAGTGAGGGGAAGGAGAGGGGAAAGTGGTCGGTCTTTGTTAAGGTTGATGGTGGTGGTCGGTACGTCTGAAGTCCTCTTCACGATAACAAAAAGCCAAATGCTGATTGCTGATGGGGCGGACAGACGAGCGGGCGCGCCTCCCGAGAGTGAGCAGATGAAAGACCTTCTGGCCGCTATCCTCGCTGCACCCGAGGCTATCTCCATCTTTGGCTTCTACTCCCGTACGTCCCTCCCCCCTCCTCCTATCTTGGATGAAGCTGACATCAAAGAATAGACTTTGGCCAATCCTACGCCTCCTCATCCCTCGCAGCCGGCTCATCCTTCTTCCACGCCGAAATCGCCTGTACCCAAACCGCCGCCAAGCTCGCTCGCTCCCTGGGTGCCCTGGGTGATTGGGTCATCTCGGTAGGCGCTACCCCGACGGCACATGCGGCTGTTCAGGAGGCGGTGACGGATTTGAAAGTCGATGGGAAACTCGAGCTGTAAGCTTTCCCCACCGCCCCGTCGTAAGACAAGGCTGACGGGTTCAAAGACACGCGGGCTGTTACTGCATGAACGACCTCCAACAACTATCCACCTCCCTCCCTTCCCCCTCCCACCTCGCACTCTCCGTCCTCTCCCGCGTCGTATCGCTCTACCCTGCTGAAGATCGACGAGAAGCCATGTGCGATACTGGCGCTCTGGCGGTGTCCAAAGATACGGGCAGGCAACCCGGGTATGGGCGGGTTATCTGGCCGAAAAAGGCGGAGGGCTGGGACCTGGGGAGGGTTAGTCAGGAGCATGGAACGCTTTTGAGGCGAGAGGGAGGAGGAGGGGGAGAGGGAGAGTTGGAGATTGGGGACCTTATTCGGATCTTGCCTCAGCATGCGTGTTTGGTGTGCGCGTGTTTCCCGTGGATGTATGTGGTGGATGATGGAGGGAAGGAGGTTGTAGATGTTTGGGTGCCTTGGAAGGGGTGGTAGTCTTTGTTCGTGCTGTGGATTGGCAGGCTTGTGGTGTCGCTTGCTGGCAAGAAATCAAGAACAATGACCGGCACACTTGAACCATTGGAAGTAAGCTACTTTGTTGCTTGACGAGTATAAACCCCTGCAACAAGGCAAGAGATGTATACCAAGCTACAATCAAGGGCATGTCAACAGGACTGCGTGAGGATCAAGATGACCAACGACAATGTGGACTGGGGGCTTGTCGGACTCAGCCCAACAGCGCTCATCGCCTATCATATGTTGTTGTAGAACCGCTTTGAGGGTTGTGGCTGTACGCGGCCAAATCATACCATACCAACCCTCAAATATAGCCAGGATGGTGCAAACAACCACGACCTTTGCGGTCTATGATACCCTTCATCGCGCAGGAGACTTGAGACCTTTTCGTTGACAGAGCACTACTATGAAACATGTTTTCCTATCGATGATCCTATATACAACGTGAGGCAAAGAAGGTACTGGCTACAGCATGAATGTGTCGACAAGATCAAAGGAGCAGATAATCCCATATATATACAACCCTCGTGGAACCCAAATAAGAGACACATAAACCCAGAAAATATATACAACACGCTTCCCCTTGTTTCGTTTTTCGTTTTGTTTCATTTCCGACCACCGCGGACCAGCCTCCTCAGCAGAGCACCATTCTCCCGACCCGTCCCTTGTCCCCCTCCGGCTCCGATACCCATCCCTCCCATAATGGGCGTCCCTCCGCCGTTGACCTCTTCCAGAACGCTCGCCACATACTCCATCAATCTATCCATTTCCCCGCCTTCCAGCACATCCATCCTACCAGGAAGACAGAGGATCTTGTCAAGAAAGACAATGATGGGCTCTTTATTTTGCTGAGCAGGCGTCGGAGGTGGCGGGGGCATGTGCCCGTTATGGCCGTTGTGTCCGTTCATCCCACCCGGGTGAGGGTGGGTCACGTTATGCGGAGAGTGAGAGAGCGTATGGGGACGGGAGATGTGCATTGTGTTGGGTGATATTTGGGTGGATGTTGAAGGTGGGTAAGCTGAGCCGTTAACGGGTTGGGTGAGGTGGGGTAGGGGTTGATGGACGGCGAGGGGTGGTTCCTCTCGGACGAGCGTCTCCGAGTATGCCCAGCAAACCAACTGATTTTGTCAGCCTCCCGTCACCATTTGTCAGAATGACACTCACAGTAGTCAAAAAGACAGCCCATGGGGTATACAGCCCCCACTCGCTCAAGAGCGACTGCCTCAGATACCGCGCACACTGCCAAACGCACGTCCAAGCGTCGTCGGTTTTGGCCCAAAGGCGGAGACGGCGCTTGGCGTCGGCGTACTGGCGGGGGCCGATGGTGCTGCCGCAAAACGAGGTCGAACCTGCGGCTACGCAGAGCATGGGGCTATCGGATATTAGCTGGGTATGATGGGCAAGGTTGAGGGACGTACATGTCGGAGAGGATGGATATGATGCAGATGGCGAAGGAATCTCTCAAATCTCTCGATTCGATAGCTTCGCCCATCCTCACCACCTCTTGCTCATACGCCGCTCTCAGCGCCACCACCGCTGTGCCATCCATTAGCTTTGCCCCTCCTTATAAAGATGCACTCACATCGAAAGACGATCGACCTCCAATGCTTGGTCCCCTCCTTGAACCTAATCCCCATCCCGCCCCTCGTCCTACAATCCCAGGCGATAGCGATCAGCCCGATAAGGATCATCTGCACCGTCAGGCAGTTGTCCAAATCCGCCTTGAACGCCAGCGGTTCCAGCGCCAGCGACGCCAATATCGCAGACGAGTATCCATCCGTCACCGTCGACACCTGAAACTCGGGGTGCAGCCCCGGCAGGTAGCCGGACCGTTGTTGGTTGGCCGCGCGGCGGGGGGTGGGTGGGGTGGAAGGTTGGCGGATACGGAGGCGGAACCATTCGGATGCTGTGGGGGCTTGCCATTGGGAGCGGTCGCTGGGGAGGGTGAGGTGGTGGGCGAATATGGATAGTTGGCGGGAACAGTGTTGGTTCCAGAATGCCGACAGCTGGGTGTCAATAAGCAGGACGCAGTAAGCTGCTCGGCGACGTTCTGGGATTGTCAGCTACATCCACGAAGATCCGGACTTACCTTCTTCTTTCGCCCACGCCGCCCAAGCTTCTTCTTGATGCACCTCCGTATCCGTCTTGCCTACAACTCCAATCCCCTTCTTCCTTGAATGTGCCACCATGACGGGCCACATACACTGCGCTACGAATTGACTCTCCGCCGTCCCATACCACGTATCATGCACATGGCAGAGACAAAACGTCTGCAACGTCGTCACCGGCATATCTAGGCCGCAACCTTGAACGAGCATGCCTCGGATTTTGGAGACGAGCGAGAGAAAGCTTCGGCGGGGCGACATATGGACCGAGCCGACGATGGCCATCATAATAACAAGCTCGGTGGGCGCGGTGGCGAGGTCGAATGTCCCGCGGTGGATAAAGGGAAATGTGGGCGCGGTACGGGACCAATACGTTTGGATGGCCTCTATAACCCAGGATAGAGGGACATCAAACTCCTGTTATTGGTTAGCATTATGCAGAGGGGGGGAGAGAGGGGCATACTGGATATGATCGTTGTAATCTCGAGACAACCATCGCACTCGCCATCTTATCTTGCCCCCTTTCCGACGACTCTTGCTGTGGCATGTGCGCCATATCCGGCATGTTCCACGGTAGGTCCATCATGGGTTCGTTAGTAGGCGCTAGAGACTCGTGGAGCAGCGCCTCCCATTGTTCTGGTGCCCACAGTGAAAACCCCCAGTCGCCCATGAATTCTCCAATGACAAAATCGTTCCCCGCTATAGGATTTCCTATAGCTGACGGAAGTGGTGCGTTGAGGTCAAACTGGTTGTTGGGTATGGTTGCGCCCCCGTCAGGCGCAAAAACGGTATTGTTTGGGTATACGATAGTTGACGAGGCGATGGCATTTGAGCTCATGGTATCGATCGGAGGGGGCGGGGGCTGTCGGTGGGGAGGGGGTAGCGATGGAGCACACTCCTCCGAATCGCTCTCGCTGACTCTGCGCTTCTTTCTCGATCGTCCAGAGCCGCTGGCCGCCTCTTCGCCACAGATATTGCGTTTCTCATGTCGCTGTAGGAGATCGAACCGCTTGAATTCCCGGGAACACTTGGAACAGCTGAACGACGTCTGCGAATCTGTATGGGGTGAGCTATGCATTCTCCAGGACATGGGGACAGACGCACGGTTGGCCGAGTGGCGCATTAAATGGTCCTACAGCGCATCCCAGTCAGCAATCAGCATCTACACACAGGAGAGAAAAACACGCGCACCTTTCTTGTGAAGGCCTTTGTGCAACCTGGATGGTCGCACCTGAAGCCGAGGGCGTCGCCGTCCATAGGGGGACTGTGGGATGTTGGATAGCTGGAGAGGAAAAGAGATGACATGAGCCAGTGTCCATCTCATCGCGAGCCAAAGGAGACGACCAGGCAACGACCAGGTGAACCTTGTCAGAATTGGTTCCGCTCAGGCCTCTGATCGTGGCTTGCACCATCGCAGGAACTTTCCGCATGCAGAGCGAGACACACATGAATTCCCCCGTCAGCCGCCGTATGCTCCATGGCTGACGAGGACAAACGGCAGGGTTAGCCCGGAACATGGAAAGAAGCGTGACAGGGCACACCGCACAGGGGCCTTTACGTGGCACGCCTGTTCGCCCCATCACATGAATGGCCATGCATGACTACCAGGGTCCTTTCAGTGCCATCTCGTAGATATCCTCAGCTTGCGCAGGACAGGGGTTCACACGTCCAGATAGATTACATGAGAGGCACCGACCAAAGTCGTGTTGTTGTTGTCGTCGGCCTGCCGCTTGCCTGGACAGCGAGGTCGGCGGAAAGATGGGGCAGGTGTCATGCGGCTGATAGGGATGTTATATTACTTATATATCACTGTGATGTGCGATTGGGTACATGCATGTGTTGAACCATCTTCAACTCTTGCCGCCATGGTCGCCGGCGCGCCGGACAGCTGCCAGGCGGCGCAGTGTTCATCAAGGCACTAGAAGGAGGCCTTCCCTCGTTCAGTAAGGTTTCCGAGGCAGCACGCAGCCGTGACCTGCCAGAGACGCAGAGGATACGTATGCGTAAGCCCTATTACTCATCATCATGTCACTGAACATCTCTTGACGATACCGCAAAGTTGGTCGTCGATCTGGCGTTGACTGTCGGTCTTCCGAGCGGCGAGCGGCGACCAGCCACCAGCGCAGTAGATACTCAAAGCTACTAGTCTCTGCCATACTAGTCTCTGCCAAGCGAGTTGGCTGAGCTCTTCTCAAGGCAGGAGGGACTGGCGCTTGTCATACACTCCCATCAACTCGGCAACCAGCTTGTCGTCCCATCCTGCCAGGGCATTGATAGCGTGATAGATGTCTCTTGATGATGCCTTCTTTCTTGATTTTTGTTATCATCATGAACGTTCCAGAATGTTGATCCAAGAATCCAGACAGGTCTTCGAATGCATGGCTTTGATCAAGTGCCCACAGGCTCCATTAGAACTGCCCATCCATATACAAGCTCTACACACATCTCATCATCAGACCCATGTGTTGATACAATCCAAGGCTCTCAACGACAGATGACTCATTTCATCTGATTTCATGACGTTAAGTCCATCAAGATCTCACAATATCCATAAGACATGCATCAGACTTGCCTAGAGACCCAGCTCCACATCCCCGTAGCGCCGTAGACCTGGATATTGGGACAGATTCTGGTCTATAACGCTCCCAATTCCCAGCTCGTGTCTGACTGCAAAATCTTTGAAGCAAAGATCGAGACTAACCATGAGACATACGTAGACAGCGCTTACTCTCTCCCTCCCTTTGGAGCAACTCCATTCAACCTCTGGCCAGATCCTTTCCACTTTTCCACACCCCTAGTGTCAAGACTCAGCGGCCAGCCATGATGATGCAGCAAGTATGTAAGCAAAGACGGTCCGGTACGGCAAGATTTAAACCTTTCAACTTTTGTGATGATCGCGAGGTCAACGTCAAAAAAGTGAGTTGGCATTATCACTGCATGTTGGGCCGTGAGCGGTCTGTGCCTTGGGTGGGGTTCTGGTTCGCGTTTGTCGCCTCGCCGTTGTTTCGGAGCGAGCTTTTGGGCCCTTTGGCTCGAGGAGGTTGATCACTCTAGGAGTTGATCTGACTGATTTCTCCTTGCCCATCTGCGATGGCAATGTCCTGCGGCCCTTGCGGCCTTCGTTTGTCGACGGGAACAGTGTCTTGCACTTTGTTCGGTGTTTATCTATCTTGCGCGTCCGTGAATGAAAATCCTTGTCGGGTGGTAAATCCGCTATGATTCTTCTTATCTGAAGGCATTCGAGACATTATCTGTACAATTCTCGGCCGTCGTCAAGACGCGTCGAGAAAGAGAAGTAGGAAGTGGCTGGGCAGAGCTGGAGGACCTTCTTGAACCATCTCTGTGTATTGTATGCAATGGTCAGAGCCCTCGAAGCAGTAGCGTACTGGGAAGCTTGAGTCCACGGAGTAGTCGTACATAATCACCTGTTTACCGGATTGTTTACCGAAATCCGACTGGCGGGCACGACGACCGTGCGCGTCGCGTCTTTCAACCTTCCCGGTGGTCGGTCCTCTAAGAACATGACAGAAGTCGATGAGATCGATGATCACAACATTGAATACATCTATGCGTAAGAACGTCTTCCATGCTTCCTCGGCCATCATGCTTGGCCTCTCTGAAGCCAAGAGAATAATATCAATGGACTGGAAGAAGGCATTAACTTCACAGGAGACGTTCAAGAAAGATGATCATATCTCTCAGCGGTGACTCCTGATACATGGCTTTTTGTAGATACCCAAGCTCGACGGGAAGCATTCTTGCCATCTCATGGGGTGGTTCTATAGAAGTATCCCGATGTAGATGACAGGAGGGCACTGGAGAACTGTCAGCCATATGACAACTCTGTGCGACAAGAGAAAGGCTTCTTACTAAGTGTCGGCCAATCTTTCTCTACGAAAGTGCGAATGTTGGGCAAACTTCAAGCCGTCGATCTTGGCTCATCTGGGTATGAAATTGGGAGAGAGCGGCAATGCGTTCATCGTCATCGAATACCAAGCAGAACGTCGGTCATGTGGGCATCATGACGACCTCCACTACGGTAATTGATTTTCGACACAAGTCTACTCGGATGGATCATCGACAAAGCCGTGCCCTTGTACAGTATTGAAGGCTCCCTATATCGTCAGCATGATGCATCAACACTGGAATAGAGAGTAGAAGTGCATGAGAGACTGGGATCACACAACGACGTCCACCTGGCATCCACCCCCGATGCGCGGCCTTCTTCTGTCGCGTCGGCATTCCACCTCGGCCATCCGCGATCGTGCATGTACTGTACCAAGACCGAGTTGGATGATGCCTTCTTGTGAATGTGTCGCGATGGCTGACCGATGGCGATGACCTCGCTCCATGCCGATGATGACGAGGTGACGTGCATGACACCCAGCGGCTGTGTGACGAACAGGACGAAGTGCGTACGATCTCTGGCTGGCCTCCAAGTGGCGGTCATGGTACGATGGCCAAGAAGTTAGCTATATAAGGCAGTCAAAACATCCTATTCCTCACAGCTCCTCAGAACTTACAAATCTCAACAGACCGACACCAACCACAACACAGTTATCAATATGTCCGCCAACCAGTCCCACGCCGTCGACTCTGTCAACCAGTCTTCCGTCCCTTACTCTGTTCAGCAGAACGCCCCTCGAGGTCTCGAAGAGTCTCTTCCCGACTCTGTAAGTCGATCCTTTGCTCCACTGTACAGTGGAGACTGTACTAATATGACTCAAGGTCCACAACACCGACCCCTCCAAGGACGAGCGCAACGTATCTCACGCCACTGGCAAATCCATCGTGCCCGAGGCCATCCAGAAGGCTGCTCCCGAGGGTCTTGAGAGAGCTCTCCCCGAGTCTATCCACCCGACCAACTGTATTTTGATATATCCTGGTCATGATCCGAGACTGAAGCTGACCATCAATGCAGAAATGCCTGGTCGACTCGTACGGCGCGCAGAGCAGGATGGAATGAATAAAAGAATAGTCAGAAGCATGAATTGAATGTAGCTAGGTCAGAGATGTTGGTGCGTTGCATGATCGCACACTATCATCATCGTCTCCGACTTTATCAATATCTCATTCTCAAGCTATCTGCTATCCGCGCAATATCCGCGTATACACATGGCAACAGTAATATGCGCCCGGCGTCATTTTTTTACGATTCTCCCGCTCCCTCCTGGGAAGGTCTCAGGAAGCTCGAGGGATGAGCTGACGATCACGAACACGACGGAAGTGTGATATGTAGTGCGACAGGCTTTTCCAGACCATTACCAGCCTTGGGAAGGATTCAAGAACGTTGCTGATTACTGTCTTTGCTACGTACACTTCATGGTTTAGGTTGAATCGAAATAAATACTTTGTAGAATTGTGATTCCGAGCACTGAGCCTGATCTTTGCCAAATGCGTTAATGTATAGCCTGTCTCTCATCCCGTGTCTCGTGGTCGTGCATCTCGTGGTCCACACCAAGACGGGCAAAACAAAACCAAGGTCAGAGAACCGGCCGACGTACGACATCTCTCCAATACCCACATGCATTCCCGTTCCGGTGAGAACGCAAAAGTGCCGTAAAGATCATGAGAGTGATTCGGGATCCCGGCCGGTGAACCCGGTGAGGCCGATGGTGGGGACTCTGGGGAGGAAGAAGGCGAGACAGCCGCGAGAGCGCGGAGAGCGAGAGCGAGGAAGATGCAGGGAAGATGAGAAGACGGACGCGACGGAAGCGGGACGAAAGCCAGGGGGGGCGAAGAAGGTTTGGGTGAGGGTTTGCAAGCAATATTATGCATCGTGGACGAGACACGGAAGCAATATCCCCGGTGTACATAGGATGGGGGAGGGATGCATACTATACTACTGCTGCGTGAGAGGCCCCCATCATCCACCAGGAAGTTCGGCAGCCACCATTTCACACTTCACAGCGATGGGGATGTAAGCCGGCTCAAAAGGATTCGAGATCCATGACGGCGTTTGAAAGGAAACGAATAAGGAAGCCAAAAAGGCTGGCGTCTTTTAGCTGTTTCCAAGCCTCTTCGTCTTACGTCCTGATCAGCGTCATCAATTGGCCGGAGAACAAGCTTGTTCTCTCTGGAGACGAAATACTTGAGATATGCTCCGTCTCGAGTTTGCTCTCTTTTCAACTTGTGGCATGCCTGACTCCAAGAGTACAGTCGTTGTACACATCTGTCGTTGTACACATCTGTCTATGTATCATGCAGACCCCATGTGCCGATATTAGAGCGGAGGAGGAGCACCTCTTAAGAAAGTTCCAGAAGTAAATGCACCACGTACATCTTGCAGTCAATCGATCTCCTCCAGTACGGAATTGTAATGAAAGACGTACAGTAGGGAACAGGAAATGAAAGCCACCAATAGGTTAAGTGTTAAACCTCACAAATCATGCGCGACAGTCGATTGGCGCAGGAATCAGGGACCGGGACGATCATTCAGGCACCGATCCGAGCCGGTTCCTATTGCAGGTGTCACCTTCCAGGCACACCGATCCCCGACTCTTTTCGAGACAGAAAAGTGTTCCAATGCATATAAGCAGCCTCCAGCATGTTGTCATTCCCCACCCGTACTTGTAGCATCATCCTTCATTTGCCCTTGCCCCTACTACCTCGACCACTCTTCCTCCCGACCTCCCACCATGTCTTCTGTCATCCCCCTCCTCCTCCTCGCCTCCCTTGTCAACGGTGCCGCCATCCGTCCCGACACCGAGCGCCGTGACCTCTTCTGGTCATGGGGCACCTCCAGCGGTGGCTACTACACAGGCCAAGGCAACTCTGGCAGCACCACCTCTTCTTCCCAGGCGGCCACCTACCTTGCCCAGGCTCAGTCTAGCGTGAGCGGTCTCGACCAGGGATGGTCTGCTGCGGGGTGTTACGACGACTCCAACAGCGCCAGGACCCTCGCCAGCGCCTCCACTTATTCTTGGTGGATGGACTACTCCACTTGTACCACTTTCTGTGGCAACAAGGGCTACACCTATGCCGGTGTTGAGAGCAGCAACTGCTACTGCTGTATGTCTTTGTCTCTTCGTTTGCTCGTTTGCTGACTCTCGACTAGCCAACACTATCAACAGGGCGTCTACTATCCAGCCCTACTACAAGTGCTCCGGTACTTGCAGCGGTAACTGGTTCGAGGACTGCCCCAGCAACAACTACATCAACGTTTTCACCAAGGGCTCTACTACTACCTCCTCTGCCAAGACGTCGTCTGCGGCCACTTCTACCGCGAAGACTTCGACCACGTCTACCGCTGCTACTTCTACCGCCAAGACCTCTACCACCTCGTCTGCTGCCTCTACCTCTACTGTGAAGAGCTCTACTTCGGCCGCCAGCTCTAGCTTGAGCTCTGCCGCCTCTTCCAGCAGCTCTGCCGCCAAGTCATCCACTTCCAGCACCTCTGTGGCCCAGTCTACCGCCGCTCAATCTACTTCTGCTTCCAGCAGCTCTGTGTCCAAGACTTCCACCGCCGCCGTCATCCCCACCATCAGCGTTCCTGCTGTCAACACCACCTCGGTTATCTCTGCTGCTCAGAACGTCGTCTCTTCTGCCGTCGTCTCTGTTGCTTCCGAGGCTAGCCAGGTCGTGAGCAGCGTCTCTGCCCAGGTCAACACCACCTCGGTCGCTTCTCAGATCCAGAGCGTCGCCTCTCAGGTCAGCTCCGCCGTCCCTGCTATCAACACCACCTCTGTTGTTTCCCAGGTTCAGAGCATTGCTTCCTCCGTGGCTTCTTCTGTTGAGGCTGTTCCTACTTCGGTCGCCTCTTCTGTCATCTCCGAGGTTTCCTCCTTTGCCAGCAGTGCTTCTGCCCAGGTCGTCTCTGCCGTTGTAAGTCAATATCACCTCTCTCTCGATTTCATCACTAACACTTTACCAGGCCAACGTGACTTCTTCTATCGCCTCCGACATTGCCAACGCCACTTCCGCCGTCTCCTCCATCTACTCTGAGGCTACCGAGGCCGCCAGCTCTGCCGTCTCCAGCATCGCTTCCGACATCAGCTCTGCTTACAGCTCTGTCCTCTCCGAGGAGTCTTCCGCCGTTTCTTCCGTTGTCGAGGAGGCTACCTCTGTCATTTCTTCTGCCGCCGCCGCCGCTTCCAGCGCCGTCTCCAGCTTGCCTACTGGCTGGGCTGTCACCGCTTGTATCGGCGAGGGTACCTCTGGCCGAGCCTTGCCCGCTACTTCTACCTCTAGCAGCGACATGACCCAGGCCAAGTGTGTCTCTTACTGCTCCAACGCTGGTTACACCCTCGCCGCTATCGAGTACGCTAGCGTAAGTCCCCTTCTCCCTTCTTGAGGCCAACGCTGACCACGATTATAGGAATGTTGGTGCTCCAACGTCCTCCAGAACGGTGCTTCCCTGACCAAGACCTCTGACGCGTGCACCATGCCTTGTTCCGGTGACAGCACCTCTATCTGTGGCGGCCCCTCCGCTCTTACCCTCATTGCCAACGCCACCGCTATCGCCAGCTTGAACGCCGACCTTACCTCCGGTACCGTCTCTCTCCCCACCAACTGGGCCGTCCCTTCCACCAGCTGTATCGCTGAGGGTACTACCGGCCGAGCTTTGACTGGTTCTTCTTACTCTTCTGCCGACATGACCCTCGCCAAGTGCTCTTCTTACTGTACTTCTGAGGGCTACGGCATTGCCGGTGTCGAGTACTCTAGCGTACGTCCCCTATTCCCTCTTAAGTATCATGCTGACAGAGTGCATAGGAATGCTACTGCGGTAACCAGCTCAACAATGGTGCTTCCCTCACCCTCTCCAGCTCCGCCTGTACCATGGCCTGCTCTGGTGACAGCACCACCATGTGCGGTGGTAGCGGAGCCCTCTCTATCGCCGTCTCTTCCACCATCACCTCCAAGCTCTCTTCCGACCTCTCTACTGCCGTTGTCACCCTCCCTACCGGCTGGGAGGCCGCTAGCACTGTCTGTATCGCCGAGGGTACTTCTGGCCGAGCTCTTGCCCATGAGTCGTACGCTTCCGACGATATGACCCTCTCCACTTGCCTTTCTTACTGTGGCAACCTTGGCTGGCAATACGCTGGTATTGAGTACGGGTACGTCTTTTCTTACTCTTTCATGATAGGAGAGTGGCTGACATGGATGTTAGACGTGAATGCTACTGTGGCGACTACCTCGCTAACGGCGCTTCCCTCGACCTCACCGCCACCTGGTAAGCGCTTCCTCTCTCTCCTCATCCACCCCACTGACCGTGTTACAGTAACGTTGCTTGCGGCGGTGACAGCACCGAGACTTGCGGTGGCGGCAACGCCCTCTCTCTCTACGTCAACCCCACCCTCGCCCTTGACCTTACCACCGTCCTCGGCTACAACCTCCAGGGCTGTGTTCAGGAAGTCACTGGTCGACTCTTGTCCAACAACTCTTTCGCTTCCGACTCTATGACCGTCGACATGTGTGTTGGATTCTGCTCTGACCAGGGTCTTGCTCTTGCCGGGTACGTCCTCTCCTTCTCTTTTATCTGAGCAAGGCTGACGGAATGTGTAGTCTGGAGTACGGTCGTGAATGCTACTGTGGTTCCGCCCTCACCAGCGCCCAAGTCCTCTCTACCCAGTGTGACATGAAGTGCGCTGGTGACTCTACCGAGAGCTGTGGTGGTGCCGATGCCATCAAGCTTTACTTGGCTGGTGATTCCGTCCTTTCTGTCCTCTAATTTACTTTTGAATGGACAATCTGGTACTACGTACTATCTACCGGGGTATCATATGCTGTCTGCTACTCTACGTTATAATGCATATCATCCTGGAATCTTCTTGCACCGATGTCTTGGCAAGGAAAGAATGGCAAAGATGACATGAGCACAGCTATGGCCCATACATCTCTTCTCAACTCGCCAATACCTAGTATCCCCTCCCGCACTTCTTCGAGGCCTTTCCCATTTCCTGTTTGGTCTCGTATGCCACATGAGTCCAAGCGGTGTACCCTCCCCAATAACCGAGCAGCTCTTCGACCGACCTGTCTCTCGCTCCTCTGGAGATACAATTCAATGTTTCTCATCCCACTCATCCTCGTCACAACACCCACCACAAATCCCAAACACACACCCAAATCCCACCATCAACGATGCCGGGTGGAAAAGGATCCGGGGGAAGACATCGCTGCGCTTTGCTCTGAGCATGCCAAGTACGAAGGCTTTGTTCAGATCAAGTTTGGCAGTGTGTTGGCGTTCTGGTCGGCCAAGAGGGCAGCGGAGAGAGCTGGCGGGGTTTGGTTGAAGAGTGAGGATGGGAGTCAGAGGATCACTCCTGGTGTGAAGACGTTTGTTGATACATGTGGGAGGACTCGACGTTCTGCGTCGACCGACTTTTGCCACTTGCTCAACAGGAAGAAGTGATTGTCAATCGTCATCGTGATATCTGCCGTGTGCAGTCTGGTCGTTTTCGTTCTCATTTTCGTATATAATTGAGTGTTATTGGAAGCCAAACCGCATATTCACTTGAAAGCGCATGCAGTCCCACTGTTTATATGGATTCATACGCAGCTTTCCATGACCGCTGATGAACGAAGGCGACATCCGACCCCAAAACTATCGTCGCCAAGTACCGTATTCGCGTGACCCAAAGTCATATCACCCAACAGGCTGGTCCCCCATCATTTGCATGCGTATATTCAAAGACAGGTCATGCTGTATCTGTTTTCAGTCCAAACTCCAAACATCAAGGTCATGGTATAGGTTGACGACCGTGGGAAACCCGGGCTTGTTTTTGCCGCCCGCGGCCTTGCGCTCATCTCCTCTGACATTTTTGCCCCTCATCCCCTCATCACTATCTGGCAAGACTATACATCAACAATGTCCAACTCTGACGGCTTTATCACAAACTCAAATGGCTTGGGATACGTCTCTGGGTCCGCGGCGAAAGAGCAGCAGCAGCAGCAGGTGTCGGCAGCTCCGGTAGTGTCTACGGAGGATACTTTGGAAGTAAGATTCGAATTTGGGTACGTCCATCTTACCTACCAGATGCTGGTATAAATGTACGATAGCTGACGACTAATGCTAGCGGCGGCCTCCATCTCCTCTTCTCTTCCAAACCCCAACACGTCGCTCGTTTACCGCGTTTCATCCCCGACACCACCCCAGCCCAACCGCTGAATATGCGTTACGTCGTCAAGTGGATGAAAGAGAACTTGCTTAGTGAGAGGGAGGAGATGTTTGGAGAAGGTGATGGAGTGTATGTCCCCTCAGCCCCAAGAGAGCATTCGAGGATAAAGCTGACTGAAGTGGGATAGTCGTCCGGGCATTTTGGTATTGATAAATGACGCGGACTGGGAACTTGAGGGTGAGCTGGAGTATGAGCTGAGAGATAAGGATGAGGTTGTATTCATCTCTACCCTTCATGGTGGATAGAAAGTGGGTGACATGCCATGAGTATTCGAGACGTGCGCTGACATGTCATTAGCCGTGCGGTCGCTGGAGTTAGACCTTGTATACCCATGCATTGTATACCCTTCCCGCCTTTCCTGCGCCTTGCCTACGGCACTAGCTTTGAGAAGCTTCGCTTCGAATGGTCGTTACAGCTTCGTGCCTCCAAAGATCAAAATCCCAAAACAAAAGAGAAACGGCTGTTTGACGAAGCGTAACAGTAACTGCGTGCCCTGGTTTGAGCCATTATCGACAACACTGTGACAGGCAACAGCACTTGTATGTCTTCCATGAATCCACCCTTTGTTCAGCTTACTGCCAAGCTGCCCTAATGGGTGAGTACGAAACTTCCCTTCCATCGACTTCCTTCATTGATCAGTAAATGAATCTTTAATGCGATAGCAATAGCCGCCCTTTTAGCAGAGAACTGCGTTGTTGTGCTCATAAAAGGAGCTGCCCCTACGAATCAAGGAGACTTGGACAAACAAGACAGAGCGAAGAGGTATAAAGTCGTGGATAGCAGCGCGACAATCGCCCATCTCACCCAACCAACTGCACACAGGAGAACTTTCAAAAATGTCTCGATCGAACGCAACCGCCCCCTCTATCGTTAGGGTATGACGTCCACAAACGGTGACGATAGCACATATGCCTAGACGTCTTCCAATGTCGTCTCCAGCCAAAGCCGCAAGTCTCACTCATTGCATACGAGTACGAGTACTGCATTGCACGACTTGCCATGTAAGCTGACAATCTGCTACAGTGACGGCGGCGGTCAAAAGCCAGTATCCATCAGACGTCTTTCCGATCCAGATAACATGTTCCTGCATTTCTATGCCCGGTAGAAACTGCGAGATGGGGGATCTTGATACCCACAATGCCGTCCAAAGCGCTTGGTCTCGCATGAGCGGGGCCGTCACTTTGGGAGATGATGGCAAGTGCGTGGGGTGCCATGAAGATGGGACTACATGAGAGTGGATCCTGCCACCGCCCTCGGGTGGTATGGTTCCCGCAGCCCCCTCGAATGGTGAGGGAAATTAGAGGATCGGTCTGTAGGCCGAGTCGTGCCTTTGGAGAAGATAGTTTGAGGCTGTCTTGACCGAGATGACATGGCAACGGAATGGCTTGTTGATGACTCTGCATCTGTTCAGAGTGGAATGCATGAGATATAAGGAGTTTGACAACATGTTGAGTGATGTCTGACATCAGCCCCGGCACGCCCTTGGTGGCCCGTGCGCGAGTGACTTTTGACACCGCCGATCGTTCCCATCCCTGTGTATTTTCCATCTTGTTTTCTCATCTGCCTCTCTTCTTCCTCCCCTTTGCCAGTATCTTTTCTCTTGGAGCCACCCCAGCCATGCCCAGATCGACCCCCCAGCCATCCAGATCCACCCGCCCCTCCAGCCGCGCAGCCTCAACAAACACCCCCGCCCTCCCACTCCTCCCTTACCGATCCCCAACACCCCGCGCGTCTAAAAGTGGCCTCCAACCCTCTGCCCTAGCAGAACGTCAGACACCTAGCAGCGTGGGCAGTCGCCCCGGGCTCGTCAGCCGCTGGTCAGACTGGGGGAGTGAGAGCTCGAGAACAGCAGTCGGAGGGAAGAAGTCCGGGGAAAGGAGGTTCAGTGGGGGGTTGAAGAAGATGTTTACGCGTTCTGAAAAGAAGGAGTGAGTGCTCATAGGACTGGGTAGGATACACACTGACAGAAGACAGGAGTACGGCATCGCCCATAGCGAGCGATTTTATGCTCATCTCGCCACCAAAGTCGGCGCCCACTCCAACACGCTCTCGACCCGTATCCGAATACTTTCCGAACTTTCTCAAGCTCTCCACCTACTCCACTCCCAGCCGCCCTGCCAGTGCCCGTCCTCCCAGTACTCGTCCCCCCACCCGCCAAGAGGACACTGTCGCAGGCTGCACCCCCCTCGCAAAGAGACATCACCGAAAAGGCTCCGACCTCTCCGAACTCATCGTCGTGCACCGCCCCAGTGAGGATGGTAACAGACCCTCCCGAAGCTCGGAGAATGGCCGTCCCAGCACCAGCACAACCCGCTCTCCCTCACCTCTCATCAGCCGCACCGACTCGCTTATCCGGGGACTACAGTCCTTGGACAAGTTGCCAGAGAGCAGGTATCCAGGGCCGTTGCACGTGGGATCGTATGGCGTACCGACACCGGAGAGACCAAAGCCGAAGAGGGGGTACGCACAGAAGGAGGTGCCTCGTTCGGCAGAGACAATGCCGTCGCTCCCGCCATTGTTGATGAGTGGCGATGATGTGTTTGCTTCGCCCATCTCAAGGCCCAAACAGGCCAGGCCCAAGAAGAGCTCTGCCCCGCCATCCTCGCGACCCAAGCATGAACGACCCTCCCGCCAGCGAAGCCAGTCGATGCCGCCCGACGAGCCAGAGCCAGTCGTCATCCCACCCATACACCGACACAAGCCCAGCCAGGGGTCGCTCGACCGCTCGGAAGCTCTTGACCTGATTCAGCGCATGACGTCGACTCGTCAGCCTCGCAAAGCGCCCGAGAAATCCAAAAAGTCGACCGACAAGCTCAAGTCGGGGGAGGATAGGGTGATTGTGCCAAAGAGCTTGTATGGCGGGATCATTTCCGAGTCTGATGGCAGCCTCCGTCCCAAGGCCGAGACGCCCTATACCGAAAAGTCATCCCCTCTCGGCGAGATCACGCCTGAAAACTCACCTTCCAAACGTGAACTCCAAGCCTACAAACGAATGGGCATGTCTCCAGCCGCCGAGCGCTCTCCTGTCCGCTCACTTCTGACAGTGTCAAACCTTCAGAAGCATGATTCTACCGAATCATTCGCCGACAGCCTCGCCTATCTGACCGCCCCCCAATCCCTTTCTCAACCCAAACCCGGCCATTCCGCAGCCAACCTCTCCACCTTCCACCTCTCCTCGTCTCAAGTAGGCTCCTTCTCCACGGGCCAGTTCATGAACGACGAAGAAGAGTTTCTCCTAGATCATCATCAGAACAAGGGAGTCGAGTGGGATGGGCAGCGAAAGGGAAGTTTGGGGAGGCAGGCGAGTGTGACGGATATGTATGTGGGGACGCTATATGGGGAATGGATGAGCGAGGATGGGACGGCCACTTCGTCGTCGACGGCGACGAATGGGAGCGGGGGTGGGCTGAGGATGATTAGCGAAGGGCCGCTGGTGGGACGGAAGAGTTCAAGAAAGACCAAGAAGGCGTGGGAATAGTCGCGATTCTTGACTATAGTATCATGTCTCGGACATTCACGAAACTATTAAGCATATACTACACAAGTTAGCTTGGAGTGCTCTTTGAGCGAGCACGTTCTCATGTTATGCATGTTTATATTTTAGGCCAAAAGCAAAGAGTCCAAAGTGGCCTCGGTCGCCACGACCTGTGACCTGTCAGTTATGTTTCTCGTGATAACATATGGACTCACCTCGAGAGCCTGCTGCACCTCCAACTTTCTCCTTGCCTGCACCAACCAGTCACCCGCCAACTTGGCCGGCCATCCCGTCAGACTGTTAACCTCCCTCGCTGCTCCATCCAAATCCTTCTGACCCAAACACCACTCCGCCCTAGCCAACGTAGCTCCCACACTCTCTCCTGGTACACGTCCAGCAGTAGGTCGGAAGAGGACCTTGGACAAGGTCGCGGAGGCGAGGTGGGAGAGGACGGAAGCCTCTTCGGGGGCGGGGACGAGGGAGGATGATTGGATTCGGGGAGCGACGGTGTTGGTGAACCATGATGAGAGGGCGGGGAAGGACTTGACGCCGGTTTGGGGGATGCCGCTGGTTTCGAGCTGGGCGAGAGCAGTCTTGACGACACCCTCGTTCAAACCCAAAGTCTTCAACGCACGGAGCTCATCGTCGAAAGAGACGTCTCCCTTGTCAACCTTGCCCTGCACGGCCCTCAGGGCAGACCAGAGCTTGTGGAGACGAACATTGTCGTCCAAGGTGGCAGAGTTGTCGAGGGTGATGCGCTCGAGCTGTTTGAGAGAGGTGGAGAGAGAGTCGAGCTTGGCGAGACGGCCTCCTCGTTCGGTCTCAACCTGAGTCTTGATGGAACGGAGCCAGCGTCGCTGGAGCTCGATACCCTGAGAGACAACTTCCTCACGAAGTCTGAAAAAAGGTCAGCATGGATCATCACCAAGAGAAGCGACACACCTTGTCTCAATACCCTGTCTCTGGTGCTCCAACTCTCCTTCGAGCTCCTTCCTCCAGTCCTCCACAAGCGTTTGCCTCTCCTTGACCCAGCCCTGCTTCAAGCCTTCCTCAGACTTGTCCTTCTCAGCGTCCCTGTTCTTCAACAACGCCTCAAACTCGGCCTTTTTCTCGCTGAAAGTCTTCTCCAATCGCTCCTTCTCCAGCTTCTTGACCTCTTGCAATCGAGAATTCAAAGCGGTAAGGTCATCCTGGGCCCTGGAGAGGATACCGGTAGCGTCGGGAGAAAGCGCCTTGGCGGGAGTGGAGAGGGACGATGTGAGGGAGTCGATGGTAGAGGCGAGTTGGGAGATGATGGGTTCTTCAGCGGCAAACTCCTTGACCTTGGGAACGAGCAAGGGGAGCTTCTCCTTGACTTCCTCGACCTTGTTCTCGATCTTTTGCTTGACAGTGTTCACGGGAGGGGCGAGGTAGTAGCCGGGAGGAGGCTCGTGGCCGAGGGGAAGGGGAGGACCGGTGTAGAGCTTCTTGCCCTCGTAGGAAGGCTTCTGCGGGGTGACGCCGACGGGAGTGAGCTCACGGGGACGCTGGGTGTCGGGGAAGGGGCTGGAAGGCTTGGTGACCTCCTTCTTGACCTCCTCGGCCTTGTGCTCGACCTTGCCGAGGGCATTCTCAGCCTTGCGCACAAGCTCTTCAGCGCCCTCAGAGACGTTGAATGGCACGTCCTTGGTAGCCTCCTGGACCTTTCCCTTGGCCTCCTCAGCGAGAACCTTGAGCTTTTCCTCGGCCTCCTTGGTCTTTTCAGAAGCGAGCTTGCTCAACTCGGCAGCCTTGTCGGCGAGCTTTTCAGAAGCAGTAGGGGGAGCGGGAGTGACCTTGTCCTTGACGTCCGCGGCCGCAGCCTTGAATTGCCCAGGGACCTCGCCGACCTTCCTCTCGACTCTCTCTACTCTGGTCTCAGGCCTGCCAGCCACCTTTTCGTACCCCTTCACCACCTTTCCGGTCAAGTTCTCCCATCCATTCTCCTCCGCATAGTCGGCGACAGACTCTCCACCGGGGACATAGGTGGTGAACAGATCTCTGTAGCCCTCAGACTTGGTACCGGCATATCCGGACCCGGCGTAGAAGGCGACAGTGCCGAGGGTGGTGTAGATGAGAAAGTTCCTGAAGCGGTGGGTCTTTCGGACAGGGGGAGGGGTGGCGAGGGTGGTGGTGCCAGGGGCGCCGGGGGGAGGGATGGACACGACATGGGGTCGGACGACGGTGGTCCCGGCAGGGGGAGGGGTGGGAGGGGTCGCGAAGAGCTACGCTGCGTTAGCTCACCCCCGGTCTTGACGCCGGCTATACTTACTCTTCGCTGGGGACCCTTGATCCCAGAAGCCCTCTGAGCGACACGCAGCTGGCCGTACATGGTTTTTGGTGCTTTGAGGGTATCAGGAGGGGCTTCGACGCCATCCAAAGAGCCGTCGACATCATCGCTTCCCGCGAGCGGCGTTATAAGGGTGTGGCACTCAAAGCGTCATTTCATCTTTGGTTCTTGTTCATGCTTGCTGTCTTTGTTGACGAGTTGCATGCCCATGGTTATGGGGTACGTACTGCAATGCCTACTTGCGTAGATTCTCGCGAAACAAGGACTTGCATAAACAGCCTGACCGTCGTCCAATGAAACTGGAGTGTGGACGCCTGCTCCGAATCAAAACGACTGTAAGTGTCGACGCTGTCCATTTTCTGACGCATTGGGTGAAAGATGCTAGGTGATTAAGAACATGTCTCTCGAATGTATAGCAACAGGTAGCAGGCAAGACCCAGCCGCCACCTCAAGGTATCATTAAGGCGGCGGCAGAGCAACATCGGTAGCTCAAATGTAGGTGCATTATTCGACTAGTAATATGGTGTCACAGTCAAAGCGCGTATTACCCGGGCCAGGGAAGACTGAAGCCGCGGTATCCCCCGAGCTCAGTTGACTAGAGAACGGAGAGGACAGATCCGGCAGCCAAGTAGAGCTCAATCGCATCAGCTCCGCCACAGTTCTGAGAGTCGTCACCAGCGCAAGCCATGTTACACTCGGTCGAGAGGAGGGGAGAGCTGGTCAGGGCGCTGGAACAGTAGCATTCTTCTCCGTATTCCACACTTCAAAGAGAGTCAGCCACAGTCACGAATGTCAACAGAAGGATGAAACTTACCCAGCAAGAGAAAGACCTTCGTCGGAACAGAAGCCAACACACGCGTCGACAGTCATGTTGGAGGAGGTGTAGGAGCTGTTGGCCAAAAGTCGCCCGGTGACCTCTTGCACGCAGCCTTGGAGGTGGTAGCCGAGCACAACGGTGAGGTCGAGTGCGAGGGAAGGGTTGACGTAGAGGGAGAGGGCGTTGCCGCCGCCACAAATGCTCATATCGTCACCGGCGCAAGCAGTGTTGCTATGCAGCTGTCAGCTCATTCTGCAACATTGTGTTGTGGAGCGCTGATACATACCAAGTGGCGGTGAGGTCGAGGGAAGCACCGTTAGCAAGATAGTCGCCACAGTAGCATTCACGACTTGGTGCACAAGTCAGCACACGACAAACTATCGAGGAGAGAAAGCACATACCCATATTCGATACCAGCGTATTGCCATCCAGCAGCATTACAGAAATCAAGACAAGTCTCGATGGTCATATCGTCCGAAGCCGTAGAGGCATGAGCAAGAGCTCGACCGGATGTAACTTCAGAAATGCAAGGACTGCTGGCAGCCGACCAGCCAGTGGGGAGGGTGGTGATCTCGGTGGTAAGGTCGCTGCTGAGCTTTGAGGTGATGGTCGAAGAGACGGCGATGGAGAGAGCGCCCGATCCGCCGCAGAAGGTTGTGCCGTCACCGCCACAAGTCATGGTACAGCTCGAGCTAGAGTCGTTGAGGGAGACGCCGTTGCTGAGCATGTTGCTGCAGTAGCACTCCGTGCTTTGAGATCATCAGCAAACTATCAAGAAGAAAGAACATGAAAAAGCTTACCTGTACTCGACACCCGCAATACCGTAGCCTTCAGAAGTGCAGTAAGAAGCACACGTGGCAAGAGTCATGTCGGGAGATGTGTAAGAAGAGCCAGTCAACGCACGGCCGCTGGACGCTTCGGGAATACAGCTGGTCGAGGGAACGCTCCAGTTGGTAGGCAAGATGACGATCCCGGCAGTAAGGTCATCGTTTAGGCTGGCGATGGCGGAGGTGTTGACGATGAGGGTGAGAGCAGAGGGGCCGCCACAGATCTCGTCGGAATCACCGGAGCAAGACATGGTACATGCTGAAGAAGTCTCGGTGAGAGAAGCGCCGTTCTGGAGGAGGTCGGAACACCAGCATTCCTATTCGCTTGTCAGTCAAATGAATGCCATGCAAAAGGAGATGGACACTCACGCTAGCATACTCAATAGCGGCGAGAGTATACCCAGCATCGGAACAGAAGGAAGCACACATGGACTGTGTCATGTCGCTGCTAGATGTAGACGTTTCAGGCAAAGCGCGGCCCGAAGTACCCTCGGCGATACAAGCAGAGACCTCCCAGCCAGTGGGCAAGCTGGAGACGGCGCTGGATGCAGCGGCAGCGGCGGAAGAGGTGACAGAGCTAGCGATCTCGGCGATGGTAGAGACGGCGGAGGACTCTTCGGAAAAGGCAGAGCTGATGTCGGAAGCGACGCTGGAGACGGTAGAGCTGGCGGCCTCGGTGGTCTCAGAGTAGATGGAGGAGACGGCGGAGGTGGCGTTGGCAATGTCGGAGGCGACAGAAGAAGTCGTGTTGGCCTGGTAAAGTGTTAGTGATGAAACGAGAGAGAGGTGATATTGACTTACAACGGCAGGGATGACCTGGGTAGAAGCACCGCTGGCAATGGAAGAAACCTCGGAGATGACAGAAGAGGCGACAGAAGTAGGGACGGCCTCGACGGAAGAAACCACGGAGGAAGCAACGCTCTGAAGCTGGGAAACAACAGAGGTGGTGTTGATAGCAGGGATGGCGGAGCTGACCTGAGAAGGGACGCTCTGGATCTGAGAAGCAACAGAGGTAGTGTTGAGCTGGGCAGAGACGCTGCTCACGACCTGGCTCGCCTCGGAAGCGACAGAGGAAACAGCAGAGCTGATGATGGTCTGAGCGGCAGAGATGACCGAGGTGTCAACAATAGGAACGATGGACGACTCGGCGGCAGTAGAGCTGGAGCTGGCGAGAGCAGGAACGGAGCTCTTCATGGTAGACCCCGAGGCAGAAGGAGATGTGATGGACACCTTGGCGATGGAGGTAGATGTCGGAGAAAAGGTAGAAGAAGTTTTGGCAGTAGAGGAAGAGGTGGTCGTCTTGGAGTTGGTGAAAACGTTGATATAGTTGGTGCGAGGACAGTCTTCGAACCAGTTTCCGCCGCAGATACCTGAACACTTGTAGTAGGGTTGGATGGAAGATGCGCTGTTGATAGAGTTGGCTAGTCGAAAGTCAGCATATGAACGAAGAAAAGGACAAAAAAACATACAGCAGTAGCAGTTGCTGCTCTCGACACCAGAATAGGTATAACCCCTGTTGCCACAGAAAGTGGTACAAGTCGAGTAGGTCATCCACCAAGAAGAAGTGGAGGCGCTGGCGAGGGTCCTGGCATTGAACGAGTCGTCGTAGCAGCCAGCAGCAGACCATCCCTGGTGGAGACCGCTCACGCCAGACTGGGCTTGGGCAAGGTAGGTGGCGGCTTGGGGCGAGGTGGTCGAGAAGGTTGAGTCGCTGTTGCCCCAGCCGTTCGAGTTACTCCAATAGCTAGAGCTGTCTTGCCGACTGTCGGTGTTGAAGGACCAAGAACCCCAGAGAAAACGGCGCTCGTTGTGAGGATGGACCGCAGCACCATTGACAAGCGAGGCGAGAAGGAGGAGAGAGATGACGGGGGACATGCTGAGGTCGAAGACGTGTCCGAAATGTCAATTTGGAGAGGAGTACGAAGAAGAAGGAAGCAAACTCATAGGACTTTTATAGACCTTTGGCGACCATTTTGTTTCTGGGGTCATGGCGGCAGTGAGTGAATGAGACAGCCACTACAGCCACAAGGACCTGCATAGCATAGGTAGCAAAAACAGAGGACATGGATGATTTGCCGGTCCGTACCCTACGGAGGCCACGGAGGATCGTCGGTCCTGAAAGAAGGGAGATTATGCTTTTGCTTTACTCCGGTCCCTGGTTATGACGCGCCGAACCCTCAAACACGGTACCCGAGAAATGCACGCGAAGGTGTTTATTCAGCTTTTCCTTCTCTTTTTCGAGTGCAGAAGCCTGCACAGCTGCCAGATTCGGCGTATGTACATGGCAGTTATATATAAGAGCGAGAACAGTCTCATGGCTCTCGTATGCACGACGACTTGATGGTGTTGGCAGTCACATCCTTTTCGGACAGTTCGACGGTAAAAGGGTTTTCTTTGGAATCTCAAAGAGACGCATCCCATACAGCCAGCGTATGCCTAAAAACGAACAAGTGAGACAGCCGATACGGGTGGCCAGTGGCCGGTGAGGGTGATTCAGGTGATAAAGCCTTCTACGTATGGGCGTCGAAAAAGGGGCGCTCACCCGCCCAAGCCAAAGTCCCAAGTCCGAGACGAATGTTATAGAAGCTTTGAGAAATAATGTAGGTATTGAAAAACGACGAACTGCATGATCTACCAAGGGAGGAAGCTCGAAGGCGACAATGGCAAGAGAAGAGAAGACATGAGAGACGATTAGCAACATATGTACATTCCACGCCATGTCATCAACAATGCGACCGTATCTGCCAGGGACCCAATTCATTCGACTTCTGGCTTCTGTTCCGGTAGGCACGCAGGCACTGTTCCGGTGAATCCCAAGTCCTCCATCCCTTTGCGCGGTCTTTGGCAATTGACAGCCACCTCATCATTGTCGGATATCATCATGCCAGGGCTCGTCAGCAGTCACCGGCGGCCACGCACGCATGCCTTCGTAGGCTCCGAGAGTAAGCATACCGGGCTGTGTGCACCGACTGTATGCAACGTAAGTCTCAGCAGAGCAAGCAAACAACAGCGGCACCCTCAGAGATCTGCGACATCCTCCTGAACGATCGGCCTGCGATCTGCGACCTGCGGAATGGACTTGTCTCGGGTTTAAAAGCTGAGGATGGAAGCCGGATGCCGTGCTCTGCTTTGAGCTACATGTGTTCGGTATTCATATGAGATAAGTTCCTCAGTTTGCAAAATTGCCCAGTCTCAGCATATCTTCGAACCCTCGGTGGCTACGCCGTGCGGTTTTGAGAAGGCCATTTCAAAAATTGGCGCTGACTAGGAACAAGGAGCTTGTCACGCCTATCAGAACTCTACTCTATATCATGATCTACTATCTTTGATTCCTTGCCTCTTTGGCCTTCTTGACGATCTCTCTCGCAATCTCTTCACGCGTAATGCCGGCTCCCACTTCTTCGTCTATCTCACTGAACACCTCTTCGCGTACACTTGGTTGTAAGGTCGAGGGGGTGCGCGTAGTCTTGGCGGCCTTCCTCATGCCTCTTTTGCTATTGTAGCTGACGTGTGCCCAATCAGAGTACTCACTCCTGCTAAGCAGCTCATCTGCAAACTCGTACCTCTCTCGGCTCGCGGCTTCCACTTCTCTAGAGATACTATCATTTTTCAAGTCCGCATATCTCGTCATCACGAGGTATGAAATCTTGCGGCTCAATAGATTCTCCAGCTTGATTGCGGTCCTCGATAGCTGCTTGATCTCATCCTCTGTCATATTGGAGGTAGCCTCAGGACTGAGAACAGCGTCAATGCTGGTGTATACAGAGTCGGCGTTGAGAAATGAACCATTGCTGACATAAGAGAGGAGGTAGCCTGTGGGCTGGGTGCCGTTTTTGGTGGTGACACCTTGGAGGGAGGGGTCGAGAGTGCCGTCTGATAGGTAGTGCTTTAGTAAATCATTGTAGGCAGTATTAGTGTGGCGGCTCACCCTGGCTCTCACCGCCGCGGGATCTAGAGAACCATGAAGGCATTTTGGGGTGATGTTGTGATGATGGGTATGTGGGGTGTGGAAAGAGGTGTGATTTTGAGCGTGTTAGGGTGGTGGACTAGAAGGCCTAGCTTGGGATAAGTCCCAGATGTGAGCTGCACGAGAGCACTTGAAAGACAGGCTTGTATAGGAAGGCCGATACATGTCAAAGGATCGCGATCATTGCGCATCTCGGCTGTATGAAGGGAGACTTGTTTGTAAACTATGACTGGCCTCAAAGATGAGTGGAAGGAAAGCATTGGAGTTATTCATGGCTGCTGATAGGCGTTCAGTCCCTTCAGAAGACGCTCGTTGTTCACTAAAAAGAGCCGGCATCATGAGGAGCAAAAAAAGGGGCTCTACCTATTATGTGGCTAAGTGTCGGATAACATTATCTAAGGTGCACCCTATTAGCTGTCCAGCGTGTATATTAGATCTATGAGACTGGTCGTGTAGCATACAGTATTTCAAAGCTGGTTCAATGCCAGTGTATCCGTGTCACATACATGGAGGATGACGGAATCAGATTCCGTCTTTCAACATCCTGCCGCTAATCCTCTGTCTCTGTCATCATGCACCATACAGTCAACGTGCTGTTGAGATGGAGGAATACTATGAGGTATACTGAGTGAATTCGCGTGATACCCAGTTCGTTCTGTCAGTCCTGTCCTCAACTTGCTCTCAGCTTGCTCTTCACCGTTCAGTGAACTAAATTATCCGCGTACCCCCTTTTGCCACTCTTCTCTTTCATTTCGCGCTCTTTGTGCGGTCCCCTTTCCATACCTCCATCCATCCACCACCTCCATCTCCCTATCAAAATGGGCCGTCTCGCAGAAATGCAGCGCAAGCTGCTAGAAGTGAGTAGCAACTCGATCTAGTGACCACAAACACAGTGACTGATACGGTATAGCAAATGATGGGTCCTGAAGCGATGGGTATCCAGCCCTTAAATCTCGACTGGTGGAACGAAAAAGTCTGCAGGAATTTCTTGTTTGGAACATGCTTGCACTCCCTTTTCGGTAACACCGTAAGCTCCTTCCGTCCTTCACTCATACGTCCCCAGTGCACTAACAAGCAATGCAGAAAATGGATCTCGGTCCCTGCCCCAAAGTCCACTCCGACCGCATCCTCAAATCCTTCCAGGAGCACGCCGAGGCCCATCCCGCTGATCCCCGTGTCAACGGCTTCAGACAAGAGCATGAGAACCATCTGTATCAGTTTGTGGAGGATTGTGACAGGCGTATAAGGGCGAGTCAGCGGAAGCTGGAGAAGACGCCGGAGGAGAACAGGAAGACCGTTGATCTGGTGCGTGCTCGCATACTTTTGAGGGAGGCATGAAAGCTGACCCGGATTAGATGCGAGAGATCGGTGAAATCGAGCTGTCTATCCAAGGTGGTACAGAAGAGATTGAGGCTTTGGGTGAGGCTGGTAAAGTCGAAGAGTCCATGGAGAAGCTGGCGGCTGTCGATGCTCTTAAGGGGCTCAAGACGGAGAAGGAACAGGAGCTGCAGCACTTGAACGAGAACGCTGGTGCCAGTGGTCACCAGAAGCTTCGTGTCTGTGAGACCTGTGTAAGTAACCTCTCCATCCTTCCTCAAGGACTAGCTCACAAGAGCGCAGGGTGCTATGCTGAGTGTTCTCGACTCCGACAAACGTCTCGCCGACCATTTCGGTGGTAAGCTCCATTTGGGCTACCACGAGCTTCGAAAGATCCTCGCCGCCTTTGCCGAAGCCCGCATGACCGGCAGACCTCTACCTATCGGCCCTCCCAAATCGCCAAAACCTGATGATCCCACTCCTGCTCCTGCCGCTGCCCTCCCAGCTGCTGGAAACGGCACACCAGGCCTCTCAGCGGCTGTCCCCGCAGGCCCCAAATCAGCAGGCCTCGCCCCTCCTTCCTTCCCTCAAGGTCCTTCCGGATCTGAACCCCACACACCACACCACTCCCGCGTTCCTCCATCGGATGAGATGCCCGTCGTGGGTCATGGAGACAAAGTGAAGCGGGAAGCTGGAGAGCTGGTCGAAGATTTGAAAGAAGAGAGGGCAGGGGAGGAGAGGGACAGGTATCGCAGTGGAGACAGGGACAGAGGGGATAGGGACAGGGGTGGCAGGTATGATGACAGGGACAGAAGCCGGTATGACGACAGAGATAGGGGACACAGGGATGAGAGGTATGACCGGGACAGGAGAAACTATGAGTAAGTCTCAATATATGGCAACGGGCCAGGGCTCATCATCGTTCGCAGCAGCCGAGAGAGGTCAAGATCTCCCGCTAGGAGACGTGTTCTGTAATTGTACTGAGATATCAAAATACATACCCAGTTTCCCTTTCGGCATGCAGTTGGTGTTTAAACTAATCTATCAAGGGGTAAAGATCTCTCGACAAGAACCGTGCAATAGTCGCGCCACAACTTTTCATTGCGGCAATAGAAAGTGGGTCTCTATGATTTATCGTCATTACAGTCTTTGAATGGGTCAAAAGCTCTCTGCAGTGACCATCAGCGCCCTTCCTCCTTCAACTGGAACTTGACTTACCTCCAGAACGTTCCATATCTCCCTTCTCGCCTCCACAATTCCCCTCTCCACCTTTTCATTATCCAAATCATCCTTGCTGGTCGCATCTTTATATGGCGCCGTCAACAACACCTCTACTTTTTCACCCAGGGATGAGAGGATTGAAGGGCGCAGGACGAAGCTAGGATTGAGAGAGAGGAGTGAGGCCAGACGGGTAGGAAGGAAGTCTGAAGATGAAGATGACCAAGCGGCACGCTCTTCGGCAGTACCAGCACGTGTGACGTACTCTGCCAACCACTTTTCCAGCTCCTCTGTCTTGTCCTCGTGGCTTCCCTTCCCTCTTCCAGCCTCCTGGACCAACCGCCGGGCAAATTTTGGCAAATAGTCGCCTTCCTCAGAGTCGGAAGATGCCTTGATGGGGTCAAAGTATGCCAATGCCCGGAAAGAACTGTGGAAGTCGAGACGATGGTCGTGCAAGAGTGAGAGAAGGCTCCTGATGCTTTTCTGGTCAGATTCTTGTACTGTCTTCAAGCCCAATCTCTGTAGGGTGACGGTAAGCGCTGAACTCGACGTGGCCACAGAACGTACAGCTCGCCATCCATCAAGCTCTTGCCCCTTCTGAACCGACCAATACTCTTCTTCCCAGTTCCAACCTTTCATCACCTCTTCTCCCTTCGTCGCCCACTCCTTGACATCTTCCTTCGACGAGCCTTTGGTGTACCCTTGCGGAAGCGCACCATGGTTGAGATGAAGGTATCCTACGAGAGGAGCGATTGAGGTAGCGAACTTTTGGAGGGCAAAGAGGATTCTGGAAGGCTGGTGGCGGTAGGCGTACAAGCCTGATGTGTCGTCTTCGTCTATACAACATCAATCAGCATCCGGCCTTTAGATCATCAAAACAACGCACTGCAGATGTGGCCCTCGTCAAAGACTTCCATATAGGCGAAAGGTCCGTAGTCGATAGTCAGACCGAGGAGGGTGACGTTGTCGGTATTGATCACGCCATTCATGTATCCGTAAACCTGCGTTAATCGCCATTAGCAGAGCGGCTCCTTGGGGCAACGATGAGAATGATAAGAGACATACCTGCCACTTGGCAACCATCTTTGCGTTCAGTTCAATTATCTTGAAGATCCAGCCTTTCCAGCTTTCCAGACCCGAGTCGGAGGAACCCATGAGGGCTTTCATATACAGCGCCAAGTCCCGCAATCCCTCAAGGTTTCCAATCACCCTCTCCTTCGGATCGCCCTCTTCAGCCTCATCCTCCTTCTCCGCCTGATTATCCACCCATTCTTCTCTCCCACCCCCGCTTCCGGTACCAAGCCCAAGAAAGACCTGCCTGCCACCACGCCCGCCTTCAGGTGGGCTGAGAGCTTCAAAATGGCCGATCCTGATGAAAGAGGGCGAGACACGGGCTAGAATAGATGCGGGGGATAGGGAAGAGGAACGGAAGACGGGAAGGGTGGAAAGTGGGTGGGTGTGCAGAGCGAGGGCTCTTGTTGTGGGTATACCTAGTGCTGCGGTAGCTGCTCACGAGCTATCAGCATGAGACCGAGACGTTCAAGAATGAAATTACCTTCAGAGCCTAGGAACTCCTTGAGACCACCTTTGAGCGCAGCAAGCCCATCGTCGGTTCTAGAGAAAGGCGTCCTCCCAGCACCTTTGAGCTGTATCTCTTGCCTTCCGCCCTGTTCGCTCTCAGTCTCCAGAACCGATACAGCCCTGCCATCTCCCAGTTGACCTGCCCAGGCGCCGAATTGGTGTCCAGCGTATCTTGTACTCCAAGGTCCGTAAGTGTCTGATGATAAGACCTTGCGGGTGGAAAGAATGTCGATGAAAGAATCTCGGGCGGCATTCGGAGAATCCGGGAAGGTACCGGAGCGAGTGATAGACAAAATGTCCCCCGGGTCGAGTGCAGGCAAGACTTCTTGAAGAGCTCTGGGAGAGACAGCAAGAATGATCGGCTCCATCTCCAGCCTTCTCCTGCTACTCTTCATGATCAAGCCATTTGCTTTACTCTCGACAGGCGATGAATCGACAGGATCCCATCTCCCCAGAATCTCGTCGACCCCTAATCCCTCTGGGTTTGCAGGATCATAGCCCATCGCTATCGCTTCTTCTGGTGATAGTCGAATGGGCCAGGGCGCCCACAGTGGGGTGACAGGCGCCCAAATGCCGTCGGTAGATGACTTGAAGATAGTGGAGCGGCGCTGAGCCGAAGGTGTTTTTGGTAAGGGCAGACGCGGGAGAGCATGTTGCAGAGGTAAGATAGTGGTGGGGAGCGGGAGGGAGTCGATTGGAACAGGCATAGTGCTGGTATGGTTAAGATAGATAGAATAGCAGGGATAAGTGATTGCTGGCTACATATGCACTTGCCATGGAACGATTCTGACGACAAATGAAGTTCAAACTGAATGCCGAGCAGATGCCGGGAAAGAGATCCCTGAGCCATCCCGCGAGCCCGTCAGTCACCATGTCGAATCATCTTCGCTTCGTCTGACGCAAGGGGTGTCATAAAAGTGGTCGATTGTCGCGCTAGACGTCAATCGTCGAAATGCTGGCTGAATGGAGATTGTTTGAGCATTGATCGCTGATACAAAGCATGCAAAAAGAAATGCAAAAAGAAATGATCGATGACAGGATCGAACTGCCGACCTTGGACTAATGACTCGTTTGAATTATTAGGTCCACAATCTAAACCAACTGATATAATCGACCAGTTATGGTTTTACTGTAGCCGTTGATGTCAAGACTCTTACTGTAGGACTTCTACATACTCTCGGTGATTTCTACGACTGACAGTCAACGTAGATGGGTATGAAGCTGCAGGCTAGGGGGTATACTGGTATCGTCTTCAGCCGTCCGCTAATCGTCTTCTCTGTCTTCCTCAATTGCATGTGATCTCACCACAGTCGATTGTGCAACCATTAGGACACTGTGTCTGGTCAACCCATGCTGCATTCATGGTCAGTATTCCACATCGCCCAGCATCCAAGCCCATTCAAACAATCTTGAATGAACTTACCGACGTTTGAAGACCCAGATTCATTGTTTGCACAAATTTTCAACGTCGTCCCATCGCACATGTGGTCTCCCGCAATGTAATCTTCTCCATCATCACCGGCACAGGTGGTTGTGGTTGCGGAGGCTACTGCGGCTGAAGAGGTGGCTCCCTGAGCCGTAGGTGCAGTGGATCCAGAAGAAGCCGATGCAAGGTTTTCCGCACCAATGGAGCTAGCGGCAGATGCTGACGTTTGAGCCCCGCCAGCTGAACTTGCGCTTTCGGCGGTGCTTTCGGCACTGCTGCTCCCAGCAACGAACCTTTCTCCACCCAAATCAAGGGAGGAGCTACCACCAGCAACCGTTGTCTCGGCAATAGCAGCCGATGTCGCAGTTGCCGAGCTAGCCCCTCCTGTTTCCGAGGACGCGGCTCCAGTAGCATTTGCCTTACTTGTCGCCCCTTTAGCAACACTCGAATCTCCCGCACCACTCGTTACCCCCGCGGCACTCGAACTGCCGAGCGCACTACTCCCCGTCCCTGCTGCTGCGGCAGAAGAAGTGACCCCTGACGACGCTCCAGCTCCCGACGCAGCCGCCGATGCTTGTGCCCCGCCAGCAGTCTTCACCACTACCGGAAGGTTCGAATCATCTCCACTGATCGTGGCGCCCCAAGGTGCAGAGAGACTCCCAGAGCTAGGAAAGTTGTAGACGCCTGTTTTTCGCGTTAGCGACATCGCAAAGGGACGGGCGGGTGAGATGAGGATTTGGGAGGAAAGGAATCAGAAGGGAAGGACGTACCGCCAGTGTAAAGTGTGCTAGCAGAAGTAGGCGAGTAAGAGTTTTCATCCGGTGCTGGAGCCCAGATTTGGTTGTCCGTGACTTGCACTTTGAGACCCGAAGGGTTGTTGGCTTGCAAACTGCAGACCGTATCGTCCAACGCCAACGACGGACCCACTGGCATTGCGCCCAAGTCAGTCCTTGTACACGCATGTCTTTGAAATTTATAGGCAGAAAAAAAAGGAGGAGGCGTACATACCTCCGAGATCAATCTTGACATGATCAGCACATTCGGCGCAGGTATCCCACAGCACGAGTGGTTCATCATAAACCAATTCAGAACCATCCTCTTTGAAGATCTTGACTTCTTTACCGCACCAGGCGCTTTTGTCGCCCTCCATCCACGTTTGGTTCATCGCTAAACTCCACATTAGATTCTCCGCAGCCGTCCCTTCGTGAGATACATACCGACGATACGATTGGTCCCCAAATCAGCTTGCAAAATCCCATTCTGCTCGCACCCCGGGGTACCGATCTGCGAAGGAGCCCAACCCGCACCAAAGCGGGGTGCACAGACGTCTCCATTCGTTTCCCAGTCTACATCGTAGTATCTGCCATACCCCCTTCGTTAGCTTCTCGTTCTGCCCGCGATTCGGGGTGGAGAAGGAAGAGGAGGAAGAAGACTTACACGGTAGCAACAACATTTTGCATCTCAAACAGTACCTCACCAGCTACCGGCCGGATAGCAAAGCTACTCAAAATAGAGACAAAAGAAAGAAAGGTAAAGAGCGTAAACATCGCGCCAGGCGATTTGGTTGGTGATCAGTTGAAAGATGGAAGTCGGAATAAAGCAGCAAGTACAGCAAGTACTGTGCGGATGGTAATGAGCTATTGCTTGATAAGAGGTGGGGGAGAGCTATATATGAGTGAGTCAGGCTGGATTGATGGTCTGATACTACCTTGGCCGAGTCTCCTTTCAATCCATTCCTCCTTGATGCGCGGTAGACTATCCTTTCCAACCCTTTCATGGGACTTCACCGTTTTTCCGAGCTGTCTAGTGCCGTACTATGTCACTATACTGATCACCGAGAGCCTTGTATTCGGTGCGAGCAAACCTTTCATTCGCCAAGAAGATCGGCTCGAACCTTTCAGGCAAGTGTTTAAGCAATTGAGAGATTGGAGCGTTCCTTCGTTCTTGGGCGGGGTCGCATCAAGCGCATTATGCATACTCGAGTACCAGTACTGATTGCCATTCTCTTCTAGAGAAGGTAGATAAGTATGTTTGATGGCGAACTATCAAAGCTCTTTATAGATTTGTAAGATAGACAAAGACAGATGATTAAAACCGAGATGGAGGCGATGGACAAAAGATCACCGAGGACCCGTGGAGCGTGAGGGCGAAGGGGAGGTAGGAAGGGAGTGTGTGTTTATTCACAGTCCACCGACCCGCTGTCCGTAATCTCACAAACAGATCCACAAGTCTCAATTGTCTCCCAACCTACTCCCTTGTCAGTTTGTCAAACAGAAAGTGGTAAAGAGGCTTACCAAGAGAAGTAGTAGTCTGGTAGTTGCAGACTTGCAAAGTAAGACCATCACATTGCCAAGCACCGTATGTGCAACCTCCATCTGTCCCGGAGGTCAAGCTAGTTGACGCGGAGGCCACGCTCTGCGCGGCAGAGGATGAGGCAGAAGAAGAGACAGAGGCGGTGGATGCGGAGGTGATGGCGTTGGCAAGCAAAGCTTCAGCAGACGAAGGCGATTCCTCGGCAGCGTCGGCAGAAGAGGAAGAGACGGCAAAGAGGGTGGAAGAGTAACGGGTGGTTCGGACGGAAGTAACGGAAGGCGCAGCAGCCGAGGAAGAGGAGGGAGTGCCATCGCCCACGGAAGCGGAGACACCGATAGAAGCAGAGACGGAGACGATGGGGTCGGCAGATGAAGATGAGGCCGAAGCGGCGTCGGTGCTGGAAGAAGAATCGACGCTGCCTTCAGCACTGTAGCTGGAGCCAAGGCCGACAGAAGGGTCGACGACGTAGTTGTCGAGGATCTCGTAAGAGAGGCCGGTGGGGTTGGAACCGGAGCATGTTCCGCCTTTCAACTCGACAAAAGTGGGAGCTGCGCAAAGGTCAGTCTGTGTTTTGGTGGGAAGTAAGGAGACATACCGGAAAGGTCAAGAATAGCAGAGTCGGCAGTCTCGCAAGCAGCGCACCCATCCCAGATGTAAAGCGCTCCCCCGCTGTTCTCAAACTTGCTGCCGTCGGCATTGTAGATTTGAACTTCACGGCCACAGTACTTGGCGGGGTCGCCAGAGAGAGTCGCGGCGTTGATCGCTGAACATTCAGTGAGCTACAGCCCTCAACGAAGACGACAGAGTAGACTCACCGACAATGTTGTTGGTACCAATTTGGTCAAGAGTGTAACCTCGAGACTGTTCACAGTAGGGAACACCAGTGTTGATACCGGAGGTGACAGCCCAGTTGGCAACGACAGGGTCGCTAGAGGAAGAGCCACATGCCTCGGAGCCGGAGCTCTCGGAGACGTCGTAGTAGCTTGGTATCTGTTAGCGATCATCATCATCTGCATGATTGAATCTTACAAGGTCATCTCAGAGTCGGACTGAGTAAAGATAGATGCCTGAGCGGGGGCGACAAACGCCAAAAGAGCCAGAATAGAAGCGGCAGCGAACATTGCGTCAAGCGTAGAAATGATTTGTGATGCTGAAAGATGAGCTGGAAAGCTTTGAAGCAAAGAGTGTGCTGGACAAGGAGCGTCGAGGGGAGTATACCCAAGTGTAGAGGCTGGACGCCGAGTGGTTGATGAGGTGAGGTGAAGAGATGGAGAGACTAGCGCTGCTAGAAAGGTGATGGATACTATACCTCGAAGTAGCGAGTGGGGGAGGGGGATATAAGCGAGGAAGAGGATGGGAAAATGGCGGGAAGATGGATGTAAAATGAAAGGAAAAGAGAATTTAAATGTTTCAAGCTGCTATGTATTCCAGTGTCCTTGTGTGTGTATGTGTGTGCACCGCGGACGTCGGCTGCGTCCGAGCGTCCCGGACACAAAACTCGCTTTTTGTCTGTTGCCACGCTGTTTGGCGCTATGTATGCGCTGTAGTAACGAAGGGGCGAGGTGGGCGAATGGAGACCGACGTGGCTCACTTGTCTCTTGCTGCAAACGAGCTGTGCAATCCCGGCCAGGAAGGATGGAAATGCAGTCCTTTCCGGATTTGCATCTTGTTGCGGACAAGAAGCAGTTGAAGGACGGTCGAAAGCAAGAAAGAAAATGATATGAGACATCATCATGCTGACAATGTCCTTCCACGTACTGCCGTCTTTGCAGACAAAGTCCATATGCAATAATTCTCGCCGCTTACAGGTACCCTACTTGTACAATACTCGTACTGACTCTTTGGACATCGATCGCAAAATCTCACAAGTCAGATTGTCCGTCTTGCTGCCACTGCTATGGCTACTGCCCCACATTACTCTGTCACCGCCACAGTTCCTTCCATTGCGCTCGACATAGACAGGAGCTATCCCCAAGCAGGATCAGCAACCCGCGTACTCCACGTATTGGACGAGGAAAAAGCCAAGCCGCTGCGGCGACGAGGATCGGCCCGGAGGAGCTTTGGTGGTAAACCGGTCATGTACGCCACATGCTACACGCTCATAGGTCATTCACCATGGACAATACTATTGTGGTATATAGACCGGGCCATCGTTTGTTGTCAACTAGGCGAGATTTCATCGGACCGCCGCGTCATCATCGTTATCCGCCGCGCGAATCGACATGGGAGCCAATTTGCTCTGCGAATGCCTCAGCCTCATGGAAGAAGGCTGAGGCCGAGATACCATCTCACGATGCTTTCAGATTTCAAAGCACCTCATAGCTGACTTGCGGATATCGTGTACTCGTACTGTCTGCGACATTGCTCAGAAACGGTCAAACGCAGCGAAAAGCCAGTTCCGCTTTTGTGATTTCTTCCGCACCCCGTTGCTTTTTCGAGCAGGGTTGCTATTCCATTGCATTGCCGTGGCTCGACAAACATAAAAGAGGCGGGCTGGAGATACAATTGCATCTTGCTCATTCCACTCATCCTCGCATCCTTCGCAAGAAGACAGCACACCAAACCCTCACTCGAAACTAAACCTATTATACAAATACAAAACCGAACCACTATGTCCTCTATCGCTACCATCTACGCTCCCTCTGTCATGGCTGTCCACAAAAGGGTTCACAAAAAGGTCCGCTTTGCGCCTTTGAACAAACTCGGTCAAGAGACCTTCAGTAAGTACCGACCACCAGTCCGTCCAGACACAAAACGCTCAATAACTGACGTGATTGTCCAGCTCCTAGCACTGCTAAGCTCCTCGTTGGCAAGGGTCCCATCATCCAGCCCACCATCGGCGAAGACAAAGTCCCTCAAGGCTTTATTCTCACCTGCGTCACCCACGGCAGCTGGTTCCGAGGCACCCACTTCTCCGACTCGCAGTCGTACATCTACATCTGCAAAAACATTGCCAGCCCCAGCCCCGCTTCGTCCACCATCGTCCGAGCCATCACCTCCATCCTTGACAAGGGATACGGCTCTCCCTCCTTCGAGTCCCCCCGCCGAGTGAGCAAGGGTCTCGAGAGCGATGTCGCCGCCCTGAAAGCCAAGAACGACAACTACGACGGCTTTGTTCAGGTCAACTTTGACGATGTTTGGTCTTTCAGGCTCGCCAGGCTGGCTGCCAGACATGCTGAGGGGGAGTGGAAGAAGATGAAGTCGGGTCGTGAGACGATGACTCCGGGTCAGAAGACATACTTTGATGTGTCTGGGAGGAAGCGCTGTTCTGCGTCGACCGTCCATCAGTTGTTTGCTATCTAGTCAAGCCCTCGTTTTCGATTTGTACATATTATGATACACATTTGATTGCCTATCCTAAGCGATCCCCAGTACATGCATTCCCGTTATGGCAGTCGTCTTACACTGATATTCAAGAACTATACTCTCCTGCGCTGTAATTTCTCACTCGTGCTATGTGACGATTGGGCCAGTTGCACACGTCTTCTATCATACCCTGAAAGATGGCAGAATTGAACCATACACGTGCATTTCCTTGTGGCACTGCTGTAGAACATGATATCTGACCGATTACTACTATTATCATCTTCGACCACATCTCTTCCTATTTCATTCTTACTCTGTGATCACGAGCGGTGATCATTCATTCATGCCAGTATGAACTACTGTAAAAGTTGTAGCCAGTGCAGATCGTATTGACAGACTCTAACAGACTCTAAAATCCAACAGAAGAGGGGTGAACAACATAGTTGTCGAGCACCTCATAAGTAAGACCCTCAGGGTTGTTCCCAAGACAGGTCTCACCCTTCAGCTCGACGAACGCAGGAGCTAAAATTTTATCAGCCTCCAGAGAGAGACACGAAGATGGTAAGGACGTACCGGACAGGTCAATGATGGCGCTGTTGGCATCTTGGCAAGCCTGACATCCATCCCAAATATAGAGCTTGCCGCCGCTATAGTGGAACTTGGAGCCGTCGTCTTTAGTGATTTGGACTTCACGGCCACAGTACTTAGAGGGGTCGCCAGAGAGAGTAGCGGCGTTGATCGCTACGAGTACGGTGTGTCGTCAGCATTGTACTCTTTCGCGCTTTACGACAACATGACGAGAGAGATGAGGATGAACATACCGACGATGTTGTTGGTACCGATCTCATCGAGAGTCTTGACCCTGTTGTATTCGCAGTAAGGGATGCCCTTGTTGATACCCGAGGAATCGGCCCAGCCGGCGGGGACGGGGTCGCCGGTGGTAGAACCACAGGCTTCGTGGCCTTTCGAAGTCTCGGCAGTGTCGTAGTAGCTACACGACGAGGTCAGCTTCTTCTGTACTTGGAGAGATAGATGCGGGGATATAGGCATAGAGTGCAAAAACGTACAAGGTAGCTCTCGCGTTCTTCTTGGTAAAGATAGAGGCTTGGGCAGGGACGATGGCCAACAGGGCGATGAGGGCTGGGGCGGCGATGTGCATGTTGACTTTTTCGATGTAGTGTTGAGGCTTCTCCAGAAGAAGTATTGGAGATCTTCAAGCCCAAAGAACTGAACACCTTTTATACCTTTCCCGGGCTTTGCTCGAGGCCCAAAAAAGTGTGGATCGATAGAGTCATCTTCCAACTAAATCGGAGGACGGGAAGAAGCATAGATAGGGCACCACCGGCATGAGATGGAGACAAGAAAAAGCGCCGAGAACAGTTCTGCCGTTAACCCCACATATCGTACAGCGATAGTAAGATATCGTGGAACGCGAGTTAGACGGAGGAAAACCTACGGTTCAAATGCCGAACATGTCTTGCTTCCTTCTTGCCGAAGTCCACCTTCGTCGGAGACCCCAAAAGATATTGCCCGAAACGGTAGATAGCGCTCGGTCCAGATCTCGATCGCCTTCTGTTCCTCATGAATGTATGCAAATTTTTATGACTATGAGGTAAGAGAAGAGTTGTAAAGAGACGTAGAGATGGGCTAGAGCACCGAGAAGGGGAGTCAATCATCAGGGTCCAGTTCGGGCGGCCGAAATGGAAAACGGATGCCGAACAACTTTTCTTGCTTCGATTGCTTCTTTGATACGAAAAGTAACGTAAAGCGAGTCTTTGCCCATCTGATGATCTGAATGCTCAGAAGCATAGTTATGGGTCATGGAAAGGTGCCATGATTCCATTGTGATAGTAACCCGTCATGGCAGGCGATATAGTACAGTCGGCCCTACGTACGTCGGTCTCCACCTTCTCGTCTCGTTATCTTTGACAAGAATCGTATCGCAGCGCCAAAGGGTATAAGCTCTTGATGTAGCGAGAACGACTGCCGTCCTGCCGTACTTGGGGTGTCGTGGCCCCGTCGTGGATGATCATTGCCGAACCGTCCAGTCCCCGAGCCGCCTCCATGAAGAGCCGTGCCGCGGCGTCTGTTGGATCACTAGTTCAAACCGTCTTCCACTTCTTCCCGCAACCCGCCGTCATACAGTCATAACTCTTATTATGTCTTGCCGCCTTGCTTTATCGCCGACTCGTCACTCTCCCGATGTCCGATGAGTCGATCGCTGCATGTCCGTACATGACGGAAGTTTTGCTGCCCATGTGCTCCGAGCAAATGTACGGAAGGAAGGAAGAGAAGAAGGAAAAGGCTAGGCTTTGTTCTGTGATTGATGTCCATTCTGCATGCAAAATATTCCCGCCCATAGCCGCCTCTATCTTTCGAATGTCTAGGATTACAGCTATATGCAAATACACGCCAACTCCGTCCTCCATCCTCCCTCCATTCTCCAAGAAAAGTGTCCCAAATGATGTACTCGTACACCTACTAGCACCCCTACTCAACCCAGATCTCCAACTTTCCCTCCGCCCTCCCCTTTGCGAGAACCCTAGCCACATCCACCGCCGCCTCGAAATCACCTTCATCCTGCATTGAAAGCTCATCCCCATCTTCATCTTTGAATCTCACCTGCACCCCTCCGCCTCCAGACATTTCCAGGAACTTGGCTTCCAGAGCACTCATGAAATCGTCAAAGGTCTGTTCTGGAGAGACAGACATGCCGCGTTTGAGATTGCGGTAGTGCACTTTGACTCTGATTTTGACCATATCGTAGAATGAAGAGACCTCAGACGCGTCGTCCCTGTAGCTCGACTCTGTCCCAGCGATGGAGGGCATACGCCTCGAAGACGGTCCTCTCTGGAAAGCAGACGGCGGCGCGCGGGCAGAAGAGACAGAAGCGCTCCCTTTGCGCGAAAGAGGGACAGCGGGCGAAGCTCCAAAAGGTGTACCTTTCGCCCACTGTTCAATCTTCTTCCCTCCAATGGGCGGCAAGTCTGGCGGTATATCATCGTCGAAAGCGCCAGGCGACTTGTAGTAATCGTCGTACAACTCGGTGACCCGGAGAGAGTTGGAAGGGCGTTCTTGTTGGGGTGTTTGGAGGAGAGGTTCAGGTACAGATTGGGGGGAGGAAGAAGAGGAAGAGTCGAAAGAGGTTTGACGGAGGGGAGCGGGGAGTGGGATGGTGGGTGCGCTTTCATTTGGGATCTTGACCGTAGGACGGATTTGCGTAGCTGACCTGCCCAACCCTGGCTTCGGCCCCCCACCACCCATCCCACCCATAGTCAAAGGTTCAGTCTGCCTCGGCGCAGCCACAGTATTACTTCTAGCCATCCTCGCCTGCACAGGCGTCGCCATCGGCGCGGCTTGAGAGACTGACGCAGATCTGCCGAGGGCTGTACCGGGTTCGAGCGGGGCGCCGGAGGGGTTTTGGCCCCGCTGGAGACGGGTGATACCGGTGAAGGTTGTGTATGCGTCGGAAGCGTCTGAGGCTGCTACTAGGATCTGTGAGGAAGTGTTAGTTGGGGGACAAAGAGAAGAGGAAGAGGGACTTACTGCTTTACCCATGTAGTCTCTTGTTTCCAGGTTCTTCAACTTGTTTGCCGACGGTCTAAAAAGTACTCCCACCTATCCAACCACGTCAGCTCTTACCCACCTCAGCCCGAAGAGCAAGAAGCACTCACAGGAACACTGAAAACATTATAATCTCTCCCCTGATCTCTTATCGCATCATCAATAACCCCATGCTCCGCCGTCTGCTTGCACCCCGCCGCTTCGCGGAGGTCGGCGATGCCAGAGTCAAATTGGCCGAGGTAGATTTTGGAGAGGCCACAGTTGAAGAGGACTTCGCAGGAGTGGAGACGGAAGGCAAGGCCGAGTTGGGTGTAGTCGCTGTAGGGAACGTTAGCTGGGCGGCCAGAGGGTAAGAAGAAGGGGCATACATAGTTTGATTACCACGGAGGTAGAGGAGCGCATCTTCGAAATCTTTCTGCGCCGCTTCATACTGCCCCAACATCTACCTCTTTATCAGCCCCCTTTCACCTCACCAGAAAAAAGACAACTCACAAAATTACTAACTCCCGCCTGATGATATCCCACCGTCATATACATATCCAAGCTCGTCGCCTCATAAAACCTGTCTATCGCCTCTTCGTGCCGACCGATAGTGGCGAGGATGATGCCCATGTTCCAGTTGACTTTGCTCGTATCGGCAATCTTTTCAAAATCGAGGAGGGCGGATTGCATGTCGTCGGCTTCGTAGGCTTTGAGGGCGGCGGCCCACGTGGTTAGTTCAGCTTTGAGGGACATTGTTGAGATGTCGGCTGGTTGGGAGGGGAGAGGGGTAAGAGGAGGAGGGTGATTACTCGGCCGGCGAGGTTGGTGATATAGCTGAAATGAGGAGGCCTGCTCCCAGGGTACAACACAAAAATCCGTCGTGGGGTGTCAAGCGTCAAAGTCGAAGGCAGAAGGGTAAGAACGACCCTTCAATCACCGTCTCCCGTATTATACCAGGTGTTGAGCACACCAAGCATGCATGCGTGACGCCAAGCATGACTACCCGCATGGCCTTCCTATGGGCTTCTGAGAGATAGCCTAGGCCCGTGGTGCGTAGATGCGGCGGTTTTAATGTGTCGTGAGGGTGGTTGCCGAGTAGCGAGGTTGGCGGGTCAGTGCTCTGGTGTCGGGGTCGTGTGGATACGGGGGTTGGCGAAACAAGGTAAGGCCTTACGATGTTTTTTTTTGGTGGAGCGGTGGAGATGCCAGAGAAAAGAGGGGCGGTGGAGATAGGAGGGTTGCTCGGAGATGGGGCATGATAAGAGCGTGGTGGGAGACGGGAAAGGATCGGGGGCGGGGGTTATCGGGACCGCATGGGATCGAAAGTCAGTCGCCTGAGATCCACTAATAAAGCCGCCTGTATCGGGGAGAATTTATGAGAGTTAGACAATTGAAGCTGGATGCAAGAGGAGAAAGAAAGACAAGCCAAACCAGAGCCAAACAGAGGACAGCCTCCACCGGCATATCCCGGCGGCCGACCGGAGTTCCCGCGTCGATAACCGGAGCTCAGAATTGTTTGTCATGATCACCTCATCATCGGTCCACGTTCTTGCACGCCTTATCATTCATGCCGTATATAACCCCGCCCTTTTACATTTCCCCTTCCATCTCACCGCTCCATCTACATCACAATTATCATGCCCAAGTACACCCTCTACCAGCTCGTAGGCGACGCAGAGAAACCGGATGGCCGTGCATTGTCGCCACACGTTTGGAAGAGCAAGCTTGACCTTGCGTATGTCCCCTGTCCTTCTATTCTTATGACAACTCCGCTGACTTGGAGGTAGGTTTTTTGAGCAGGAGGTGAAGAAGGTCGGCAAGACGTTTCCTCAGATCCGGGGAGAGCTTGCAGAGTCTACCAAGAATCCTGCTGTCACAGTGCCGACTATCGTAGATGAGGACGATACCATCATTACCGACTCTTGGAAAGTCGCCGAATACGTATGCTCCTTTTATCTATGCTTGATTGAAAGATGATAGCTGACTACAAGGTAGCTTGAAGCAAAGCATGGTACGCCGGAGAAATCACTTTTTGGAGGTAAAGCCGGGAAAGAGTTTGCCAAGTTTATCGAGATTTGGAGCAACACCACCCTGGCGAACGAGCTACGTCCTCTCATTGCTCCCGCCGTACGTCCATTCTCCCCAGCCCCCTGTACGTCGAGGAAAGCTGACATTGGGCCAGATCTACGAACATTTTGACGCCCCCTCCCGCGCCTATTTCCTCAAATCCAAATGGCAAAACGACCCCTCCCTCTTCTCCGCCCACCAAACCAAATTCTCCTCCCCCTCCGTCCTCGACGCCCAACTAGCCTCCGCCCGTAATCGCCTCACCGTCATTGAAGCGCTCCTCGGGTACAAGAAGGAAAAGGACGAGCCGCTGTGGTTGACGGGGAAGCCGTCGCATGCGGATTTTGCGCTGTTTGGGTGGTTTGCGGTGAGTCGGGTGAATGGGAGTGTGGAGAAGGGGGTCTGGAGGCATGAGGAGAATCCGTTGGTGGGGGAGTGGTTGGATTTGGTGCTGGGGAGTGGGTTGGTTGATAAGAGTCAGCTGGATTGAGATGTAGAGAAATTAGAGCATAGATATGCATATGGTCGTCCTTTTATATGTGAAGCTTTAGCTGCTGGTCAATGGCTGCAGGGATGTACTTGGGGCGTAACATCTCACAGGACACTTGGTCCATGGTTGATAGAGGAGCCAGAAGCGGAGTCCCCACAGTGTCCGCCCGGCGCGTCGACTTTCGCGTTTCTCCCTTGTCCTAATGTCCACCTCATCCCCTTTCCTCTCTTCTTCTCTTCCCCCATCTCTCGGCATCTCGACCTCTCCCAGTCACTCCATCCCTCCCCCCCCTCCCGACCGAAAGCGACCGGCACGGACAGCGACGGGCCATGGTCAGAACAGCAGCCACATCATCAGCAACATCAAAACCAAAACCAGATTGGACCTGGCTCACCTCCACCTCCCGGCTCGAGGATATTACACCAGAGCAAAGAAGACAAGCTGCTGGCTTGGTAGGGGGTGTACCTTGTGCGGTAGATTTGACGCCTCGGTTGGCGTCTGATCTTGAGAGGGAGGATAAAGCGAATGGAGGTGGGAATGGAGGTAGAGGGAAGGATGTCAAAGGTCAAGGTAAGGGAGATGGAAGTGAGAAGGGAAATGGAAATGGAAATGGAAATGGAAAGGCCCAAGGAAGAGGGAAGGGGAAAGGCAAAGGACAAGCGGGATGTAGAGCAAGAGGGTGTAAAACCAATCCTGTTTGTTACAACCACCTCGGTATCGAACCCGTACGTTCCTCTCTTCGTATCTAACCCCTTTCCATATCCTTTCTCGATGCCCTCATTCAAGACATGAGAGTACAGGCTAATCAAGACGGTAGCTCCTCGAACACGACGCCAAACAATCCTGGATCACGGACCATCTAGGCGATTCCGCATCGGCATTATCAGAACAAAGAGACCCGGACGAACCTGCAGGTCTGCGCAATCTCGGGGCAACTTGTTATGTAAGTCCCTACATTGCTTTCCATGGGTTAAATCTTGAAAATAAACGAAGGGGAATGGTGCTGACAGGATGGTGGGGTTATTAGGCGAATGCGTTTCTGCAGTTATGGTTTCATGATGTGCCTTTTCGGAATGCTGTTTATGCTTGTGCTACCTCGGAAGTAAGCTCACTTCCCTCTCCCCACCTCCCCCTTCTCCAAACCGCCCACCTCTCCCTCAGAGACGCAGATTAACGTCAAAACTCGCCACAGAACACTCCCCTCTTCCAACTCGCGCTCATATTCGGGATGCTAGAACATTCAGAGAAGAAGGTGGTTGATCCGATGGGGCTGATTGATGCGTTGAGATTGAATAAGGGGGATCAGCAGGATGCTGCCGAGTATGTCCTTTTTCTCATTCTCTCTTGCTCCCCTATCCACTGCTTCTTCACTATGTTTCTTCACTACTCTCCCTATTTGTCTCTGTGAAGCAAAGGTGGAAACAAGAGGAAGGAAGGCTGACTTGGGTACAGGTTCTCAAAGCTGTTCATGTCGCTCATAGCATCAGAATTCGGCAAGAACCCTGATCCAAAGTTGAAGAATCTGGTGTCAGACCAGTATGAAGGCAAGATGCGGTATGTCACAAAGTGCGAGTGTGGGTATGAAAGTGTTACCGAAAGTAAGACCCTTCCCCACCTCCCTCCATCTTTGAGAATCTGACGATAGTGGCAGCAACGTTTTTAGAACTCGAGTTGAGTTTGAAAGACAACACCACCCTCCAAAACCGCCTCGACACATTCCTCCTCCCCGAGCTCCTAGACGGAGACAACAAATACAACTGCCCCTCCTGCCTCTCCGCCCGACCCGCCACCCGCCGTCAATTCCCATCCCACCTCCCGCCCGTCATCCACTTTTCCCTCATGCGGTTTGTGTTTGATATGGCGAGCCTGAGTCGAAAGAAGAGTAAAGCGGGCATAAGGTATCCGAAGGAGATTGTGTTGGGGAATAGTGTCTATCAGTTAAGGGGCGTTATTACGCATATGGGGCCTAGTGTGAGTTCTCTATAAAAATGGAGGCCGTGGCTGACTGAGGTATAAGGCGCATCATGGTCATTTCATATGTGAAACATACGACGAACCCTCCGACAAATGGTACATCTACAACGACGAAACTGTCTCCCCCAAACCCCCTCGACCCACCAAACGTCTCAAAATCTCATCATCCTCCTCCTCCCCGCCTCCTCCAGGAGAAGAATCCTCCAAAGACGCTTATATGCTGGTGTACAGACGTCGGGATGGGCCTATAAGGGCGGAGGGGGTGCCAGGGGTGGTGAGGAGGAAGGTGGAGGAGGTTAATGGGAGGTGGAGGGAGGAGATTAATGGGGTGGTGGTGAGAAGGGAGGTTTTGGTGGATGAGTGGGATCATTTCAAGGGGGGTAAGATGGATGTTGCCAAGGCGCTTGAGGGCGTGAGTATTCATTTTCTATATCCGGCGGGACAATGGCTGATGAGGGTAGACGGACTTTATCGTACCGAGGGAAGCGTTGGCAGGATGGTTCCAGGCGAAAACGTTTGACGAGCTCTATGCGCCGTTCGATTTCGGCCCAGTAATGTGCGACCATGGACAGATCGACCCATCCACATCATCCGAATTACGCCTCATCTCGGCCCTCGCACACGACAAGCTCTCACACTACTCCAACCTCCCATCGCTCGACATTTGCCCCGACTGTATCGGCGTCGAATTCGCCAAGCGGCTGAAAGATGCCGAGCGACAAGCGGCGGTGGAGGGGTACGACGAGTTGATGTCGGATCTGACGGGGGATGATGAAGGGGAAATGTGGTGTATCCCCCAAACTTGGGTACTTCACTGGCGCGCTGGTAAACTGCCCCCCGGCGCGACACCGGCGAGTGAAGAGTACACGCTCTTCTGCCAACACGGTAAACCTTCTCCGGATATACCTGCTACATCCAACATTACCGCTTCCGCCCTCGCGCACCTCCACTCCATCTTTGGTGACTTTGCTGCTTTTCACCCGTCCGACCCAATTTGTGAAGAATGTTCGCAGTCGGGCCAGGCGGACGCGGCGATGATGGCGCAGTGGAAGGTCGATGTCAAGTTTGATAGGGCGATCAAGAAACATCTCGATCCCAAACCGCCGGCCTATGGTTTGGACTATTTCGTGCTACCGACGCGGTGGGTCGGGGAGTGGGAGGAGTATATGAAAACGCCCAGGGAGAGGCCGGAGCTGGATATGGAGAGGGATGGGTATTGTGAGCATGGGATGTTGGATTGGGATCCGGAGACGACGAGGTGTCGGATCGTAGATGAGAATGGTTGGAATTTGATCTGTCAGAAGTGAGCCGTCCGCTTTAGATGTTGTGCTCGGCTGACAGATGCGCAGGTATGGGGATCAACGTAAACCTGTCAAAATCCAGTTTGGACCAGAGATTGCACAAGGCAAAAAGTACGGGATCCAGAGCGTCTCGGCGTCGGTATGCGAACCATGCCGCTCGGCTCGGCTGTCGACATACGAATCTACCACTATCCCTATCATCTTCACCCCCGCCTCCACCAACGGGCACGCCAATGGCCAAAGCAACGACAATGACAAAGCGGCGAATGGGAACGGCAAAACAGCCCGCACCACCGGCCGTTCTTTGCGTGCCCGAAACAAAACCCTCGAAATACCTGCTACCCCAAGAACGACAATCAAAGAAATCAAAGTCGAAATCATGAACCAGACCGGCATTTTTCCCATGCTCCAGAAACTCTTCTACCACGACCGCGAGCTGGACGAAGGGGAAAAGACGGTGAGGGGCGTGGGGTATCTGGAAGGCGAGGAGATGGTGTTGGAAGAGGTGGATGGAGAGGGAGAGTGGGATGATGATGGGGTGAAGAGTGAAGGGGTGGAGGAAGGGTTTGGGGGGACGGCGTTGTTGGCGAGGATCAATTGCCCGGATTGTACTTACGAGAATGATGGGACGGCGACTTGCTGCGATATGTGCGGTCGGGTGAGTCTTTCGAGTTTCGTTCGTTGAGGAACTGCTGATGGGTTGGAAGCCTTTCAATTACGACTAGTGACGATTACATGATTTCATGCTCCTTTACACCGTGTTGACCACGGATGGACATTTGATGCAGTGGGCCAGATTGGAAGAGATGCAGCTTTATGTGCAGTGTGATTACAATTCTCAGCTCAGCATGTAACTTCGTCCGTGTCTCCATACATATGTATACATGCGCCTGAGCAAAGTTCCCATCCTACACTATACAGTCGCTATCGCCTACCCTCCTACGCTGCCGACGCTCTCTGAGATGTTGTCTCATTTTCGTCGGCGACAGGTATTTGCGAAGAAGTAGTGTTGCTGGCATGGATATGTTGGACAGACTTCAAGTGATGGGGACAAGATACTGTCTAAGTCTGGGTGGTGTTCGTCAAGGCGTGAGGACATAACGTCACCAAGAAATCCTAGAGAGCGTTGGCGCGCACTCCCCTTTGTGAAAACCTCAAAGGATAATCTTTTGTTCGGCATCAATCTCAAACGTACTGCATAATACATCCAGATCGTACCCTTCATGCTGCACGGGGCAATGACTACATAAAGCTCGACACAGATAAGGCTACCAACTATAGCGGCTGTCTGCTATACTCTACCGCTCACCCCATTGATCGCGATTCAACGTTCGCCGAACATGGCACCTACACTCTTTACTGTGACATTCTTTTCACTGGCTTTGACCTCGCTGGCCGAGGCATACAATGTTCTCCACACCGTGGAAAATGCTACTGGTACTTTGTAAGTTTGCAGCTTTGGCATCATAGGTGCATGCATCATGCTTACCTGGAAAGTTATTATGATTATGGGTACGAGTCCACCGGAGATCGCTGTTCTGGACGGGGTTCTGGTGCAGGGACGCTCTCTGCGGTACCTCATTGTGAGAACAATGGTCCGTCATACTCAGACTTGGGTACGAATCGAATAGTGGGTACGTATCTGGCATAGCCCTCATTGAAGAAAACTCTCCTGATGTCTTGTTGTTGGAGAACAGCAATGAACCGATCGATGGTTAATGGCGATTTGAGCGCATGGTGCGGCAAAGAGTGAGTGGCAGCTACAAGCTATGGGTGTACTTATGAGCTGACCATAGAGATCAAGAGTGAAAGTCTTTCTAAGTAATGGAAGCGAAGTCGAGTACAAGGAACCGCTCGTCTTATGGGACGTTTGTGAAGCCGCCGAGACAGCACCGATTATCGACTTTAGCGGTAAGTCCTCATTTTTCACTACGTGTGCCGTCCACTCATTATGCCGGCAGTCGATTTCTACCTCAATCTCATGGAAAACGGAGACTGCATGTCTAATAACGGTAACAACCCCGCTGGTTTGAAAATCCAGATTGTCGACAACCAGATTTGGGCGCCCGCTCCGGGATCGGACTCCTATTCCCCCACAGCCGCTTCAACCCTCTATTCGGGTGGTGGATACAACGGAATCAATCCTAAGAACACTGAGATTCCAGCTTGGGGCGATGGAAAGGGGGTCGACAAGGCGGGACAGATACCCTTGACGGTCGCAACGGCTGCTGCGACCACTATCAAAACGACCTCAGCTGGAGCAGTATCCAATGAGCAAGTAGCAAGTTCGGGGGCAGCACAATCATCTACGAGTGTTTTAGGGGCTGTTCAAACTTCTACGACTCTGGATGGTACATGCACCAAAGGCCAGCAGAAGTGCGAGAACAACCAGCTGTTTATCTGCAATTACATCTCCAACAGCGCTGGTGGGCTGAGTGAGTTTTGGAGGTGGATTTGGAAGGGTGACGGCTGATGAGTGCATAGCATGGACATTACAAAGTGAATGTCCAGGTGGATGTGATACATCTTCACAAACCATCTGTAAATCGCAAAGGAAGAGGAGAGGTTTGGTTTGAAAATGGGCATAACGACTCGATCTATGACTCTTTGGTAATGAGTCTGGCAGATTTTCTCCAGTATGCACGTACCACGTTGCCCAAGCAGTAGTCGTAGGTTTTCAAAAGCAGGTTCACTAACACACTCTTACATCGTGTGCATCTATGAATTACATATGATAGCTACTTGAACTCTGTTCCGTCCACCATGGCCAGCAGTGAGCAATACTCCTCGTTCCCTTGAGCCATACAAAGCGCATGGAATTCAGTCGTATGATTGCGAATGAGATGTCCTGGCTTGCCTACAAGGAGCGTCAATATTGAGCAGGAAAGACGACTCCCAGACTTACCCTCTTCAATAACTTCACCCCTGTCAAGGACGAGGATTCGGTCACTGTAGCGCCAGTCAGAATGCCGTTCGTATACCAATTAGAGGCAGAGCACATACAAATCCATTATCGTTGCAAGGCGATGAGCAATGACGAGCATAGTAGTACCGGCAAAATATTCTTTGATGGTGGCCGTTATTTTGGCATCGGTTCTGTTGACCCGTGTCAGCGCCCTCCATGGTCGGAGATCCAAGAATCTTACGCAAAGTCGACCGAGGATGTTGCTTTGGAATGCCATTCAGTCTTGAGTAAGAGTAATTACTAGCGAGGGTTCACTCACCTTCATCCATAATCAGTATTTTTGAGTCCTTTAATAACGCCCTGGCAAGACATAGTAATTGACGTTGACCTTGACTGAAATTACCTCCTTCTACATGGTTGATCAGATTTTACCCCAGACCAGGCTTCTGTGACCCACCAATGGCAACGTAGGTGTTGAGGTCAGCAAACGGGTTCTCCCTCCTGTCCTCTTCGGACATATCTCTGGAGATGAGATGGACTTTGCAAAGAGCCTCGTAAATGTCGGAATCAGCTGTATTGAGTGATGTAAGCTTATGGGTCTCTTCTTGAAGGCTGGTCACTCACTTCGTAGACCAGTCACGTCCAAGGACTCTCGCAGGCTTCCGGAACAGAGTGTACCATCTTGAGAGATTATGTTCAGTCTTCTTCTCAGCTCGGGCAACATGACAGTGTTCGTATCTGCATTACAATCAGTGCTGGACTCCACGCAGGATCGAGAGTAATAACGTACCAATTCCATCGATCAACATTCGGCCCTCTTGATCGCCGATGGCTCGCATCAATGCCAAAGCCAGTGCAGACTTTCCCGAGCCAGTCGCTCCTACAAGACCCACACGATGACCGGGCTAAGACTCCGCATTAGCCTTGCAGAATCGCGCATGATAGAACAATTTGCTCACTTCGATGGTGAACGAGACCTTGTTTAAGACTTTGGGCAGGTCGGGCGCGTATCGCACGCTGAGATCTTGTACCTCAACCTTGCCGCTTGCAGGCCATCCATTTGGCGGCAAGATGCCTTCCTCAGATTCGTGATCAGGCATGTTGATGTCTGAATGGATGTTGTTAGCATTCATCCAAGAACAAAAAGAAAAGACGAACAGTAGTTGACTCTTTCGGCGCTGACAAATGTTTGTTCCAACAGGGAGTAGCGTTCCATGAGACTGAATAGCCCTATGTCGCTTTTCGTCAGAACATGTCTGATTCAGAAGACTTCGGCTGACCAGAAGAAACGCGCAACGCAAAGCCCAGTATCAGACCAGCTTGAGAGGGTGAGATGTTTTGTCCCACCAGCAAAAATCCCGTAGCCGTGATGACAATACTCGACAATGACTTTACAACAGCGGTAACCCATTGATAAGCTGTGCTCGTGAGTTATCAGCTATGACAACCTCTAGGGAATCAACACTCACCGACCCAAGCTGCCAGTTGTGCTGCTCTCTCCCTATTATTCAGGATTTGCATAGTCACCTTGAGTAGTTGGCTCTGCCCAAATGCCCGAGTCATGACGACGCCATCGATGGCTTCATTGTAAAGGGAGAAGAGAGGGGAGGAGGCTGTGGCGGTGAGGCGTCGAATGTCGGATCGCATTTTGTTGATATGCCCGCTGATCCAGAATAGAGGTAAACCAAATAGGAGAGCTACAAAAGTAACAGCCTGGCAGTCAGAGGTAAGCTGGTGATCTTGCGCACGGGTACGAGCTTACAGGAGCTTTGTAAAAGACAACGCCTGCGGCAGTAGCTATCCCAAGACCTACAACGTTATTAGCAAAATGGAATGGCATGATGACTGGCGCTTTGCGTACCATCAACGAGAGTCCCTGCATCGTGACTCAATCAGCTTCCAGCTACATATCGGTCATGCGGACTCACGGCCAAAGTCGTCGGCTGCATTGCAGTCCAGCCTCCGGATATCCTGCCCAAGCACGTTCAGAATTCTCCCTTGCGGCGTAGTCTCAAAGAATTGCAAGGGCGCCGTGAACAGCCGGGTCATGACAACGTCATGAATGAGCCTACTACCTCTCGAGTAGAACCCAACATTCCTGACCCCATACAACCATACCCATCTCAAAGCGCCGACGGACAAAACGAGGACGATGATGATGGCGAAGACTCCGAGATTGTAGTCGAGGTGCTCGGGGTCAGGATCGGAAGACCAGTGCGCGAGCCAGAAGTTCTTGGACAAGGTCAAGGCCCTCTGACCACCGAAGATGAGCAGAAGCAGAGCCCAGTATAGTTTGCCACCGGCGGCTTGGAAGATGAGGAGATAGTGATTTCGAGAAACACGGCCGATCTCTCGGTGTTCTTCTGCGTAGACTTGACGAGAGGCTCGAGGGATGGCCGAGGAGACATCTCGCGCCCGATCCTTCTTCTCTATCTGGGAGACGAGGGGTCTACCCCCAGGCAAATCTCGAGGGCCTTCTCGAGCCACTCCCAATTCTGATAAGGGTGGCTCATTCTCCAGCGCTAACGCTCCAAGCTTCGCATCTGAAGTTGGGCAAGCCTGCTCGACCTTGCCGTCTTTGGTGAGGGCGATGATGAATGAGGCGGCCGGGAGGACGAGTCGGACGTGGTGGGTGACGAGAACAGTAGTACGAGTCTCGAGTAGACCACCTTGAAGACATTCGGCGAAGATGTTTTGTGCTGTGTGTGCGTCGACAGCAGAGAGGATATCGTCGAGATATACCGTAGATGCCCGAGAATAGAGACAGCGAGCGAGATTGACTCGGGCTTTCTGGCCGCCACTCTGTAATTGTGTCAGATGATAATCTCCTCATTGAGCCTTTGGAACCTACCAGGGTGACGCCATTTTCGCCGACCTCAGTCAAGTCGCCATCATCAAACATTTCAAGATCCGCCGATAACGCCGCCTGTCTCAAAGCCTCCCTATACCTCTCTTCCCACATAGGCTGACCGAAAAGAATGTTGTCTCGGATAGTACCATGTCGGATGAAGCTTTGCTGGGGAGCATACGCAACAGAGTCGTTGAGCCACATTTCGGTAGTCCATTGGATGCAGGAAGTCTCATCCTCGGAGAGTACTGGAGTGGCGTCGGGAAGGGAGCGAGGTGCGAAGACGGTACCATTTTCTACTTTCGCTTCGCCCAAGAACGCTCTCAGCTGACACACAACTCAGCTTTCCTGACCATCCATTGTTGTAGAGACTCACCAAAAGCGTCTTGCCAGCACCCAGAGGACCACATAAGACAGTCAACTTCCCTTCCGGCACATTCAAATCCACATCTCTCAGCTTGAACCTCCCACTCTCCTTGACCTTGATATCCTCAGCAGCCGGCCATGTAATAGTGGCGCTATCGGCCGAGATACGGCGAGAGGTATGCTCCCACTTGTCGGTGTCGATTTCGGGCTGACTGAGGTAACGCGAAAGACGCTCGAGACATACTCGACATGTGAGGATGTTTTGAATGACTTGAGGGAATGATTGAAGACCATCTGGGTGGTGTGTCAGTATGCGACAGTCTACAGAATGCGAGAAGTCACACCTTTCACACGTCCAAAGCTGAGAACACGGTCAGTCGTCACCGTTATACATGGAAGATGGTAACTCACACGCTCAAGGAGACGAAAGCTGTAGCAGCATTCAAAGGGTTTCCCATGATTTTCGTATAGAACCAGAAGGTAATAAGAGAGATGCAAAGCGGAAGCTGGTCCGCCAGGACTTTCATGACAGTAGTGAGAGTAAACATCCACCTCTGCCACCTGCCACTTATGCATCAGTCCGGGGAGATGGAGGGATCGTAAATGTTGACTCACTTGACTTCATCGGCACGGAATTTGGCAATACGAGCAGCAAAGTAGGGCTCCCAAGCATTCAGTTTGATGACTTTGATACCGAGAAGAAACTCCTTGAGGGCGCCGGTTCGTGCATCTCGGGATCGCATCCATTCTTTATCACATGCTATCCCGTCATCAGATTCAGTTAAGCGTGAATCAATACTGGGGAAGGGCTTACTGTAGATCCATCTGGCAACCGGCCATGAAAATGGGGCCGACAGAGGAACACATGCGATACCCACAAAAGCACTGACACCGAGCATCTTGTAGAGCATAGCCGTGCCGATGATCACTGTTCCGTAGGTGAGCATCTTACCATCACTTGAAGCTGAAAGAAAGCATGGCTCACATGTGGTCATTCCATTCGTTAAAGCCCACGAATGAGTAGCCAACGAAGCGACAGTCTTAGCATCAATAGTGAGCAAGTTCATCGCCTGTCCTCGACCTCTATTGTCTTTCTTCTGATTGTCGGCGACGACGTTGTGAGCTTCGAGAGCTTTGGCATCGGTCGTCCTGAGGATCTTTGCAAGAAACTAGACAAGGCGCTTGACATCAGCTGCTGACAGAGAGGTAGATGAAGGAGACGTAACGTACCATTGTGCTGATAGACATCCGCACCGGTGTATGGAGCATGTAATTCTCTCTCACGGAGCAGTATGCAGATAGTAGAACTGCAGTAATAGTCAGTCTCGTCCAGGGTTCATCCACACCAGACTCGCCATTGACAGTTTGCCCAAAGAACAATCCCCAGCACATGAGATACGCATAGCTCTTGTCCGACCCGGACGGCTCGTTGAATGACAGGATGATCTCGTGCATGGCCGCAATCTGAACGAAGCTGATGATATTCCTTGTTGTTTCCAGGATGAAAGCTACCCAATGTCAGCTTATGCTGCATCATAGGACTATCATACTCACACACCATCACAGTCAAGCCTCTGCCCGCCCACAGGGTCTTGACCAACTGCCAGCTGCCGACTTTGCTTGCTGGGATGGATGACTTTCTTATGTTATCGGCGCTGAAGATTGAACTGTCGATGCCGCTGTTCCGTGTACGATCGTCGAGCAGTGGGAGATCAGATTGCTGTAAGCTATCTACATATGCCGAGCGGATTGCAAGGGGCGCCATCTGCGAAACCATCAGCCTAGCCCCTGGCAGAATAACGAGCAGCTTGACGTACGTATCCGATTACAGCGAAGACAAGCATAGCCGAGTTGTCATAGTCAAAGACGTTGCTGGAAGGCTCAGAAGGAAGAGCTTGCTCTTGCTGATCGATAGTCACCGCGGACAAGAGGGGGTCAGCCTCCTCCGCCGCCGGTGTCAACTTGATGACCACTCTCGGACTTTCTTCTCCTCGAACGTTGTCCTCCTTTTCGTTGTTAAGACCGAAGCCCGTACCCAAGCGCGGTGGAGGAGAGTACAGCTTCGGTCCTCTGCGCATGAGCCCTACAGCAAAGAGAGTGGCTACAAGTGCCACGGTACGGAGATGCCGGATCGAAGTGGCATGGGCCGCTGAGAGGCTGGGAGGAGAGAGGTGGGTGATTATGGTGTATGCGATGCTGGGCATGGCATGGAGGCCGATCAGGAGTAAGGTGGATAGAGACCCAAGCTGGCAGAGAGCTCGGTGGAGAGTAGCGTGCTCCATCTTGGGAGTGAGGCTAAGGGTACGAGGAATGGTTATGTTTCGGAAGAGAGTCACGACGTATAAAAGCGTCAAACAAGCCTATGATGTATCAGTCAGTCAGATCCAAGGCAGATAAAGGACAGTAGTACTTACAATAGCCGCTGTTCCGATACCATCGATCCCAGCTTGACCAATTATCGCAGCTTTGGCGGCCTGGTTCACGGTTTTAAGTCCGGTCAGCTCTTTCAATGACAGGATGAGATGCCATATCTCCAGACCCAGTGTGACAGGGAGAGACAGTCCAAGCGCCACCTTGTGGTACTTGACATTCTTGAGGAATTCTTCGTTTCTGACAGGTCTGTCCTGGTCGGTCCAGTCGAGGTGCCGCGAGAAGACCTCGTCCGACGGCAAGAGGGTCGCCGTTTCTGATTGCGAAGAAGACATCTCCGCTTTTTTAGGTATGAGCTGTATTGTGGAACTGAGCTCATCATCCTTCTGCTTTCCCATATAACCACCTTCTCGGCGGAGTGGGCTGCTTGAATCACTGCTTCCTTTGTTGCGAAGTTGAGTGATGAGTGAACAGTTACGTAAATGCTCCAACGCGCTGTGTTGTTGCATTGCTTGTATTTCTCGTCGTGTGCTTTCTCATTCGCATTTCCACAATCACCTTTTCAACCCATAATCCCCCTGTTGTCTTTGGAGCTGTCCCCGGGGAGCCTGATAGCGGCTGCTGCTGCCTTCACAAACACCAAGGGTGAGTCTACAATGACTGGAGGGCCGGGGAGGAGGAGGTTTCTACACACCACTGCACCACTGCTGACACCGCCCCATACGAGTCTGCCATGTACTGGAGACCTATCTGACGCTATGAGTAGCTTCCACGCTCCATCCTCCTCGTGCATCTGCATGTCCGGGCGGCACCAGCAATGGTGAGTAGATTTCTTGTTCTCCGATGTCCAAGGCCAGAAGTTGATGAACAACATCAGTGTCGTGAACGAAAGCTTCCACGCCATCCATGTCAACAGCCCAACCGCTATATGCCCGGCCATCCCTTGGTCCTTCTCCTCGCGAGATGTCCTCGTTGCGACGATCCTGACCAGTGGGAAGAATGGCCATTCGCTTCATGCCTCTCGTCGCGCTTCTCCGCCGCCCCCCCTGTCTCTCGTATCGTTCAACGGGGGAGAGATCTGCATAGGGATATGACTTGTTCTCATCGCAGAGACGGTGGTGAGCATCATCGCTTCTGCGAGAGCTTCTCCCCATAACGCACGAGTTCCGATAATGAAACGGCGTCCCTGTTGGATCCTTCTGAGACCGGTGTTGACAACAACAAGACGGCGGCCTGTTTTGCATAAGCTGGTCGATTATATCAGTTGGTTTAGATTGTGGACCTAATAATTCAATCGAGTCATTAGTCCAAGGTCGGCAGTTCGATCCTGTCATCGATCATCTCTTTTTGCTTTTTTTCTTGTCCTTCATACGCGTCTTTCCCATCCTTTTGCTGTAGGTGACCTGGAGGGACTATGGCATAGGCATGTATTCATCAAGATATCTTTCCATTCTTTCGCAGATTACAACTTTTGACGATTCCATTCTTCTTCTTCCAAGGGAAACGTTCAACTGTGATATATACAACTTGTTCCGTCTAAACGGCACCGAACACCTCAAAACATCTTACTGAAGACAACTTTGATTCCAAGACCAGCAAACAGTAAAAGCAAGGCAGAACACGACAAGTAGACAAAAGAGGGAGGGCGATCCTAGTTACACCAGATCATTTTTTGAACAACGACCCGTCATTCCTCAGAAAGACAAGGCAACACCAACACTTCTCATTCCCCATTCCTTAGTACCCCATGACCTCTCTCCCAGCTCTACTGGGAATATCAGTCTTCTCACCCATGGCTTCCTTCACAGACAAGCCCTCGCCATCAACAACGAAACTGGCGCTGGCGTCGGGAGGAGGCAGACCGTGCTCGAACGCTTCCCTCTGCTTTGTGACCCACTCTGTACTGCCCTTGGCGAGCTTTTCAACAGGGTTGAGGGGTAAAAAGATCTGCCCGCTCGCCTGCGCCTGCGCCAAGGGAGACGAGGGGAAGAAGGGAAGGGCAGTGTGGTGCAGGATGAGGTCGCCTGGGAAGAGTGGTGGGAGGGACACTTCCGTCCCCTTGAGATGAGGGAGATCGTGTCCTGGCAAAGAAGAGATGGAAGTGGAAGAAGGCGAGGAGAGGAACCAGTTGTCTGCCTTGAGATAGTCGTTGGCGTTGTAGAATGAGATCTTTGATTTGTGAGGACGGAAGAGCGGACGGAGGAGGGTGTAGGTCGCAGCGTGGACTGTCGGCGGGACCCTCATCTCCAGCCCCATTCCGCCTGCTGCCGCTGCTCCCAGAGTGGGGGTCAATGCCAAACTGGCTCCCAGAGCGCGGTCCGCCCCCCAAGGATTGCCATTAGACGCAGGAGCAAGCCGAGTGGGCAGGGGAGAGAGACCTTCGCGCACGGTGTCTGCTTTGAGATAGATCTCTTCGGTGGGCAGGAGGGAGCGGGAGATTTGGGCGGTGGCGGAGATGATTGAGGGGTCTGCGCGGGCAGAGAGCAGGGCGGGGTGCCAGTAGATACCTTTGCCTCTTTGTCAGCATCCATCCATCACTCATCATGCGACGAGAAGGGGAGGGACGTACTACGACCATCAACATCTTCGATACCCTGCAACACTTCTTTGGCCCAGTTGATAGCTTGAGCATCGGGGACGACGTCGCGGATTACGACAGAACCAGTCTGGCGGATGGCGTCGATGGTGGAGGGGGAAGAGAGGTGGGAGGCGAGGGAGTGGAATGTGATTTGAGGGATTTGGTTCTGCTTTGGTGTCAGTTTTGGCTCTGGCTCTTTGGGCTCAACAAAGTGGATGCTTACACCAGAAACCTTGACATTCTCCAAACCGACCAAAGTCTCGGCCCAGAGTCTCTCCACCTCCGCCCTCTTTGTCTCATCTGTCAACACCCCTTCAGCCCAAGCAGTCCACCCATCAACGCCTACTTCTTGCTGCTGCTGCTTCACAACCTCATAGTTCACCCTCGCCTTCAAAGTCCTTCCCTTGCCATTTTGCCCACTAGGCAATGCCTGGGGATGGGAGGCAGAGTAAGAGTATGGCGGTCGGAGGGTGGGAGGTGTGGCGGGGTTGTGAGTGTGGTGGTATGGGGGAATGAGGCGGGATACGGCGGGTGCTGAGGTGGAGGGGGGCGAGGGGGGGTGAGATGCGAGGGAAGTGAGGAGACGGCGGATGGTCATTCTTGCTGTATCTTTGCTGATGCTTGCAGGTAGTTGTCGATGGGCTTTTATATCTGCTCTTGGCCCTTTTGCTGGCAGGGAACTCTCGCTGACAAGCTTCTCTTTGCTATCAGTTTGTGCATGGCGTGGGTGGGGTATCTTACGTTTCGAGGCGTGATGTACGGCGTCTAGACGGTGTAGATGGCAGGAACGGTGGGAAGCCGGGATTCGGGGGCGGAGCCTCGCGCTGCTTCTCGCTCAAAGGACGTCGAGATAAAATGCAGAGAGAACGAACCTCAGCGGGGATGAAAAGCCCACTGGCTGCATGCATTCGACCGAAAAGTTCTCGCTCGCTGCTTGCCTAAGCGCGGCTTTCCCCGAGGACCCCGGCGATGGTGCGATTGCAATTCCCCGACATCCCTCCGGTTCGAAATTCTGAGCTCCTGCCGTCGACGAATCCCACCGATAACCCAAGCTGCCTATCACCATAGAGAATATATACCAAAGCCTCGTGGCTCTTCTGGCGCAAGCCACTTGATTCGCGCAGGCGTGTATGCTGCGTATTAGAATCCGGTGCCGTTCTCTATACCGATCTTATACGATGGAGAAGCTATGAATATGACGACGATCCATCAGTTGGAAGCCTGGACACGACTTCACCACAGCGAGCCCCCATCTTCACGGCCGAGCAACAACAGCCAACAAAAAGTTATCAGATCAGATAAGCGAAGATCTGTTTATGAAGGCACCTCTGCTGAAACGATGACCGCAATCGTGCCTCTTGCTTTATCCAGGTTGTCGTTCTTTGCTTGTTTACATGCTGGCCGGGCTGCATTTATGTATCATTGTGATATCGCTGATCTGGCCGTCATCCGGCGTTCAAGACTCCACCCTCACTTCCTCCTGCAAACTGCACTGCTACCGTACAGGCGCCGAGTCCAAATACTTCTGGAATATCTAAACTACAGAGTGAAGAAATCAAAGTATCCACTGCCCAGCGAAACTACCAGACATCCCCGTCCCCCCCGGTGAATCAATGTCCAAGATCAAGACGTGGCTTTCTTCCAAGATCCTTGTATGGTTACCTGGAATTCAACTCGATGACTGTCAACCGTGCCGCTGTACCGGGCGCCGAACGCCACCACCGTCAGTCCCGACTCGTCCCGAGTCTGCCTCAACTCCGTCCAGTCCTTATCACTCTCTTGTGCTCATTCACTCCGTCGAGCTCTTCGTCGAATCGCGAGCCGATGGTCTTTTTTTTTATTTTTTTTTCCCCGCTATCTGGTAAATCGCTCGGGAAGTGATGTTAAACTTTCTTGTCAAGCGTTCACTGCCTGTATGTCTGGCTGAATCAATTGTGGGTTGACCTACATCCTGAAGAGCCAATTCCTTGAACAGCTCGTCCACCAATCAGGGTATTCATGTCCGTGGACACGCCACAAATGAGAGATCCGAGCTCAAAGAAGAAAACGGAGCCCAAAAGTATCCACTTGGCCCCCCCGGCCACCACCAAGCAAAGAGCATCCATGGCCTGTGATCTCTCTACATAATTATTAATTGTATCATTTTATCAGCCCAAGACGTCCGTCCCTCTCTCTTCCCTTTTACCCATCACGCACTCATCACGACATACCATACCGGACAATTGCCCAAAGATCGAAGATGGCCCAGCAGCTGCAAGCTTCTCTATCCTGTACGTATCGGATGAACCGCTGAACCACACCCGCCGCCATCACCATCCTTAATTTATTTATGAAGGCACGCAATCATCATCATGAGTGCGGTCAATAAAACAACTATGCGCGGCCAGCCTGAGTCCTGACTGCGTTTTTTGGTCTCCTTTGCGTTCAGCAGGCAGGCAGGCAGCAGGTTCCCGCTTATAAGGATGATCGGATGTATAATCATCAGAACAGGTCATCCCACGAGCTCCCCATTCAAGCCCCCCCCCCTAATCATTCTCCATCCTTTCAGCTGGTACTTCTTCCTTTGTCTCATTCAACAATCGACGTCGAGGTTTAATCATCCCTGGATAAATATCATCATCATCATCATCATCATCATCATCATCAATGCAACGAGCGCCAGGTCGGAGGTCGGAGTAGTAAGTGCCCAAGATTTAGGATAACAATTTACATATGTATCTTCTCACCAAGCTCAGAAACAGACCCAGTAGGGTAAGAAGGGGTATAGATAAATGAAGGAAAGAAGGCAAGGGGGGAGAGAAAGAAAGAGGGCAAGGGATCAAATCAAATCATATTACCAAAATGTCAAAAGAACAGAGAGAGCGTAGAGAAGACGTGGGCGGAGGAAGGAGGCAGGAATGATGAGATGATGAGATGATGGAAGAGGACGAAGAAAGAAGGGGGAGAGAGAAAGAGATGGATGGATCATATACAGTAGTAGTAGGTTTTGGATTTTGATAGAGCAGGGGAAGCCAAGGGAGGGGGACTATAAAATGCCAGAATCCCGCAACGCATTCTGCAAAATCGTCTCTTTCACCGCCGCAAACACCAATCGGATCTACACTCTCATCAGCACCCACAATACTTTCCGGAAGGGCGAAGGGGGGGAACGTACGTTGGAAGTATCAGTAGCCTGCGTAAGATGCGGATACACTGACAATCTCGCGCGGTTCGTCTGTGTAAACCTCCAGAGAATGTACTTGGCTGCCTTGTTGATATCGGCGCCTCCTACATTATCGTACTCTGATTAGCCACCCCTCCCCTCAAACATGAGACACTTGAAGGCGGACGTACCAGTGTACTCTGGGAAATAGTTGACAAGAGGCACTTTCGGCAGTTTTTGTTTAAAGAGATCGATCTTGTTGAGGAAGAGGATGACGGATGTGCGGAGGAACCAGCGGGAGTTGATGACGGATTCAAAGAGGACTAGAGATTCTTGCATTCGATTCTGTGATTCCATTGTCAGTGTTGCCCGCGCCGCGAGGGGAGGGTAAGGGAGGGAGGGGGTTAGAGGAAACTCACTTGTCCTGATTCTTCCAGCAATACTTGGTCGTACTCTGACAAGGCCACACAGAAGATGATGGACGTCACCGCTTCGAAACCTATACCCTCCCGTCAGCTTCACCCATAACACCAAACCAGCCAAGAAATGAAAAGACTCACAATGAATCCACTTTTTCCTCTCACTCCTCTGCCCTCCCACATCGAACATGTGAATACTCAACTGCCCCATATTAAACCTCGTCTCACTGATACCCGTCGTCTTTGTCCTCGCTCTCAACACATCCGCCTCGTCCGGTACATAATCCGGCCCCGCAATCTTGCGAATATTGGCGAAAAAGTAGGTGGCAGAGTCCATGAGGTAGAATTCAGAGGAACGGTCCATGACTGCTGGGATGACGGGGTCGTGCCAGAGAGATTCAATGTTGAACAGGATTTCGGCGGGGATGGTGGATGAGGGGTCGGCGTCTATGCGGTATTCGAGGATCCTATCGGCGTATGACTGTTTTGGGGTGGTTAGCTGAAGCTGACATGGGAAGAAGGGGGCGTACTCTGTTGTTGGCGTCTTCTGGGTCGACACCGATCTTGCGCATGGCCATGATCAATGCCTGGGCAGAATCTAGCACGTTCTTGTGGACGATACCTCTGAAAGTGAGTAGCTCGTCTTTCGAGTATCCGTTCTGGTGGATAATCTTCATCTGCTTGACAATGGTCGACTTTCCAGACTCGCCCGATCCTACCCAGTCTCAGCGCAATTCGACCGTCTGAAGAAGGGGACTCACCCAGCAGCAGGATCTTGCACTCTTTCCTAAACTTTCTCTGATCATCTTCCAGCTGCCTGTCAATCTGATTACTCCTATCCCTATTCCCTCTCGCATCCGGCGCCACCGGCTCCGTCTCTGCCAGCGCCGCTGCCAGCCCTTGCGATCCCCCCGCCGCACCACCCCCAGCACCTCCCGCAGCTCCATTCCCAACAAACCCAGCGGCACTATTCGGCGTGCCCGCCTCGGCCGGATGTGCGGGCTGCGTCGGAGAGAGACCGCTGTTGGAAGACGTCGTCTGCGCCGGGGGTTTGGACCTGGAGGATGTAGAGGAGGAGGTGTGTTTTGATTCTTGGGCCTTTTTGGGGGCTTCGGGGGTGGACATGCAGCCACCCATGGTGTGCAGGGATTGAGATGGGTGGTTGGGGGGAAGGGAAGACGGGAAGGATTTGAAGGGGGATAAGAGGGAACAAAGGATGAGGGTTTTTGGGGGGAGTGGAGCGGGTGGTGTGCTGTAATTTGGGGAATATCTGGTCAGCCAAAGTATCGTTCCAAGAGACGAGTTCGGATGGGGAGGACAGGAGCAGACGGGCGATCGAGCAGAGGGCGAAGCTTGAAGGCGGGAAATGGCCCCTTGAATGGTTGCGGGGGATACCACGCTGAATGGGAGGATGAGGGGTGATGGGCAGTGGCCGGGTGGGAGATGCCCCGGGAACAGCAGACAGTCGCGGGGCTGGGTGCACGAGGAGGGATGGGGACTCACGTGCGGGCGGATGTTGATCCCGCTCGGCGGCAGTGGCGAAGGAGTACTCGGCGGGGCGGTCAAGGGGGAGGAGGGGCGCAGGGGCGGGGGCGGCGGGGATGTGCGCTGGGCTCTCTTTTGAGAAATGCACTCATGCGAAAAGAGAACCACCCAGCGAGCAGCTCCGATCGCGGGCGGAAGCTGATGGACCGTGTTTGCTTGTCCCATTACAACCCCTTTCAAGTTCATTACAACCCCCTCTCATGCTCCTCTGGCCTGGGTGTGCACACTGCATGCATTACCTCGTGCGCCAAGCTGCTTTCCGCTTACTTCTGGCCCCATCATAAGAAGGGGGGTGCATGTTCCAGATCATTCCACTGCTATGAACATCAATCGCGTTCTACCGCATCCGGCTGGATCAGACCTCTACACAAATTCTCGTAATCCAGCTGCGCGCATCCGTGCCTTGACTGTTTACGCCTTGCCGTCGAGGCGTCGACCGTGGGCAGTCCGCAGTGGCACTGGCCACTGCCCATCCCAGTCTAGATACGTCAAGACGGCTCCCCCAGGGACGAACACGGTCAGATAGTCAACAGTCAACGGGAAAGAGCTCGAGTATAGCTCCTTGATATCTAACGTCCACGTCACTCAGGTCTCGGCGGACAGTTTGCTTATGACCTATGGTAGAGCCCCATCGCGGGGCATACTCTGGAGGTGGAGCTTCTCTTCATATGATTTATGTACTCACCAAGTCGATCATTTTATGCATTATGCACGAACTCTTGCAATACATACTTTTTAATCTGTCGCGTCTCGGACCTCGGTCGGGTGGTTTTAGAGTTTTCAGTTCAGTTGGGTATTCCAAAAAAAAAACTTCTCTATTTCTGGCTCTGGTGCTCGGAGAAGGGCGAGGAGAGTAGTGTCTACGTAGCCTGAGACTCCCATCTCACCAGTCATCACCACGATGTACAGAGTCTAAGAGGACAAAGACCTACCCTATGAGGGGAGACGATGATCCATAGTAGTTGGCCAGCGCCAGGTGGATGTAAACAGCAAGGGATGAGAACGCACAACAATGGAAAGAGAGAGAGAGAGAAAAAAAAGGCCAAAAAGAAAAAGAAATGATCGATGACAGGATCGAACTGCCGACCTTGGACTAATGACTCGATTGAATTATTAGGTCCACAATCTAAACCAACTGATATAATCGACCAGTTTATGAAAGCGGTAACCAAAGGTACTCCATGTGTAAACCTCAAAGCAATTCTCGGCGGCGGGACCCGGATACGGACAGACATTCGCCAGCTGTTCGCCAGTTTCTTCAAATCGTGTTCGGCTTATCTTTCCATCCCTCCCATCACGCATCACGCATCGCGCATCACCCAATGTCCTATCACGCTACTCGAATTGACCGTGTACATATTCGCCGAATGCAGCCCCACTACTAGCGCCCCCCCCCCCCCCCATCGTGATCCGTCAACCAACCAACCACCGACATGACCGACTTTTACTGACAGACAGCCTCACATACTGTAAAATAAGTGCATCATCACCTTGACGGTTGTTGACTGGAAGATGCTCCCTACAGTTAGCTTCCGAGTAAGCACCCAGTCTTCAAGAGGTACTTTTTCAACTTATCATCTGAGTCATCATCTGCATTAGGTACTCGTATGCGTCACGTAACCCCATTTGGCTCTCGACGCCTTTCTCCCTTCTGGGATCTGCCCACAGCGTCAGCGCCAGCGCCAGCTTTCCATCATCCGACCTACGGAGAGGGTAAATAGTGTTTGGATGAATGTGAATGTCATGGCTGGGGGTCAGCAAGTACGTCCCCTCTCTCCTCCCCCCTCTCCCCTCTCCCCTCCCCTCCCCTCCCATCCCTCCCTTTCCTTCCACCGTTCTGCGGCTCCTGCAAAGATGGACTGATCCCTCCCTTAGGCGGCAGAAGAATACAACCGCGGCTCCCCAATTCACACCCCCTAATCCTGCACTGGAAGTCGCATTCCGGCACCACCTCTCTCGCTGAACGTACCATACGTCTCGTTTTTTTTTCCAACTGTACGCCACTGCGAGTGAATGAAACGCTACCGTCACGCCTTGGCACGTTTCTGTTAGTTATGCGAATAGGACGGAAGGACAAGAGGGGACGGGGGTGTTTCAGTATTTGATAGGGAATATACCGGCGCCTTTTTGGAAGGAGGGTAATAATGTGAGTTCTTTTAGGTAGGTCTCTTGCTTGCTTCTTTTCTGTGTTCTTGGGCGACGGCTGATGAGGGGGCCAGATGAATGGGTTCAGCAACCTTTCGTGTTTGAACGTATCCATATCAAGTACAGGGCTGAATGGTACGATCGAGTATGGGAAATACGGCGATTTTACTCTAGTATCCAGAGTAACAACTGTAAGCAAGCGTCACTGTCTATATCAGGTCTATATGGCGTATTGCGGTTGACTGACAGGTCCGAATGAAGTGTGGTCGGTGTCGTACTACGTGGACCCGTCGGCTGAAACGCCGAGTATGGATTTTGATTTGAGTTATACTTGTTGACGTTGGACGTTGAAGAAAAGGAGAGAAGGGGGTGATCATGTCGTATAATTTTTCATACAACTATGACCATAAAATTGGCTGCACTTGCCGATGGAGATGTGGTATAGATATGTACTGAATATGACCTGCCCTCCAAGCGTACTAAAGAGCCTTCACAGCCTGCACCGGTTCTGAGAGAGGGTGAAGGGGATCAACGTCCGCACCTCGTTCTGACTTTTTCCGGTGTTTCTGCTCATGCTCGCTCACAGGAGGAGTGTCGTTCGTCAATGAAGGGGACGAAGATGGTTGAGGGGTTCGATCTAGATCAGGGGGTATTGGTGAATGTTTGCTGGCTTTTACATGTCGTCAGCTTGATCGCGATTAAGAGCGAGACAACTCACTTTTATGAGTGTTGCCGACTGTGTCACCTCCTACATCTTTTTCTCCGCCATTATCCACTCCAATCTCAGCAATATCTACGTCATCTCGCCGTCTCTTCTCGCCGACTTGTGGGATGACCGTCGGCCTGCCCTCCTCGACACTTGGAGCAGCAGAGGCGCCCGAAGCAGGGGTGGAAGATGTTGGGAGGGCGGTGGGAGGATTTTGAGACGTAGAAGCGGCCTCAATCGATACCTCAGCACCCTTTCTAACACTCCCAGAGCTCGGGGCGTTAAGCCACTTCAGTCTCTCGTCAACAAAGTCGAAAGAATGATCTCCCGGACCCATGTCATAGTCATCCATCGGCGCCATTGGTACATCCTCCCACTGGGATGCTTGCGCCTCAGCTCGGTGGTGTTGCACTTTCCGGGCGATACTGGCTTTGCGAGCTGCCTCATTAGCAGCGACCTCTCTTGCGTGAGTCACTCGGAACTCGTGTCGACTGGCTTTGATGCCTCTGAGTTGTCGATCAAGAGGGCAGTTATTGCCGGTGACGACTCTCTTGTATTTGCTGGCAGTGCTGAATTTGTGGTACGCCATGTCGTGGATAAGGGTGTCAGGTGTTGGGAAGATGGGGAGAAGTGACGCAACGAGGTGATAAGATTGTGAAAGAAGCTTGAAAGAAGCGAAGGTAACGTACTTGAACGCGGTGGTGGGGCGGAGGGAGGGTTGTAATGGGTTATTAGGAATTATCTGGTAATGGGCAGGCAATGCATTAGAAACTGGGTGTTGATAAAATTACGTGTTTTACTGCGCGAAAAGGCCATCTAGGTGCCACCCCGCGGCTCGCCACAACAGTCCTAAATCGGGGTTTTATTGGTAGACAGGGGTGCGGAACCAAATAGAGAGATGAGTGTGACTTACGTAAACACTCTCTGGTGAGTCGAAAACGATTACAAGGAATCTGTGACTGATCTCTGACTTTTATCGACTTTATCGACTTTTATCGACAACACCATGGGCTTCACTCTCCTCATCGACAACTACGACTCGTTCACCTGGAACATCTACGCAGACATCGCAGCCATCGGCGGCAACCCCTACGTCGTCCGCAATGACAAGATCACCCTCCAGGAAATCCAGGTCAGTCCACCCCTACAACGCCACCACTGCTGACTCACCCTATGCAGAAACTGTACGAGACGGACCAGATCGCCCGCATAGTCATCTCCCCCGGTCCTGGTCACCCCCGGACCGACTCGGGTGTTTCTCGGGATGTCATCCAGTGGGGTATGGGCAAGCTCCCTATTATGGGCGTGTGCATGGGCTTGGAATGTCTTGTCGACTGTCTCGGTGGTGATGCAAGTCCCCCAACTAGCTGAAAAGACTGAGCTAACCAAAAGCAGATCGGATACGCCGGCGAAATCATGCACGGCAAATCCTCTCTCGTCACGCACGACTCTATCGGCTGCTTCCACGACCTTCCCCAAGACCTCTCTTCTATCCGATACCACTCCCTCGCCGCGTCCATCTCCACCATCCCCCAATGCCTCCAAGTCACCTCCACCAGCAAAGAGAGCGGCGTCATCATGGGTGTGCGTCACAGGGTGTACACTGTGGAGGCCGTGCAGTACCACCCCGAGAGCTGTTTGAGCGAGGGGGGGAAGGGGTTGATGGCCAACTTTCTAAAGCTGAAGGGCGGCAAGTGGGGTGGGGAGAATGCGTGGTGCGGGGTCGTACCCGAAGGCGAAGCTTCCACCGAACCCGCCGAGCCCAAAAAAGTCACCTCTTCCAACGGCACCGGCGCGCCTAGCCTCCCCACCATCCTCAACAAAATCCACTCTCAGCGTCTCCAAGACATCGACCAATCCAGAACCATCCTCTCCACCACCCCAGACAACGTCTCCAAATCCATCGCCCTCCACACCGCTCCCCCCCTCATCAGCTTTTACGACCGCGTGAAAAACACGCCGCATACCGCGATTATGGCCGAGATCAAGCGCGCGAGCCCGTCCAAGGGGGATATTGCGCCGGACGCTTCTGCACCCGAGCAAGGACTCAAATATGCGCTGGCGGGTGCGTCGGTCATTTCGGTGTTGACGGAACCAAAATGGTTCAAGGGTTCGTTGATCGACATGCTCGCTGTCCGAAATGCCGTCTCCACCCTGCCCAACCGCCCTGCCATCCTCCGCAAAGACTTTGTCCTGAGCACCTACATGATTGACGAAGCCCGTCTCTACGGCGCCGACACCGTCCTCCTGATCGTCGCCATGCTCGACCCCGACCTCTTGTCTACGCTGTACAACTACTCTGTCAGCTTGGGCATGGAACCCCTCGTCGAAGTAAACAACCCCAAAGAACTCGAGCTCGCCCTCCAAATCGGCTCAAAGGTCATCGGTGTCAATAACCGAAACCTGCACGATTTCAACGTCGACATGAGCACCACCACCCGCGTCAACGCAGCCCTCAAGGGGCGGGGGGACGTCATTCTTTGTGCGTTGTCCGGGATTTCGCAGCCGAAGGATGTAGAGACGTATGTGAAGGAAGGAGTCAAGGCGGTACTCGTTGGGGAATCTTTGATGCGTGCGAAAGATACGGGGGCGTTCCTCCGATCCCTTATCGGTCTGCCTGAACCCGCTCAGAAGCAAGTCCAAGAGCAGCCTTTGGTCAAGATCTGTGGTATCAGATCCGCAAAAGAGGCGCAGCTCGCTATCGATGCCGGCGCAGATTTATTGGGCATCATCCTCGTCCCCGGTACCAAGCGCTGCATCTCTCTCGATACCGCGCGCGAAATCGCCCAAGTCGTCCGCACCGCCCGCGCCTCCCGCCCTTTCCCCTCCTCCCCCGCAATCCCGTCCTCCCCCGAACCTTGGTTCAGACACAACCTCACCACTCTCTCTTCCCGGCCCAAACCCCTCCTCGTCGGGGTCTTCCAAAACCAACCCCTGGCCTCTGTGATCCACCAGACCACAGCGATCGAGCTGGATTTGGTACAGTTGCACGGGGACGAACCCCAACAATGGGCGCAGTTCATTCCCGTGCCCGTTATCAAAGTATTCCGCGTTGACGACGAAGGCAAAGTCCGGGGCGGGGAGGTCGCGAGGCCGGGGCAGAACAGCTTTATCCTCCTCGATAAAGGTACCGCTCAAGGCGGTGGTGGGGAAGGCCTGTCTTTCCCGTGGAAAGTGGCCAAGTCGCTCATCTCGGCGGGCGAAGCAAACTCTTTGGCGCATCCTTTGCCTGTCATCCTTGCTGGAGGGCTGACGCCAGAGAATGTGGGGACGGCTATAGAAGAGACGGGGGATGGGGTGTGGTGTGTGGATGTTTCTAGTGGGGTTGAGGGAGAGGGGGGTAAGGATGAGGAAAAGGTGAGGGCTTTTGTTAAGGCTGTCAAGGGTTAGATGTTTGAGCATAAGGAAGGGATAGATGCATATGTTTACATGAAGAGACTGTCGACGGCGTGTATCACAAATTGCCCGACTCTATGCAGACTCTTGACGGCAGTAGCGTCAATACCCTTGCCTCCTATCTCTAGACTCTTTCCGACCTTGCCCTTGACCTTCTGCCACTGACGACTGATCACTACCCTATCCTCGTTCTCCAAATACACCGTCTTATTCTCATTCAACACTGATACCAAAGCAAGCTTTGATTGTAAAAGAATCTGCTGCGTCGCAAGATCTTTACCCGACGCAGACATGCCGAGTAATTCCAACAAGTATCCCGCCGTCGGCGCCGACATCCCACACCACCCCTTCTTCCACTCCACCGCCTTACCCACATTCTTCTTCCCCTTCCCCCTCCTCCTCTCATCCGCCTTCACCTTCCCAACCCCCGCCCAATGTTCAACCCACAAAGCACACAAGTGGCTCTTCGGCCCCCACTCCACCCCTTCCGCGCCTTGCCACCCTTGTAGCATCTTCTCCCTTGCACGGGGCGAAGAGAGGGAAGAGGAGAGGTGGATGATGTGGAATGAGAGGGTGTCGGTGTGGAAAGGGGCTTTGGAGGGGGGAGGAGGGGCGGGGGTGAGGCTGAGGCTGCGGGAGGGGGAGGAGGTGGGTGGTGTGAGGGGGGCGGAGCGTTCGGCGCTGTCGGAGGGGGTTGGGGAGGAGTCGCGGGAGGGGTTGGTGGGTTCTGGGGTTGGGATGGCGGAGAGGTTGGTGGCGGTTGCCACGAGCTTTTGATAGTAGTCAGCTATGATACAAGGACAAGTATGAAAAGAGACCCACCAGGCTGAGAAGGCGTATGGCGAGCTCTTGCTTGTGCAAGCCAGATAGTATCATCTCGCGATACCTCTCATAACGCTCCCTTGCCCGTTTCGCCCTCATGGCCGCTTCCACCTCCATCTTCTCTAGCTCCTTTTCGCTCTTCTCAACACCATCATCATCATCCTCCTCCTCCTCCGGCAGACTCTCAAAGTCCGTCTCCGTCTCCGTCTCTTCATCCTCAATCTCAAACGCTTCATGCAAGATACCCATGATGTGATCCGCCTCGCTGCGCTGCATCTGGCCCGTGGAATCGTATGGTTTCTTGATCTGGCGCAGAAATACTGGCGAGTAGGATACACCCCTAGGTACGTGGAGAGCTGTATCTTTCTCGCACACTGCAACGAACCACTGGAGCAGACGCCAACCTGGCATCGAAAGCCGGCGGTGAGTCGCGGGAGACTCTTCATCATCTTCCCCATCCCTCAGTGAAGACGGCGTCGTCAACGGCGACGTCTGCCCCCTCCCCCTCCCCCTCCCCCTCCCCTCCTCAGGCTCCTCATACATCAACTCCCAAAGCCCCTCATCCCTACACCGCCTCATCCTCTTCCAAATCGCCTTATCCATCCCCCCTCGATCATAGTCCCACCGCAAGTACGCTGGAAGGGCATCGCGGAATTCGGTTTTGGTGTTTGCGGGGAGGATGGCGGAGGAGGAGGATGGGATGGAGGTGGCAAAGTCGAGGGGGTTGTGCGTGTGGAGGAGGCGGTCGAGGGCGTGGAAGGGGAGGGAAGGGGGGACGGAGGGGAACTCGGAGGGGGAGGTGATGAGGTAGAGGACGAATTGTACATCTTGCCTGTAAGAACTAGAGTCGGTCACAGAAGGCATGTATGGTTTGTAGGACATACGGTGGAGGGACATAGTGGGTCTGGGTAAAACTGTTGAAAACTTCAAGTGCCAGCGTCGCTTTACGAGTACAGAATGAGTATACGGCGTTAGTGCACGGCGTAGACTCACGCTGCTTCTCGTCGATGTAGCCGTGGACAAACTCTCGTGTGCGGTGGCTGTAGACGTTCTTTCTGTTTGTCTTTCTGCGTTTCTGGGTGGTGAACATGGTGGTGCGGGGGATGCAAGAGAAGATGGGAAAGACGCGTCAAGCAGGCGTCAAGTGGTTGTCATTTGGTTCCGTCGTGTTGAGGCATGCCCATGGTTCATGAGTGACTGCATTCAACTCTGTTACATCCCCTTATGCATTCCAGAGAGTGAATGCCGGTTATGCACTACTTTCTATTACCCGCCCAGTACTCCAAAAACGCCTTCTTCTCCACCCACCCCATCCCCCTCACCCTCCTCACCTTCCCCGTCTCGGCCAAAACAACATTCACCGCCTCCCTCCACACCCCCCCAGCCCCATCCTTACCCAGCTGCCCCTCCAGCCCGCCGGGCTGGTTCGCCAATATCTCTCCCGGGAGGAACGACGGCGAAGAGGGCGATGCGGCTGGGTGGAGGGTGCGGATGTGGAGGGATCGGTGCGGGAAGAGGGAGGGGGTGAAGAGGGTTGAGAGGACGAGGTGTTTGAGGGGGGTGGGTATGGGGCAGGTGGCGCTTGGGGAGAAGGGTGTGGGGGCAGAATGTCTTGGCGATTTGTCAGTTTGCCGTTCAGAGAGCAAGATGGAAGGGGGACGTTACCTGAAGAATTTAACCCAGACGATCCCTTCATCATCACCCCCCACGTCCCCCTCTCCCAACACGCCCTTTCCAAACTTCAACACGGCCCGTCCATTCCCCGTCGTTCCCTCGGGGAAGAATACAACAGGCCGTCGTTCCTTCCTGCGCGCTTCTTTCAGCGTCTTGTACAAACCCTTGGGAGGGGTGTCATACTGCGCCGGGGGGAGGCCGGTGAGGGAGATGATGGAGAGCAGGGTGTGGGGCTGGTACCCGAGGAGGGATCGTTGGGGGAGAGAGGGGGTGGAGGTGATGTTGGCGGAACCTGTACCGGTGTGACGGCCGTATTTTGCTTTGGGCTCGGTCATCTCAATGTCATTCGCAAAGACGGGGAGTAAAAAGGTTGGGTTGTGTCTGTACGCAATTTTTAGAAGAGGAGAAAAGGTATGAGATGGAAGAGCATACCGGAAAGCGAGAAAGATGATTTCGACGTAGCTAGTCCAGTTTGCGATGATCAGATCGCCCTTCTGAGGAGAGCGGCTTGAAATTTGAGCAACACCGGCCTTCCTGTCCGTTCATCAGCACTCGTATCATCGCAGAGAAAACACAAATGGCCCACCCTCGACGAGGAGAGACAAGTTCAGTCGTAATCCACCAATAACCCATAAGCCCCAAAGCAAGCCTGCAAGTCAAGGCCGTCAAAGCCCCGGTAAGTAGCCTGTAAAGAGGCGGTATCGGTACCTTCTCCCATCAGCATCCATTCCCGAGTCCAAGAGTGATAAAGGCTCACGAAGAGAAGACAAAGCCAATCCACAACAATCACATGGAACACCCCAATAACGGCCAAAAGCAAACACCGGACGATGGAGTGGATGAGGCATGAGGGGTAGAGCAGCGCAGCAAAGATGCCGAAGGCGCCTCGAGGTGGGATTGGTTGGAGGAAAGGCTGTATAAGGTGTTAGCAGGAGAGGATAACAGAAGGTGAGAGGGGCGCACTTGAATACCCGTGGCGGGATCCTACGGGGAGCAGATCAGTTGTCAAGTCCACTGGGAGCTGTAGGAATGACGAGGGGCTTACTCTCCACTTGGAATATTTTTCCATCGTAGCTTTGCTTGTCAGTTGATTGGTTTAGATGGGGAGGAAAGACGAGATGGACGGGGGCGGCGATGGCCGCTGAGGCTGCCCACCTAGATACAACTGCGATATCTTCCAGGACGTACTCGAGTATCTCACAAGGAGCAAGACGGAGCGAGTATGCATGTACCCATGTACGAGATCGTCTCCAAGCTGCCCGCCCTCCCCACCATGCACAACATCAACCCATGAAGTCAAAGTCAATCGCGTCTCTTGTGATGGTACCTGAGACGTCACCGATGCCCGCCACTTTCCCAAACGATTTCGATTCCAAACCCAAGTATCCACCACCAAGATGGCCCCCGAACTCCGCGTCCTCGTCTCCGCCCCAGACTCCCCCGGCTACCCCCCCACCACCCCCATCCCCGTCAACTCCCCCGACCCCTCCCCGCTCTCCACCCCAGGCTTCGAGGGCCATATCTGGGTATTCGTCAAAGACTACTCTGGCCCGCACCTCTCTGGCGACGGCGCCGAATACTTTGCAGAAGCAGGGCGGGAAGGGATGACTTATGGGATTGTGGTGAAAGGTAGGTTTAGGGAGGAGGTGGGAGGGGATGAAGTGGTTCTTGGGAATGTGTTTGAGAAGCCTATTAGGGATAGTTTGCCGTGGGGGACTAGTGTGGCTACCAAGTTCATGTAGTGAGTCTCCTCCTTCCCCCCCCCGCGTTTTTGGAGAGAGTGTAGCTGATAGGGTACAAGCTTTATTGATCCGACGCTGGAGCTGGATATCTACGCCGACAAGCCCTGGGCCCTCTCGCCCGCTCTGGCGACTATGAACTACCTCTCCCTCCAGGAAAGCAGCGACATTCCCAAAGACCTGCGTATCAAAGAAGATGCTCCAGAGTATCTCAAAGCCAAAACCGGAGGTCAGTCCTTCTCCTTTCCCCCCTCCCCCTCCCCGACGGTCAGTGACTGAATGTCAATCTGGGGAACAGGCCCTTCCGCAGAAGGTTCCGAAAAAGCCAAGATCACCGCCCGAAGAAAGTGGCTCGGGTCCAAAACCAATAGGGAGAATGTAAAGTTGAACAAGGACGTTGTGGTGGGCATGGAGTTTGCCAACGGCCTTCTCGGTGAGTTCCTCTGTCCTCTTCGTGCTACCACCCCCCCCCCCCCAGCCCCCATCCCACAGGCATCTGCGCCTTGCTCACACAAAAGACAAGACTTCAACACCCTCTCCGCTACCCTCCCACCCCCTTTCAAAGCATCCTTCCCCCTCCTCAAATACTGGGACGGCCAGCCCGTGACATACTCTTGTCAGCGCCGAGCGAAAGACGGAGAGAGCCCGGTGGGGCAGGAGGTGTTTTGGAGTGTGGCGTTTGAGATTGTTGATGAGAATGCGAAGCAAGAGTTGGAGAAGAAACATGGTGGGAAGGGGGGAGAAAAAGAGAAGAAGGATGAGAAAGAGAGTGTTGATAAGAGTGCGGGTGATAGCCAGGCCGATGATGTTGATTAGAATTGTCTAACAGGTAGAGTCCGTAGAATCTTGTACCTTTTTACATGTATTCACATGCTACACTACTCCAACATTCCCAACACCCCCTCTACTCCTTCTTGTTCTCCCTCGCAGCCTTCCTCAACGCCCTCTTCCTGATATCCTTGTGCATCGACAAGATGACCTTGATCGCCACAATCTCACTCACATACCCCGCAAACCCCGCCGCATAGTCCAACAAAGCATGCGTCCAATACGGTGTCCTCTCATGCGGCCGCCCCTGCGCTCCCCCAGGCCTCCCAATCGACCCGAGCGCAGATTTCACAAAGTCTCGCGCAGTAGGCACAAGCGCGGAAGAACGCCTGATTTTGGACATGTTTGATACCACGAAAGCGGCCTGCACGAGCTCGACCACCACGCCCTGGGGCTGCACTTCTTCAGCGAGGGCTTTGGTCCAGGTGGAGAGGGCGGCTTTGGTGCCAGAGTAAGAGGCGAGGAGGGGGGAGGGGATGCGGCCGGAGAGGGAGCCGATGGTGAGGATGAGGGATTTGGAGGCGGCGGTTGGGGAGGAGCGGGTGATCATGGAGGGGAGAAGGGTGCGGGTGATGAGGTAAGTCCAGGTGACGTTCTGGGGGATGTCAGTGCGGTGATGGAGCATGTGGGGAGGGGCGTACGGTCTCGATGATACGGTCGATCTCGGCTCGCTCGGTCTCAGCAAAAGATACAGGCATGGTGTGGGAAGCACCGACGTTGTTGACTATACTCTTCTATCAGTCTCCGTCCACATCATCAAGGCCCGAGACTTACTCAAAACTCCAATGTCGAGGTTCTTTGCCAAAAGCTCCAACTGGTTGAGAGCACCATCACGAGCAGCACCGGGCGTAGAAACGTCGACGACAACCGACTTGGTCAAGACGCTATACTTGGTCTCTGCATATACACGTATACACATAAGCTTCTGTCTTTTCACAAGATTCCGTAGAGGACGTTACCAATTTCCTTGCCAAGCTCGGTAAGAGCAGACTGCCTCCTCCCAACGAGGATCAAGTTGTACTTTTTCCCAGCGAGCTGCTTTGCAAATTCAAGGCCGATACCAGAGGTGCACCCGGTCACTACCGCCCATGTCTCACCGCTTCGCGATCGGAACGAGCTGATCTAGAGTGCAAAAGTCAGCCGATGGGCCACTTGCTGGAATAAAGTGGCTTACGGATTTACCGGGCAAGATGGCGAGCTCGAGGAAGAGCCGGAAGATGGAAAAAGCATACTTGAAAAGGAACGCTGCTCCGACAGTGGACAGGATGAGGGCGGGGATGGAGATATCGAGGACTAACGGCACACCGTCAGCATCTACTTTCTCTTTCCCATCCCGAGAGCCTGCGTGGTCTGGACGTACTGAGTTCTTGGCCAAAGATATGGACAGACTGGTGTCCTGCAGCATGGGTGCCTACGTGGATGGTGTCGGCGACCATTTTGGTTTTGTCTTGGAGAAAGAAGAGATGAAAGAATGGATGGAATTCGCGCATTTCACGCGAATGGCTCAAGATGGCCGAGCGCGTGATTTACGTAAGTGAGTCCTGAGGAGGAGGAGGTCGGTCGTCGCGTCGGCACAGTATGTTCAAACCCATGCGCATGATGCTTGAGGAATAACAGGCAGTAGGCCAGAGCCTCAGCGGACATTGGGACGCTCGGTTATCCCCCGAATGCAACAGGTTGAGGGACTATATTGACAGATGTACGAAACAAGCTACTCGGGTCATGCCATGTTGAAGGAGAACGCGAGGACACGACGTTGCATCAGGCTTTTCTTATTTATACAGTTCCATGACCTTTTCAGGCCCCAGATATCGTAATACAATAAGCCTTCAAGAGCAGACTAAAGCTCGTATGCCAAGCATCGCTCAAGCAGTAATGGAAGCAGAGGCACTGGAAGAGACGGGGGAAGACTCGTCGACGTCAACGACGCCAGCAGAGCCGGAAGAGACAGCCGAGGAAGCGGCAGTGGCGGAAGCCTCCTTGTCAGCAGAGGCGAGGAGGAGGCTAGAGCCCTCGGTGGGGGTACCCGAAGGAGCACCAGAAGGGCCGCCGGAGGGAGCGGTGCCGTTCTGGGGAGGAGCAGGGAAGTCGGTAGAGTTGCCACCGCCGGGAGGACCGGTGAAGTTGCCCCCAGAGGGAGCGGTAAAGTTGCCGCCAGAAGGAGCGGTAAAGTTGCCCCCAGAGGGAGAGGCGCCAAAGTCACCGCCGGAGGGGGCGGTAGAGTTGTCGATGGGGCCGCCGCCGCCGGTAAAGTTGCCAGAGGGGGCAGAGAAGTTACCGCCAGAGGGAACGCCGGAAGCAGCGCCGAAGGGAGCGCCCGAGGGGGAACCGGGAATGGAGGAGAGGGAGAGAGGGGCAGACTCGGCAGCGGGGGCAGCGTTGACGGTCACTAGACAAAGGGTCAGCGTTCACTCGTTTTGAGGCAGAGAAGATACTCACCAGCAGCGACGGCAGCGAGAAGAGAGAAGGTAGCAGCGAATCGCATGGTGGTTGAAAGAGAGTGTGGTTGGTGTTGGGTGATAATATGAAAAGCAGTTGAGAGCGTTGGACCAATTCGTATTCGTCAATTGACTTGATGAAGGAAGGGGATCAAGAAGAATGGGCCTGTATATATACCTCTCCGAGCAGCAGCTTTGCGCTCAGCTTGCCGGATCTCTCGGTCCTGATCACCCCTCGCTCCTCGGCCGATTGCGCGCCTCCTCATACGGTTCACAAGGCCCACAGGGGTGCTGTCCCCCGCAATCACCTTAGCATGGCTCAGCATGGCACAGCATGCACAGACGCACACCCATTCATGGCCAATAACCAGCACAATACAACAATATCTCCCCTTTCGAGTGTTTGAAGCGTGGTTTTTAGCATACCTTCAGCCCTACCTAGCATCCTCATAGTTCAAAGGGGTGACCAAACAAGACCATGTGGCAGTTGTGCGTTTCGCTTGCGCATTTGTAAAGTCGAGACCGTGTTATCCTATTTTGGGGTGGCTTTGGGGTGGAGTGCCTCCCATGACTTCATTCTTGCCGTCCTTGCTGTTGTGAGTTTGTGACTGGGATCTTGGAAACGCCTCGGGCGTCGCGCCATCGTGACTGCCGAAGGGCGATGATTGCGCTACTCCTTTTGTTTACGTCTGCGAGATCTGCGAGCACAGCGCTTGCGGATAACGGAGATTTGCTCAATCCCTGCGTTCTGTATCAGCTCATTTTGCAGTGCACGCACCATTCTTCGTCATGGCCGGTGAATGAAGAGATCTTGAGCCAAAAGCAGTGCGAAACGTAAAAAGCCAGAAAGGACCAAATTGGACGAAGGAGTCAAGCACGCAAGATGCGAAGCGCACTCAAAAAAGGCAAAAAGAAATGATCGATGACAGGATCGAACTGCCGACCTTGGACTAATGACTCGATTGAATTATTAGGTCCACAATCTAAACCAACTGATATAATCGACCAGTTTATGCAAATGCTTCTGTGCAACAAATGACACTGATTCACGTTGTGGGAGCTTGACGAGTATCTCTGTGACAGCCAGGCATCAGTTGGTCACTGCTAGGGCGTTTAGAGAGATCGGGATTCATCGTGCGTATCATCCTTCCTTCCTTGAACAAAAGCTCGACCAATGGTTCGGCCAGCTCTTCATCCGCTACCTCCCCTAACCCCCCGTCCTCCGCGTCATCGACGCCATCGTATGCGAAGGTACCCGCTTCCTCATCATTGCCTCCCTCACCATCCTCTCCCTCTCCCGCGACCGCCTGCTCCGCCTGTCGCAGGACCACGATTCGGTACTCGAGTATCTGCAGAATCTCCCGCAGGATAGTTTGATGTTGCCGGAGAACTTTATGAAGGCGTGTGAGGGGGTGAGGTATGAGGAGAAGGAGTATAGGAGGACGAGGGCGGCGGTGGAGAAGGAGTTGATGCGTTGATTCGGCAGGGAAGTGGGTTTTTTGATTGGCGTTTTGCCTCAACTTAGCGAGAAGGATCCTTGTTTTGCACTTTTTTCTTCACAAACATATATTGCATTTTCTTTCATGATCCATCATTGTTTACTCTTACAGGAGTATATCTAGTTCGCTATCGCATATTAATCAGCATTATGTATCGTCACTTGTGCATTCACTCACACTCGAAAGTTGCCAACGTCCACTCGGCCTCTCGTTCCGTCAAGCCCACGAACGTATCAATATTCCGTCTCATCTCATGCTGGCATATCGCAGAAAGCCTCTAAAAACTCATGACCAGTCCTCCAGAAGACTTGAGCCTTCGCAGCCTCCTCCGGCATGCCCCAGACCTCTGCCGACGTCTTCATCTCCTCAGCAAATTTTATTTCCACCTTTGCCTTGATATCATCCACCTTCCGACTCTTCGTCCATTCACTCAACCTTTCCAATATCGTATCGGCATTGTACAGCCACAGCTCGTTGATAGAGAACCGCGTGCCGAAGTTTTCGACGATCTCGCAGAGGTCGTGCAAGATCTTGTTGCCGAGCAACTCGTTCGTTGAGCCGGTGAGCCAAAGAAAACCCGCCCCAGGATTCACCAAATCGCCCCAAAGCAGTATATGGACCGCCTTGATGTTGAGGCAAGGTGGGTATTCCTTCCGGCCGTGATTCCAGGGCCCGTAAGTGAGCTTCCCAACAACATACTTGACCTCCGTAAACTCCCCCGCGTGTGCCATCACCACAAGTGTCTTTACACAAGGCAAAGAAGGCATAGACTGAAAACCCTTGGCCCTGGCTGTATAGAAAGGTGTCGAGAGGTGTAGCCGACTAGCATCGCGGCAAAGTCGCTCGATGAGGGCGTCGTTTGGCAAGGTCTTATCTGCACCGCCTTGTTGTCGGGCGGTCTTATCGGCGGGGTGGATGATGACGGTTTCGACAGCAGGGAGAGGGGGAATCCGTTTGTACCAGTTTGCCCATACTGAATGACCGACGGGCAGCGGTGCGCGCTCTACGATAACCGTCTGTACGAGCTCCAACAGCTTGGTCTTTCCATAGGGCCCGCCTCGCCCGCCGGCATCCACGCCCAAGAGAGGATTCAAGACGTTCGATATTGGTAGCGAGCGATAGAGTTTTTGAGCGATGAGACCAAAGAAGAGGGGAGATGTGCGCAGGAGAGATGGGAGGTCTTTGTTGTCGGAGAGGTGGGAGAAGATGATGTGGAGTATGTCTTTCGTGTGGGCCACTTTGGAGGCGGAAGACATAGTTGCGTCCAGCTACCAGAGCTATCAAGAGTCAGCAAAAGAGTCGAGGAAATCGAGAGGAATGGCTATACAGACGGGATACGCGACCCTGGAAAGAAGGCCGATTGCCTGCAAGGTCGGCAGATTGAGCGTGATCCCGAATACGGAGCTTTACCAAGTAGACGTCGTGCGCCAAGAGGTGGCGGAGGGGGCGAGCATAAAGAGAAACTGAAGACGAGACGATATAGAGGACGATGAAAACAAAGATTTTGAACTGCGACGCGTCAAGTGCTCAAGTTTCGAGACCGGCGGCCTCAAATACCGCGCAAGAGATATGAGACATTGACGGCAGTCTCGAAGGCTGTATGCACCTCTTTAGCTCATCGGAGCATGGTATGGACTGCCAAGTATACATACAAATAACTCATGTAGATATGTAGGCATGGCCGACGTCGCAAAGGATGGACAGTCCGATTAGTCCATATCATGACTCCCCCCTCTGTTACTGTTATATCTCTCGAGGTGTCATGAACGTCGCGTCGGCCAGGCTATCTGTGTTTTATGGTATGGCCTAAGATCAAAGTATGCCAAGCTGAAAGCTAGCCCAGTGGCAACAGGAACAGTCAGGGAACAGTAGAGGACGTCGCCACTGTCCGAGCTGAGAACTTGTCACACTTAGTAAATCGTTGCGTTCCAGCTAGGTCGTGACAGAACTAGAGGTACAGAGGACTCGCCCAAGCGGAGCTAGGGGCGGTCGGACGTTTTGATCGTTTGTAAGACAGTCGGAAAGAAACGACGAGGAGGGGGGCGGAGGGGACGGCGAGGAGGGCGGGCGGGCAAAGAGGGAGAGGTGTAGTTGGATGATGACCACCCAGAGTGGCGAGAGGGGAAGCCCTTGCACCCATGACGAGTCGCAGGCGGTGGCCGACGGGTACGCTAGAGTAGAGCTGATGGAGTTTCGGTAGACGAGGCAGTGGTACAGTACGTCTTCGAGTCTTCGAGTCGGGGTTTCCCCTTCGGTCCGATGAGCATGGGCCACGTAGGCGGGCATGGGGCGGTCAGGCCCTTCCTTGGTTGTTGGCGAGAGGGAGTGCTTGTAGAGGTCGCGTTGGGCGATGGAAAGGGGAAGCATCATCGTGTATGGCTGGGCACTGCGTCAGCCAACCCCCCTCTGAACATTGGCAGCAAACGCGAAGGGCACACCAGATCTCGGCCAACGGATCTCTTCTTCTCAGCAGATTCAGCCTTCTCCTCGCCATCGGGCAGGCAGGCTCGTAGTATGGGTGGTGCGAGTTCGACAAGAAACGGGTACCGAGGAGCCGAATATCATGAATTAGGACACGGAAAGCATGAAACCTTGCGTGAAACCGTGGCAACTTCGACTGCGAAATGAGAGAGAGAGACAATCATTCAATAAGTGCCCTGCGCTGGTGGGTGGTCCGTTTGTTGACATGGAAGGTGAGGGGGTCGGCTTTGTCGCGCGCTGATCGACGTCAACCGTGATCCTTCTTCATGGGGAATACCAGCTCACCTCGTCCACTACTGCCTTCAGGGCATCATGATAAAATGAGCGCTACTTCCTTGGAGGCTCCAGGCAGGTCATCGGCGGACTACTACAAGTGGGAGGCGGTGTTGTCAGTGATCTATGCGCTTCCGTCCATTCTCCTTCTTGGACTCACTCATCATAATAGTCTTCCGTGGGGACGACAGCCTGACCGGTGATGTACTCTGCAGACCATGTCGGACCATGTGGGCTTTGGAGTGCGCTGTTGGGGATCTTGAAGAGTGGATGTAAAAGGAAGATGCGAATGACACAATCTGGATAAACAACAACAGAGCAGCGGCGGGTGTACGTATACGTAATCGTGTTTTACCATCATCAGACCATATCATGCATCAGTAGTAGGGGGCAGGGGCAGCTGGAGGCCGAGAGGCAAGCCTTCTACCAGCATCGGGGCTGTATTCTATGTAGCATATTGGATAGTAGGGACCCAGTGAAAGCGATGACTCGAAAGAAGGAGAAGGGCTCCGGACCGCGAAGGGCGGCGGCGAGATTTCAAGCTGCTGCCAGCAGCAGGAGTCAAGCTATCGTTGACGGCGCATAATACGGGGAATGCATGTAACCATAGTGACTATCCAATAGAGCTGAAAGAAGAAAGTGTCGCCAAGTGATAAGTAGAGCATTAAGAACTATTCCAAGTCCTCAATCACATACGCATGTACCGATGATCAAAGTCGGTGGAAGCGGATACCCGAATCCTGCCCGACGTATCCTCGTACGTCTTGTGGTTGGGTGTCCATCTCTGACCGCCATGCTCGCCCTTGAGCCATGCACCCCCCGCTCGTTTAGCTAGCCTCTTGGCAATCCAAAACTCCAACACACTGGTGAACTTGACCTGCACAAAGCCCTCGAGCTTTGCATTCTCCTCTTTGAGGAAGGCGATGTCTTCGGCGAGCCTTCTGTCCACTCGCTCGGGGGACTCATAAGACACCTTGCCGTAGCCTCGGTCAAGCATAGCAGCAAAGAACCGCACGCTGGCAGAAGAAGCAGGGATGCGGCTCGCAGCGTTGCGGCAAACGTAGATATACACCTGAGAGTCCGAAAAGTGGGTACCTCGGAACCAAGAGCCATGGGTGACACAGGTCAGGATGAGGCCTTGGGGGACTTGGCCTGGACCGCGGTAGTACTGGGCGATGTCGGGCTGGATTGTGGTTCGCTTGCCAAAGTGGGTGGCGGGAACTTTGGTGGCGACGTTGGTAGAGACTGGTGATAGCGTCAGCTCCGGTGTCGAGCACTCGGGAAAGAAGGCTGGGCTTACCTGGAAGGCCTTGGTCGCTGGCAGTCATGAAGTCACTGTAGACATTCTTCTCGTGGAGCACGATAGACGCGCTGGACTCGGTGCTGATGGTAGACATGGCTGTCTGGGTCTGTGCTAGTCGGGGTGTTGTTGTAGTAGGGGTGGAGGATGTCTTTCAATAGTGGTGCAAAGAAGATGGTTGGGATGGGGGACATTCATTTCTATCTCCAAAGGCGCGCTTTAATGCACTTTGGCTCGCGGGAGTGTCAATGCAGTTGACGTACGGAAAGATGGCGGAAAACGTATGCGGAATGAGATAATTGCGGAACCACTACAAGAAGACGGCGGAACAGGCATCTCGTCATTTGAAAAGCTTCCAGCTGGTACCGCAATTGAGCACGGATAGCTGAAGGTCAGGAGGAGATTCTTGGACCTGGCCATCGGATCATGAGAGAGTTGGCAGGCTCAGGGCCGGCAGGAGCGAAGAAGATGAAGATGTTAATTGTTGGCCAGCTGCTGCTGGAGACTATTAGCATCCGAGCTTATTTGTAACTGTTCAAGATGTACCAGTGCTGTTTCAGTAAGCCCCTTCTGCTTATCCCCCAGCATTCTCGCCACGTCTGAGCAGCTCCGTTTGATCTCACGTCGATGAACATGGCCTCAGTCTGGGTCTTCGCGACGCGTAATTACAAAGGTTAAATAAATTTGTCGTCGGCTGACCGGCTGCCGACGACAAACTTGGCCATCTCCTCTTCCAATCTCCCATTCTTCTGTCCTCTCCCTCAAAAACTCAAAAACAATCCCAGCAATGGCAGACTCACCTCGATCATCCTCCTCAAAGCGCAAGACGCCCCCCGTGGATGGCACGGCCACCGACGAGGACTCGTTCACCAAGGTCCCTACGCGACAGGAGAAACGCAAACAGAAGAAGATCGACAAGCGGAAGCCTGAGTTTCAGTTTAATGTGTCGGATATGAGGTATGGGAAGAAGGTTACTTTGGCTGTGAGTCATATGTTTGGTGAAAGAGTGTGCGAGGGACTGACGGTGTTGGTAGCATGTGCGCGATATGGTACTGTACATCTTGGCCGAAGCGCAGAAGCCCCAGTGGCTGCAGATTGACGTGGGTACTGTACCATACTTGACAGTATTCAGCTAATACAATATACTCAGCACAAAGCCTCCATCTCCCATGTCGTCCTTCTCCTCATACCCGGTCTTCTTCCAGAACATCTCGGCCTTGATCCAGAGGTCACCCACTCATCCATGCCCTTCCCAATCACTTCCCCTTCTGCCCCATTAGATCAGGTGTCTCTCATCCCTGCGCTGTCGACCCTCTTCACTTATGGATGCCCCACAAGAGCTCCAGGAGATAAGACTAGGATGCACTCGCCTATCAACCAGTTGCTCATGAGCCCTATGTCGGATGCTGTGAAGAAGCAGAAGGAAGATGAGAGCAAGGTTGTTCAAGGTGAGTTTTCTCCTGTCCTGTTAGATCGGAGGTTCGTTTGACTGATTCACCTTGTAGACGAGCCTACGGGGGCCAAGAGGAATATTCCCATGCAATACCTCGTCACCCCAAACCAAATGATCGACAACGACTACCAATTGCCCGCCTACATCAAACCCAGCGACGTCCCTGTCATCCCCGGCCTGGACGTGGAAACCATCACCAAAGAGCTGCCTATACCTCTTCCCAGCCAAGACGGCAGTGCGTGGTCTGCGATTGGGGCGGGCAGTTTGCAGGGCAAGAACCCGAAGGGGAATAGGAGAGAGGGTGGTTGGGTGGAGACACCGGAGGCGAAGGGTCCTCCTGCGGATGGAAAGTATCCGATCTTGGCTGTGGATTGTGAGATGGTGAGTCTTCTCTTGCGGAGTCTATGCGCCAGGCTGATTTGGGATTCAGGTGGTATCTGCGGATGGTGATGAGCTGGCGCGCGTATCGGTGATCGATTTTGAGACAGGAGACAGCATCTTTGACGAACTTGTCCAGCCCAAAGCTGAAATCACTGACTACAGAACTCAGTAAGTCTTGAACCCCCATCCGACGTACCTGCATCGTGCTGACAGATATCCCCAGGTGGTCGGGTATCACCCCCGAACGTCTCTTATCAGCCACCCACGACCTCCCCGCCATTCAAAACCTCCTCCTCCACGGCCCTTCCCCCATCATCACCCCCCACACCATCCTCCTCGGCCACTCTCTCGACTGCGACCTCAGCGCCCTCCGTATCCGCCACCCCCTCTGCATCGATACCGCCCTCATCTACAAGCACCCGAGAGGCCAGCCGTTCAAGCCGGGGTTGAAGTGGTTGACGCAAAAGTGGTTGGGGAAGGATATTCAGGCGGGGACGGAGGGGCATGATTCGGCGGAAGATGCGAGGGCGTGTGTGGACTTGTTCAAGATGAAGTTGATCAAAGGTCGGTTTCTCATTTGTCGTGTGATGAGAGATGGGGCTGACTGGCATGTAGGTCCGTCGTTTGGGAATTCTGTCAACAATATGGAGTCTATTGTGGAACGTCTTGGTCGATCAAAGACCGAGTCGGGACGGGCGAGGACATCGTGTTATTGCGATTACGGAGACCCCAGATGGCTGTACGGCGCCAAGGCTACGACAGCTGTTCAAGCTCACAACGATGACGATGTGGTCAAATCTATCGTCGACAACGTCGAGCAGCACGACTTTTTGTTTGGGCGGATGCTGGAGCTTTCTCAAGTCCAGGGCTGTGAGTTTTATGAAGATCGGGTCGTGACGTAAACTGATGTTTGGATAGGGAACGAAAGCGACCCCACCCCCGACAACTCCCCAGAAACCCTCAACGCCGCCCTCTCATCCCTCAGCACCCGCCTCTCCACCCTACACGCCTCCCTCCCATCCAACACTGCGCTCGTCATCGTCACCGGAAACTCCAACCCTATCCCTATGTTGGATCTGCAGAAGAAGAGGCAGAATTGGGAGAGGGTGACAAAGATGAAGGGAAGCACGGGAGGGATGGAGGGGGAGGAGAGGTGGATGGCGGAGGATGAGAGGGATTTGGAGGGGAAGGTGGAGGATGCTAAGGAGGGGATGGCGTTCTTGAGAATCAAGAGCTAGGGCGTAGTATTTGAATAGTCTTGCCAAGTGCCGCCACATGTGTACCATCTATCAGAACATGACAGCTGTGTTACATCGTCTACGTATAAACTTCACAGTATTTCTACAATCTAGATAGAACGGGGTGCAAGATCGGTCGAGCACTAATTCAGCTCTTCCCCGGACACCATAGCCAACAGTGAGTTGTACTCCTCGATTCCTTGGGCCATACAGAGGCCATAGAATCGTGATGTATGATCGCGAATGAGATCTTCGGGCTTGCCTGCGGGTGACAATCAGTGCTGACCAAACGAGATGACTGTCAAACTTACCTTCTTCCACGATTTGACCCTTGTCGAGAACGAGGATACGGTCACTATGACAGGAATGAGCACTCTGGTTTTGGCTGAAGGGCAGGAACACATACTAGCTCATGACCGTCGCAAGACGATGGGCGATAACGAGCATCGTAATGCCGGAGAAACATTCCTTGATTGTGGCCGTGATCTTGGCATCCGTGCTGAACAGATGTAAGTGCCTTTCAACGTCTATTCCAGAAAGCAAACTTACGCAAAGTCGACCGAGGACGTGGCTTTATGAATGCCGTCAGCTTCCAATGCTTTTGGTCCACCATTGTACTCACCTTCGTCCATGACCAAGATTTTGGAGTCCTTCAGTAACGCTCGTGCGAGACAAAGCAATTGACGTTGACCTTGGCTGAAGTTTGCTCCTTCTGCATAACATATTAGCCTCTGTCGTATTCAATATCGGATGACTTACCAATGGCGACATAGGTGTCGAGGTCAGTGAAGGGGTTCTCCTGGGTCTCCGCTTCAGTCATATCTCCAGAAATGAGGTGGACTTTGCGAAGAGCCTCGTATATTTCGGAATCGGCTGCAGCAGTGTCCGGTAAGCTCATGTGTCTCCTTCCGTGGTAGCCACCTACTTCGTTGACCAGTGACGTCCAATGACTCCCTCAAGCTTCCAGAACACAGGATCCCATCTTGGGCGACCATGTTCAGCCTCTTTCTCAACTCGGGTAACAAGACAGTGGAAGTATCTATCAAGAGGTTCAGTATTCGAGTTTTCCAAGGCTCGAGTGAGACGTCGTACCGACACCATCGATGAGGATCCGGCCTTCTTGCTCGCCAACAGCTCTGAACAAGGCCAGGGCCAAAGTAGACTTGCCGGAGCCTGTCGCCCCTACGAGACCCACTCGATGTCCGGGCTATATGGCGAATCAGCCTCTCAATACGGTAGATCAAGGAGCACACTAACCTCGATAGAAAACGAAACGTTGTTGAGGACTGTGGGAAGGTCGGAGGCGTATCGCACACTGAGATCCTGTACCTCGATCTTTCCACTCGTGGGCCATTCTTTCGGCGGCATAGCTCCTTCTTCTGTTTCGTGATCAGGCATGTTGATGTCTGCATATATATGTCAGCATCCATCCGGGGTGAAGACGATGTAGCCCACAGTAGTTGACTCGCTCAGCGCTGACAAACGTCTGCTCCAACTGAGAATACTGTTCCATGAGGTTGAATAGCCCTATAGCACTTATCGTTAGAACAGTCACCCCATATATGATGTTTGCTCACCGGAAGACACGAGCGAAGCAAAACTCAATATCAAACCTGCTTGAGAGGCAGAGATGTTTTGCCCTACCAGCAACAAGCCAGTAGCAGTGATGACAACACTCGTCACCGACCTGACCATAGCGCTCACCCACTGATAGGCTTCACCCACAGTGTGTCAGCTAGACTCTCAGCCGATTAATGACAATGACTCACCAACCCAGTTCGCCACCCACGCCACCCTCTCCCTGTTGTTCAGTGTCTTCATAGTAGCCATCAGTAGCTTGTTTTGCCCGAACGCCCGAACCATCACGACACCATCAATGGCCTCATTGTATAGCGAGTATAGGGGGGAGGAGGCCGTGGCAGTAAGGCGTCGGATATCAGATCGCAATTTGTTGACATGGCCGCTGACCCAGTAGAGAGGTATGCCGAAGATAAGAGTTATCAGAGCTACGGCCTGACACACGATGATGAGCGATAGAATTTCACGCGGCCTCATAGACTTACGGGAGCTTTGAAGAAGACGATACCTGCGGCAGTAACCATTGCAAGACCTGGCAAGACATTAGCAACAGTATATCGTGGGCACTGCCATACAACGAACCATCCATTAGAGTACCTAGCATCACGCATGGTATCAGCTTTCATTCCCGGTGCAATGTCTTCCACTCACGGCCGAAAGCATCCGCCGAATTGCTGTCCAACCTCCATATATCTTGCCCAAACACATTCAAAATCCTCCCCTGAGGGGTCGTCTCGAAGAATTGCAATGGCGCCGAGAACAACCTCTCCATGACCACATCGTGGATGAGCCTACTACCTCTCGAGTAGAATCCAACATTCTTGACCCCGTACAACCAGATCCACCTAAAAGCGCCAACAGATATACTGAAAAAGACAATGATGGTGTAGATAGCCAGGTTGTAATTCAGGTGTTCGGGCGAAGGATCAGCAGACCAGTGCTCAAGCCAAAAGCTTCTGCAGATGGTGATGGCCCTGAGGCCTCCGAAGATGAGGAAGAGGGAGGTCCAGTAGCCCTTACCACCAGCGGCGCGGAAGATGAGGAAGTAGTGGTTTCGAGACACGCGACCGACCTCTCGGTGCTCTTCTCGGTAGAGCTGGCGAGAGGCTCGGGGGATCTTGAAAACGTCTTGTGATTGGGCCTGTTTGTCTGATTGTTTGACGGACAGTTTACGCTGAGGGTTGGAACGAGTATTTAGATCCTCGTCGTTGCTAGGGGATGTAGGTGGATCCTCTAGCTCTAGCTCTCCGAGCTTCACATCCGAGGTTGAACAGGCTTGGTCTACCTTGCCGTCTTTGGTGAGGGAGATAATGTATGCCGCAGCGGGGAGAACAAGTCGGACGTGGTGTGTGACGAGGATTGTGGTACGGTTCTCGAGGAGACCGCCTTGAAGACACTCGGCAAAGATGTACTGTGCTGTGTGCGCGTCGACGGCGGAGAGGATATCGTCGAGGTAGATTGTGGAAGCTCGAGAATATAGGCAGCGAGCGAGATTCACTCGGGCTTTCTGGCCGCCACTCTACAATCGCGTCAGATCAGAGTCCCATGTCTTGAGCACCAAGAACTCACCAAGGTTACACCATTCTCGCCGACCTCAGTCAAGTCGCCATCACCAAACATGTCCAGATCCGCCATCAGCGCCGCCTGCCTCATAGCCTCTCTATACCTCTCCTCCCACATCGGCTGACCAAACAGAATATTGTCTCTGATGGTACCATGGCGAATGAAGCTCTGCTGAGGAGCATACGCAACAGAGTCGTTGAGCCACATTTCGGTAGTCCATTGGATGCAGGTAGACTCTTCCTCAGAGAGGACGGGAGTGGCGTCGGGGAGTGATCGGGGTGCGAATACAGTGCCATTTTCCACCTTGGCTTCACCCAAGAATGCTCTCAACTATGTCCAATCAGCGAACATCAATCCTGGCTGTCGCGCACTCACCAACAACGTCTTACCCGCTCCACGTGGTCCACACAAAACACTCAACTTCCCCTCCGGTATTCTCAAATCCACATCCCTCAGCTTGAACCTCCCGCTCTCCTCCACCTTGATACCATCAGCAGCCGGCCATGTTATAGTAGCGCCGTTGGCGGAGATACGGCGAGAAGCGTTTTGCCATCTGTCGGCGTCGATTTCGGGCTGGCTGAGGAAGCGCGAGAGACGTCCGAGACAGACTCTGCTTGTGAGGATGTTTTGGAGGACTTGGGGGAAGGCTTGGAGGCCGTCTGTACCTAGCGTCAGTGTACAAGCGGAAAGGTATCAGATGACGAACCCTTTACACGACCAAAGCTGATAAACAATGTCAGTCGGGAATCAACCCAGATAAGTGCGTACTCACATGCTCAAAGCGACGAATGCAGTAGCAGCATCCAAAGAGTTTCCCATGACCTTCGTATGGAACCAAAAAGTAATCAGAAGAGAGAGGACAGGAAGCTGGTCTGCTAGAACGTTGAAAGCGGTACCGAGAGTGAACCTCCACCTCTGCCATCTGTCATTCCATCGTTAGCTCGATCGATGTCAACCAAAGAGAGTGACTCACTTGACTTCGTGTGCTCGTAGTTTGGCAACACGCGCACCGAAATAAGGCTCCCAAGCGTTGAGTTTGATCACTTTGATACCGAGAAGGAACTCTTTCAGAGCGCCGGTACGAGCATCTCTAGCTCGCATCCATTCTTTATCACACTCTATATCGCCGTCAGCGATGCATGAATGAGAAGAGGGGACAAACGTACTATAGATCAACTTTGAAACCAGCCATGAAAGAGGGGTCGATAGAGGGACGCATACGATACCCACAAACGCACTAACGCCGAACAGCTTGTAGAGCATTCCCGTACCAATAACCACTAACCCCCCACCATCAGTTCTTCCTCACCCCACTGAGAGAACATCGAGAAAGGCAAGCTCACAAGTAGTCATACCGTTAGCGAAATCCCAAAGACGAGTAGCCAAAGAAGCAACAGTATTGGCATCTATAGAAAGCAAGTTCATGACCTGACTTCGGCCGCGGTTGTCTTGGGTTTTGTCGTCGACGTCGACGTTGTGGGCTTCAAGGGCTTTGGCATCGGTGGTTCGGAGGACTTTGGCGAGGATCTGGAATTTTGTTTTCAGATCAGTCGTTTGCGTTATGAGTGTAGGAAGCGGAGAGAAGAAGACTTGCCATGGAACTTAGGGACATTCGGACCGGTACGTGCAGCATGTAATTCTCTCTCACGCAACAATATGCTGAGAGCAAAACTGCAAGATCCATAAGCTTTGCTCATTTCGCATTCAGCCGATACGCACCATTGATCACTTGCCCAAAGAACAAAGCCCAACACATCAGATACGCATAACTCTTATCAGACCCGGCGGGCTGATTGAAAGAGTCGATGATCTCGTGCATAGCCGCGATTTGGATGAAGCTGATCAAGTTTCTTGTCGTTTCCAAAGCAAACGCTAGTCACTCTCAGCTAGGTCTGAGACGGCGACACGAGGTGACTCACAGATGAACACGGTCCAACCCTTGCCTGCCCATAAGAGCTTGACCAACTGCCAACTCCCTATCTTGTTCTCCGGGATGAATGCTTCATCTTTACGATCCGCGCTAAAGACTGAATCATCGATCCCGCTGTTGCGTGTCCTGTCTTCAAGCATCGGGAGATCCGATTGTTGTAGACTGTCGACATACGCCGAGCGGACCGCAAGCGGGGCCATATAACCAATCACGACAAAGACAAGCATAGCCGAATTGTCATAATCAAAGACATTACTCGCCGGCTCTGAAGGGATCGCATGCTGCTGCTGGCCTATAGTGACCGCAGACGCCAAAGGGTCCGCCTCCTCCGCCGCTGGCGTCAACTTGATCACCACCCTCTCATCTTCCCCCGCTTCGTCCTCCTTCTCCTCCTTTTCGTTACTCAGCCCGAATCCCGTCCCCAAGCGAGGCGGGGGGAAATACAATTTCGGTCCCCTGCGCATGAGCCCTACAGCCAAGAGCGTGGCTACAAGGGCAGCGGTACGCAGATGCCGGAGTAACGTGCCATGGGCCGCAGAGAGGGTGGGAGGAGAGAGGTGGGTGATGATGGTGTATGCGATACCGGGCACGGCATGGAGGCCTATGAGGAATAGGGTGCTGCTGAAGCCGAGCTGGCAGAGAGCGCGGTGGAGGGATGCGTGTTGGATTTCGGGAGTGAGGCTGAGGGTTCGGATGGTGATGGTTCTGAAGAGGGCTGCGACGTATAAGAAGGCCAAGCAAGTCTATAATGTATCAGTAAGATCCAAAATAAAGACTGAGGTACTCACAATAGCTGCCGTCCCCAGGCCATCAATCCATACCTGCCCCACTATCGCAGCCTTGATGGCCCGGTCACGCGTCTCCAGCCCAGCGAGCTCTCCGGACGACAAGACCAAGTTCCATATCTCCAGAGCCAACGTCACAGGGAGAACCAAGCCGAGAACAGCCTTGCAGATCTTGACGTTCCTCTTGAAGTCGTCGACTTTGACAGGCCTGTCCTGGTCTGCCGAGTCGAGGTGATGGGAAAAGACCTCAGACGGTAGGAGCGTCTCCGTCTCTGATTGTGATAAAGACATCGTCGCGCTCCGAATATGAGCTATAACGAGGGAATCAGCTCGATATCCTTGAGGACGCTATATATGGCGATACCCTTGGTTCACCGCTCTGGAACTCCTTTGTGATCAGTTTGTGATGATGCTTCCTTGATCCTTGATCGAAAGGATATCATGCGCCTCTCCATTGGTGTTCTTTTCGCAAAGAGGTTCTTATGTCGGCTTTGGTTCTGGCCAGCCTTCGTTGATCTATAAGTGACCGACTCGCTTTGAAGATGGTGCTGGCTCAAGAGACAACAAAAGACAGAGACGCGATCTGATCTCATGGATCTGATGCCCGACGGCTGAAGCGTCAGGTGCTTACATAACAACCCATGGGGTATAAATTAGAGAAGGCATCCATAGTCATTACCGAAGCATACTTGAAGGGTATAAGAGTCATTAGATCAACTATGCCACCCACACAACAGTCCCCCATAGCTCATTACCAAGAGATAACCACCTCCCCAAACAATTCTTAAATAGAAGACGTTCAGATAACCGCCAAATCTCTCGTCTCAAACCGATCTACCCTCCTCACTTTTTCCCCTTCCCCTTCCCCTTCCCCTTATTCTTCTTCCCCTTCTTTCCCTTACCCCCACCCCCACCCGGATTCCCCCCCGCAAACAGATTCTTCCTCACAACCTCGTCCCCCTCTGGCTTCAGCGTCTCGCCCGACGCGCTGGACTGGATTTTGCCGTTCAGGGGGTTGGTGTCTGGCCTCTCCGGCGACGGGGAGGGCGGGCGAGAAGAGCCGATGGAGGAGGTTGATAACCGGCGGATAGGGGAAGACGTGCGGTTCTGGGGGGAAGTCGACACGGGGAGCATGTGACTGTCACTCATATTAGCATTTTCTCCCTTTGCATTATCTGCGCAGAGAAGGATGGACGTACTTGCCGACCTGCCGTCCGATAGCAGCTATACGCGACATTTGCTCATCCGTCAGACCCTGCTGCTCGGCGGCACCATAGTTTGCGAGACTGTCTGCCGAGACAATCGACTCGGGACGGGTTGGCGGCAAGAGGGTGGTGGTGTCCACAGCCTAAAGACGGGATCAGCAAGTACATCGAAGGAGTGGATAGGAGGGGGAGGGGCGTACCTCAGAATCCTTGATTTTGTCTTTTCGAGGTCCACAGCAGGGTAAAAAGTCCAAGAAGCCCATCACGCCAGATGATCCTGTTTTGCGGTGTTGGTATGATTATAGGTGTGGTATAAGAGTCCACGAGTACAAGACTACCGAACAACTGATGCGATCTGTCGCTGGCAAAGAAAGATGGCTAGACGATACAAGACGAGATGAAAGAAAAATCAAGATCTTGAACCTGAAACCGGAAAAGAACAGGAACAACGCGAAACAGCTGACGGAAATGTCCGGGCGCGGACAGCATTGCGGGGGCGGACACCATTCAGACACCCAGATGTCTGACGCCCTGCATTCTTCTGGGGCGGTATACCACGATGAATTGCATGGGAGTGTCATATGCAAGTACTCTTGTCAACCAGCTCTAGTCATCGATAGTAGACAAAGCTCGTATGGTCTGAATTGATGCCGGACACGCTGGCGCTCAACCTGCCATAAATTGGTCGATTATATCAGTTGGTTTAGATTGTGGACCTAATAATTCAATCGAGTCATTAGTCCAAGGTCGGCAGTTCGATCCTGTCATCGATCATTTCTTTTTTGTCCCCCTCCCCTCCTCCTTCACCTGTCTGCTATCTGTCTTCTTCATGCAAGCGTGGCTCTCCTATTGTGCTCTGTTGCACCCTGCTTTTTGGTTGATGGTGTTAGAGCTCGGTGCTTTTCGTCGTATCCTCGCTATCTTCCATGAGGGACAATCGCCAACGCTGTGAAGGCCTCTTGGGCAAACATACCGGGGCTTCAGCTCTTGCTGTGACTTCCCACATGCTAGACAAACACAGCCAGATGCAGCACACCACTTCACGCAAACAAAACAGAGAAAAATGTCATATCGTCAGAAGCTAATAAATGTAGGTACAATCACTTTTCTTCCCCACCCTCCTCCTCCATTATCCACCCTAAAAGCCACTCGCACCAGGAGCCTTATCGCCCTCTCTCCTCAGTGCCAACAAGATCTCCTTCATCCTCGCCAAATCAGAGCCCCCCGGAACACTGGGTCGGATCGTCTTGGACTGCGAGTTTTCGAGGCAGATGAGCTCCGAGACACGTTCCCAGGAAGTACCCTTGGCGACGGATTCCTGGAGCTTTTCCAGGAAAGCTGCTTCTTGCTCCCTACCACTCCTATCAGCTTTGTCCCGGTTACAAAAGTATGGAAGAAACGCACTTGTTCTCCCGGATATTCCTCTCCTTCTGCTTATTGTAATCCGCATAGAACGCATCAATAGCCCGCTCAGCAGCATTCTTAACTTCCGCCTTCTTCTTCTTATCCTTCTCATCCCTCAACGCAATCTCCTCAGCCTGCTTGGCCTTCCACGCTTTGATAGGCTCCGAGTCTTCATCGGCGGTGGGGAGGATATTGTTAAACTCGGGCGCGGGGAGGATGGAGTTGGCTGAGCGGGGGGCGGGGGCGGCGGTGGCGGGGTAGGGGGAGGCGCCGTATGGCTGGGGGGAGAGGGCGTTGAATACCGGTTTGGGCTATCTTCCCATCAGTCTCTGTCACTCCCCTTCCCCTGCTTATGGGACTGTGACTTACCGCAGCCTCACCACCGGTCTCCCCAGAAAGATCAGGGAACGCACTCTCAAACTGCTCCCTGTCCGGGTCTTCGCCCAAACCAGCGGTGCCCGTCACCCGCACTTGGGTACCGTCGAACCCTGGCGAGTCGAGGTCGGGGAACGCAGATATACCTTGCGGTTGGGGGGAAGCCGCTTTGGCGGGGGGTTGCTCGGCCGCAGGAGAAGCTACCACACCGTCAACATTAGTTATGAGAGCTGATGGGAGGGAGAGGGGACGTACAGAGGTCGGGGAAAGCGTCCAGGCCAGAAGGGGTAGGGGCTGAGGTGGTCGCGTCGGTGGAGAAGAAGTCGGCATCTTCACCGAGGGCAGCCTTCTCTCTGGCGAGGAAGTCGGCGGTGGCGTCGTCGGACATGGCGGTATAGGGGATGAAGGATAAAAAGAAAGAGATGAAAGAGATGCATGGATAGAGGTCGGCGGTCCGTCGTGGTGACGCTGTGCACGCGATAAGTGGGGGACCGGTTAAGAATAGTGAATGGTGGGTCTTGTTGGCGGTGGTGAGAGTAGCAGTATTTCTAGCGTGCATACGATGCTCGGATGTCTTATTCAGGGCATTGATCCGATGGCTACCTTGGTATAAGCAACCCTTGACTTGGCCGAAAGTAGAGCGTACGAATGATCTAGCGCTCCGCCGGAGACAACTCAACGTTGGCTCATCCTCTTTCTGCTATTGTTCTGACTGGTTTGTCGTGATCCATCCCGAGATGCATACGATCCCCATAGAATACCAATAGTCCCCCCGTGAGGTAGTCTCCAGATACCAACTATACGTACATGCTCTACAATTACAACATCCACACTGCAGCTATAACTTCCTCCACTTCTTCTTCTCCAGCTTCGCACTAACCCTCAACAACCCCTTCACATCCCCCTCCTTCATCCTCGCCTTCGAACCCTCGTCCCCTCCTCCCAGTAACGCCGTCTTCTCCCACCAAGGAGAGGCTTCCCACGGCTGATGCCGGATAGGACACCACGTCAGATGGTCATCGAGTACGTCTAGAGATTTCGACGGTATCGATGATGAAGGTGGCGGAGTAGGAGTGGAAGAGGAAGAGGGAGAAGGAGATTTGAAGTGCCATAGTCCGATATGACGATGACACAGTCGACACGCCACCAATTCCGTCTCTTTCACCTCATTCTCCAATACCACGCGTATGCTAGGCTCGTTTGGGTGGTAAGGGTACCACCCGAACAGAGCCATTACAGCTGCTGATTCTTCAACATCATGTTCTTTCCCAGAGTGAGCAGAAAGGAGGGAGATGAGGTGTTTTGTTTGGGAGTCGGGGATGGGGGAGGAGGTTCTGATCGTTGTAAGGGCAGGACATTCTGATGAGAGTCGGTATGCCAGGGGGGAGAGGGAAGATGTTATTGGGGGGTGTGTGAGGTGACGAAGTTTGTCATACAGATCATCTGTACCCCGATTAGCAGCACCCAAAACACAAAAGCGATAGGGCTCACCAGGACTTCTATTGATCCGCCACGGACAACTACTCCCATGCCGACTCTCAAACCCCTTCTTTAACCGGCAAACCACCTCTCCCCTGATACCTTCCTCCTTGATATCTCCCAGCCCACCCAAGCCCCACTTGACTTTACACTCCTCACACTTTAACCCTTCTCGTCCTTCATTCACCCATCCATGCAGAGCAGCTTTCACCGGCGACAGCGCTGCTGGATGCGCGGGGGAGTAGGAGAAAGGCTGGAATGTGTGTAGTCGGGATAAGAGCGCGAGAGGGGAGAAGGGGGCGTAGGTGGAGGATGAAGGTAGGTCGGGTATAGCTTGGGTCGAGGGGATGAATGATGGGATGGCAGGTGAGGGAGGGTTGTATATCCGCTGTTTCTTAGTCTCCGGGCCGCTGGAGAAGAGCGAATCCAGAGTAGACATGAGCCTCTTGCGCGTTATTCGGGCGCTGTAGAGCGTTTCTGGAGAGTGCTCGAGCTGGGCGTCCTCTGCGGGAGATTCTGGCTCGTCGTCGGAAGATGCCCAATCGTCGTCTTGGGCGTCGTAGAGAAGCTTGAACGCATCCTTGAGGTCGCTGTCGACTTCGAGGGTCATAGTCGATATGAATGTAATGGATAGGGATAGAGGAAAGGGAATGCGAATGCGAATTGCAAGAGATGATGAGCGCACATTCGGCGTCACGTGCCTTCCTCCATGTCCTCTTTCTTTTGTTGACATTTCGCAATCCTCTCTTTTCAAGCACTACAGCAAAATGTCGTTCGACCCATTCGAGACCCGAATTCGATTCCTGCAAATACTCAAATCCCTCAACGCATCCCAGCAATCCATACATAAGGGCACGGCGTTCGCTATCAAGTACGGCTCGCGTTGTGGGGAAGATCTTTGGGAGTGTATAATCGAGCAGACTGGAAAGGTGGGGCCTTACCAACACTTGCCGGCTTTGACTGATTTTTGGTGGGTAGGGCACGCTGAACACGCGCATCAACGTATTCTATTTCCTCGACTCTCTCCTGGCAGAATCCATCGCCCTAGGTCCCTCAGAAACGCCCTACCAAGAGCTCGTCACCAAAAACCTCCAACAGCTCATCGACAATGTCGTCCCCGATACCACCAGCGGTATACTCAACTTGAAGAGTACGAAGCAGATTCTGGAGAGCTGGCGGTTGAGGAGGGTGATTGAGCCTGGAGTGGTGGAAGGGGTTTTGGAGGTTATGGAGGGGAGGAAGTACGAGTGAGTTTGTGGTTTTGGCTGCCTGAGGGCACAGAGTGGAGCAATGCTGATGAATGGATGAAGGGCTGTACCGAATAACAAGCGCAATCACGAGCATGCCTTCTCCCGGAACGAGATCGTCCGCCGTATGGAAGAAGACCGAGAACGCGTACGTTCTTCCGCCCCTTCCTTTTCTCCACCATCCCGAAAGCTGACAGTGTACAGCACAAACGACTAAGAGAACGTATATGGATCCTCCCCATCCCATCCCTCGTCCCACCAAGAGCATCCATCCCCCAAACATCCCCCGCGACACCCGCTTCCCCACACCCTTCTTCGTCCGTTATGCCGCCGCCTCCGATACCGCCAGCTGGGGATGGGGAGAATGGTGATGGTCGTCCAGGCGGAGGTGGAGGAGCAGGGGTGGAGAGTGCGATGGATGTGGAGTTTGAGCAGGTCTGGGATAGGGCGGGGGAGCTGGATGAAGATGATTTGGAGACGATGCGAGAGTGAGTTTTGCTGGCGTTCTGCTGCTTCGGGATAAGGGTGTAATTGGCTGACATCTTATTCAGTAATGTATTCAGAGCTGGTCTACTACATCATGACCTTCCGAGCACTGCTGCCTCCGAAGCAATCGATCTATGACCAACGCCCAGCCAAGATCTTGTGTGCCCCCAGAATGTTGTACCATTACCGCATGCAGTTGTATCGGATAAACACAAATATCTTACAACACGACCGGTTTTCGAATGAAGATACATCTTAATGTCTGTACAGAATGGGATATACACGGAAGACCGAACACAGGTAATGGGACTATGCCGTGGTGAATGAGGCGTCCTTACTGGAAATGAAAGGAATGCCGGAAGGAGGCTCAAGCGAGCAGGATGCAATGTATGATGTTGCCACCGGGCGGCAGAGGCCGCTGATGGAATCATGTTGTGTTGAGTGATTTCCACCAGGTCAATTGTACCCGACAGACCCCCTCGCTCTCCGCCCCCAGACAAATACACTCATACGAATGTGCTTATCTATACAAAACTGGATATACATAGTAGAAAGATCTTCACAGATGATAAGACTATACCGTGTTTGATGAGTCGAATGCTAAACAAAAAAGGTCTTGGATCTACTTCGCACTCTTTTTCTTCTTTCTCTTCTTTCGCACCTCACCGTCAAGACAATCAAGAAATCAATCACCGCCCATAAGCCTCATGCCGCCCATAATTCTGCCCATTATACGTCCGTTCATCTACCCATCCACCTCCCTGTTGTTGTTACGGATATCCTCCCTGCCCGTACCCTCCGCCATACCCGTTCCCATACCCGTTTCCGTACTCTTACCATTGCTGCTGTCCATACCCCGCACCAACACCAGCACCATTCATCCTACCAGCCGGAGCCGGAGGCGGCGGGTACTGTGCCATAGTCGGAACTTGCTGCCCCTTGTACTTTTTCCCCGCTGCTCCTCTGTTCCCCGTACATCCTCTGGCTATACATCTGCAGATGGCAACCACCAAAGCCAAGAAAATTAGGCCCGCGACGATGGTGACGGGGATGGAGATTTGGAGGTTTTGTCTGTACCACGCAGCGGCGGTATCTTGCCATGACCCTTCTTCGCAGGTGGAGTTGTAGCAGTGGCCGGCGTAGCCGCATGAGGAACCGTCGATAAGAGGCGTTTGGAGCACCACACATTGGTTCCTATACAACAAGTCAGTCCTAGCATAGAAAGAGGAGAGGAGGAACGTACGTGGAATTGGGATCTTGACAGCTAACAACACAGCTCGTATCATCCCTCTGCCGACAAGCAGTCGTCAGCCCCATATTCCCCCCCGCACTCGCACACTGCTGATTCAAACTCGTACACACACCCCCAGCACACGCAAGCCCATTCGAACCACAAGATGTTCCATCGTCCGCCGTCGTGTCTTCCGGGCAATCGGCAGAGTCGCCAGGGCATGTTTCGGCAAAGTCGCATGTGGGGTCGACGGCGGCGCGGCAGGTGGTGTTGGCGGCGGCGTATTGGCAGGAGGAGGTGCAGCATGCAGAGTTGGAGGGGTCGCATCTGGCGTTGGAGATGAATCTGCAAGCTGGGAGAGGATGGCTCTGTCAGCATATCAACTTGAAGAGGTGAGAGGTGGCGTACTGGAAGAATCGCAACAAGCACTCGTCGTGTTTCCTCCAGGATCACAATCCTCCCCATCCTCCACTATACCATTACCACATTGCTGCAGACTGATCACGCTCCTGACTCCCGGGTTCTGGATACAGCTCGTCGACACTTGGCGGTTACCAATGTTGGTGCAGATGTTGCCGAGGGTACAACCGGAAAATGTTGTTTCGGAGGATGAAGTGGTGGGGTTCATGATGAATTGACTGTTGGCGTCGCAGGTGGATCTGGAGAGGGGGCAGCATGACCCGGAGAGGGAGCAACCAGATGTACACTAATTGCAGGTTAGCCCAGAACGACACCCAAGAGTAGGAGACGCACGTCGTGGATAGCGCCGAAACCGTGACCGATCTCGTGGGAGATAAGACTCCATTCAGTCGTGGTAGCTGTACTTATACCAGTACCCGATACCGTTTGCCCGCTTTGCGTCGAGCTGTCTGTCTGACACAACGTACCGAGCCAAGCAACCCCAACTTCGGAATCCTACTCCAACATCAGCTTGATCAAAGAATATGGGCATGACTTACAGTAGGACAAGCGCTCATCAAATGCCACAACCCCGCCCCATCGTCTCCCTTATTCCCTCTCCAAGCACTAAACCGACTCAACCTCTCATCCAGTGTCACATCATTCGAACAGCCCACATTCCACTCTTCCCCATTCACCGCCGTCGTCGGGCACGTCAGATTCTGCACTTGCAGCTCGATAATACCGATGGAGATGTTGAAAGTCTGCTTGTACAACGCAGAAACTTGGTTCCAGTCGTTCAGGACCTGAGTACGGGCAGCGTCGGTAGAGCCGTAAGAGGCAATGTAGGTGCAGTCGAGGGCGACGCCCATGTAGACGATCTGTTGGGTATTGGGACAGCCAGATGTGGAGTTGATGGAATCGATATAGTTTGTAGAGACGTCCATGCCTCCGGCTGTGTCGTCGCGCTTCCAGAGACTGTCGAGAAGAGGTGCGAACAGCGACGGCGGGGTGAGAGGGGAAGACGGTCGGAAAAGAGGATTGTGGTGGGGATCGTTGAAATGAAGATTGTCGTGCGAGCAGGAAGAGGACGTCGCATTATCATGACGCATATCGCTCTGCCTGAAAACGACCATCTCCCCCATCCCCTCGACCGCCACATCCTCCGTCGTCTTTATCCGATCGTACTTGTCCCTCGTCATGACATTGTACATCTGCCCGAGTACTTCAAAGCTCCCCTCCCAGACGGCGCCGTGGCCCGACAAGTCACCAGAGTGGTGGACCATGACGCTCGCGCGGCCGAGGATGTTTTGTTTTTCGGACTCGGGGAGGTTGGCTGATATGGAGTGGAGGGCGGTGAGGCGGTCGACGTAGTAGGGAGCGATCACCGAGCCGGTATACATCCGCCAGTCTTCTTGCCGTAACCGTTCTGACCCGAAAGAGCTCTGCCCGTAAGACACCTTGGCTTCTGGGTGGAATAGGTACTCGGAGGGGTGGACGAGCATCTTGACCTCGAAAGGTAGCAAATCTGGCAGATCTAGCGATAGTATGAGACTATCAGAGTGTTTAAGGGTGGGGGGAGGTGGCGGCAGGGGCGTCGAGAATCGAGGCGATAGGTAGCCATTCTTCTTCGATGGTGGTGGGGGTTTACGAGGGAGGATAGAGAGGTGTGCTGATGTGGTTGTGATTCGGCGAAGGGGAGGCGGGTGCGGTGACCGAGCTGCATTGGGGTCAGTAGTCAGACAAACGAGCAAGACCGAGAACACTGACCATCTACGCCACTAGTCAAGAGTATCGCCAGGCCCAAGACGAGAAGAGCTAGAGGGCGCCATTGTGTCGAGCTTCCGATCATACCTCTTGCAGTTCTAGTCGATGCAGATGGCGGAAGATGGGCGGGAGATTATTATGAAGCAAGGCCAGTTGCCGCTGAAAGGTCAAGGACAAAGGGCGATCTGGATACAACCTGGGGGCAGGTGTATTTGCGCAGCGGGCCAAGAGTCGAGGCTACGTATGTACAGCAGGCCGGCGCTGGTATGCTGTGTCGAGGCTGGTATTAACGTATTATGCTATATGATTTATGGAGCAGGTGGCAAGGGCTGGATTTTTTGTGAGCGCAGCTTGGGCGCAGCAGATGCTGTGCCCTTTAATAGATCTCCTGGTTCCGTCACCAGGCGTTATCGTTCTCGTCGCGTGGTATGTGCAGAGTCGGTTATTTGTGTCGTGAGTCGTCAGGTGTTGTCGTGGATGTATGGTATAGTCTATGGGCCTGGGTTTGCGCAGGCAGAGGTGTAGATGAAGAGGAGGTCAAAGTCAACTGGATTCGAGTTCTTGGCGACAAAAACGGAATTGTCGGTTTGGCCCATCCCGCCCATGCCCGAGTCAACGGTTAAAGTCTTCCATCTTGGCTTGCATCCGCTTTCACAAGCTTGATACCTTCAACGGGGATAGCTTCTGCTATCGAACCACCCTAAAACCAAAATTTTACATGCATGTTTAGCCCAATGCTGCCCACGTTAATCAGCAATAGATCTTGCCGTCGACTGTTGTTTAATACAGGTGCGTACTTTCAGATGGCTGTTTATGGCGACCTCATGACAAACGAATCTTCTCTGAAATACATACTAGGACAGCTCAGCCGACCCAAGCGTGACGCTGTTGTCGAAAAAGCGCTCCAGTACCGCCCACCGTCGCGCAGCCTCTTGGAAGTGCTTGTGGCGGGGTTGGTCGTCCCTGTTTCTTCTCAGGGATGGATCATATATGGGTCGATATGCCCTCTTGCAACGCAGAAGGGGCTGGGGATGACGTGTCGTCTGTGGGGGATGACGCGACCATTGGTGATCCTTCGGGCTCGGGAAAAATATCCCTTCAACAAACAAGCAGACCCCTACCTCGCAAAGCGCCAACACCAACACACTCCATCCTGGCTTCAATCTCACTGTCGCCAGCACTCGCTTCGACAAATTGAGAAGCAACAATTCCTCATCTGTGCACACACATCAGCTACGTACCGATAGCAGATCTTTTGAACTACGCTTGGTGTTTTCACCCCACTTTCCAAGCCTTTGCCCGGTGTACCACCTCCCCTGCTCAGTGATGCGACATCTCTATACACCAGTCACCACTCCGCCACCAACCCGTTCCTGCCGATTTCTGTGGCTGGAGTATCCTCCGCCGAGGAGGAAGCGCTCGAGAAGCCAGTAGTAGAGATTGCTGCGATCTCGCCAACGCAAGGGCGTTGATGGATTTCTGCGTGCTTGCCGGCTGGATGGGATAGCATGGTCTAGACGGGCGTACGTCAAGAGCAACACATATGCCTGTAGAGGAGTTGTGCAATCTTACCAACACCTTCATGAGCTATCCCAAAAACTCTGTTGAATGGGGTGCGGGTTCCTCCTGAGGCCCCTCTCATCAATGATTTTGTTGGGCAGTGGGCTTACGTCGGAGGTTAGCCATGTGGGAGATTTAGAAGAATGGCCGTGAAAGCCACTACAATCGAATTTATGCATGCATGTTTGGTTCTAGGCTGCGCGATCCGCGAGACGTCAACTGGCGCGGCCCGGCGGCACCGTAGGGTACCTCGCCTGGTGGTTGAACGATGTGATCCGGATTTGAATCAGAGGAGACCACGGAGGCTCTGATACTGACCGAACGCCAATGGAGTGAGTGGGCTTCACATGGTAGGACAGAAGGTGAAATCAAATCAATTATCGCGACTTAGAACAAGAGGGACGTGTCATATCAGGAGATGGCGAACCATCGTCATCATCATACCGACAGCAACGTAAGCGCTCCCTTTTCAACACTCGCATCTTACAACAAGATCATCTCATACTTGAGCGAATGCATCATTATTTGGCCACTCATAGCATGGACCTTCCATGGGGCACAAAAAGTATAGGCAAGAGCCAAAATATTAGGTTCTACTGGGGATCGAACCCAGATTTAGAGAAGGCTGGAGGATGATCTCAGAATCTCTTGTACTAACCATTATACGATAAAACCTTGATGTTTTCCCTGAAAGCTCAACAGTCTGGTGAAATGCTCCGACCATGTTGATTGATCTATAGATGTGCTATGGTATCAGACTTCGAACCGGAAGCAATAATCGCTGCGGGATGTTGAATCGCGTCCTCGCCGTCGCCCTTCATGGACCCGAAAACATCCTCCAAGCCAATTAAACGCCTTGACAAGCCTTAGGGATGATGTGTATACTCTATCGTTCAAACAAACCTGACGTAATTCCAGCATCGTTTCGCAACTCAGTCCCTTAGGGCTGAAGGAGTCACCCCATAACAGAATGGTTGTCCAACAAAGGATACTGCCAATCTCCCTTTGGATGTTGCCGTAGCTCGATCCTGCGACACTTGGTCGTAGATGGAGTCATACCATTGTCCCAGTATCGTGATGTATATATATTGTTCACACGACTGCGAGCTGTCACTTCGGTCTATCATCAGCAAGTGGCCTGAAGCTCTGACGACTGAAGATCTGCAAGGCAAATTCCTCCGCCAACTTTAAACACTCTCTTTACATCCATCGACTCACAATACAAGATGAGGCAGGCCCTCTTTCTCTCTGCTATTCTTCCAATCTTAGCACGAGGAGTTTTGGCAAATACCTGCAAGGCCCGAGGCGCTTCTTCTACGGCTGCTGCCAACGCAGCTGACGCGACCTCTGTTGACGGAGATGCCTCTTCATCAGCCGCTGACATAGGCGACGGTCTCTTCGCGAGTGGTGATGCCAGTACTTCTGGAAATGCGGCAGCCTCGGTTACATCTGCAGTGGCAAGCGTTGTTACCAGTACTGGCCAAACTGCTGCTAGCGGCGGCGCCAGTGGAGACGCAGGCGACACCGATATAGCAGCGGCAGCCACATCTGCGACGCTCGCATTGTCTCTGGCTGCAAGTGACGCCGCCAACGCCACCTCGACTGCCTCGACTGCAGCAACTAGCGGCAGCGCATCGGCATCCAGCTCCGGTACCTCAACAGCCGACGACCCCATGGGCACCCAAGTCGGTACCGATCTAGTCCTCGGCGAAGCCTCTGAAGACTGCAAATGCGGTTACAAGGTCTCCTCACTCAATGATCAGTACTTTCCCTACCAGTTCTCATTCGCATTCTCGTCGGTGGATGATGGTTCTGCAGACTCGTTGGCTGATCAGAAGTGGGTGTTGAACGACGGAGACTTCGTTGGAGGAGCGGCGAATGGCAATAGGTGTTGGGGCAAGAAGGATAATCTCTATATTGATGGAGGGAATCTTGTTCTCAAAGTGCCGAAAGATCAGACTGCGAGCCCGAATATGGAGTGTGCGGAGATCGCTTTCGAGGAGACCAACATCACTGGAGGCATCTTCCAGACAACGGCGATGCTTAGCGGAGTCGATGGTACTTGCCAAGCTTTCGTGGGTCCAGCTTCGAGCCCAAGATGACTTGAGACTGACGGATCTCTAGTGGCTCAACCATTCGATCGCGACTCAGTACGCTGATGAAGTCGACATTGAGGTCATTTCTTCCACTATCGACACTGATGGAATCTGGTACAGCAACTGGCCTGTGAGTAAAGCAAGGCATCCGAAGTGGCCCGTCACTGATCAACCTCACCTCTTCCCTACAGCCAAACGGTGATGTAAGTCATGACTTGGTATCACTTCTTCTGATTATTACAAGTATCTGATGCGTGACTGATAGCCTAACACCCCTGACGACTTGTCCTCTGCCCATACCAATGTCGTCGTGCCGGACATTGATAGCAGTGACCCAAGGAAGACTTATAACAACTATACGTGAGTGGTCCATATTGTCGTTCATGAAGTTGTATGCTGACGCTTATGGAGAATTGCTTGGCTCGACGATTCGACCAACCGATACTACAACGGCGCCAAGCAAGACTCTCCTACCGATAATCGTACGTGTAGTGGCAAATACCGCCATGCATTCACTTCTGGAGGCTGACTCGTTTCGCATACAGAGCCAGAGCATAGTATGATGTTCGTGATCAACAATTGGTCGAACGGAGGTTCCGGCTGGACTCTAGGTCCGCCCACGGGAGAAGACTCGCTTCTCAAAGGTGCGTCACCTGCCACTATGCGGCTTTTCCCAATAATCCCAAGAAATGTACACGTAAAGTATAGAAGCTGACACGGATGGCCTTCTAGTCAAGAGCGTGTTGCTATACTACAAGACCGCGGACAAAACCCAAATGAGCGATTTAGGAGGAGACTGTCAAGAGAGCGATGTGTGTACAGTTTGAGGTTTGATGTCGCAAAGCGCAGCGCCTTTTTATGAGAATGTAAGAGCACGACATGTACGAGATCCAAGGTACACACGTCCAAGAAGGCATCTTAGAAGACATCAAGTGCTGTGCATACGATATCTGCCACCCATATCATTTGATTTGTAGTTGTACATTTGCGTCCAGTATTGTGACACGCTACATCGAATTATGTATACCGTGAGACCATTTCGAGCTACAGTCTTCAAGGAGAAGGAGGATCGGATAGCTTAGAGCAAGAGGAGGAGTTCCGTGAAGAATTATCCAGTCCAAGCACCATATACGATTACTACATAACATACTTCGCTTGTCACTATTGATACTTGGGTAAAATCGATACCCTTTCATCATTGCAACTCGTGATAAAGAGACCGAAGGGAAAACCCCAGCATGTGCCATAAACATTTTGAAGTGATGTAACATTGCTATATTCTTGTACATAGTTGCGCAATAGCCACACTCAGAAAGAGACTGTCGCGACAGACGACCAGGAGGTGCGTCGTAAGCAGCCCGTAGCCATTGCGTCTCCCTTCCCCGAGATTCCGCTGTCGGCCCTCATATTCCGTTGCAGAACGATTGTGATCTTGAAATACCATTCGACATCTTGATCCTTCCTGAAGTTCTACCAATCCGAAATTCTTCCGGGATGCAGATACAGCACCCCCCTACACTCGCCAATTTGAAACAGCAGAAAAAGGAGTGAGTGCCGCCAAGCCGCTTGAGGGTTCAGAGTCCGTATATATACTTACATTCTTGAAGCATGAAGCAGCGTCCTCTGTGGAAGCCCGTGACTTTTGGAAAGGCATCCCTGCCAGTGACTTCCGCTTCCACCGCTTGTGCCGTTCCACCCACCCGATCAGACAAATCAACATCCGCGGGTAAAAAATCCCTGTGGGAAGTCGCCCATATCGTACTCGACCGTGATCTCTTCGACATTGCTCCTGTCAAGTACCTCCAGATATCACGTTATCATTATGAGCGGGGCGCCTCCCGTATCTACCGACATATCACTATTACACCCAAGACCATCGAGCTTCTTCACGAGTCGTCGGACCGTCCCGCAAGCAATTTCCTCTCCAACTTTCGGTTTACAGAGACCATCGCCGTGAACGATTTCTCGTTGCTCTCATCTCTTCACGCTACCATTGAGTCGCTTCAAAAAGCGGAGGGCGTCATCCGCAAGGCGAATAAGGCATGGTGGAGAAAAAGAAATTCGTCTAGCCACCAAAAAGCCTGGACACTTCCTCTGTTCCCGAAGGCGCACTCTCTCAAGATGCCTCAGTCAAGCTTTCTTCAGGCCGGAGACGCATTGTCCGAATATTCTTTTGGTCCATCATTGGATTCAAGACCCAGGCGCGATTTGACGCTTGGCTATTCCCTCGGGAAGCTTTTCAGCGATCGGATGACGGACTTTCTTCTCGACGGGGACGAAAGATACTCGCTGGAGTGCATCCCCGCGTTCTTTCTGGCCGAGATCAACTTTCTTCTCGGCGGAAACCTTTGCACGTATACCAGCCTCATAAACCGAAATACTCCTTTTCCGGTGAACACCCCCTTCCACTTGAGAGACGCTTCGACCTCGGCAATGATTTTGGACACATCTGTCAGCCAGAATGTCGGGTCTTTCGCACTGCCAGCCAACACTATCGTCATCCGAGTGATTTACAATGATCCCCCGGAAACTGTACGCTGTCATTGTTATTGGGAATCCGTCCAGAAGGGCATATTGAGCTGGACGACGGACGCGACATCACCTCGCGTGAGATATATATATGAAGTTCATATATATGAAGCAGAGAAGGCGAGGGATGCGATCATCAGGTTGCAGGGTGGGGTAACACAGGCGCTTTTGGATACTCAACTGGTCAGATTCATCGAGGTGGACTATGACGCATTCGGAATGGCATCGACGAACCAAAGAAAGACCTGAAGGACGCGAGAGGAGTAGGGAGCAGTTGGTGAACGTCGTGGCATCTGCTCGATGGCATCTGCTCAATAGAATCGTCTGTAGAACATGTGACCATGTAGCGAGTAACGCTCGACCAGATTACATTGTATAGAGCGCATCTCTTTTGAGATCCCTGTGATTATCGCACAATCGCCTACGTACACCGCCGTAATGTCTAGACCTGCGGAATACGCACTGTCGGATAGTCCTTTCAGGGGACAAAAGAGGCGGCAGTCAGCGAGTACAAGTACGTATGTACCAGATCCCTTTCCTCAGTATTCCGCTATTATTCTCAAGTCTGCCTTTCTCGTATGATGCTGAAGAGCGACTGTAGCTCTGTTATTTGATTCACGGTCGTGATCATGACTTTATATCCTGTATCGCCGAAGGAGAGACTTGAGGAGGAGTTAGAACGTCTGTCAACCTTCGCTAACGTGAATCGTCGGCGGAAAGCAGAGTAGGTCTCAGTCGCCAGGTTGTTCCTCATCACCGTGCTGACGATTATGATAGCTCGATAGATGAACCATCTCCGAAGCTTGAGCCCCTGAGCCCGGACGCTCCTCCCCTGTCTACCACTCCCACCCTTCCGCCAGCAGCCATTCCACCAAAAGCAACATCATCCTCTTCCACAGGCAAATCCCTCTGGGAAGTAGCCCACATCATCCTCGACCGCGACCTATACGCCCTCGACCCCATCAAATACCTCCAGATATCTCCCCACCACTACCGACTCGGCGTCCGTCGTCTCTACCAACATGTCACCATCACGCCGGGGCTCGTCGATTTGATTTATGAGTGCTCGGAACGTCCCGCTGGGTCGAGGTTCCTTGACAATTTTCGGTATACGGAGACTATCGTCGTGGACGATTTCTGGCTGCTCTCGGCGCTTCGCAACTGTTGTATCATATCACTCGAAAAAGCCGAGGAGATCATCCATCGGGCCAATCCGACAGATAGCGAAATGCACAGCGGAAAGGTCTGGAAACTCCCCCTCTTCCCAAACGCTCGCTCCATGACAATGCCCAGATCAAGCTTCCACCGCGCCGGCGAACAACTCCTCAACCTCCCCGCCCCTTTCTTCCACGGCTATACGAGCAAACTCTGCGGCCTCCATATCGATTTTACCCTCGGCCCGCTCTTCAGTCCTCGGAAGATGACAGAGTTTATTGAATACGCCGATGAAAGTTATTCGGAAGATTGTATCCCCGTCATCTACCTCGCTGAGATCAACCTCCTCCTTGGGGGCAACCTGAAGACGTTTACGAGTGTGCTTGGTAGTCGGAGAGTACCCACTTGGGATGCCCCCATTCCTCAGGGGAAAGAACCTGCGAATGCCTTACATCTTGACGTGTATCTCCGGCGTCATGGACCAGGACCGCCGGCTAATACGATCACCATCCGGACGATCTACAACGACCCCCCCGGCACTGTTCGTGTCCCAAACTATTGGAAGTCTATCGAACAGACAATCTTGAGCTGGTCGAGTATCGTCACAAGCGCTCCTCACGTGAAGCATGTGAATGAGATCCATATCTACCAAGCGGCCAAGGCGAAGGAGGAGGTACTCAAGTTGCAGGGAGGCGTGGCGGAGGGGCTGCTGGAAGCCAAGCCGTTTGAGTTTGTCGAGGTGGACTATGAGGCCTTTCCGCCAGAAGATCGGGACGCTGAAGGTGGTGGATTGGTTTGGGAGGAGGCAAGTTGGCTTACGCAGAGTGCTATGACGAGGCGGTACTCCTGGCCGATCGCTCATCCGGCTGAGGATGTATGGGGAGCACAGTGATGTAGGCTAGTTAGCGTGATCAGGCAAGGCAGTAGGGGTCGAGAAGTGTCTAGTAAAATGCATCTAGAACCACCATAACTTGCTTTGATTCTGTACCCAAACATGTAAAGGAGACAAATATGCTTTAACGTATCTCCCCTCAGCATGCTGCACAACATCTCTCCCCTCTCGGCGCTTGACCCCACCCCATCCCACCCACCCTTCCTAACGCCGAGCCCACCTCCCGCCAAACTAGTGACAAGACAAGAGAGGACACGACTTATTCCTCGTCAGAGTCAGAGTCGTCGTCGCCTGCCTGGTCAATGTTGGCAGCTTCGAACTGTTCCATGAGTTTCTTGAGCTCCAAGTCGTCGGTCTCGGACACAACCTTGGGCTACAATCACCGTCAGCCTTGGCCTTGCCACCATCCACAAGAAGAAAAGACGCACCTTCATCTTGATAGTGATATCCCCCTTATCCGCCTTGATACTCTCACTAATAACCTCCACCGCCTTCTCCATCAACTCGATCGCCCCATTCTTATCCGTACTCGTCGTGCTCATCACATAAAGCGGCGGCGCCACCAACCTCACTTTGATCGGCACCTCGGCCGTGGAGACGGCCTCGCCGGCGGTGAGGGCGCGCTTGATGGCGTCGATACCGGCGTAGGAGAAGCATTTGACTTCGATGTCGGCGCGGACTTTGACGGGCTTGGGGGTAAGGCGGCGGGCGATGCCGGCGCGGAGGTCGGTGAGGGTTTCGTCGTCGAGGCCGAGGGAGCCAAAGACCACGTCGGGTTCGCTAAATCCAAACATCAGTTCTCAAGCTTGGGCGGCGAAGAAAGGAGGAGGAGGAGGGAGAGGGGGACGTACGAGATGGAGAGTTTGAAAGCTTCATAAGCATGCCCGTATTGTCGGTGCAAAGGCCAAGCGATCTTTTCATACAATGATTCCGGGGTGACGCCGCCCTTCTTGGCGACTTGGGTGACGATAGAGTCTACGGCCTTGCCTTTTTCGTACTGCTCCTCGCACTTGACGACTTCCTCCGCAGACACCCTTCGCTTGGAAAGATCAATGTAGCCTGTAGTTCTTTAACACACGTCACTTATGAGAGGGGAGGGGGGCTTACCCTTGTCGGGGTCCACACGCATGACGACGACGACTTCATTTCGACCCACACGGATGAGTTTTTGGACTGAACGGATACGTCTTCGAGAAAGCTCGGAAAGGAGAATCATTCCTTCGATGTTGTCGTATTCGAGCTACAAATAGTCAGATATGGTACATGGCATGCAGGGGGGGACTTACAAGCTTGACATAAGCACCCATGTCTTCGATAGACTGCACCTGGACCATGACCAATTGGTCGACCTATATCGCGGAGAAACGCCAAGTCAGCCTCCGTTCCGTCCTCCAAAACCAGGGGACTCTTTGCGCACCTCGGGGTACTTGTTTTCGTAGAATCTAGGCATGTTGAACGGTAGTAATAAGGAAAGGGGGCGGGATTCGAGATTTGCTTTGCGGCTAGTCGATGAGTCGCAGGGCGGGTGATACTGATTCGTTTCGGCTGCGGGGGTTTTTTTTTTCAAAGTCGATTGTCCTGGTGTTCCGGATGCGAGTCTGCTGTCGTCCGAGGAGCGTGGGGTTATGGTTTTACGCGGAATGGGAGGATGCAGGGAGTATAGAGGAATCGAGAATGTGAGTCGGAGAACAATACAGTGCGCTAGAGGTGTGCGCATTTAAAAGCTGAGTTTTTTCCAAGAGTAATTTACGTAAGCCCGCGTATCGTTTCTAACCGGCGCGGCGGCGTACCGAGGGACCTGTCCATCTGTGATCAATCTGTGATCTGGGAACTATTTCTACTTTATATCCTGTTTTATCATTCAACATGCTCCCCACCCTCCTCAGAGCAACCATCTCCCCGGGCAGACTCATCCTCCGCACCATGTCCACCAGCGCAGAACCCCTAGTCATCCCCTCCCGCTCAGCTACCAACAACGTCGCCATCCTCACTCTCAACCGCCCCAAAGCCCTCAACGCTCTCAACACCCCTCTCTTTAATGAGTTGAACACCGAGTTGACCAAGGCCGAGAATGATAAGAGTGTGCGGGCGATTGTAATTACTGGGGGTGATAAGGTGTTTGCGGCTGGGGCTGATATCAAGGAGATGAAGGATAAAGAGTGTAAGTGGGCTATGCATGGTTGAAGCTGGAGCTGATGTGATGCAGTTGCGGATGCTTATACGAGCAACTTTCTTGGGTCTTGGGCCGATGTTGCGACCGCCCGCAAGCCCATCGTCGGTGCCGTCGCCGGATACGCCGTACGCCCTGTCCCCTTGCCCAAAACCAAAGCTAACATGTGGGTAGCTCGGCGGAGGCTGCGAGCTCGCCATGATCTGCGACATCCTCCTCGCCTCCCCCACCGCCATCTTTGGCCAGCCCGAAATCACCCTCGGCATCATCCCCGGCATGGGCGGCTCCCAGCGCCTCACCTCCCTCATCGGCAAAGCCCGCGCCATGGACATGGTCCTCACCGGCCGCAAGATTGATGCGCAGACGGCGGAGAGGTGGGGGTTGGTTAGTAGGGTGACGGGGGAGGGGGAAAGTGTGACGGAGGAGGCGGTTAAGGTGGCGGAGGTGCTTGGGAGGTTTGGGAAGGTGGCTGTGCAGGCAGGGAAGGAGGCTGTCAATGGAGGTACGCTCTTCTGTATCGTAGTTGAGGGATACATACTGATAGGATTAGCGCTCGAACTTCCTCTGGACCAAGGTCTCCGTCTCGAGCGACGTCTCTTCCAACAGCTCTTTGCGACCAAAGACCAGAAGGAGGGTATGGCTGCTTTCGCCGAGAAGCGCAAGCCCGTCTGGGAGGACAAATAGGCATCAGTCATAGGTAAATTCATCAGGAGAAGAAAAATGTCGACAGAAGAAACATGTATCGATCAATTGTCCTACCAAGCCAATCCAGGACCATGAGGTGCAGCACTTGCATTTGTCACGAGAGCTGTTCAGGGCGTAAAAAGTTGCCCACGAAGGCTCTACTGATAAGGTTGCCTCGAATCAAACAGATAATTGGCCATCGAAGGTTCCTCTACTGCAATTCTCTCTTTACACGCCTTCAGCTCCTCAAAATAACGCCCATCAACATCCTCCATCTCGTACCCATCATAGTCCACATCCATACCTTCCCTCCATATCTTTTGGGCCTGCGCTCTCCAATCCACGCCTTCTTCCCAGGGAAGCAAAAACATCTCATCCTCACTTGCTTCTTCGTCCGAGCTGAATTCATGATCGAAAGGATCCCCGGAAGCCAGATGTAGATCGCTCACCATAGTCTCCCCCGCTTCATTTGGCGGGTGAAGGTCATACCGCGCCTTTGGCGGGTTCTGCCAGAGATGTAAGAACCTGATAAGATCTGCCTCTGGAAGAGCGAGCAACGCCACAGGCTCGACGCCAATCTCTTGCACCACCTCCTCCCTCAACTTCTGAATCTCCTCCGAAGGTCTGACGACCTGCCCATAATACCACCCCTCCCCCTCATTCCATACCCCGCTCCAAAACCCTTTGTCATACATCTCCAGCGCCTCGTGGAACGTGATGGGCATGGTTTGGGAGGGAAGGGAGACGGCGTCCGAGCCATCGGCAGACTTTCGGCGAGATTGGCCGAGATGGATGGGGCGGGAGATGTATTTCGCCTCATGGTCTGCAAAGAGATGTTTTTTGCCGGTAGAGACGCCATGGCGGGAGAGGATAGATTGGATGTTGTAGATGGAGACAGACTTTGTCCAGCTCCAGAATCCACACAATTCCATGACCTCTGTTATATCTTCTTCCCATGTCGAGACTGGTCGGACGACGTTGAGCGTACGTTCCTTCATAGCGTCGAGATGACGAGGGCCAAAAGGACCTTCGAAGTCGTTGGTCAAGAGGGGATCGTCGAGAGGGGTGATATCGTCCCAAAGATAGAGGTGGAGCTCGGTAAAGGCGAAAGCACTCTGCCATGGCATATAATTTTGCAACAGCTCAACCGCGCTCGCAGCTTCGGCAAAGGGGATAGACAGACAGACACTCCTCAGATTGAGAAGGGTAGGGATGAAAACTGTGGCATCGCCCAACGTACTAGTGCTATACGCATGAGGACCCATAAACAGCTTTGTAGCCTTCGCACATAGTCTCTGGACGAACGCCATAGAAGGCGGAGAAGATTGCGAGAAGAGCGGGTCCTTGGGGAAGACCTGGACGATTATGGAGTGGAGATTGGGGAGTGGGTAGCATGGGCAGTCGACATCCCAGTAATCTTGCGTATGCCCCGGGGCGAAGCAGGTATACTCCAAGTACACCTTCTTCACAAGCCGGAGCAGATTATCTTTCCCATAAGGCGGGCCCGAGATCTTCTTGGCGGCGTCTTTGAGTAGCTTGGAAGCGCCTTTGAGAGGGTTGCAGGCGTGGGAGATGGGTAGGGTGTGGTATAGCGCTGGGGCAAAAGTGTGGAAGAAGGTAGAGCAGGTGAGGAGACAGCTGAAGAGGTCGCGAGGGGATAGATCACTGGCGGCGCCAATGTGCGCGAGAATGTCGGGGGTTTTACCGACCCGGGTAGAAGCTTTAATCGACATGGGTGGGATAGAAGTAAAGTGTCTGGTATGTCTGTGGGATACATGAGTATTTGAGAGTATCAATAATCGATTGCAAGTCAACTTACCGTCGTCACGTCTTGCTTGAATCTCGCAGTCTTTACCAATGGAAGGGGCCCCAGAAATCGGACATCGCCGCGTCTCATGTGTCAGCCAGCAGCCTCCACATTGCGTTGCCTCCACCCAACCTCCACCACATCCACTCCCATAAAGTACTTGCCTTCTCATATACAGCCCCCCGGCAATGATCATCCATCGGGACGGCTAGATAGCTGAACAAGATGGCTTCTTCCATAGACCCAGAACTCGAGCTATTCGGCCTCGTCACAAAGTCGCAAGATCCCTCGCCCAATTTCTCGCCCTTTGTATGGATAACCAAAGTTGACCTTGCGTGAGTGTCTCTGCCTTTCTGTATGAGATCAGACCTCACCATGCGACTCTGCAGGATTCTCGGCGTTTCGTACAAGACGAACAATAAGAGCTTTTATGAAATCCGTAACGACCTCGCCGAGCTGGTCGGGGATCCAGAGGTGTCTGTACCGACGCTCAAGGTCGGTGATACGTATCTCCAGGATTCCTTCAACATCGCTCTCTGGGTGCGTATCCTTTCCTTGGTCGCTCCATGTGGTACTGACGTGGAAGATAGCTGGATGAAAAGTACGGCAAGAATAACACCCTCTTCGGTCCATCCCAAAACACCAAAGCCCATACCAAGTTCCTCGAGCAATGGGTCCTATGGACACTCGCCGTCCCTATCCAGGCTCTGAACAGGTCCATGGTAAGGCTTCCTATTATCATCAAGAAAGGCGCCTGATAACTCGGGATCAAGATGTACTTTCGTCTAGACCCAGACTCCGCCGCCTACTACCTCCGCTCCCGATACAACAACGACATCCCCACCCTCGAGCGGCGCGTTAAGGAAGTATCCGAGCCTAGCTATATCGCTTCCCAATGGGCCCTTCTACGCTCTCACTTGAAGCCCCTCAATATCTTGCTTGGGGAGCATGAAGCCAAGGGGAAGAGGTTGTTCTTTGATGGTGAGGGCCCGACGCATGCGGATGCTGCCGTATTTGGGTGGTATGCGTTTACTAGGGAGAATGAGGGGTGGAGGGAAGGGTGGGAGAGTGAAGAGATTGGGTATGTGAAGAAATGGCTGGGGAATATGATTGAGCTCGTAGGAGGGGAGAAGGAGCTGCCGGGGCGATGATCAATGCCGTGTATGCAAGCGTTCTCAGTCCTAATCCGTGTCGGCAATATATATGTATGTTGTTTACAAAGCTTCCCGCAGAAGGTGTACCCGGGCCCAAGGTTGGCCCGGGTAATAATGCCGAGGTGTCAGCATCAGTCGGCGATCCGAAATCATCCACGCCTTTATAATCGACCACATCTACCTCGGCCCCTGCGAGCCCCCTCCAGCGCTCAACACAGCGGACATACCGCGACCAAGGCCATCTTCACAACCGTATGTGCTCTTGCTTCCGCCATATACTGATCCTGCCACCGATCCTGAAAGATTGACCAGCCTGTCCTTATCATGTCAACCAGCGCATCTACCAGAGCGGGTACAACCCTCGACGTCCTCGTGAACATCATCGCCGTCGGAAACCTATCCTCTCCCGACCTGTTCCACTACCTCCTCACCTCCTCGACCTTCTTCCACGCTGCCGCCCCCGCCCTATACCACACCCTCCCCATTTCCCACGCTTGCTTCCCCCTGATGAAGGGCGCTACAAAGTTTACCAAAACCTCCCGCGCAAGACCCCCCAGCACCGTCACCTCGCCTCACTCGCCTTACTGTAAAGACAAACTCCTCCAACCGGTGTGCAAAGTCTTGCTCGAATACACCTGCTTCTCCCCGGGGCATACCGAGCAGGACGAGGGGCTTGTGTCGAGCCAGGTGGACGGCGAGGTGGGACGAGTTGAGGGTGGAGGGGATGGATTTGGATTATGAGGGGTATGAGATGGAGGATGTTGATGGGGTATATGTGGAGAAGGAGAGGAACAGGAGGGGAGGGGAGATGGGGCAGGCGCGGGTGCAGGGGCAGGGACAAGGTGGGGCAAGGTGGGGGGGCGTGAAGGGTGGCTTGTAGTTAAAGTGGAGATGCATCTCAATTGGCTGGACTCTTCCGATACATCGAGAGCGGCAACACAGGCAGACCTATATGAACAAACTGCCATACTGGAGTACCGAACATGGTCTCAGGACGCGATGTGCCTACGCACATGATGATCAACAACAACATCTCGGCGGACCGAGGCGGGTATGAAAGGCTTCATAAGCCAATCACGGGGCTTGTATAGCACCACACGAGCGGCTCAGAATATATAAATGCTCTACATACATGGCTAAAAGCATTCAAGGGGTCAAACAGGAAAGTAGCGGGCCGAAGAGATAGCTTGTGAGTTGCCCGCGATTTCCCAGGATTGACGGTGGAGCCGCCGCTGACCTATGAGCAGACAATGGAAGAACATTGTGCGTAGGTGCTCCTCTTCAACGCTAGCCCAGACTCATACCATACAGCCCCGGTCCTCTTCGAGCCAGATTCGAAGGTGTCAGCCCGCTTTGCCCATCATTTCGACATCATATCCTACTTTGTCGCCACTCCCTTCTTGTCCAAAGCCGACCTCTTCCATCTCTTGCTCTCATCACCGATATTCTTCCCCACCGCCGGTCAAGCACTGTACCATCGTCTACCAATATCGGCCACGTGCAATCCCCTGATCGGAGCCACCGCTATCGCTTCTCCAAGGGCTCCATCAGCACAATCACCATACGGCAAAGACGTTTTACTGCGCTACGTCAAAGAAGTCCACTTTGAACGATCTCTCCCGTCTCCAGGCAAAGAATGCTGGAGTCACACCTGGCCCTGCTCCCCCCTCCCCTACCTCCAACACATCATCATCTCCCTCCCCCCCGCCGTCACATTCAAATCCACCTCCGCACGTCTTTCGGGCGGGCTCGTCCCCGACGACAGATTCCTCCGTTCCCTCTGCTCTCGCGCCACTTCCTTGCATATCCATTCTCGCGCTTGGGACTTTGCGTGGACGCTCTATGATGTGATTAGTGTGTTACCGCACTTGAGGAGGTTGTGTATCAAGTTGAGGTTGTGGGATGTGAGGGGTCTTTGGAAGGCGTTTCAGCGGTTGGCAAAGCTTGTGCCGGGGACAAAGTTGGAGAAAGTGTGTATCTACTTGTGGGACGAACCCGGCATGCTTGAGCTCTTCTCTCAATCTCCAAACTCTTCGCCTACGGCTGTACCGACTACCTCGCACCTTCGGACATCGATGATCTGGGCAGGAGGCGGTATGCGGACGTTGCTGGAAAAGCTGGCAGAGCTAGAGTCGGTGAAGTGGGTGGAGGTGTTCAATTATGATGAGGTGAGGGGTGTTTATGAGAGGGAGGAGCTGGTGGAGAGTGGGTTTTGGGAGGATAGGCAAATGATCTGGGGTCTTGGGTTTTCGCAGGATACAGGTTGGTTCCTATTCCTTGTCGACATGCTGGAAATTCGTGAGCGGTGGCTGACACAGAGTATAGATTGTTTACCAACAGGCGGTAAAGCGATATCATTCCTGCCCGGTATCGACTATTATAACACTCTTTGGGATGGGAACTGGATATTGGATGAGGAGCGGTATTTTGAAGAGGCGGTTCGTGCCCAACGCGGTACTGTAAACATATTAGGGAATGGGGAAGATGGAGAGTTGGCGAAGCGGTTGAATCAGACCCGGCTTTAAGATTGTCAAGTGTAGTACGCGTCTCTTTGAGAATGGCGAGTAGTTTGCAGCTGACTGAGACATCTTTGATAGATGATGTTATTGTAGCAACATGTTGTAAGATATGCCAGATGTATATCATGTACCGCTTACCCAACGCCAAACCCATCATCTCCACCGGGCACTAGAAGCCTGTAGAAGAAAGACCGCACGGCAACAAAACCTTGACTACGTTGATTCTTCTTCAGCTTTGTTCGCGTCGCTCAACGGCGTGACCAGCGGAGTAAAGTGGAAGGATGGGCATGGACAAACAGGGACTTGTGCAGTAATACATAATATATGGGTACAACCTTTTTGCGTCTATTTACAATCGCACCTCTATGCGAGTACTCATCCACTTCCTCCAATATCTCGTATAAACTCGCCTCCTCAATATCAAAGGGCCAGCTTGTCGAATCCTGAAGGCACCTCCCATCCCTAGAAAAAAGATCATCAGCAAAGACGACAAGCAACAAAGAGGGATGAAGACATGCATGGTCGTTTGCAACGCGCTTGTATGCGCTGATGGATTCTTGCATGCCGTAGGGGATGTTCCAGTGTTGAGGATCCAGTTTAGCGGATGGCGTCGCTTCTGTCATGTTTACCTGTGTTCCTAGATCAGTACCATACTCGTACAGTCAGACATAAGACTAGAACTCACCATGACATCCCTAATGATCGCCTCAACGCTAAACGCAGGATTCCACCCCGTGGCCGTCAAGATCTCATTACAGATCGACCCCCCTCCTGTGATGTTTCCGCCCCCTCCACGAGTGAAAGGCAGGAATCTGGGATGTACGACGCGCATGAACGGCGGAGAATGGGGGTAGGCGGCGGGGAAGCGAATCTCGGCGACGACGGATGTGATACCGTACTTCTTCATGTCTTTCCAAAGGTGCGAGTCATCGGGGAATTCGTGCAGCTCGAGTAACCAGCAGTACATCCTGTCGAACATGGTCAGCTAATACTTTCAACTAATCAGGCAGGACATACGAGTCGTTGTCGGGGTCCACATGGAACGGCAAAGCACCTTCGCCTTGCGCCTTGATACACGCCTTGAACTCCTTCCCCAAAGCCTTGCTCGCCACGATACTTGTCTCCGTCGGGGGCGGCATGAGCTGAAAGTTGGGCAGCCTCGCTTCGAGAGTGGGTACGTAATGGTCGACAGGTTTGGGAAGAGGAGGATTGATGATGTTGGCGTCGAGTTCGTCATCGGGCTGGGTGTCATAGAGAGGAGTGGGAGCAAATTTAGCAGGCATTTGCTATTGGAAAATCGTCAGCACTTCTCATAGAGAACAAGAGATGGTCGCACAAGAGTCAAAGGTTGAGATCTCCAAGTCACCGCCACTTTGGGGTCATGTTGGAAAGTCGTAGGTTTGAGTGTCTTCCTCTTCTTCTCGCCCGTACCAAACATGCCCGCTATTTTGCTTCTCGTACCGCTAGCAGCCGTCGTAGCAGCACCCGGAGCAGCTGGGGCAGTAACGACAGGAACAGTATTTTGCCCCTGGGCGTCGGCGATAGTGACGCCTGCAAGCGTCGTGTCATCAGCCTCGCCAGATTCAGCTTCTTCCACGAGCTGTGGATTGAGTGCGCCGTGGACGATGAGCAAGAAGGGTTTGATCTGCCTCAGGTTGTTGACTATGTTGTTGGTCAGCCTCACAATTACATTGAGGGAAAAAAAGTGACATACCAACATAGTACGGGTTCCTCGACACAAACGTCTCTGGGACATTCACCAGCTCCACAAGCGCCGTGGCTTTTGATACAAGAAAGTCGGCGTTGGCACGAGGGCGGTTCACGCTGACACGGGAATACCATCCAATGGAAACTGAAGCTTCGTTGGCGAAATACACGCCTTGTCCATACGCCTACAAAGCGAGTCAGCCTGCAAGGATAGGCATAGAGGAGCGGGAGATGTACTCGTGCGTTTGCGACCTCCACATAGTCCAGACCTGTTCGCAGAATATTATGCCACCTCTCCGATGCAGAACCTATTCCGTTCGATGTCAGCACGTAAAGCTCCTTGTAAATGAGAGACTGACCATGGAAAGCAAGGATGGTCGGATACGTTCTACAATTCGGGTTCTGCCCTTGCGCCGTCTGGATCTCCTGCTTGAATTTCACCTCCTGCTCAGGATCCCCAACGACAAACGTAAACTGCCTGACACTCCCCTCCGTCGTCGTCCCAGGCAGGTTGTACCGATTATCGATCTGAGAATGGTCGTTCATCACACCTTCGCCTTCTTTTGTTTCTTTGAGATAGGCTCGACATGTGCCCACGACCCATCTGAGCACTCCGATAGCTCCAGAAGGACACTCAATATCCTTCAGTTTGCCCCCGCTCTCGAGGAACGCCTTGATATGCGACACTCTCGGGAGCATCTCGATAAGCCAGGCCACCGACCTCCTCTGCACTATTTCGTCCGACATGTCATCGAGTAAGATCGCTTCCTTTTTGGTGTTGTAAGGGCAATCGGCTGGGACGATGATGTGCAGATGAGTTGGGAGAGCCATACGCGTATCGGACGAGGCGGCTGAATGCGCGAAAGAGAGGAGGAGGTCGACGACTCCGGGTTGAGTGATGATGGTGTGATCGATGGACGGACCGAAGCCGAGGGACATAAAGCCGTACAGGCAAAGAGTCTTGGAGCAGACGTATGGTCGGACGGAGACGGCTTCGACTTCGGAGCCGCAGTTCTAAGTCGTGTCAGCTTGTTCCAAAGAGGAGGTGATATGTCTTACCATGCAGAACTTGGGAGAGTCGGCAAAGCGTTTGAGAACCCAGTAGAAGGCACAAAGCGGGATGTTATCCGAAAAGCCGCGTGCCACAGGATCATCCGCCCGTTCGGATTTGTGCTTTCTCTTTCCTCTACTGCCCCGAGAATCTGGGCGAGGAATGACGTTGGTAGAGATGTAGTTGTAATAGACTTGTTCGTCGAGACCTTGTCGATTCGCCTCTTCCCATCCGAGATTATAGTTGACTTGGAGGTTGAATACACGGTGGAAACCCTTGATATGTTCGAGCAGGGAGCTGGAGAGAAAGAAGGGTGGGAGACCGCTGCCACGGGTGGTGTCAATGACGAGCTGGCGAGACGGTTTATCTATGATTCTCGTCAGCCGTCGCACTCTTTGAGGTTCCAAGCACTTACAGTCATGGTGAAAGCCCATCCAGAATTTCATCGACTCAGGCTTGGGCGGATAGTTGTCCACACCCATCAAGAGCACGAAACGCTGGTCGTCTTCCCAAGCTTCGACGAGAGAATCGTCCCAGGTCGCGAGTATGTTGGGGTCGATAGAGATATTCTTGAGTGGTATCGAGTAGGAGATGACCCAGTAGTCGGATACTCTTGTCAATCCAGGTCGATATCCCCACGATTTTGCTTGCTCGAAATGCCTATAGGATCGTCAGTGTGGCCTTGAAAGAAGAATATTTTACTCACTTCCGCAGACTAGTCCATTCCGCTGGAACCTCCTCGCCCTGCTCCACCGGCTTCTCAACTTCATCCACCCACGGATCATCTACACTATCCTCATCTTCATCATCCTCATCTTCCATGTCTGATACATCATCCGGATCGCCGCCGGTCGCTTCGTCGTCGCCCTGGAGAGACGCGAGGAGTTTCTGAAAGAGAGTAGGGACAGAGAGCCCGTAGATGTCGGTGAAGCGGTTAAACGTGCGTTGGGCACGGCGTGGAAGTTTTTGTGTGGATTTGATGTTGACTGTATAGGACATGGGGTAGGTATCGAGGTCTAGATAGCAATTGTGAGTAGGCGGAAGGCGGGATATAAGTGGATACTCACCGCGAAAGTTCATTTCAAGCTGAAGCTCGTGCTCTTCCCCCTCGATATCCTCGAATTGCAAGTTGAAGCTCATGGTATTAGGCTGGGATCCCTCCCTGAGAGCTATATGGTTAGCCAATGCCATATCACATATGGACTTACCTTGCACCGTCCCGCGCATACCCGCGTACCCCTCAATCTCATGAATTCCCACCCAAGACGAAATCATATCCGCCACTTCCGCCTCCCACACAGCCCTTCCCTTTATCTTACGCGTCCCCGTACTCTTCTGAGAAGCCTGGACCAGCTCCTGGAGGCTCTGCGGACTTTGACCCCGCGGGATCCTTGCCGCACCGGCCCCGGCCGCGTTCGTCTTCGTCCGTGTGTGATTTGTGGTGGTAGGCGATGGGGGTTCCATAGACGCTATTATAGCTTCTTGAATTTCAAAGTAGTCATCATCAGAGTCGTCGGGAACTTCCCATACGTCTTCGTCAGAAAATACCATGGCGGATAGTCGTGCCGCGGGCTGTGCGGAAGTGAGAGATGTAGTTCTTCACGGGAGTCCCGGAGTGAGGGAAGATGAGTGAGATGGGGGAGCTGAAGAGGAGGGGGGTGTCGAAGAGGTGGGAGAAATGGGAAAAATGAGAATTGAACAAAAAGAAGAGAAGAGAACGACAAAAGGGTTACCATAGTGTCCGAACGAAGCAAGAACGAAGCCCTCGAGTGGAGGGTGACTGGGCTGTGCCTGGCTCAGTTTCCGCCCAGTTTTGACTGTGAGTTCTTTCCGTTGTCCTTCGATTATTATGCATCTTTTCCCGTGCTCTTCTTCCTCTCCTATACAGAGGTTCGGATTGTCTTCTTGCAGTCTGCCTGCTTGGCAGGGACTGGGGGGGCTGTTGGACGGTAGACGATGGAGAAATGAAGGGAAATAGTACACCGCGGAACGCCGACGGTCAAGTCGGTGCTTTGAAGTATCGGCCAGATTGCGCGAGCGACATGCTGGAAGCTCACATATACTTGCGTTATGGCTATTGAGGTCCATTATGTACATGTAAATTGAGATCAGAACCTGAAAAGCTCAGCCTTCACGCCTTCTTGCCACAAAAACAGACCGTTTCCTCATCTTCTCCCTGGGGTCTATACTTTTGCCGCCCAGCCACGCGTATCTTATCTATTTAGTGCAGGACTTCATCAGAGATGTCTGGAAATTCTAAGCTGTGACCGTTGCGCGATGGACTATAATCCCAATAGTCGGCATAGCCTCTTAACAGAGCTGGACGTGAGTCGTTTGTGCCTGTGCCTGTATCTGGTTCATTTTCCCCCGGCTGGCTGGCTTATGTATGCATTCCCCTTCTTGTGCTATCCATACATACATCTGGGAAAGTATATATTGTCAAGGTGAGCCCCGAATGTGCTGCATGAAACAATGGGGCTAATAATAGACAGAGCTTCATCGGCCAACATTCGCGAGATGTACCGTTGACTCATCACAGTCAGACTACATTTATATACATTCTCACCAACACCAAATGCGTAAGGTTTAGACTTTAACTTGGCCACCCAGCACACTTGCAAGATCGCTCGTCTTCTTGCTACTACAAGACTGTATTCTGGTCTTCTCTAGCCAGCTTATGCTTTTGTCGCCTGATAACACTTGACTCTCTGTTCTTGAAGGCGCAGAAGACCTTCCAATCGGGAAACGGTAACTTCACTGAATCTCTCAAACTCGAAGCGGTGACCTTCAGGTGATGAACTTGACTCACTGTCAGCGTCGTACAGGCTGTCAATATTGCAGAGACAGGCTCACCCTTTGACTCGATGTCCTTGAACGGCCTTCTGGACGCACTCAGTCACCATACTCTCCAGATCAGGAACAAGATAGATGGGCGCATACGCCGCATTGAAGGCGACCGAAGCTAGACGCCTTTCTGGATGAAAATCGGCAGAGGCTGGGTAAGAGGACAAGTCGATTGGAGGACAATTATGCAGTGTGAAGACTCTGCTTATTGACAGAATAGTCTCCAAGACGGTATACAAATCAGGTACCGAGAGTGCACATGTTTCGCCGACGGGCGGCAGATCCAAGCACACATAAGGCCGGTTAGCCCAGGCGTAGCCGAATGCCCCTCGAGACATGTGTGTCCTCGGCGAAAAACCCTCAGGGTCGGTGCAGAGGGGCTGAATGGAAGCCCAGGTCAAGGATAGGTAGACCTCACAGTGAAAGATGTAAAGACGGGATCGCTGGGTCTGCGCTTGGGTTGCAGTTCCGAGGACCTTGTAGACATGGTTGGCGAGGAGCTGAAGCCGTCCGCCCGCGGCGTCGGCGTTGTCTATCGCAGCCAGGTCGAGCATGGAGATGTGATCGACCTCCCAGCATAGACAGATCTTGTTGAGAAGACTTTGCCCTGGCCGGAAGACGTGAGGACCCAGACGCGTACCTTGCTCCCTCCCTCCTTTGCCTGCTAGCCTCTTCCACTGCTCCTCATGCTCCATCACATCGAGCTCGAAAGGCTCCAAGATCTCTCGGTAGAAAAGGTGAGCGTTGCCCATGTGGAGATTGACCGTGCGGTAAAGCCTGTGGACGTGTTGCTGGTAGAGTTCGCGCGAAAGACATATGAGGGAGATGAGCGCCGAGCCGGAGCATGTGGATTGGTAGTCGTCGAAGATTGACATGAGTAGCTCTGGTAGGAGAGGGCAAGGTGGGAATGAGCTGATTGTGGGCATGGTGGCAGAGATGCAATGCAGAAAAGAACAATGATTAGAAGTTGCATTTCATTGTTGATTTTGATTGTTTCAAGTGATTGTTATCCGCATCGTTGTTCTCCTGTTCCTGGCTCATTTCCGGCCGGCGTTCCCGGTACATCTGCGTCCTTGCTCTGTTCTATGTGACACAATTCCTTGATTTGCTCAATCACTACACACTAGGGTATGCATAACAACTGCGCAGAATCCAGACCGAAGCACATCTCACGCGCTCTTGCCACAACCACAGACAGTTTTCTGATCTCTCCAACGTTCACCGTTCGTGCTTGACTGTTCCGCAAGTCGCAGGTAACTTTGAACGAAGGGTAGAATACGTTGAGGTATGTCGCTGAAACTGTAAATCAAGCATGGTTTGAAAACCAGTAAACTACAGTCGTATATGAGTATACAGTGGCAAGGCCAGCTTTCGCCATCACGTACACGACAGAATGCCCACTCGTCAGAAGATCATCAGAGGTGTGGTAAGGGTACGGGAACACGTCCAAATGCGGAGCGTCGTGTAATGTGAATACTCTGCTATGTCGGAGAAGTTCTACCAGGGTGATGACCGATGGAGGATGCGACCTAGCATCGGGGTAGACGGTGGGTTCACGCACACAAGAGGGCGGCCCGCCCAAGCGGAGCTGTACGTCTTTGGAAACATGCGGTCATCGGGAGATTCACACATCGACTCGATAGACTCCCATCTGTAGCATACACTGACAGCATGGTGGAATAAGTGAAGTTGAACGGGAGGAGCAGGTTGTTCGGTGGTGGTTTTGGTGATCGCCGAAAAGATATGATCGGCGAGATCGAGGAGTAAATCGGCGGCTTCGTCGGTATCATCGATTGCATCGACGTCTACCGTGGTGAGGTGATTGTCCTCCCAGAAGAGACAAAGCTTGTTGAGAAGACTCTTGCCTGGGCGAAAGTCATGAGGACCGAGCCGCGTATCGGGCTCTCTTCCTCCGTTGACCATCCCGGCGAGCCTCTTCCACAGCTCTTCGTCCGGCGCGATACTGATAGCTGCGAAAGGCTCGGGATCGAAGATCTCTCGGTAGAAAAGTTCGGCATTGCCTTTATGCAGGGCGACGGAGCGGTAGAGTCTGTGGACGTGTTGCTTGTAGAGGTCGCGCGAGAGGGAGATGAGGGGGAAGGGTGATGTGAGGGGGTGGGAAGTCTGGCGAAGAGGAGCGGGCTGACAGCGAAGGAGATGGGACTGGCGAAGACGAGTAGACCGGCGAAGGCGAAAAGACTGGGGCGGGCGCATACACTGTGGGAAAGGATTCGTCCGTTGAAGGAGAGGAGGACGAGGGCGATGGCATTGTGGTAGAGACGTAGTATACAAAGAAAAAGCCAAGAAAAAGTCGAGGAAGAGAGGAGATGAAGAGCGACATCCTTGATGGTTACGTAACCGACGCGTTCAAGATGTAAATAAACAAAACATCGCTGCCTCGTCGCGCTTTTCTGCATTTCTTCCCTCCACGCATCCGCTTTCAATCCCACATCTCTGCTCGGTACCGACAATGCCGTCGCAACGGATACGCCAATAACGATACTACACACGAAAGAAATACCGCAAACGACCCAATATCGACCGAGATTGACTAATGCTCGCCCCCAATCCGCACCGCACCCCCACGCCCTCCTCTCTCTTGACCTCCAGCCCTCCCTTATCCTATACCTGGTCAGATACCGACACAGAGCTACCGCCTGGCACTGAAGGCATGCACAGAGGCGGGCCGAGTACTCGTACGAGCGTATGGAGTGACGAAGGGACGGCTGTCCCACGCCCGGCGTCTGGAGGCGTCAAAGTGGGAAAATTGATCGACTATGAAGATGAGCCGAAAAAGGAGACGCCGGGGGATAAGCTGAGGGAGCTGTTGAGGCAGATGGATCAGGAGGTGAAGAGGGCGCAGCCGAGGTCGACGACGCCCCCGCCAACGAGAGAAACGTACAATCGCCCGTCGGGGGTGCCGAGCGCTCAGCAGAGATTGGGAGCTCTCGCTCGTTCTCCTCCTATTGAGCCACCTCGGGAGGAATATTCGGAGGAAGAGTACGAGGATGAAGTCGAAGCTGGGCCATCGAGCCGGGAAGTTTCACCGGTGAGGTCTCAACGGTCCTATGAGGCTTCCGAACAAGAATCAAGCCCACCTTCGCCTCCTCCACGTTTCGGCAATCCCTACAACAGCCGGAGAGTATCTGGGGAAAGGGAGCGAAGTATCAAGTCAGGAAGGGTACCATCGCGGGCCGCGGTTTTACAGGGTACGTCAAGCGAACTGCAGGCGTGATTTATGCTGATGATCTATAGGTGCATCACGCTCTTTTTCGCCAGAACCTGAACCCTCATATGACCCCGAGCCGGCAAGCTCAAACTCTCGTGAAAGATCTGAGCGGTCAGAACGGTCGTCTCAGCTTCGAGCATACATCGCTTCCCATACTCAGCGTTCATCATCATCCGCCTCGCAAACTCTTTCAGATCCTTCCTCGTCGCGTACTATCCACAATCAGCAATCGCTACATCGCTCGAGAAATTCTCTGGAACGGTCGTTCAATCATTCAACAGGCTCGAGAGGGTCCAAGGGAAAAGAACGAGGATCCTTCGAAGCTCCTTCCCCACCCAGAAGACCTTACTCCCAACCATCCCGCCGCGAACCCCCCACCCCACAATCTCGTTCGATCCACCCCATACCAACCACACATGACGAGTTCGCTTCAGGCTTGGAAGTACACGCGTCAGAGAAGGAGCTGGACATTGACGAAGGCGTGTCGAGAGTTGGGTGGGAGGATAGTCAGAGTTCGGTGGCTTTTACGCAGGAGGATGAGGAAACCGAGATGAGAGAGGGGCGGATTGGGACTGTGCGGCCTGAGGTGCATGAGAGGGAACGGTCAAGGTCGAGGTCACGGTCACGGTCGAGATCGAGGTCTTTTGCGGAAGAAAATTCGCATCGTTCACGATCCACTCCACAACCCAGTCGCCACCAGTCCCTCAAAGACTCCTACTCCCGGTCACACATCTCTAGGCTGCCCCGCTCGCCGTCTCCTCCACCGCTACCGGCTCTTCCCGACATGTCACAGTCATCATCTTCATCCGAGACTGAAGCGTACAGCTCGAGAAGAGCTACGCTATTCCGGAGCGGTAGCAAAAGCACGAGCCAGAGTAGAAGCTTGGGTGAAGAGTCGAAGGTACTCAGAGAGAGTTTGCATAGTAGCGGGAGGGTGTCGCCTAGGGTTGGAGGAGGAGCGAGTTTGAGGCAGTCGGTTTCGAGGCAAGAGGTGGAGGTGGAAGAAGAGCCGGAGGAGATACCATCAGAACCTCTCGAATTGGTTGTGGAAGAAGAGCCGTCTCCTCCTAGACGGTCAAGTCTTCGGACTTCGTATACGTCTCCGCCTAATCCCACGCCTCCACGACGCGGTACGCCTCTCAGTACAACGCCTTCTCCGAAATTAAATCGCTCGCCGAGATTCTCCACACCACAAGCCGAACCCCTATCCCACACTTCCTCCCCCGCTGGGAGACTACACACCCCAGCAAGGCAGGCGGATACTACCCTGCCTACGCCGAAAGCTCCTGGCGCTTGGAACCCGTCTGCAAGAGTCCAAACGCCCATCCGGACCGAAGGCAACACTACCCTCGGCAACACCACCATTGGCGTCACGCCGAAACCCCCAGGGGCTTGGAACGGTACGCCCGTTCACCGGGTTAGATTTTCGCCCTTAAAGTATACTCTTGGCGCTGGGTCCGATGGTGGGGAGAATGGTGGGGAGAATGGTGGGGAAGTGAGGAAGAGGTCGCCTTTGACGAATGAGGTTTCTATCAGCATGGAAGATAAATTGGATGAGGATGAGGATGAGGAAGAAAGGAAGGAAGAGGCGGAAGTGTCGATTGTGAGGTTGAAGATGTCGCCTCGTCGGTCGCCTAGAGGGAAGGTTGTGGAGGAAGAGGTGGGGGATGTGAGTTGGCTTGAGGGTTTCACCAGGAGTATGCGAAGGTACGTCTCTTACACATCATACATTGAGCTATGCTGACATGCGCTAGTCGACTCATGACGCCCGTCAAAGTCCCGCAGAGGTCCACGACATACACCACCCACCTTCCCTCCCTCCGCTCTGCCTCCGAAGAAACGTCCTCCAAAGAGGTCGCCCTGCGAGAAGCCCATTCTTCCTGGCTATCCTCCCTCAACTCTCTCCCTGCACTACCTGCGACACCATCACTAGCATCCTCAACCCAACACCTTAAGCGGAGTATCCGCAAAGGCGCGCGCTGGTCTACTTGGCTATGGATGGTCTTGGTGGAGATGGTGCTGCTATGGGCGGTGTTTAGGGTGACGCTGGACTATGCTGGTTCTGGGATGAACTTGAGTTGGGTGGATCCTTTTTCGCCTCTTGCTCGGCCTTTGGGATTAGGCCCTGTCGTCCCGACCGTCCGCTCCCCATCTCTCGGATCTGCAGAAGAGGGCACCGACAACCAAGTCACATGGCTCTCAGCCCCCAAGTACCTCAACCTCCATATTCCTATTCCCTCATCCCTAAGAACACTCGTGGGCAACTCAGAGTACCAGCACCCTTATAGCGCTTATCTCGGCGTATTGGGCGGCTCGGCAAACTTTTTCGACCTGGTAGAGCAGTGGGAGACTTGGAAGGCGCTTGTGGGCGATGGGACAGAAGGGTTTGTGGATGGGTGGAGAGGTGGGGTGCCAACGTAGAGATGTTGAAGTGTCTTGTTCTTCTCGACCCCGTCTTGGGTGTACTCGATAAATCGGATAATAGTTGTACTCGTTTGTGGTCTTGGGTGTGCCACTATATACATAGTCTATGCTTGATGAATAGCTCGTAGGACGGACTTCATCTGGTAATAAGTGCCGTGGCAGTGGTGTTACATACTCGTACAGTTCCAAAATCCCAAAATTGTCACTGTACTCAAACGGTACAGGAAGCCCATTAAACCCATCTATCCTCCTTCCTATATCCCTTTAGAGGCGCTTCCTCGACGGCATTCCCAGCTCCCCACTCTGCCACCCCTTGCGGTCTGGGAACACGCACGGGCTCATAGTCGTCTTGCGAGACGGCTGCCATTGAGAACTTCTTCCGCGACGGCTTGGCGGTAGATCTGGCGTCTAGAGAGGATAATGATGGTTCTGAAGATGCACTGTGAGTGGATGGGAGAGCGTCGGGGTTATTGAGTCTCTGCAAAGCCGTCAGCATCCTTCCTGAACTATGGCAAGCTCCACCGCAAAAGAAGCCCAATAGGAAAACCCACATAGTATTCTTCTCGCAAATCCACCTTTCTCCTGTCCGCCTTCATCCCCAGGTCCGACTCTTTTTCTATCGTCTGCACCTTTGTCTGATGGTAGTCATAGCGAGTTTGAGTGAACGCTTGGAGCGCGAAGGACGCGCCGACGATGATGCCGACGAAGGGCAGTCCGAAGAAGATAAAGGGGTGTTTCCGGACTTTTTGGACGAGAGGATTGGGGCGAGCATTGAGTGGGCGTGTAGGGAAGGCGGGCATAGTGGGATTGAGATGTGGGAGAGGGAAAGAGGACAAAGCTGGCAAGCATAGATGGAAAGCGAGTCTTGGGGAAAGTCTCACCAATTGAAACTCGGTGACCTGACCTCCGAATGAGACGACCTCCACCGGGGCGCGGGGGGCTTTGCGAGCTGTGTCACTGCTTTGGGACATGCGAAGGCTGGGCCTCATCATCTTTCCGCATATCATGCGCGCCCTCTTCTTGCTCATACATCGCCTTACTATCGCATACATAATGTCTCACTGGTCGTGTAACCAAATGGACGCTCCTCCTTTGCTTTCAAGAAGCGAGGAACGCGGCGTGACTTGACTATCTTATTGTTTGGTTCGAGTATAGTCGCCGTTTTGTGAGCATGCTGCCGAGAAATGAAATTTTCTGTGCTGTTGGACAAGCTCTCCACTGCATGGTACAAAACCCATACGTGCAATGAATGGTGCACACGAGTTGGCTTCCAGCGGTATACGTCAGCCAACAGCTACTATACGTCGTCCGCAAAAAGGAAACCGCCATAGTGTTCGATTACTTCAAGCATACACGGTAAGTACGAGTAGTGTAAAGAAGCTGTGTGCTGCCATCACGCACCGGACAGCGCCCATTGAAGCCCAGAATCGAGATTCGCACTACGAACTTGTCGATGAGGGCATTCCGCGGAAATCCGATCCTGTAAAGTACATCTGCACCTGAATAATTCCGCAAAGTAATATATAGCTCATGCATTACTGCTTCTTCTGTCACATCTTCCACCCTCACTCGTCCCAGAGAAAGTATGTCCACGATGGCAAGAACGAACCCCTTCGCAGATCCCGAGAATCCCGTCTTCACCGACACGAACAGCACTGGATATCCTCTGTCTACTTTCAGCACCATCAACTCTAGCTACTGGAACCATTCATCGAGCAGTAAGCTTGTGCAACCATCATGCACAGACGCCTCGTCTCTTCCCTCTCGCAGTGACAAATCGAAGCCCAGTGTCAAGACTGCAACCAAGTTCGGGGTAACTCTCATGATTTTTATCTTTTTCGGTTAGTCAGCCTCCTGCTATTCCATTCCGTTTGCTGTTTTTCTTACTTGGCAGCGTTCACCTGCTGTTTTGCAGCTGGCGAATTGAAACATGACACAGTGTCGTGTGGTGACACGACTCCTCGGGCTGTGACTATCGTTTCTGGCTGGGTTGCTTCAGTGGACCGGAACAAGATGGCCAACATAACTGGAGCACAGATCGTGTATGGTCTCCGAAATGCTTGCACCACCTTTGGAAACAGGCAAGTCGCTTTCGGTATTCTATCATGTCGAGGAACATAATCTAACGGGCTCGGGACGATCATCAAAGGTGCTACTGCGATACTGAGACACTTTCACGCCCTAATTTGACATACTTTGGTATACTGGAGGACTTGAGACTCGTCAAGAAGCCATTCCTGTTTCCTATAGACCCCCCTCCTCAGCTTACCGGCGCGATGCGACTCAATATGCCGAGCATGGTCACCGCCGCGTTCGCTCTGCTGTCGGTAATTGCCTGTGTGACTCTCGTAAGTCATCATGTTATGTCCTGGATCGGTTCGAATGCTAATAGGAGTATGAAGGAAGGGTATGGATACTGGTGGATGCTCTCCATTCCCTCCGCTATCGGCTGCATCCCGATGATGATCTTTTGGGTTTACAAAACGGTCAAGCCCGTCAATGACTACTTTCACACCCTCAATGACGCTCTCGGCACACTCTACAAAGGAATGAGTGTGCAGTATGCCACAGATGTGGGAAGGGTTGGCATGGTGAGTGATATTGGCTTTGACATTCTTCAAAGTTTGCTGATTGTTGTGCTTTTGTGGTACCAGGCGTTCAGCGGTGTCTGCACTGGGGTCTGTGTCTCGGTTGTCATTGTAGTGTCCTGGATCCAGATGAAGGAACGATCATCAAGAGACTGTTTCTGGACGTAGATGTGGAAGGAGAGAATACTTGGGCGATAATGCGATGGCGGCCCGTCTTTGTATGAGTTTGGACTAATGGCAAAGGGCGTCTCCACTATTAATAGCAGTCAATGTACAAGAGTAGCTTCTATTCGGTCCCTTAAGTCCATCTGCAGACAGCTATATATACTTCGCCACACGAGTTTGTACTACGCTACCCCCTTCACTTAATCAGTACTATCGTCACTTTTCCCGCAAAAACTCAGGAGCCTGCTGCGTCTGCGACGACGAGAACCACCGCCCGGTGGTCTACTGTCAGCACCTACTCTGGTGATATTGGTGATAGTTTCGTGGCCTGTAGGCGACAAGTGTGAGACGCGATACTGTGATGCCTGTCTAGTACCAGCAGACGAGCTGGCGGCGGCGGTAGGCTGTCCCAAGAGAATATTGTCGTCAACATTGTAGCCGACTGGCTCCTTTTTGCTCGCACCTCTCGGTTGTGGGTGATCGATGCGTTCGCTTGGGAAAGCCGAAGCGCTGGAGGATCCCAAGCCTGATGAATTCGAGATGAAACCCGTGTTTAGTTCAATGGCATCGCCATAAGATGGAGGAGGTGCTTCGCCTTCTTCTCTTCTACCCGATCCCGTGAGAGTAGCCAAGCGCTGCGCGGTGTCGTCCAAGATTTCGTCAATCGCATAAGGTGGGCCATGCAAATCGCTGGCACTAATCCATCCGGTTTTGAGGGCTTTATCCCAGGCATACTTGCTCGGTGCAGAGACGTACGGTGGTATATAAGATCCACTGCGCGTGCTGTTCCTCATATCTTGCTGCTCGTCAAACGCACGGCATACCGAGGCAGCAATGTAGTTGGATCGTGCAGTGGCTCTGCGCTCACGATCAAGTCTGCCGGCCTGGTATCGATGAATGTGGTAGGGCATGATGCTGTCCGCAATCGTTTTTGAGCGCTGTCGATCTTTGTCGAAGAGATCAAAAGCCGTCTCGGCGTTCTTGATCATCTGCTGCATGTACGCGGTGGCCTCCTCGTCGGTCCCATCGCATAGTGTTCTGGCTTCTGTAGACAATTTGCCTAGATCTTCAGGGTTGCCGGGGTAGGCCAGTATTGCTGTCGTACTTGAAAGGAAGGACTTGGAGTACTCGGAGTGGATGAGAAAGTGCGAGCTACCTCTGGTCGGTCCATTGTTTCGTTCCCTTTCCCATCTGGGGGCGTCTTTGACACGAATGATTACGTTGTCAGGATCAGGTTGAAAGTTTCCAATGAAGGATAGTGTTGCATCTGGAGGCTTCGGTCCGTCGCCATAATGATCCGGCTTCGATATTAGAGCAGTGCTGACATCGTCTTGAGTGATAATGGAGGCGTGGGGTCGACTGCCGCCGCGATAGTGGCTCCCCTTCTTGCCCAGCGCCTCGTCCAAGTCTGGTCCTACAATGGATGACCACATAGACAAGACTTTTTGCACCTGCTCATCGTCCTTGATGAGATTCCCATCTTGGTCTTTTATCGTCTTCATTTCGCCTTCCGCTGTCGGTGGTTGCTACTCAAGTCAAAATCAGCCATTGCGATCATGATCTATTAGCTGCAGGAAAAAAACGTACCATACCCCCATCTTCCCTGAACTTGTTGAACCACTCGGTCGACTGTTTCATTTGCTCATCCCACCACGAAGGATGCGAGCGATTGTTATCCACATCCCACGACGGATAGTTCTCTTCGTTTCGGCCACAATGTACATTTTGATATACCAGCCTTCCGTCCTCACTCAACCCTGGTGCAACGAGGTATTGTGCCTCCGAGCCGTAGCCGATATGGTATTGGGAGCTTTTCACTCTTCCGAGATGTCGAAAGTAAAAATTGTCATTGTCGCCTTCTCGTTTGGATAGAGCAGGATCTGCTGCCCCCCCCGGACATCGCATCGACCCAAGCGGGCTCAGCGCGCCTGTAAGATTCCGTCGGCTGCGGGTTGTGAATTGACAGACGAGGAGGTCCAGTCAAAGCTATAACTCGGAAAGAAGACGCCGTTTCTTTGCTGTCGTGTCAAAGTGGTCAGGTGTTGATATAGCAAGTGCCAACCAAATAAACGTACTCTTTTCCTTTTCCAGACTGCATGATGTAAAAGGATGTCGTGTTGTGTTGACGGATGGACGTGGCTGGGGTAAGTGGAGGATAGTTGTTGTGAAAAGATGATTGGACTTGAAGTGAAATACAGAGTCCTATATGTGGTACCGTGTCTCTATCGCTTCTACAGTTCACACGTAGACAATGCTCCCAGCAATGTCAGAAAGGAACCTTGGGAATGAAATTTTGCATGCAGAGGACTATTCTGTAGCGCAGAGACCCTTTTCATCCCGTTGACGACAGTCCTGAATTGAGTCCGAGTACCCTAAGCCCAAAATGACCCAAGGTGAGAGCAGGAGAAGGCCTAGAGGTCTTTATCAGAAAGTATGGATTGATATATGGTTGGGTGCCTCGTCATGTTCGGTACATATTACAAGAAATAAGTTATTTGTCCCCCTTTGTGAGCCTGTCAGAACGTCTGGCCCAAGTCTTGCCAACATGGTAGTAGTTAGAAGTGCACATATCTTAGCCATCTTTCTTTGGCCTGTCCAATATATATTCATCAGTAGAGAACAGCTGTATTATGCTGGATTACTACTTTCACTCATCGGAGCTCTCATCACTGTTTCCACAAAAGCTAAGTAGTCTGCTGCGTCTGCGATGACGAGAACCGCCAGGCGATCTACCACCCCCGCCCACACGCGTGATATTAGTGATAGTTTCGCGGCCTGTAGGCGACAAGTGTGAGACGCCATACTGCGATGCCTGTCTAGTACCAGACGAGCTGGCGGCAGCAGCAGTGGGTTGTCCCAAGAGAATAGTGTCGTCATCTTCGTAGCCAGCTGGCTCCTTTTTGCTCGGACCTCCTCTCGGTTCTGGGTGGTCAATGTGTTCGCTTGGGAAAACTGAAATGCTGGAGCCCAATCCTGATGTGATGGGGGCAGTAAATCCTGTCTCCCCCAGCTCTATGGTATCCCCATACGAGGGTGGTGGTGCTTCACCTTCGACTCTTGTCCCAGTTCCCGTGTGAGCAGCCAAACGCTGCTCGGTATCTTCCAAGATTTCCTCAATCGCATTAGGTGGACCATGCAAACTGCTAGCCTCAATCCATCCGGTCTTGAGGGCTTGATCCCAGGCGTACTTGCTCGGTGCAGAGACGTACGGTGGTATATAAGATCCACTGCGCGTGCTGTTCCTCATATCTTGCTCGTCAAACGCACGGCATACCGAGGCAGCAATGTAGTTGGATCGTGCAGTGGCTCTACGCTCACGATCAAGTCTGCCAACCTGGTAACCTCGATTGTGGTAAGGGAAGATACTTTCCTCGATTGTTGTCGAGTGATGGCGATCTTTATCAAAGAGATCAAAAGCCGTCCCGGCGTTCTTGATCATCTGCTGCATGTACGCGGTGGCATCCTCGTCGGTCCCATCGCACAGTGTTCGGGCTTCTGTAGACAGTTTGTCCAGATCTTCAAGGTTAGCAGGGTAGGCCAGCATTGCTGTCGTGCTTGGAAGGAAGGACTTGGAGTACTCGGAGTGGATGAGCAAGTGCGAGCTCCCTCTGGTTGGTCCATTGTTTCGTTCCCTTTCCCATCTGGGGGCGTCTTTGACACGAATGATGACGTTTTCGGGATCAGGTTGAAAGTTTTTATTGAAGGATAGTGTTGCATCTGGAGGCTTCGCTCCGTCGCCAGAATGATACGGCTTCGATGTTAGAGCAGTGCTGACATCATCTTTGCTGATGACAGTCGCGTGGGGGCGACTGCCCCCGTTGTAACCGCCGTAATAGCTGCTTTTATTCTTGTCCAGCGCATCTTCAAAGTCTGGTATCACGATTGATGACCACATGGACAAGACTTTTTGCGCCTGCTCGTCGTCCTTGATGAGGTTTCCGTCTTGATCTGTAATCCTTTTCTCTTGGCCTTCGGCTGTTGGAGGTTGCTGCAAGTGTCCAGGTCATCATGCTGATAGAGCTAGCTGAAAGAAAGGACATACCATACCCCCATCCTCCCTAAACTTGATGAACCACTCGGTCGACTTCTTCATTTGCTCATCCCACCACGCAGGATGCGACGGTTCATTATCCATGTACCCCATCTCATGACGGTTTCTACTTCGCCTAGAATGCAATGTCTGATAGACCAGCTTCCCATCTTCTCTCAATCCTGGCACGATGAGGTGATGCGCTTCTGAGCCGTAGCCTATAGAGTAATCGGTGCTTTTGACTCGCCACTCGTTATGTTGGTCTTTATGATCAGAAGGGTCTGCAGGGCTCCCGGAGAGGGCATCCACCCATGCAGGCTCGTTTTTCCCGTAAGATTTGGGAGGAGGGGGATTGTGAATGGACAGCCGGGGCGGGCCTGCGAGGGCTGTCACTTGAAAAGACGGCTGGGTTTCTTTACTACCTCAAACAGGTGAGTGATGTGTTGGTCAATGAGGACTCCAGAGACTTGCCCTTTGCCTTTATCAGACTGCATGATGGGGAAAGATTCGGCTTTTGATGATGGACTGGTAAGGTGGTGGGAGAATATTTGCAGAGAGGGAATTTGGGGAGGGAATTTGGGGAATATTAGTGGCGACAGCAAGTGTCTGCACTCCACTATGTAGCTGTAGCATGTCTAAAACTGGACTTTGATGTCCTTTGTAGCACCTCTCTGTATCTATTGGAAGAGGTATTCTAACTCTCCACTCCCTTTACTGAGCGTTTCCAGCACAGCCAGCCCTTTCATCCTCCCCATCCGCCAAACGTCAGTCCGATATGAAACCTTTTGTCAACGTGGCAGCTTCTCATTGCCAATCAGACCGTATTGGTAGACTTTGGAACACTGCTTCCTTATTGTGCCCTTCTTTCTGCGCTTAAGGCTGGTCTTTCGAGATAGTTGAGCAAGCATCGTTGAATGAAGTGAGCATGCACGTGACAGCCACGTGGATCGACCGTGGTCGGCGGTCCCCGCCTCCACTGTCGTCAGCGTTTCGCGTCGCGCACCGTACGAGTGAACCGTCAATCTGCATCTCTTCAACAGACAGATCATACAACTACATCAACGATGGGAGACCGACAGCAACTTTTAGATATGGGCTTCGAAGCCGACCGGGTAGACTGTACGTCCCCCTCTTCCCTCCCTATTCCGCTTCCGACCAGGCACTGCAAGCTGACGCCAAGTCTATAGGGGCCCTTCGCGCCACGAGAAATGCTGGCCTGCAACCCGCCATGGACCACCTCCTCAACAACTCTGACAAGCCCATACCCGCCGCTGCGACGGAGGAAGTGGATGAAGATGATGAAGATGCTGTCAAGGCGCATATTGAGAAACTGGGCGGGACGGTAGATGATTCCGACGCTGTTGCGAAGGTAAATACATACTCGGGAACGAGTCGATGGGGATGAAGATGCGGAAAGGGTACGAAGCTGATGTGTGGTTATAGTCAATCAAATGTACAGAATGCGGCAAGACATTCCGGTCCTCCGCTACCGCCTCTTTCCACGCCGAAAAGAGCGGTCACGACCAATTCGAAGAATCCACCGAAGAGATCAAGCCCTTAACGGAAGAGGAGAAGGCGGCGAAATTGAAGGATTTGAGGGAAAAGCTGGCCATTAAGAGGAAGGCGCAGGAGAAGGAGAGTTCGGCGGCTGATAAGGCTAATGAGGTGAGCCTTTTGTCTTCTGGGGATTGCGAGAAGCAGAGCTGATTCTGAATCAGGCTATTAGGAGGAAGGCGGGGCAGGATACAGGCAAGATCAGGGAGGATATGAAGATCAAGGAGATGCAGAAAGATGTAGAGAGGAAGAAGCGGGAGAAGTTGGAAGATGCCAAGGCAAGAGCTGCTATCAAGGCTCAGATTGAGGTACGCCTTGTCTTTTCTTCTTTCTTGTTGGATTGGGACAAAGCTGATCTGTGAGACAGGCGGATAAAAAAGAGCGAGCCGAAAAAGCCGCCCGAGAAAAAGCACTCAGAGATGGAACTTCCGCCCCTGCCCCTGCCCCCGCTGCTGCTGCCCCGGCACGCCCGGCTTCGAATGTCAAGAGCAGTGAGAACCCCGAGACGCGGCTGCAGGTTAGGATGCACACTGGTGGTGCGCCTATCACCAAGACGTTCCCTAGTGAAAGCAGTACGTCCCCTCCTCTTCCAACCTCTTCCCTCGGTTCGAAAGTTGGACGAAATGCTGACTGGGCTCGGTAGAACTGCGCGAAGTGGCAGAATGGATCGCCTCGGAAAACCTGGCTTATGATGTAGACACTGTGACTTTGTCTATGACTTTCCCTCGGTACGTCTATTCTAACTCCATTATCCGTCCTTCTTTGACATGAAGCGCATGCTGATCATTAGCGGTATCTCGCTTTGTAGAAAGAAGTTCACCAGCGCGGATATGAGCAAGACGCTGAAGGAGAATGGGCTGACACCGTCTGCTGTCATCATGGCCAACTAGGCGATGGGCGTGTTTTCAAGGCTTACTCTAAGGCTTACTCTCTGGGTTATTGGCGGGCGCTTATGGGATTGTGAAGCATTGGATGTTGTGTATATATGCATTCATGGAAATGTCACTCGTCATACTTGAGGTGGTTTAGGATTGTGCCGCGGCTATTCTTGGCGCCTCGCAGCTCGTTCCAACTCTGTGGTCCCATCCAACTGTCCACTTTCATCCCGTCCTCTTACCTGTCCCCAATCATTTGCATGCATATCTGCTCATCGTTCAAGCTTCGAAGTGCCGACTAACAAGAATGGGGGCCGCCGAATCAGCCGAGAAGTGTCAGAGCCTTCAAGGGTTCTGAGGAAGGTTGGACGGTCGGGGTACCCATTTCGGTTGCGCCAGACGAGTGCCTTTTATTAAACTCCCGCGGGGGCATCGGCGTCCTTCAACTGATCGACAATTTGTGTCCGAGTTTTCTTCTGCATACAGTTTTAGGGAGAGTTCAGTTTTAGTCTCTGTTTCAGATTTGGTCTTTTGCGTTCTTGTTTCTGCATCTCCATCGTCTCTTTGCTGATTGGATCATGGGGTCTCGCAATTACTTTTCGATAATCTCTAGAGCTCCCTCGCCCTCGGCCCTCTCGCTTAATTCCGCTCATCACACCTCCCAGACCGGCGTTTGACCGAGCTCTCTATATGCCCTTCTATCTTTCCAAGCAAGACCTGCCATCCTGCTCTCCGTCTTGTAAGTCAGTCGCCAGCTCTTGTGGACGAGGATGTCGCTGACTTGCTCGTCCAGAAAGAAACGCCGCGAGTTGATACAACAGCCTACGCGTCTTGTGCGCGTCAACGGCGAGGATGGTGGGCTTCCAACAGCCTAGCTTGCATATACCCATGCCGGCTGCTCGGGGGGATAGATGGCATGAGTAGCTCCTATGCTCTGATGCTCCAAGTGAAAGAAAGAGTCGGATCGCGGCGGCGCTGTTTTTGCTGCTTGCATACGTAAGCAGGGTTTACTCCTCTTCTGTCTTCAGTTTGGTTCTCTCTGTTACTGGCACGGATCCGGCTTGCCAGCGCTCTCCTCGTCCAGAAGGGTACTGCCAATTCCCCGAATCCCACCGTACTCCCCCCTTGCATAAGCCCCAACAAGTCTTTCACACCCCCTGGCAACCTACCTCTCTCCAGGTGAGATATCATCTCGTTCCTCCAGATCACCACTAACCCGGGCCCCCAGCATGTCCACCTCCAACCAGATCCTCACCCCCCTCGCCTCCAACTACGACATCCTCTCCCACATCATCAGCTTTCTCCCCATATCCAACCTCCCCGCCGTCCTGCGCACCTCTTCCCTCTTTTTCTCGGTTGCCGCTCCTGCCCTATACCGCTCTATCCCCATTTCCCATACCTGCAACCCCTTCATCGGCGCCTCGGCAGAGGATGAGGACAAGTCTACATGGCCTTATGGCAAAGATGCTCTTTCAGAGCGGGTGATTGAGGTGTATTTGGAGCGAGGACCGGTCGAAGAAGGCGAGGAATTATGGCACGAGACCACCAATGTCCACCCCCTCTCCCACGTCGAACAAGTCGCTATCCAACCCCACCCCAACACCTTCGTGCCCACATTCGACCACCGCCAAAGCCCGCTCCACCCCCTCCCCACAGCCGCCTTTATCGCGCATATCTGCCGGAACGCTTCCCGCTTACATTTTACATGCACGGGCGCCTCGAGGGGGTTACCGGGGGATTGGTATAGTGCTCCTGGGGACTTACCGCCTTTGCCCGGGGTGGAAAGTATGACGGTGAAGCTGAGAGTATCGAGGAGTCGGGATGCGGTTTCGTTCTTGAACGCTTGTTCTGCCGAGAGGGAGAACCTCTACCCCACATGCCAGAAGATCAACTTTTATCTCTGGAACGATATCATCCCGAATTACAACGCTTTCGACGACGCCATCTCGCGCTCCATGCCCGTCAGCCCGAGTCTTTGCCAGAATTCGCTCGTGAAATGGCGGGCGTGCTGCCTCCGACGCGGGTTTGGGACAGCCGACAGACTGGCTATCGATACTCTCCTCCCTCAACTCGCCAGACTTGTTGCTGAGCGAAAAGAGGTCAAGGCCGTTGCGTGGTTCAACGTCGATCCCATCCTCGAACGATTTGCTACCATCAACGAAAAGACTCTAGAAGAGACCATGCTCGTCAAGCGGGAGATGGAATCGAGCTGGATATCCGCTCGCAAAGCCGTCTTTTCTGGTGAAGAACCGACTCTGCCTGTGCCTTTCACTTTCCACCCCGCTGGAGAATATTACAAAACCCTCTGGGACGGCCGCTGGGCCCCAGACGACATCTCCCCTCTCCCCTCCCCCTCCTCCCCTTCCGCCGCGCACCGCGGCCTCGAATCCGAATGGTACTACCACGAATCCATCCTCTACCCCTCTTCCCCCCTCACTCACTGCCGCACCAAAGCCTCCCGCTTAAATCAAGTACCGATGGTGTGCTTTTTGTTCTTGCCGCAAGAGAGGTTGAGGTATTTGTTGTTGAATTATACGTTGGATGATGTTGTTTATCGGGAGATGGAGCGGGAGACGGAGGAGGGGGAGGGCATGGATGAATGGGCGAGAAAGTATTTTAGGAATCCGGAAAATCAGATGAATGTCGGGTCGGGTATTGAGTCTTTCGAGATGGATGGGGGAGTGGCGGTAAGAGGGTGAGTTTCAATGATGTTAGAGGAGGAGAGGTTGCTGACTGGTTGATAGTCATGACGAAAACCTCCCGTAGAAGTCTCCATCTTTGCCTTTGCCACTCTACCGCCTTACTGACCTTGACCAAACCCCAACCTCGGCTACTCGCCATCCTCCTCCCTTCCGGCAGACCAGACACACCAAGCCTAGCGGATGAGCCGGTTCAGAGTTCATCAATCAAGCTGAAGCTCGGACTAGGTCGAGAGGATGAGGATTTGGCGATCAAGTTCAGAGCGTCGGTATGGGAGATGGAAGAGGGATGGACGAGAGGGGAAATTGGGAAGGGGATCAAGACGTTCTTTCGGTCACCATTCTTCTTCATCTTCCCATCTTCCACAAATTCCGTTCATTATTTTTCGACTCTTCAAACGCTTCTGCAACCAAAGTCTTTTGCGGTATGGAGAACGGCAGACGATGGGAGGGGAAGAGTACTCGAGAGGCGTGCGGAGAGGGCGAGTTTCCTCCTTCGCTCCGTGCGAGGGCTATGATCGCTCTTGGGGAAAGAAGGAAAGGAATATCTCGGAGGCGTAGGCGGGCATCCTCAATAGTTCAATCGGATTTTGGGTCCTTTTCTTGCGATATGTAGATGGCTCGTCTTAGGACGGCTGTTCTGCTCGGTGATACGTACTTGTACGCATAACACATTACATACACGCGAGAGATTGAGCGATGCACTGTTTTTGGTACTAATTTCCTGTGCGCGCTCTGCACGGTATGTGCCCTCGGTCGCCAATGGCTATGTAGCTGCATGCCGGACTGTGCCTGCCCTCTTGCTGCACACGACCCGATGCGTCAGTGACAACTCAAAAAAAAGTAAGAAGCGGATGACCGAAAAAGGCGGTGAGCGCCGCCCTTTCAATCGCGGCGTCGGTCTTGAGACTCTTGACTTGGTCTTGACTTTTCGAGTTTCTCTTTGAGATCGCGTACAGTCAATCGATACTTGTTGTCTTGAGATCAGCTTCCAGAGAGGCAAACAAGGGGCATCCGGGATACTTGTTGGAGCAGGAACGGAAGACGACTGGGAATTGTGAGTGCAAAGACTGGAGATCGGGACGGAGCTGACAAAAGGTGCTAAACAGCAGCCTCGGTGACCTACTGGGAAACGTCGAACACCAGGGGTTGGAAAGAAAGATAGGCTAGAGGAGCATATTCCAAAGAGAACAAGCTGCTGTGAGCATATATGACTGGGCCAGCGGTCACTCTCTGACAGGCTCTTCAGATGTCTTTGAAAAGCACAGCTGCCCAAGCGGCCAACACTTTCGACATTGTCACCCACATCATCAGCTACATCGACACCCCCCACGACCTCGCCTCCCTCCTACGCACGTCCCCTACCTTCTTCCAAGCAGCAGGCCCCAAGCTCTACCGTCAAATCACAATCTCCAACGAGCGCAACCCTCTCCTAGGCGCCGATCAAGAGTACGACCCAGACTACGCGGAGGATTATGGGCCTTATGATAAGGATGTGCTGCTGTGGCATGTGAGGGAGGTGTATATCGAGAGGACGGAACTTTGGTTCTGGGAGCTGCCGTGGTGCGAGACGGTGAATGCTTATCCGCTGCCGAATTTGAGGACGGTGACAGTCGAGCCGGTGTCTTACGCCAAGCTACCGCATAGCACGTACGACAGCGTCGAGAACGATTTTTCACTCCCATGTCCTCAACTCATCCATGGCCTCTGTGCCAATGCGACACGCCTCTGCCTCTCGTCCCTCTCGCAGAAAGGGTTTGTCAACCTCATCGTCGGGCTGATCGGCCTTTTGCACGAGGTGACCACGCTCGATTTGAAAGTCCGGGTCCAAGATCTACGCGAGCTAGCGTCTATACGCCCTTTATTGGACGCGCAAGAGGTGGAAGAGGTCAATCTCTATCTCTGGGACGAAATCTTTCCACCGCGCGAAGTCATCCCCACCGACGACGACGACCTGAGCGACCTCATCGTCTGGCTCGGTCTCCGCAATTTCGCAATGCTCTCCGACATCGGCGAAATCATCCTCAAATTCCTCGACATCCCCTCCCTCTTCTCCCTCCAAATATACAACCTCCGTCAAGTTGTGGGCCGGTACATCACAGAAGTCGAAGAGAGTTTCAGCACAGGCCCAGGCTTTCCGGGCGGAGCAAAAGACGCGTTGATGGAGCTCGCAGGGTTCTTTGAGCAGGTCGAGAAGGAGCCGACGATGTTGAGTGAGCATGCGAACCCGGAATTGGAGCTTTCTTATCCCTCGGCGAAGGAGTGGTATGATGATGAAGCTTGGGATGGGCGGTGGGCGCCGGGGGAGCAGGCGTATTATGAGACGATCGTCGATCCGTCTGAGAAGATGCTGGATTTGAGACAGAAGTTGGGGAGGAGGATGGGGAGGAAGGAAAAGTGTTTTGTGTATCTGTCGGAGGAGCAGCTGGAGAGAATTTGGGATGTGTACGCCATTCATTTTTTTGAGATAGCAAGGAAGCTGATGAGATTGTAGGGTCACCGCCAAATCGCCCATTCATCCCCTCGACCGAGCTGTGTTTACACCCCGCGAATATCGAGAACGAACGTTCATCAGTGATATGTGGATGCACCTTACGGACTCGTTGCTCGACCTGCGGAGAGTTGATCGGTATCGATGAGGGAAGGAGGGAAGCGGTGCTTTGGATTGGCAGGGTGAAGGGGCCAGCTGGACTGTTGGCAGGTTCGTTGCTGGACATAATGTATGGTCAGGGGACTGCAGGACGGATGATGGTATTACATAGAGTTGAAGAGGTAATACAGCAGCCGTCGTGAACTAGATGTAAAAGATGATACGAGAAGATGCGTGAAAACCACAAAGCATGATACGCGACAAGCCCCTGCTCGTACTCTCAGAGTCGCACTCATGGAAGCAACGAGGAGACTCACCAGTAACCGAGCTACTGTAAACTTGATCCACTCGGCATCGAGAACCCTTGACTCGGCCTCTTCAACACCAGCTCCGCCGGACCCACCGGTGTATTGAAATTGAAAGGAAAATAGTACGGTCGATACTCGATCTTATCCGGCTTCAGCTCATCCCAAAGATCAAATCACTTGTCTTCGATTCCCAGCATCTCCAGGATCTTCTTTGTATACAAAATGTATGCATGTGAAAACGGGGCTTTGGCCCAAGCGTCCAAGGGATTGCAGCTGTACAAGTTGGAAGGGGGATTGGGGGGATGGGCGATGAGTGTTTCGATATCGTCTAGGGGTAGGGCGCTGTAGGCTTTCGGTTTGAAGCTTGTCCGTTGCCAGATTCGAAATAATGCATGACGACTTCGAATTCCGTTGGGGAGAGATCGGCGTCAGTGAGTTAACCTTTGGCTGGAGATGTAGACTGGTCAATTTGCCAATGTACGCGTGGCACTGCCAGTGATCATTCAGTATCAATTTTGATTGCAGGGCGTCGACATACGTTGAAGAATTCCCGTGAGGCGGTCGGGTAGTCCCCTTTGTGTTGACTATTGCCCTTTTGAATTTGTTTGTCCAGGCAGTCTTTGATAGCTCTCTAAAACTGGTAGGCTTGCATGACACAGATCACGCCGCGAGATCTGGCAAGCATGCCAGCCCTTTTCGAACCGCATGGCATGGAGAGATTGGGTCGAGATACCCTAGTGCCGTCGGGAGCCTTCAAGAAGAGATATCTCGGGTTCTGATCCTCTTGTAATAGCATATCAAAGCATGCGTTGGTGGTGACTTATAACTTTGTAGATTCCTGAGGACTCGCCGGAGACGTTCTACCTAGACTTCAAGGGCGGCAGTAAGTGTCTTCGCTGTACACAGCCCTCGAGATGTCTTGATCTTCATTGTAGTTTGGTGCTGACAAGCCACTTCTTTAGCAATGCTAGTAAGAGTCAACCTGAGCTGGCAAAGAACGCCTTGATCGCCTACCACTTCGATGGGTACGCTCTTCCGTACGCCACAGAAACTCCAACAAGCACTGATGTTTGTATCCAGGCTGCCCGGGAACTCTACCTCTCACATCCCCCTTGCATTCGCCCTGGCCATACTTGCTGTCCAGTCGCCCCGCTTTAGCACGGTACACAGGGCCTGTCTTACGCTCGCGTACATCGTCGCTGCGATTACCCTTGTTGTCATGGACCGCTCTGGGTGATTTGGTGCTGGAATCGTCTTATTCATGTCGAGCATAGCATGGAATAGGGATGGAGAGGACGAGATTCGCGATTACGGAGTGTTCTAGTGCAGCGACCAAAGTACCCTGTGTGAGCTGAGGTGAACTAATTCAACGTTGACCCCGTAAGTCGGAGCTTGGCGGCCCGCTCAGGGTGCCACTACGGGACGGTGGTCTTGCAAACTACCACATAGGCCCAGTCGCCTCAAAGTCGCCTGCTCTGGCAGAGGCAAGGCAGAGGGCATTCTCAGCGCAGATCCATCGCCGTCGGCCATCTGCGCGTACGTAATCAGTCAGTCACTGTGCGCAGCCACGACGCGAGCGACGGACGAATCCATAAGGAATTCATTGTCTCTCTGAAACGCAATAGTCCTCGAGTGCCGCGATAGGTGAGCTAGATGCTCATTTATTTGGCTATGCCATGGACGCTCACGCAGACCACAGCAAAGGCTTGGGAAGCTGCCGCCGGAAGACCTCGACTACTACGTCTAAAGCTGTGTCAAGTGCCGGGATATCTCCGAGTTGTTCGTTCTTTCTGAGTAAGTGTACTCCGCGACTATGTATGATACCGCTGACAGACTGTCCAGAAATACACCATGTCAATCTCTCCTGCCCAGACCATCGCGTCTCTCCACGAGATTGTGACCTGTATCGTCGCTTCGACTTCATCTCCCGCCGACCTGGCGGCTCTGATGCAAACGTCAACGCTATTCTTTCAATTGGCGGCACCCAAGCTGTATCACTCCATACCCATTAGCTACACCTGCAACCCTCTTGTGGGCGCTTCGACCACAAAGCCAGATCGGGATGAGGTCCTGGCGAAACCGTTCGGCAAAGACGCGCTCTTGACTTTTGTCGAGATCGTCCGTTTGGAGAGATGTGATGTTTCAGATTGGACGCCGGAGATATCAAAGAGATCGAACCAGAGGGATGCGGGGTATACATCCAAGAGAAAGAAGGCATGGTACGACAGCCTGCAGCCATATGCCCTTCCGCGCCTTCGGACCGTCGACATTCAGCCCCATCCCACCATCATCGAAAACTCGGATACCTCCCCCAGCAGCACTTCTTCCTACCATCACTACAGCTACATCTCACACCCGTCTTTCTCAACACTCTGCGAAAGAGCCACCCACCTCCACCTCTCTACTCAAGATGTACACACCTACGGGCACGACGAAGAAAACCTCCCTTTTCTTCCTCTTCCTCGCGTCCGCGCCGTTACTATCAAAGCGCGCATGTCCCAAATTGAGACTCTGATTACTATGACGAGCCGGCTGGGGATCGTATTTGATGCGTCGCATCTGCCGAATCTGGAGCTCAACATCTATGTCTGGGACGACGTCTGCCTCGTCGACAATGCCCGACCGACGGTGGGTCAGGGCGAGGAGGTGCGCCTAGATGGGCAGTTCCTCAAAGACCTCGGTCTCCACACCTGCCGCCACCTCCAGACCCCCGACTTCAAAAGCATCCTCAACTCCCTCGTCGCCTACCTCTCCATCCAAACATCCTTCCACACCATCCGGTTGCTCAACCTCCCCTCCATCCTCGAGCGCTACGCTGAAAACCTGGGGGAGAGCGTGGAGAGTATAGAGAGGATGTTGGTGGAGTGTTTTGGGCAGGTTAGGGATTTGCAGAAGCAGTTGTATGGGTGGAAGGAGGAGGAGGTGTTGGGGATGGTTTTTGAGGGGGGAGGGGAGTATTATGAGAAGTATTGGAATGGGAGGTGGGTGGAGGAGTATGTGCCGCCGGGGATGATGGCGAGTGAGGAGGTGTACTATTGTCTGATGGTGGATCCGTCGGTAACGTTGGTCGATCTACGGACGAGGATGGCCAAGGACGCAGACATTCCCGCGTCTTGGCTATCTTCGCTTCGTCAAGACGAGTTGGAGCGCTTATTAAAATGGTACGATTCGTCGAATCAAGATCTTTCGAGGAGTCCATAGAGCACTGATATGCATCTTGTAAACCCCCTCACGGAACAACGCCTTCTTTCGAGACTTTATAACTATAATCCGCCAATGTACTTCTTCTTGTTCTTCCATTCGTCCTGAAGTCGTTCTCAAATCTGCACGACACCACATACAACACCCCCAGTCACGAGATCCAAATCCCCACCCCACTGCTCGCCTATCCAATCCCACATATCCGTCAACACCACCGTCGCGGGCTTGCCGCCCCCTGGATGAGGTGTGGTGAAGGGGTTCATCTGCGAGACGTCTATTTTCTCATCAGTACACATCTAATTTCAAGGCTCAGGGGGACGGGGGGAGGAAGGAGACGTACCGAAAGCGCTCCAATGTACACCCAGCTTCTCCTGCCCTGGCTCTTCCACCTTGTACCTCAACTTTAGCGTCGTCAAAGGCGAATCGACAGAGTTGGCGAATTTGATGTGGTGCTGCATGTACTCGGCGGGCGGGGCGGGTTCGGGGAAGGACCAAGAGAGGACGTGCGCGTGGAATGAGAGGACTGGCCAGACCAGATCGGTCTGCGAAAAGATGTCAGTATCTACTCAAGCCAGAGGAAGCAAGGGAAGGGAAGGGAAGGTAAGGGAGAAGGAAGGGGAGAAGGAGCGTACAAAGTTGAAAGTAATCTCCACATCCCTAAACCCATCCCCTCCCTTCTCTTTGACACTCCACCCCATCTCCGGCCATTCGAAGTTCTCGACACCTTCAACCCCTCCCCATCCTCCCTTCTCCTTCTCCTTCTCCTTCCCCTGCCCTTCCAGCCCTTGTGCAAAGCCTTGTCCAGAGATGTCAAGCTCGAACTTGTAAGTATCCAAAAACGTCGATACAGGATAGATGGCATCCCAATCATGGTCCTCATCCTCCAGGTCTTTGTGGATGAGAGGCGAAGAGGGGAGGGCGTAGCGGGCGTGGAGGGAGGAGGGGATGGTGCCGGTGGGACCGAGGTCCATCAATGCTATGTGGATAATGTGGGATTGGTCGGTGTGCTTTGGGGGGGCGTGTTAGTAGTTGCCGGGTCTGAGGAGAGGAGCGGGAGGGGCAGGGGATGGGGGAGGGGAAGGAGGAGGAGAAGGGGAGGGAGGACGTACGTTGTAGTTGTAATTCAACCCAACCCTCTTCGGATGCTCCCCATCATAAAGCCAGCCCAACCCCCTCCCCCCACCTCCTCCTCCTTCTCCCTTCCTCCCCTTCCAAATCACCCCCACCCCTCCCCCCGCACCGACCGTCGACAGATACCCGACCACACCCGCCACCCAGATCTTGAGCACCAACACCACTTTACGCTGGGTTTGACGGGGGAGACGGTGGAACAGTGGGGTGAGGGTTGGGAAGAGGCCGAGGCCGCAGGCGGCTGTGAGGGTTGCTATGATGTGTTCGGCGGGTGCGGATTTGCCCATACGTCCTGTGAGGGGAGTGAATATGTCTAGTGCCTGTTTTCGTCATTCATCAGCTTGAGTTTGAGATTGAGAAGGGGAGGAGGGAGGAGGGGAGGACGTACGGCGGTGATGGCTTCGACGAAGAAGGCGATCAGGCCGATGGAGGGGAGGAGGTATGTCGCCTTAAAGTTCATCCCTTCCCTCTCTTTACCCCACACCCTGACCGCCCCATCGCCCAAAGCGCCAATGAGCAAGAAAAGCGTGATACCCGCAAACAAATACGCCGACCGAACTTTAACCGCCTGAAGCGCCAACATCATCCACGAACACCACAACATCTGTACTCCATAATGCACCGCCTCCAACTTTGTGCGCTCGACGGGGGAGAGAAAGTGGGTGAAGAAGAGGTGGATGGAGAGGGAAGAGAGAAAGGCGGTGGGGATGTAGATGAGGGTTGGGAGGTGTTCGTGCGTGAACCAGAGCAGCGGTCTACCAAGTTTTGTTAGGGTGAAAGCTAGGAGGTTTGGGCCGATGAAGCCGCCGGCGAGGCCGGAGATGGTGGCGAGAGAAGCGGTGGTGATGATTTTCCATCCCTTCCCCTTCAGTCTCCTCACAGCCAAAACGCCAGAGACGGCGGCTAGGGCGGTGTACCACCGGTCTGCCGCTTTCATATCCCAGTACAAAAACACCTTGTCAAACAGCCCAAAATAGACTTTGTCGGGTGGGGACCATGGGAGGTTCGAGGAGAGGGGGGAGGAGGGGGAGAGGAGGTGGGAGACGACGGCGTGGATGTTGGATGTAAAGTGTTGGGCGGAGCCGGGTTGGATGGAGGAGAGGGTGTCGTGGTGGGTGTGGTAAAAGTAGGAGTGGCCGACGATTGCCATCTTGTCTAGCGTCAGTCTCTTGTCCATAAGCTGGGGAGGGGAATACTCACATCTAGGCCGGAAACGCCGAGATACTTTTCGAATTGCCCAAAGTCTGTACTGTCGCAGTGTCAGACCATTACCAATGATAAGACAAAGGGGGGACGTACTCGGACATGATGATCCCAGACGAAAACACATCCGCGGCAATAACAGTCCCCTTCGGATACGGCACCTTCCCATAAGCCTCAATCATCTCCCCGCTCGTCGCCTGGAACAACAGCGCCCCGCCCTTGCTTCCTGCCGCTTCGAGGTTGATCACAGCTTTGACCTGGGTACGGGTGGAGTGTTCGATAGAGTAGAGGTGGGAGCCGTCTTGGAGGGTTTCTTCGGCGCCGTTGAAGAGGAAGATGATGGAGTTGTCGAATGGGTCGTTTTGGTGGATGAGGGTGCGGGCGAGGTCGAGCATGACGCCGACGCCTATTGCGTCGCTACGAGGCGTCAGATGGGGTAAGCGGAGATATGTGGGGGGCTTACTCGGCAGCACCAGGGGAGGGGAAGGTAGAGTCGATATGAGCACCGAGGAGGATGGCGTCTTTGTCGGGTTTGGGGTTGTGGATGTCATAGGAAGGTGGATGGAATGCAGAGATTTTGAGGATGATGTTGGAAATGCCGGTGTAGGATTTCAAGACTTCGTGATCGAGGATCTCGAACCTGCCGACGTATCAGCTCTTTCATAGCTTTCTGGGGGATGACGTACGCATGAAGACCGTCGCCTTTCTGATGCCACCATTCACAATTAAGCACATTCCTCGCGTTACACTGCTCGACGAGCTCCAAAACTTGGTCCAGCACGTACTGCTCCCCTGCAAGAGCTGCAGGTGTACCGACGATTCGATAGCCGATATCTTCGAGTGCTTGGATGTGGGAGCGTACCACCTCTTCGGATGGTTGGGGGATACCGTCAGCATCGCTGGTGTATTATCAGCAACAGTCATAAAGTACTTGAGGCTGGAATGACGTACAGCGGAGGTAACGGTTCAGGCAGCGCATAATGCAGCCTCCCAAACACCCACGGCAGTATAGCGAATATCAGGCCCAAAAGTGTCCAGCTGAGCTTTCCAGCTTTTTGAAGAGGCAAGTGGACTGGAGCTGTGGCGACGACATGACGATGGTGGTGCTTCTGCTGCTGCTTCGACTGCTTGGCTTGCTCTCCCGGGCTTGTGGGTGTGCTTGCGATGGGCTGCTTCCCGCCCTTCATGCCCCTGCGCTTTCTGGGTGTTGAGGGGCTCTTTGGGGGCATCTCCGGGATAAGATGGAGAATGACTGTAACCAAACTGTAACTGGATTTCACAAACTCAATCCCCGGCCGCCGGAAAGGGGGCGGAGATGGCCGCGCACCAAAATTCCCGCCCATCTTCTCTGACATCTGCCATCTGGCTCGACTCTGGCTATATGCTGCCCACCCCACTCCGCCTCGTCGCAAAGCGCAAAATGTCCAAATACGCCACCTGGTCAAAGGAGCAGCTCCTCCAAAAGCTCGTAGCGCTCGAAGACGCCAATAACTCTCCCCCTCTGGCGGCCGAGACAGAACCGACAAAAGCATTTGTGAAGGCAAAGAAGAAGGACAAACCCTTCCATTTCCCCTCCCACCCCACGCGACACATATCCCTCCTCATCTCCTACACCGGCTGGCCATACTCTGGCCTCGCCCTCCAAGCACCCCCCACCCCGCACCCAAACTACCCCCCAAAAAGCGCGCTGCCCGACGAGATCACTACAGTCGAAGGCGAGTTGTTGAAAGTGCTAGAAAAGACGAGGTTGATAGAAGAAGGCAAAGGGTGGGAGGGGTGTGAGTTTGCGCGGTGTGGGAGGACGGATCGGGGGGTGAGTGGGGATGGGCAGGTGGTGGATCTTTGGGTTAGGAGTAATAGGGCGGAAGGGGATGGGGGTGGGGAGCTGGGGGACGGGTGGAGGCCTGCCAGAGAGCCTGCGCCTGCTAGACCCCCTGTGACTGAAGAAGAAGGGGAGGGCAAGAAGGCGAAGAAGGCGAAGCAAACGCCAGAGCCCAAGGCGCCGAACGAATTCCCCTACCCGAAACTGCTCAACTCGCTCCTCCCCCCCGGTGTACGCGTCCTCGGCTGGTCCCCCCTCCCCGCCGCCTTCTCCTCCCGCTTCTCCTGCACCCAGCGGCACTACCGCTACGCCTTCCACCGTCGTCCCACCCCCACCTCCCCGCCGCTCGACTTGGAGCTCATGCGCCAGGGCGCTGCTCTCCTCAAAGGGGAGCATGATTTTAGGAATTTCTGTAAACTGGACGGGAGCAAGCAGATCGAAAACCATTCCCGCCGGGTGCTCGACGCTTGGTTTGCAGAGGAAGAGCAAGGCATGGGGAAAGAGTGGGTGGTGTTCAACTTGGTTGGGACGGCGTTCTTATGGCATCAAGTCCGGCACATCATCGCCATCCTCTTCATCATCGGCTCCAAACTGGAACCCCCCTCCCTCGTATCTTCCCTCCTCGACACCGAGAAATTCCCGGGCAAGCCGAGTTATGCGATGGGCCATCCCCTGCCTTTAACGCTCTTTGAGTGCGGCTACGCAGAGGAGGATGTGGATTGGCGGTTTGGGACGTACGATGGCCCTTGGAGGGGTTTGTCAGAGGAAGAGAAGAAGGGGCTCTATGAAGGTGCGATGGGGGGGAGGGAAGGGCTTGAGAGGCAGTTGGCTGTCGCGCACCAAGAAGCAGAGCTAAAAGCGTGGCACATTGCCGCTCCCTTACGCAAACTCCACTCGCTCTACGGGCCGGTGTTGGCGGAGAAGGCGGTAAAGGCAGAGGAGAAGAATGGGAAGGGGAAGGAGCAGAAAGTGTGGCCCGTGGGCGGGGGGGAGTATGGGCAGACGGGGAAATGGGTGCCGGTCTTGGAGAGGACGCAGGGGGCGACTCCGGAGGAGGTTAATGAAAAGTATAGAGAGACGAAGGGGAAGGCGAGGGCGGAGCGGAAGGCGGTAGAGATTGAGGAGTAGAGCATCAGCACTGTATGCACGTTGTGTCCATAGAACGAGTGCAAGAGAAGAGGCGCAATAGGTAGTACATTTTGGAATAGAGCACATTCTACGCTCCAAGCATCCGCATCCTGTCAGGATGTATCCCCGTACCACTTCCCTGCGGCACTCCCTCCGCCGGCGTGAACCCTCCCTGCGCTCCTTGAACCTGCCCCTGCCCCTGCTGCTGTCCCTGCTGAGCCACAAACGCCGGCGGCGCACCGTACGCACCAGCACCAGCGTTCGGCGTCCCATACTGCGGTGGTGTCATACCCGCGCCGGGTGGAGGGAAGGGAGGGAGGGAGTTGGGTGTACCGGTTGGAGGGAATGGGGGGCGGAAGGGTGGGGTGCCAGTTTGGCCGGGGGGAGGGAAGGAGGGGAAGGCTTGGGGAGGGGGGAAGCCTGCTTCTATGTTAGTGGATGTCTTTACTTTGAGAAGGAAAAGGGAGAGGATGGAGAGAAGAACAGGGAGAAGAGACGTACCACCAGGAGGACCCCCGACAGGATTCATAAACCCCGCTCCCAACCTCATCCCCATCCCTCCCATCCCTCCCATCCCTCCCATCCCCCGCCCACCCCCACTCTCATGCTGCTGGATAATCTGATCAATCAAACTCTGCGCCTGATTATGCCCCAGCCCAGCGAAATAGTCGCGGACGTTGGCGATATGGTTTCTGCCGGTGTTGTGTGCTTTGCGGGCGTTCATGGAGTCGTGGGTGAGGTAGATGTCGCAGTAGTCGCAGTAGTATTTGCCCATCTTGGCTGAGGGGGGTGGGGTAAGAGGGGAAGGGGTGGGTTAAGAGAAGAGGGTAAAAGGAAAGAGAAGATGAGCGCAGAGAGAAACGGGATCAAACTCGTAGGCGCTCATTTCTCGCGCCTATCGTCACTCAACTGAAAACGTTGCAGGACACCGTTCAGGGCAAGTGAGCATCTCCCAAAGAAATTCCGTATTGTATACATACCACCAAAGTCTTCATCCTCAATTGTGGCAAAGGTTACATGCATGAACAAGGTGTAGGTAGAAAAAAAAGCAAAAACAATGATCCCGGGCGGGATCGAACCGCCGACCTCCTGTGAAGAGCAAGACAAGCTTGTTAGACAGGTATGGTGACCAACTCCATCACGTGACCAATTTGTTGAAAGTCTGTTGCTGTAGCCGACTGAGTCCGTTGCAATGATCAAGTGATCACTGTGCTAGGGTTTCGCTCACTGATCCTCATGCGGATGTCTTTTGCCATTCCACCGCCAACCACCACCTCGCACATCTGCTCTATTGCGAAAACGTGCATGCCTTCAATCTCGTCTATACCACCACTAAATCCCCTAGTCATCTCCCTTCTCCAACCTCACCGCCGGCCTCTTCTTGACCTGGTCCAAATCCGTCTTGTGCCCGACCAAAGTCCTGATATCTTGGATCTTGTACTTGATCATCGTAGGGCGTTCGAGAGACATTCCCCAGCCGAGGACACGGACGCCCTTGGGGAGACCCATCGGTTCGAGCATTTCGGGGCGGAAGATACCAGACTGTGTGTGATAAGCGTTAGACTGGGTTTGAGGACGAGGTATGAGGACGTACGTTGGCAATTTCAATCCATTTACCAAGACCATCGTGCCAAGAGAACACCTCCATACTGGGCTAAAACAAAACATCAGCGACAGGTCCAGTATCCGAAGAAAATAGACATACCTCGGTGTAGGGGTTGTAAGCGGGCTTGAACCTCAGCTTGGTGTTGCCGGTCTTGCCAAAGAACTCTTGCATGAAAGCGATCAAGTGACCGAGGGTGATGTCGTAGTCGGCGACGAGACCTTCGACCTGGTGGAACTCTGCCAAATGCGTAGCATCGGCAGTCTCATTTCTAACCACCCCATCAGCGCTCTCCTCCTAAATCTCACCAATCAGACTCACCTGAAAACTCGGTCGATGGAGAACATCTTGGCAGGCTTGAAACCTCCCGGCTGGTTGGCGAGCTTGTAAAGCATGTCGGTCGTGACGGCGGTGGTGTGCGTACGCAATAGAAGCTTCTCTGACTCGTCCTGGTTGAAGGGGGCACGGTAGCCGATGGAGCCGAAACCGCCTTCTTCGTGGATCTTGCGGACGCGCTCGTAGTACTCCGAGTCGGGCTTGAGGGCCTTCACAGGGTCTGCAAATCGTCAGTACCGATATTTGGGGTGGGAAAGGGGACTCACTTTTGACGTAGAAGGTATCTTGCATCTCTCTAGCAGGGTGCTGCTGCGGCACAAACATGGCATCAAAGTTCCAGAACGCAGACTCGACAAACCTGTTGGTAGGCATCTCGGTGAAACCCATGTCGAAGAAGATCTTTTGGAACTCTTCACGGACTTTGAGGAGGGGGTGGAGGGCACCTCCGTCGGTGGGGACACCGGTGGCGGCAAAGTTGTATTGTTTAAAGTCGGAAGACTTCCAGGCGCCGCTAGAAAGGTATAAGCTTGAGCCGTAAAAATAAGAAAGAGACCGCACGATTGGAGCATCTCAACAGTAAGGTCGGTTTCGAGCTGCTTGACTTCGGTAGAGAACTGAGGACCCTTGCTGATAGAGTAGTGGATGTGTTTTCTGATACAGGATCAGTCTTGGTCTTGCGCGAGTATACGGGGACGTACTTGGGGGTGATCAGCTTGCGCTTTTGCAACTCCTTTGCGGCAGCCTCTCCTCCGGGAACAATTCCCGTCTCCTTGATCTCCTTGATCACGTTCAATGTCTCATCCACGGGAGCCTCAGCCTGCAATTCATCAGCATTTGAGCACGATCCAACCTTCAAACGACGCACCGCTCGAACAAAGCCAGCTCCGTCCTTTGCTATCCACTTGTTCTTGAACGCCCTCATCTGTCCGACCTTGGTAGTTTCATCTCCCAACAGTTTCTACTTTTCATTAGCTCTTGATATCGACAATCCAGGAGGCAGATAACGCACTTTGAGGTCGGGAACGCCGACAGGCTCGCCTTGGCCCTTGACGGGAAGAACCTGCCATACTCTATATTCGTGGGAGCCATTTGATACAATGCCGTCGCCTTCTTCTGTCAAAGAGTAGCTGGTGGTGGTGATTTGCTTGTATTCGACCATCTACGACGTTTTCGTGAGCTCGAGATCTTCCAAAGCATGCGCCGGGTCCTCCTTTTCTCCCCCTCCAATCTCAGACCCATCTCATCACAATCATCTACCCCCCCCATCATCCATATATATCTGAGGGTAGACACTCACCTCCTTGCTTGCCAGACTATCAAGGGCAGCCCTGACGACGGCTTGCTCCTCCGCGGTTTTCAGCAGCTTGCCATCCCAGGCAAGCTCCCTAGAGTCGGGGATTTCGGCAGATCTGTCGAGGGACTGGAGGATAACGTCTCGAAGAGATTCTGGGGAGAGGGCGGACATTTTTGAGGGGACAAATGTATGGTTCAAGGAAAGCCGAATTGTTGTCGAAATGTAACTTTCCCGAGTCGCGTGATAGGCGCGAGGCATTTTACTGGCGGGAAGGCGCGCACTGCTGCCCGGCGGTCTGAACGTCTTGCAGTCAACTTTGAGTCAACTTGCAGTGCTTTTCCCTCAATTTTCCCTTCAAAGTCGTCGAGTTCTCTGTGAAGGGATCTTCTCCCATTGACTCTTAGCCTTGTGTCATATCTGACATACAAACACGGGACCAAACAGGAAGGTGAATAGAGAACTCGAATTCAGCTCGAATTTGTTCTTGGGCGGTCGGTCTCTATATTTCTTTTCTCGCTGTCTTTCAGATACCCAGCCTTTCACATTCACGACCATCGCCTCGCTAGCCCTCACGCCATTGGGTTCTCTGCTCAAACGGCCAGTCTTTGCCTTGGCACTGCCGCCAGCGCCGAAACGTCCACTGTACGTCCCCGAGGATCCCAGGTGTGTTACGACCCTCTGCGACGTGTAAAAACTGACCCGACTCCTCAGAATGCGCATCAAGCGTAGCCCTCGGAGGGCCGCTGCCGCTCTTGTGGCCAACACCGCCGACATCGTCGAACACATTCTCGACCACCCCTTCGCCAGCAAAGACCTCGCATCCCTCCTGCGGGTCTCTCCCCTCTTCTTTCACATTGCCGGCCGCAAGCTCTACTCTACACTTCCCATCTCCAATGCTCTCAATCCTTTCTCCAGCTCGAGACTTGGAGGCGACCGATGGGGCGGCCGTGGACCGTACGGCAAAGGGCAATTCTTCCCGTATGTCCGGACGGTGGTAGTCGAAAGGGCGCCGGTTCCCGAACGTCCTATTTGGGCGGGATGGGAGGAGCTACCTCCCGTCGCTTCTGTCGAGGACGTCATCTTGCAGCCCGTCGACGTCTGGTCCCTATGGAGAAAGTCCCTACTGGGAGAGGGAGGAGACACTGCCCTGTCCGACAGTCCCGACAGTGCCCTCATCGAAAGACTCTGCTATTCTGCTACCCGAATTCACATCGCTACCCCTTGCTATACCAACTCCGGAGATTGTCTCCAGCCTATCCCTCTCCTCCCGAACGTACACACCCTTGTGCTGAGGGTACATGCTGCCGAACTAGCAGCTTTTGATGATGTCGCTATCGTGGATGCACTCGACAACTTGTTGTCGAGGTGCTCCAACATCCGTGAAATGCATCTGCTTCTGTGGGGCGACATCGTATATCCTTCTGGGGTCTTTTACTCCATAGGTTGGCCTAGAAAGGGCAGGATATGTCACGAGCAGTTGATGGACCTCGTCGACGGTTCTTACAAATTGATGGAGGATTTCTATCATAACCTTTGCTCTGCTGCCGGGGAATTGGCATTGAGAGGATTGGAGGTCTTGCAGCTGTATAATGTTGCGGCGGTGTTGGAGAAGTTGATCAATATGGACAGGTTGTTCAATATGGACGGCAGCACAAGGTGGCTGACCGGAGAGACAACGGAGAGCCTGTTGACAGGGGTAGAGAAGGAGTTTTGCTGGGAGCGAGACGATCTGAATGTAGATGAGACGAGTGAAGAAGAGACGAGTGAGGAAGAGGTGTCTTTTTACCCTGCGGTGGCCTTCTACGATACCTTCGGCTCATACAGAGACGATGCGGAGGAGGCGTGGTGGTCGTCAGTCATCGAACCCTCGGCAAAGCTCAGTGCTCTCAGACAGCAGTTGGCGGATAGAACGAAGCAGCTAGCTGACCATTTTATGTGCCTGAACGAGAAGGAAATCGAGAATATCTTGAAGACCTACGAGGGCTAGAGCTGGGTATCGTTCGCGGGGGAAAAAGAAGTAAGTGGCATCTTCCGATGGCTCTGGTATGTGACTGATTGATGTGCAGCTTTGAGCTTTGACGACAATGGTCCAGAGGCACGATCTCGGCTTCGAGTACCTCGTCAGGCGCGAACGATGGGCTTATAGATGAGGAGGCTTCGTCAGAGGCTGGTTCATGGAGAAGAGGATGTGCGGTATGAGATGGGTTTGGGATGGAAGGCTTTGAAGGAGATTGAGCAGAGGTGAGTTCGTTTGAGAGCAGTCAAAAAGAGACACTGACAACGAGCAGAAAAGATTCATCTCATCACCCTGCACGAGCCCTCAGTCTCCCTTCCTGCCAGCACCTGTCTCACCCGCCTCACTCCTCACACCTCTTCCTACTATCCCCACCCCACCTCAAAGAAAGCGCCCCGTCCAAGCAGCGAGGGAAAGCCCGATCGGACAGTTGAGCTGCAAGTAGGACGGAGGATGTAACAGTTGAGGCAGAACATAGCAGAACCCTTTTTCCTCTATATCATCCCCTACCCGGGCCAGGGAAGACTGAAGGTACCCATATCAAACGCATGTAACTCTTTCATGAGACCGCACTTCTGGGCGAGGACTCGATGCGTTTCATCTGCGGGGTGGTTCAAGAAAGAGCATTACCCATCGAGCAACTGGTATGGGCAACCTAGTCTGATTCTCTCGGTAGTAGTAGTTGAACTGCATCCCATGCTTATGTAACACGGAACCAAACAAAAGGGTGAGTAGCGAGCCCATCAGTTGACAATTTCCATCTTTCTTTTCTCGCTGTATTCCACTTTCACGCTCCCAGGCCTTGCACGTCTCCAAGCATCTCCCTCATCAACCTACCACGTCCCCTAACCAAGTGACTACTGTCCACCTTCCGGCTGCCGCCGTTGCCGAGCGAGGCCTCCGGGTATGTACGATCCTCCGCGATGAACGATATCTGACCCGTCTTCTCAGCATGAAAGCCTCAGAACATGGCCAAGGCATGTCCGCTGCTGCCCAAGTGGCTACCACCCCCGACATCCTCGACCAGATTCTCTCCCACCCTTTCGGTAACAGAGACCTCACCTCCTTCCTACGCGTATCTCCCCTCTTCTTTCATATGGCCGGACGCAAGCTCTACTCTACGTTGCCCATATCCAACGCTCTCAACACTGTCTCCCTCTCGGGCTCTAGTGGGGGATCGAGCGGCTCTGGCTCCTACGGTAGAGAACAGCTCTTACCGTATGTCCGCACAGTGCTAGTCGAACGAGCGCCAATCCCCAAACGCCCTATTTGGGCGGGATGGGAAGAGCTGCCTCCCCTTCCCTTTGTCGAGAACGTCATCATCCAACCCGCCGACGCCTCTGCTCGACAGCAAGGGGGTCAAGATACCTCCCTCCCGAGCAACGCCCTCATCGAAAGACTCTGTCCTTCCGCCACTCGACTCCACCTTGCCACACGGCGCTATATCCGCGGTGCAAAGAGCATGCAGCCCATCCCTTCCCTCCCGAATGTAAACACGCTTGTGCTGAAGGTTCGAGCTCCCGACATTCACTCTGTCAGGCGCGTGCTGGGAGATAGCGATGAGTCGTCGCCACCGTGCCCCAATATCCGCCAGGTACATCTGCTGCTCTGGGGCGACGTGGTGTATCCTTCCAAGGCGTTTCGGCGCATACCATGGCCAAGCAAAACCGGCGTCAGTCGTCGTGCTCTGATGGATCTCACCGAGGCTTCCTACGGCCCCTTGACGAGCAGGCCCCACGCCGACCTGTGCGCCGCTGTCAAGCACTTGGGAGATAGGGAGCATGTGAAGGTCTTGCATTTGTACAATGTGGAGTCAGTGCTGAAGAGGGACGTGGAGTGGGCTGATAGTATGGGGTATGGGGATCAACGGACGGTGGAGGATACGTTGAGGGAGATGAAGGAGGCGTTTTGCCGGGAGACAGAAGGGGCAGGCGATGGGGACGAGGTATCGGTGGTATCTTTCAACCCTGCGACGACGTTCTACGACACATTCGGCCTGTATGGAGGTGATAAACAGGAGGCATGGTATACATCGGCAGTCATCAAACCATCGGCCAGACTCACAGCTCTCAGGCAGCAGTTGGCGGATCGGACGGGGGAGCCTGCGGATCACTTTTTGGGGCTGAAGGAGCATGATGTGCAGACGGTATTGGATTACTACAAGGAATAACGTATGGTGGTGATTGTTCCATGAAGGCGAGGAGGTGAGTGAAGGTCTTGTCGATGGCTCTTGTGCTCGACTGACTTGAGATATGGGCAGCTTTCCGCTTCTTCGACGCCGACGAGCTGTTGTTTGTGTTCTGATATTCACCTCTTTACCGTCGTCATATACTATTTGGGCTACCACTATGTATTATCCTTATGAGTTCAAACCACAAATGATGATGCAAGATAACAGATGCAGCCACATCATGTAAGGCGGCCTTGGACACCCAGCAGCTGTCCGCCGCCGCTGTTTCGACAATCTCGACATTCTTGCGCTCTTGTCTTTTCTTTCAACTCGGCATTCTCTTTAAGAGATCATATCATCTTCGAACCTTCCCACCTTCGCGACCTGTCCCCCCCCCCCCCCCCCCCCCCCCCCCCCCATACGAAGCTCGCAGCCCGCCGGCAGTGTCAAAAGCTGGACATCTTCTTCCCGGAGGTCTGTACGTGTAGCTCAGCTAGTACCTGCAATAGTTCCGTTGCTAGTGAGATCGTGTCTTGTCAAGGTGCTCTCCTCCAAGCAGCCGCTCCCAGCCAAGCCCGTCTTCCTGTTGCTGCCGTTGTGGAGACAGCGATAATCTCAAGTATGTACTCGTACTGTACTCTTACAGTCATCCGTGATGAGCGATACCTGACCCCTCTTTTCAGTATGCAAGACAACGTCTGTACCCCTGGGGTATCTGCTGCCTCCAAAGTGGCCCACACCACCGACATCCTCGAACACATCTTCTCCCACATCTCCGCCCGCAACGACCTCGTATCCCTCCTCCGCACCTCGACCCTCTTCTTCCGTCTCGTGGACAGAAAGCTCTACCAGTCAATATCGATATCAAACAAGTGCAATCCGTTCTTTGGCATCCCATACGGCGACATCTCTGGTGGCCGAGGCGGGTTTTATGGGAAAGCCAGGCTGCTGGAATTCGTGCGCGCGGTAGTGGTCGAGCGGGCATCAGTTCCCATCGAGGGGTCGGTATGGAAAAGATGGCGTATGCTCCCTGCCCTCCCCTTAGTCGACACGGTGATCATGCAGCCCGCCGACAGCAATACACAACAGGACGGCGGATCAGACAGGTCGCTGCCGAAGAACGCCCTCGTTGAACGGCTTTGCCCGAATGCGACTCATCTCTGCCTCTCCCTACCCTGGTTGACCCCAGGCGCGAAGCAGGCGCATCCCATGCCTTCTTTTCCCAAGGTCAAGACGCTGGTGATCAAGTCTACCGCGGTGGACACTATTGACATTGATTATATCACTGGAGACCAGCGGGCCAAGGCGGAGTGGCCCAATGTCACAATGGTTCATCTGTACATCTGGGGTGATCTCGTGTCCCCTCGGAAGTATCTACTGAGATCTGGGTGGCCGAACAAGGCTGCAATCGACTGGTCCGAAATACTGGCAATCGGCAATGGGACGTACAAAGAACTCGGAGCCATCCACGATTACGCCCTTGACAGTCTTATGCGCCGCATAGCAATGCTACTGTCTATCAGTGCTCTTCGGCTGTACAATGTTGAGGAGATGCTGGATAGATTGAAGTCGTGGAAAATGACTAGGCGAACGTTCAAAACGAGTAGAGGACGCATGGAAAGGGCCTTGCTGGAGATGATGAGGGATGTGGCGAAATACTCGGGCTTGTCGGACAAGTCGGCAGAGGTCGATATCTCATGGCGACCCGCTCAAGAGTTCTACCAGACCTTCGGCGGCGTTCTGGATCAAAGCGAGGATGAAAGATGGTATCGGTCAACAGTCCTCGACCCCTCGCCAAGGCTCGTTGCACTCAGAGCCCGGCTGGCAGTCAAGACGGCGTATCCCGTTAGCAACTTTATAAGCTTGACGGAGTCTGATGCTGAGTATGCGTTGGCAGCTTACAAGGGATGAGAAGGCGTAGGCGGGTTGAAGTTGAGGCATCGGACGAAGAAGGACATTCTGGCGACCGGATATTACGAGTAGTCTTTCCTACATATGTACATGAGTTACCTGTATGTATACTTGGCAGCCCATACCACGCTTCGATGAGCTAAAGAGGTGCATACAGCCTTCGAGACTGCCGTCAATGCCTCAAATCTCTTGCGCGGTATTTGTTGGGTATTTGAGGCCGCCGGTCTCGAAACTTGAGCACTTGACGCGTCGCAGTTCACAATCTTTGTTTTCATCGTCCTCTATATCGTCTCTTCTTCAATTTCTCTCTATGCTCGTCCCTTCTACCACCTCTTGGCGCATGATATTCACTTGGTAAAGCTCCGTATTCGGGATCACGCTCGATCTGTCGACATTGCAGGCAACCGGACTTCTTTCCAGGGTCGCGTATCCGGTCTGTATAGCCATTCCTCTCGATTTTCTCGCCTCTTTTGCTGACTCCTGATAGCTCTGGTAGCTGGACGCAACTATGTCTTCCGCCTTCAGAGTGACCCACACGACAGACATACTCCACATCATCTTCTCCCACATCCCCGACAACAAAGACCTCGCATCTCTCCTGCGCACATCTCCTCTCTTCTTCGGTCTTATCGCTCAAAAACTCTATCGGTCGCTACCAATATCAAACGTCTTGAATCCCTTCTCGGGCGTGGATGCCGGCGGGCGAGGCGGGCCCTACGGAAAGACCAAGCTGTTGGAGCTCGTACAGACGGTGGTCGTAGAGCGCGTACCGCTGCCCATCGATCATCCAGTATGGGCAAACTGGTACAAACTCCCCCCTCTCCCTGCTGTCGAGACAGTCATCATCCACCCCGCCGATAGGAACGCCCGACAAGAAGGGGGTCAAGATACGACCTTGCCAAACAACGCCCTCATCGAGCGACTTTGCCCCACTGCTACTCGGCTACACCTCTCGACACCTTGCTTTACAGCCGGCGCCAGGGGTGTTCAGTCTATGCCTTCTTTGCCTTGTGTAAAGACACTTGTGGTGAAGGCGAACGCGGGGGAGATTATGGAGCTCAAGTATGTTGTTGGGAAGCTCAATTACGGGCTCTGGAATCACGGCCAGAAGGAGCGCCCGCCTTGCCTCAATATCAAGGCTGTCCATATACTGCTTTGGGGCGAGTTGGTATACCCTGACGCGAAACTTCAAAGCTCTGATTGGGACAAGGATCGCGTCGACAAGCTGGCAATCATGGGGCTCAGTCTCTCAACGAAGGTCAAGCTCAGAGACAAGATCTTCCACAACCTCTGCGAGATTGCCGAACGACTCGGCACGCGGTTCTCTATCGACGAGCTTTGGCTGTACAATGTCGGTACGGTGTTGGAGAGGTTGAGTAAATGGTCGACCAGTCGGAAGGTTGATGATATGAAGGCAGAGGTGGAAAGGGCATTTGAGGGGGAGATGAAGACGTCGGCAGAGTACTTGGGCATGCCGGAGGAGGCGGCGGAGGCTCAAGTCTTTTGGAGGACTGGTCTTGAGTTTTACGAGGCTTTCGGCGATGTGTCAGCACGAGATGAGACGGAAGAGTGGTATCATTCCGCGGTCCTCGCGCCCTCCCCAAATCTTGTCTCGCTCAGAGCTAGGCTGGCAGCCAAGACCAAGTTTCCTGCTGATACGTTCGTGGGATTGACGGAACGAGAGGCCAATGGACGTTGGCAACTTTTAAGTGTGAGTGAATGCACAAGTGACGATACATAATGCTGATTACTATGCGATAGCGAACTAGATATACTCCTGTATGAGTAAAATAATGATGATCATGAAAGAAAATGCAATATATGTTTGTGAAGAAAAAAGTGCAAAACAAGGATCATCCTCGCCAAGTTGAGGCAAAACGCTACTCCGCCCCTCTACCGCATCAACTCCTTCTCCACCGCCGCCCTCGTCCTCCTATACTCCTTCTCCTCATACCTCACCCCCTCACACGCCTTCATAAAGTTCTCCGGCAACATCAAACTATCCTGCGGCAGATTCTGCAGATACTCGAGCACCGAATCGTGGTCCTGCGGCAGGCGGAGGAGGCGGTCGCGGGAGAGGGAGAGAATGGTGAGGGAGGCGATGAGGAGGAATCGGGTACCTTCGCATACGATGGCGTCGATGACGCGGAGGACGGTGGGCCAGGGGAGGTGGCGGATGAAGAGCTGGCCGAACCATTTGTCGAGATACTCGCGAGCTTTTTCGTCTTTATGAGCATGTGTTCAACAAGAAGGAGGGCACGCACGATGAAGCCCGATCTCTCTAAACGCCTTTGCCAACTTGCCATCCTTCTCACCCAACAATTTCGCAAACACCTCCGCCTCCACCCCCAACCCAACCTGCCCCTCCCCATAAAAGTCTTTCAACACCGAATTCACCAGCCCACTCAGGAGCCAGAACGAATCCTCCGCCACGCAGTGGATGAGGAGACACCCGGCTATGAGCGACATTTCTCTGCGATAGCCTGCGGGGGCGAAATTGGAGTAGGCGCGGAGGATGGAGCGGAGGTCTTGTTGGCCTGCCGAGTTGGGGTCGGCGAATATGGAATGGTCCGGGTATGCACTTTTGTAACAATATCAGCTGGTTTTTTCTCCACCATGAATGGGAGGACGTACGAAACGACGTCCCGCTCGATCCGATCATCTTCCAACCCCTTATCATGCTCCAACAACTCCCCATACAACCCCGGTACCCTTGCCGACAGCGTCCCAGCCATGAACCATGCCCAAACGCGTCCTCTGAGCGAATTCGGTACGCCAGACTCGATGACGAATTTACGGACCTTCTTTGCCGGCTGGGCGCCGTTGAGAGGGGTACTGATGATGGACAACTATCCTTGAATTAGTAGAGGTGCGGGGAAGGGAAGGTGGGAAGACTCACCCATTTGCCTTCGATAGCTCTATACTCGCCCGGCGCGTTCCTCGACATGAAAATCTCTGGCGTCGGGCTTCGGTCCTTCAAGAACCCCCATTCATCCGTCTCTGCCGTCACCTTCAGCCCCCCTCCCGCTCCTGCTCCTCCTCCGCCGCCCGCTGAAGTACCAGAACGTATACTCCCCTCCAAAGTCTTGCCCTCATCCCCACTGCCTACCGCACTCGTAAGGTCCGAATCAAAAGACGTCGACGTCGGGCTAAAGAGCGCCTGAGGTTTCCGCGGTTGGACGAGCTCGAAATCCATCCCATCCGCCTTCACAGTCTCTTCCAAAAAATCCTTATGGCTCACCGGACTCGGCAACGGTCTAGACGTCTTTCTGGCGCTTGCGCTTTTCGAGGATGATTTGGAGGAAGGGAAGGAGAATGATGCAGAGGTTGCTGAGGGGGGAGGGAGGGGGAGAGAGAGGACGGAATCATTATTGCCCGAAGCTCTTGAGAGCGTGGATTTCGCGGGCGAGTGGGGTGGGGTCGATTGAGCGGTGGGGGCGAGGGATGATTTGGAGAGGAATGATTTCTTGAGCGTCGCAGACTGGGGTTGTTGTTGAGGGAGAGGTGAAGGGAGAGTGGAGTGCTCGTTCGCAGAGCTGATGGAAAGAGCGCTCGGCGTTGAGGCTTTCCGCCCCACACCCAAAGTCCTAGCTACAGACGAAGAAAAGCTCCTCGACCTCGGTCTTGCCGCAGCCGCAGGTGCCGTCGGCGACTCGAGCTCCTTGTCGATCCCTGCCGCCTGCCTCGACTGTGCCCGAGGAGCGGGTTGAGAGTAAGACTGCTGCTGCGCCTGGTACGTTTTCGGCTGTGGAGTGGGTATGGGCGTGATTGGAGCTGTGACGCTTCTTACCGGAGGCATTGGGTGGGCAGGGAACGTTGGTGTTTCGACATTCGTCGGTGAAGCCAGCGGCGAGCTCGCCCGCCTCTCTGGCCCCTGCCCCTGAGCTAGGTGTCCCGGCAAGCCGAGTCCGATCCCTTCTCTACCATTCATCCCCGGGCCAGGGACGGCCGTACTCGGTGTCGGCAAAGGTGGCGGTATAGGAAAGCCTTCACCATTGACCAAGAACGTGATCGGTACGGGACCCGTAGCAGCCCGTAAGTCATTGTCCATCCTCCCCACCAACGTCAGACCCCTGGGCCGCTTGCCGTCCTTCTTGCTGTCTCGCGATTTGACGAGCGCTGTACGCGTCGCGTCGATACTATGCGGCGACGACGGCGAGTCGGGGGACCAGGGGACGACAGGGGAGCCGTGAGGCGAAGGCGAAGGATTAGGGTTGGGATTGGGTGAAAAGTGGGGCGAGTAGTAGAAAGGAGATTTCGTCGGCGAAAAATTCGGATGGCGCGGGGTCGTGCTCACGCGGGGAGTTGGGAAATGGTCGGATTGGGACGAATGGCCTGAAGAGCTGGGGACGTCTTCTATAGGGAGAGGCGAGGCGAGGAGGGTGTGGCTGCCTTCGCTGGAGGATTTCGTCATCTCTGGACTTTGCTCGCTTACGCTTGGGAGGACGGGAGCCCGCCCCTCTTCAGAGGTGTTGGCGGCGGTATGGAACGAGTCGATAGACGCGGTGATAGATGTGTCGGGTTCGGAGGGCGTGATCAGCTTGGTATCTGGTATAGGCGACGAAACGCGGGACGAATCGTCGTCGTTCAATAACTTTAAACGGAGTTCGGTGGCTGTCATGGGTGCTGGCGCTTTGACGTCGTCGAAAACAGGTGTGATCGGTGAAGGGTAAGAGTCGCCTTTCGGCGTGTCTTGCTCCCCATCTTTGGGAATTCGTTCGCCCTCAGGTGTCCGCTCTTCTTGCCTCCCTCGAGCACCTTGCAAAGCAGCCCACGTTCTGCCTCTCGCCGTCCCCTCATCCCCAGCGTCTCCCTCGCTGCCACTCCCATCCCCACTTCCGCTGCTCCACCTCCTCGGCTTCCCCTTCGGCAAACCAAGCATCTCCCCCGCCCCAGCCGCCATCCTCGCCGAATGCCTCGCAATGTTGCCTAGAGGGCCGTACATGCTCTCCCGTGCATAGTCGCCGTAGATGTCCCAGGAACGGTCCGACTCGTAGTCTTCTGATGAGGATGGGCGGTGCGCTAGGAGGTCGGGGGAGGAGGAGCGGGAGGGGAGGAGGATGGAGGGTGTTGGGGGGGTGCTTGTGCCTGTGGGGGGCGTGTTAGATGGGGAAAGAATTGGAAGGAGGGAGGAGGGGGACGTACGGGTTGGGGTGGGGAGAGAGGTGGGTATCTCTTCGTCTGGGCTGGTACCCCCATTCCGTCCGTTCATCATGAACCCTCCAATTCCTTCATAAACCCCACTGCTACTCGCCTCCGAACTACTCGCCACACTCCCCCCTCCCTGCACACCGTCTCCACCGCGAATCTTGTCCTTCCCTGATGGCGACTGCCGAAACCTCGACTTGGGCGGCCTCGGCGGCAAGTCGAAAGCCTCGCCCTCTTTCGCAAACGATGAATACAAATCAGGCGACGGCTGGGGCGAGTCGGTCTCGAGCTCGAAGGGGCCGGAGGTACCGGAATCCCGGCGGATAGTGTCGTCGCGGGCGGGTCCTTCGAGTCCGAGGCCCGCTATGGTCGCTTGTAAAGGCTGTTGGAATTGTTCCACGTGCGCTGGGGGCGGGGAGGGGGCGGTGAGCATGGTGGTCGGGAGAACCTCCTCGGCGGCGGGGGGTGAAGGAGAGGTAGGGGCGCTACCGCTAGCGAGTTTGAGAGAAGCGAGATCACGCCTCCTCGCCCAGCCTATGACGCCCTCGCAAGAAGCCAGCAGGACTTCGCCGAGGTCGCGGAGGAGGACGAGGTGGTCGCCCTGGATGAACATGAGCTGGTCGGGCTGCTCGGCGACGCAGTCGGTGTTGCTGGGGGTTGTCAGTGTAAGTAGAGGGGCAGGGGGAGGGCGTACGCTGTGGCTTCACCGATGCCGCCGCGGTCTGCGAGGTGTATGAGCTGGGTGAGCTCGCGCAGGTCGAGGTAGGCCATCGGTAGGGGTATACGAGACGGGTATAGGATGGAAGGTATAAGATAGAAGGAATACCCTAGACAAGACTGATGCGGAGTAGTAAGTAGATGCACTCGACGCGTTCACCCTTACGTAACGGTACTATGGTTGTCGAATGTCGAGTACAATTATGTTAATATTCAACGTCATTCAACGTCAATTCAAGCAATCAGCAAGCAATAATATCGCTTGTGGTTTCAGTCCATTAGGAGCATACATAGTGGTAGCTGAAATAGTATATAACAACGGTAAAGAGGTGAATATCGAAACACAAAAAAACAGCTCGTCGGCGTCGAAGAAGCGGAAAGCTGCCCATATCTCGAGTCAGTCGAGCACAAGCCCCATCAACAAGACCTTCACTCACCTCCTCGCCTTCATAAAATAATCATCACCAAGCACTATTCTTGTGGTAATTCAATACCGTCTGCACATCATGCTCCTTCAGCCCCAAAATGTGATCCGCTGGGCTCCTCCGTCCGATCCGCCAACTGCTGCCTGGTGGCTTTTGAGCGGGATGGTGAATTTGGTGTTGAAAGACTTTTATAGGGAGGGGCAGGTCGGGTTGGGGGTGGAGGCGGAGGTGTTTGCGAAATTGTTGGGTGAGAAGGATGGCAAGTTGGCAAAGGCGTTTAGAGAGATCGGGCTTCATCGTGCGTATTCATTCCTTCCTTCCTTGAACACGCGATCATGAAAGACGAAGGCTCGCGAGCATCTCGACAAATGGTTTGGCCAGCTCTTCCTCCTCTACCTCCCCTGGCCCACCGTGCTCCGCGTCATCGACGCCGTCGTATGCGAAGGTACCTGCTTCCTCCTCGTCGCCTCTTTCACCATCCTCGCCCTCTCCCTCGACCGCCTGCTCCGCCTGTCGCAGGACCACCATTCGGTGCTCGAGTATCTGCAGAATCTGCCGCAAGATAGTTTGATGTTGCCGGAGAACTTTATGAAGGCGTGTGAGGGGGTGAGGTATGAGGAGAAGGAGTATAAGAGGACGAGGGCGGCGGTGGAGAAGTGTTTGATGCGTTGATTCGGCAGGGAAGTGGGGGTAATTGCAGGAGACTTGTTGCATTTTGGAATGGAGGTTCCGGTCAACTTGGAGAGGAGGGAGGAAGGAGCCTTGTGTTGCACTTTCTTCCATGATCATCATCATTCTACTCATACAGGAGTATATATCTATCGCATTGTAATCAGCATTATGTATCGTCACTTGTGCATGTACTCACACTAGAAAACTGCCAACATCCACTCGGCCTCTCCTTCCGTCAAGCCCACAAACGCATCAGCAGGAAAATCAGTCTTGGCTGCCAGTCCAGCTCTGACCGACACAAGATTTGGGGAGGGCGCGAACGCCCAATGATACCACTCTTCCTTCTCATCTCGTGCTGACATATCGCCGAAAGCCTCGTAAAACTCCTGACCGGTTCTCCAATAGACTTGAGCTTTCGCCGCCTCCTCCGGCATGCACAAGACCTCTGCCGACGTCTTCATCTCCTCCTTAAATTCCCTTTCCACCTCTGCCTTCATATCATCCACCTTCCGACTCTTCGTCAATTTACTCAACCTCTCCAACACCGTATCGGCATTGTACAGGCAAAGCTCGTCGATAGAGAACCGCGTGCCGAGTCGTACGGCGATTCCGCAGAGGTTGTGGAAGATCTTGTCCTTGAGCGTGACCTTCATGGAGAGGTCGGGCCAATCCAAGTCAAAATAGGATCTCTGAAGTTCCTCCTCAGGATATAAAAAATCGCCCCAAAGCAGTATATGGACCGCCTTGATATTGGGGCAAGGCGGGCGCTTCGTCTGGCCGTATTTCCAGACCCTGTAATTGAGCTTCCCAACAACATGCTCGAGCTTCATAATCTTCCCCGCGTTTGCCTTGACCACAAGTGTCTCTACACAAGGCAAAGAAGGCATGGACTGAATACAGTCGGCGCCGGCTGTATAATTATAGCAAGGTATCGAGAGGTGTAGCCGAGTAGCAGTGGGGCAAAGTCGCTCGATGACGGCGTTGTTTGGCAAGGTCGTATCTTGACCGCCTTCTTGTCGGGTGATCCTATCGGCGGGGTGGATGATGACGGTTTTGACAGCTAGGAGAGCGGGGTATTCGTACCAGTCTGCCCATACTGGATGATCGACGGGCGGCCGTGCGCGCTCTACGACCACCGTCTGTACGAGCTCCAACAGCTTGGTCTTTCCGTAGGGCCCGCCTCGCCCGCCAGCATTCACGCCCAAGAAGGAATTCAAGACGTTCGATATTGGTAGCGAGCGATAGAGTTTTGGAGCGATGAGACCGAAGAAGAGGGGGGATGTGCGCAGGAGGGATGTGAGGTCGTTGCCGGCGGAGATGTGGGAGAAGATGATGTGGAGTATGTCGGTGGTGCGGGCCACTTGGGAGGCGGAAGGCATGGTGGTTTGGAAGTACCTTGACAAGACGAAATCAGCATCGAAACCATTGCGGGTAATAGAGCTAGACGCACCTTCGGGAAGAAATACAGCTTTTGACAATGCGAGCGGTTTCTGGGGTCTGTTACAGGAGCTGGAGTAGGTGTATCGTAAAGGCAGCGAATTGCAGTCAACAGGGGATCCGTAGCAGACTGTCTGAGTCGAAAGAGATGATGTGAGCGCGAGAATGCAGAGAATGTAAAAACAAACAACTGATAAGATTGTAGTTCTGTTCCCGCCGTGTGTCCGAGCTCCGAGACCGCCTTACATAATGTGGTTGCATCTGTCCTCTTGCACTGCACCACGTCACTTTTGGTTTCAGCTCATAAGGAGCATACATAGTGGTAGCTAAAATAGTATATGACAACGGTAAAGAGGTGAATATCAAAACACAAACAACAGCTCGTCCGCGTCGAAGAAGCGGAAAGCTGCCCATATCAGTTGAGCCCAAGAGCCATCGACAAGACCTTCACTCACCTCCTCGCCTTCATGGAATAATCACCACCTAACGTTATTCCTTGTAGTGATCCAAAATCGTCTGCACATCATGCTCCTTCAGCCCCAAAAAGTGATCCGCAGGCTCCCCCGTCCGATCCGCCAACTGCTGCCTGAGAGCTGTGAGTCTTGCCGATGGTTTGATGGCTGCCGATATATACCATGCCTCCTGTTTATCACCTCCATACAGGCCGAATGTGTCGTAGAACGTCGTCGCAGGGTTGAAAGATACCACCGATACCTCGTCCCCATCGCCCGACCCTTCTGTCTCCCGGCAAAACGCCTCCTTCATCTCCCTCAACGTATCCTCCACCGTCCCTCCATTCACCGACCCCAGACTACCAGCCCACTCCGCGTACCTCTTCAGCACTGACTCCACATTGTACAAATGCAAAACCTTCACATGCTCCCTATCTCCCAAGTGCTCGATAGCGGCACATAGTTGGGCGAGGAACCTGCTCGTAGAGGGGCCGTAAGAAGCCACGGTGAGATCCATCAGATCACGACGACTGACGCCGGTTTTGCTTGGCCATGGTATGCGCCGAAACACCTTGGAAGGATATGACACGTCGCCCCAGAGCAGCAGATGTACCTGGCGGATATTGGAGCACGGCGGCGACGCCCCCTCGCTATCTCCCAGCACTTGCCAGAGAGCGTGAATGTCGGGAGTTCGAACCTTCAGCACAAGAGTGTGCACATTCGAGAGGGAAGGTATGGGCTGCATGCTGTTTGCACCGCGGATATAGCACCGTGTGGCAAGGTGGAGTCGAGTGGCGGAAGGACAGAGTCTTTCGATGAGGGCGTTGCTCGGGAGGGAGGTATCTTGACCCCCTTGCTGTCGAGCAGAGGCGTCGGCGGGTTGAATGATGACGTTCTCGACAAAGGGAAGGGGAGGCAGCTCTTCCCATCCCGCCCAAATAGGGCGTTTGGGGATTGGCGCTCGTTCGACTACCACTGTGCGGACATACGGTAAGAGCTGGTCTCTGCCGTAGGAGCCAGAGCCGCTCGATTCCCCACTAGGCCCCGAGAGGGAGACAGTGTTGAGAGCGTTGGATATGGGCAACGTAGAGTAGAGCTTGCGTCCGGCCATATGAAAGAAGAGGGGAGATACGCGTAGGAAGGAGGTGAGGTCTCTGTTACCGAAAGGGTGGGAGAGAATCTGGTCGAAGATGTCGGGGGTGGTAGCCACTTGGGCGGCAGCGGACATGCCTTGGCCATGTTCTGAGGCTTTCATGCTGAGAAGACGGGTCAGATATCGTTCATCGCGGAGGATCGAACATACGGACTCGCTCGGCCACGGCGGCAGCGGGAAGAGGGACAGTCACCGCTTGGGCAGGGGACGTGGTGGCCTGGTGGTTAATGAGGGAGATGCTTGGAGATGTGGGAGGCCTGGGAGCGTGAAAGTGGAATACAGCGAGAAAAGAAAGATGGACATTGTGCGCTGCCAATGCGCTGCTCAGCCTTTTGTTTGGTTCCGTATTACATAAGCATGAGATGCAACTTCGTTCAACTACCGACAGAATCAGACTAGGTTTCCCATACCAGTTGTTCAATGGGTAATACTCTTTTGCGAACCACCCCGCAGATGAAGCGCATCAACTTAGCTTTCCCGCAAGTCGTACCCGGCCCATCGCCATCCACGCCCAGAAGTGCGGTCTTATGATAGGGTTACATGCGTTTGATATCGGCTGTGGACGATGGATATAGACATCGAGAGATGGGAATGGGGTGGAGCATTTTTGTGAGTTGGAGGGATATGAGATGCCGGCTGAGAACTGAGTGAAGACGATGTCGAGTACGTCTGCAACGTGGGCAATCCGAGTGGAGGATACTATCACAACAGTGGGCGTGATGTTACGGATTCAACAGATCAAATCGGTACAAGAGTTACCGAAGAAGAAATCCAGATATCGGCAACGATGGCAAGCTTGAGTCCCTATTGGCGAGCTTGGGCAAAGGGGCAAGTGGCGCAGTAACGTAGGAGTCGGGGAATACATATGCGGGAATTTGACCACTGCTGAGAGGTTAACGAAACGGATGCGATGCCCTGTTGTGACGGTAATCGTTTGCGTTTCCAAGGCTCGTCGCGTGGACGCATCCTGGAGTCGGCGATCCGAGCGCTCTGACATCTGGCGCCTCCGTAAGTCGGGGTGTTCATTTCGGGGAGAGGGGGGAAACGGTAGCGAGCGGCAAAGTCCTGGCGAGATTGGTAGGTGGGAGGGTGCTCTGCCGAGGCGGCGATGAGAAAACCGAAGGCTTCGGGATGGAAGGGGAAGGGCAAAGTCAAGGCGGGCAGTGGTGGTACTGGGTGGGCGGCGGTAGCCGGGAGCTGATGAAACAAGATGCATGACGTGGCAAAAAGGAAATATTCGAGTTTCGGCGGCCGATGCTTCGAGCTTCGGCGGCCGATTCTGCTCCCCCCTACACTACGCGGTGTTTTTTTTCTGGGTGGAGGAAAAGGCGAAAACAGCTGATAAGACCCTAACTGCGTTACGGGAATCAAACTGCGTTACGGGAATCTAGAGCCGCTATTTACCCTTACTGGGCTCTAGAGACACAGTACAACTACACCGACACCACCACATTCCAACACATTCCCCCTCAAGCATATGGCCCTTTGATGACAGACACGAATACAACCCGCACACAGCCAGTGACATTTGGCGCTATGGGTATCCCTGTCTTTGGCGCGATCATCACCGGTCTCGCTTGCTCCTTCATACAATCCCTAGGTGAGCCTCATGGACAGCACAGGTGCATGCGCTGATAATTGCTCAACCTCCCAGGCCTCACCATCCAGCGCTGGTCGAATGTACAAGAAGACAACAAACCTCTTCTCTGCTTGCCCGGCGCCCTGCTATATGACGGCCGTTATGGCTCATCGGATTCGCTGTATACATAACTTCCAATGTCTGTGGCTCAGTTTTCCAGCTTGATGCCCTCCCCATCGGCATCCTAGCGCCCCTTGGAGCCGTATCACTAGTCTTCAATGCCTCTGGTGAGTTACTCTCTACATGTCGATGGCCATGTGCCTAATACTGTTTCAGGCCCTCTTCACTTCCTGGCATAATATCGCAATCTCCAACGCAATGTAGAAGAAGAGACATCCCCATCTCTATGCCCCCCAGCAACTACGCCTCACCTCGCTCACCTGCTGCCATCCCCTTCCGCGCCGCCCACCCAATATCCGTCAGCCCGCCCAGTAAAGCCACAAGTGAAGAACGCGACTCGCCTTTGGGCCACAAGGCACCAATCAGGCGGCTTCCTGCGTCTTCTATGGCCTATAATCAGCTGGAAGAAGAATCAAGAGCAGCCGATCCCTTCCCAAGCGCGTACCCTCACGTTGTGTGGTCTCGGATTCGCGGCAGCGTCTGGCACCTTGTCGGGTCTGTGCCTGGTGCTTGCCAAGGCTGTCGTGGAACTATTCATGAGAAATGTGGAGCATTGAAGGACCGGAGCCGGGAGGAATGAATTTGCGAGGGCAGAGACTTGGGTGCTGTTGCAAGGGAGGAGCATCATTGCAGTGGCGCAGATCTGGTATATTCACGTCAGTCTGAGATATGCAGGGCCGGCCCTTGTCTGTCCCTCGCCTTTTGCTTCTTCAACTTGTCATTTATCTTTGGTAAGCCGATCTGTCTCCATCTATATGCTTCGCAGCTGACAGTCATCAGCCGGACTTGTTTTTTACGATCAACTCGGCCAGCTTGCGACTTATCAAATCCTCCTCGTATCCTTGGGCACAGCCTTGCTTCTCTTGGGGGTCTGAATAGTCTCCGCCATACAACCAGAAGGCGCTGCCGTAGAGGTCGGCACTGGGTAGAAGCTAATTGCGATAGCGACTCTGAGTCTGACGTCGATGAAGAGCTCGAAGCTGGGGAAGGCGCCACACTCTTGGGAGGTGATACTTCCAATGAGCCGGAAAACAGCGAGCCGGCTCGCCACTCTTGACCTTCTGGTCTGTCGATAACGCTGATGCCCCTGGGGAGGTACCATCCCGCGTTCGTCCCTTCCCCCGGTACCCCCGCCTCGCCCTTATACCCCCGTATCCACCAACACTTCCACTCCCAATCCTACGGTCCTCACGGACGCAGACACCGTGGCCCGCGGTACGGTATTCTCATACCCGACATCGGCCCCCACGGTGCCCCCGCAGGCTTCTCTTTCGGTCTTGGCGCGGCCAGTTCTGGTTTTGCGCTGAAGGTCGGGAAGTATGAGCGAGTATTCACATCACCCACATGGGTATGGGACTGCTTACTATCGACCTGGATCGTTGCTCGGGCCGGAAGGGAGGAATAGGAGGAGTCGGAGCGATGGGCCGTTGGGTCTAGGGGCGATAATGAGGGCAGAAAATCCGGATGTGGAAAATCTCAATGATCAGATTGACGCTCGAGATCAGGAAGGTGACGTCGAAGAGGCTTTGAGAGGGCGGGACTCGCAAATGACAACCCGGAGATGGTGGGATGTCAGACGGTTGTGGAAGGGGGGAGGTAAAATCCGCCTGGCAGAGAATCTGGTCGCTGCTGTGTGTTGTTGGCGGCGAATTGGGCTCGCTGCGTTGGGACCTGTCGAGTGTCAGTACCTCTGATGATGTGATGTGAAGGCTATACGCACGAGTGCCGCATAGTCGGCTTCGGACATGGTTGGATAGACATAGAGCTGTGTGAGGGGTGAGAGAGTCATCCAGGTTGTAGATGAGAGGATTCAGAAATCCGCGAAGGGCTGGTGACTTATGTAACGTGCTGCAAACAATAGCGACATGCAATGGCCGTGACTGAGGAGGACGCCTTGAGACTAGTGACCATAGAGAACGGTTCGTTATGTATGTACAGTACATGTCATGTGGTCGTAGAATAGTCGATATATTACTGTACAAATTATTTACACAACCAGCATCCCCCGGCCAACCGCCCCAGGGTCGACTACGACCTCCTCCCGCTGAAGGTGGCGACGTCCGGCACGAGATTCGGCCTTTCGCGCAACAAGATCGCTCAAACCAAGCATAACCGCTACCTCGCGCCCCTCCAACGCGAGCTCTCGGTCGCCCTTGACCCCGTCCCCCACCAAGAAAGAGGCGTCGAAGTCGATGAGGGCAAAGCGGCCGTCGGCGCGTCGGAGTATGTGGCGTGCCTCTACGTCACAGTGAAGAACGCGCACCGCATGAATTTGATGGTAGAGGTCTCGGATAGCCTGTCTGAGAACGTGATCAGCACAAGACCATTGTAGCTGCCAAAAGACACTCACCTATCCTGCAAAGGCAGATACTCCAGCTCATCCTCTCCGGCGACTGACCCCCCAACATCCTCCATCAATTCGATGTGCAATGGGAAGGGGATACGCCCGATACGCATTACACCACTGAACGAGCCATACTTTGCCGGGACAGCCCCTCCTTGTAGGCTTTTGAGAGGGCCACTGTACAGCGCCGCCTCGAGACGATATGCAGCCACTGCCTCTTCGGGGCCTTCAAAAAACTCCTTGTGACCCCCATATTCCTCATCATAGGTATCAGGGCACATGACCTTGGCGATGAGCTTCTTGCTCACACGGCCTTCGACGGTGAGGACGGAGTGGTAGACGTCCCACAGGCGCCCAGAGCTGATATAGCTGCCGAGGGCGAGGTGGGCTTTAAGCTCGGAAGTAGGCAGTCCCGAGTGGATGTTGTCGTCGTCGGCCGAGGATGCAATGACGCAGGGGGAAAGGCGACCGGCCATGTAGCCGTTATCCAAGTTGCGTTGCTTAAAGTAGTGAAGAGCGTCACGGGAGCGATGGTTGGGCACAGAAACCTGCAGAGTGACGGGTGCAAGTTGCTAGAAGAGTATAAATTAGCCATGAGGAAAATCAAACGTGAAATGACACTGACATCTGTTGGGATGTTTGCGTCCCTATCAATAGCATCGTCACTTCCAGCGCCGCCAGTGGCGCCAACGTTGTCGTATCCACTCTTCGTGCCCCTTAATTCCGATGCCCCTACCCCGCTCTCGTTCTGGTCATTCTGCGTTGAGTCATTCCCCGAAGCTTCGGACGAAGACCAGACAGGTAGAGGTGAGAATGTATAGTCGAATGGGGGTGCGGGTTCCCTCTCAATCACGGAAGCCACCACAAGCTCCATAGGCGACATCTTGCCGGGCTCAGGCGCAGTTCCGGGCTCCTTCCTATGGATTGGGTCACCCACACGAAGCAGGTTCTTGATGACGGGATCGCGCTCGAAGGGGATCCAAACTTCGTAGGAGGAGAGTGTGACGAGGTCGAGTTCGTAGTGGTCAAGGTCTTTCCAAACCTGAGCAAAATCGTCAGAACAGCCATCACAGCAAGTTGTAGTAGTGCTCTGAGCTTACCTGGGATAATCCATCTGCCCAGTGCGTCATTTTCTTCACGATTTTCCCCTCTTGGTCCACAATGCGCAAGGCGGGCCGGACTCTACCATCTTCTGATTTCCTATCAGCCAGAATGAGCTTCAAGCCCCCCTCCTGCCTACACGCCATCAACAGTTGCTCCAACTTCGGCGGCAGATCATCCGGCTTCTGCTCGTCGTCAGGCACATTCTTATCGGCCTGGGACTGGTCGCTGTGACTTACGCCGCTTTGAGTCCCTCCCCTCCCAGCTGTATCACCTTGCGGCCTCTCACGAAGTTCCATTCCAGTCTGAGACACCGCGCCTTCGCCAGCTGTCGTTAGAACGGTGCGCAGCTTGATCTCGACGATAGCAATGGTTTTATCGTCGCGCCGGAATTCCCAAGCAGAGCTGCCGCTCTTGTCGTCCGAGCACCTTTGCCACTCGCCATGGAGGTGACCGGGAAGCCCGGCATTGATGGCGTCGGTACAGCGTTTGAAGAAGTTTGTCAACATGACATCACATAGGTCATGCTCAGAGCGAACAGTGGTGCTTCGAGCATCACGCCGTCCCACTCTCAGATCTTCTTCCATGTCAGGAGTGACTACATTCCCCTCCAGCGACTCTAACTTCGATTTCAGAGATGCGTAGAGTCTTTCATTCAAGGTTTGGTCATAGACGACTCTGATACCTTTCCCGGGAATGGTATCCCATAAGACGTAGGTGCTGGGGGTGGCCATTCGTGTGTTCATGTTGAGCTTTTCGCGATCGTATTCGAGACGGTCCAAGGGAAATGACCTGATCCAGGAAGCGATCGACTCGGGTGTGAGTGGAGAGGCGTCGCCGATGCCTGGCATGTTGAAGTGCTTGGCCGGCATCCGTATAGGTTTTCCAGGTTGGCGGAAGGGCACAAAAGGGGGCCGCCTGTCGCCTGGTCTGGCGTCATTGCGAAAGCTGTTGGGGCCTTTTCTCTGGGATGAGGAGGCGTCCCAGGGTGTGTTGGTTTTGTCGACTCGCCTGAGGAGGGGCGTCGTGGTGAGGGCGCGAGTGAGGGGTACACAGCGCGGATATGCGGACTGTGCATTCGCCAGGGCGTTTCTTGCAAGCATGGGTGGTATGGTGGATAGTAGTATGGACGGCCAAGAAGGCAGATGACAATTCACGGACAAAGGCTTGCACGCGGGATCAAATATGGGGCACCATTTTTCAAGGCCGGGTTTTGGCATGAGCTGGAGACATACTTATAGCTTCTTCCTGCCAGGAGCATGCGTAACTGTGACCGATATGATATTTGACCTTCTATACATCAAAGCTACCAGCTCAACCGTCTCATCGCCTTTTCCCTCGTTGATCTGCCGCCTTGGGGAGCCGGAGGGCTCAGATGATGCTGCTTTGTTTGCGTGTCGAGTAGGGATAGGGGGAAGGGGTGAGAAATTGGGCGGGATGTGGCGGGTGAGTGTTGATAAGAAGAGAGACTGAGGGTTCGGGCCGGGTTGATGGGAGGGGTTCATTCCTGCTTGTCGTCAGTATCTCATCTTCACTGTTATCAAGCGGGCTCACCTCTGCTTGATCGTATCTTCAACTCGTCGTCCCTACTGTGAGCTCATCAGTCTCATCGAGTCTTCCCTCACTGATCCGCTGCCGCGAAGCGCCCTCGGCGAGCGAGAGGTCTTGAATGGTGCTGCTTTGTTCACGTGGGGATATAGGGAAGGGGTATGAGGTCGGGCGGGGTGGGAGGTGCTAGTAGGGAGGGAGGCTGAGGGTTTATGCCGGGTGATGGGAGGGGTACACTCCTACCTGCTTGTCGTCAGTGTATCATCTCTACTGCTCTCAAGCGGACTCGCCTCTGCTAGTTCGCATCCTCCAAAGCCTTCCTGTCCAGCTCTGTCCCATATTGCGCATTCTCTGCTCATGATCTAGCCGTCGATCGAGCCTCCTCCTCCATAAGCCCTTCGTGCGCGCCTGGTAAGATGCTCGAAACCGATAGCGTGCATGTGAACCTTTGTCATCAAAGTGAAAAGCTGCACATCAATCAGCCAAGTACAAGAGTCATTGTCGAACATGCCACTTACTGCTCCCCCCCTCCCTGCCGCCAACAATACCCAGTTCTAGCCCTCGTAGGTATCAAGGATCGTCTCGACATTCTTTTCGCTCAGGCCCGAGAAGTAGTCAGCTGGCTCCCCCGTCATATCCGCCAACTCCTGTCTGAGAGCAACGAGCTTTGCTGAGGGTTCTAGGACTAACGACCTATACCATGCCTCCTTCTGACTGTGTCCGTATGAGCCGAAAGTTTTGTAGAAGGCCGCTCCAGGGTGGAAAGTCACGCTCAACGACTTCTTCTCTTTCCCACTCGCCCCCTCTTCACTTGCTCCTTCTAAACTCACCCTCTCCTCACTCGCTTCTTCCTCATTTGCCTCATCTTCACTTGCCTCATCTTGACTCGCATCCTCTTCCTTCCGAATAAACGACTCCTTCACCCCTGTCAACATTTCCTCTGCTGTCCCTACACCAACCCGCCATCCGCTGGGATTACAATTGGCAATCCTTTTCAATATCTCCTCAACATTATACAAATGCAGGACCTCCACGTTCTCCAAAGATGCTAGATCTCTGATAGAATAGCGGAGGCGGCCATAAAAGAAAGCCGACAGGTGAACGGAGGAAGCGCCAAAGAGCATCATCAACTGATGGTATGTTACCCCGGACCTGCTCGGCCCGCCTATGTGGTCTAAGGGACCGTAAGGATACTCGACGTCGCCCCACAGCAGTAGATGCACTTCGCGGATATTGGAGCACCACGCCGACACGGCGTCATGTTCCTGCTCGACCGCGACGAGGTCGTGATTTTCAATGTCGGCAGCTCGCCCCTTGAGCACAAGGGTGTGAACGTTGGGGAGGAACGGGACACGCTGGAGAGAGTCTTCGCTGCTGGCATAGCGAGGAGTAGAGAGGTAAAGTCGGGTAGCAGAGCAGCAGAGTTTTCTCGATGAGGGCATTGTGGACCATAGCGCAAGCTTTTCCGCTTCTCTCTACGGACGAGGTGGGGCCGCGCTTGTAGATCACGTTCTCTACAGAGGGGAGGGGAGCCAGCTCTTCCCATCCCGCCCAGGTAGGACGGTTGGGTATCGGCGCTTTTTCGACTACCACCGTCCGGATATACGGGAAGAACTGCCCTTTGCCGTACGGTCCACGGCCACCCCATCGCTCGCCTCCATGACTCGAGCTGGAAAAAGGGTTGAGAGCGTTGGATATGGGAAGTGTAGAGTAGAGCTTGCGGCCGGCAATGTGAAAGAAGAGGGGAGAGACCCGCAGGAAGGATGCGAGGTCTTTGCTGGCGAAGGGGTGATCGAGAATGTGTTCGACAATGTCGGCGGTGTTGGCCACACGAGCAGCAGCGGCCCTCCGAGGGCTACGCCTAATGCGCATTCTGAGGCGTCGGGTCAGATTTTACACGTCGCAGAGGGTCGTACTGAACACACCTGGGATCCTCGGGGACGTCCAGGGGACGTCTCGGCGTGGCGGCAGTGACAAGGTGAAGAGTGGCCGCTTGGGCAGAATATTCGATGGCGTGAGGGCTAGCGAGGCGATGGTCGTAGATGTAGAAGGCTGGGTATCTGGAAGAGAACGAGAAAAGAAACACAGAGAGACCGCCCAAGAACAAATTCGAGCTGAGTTCGCTATTCACCTGCCTGTTTGGTTTCGTGTTTACATAATCAGAGTGTGGTACAGTAGAGTACTCGTACGTACTTGACTGCTGCTGCAGGAAAGGAGGAGATTCGGGCCAGATTGCGAACACCAAGGGGGAGAGACGATCTGCCCCTTGATGAATAGGCCTCCCCGAGGATCCAATTTGCAAAGGACGACCTTCAACAGAAGAGCCCTGAATCTCGGCAAAGATGGCAGGGGTCTAATCGATTCAACCCCGACAGGACCATAGGGAAGGGAGACGTGGAATCGCGTAGCAGAAGGGCAAAGCCACTCGATGATGGTGTTTCTCGTTAGAGTCGTATCTTCTCCGCCGTCTTGACGGGCATGTCGGTCGACAGGCTGAATTACGATATTTGAAACCGAGGGGAGAGGCGGCAAATGGTAGCAGTTTTCCCAAACTACTCCGGTAGCGAGTTCCGGTGTACGCTCCATCACCACCGTGAGCACGAGCTGCAGCAGCTTGGCCTTTCCATAAGATCCGCGTGGCCCCGTAGGACTCTGGCCCGGGTAGGCAGAGAAGGCAGCTGAAACCAGGCTGAAACGCCAAGTCCCACGAAAGGATTGCAGGTGTTTGAGATCAGGAGTGGGCTGTAGAGCTTTGGAGCGACGAGTCTGAAGAAGAGGGGCAATGTGCGGAGGAGGGATACGACATCTGTGCCCCCGGAGAGGTGGGAGAAGATGCATGCACTTCCACTAGAAAATTGTCAACCTCCACTCGGCCTCTTGTTCCGTCAAAAGCCCACGAACGTATCAATCTTCGGTCTCATCTCGGGTTGACACATCGCCGAGAACCTCGTAGAACTCCTGACCGGTCCTCCAAAAGACTTGAGCCTCCGCCGCCTCGTCCGGCATGCCCAAGTCCTCTGCCAACGTCTTCATCTCCTCCCCAATCTCTCTCTCCACCATTGCTTTTTGGCTGCCAGCCTAGCTCTGAGCGAGACAAGATTTGGGGAGGGCGCGAGGACCGCGGAATGATACCACTCTTCCGTCTCATCTCGTGCTGACACATCGCCGAAAGCCTCGTAAAACTCAAGACCAGTCCTCCAAAAGACTTGAGCCTCCGCCGCCTCCTCCGGCATGCCCAAGTACTCTGCCGACGTCTTCATCTCCCCCTCAAATGCCCTTTCCACCTCTGCCTTCATATCATCAACCTTCCGACTGGTCGACCATTTACTCAACCTCTCTAACACCGTATCGGCATTGTACAGCCAAAGCTCGTCGATAGAGAACCGCGTGCCGAGTCGTTCGGCAATCTCGCAGAGGTTGTGGAAGATCTTGTCTCTGAGCTTGACCTTCGTTGAGAGACTGAGCCCCATGATTGCCAGCTTGTCGACGCGATCCTTGTCCCAATCAGAGCTTTGAAGTTTCGCGTCCGGGTATACCAACTCGCCCCAAAGCAGTATATGGACAGCCTTGATATTGAGGCAAGGCGGGCGCTCCTTCTGGCCGTGATTCCAGAGCCCGTGATTGAGCTTCCCAACAACATACTTGAGCTTCATAATCTCCCCCGCGTTCGCCTTCACCACAAGTGTCTCTACACAAGGCAAAGAAGGCATAGACTGAACACCCCTGGCGCCGGCTGTAAAGCAAGGTGTCGAGAGGTGTAGCCGAGTAGCAGTGGGGCAAAGTCGCTCGATGAGGGCGTTGTTTGGCAAGGTCGTATCTTGATCCCCTTCTTGTCGGGCGTTCCTATCGGCGGGGTGGATGATGACTGTCTCGACAGCAGGGAGAGGGGGGAGTTTGTACCAGTTTGCCCATACTGGATGATCGATGGGCAGCGGTGCGCGCTCTACGACCACCGTCTGTAGTACGAGCTCCAACAGCTTGGTCTTTCCGTAGGGCCCGCCTCGTCCGCCGGCATCCACGCCCGAGAAGGGATTCAAGACGTTTGATATTGGTAGCGAGCGATAGAGTTTTTGAGCGATGAGACCGAAGAAGAGAGGAGATGTGCGCAGGAGAGATGTGAGGTCTTTGTTGTCGGGGATGTGGGAGAAGATGATGTGGAGTATGTCTGTCGTGTGGGCTACCTGGGAGGGGGAAGACATCGTTGCGCCCAGCTACCAGAGCTATCAGGAGTCAGCAAAAGGGTCGAGAAAATCGAGAGGAATGGCTATACAGACCGGATACGCGACCCTGGAAAGAAGTCCGGTTGCCTGCAATGTCGACAGATCGAGCGTGATCCCGAATACGGAGCTTTACCAAGTGAATATCAGGCGCCAAGAGGTGGTGGAGGGGACGAGCATAGAGAGAAATTGAAGAAGAGACGATATAGAGGACGATGAAAACAAAGATTGTGAACTGGACGCGTCAAGTGCTCCAGTTCCGAGACCGGCGGCCTCAAGGCGGCCTCAAATACCGCGCAAGAGATATGAGGCAATGACGGCAGTCTCAAAGGCTGTATGCACCTCTTTAGCTCATCGAAGCGTGGTATGGGCTGCCAAGTATACATACAGGTAACTCATGTACATATGTAGGAAAGACTACTCGTAATATCCGGTCGCCAGAATGTCCTTCTTCGTCCGATGCCTCAACTTCAACCCACCTACGCCTTCTCATCCCTTGTAAGCTGCCAACGCATACTCAGCATCAGACTCCGTCAAGCCTATAAAGTTGCTAACGGGATACGCCGTCTTGACTGCCAGCCGGGCTCTGAGTGCAACGAGCCTTGGCGAGGGGTCGAGGACTGTTGACCGATACCATCTTTCATCCTCGCTGTGATCCCAAGCGCCACCGAAGGTCTGGTAGAACTCTTGAGCGGGTCGCCAGGAGATATCGACCTCTGCCGACTTGTCCGACAAGCCCGAGTATTTCGCCACATCCCTCATCTCCTCACGAAAGGCCCTTTCCATGCGTCCTCTACTCGTTTTGAACGTTCGCCTAGTCATTTTCCACGACTTCAATCTATCCAGCATCTCCTCAACATTGTACAGCCGAAGAGCACTGATAGACAGTAGCGTTGCTATGCGGTGCATAAGACAGTCAAGATTGTAATCGTGGATGGCTTCGAGTTCTTTGTACGTCCCATTGCCGATTGCCAGTATTTCGGACCAGTCGATTTCAGCCTTGTTCGGCCACCCAAGTCTCCGTCGATACTTCCGAGGGGACACGAGATCACCCCAGATGTACAGATGAACCATTGTGACATTGGGCCATTCCGCCTTACCCTGGTGTCCAAGGAAAAAATGATAATCCCCAATGTTCGCCGCGGTAGACTTGATCACCAGCGTCTTGACCTTGGGAAAAGAAGGCACGGGATGCGCCTGCTTCGCGCCTGGGGTCAACCAGGGTAGGGAGAGGCAGAGATGAGTCGCATTCGGGCAAAGACGTTCAACGAGGGCGTTCTTCGGCAGCGACCTGTCTGATCCGCCGTCCTGTTGTGTATTGCTGTCGGCGGGCTGCATGATCACCGTGTCGACCAAGGGGAGGGGAGGGAGCATACGCCATCTTTTCCATACCGACCCCTCGATGGGAACAGATGCCCGCTCGACCACTACCGCGCGCACGAATTCCAGCAGCCTGGCTTTCCCATAAAACCCGCCTCGGCCACCAGAGATGTCGCCGTATGGGATGCCAAAGAACGGATTGCACTTGTTTGATATCGAGATTGACTGGTAGAGCTTTCTGTCCACGAGACGGAAGAAGAGGGTCGAGGTGCGGAGGAGGGATACGAGGTCGTTGCGGGCGGAGATGTGGGAGAAGATGATGTCGAGGATGTCGGTGGTGTGGGCCACTTTGGAGGCAGCAGATACCCCAGGGGTACAGATGTTGTCTTGCATACTGAAAAGAGGGGTCAGGTATCGCTCATCACGGATGACTGTAAGAGTACAGTACGAGTACATACTTGAGATTATCGCGAATGTCTCCACAACGGCAGCAACAGGAAGACGGGCTTGGCTGGGAGCCGCTGCTTGGTGGAGATCACCTTGACAAGACACGCTCTCACTAGCAACGGGTCTATTGCGGGTACTAGCTGAGCTACACGTCAGACCTCCGGGAAGAAGATGTCCAGCTTTTGACACTGCCGGCGGGCTGCGAGCTTCGTATGGCGGACCTGGGGGGGCAGTTCGCGAAGGTTGGAAGGTTCCAAGATAAGATGATCTGTTATAGAGAATGCCGAGTTGAAAGTAAAGACAAGAGCGCAAGGATGTCGAGATTGTCGAAAGTCGAAACAGCGGCCGCCTTACATAATGTGGTTGTATCTGTTCTCTTGCACGTGCACTGCTGGCCTTGTGGTTTCAGCTCATAAGGAGCATACATAGTGGTAGCTAAAATAGTATATGACAACGGTAAAGAGGTGAATATCAAAACACAAACAACGGCTCGTCCGCGTCGAAGAAGCGGAAAGCTGCCCATATCTCAAGTCAGTCGAGCACAAGAGCCATCGACAAGACCTTCACGCACCTCCTCGCCTTCTTGAAATAATCACCACCAAACGTTATTCCTTGTAGTAGTTCAATACCGTCTGCACATCATGCTCCTTCAGCCCCAAAATGTGATCCGCAGGCTCCCCCGTCCGATCCGCCAACTGCTGCCTGAGAGCTGTGAGTCTCGCCGATGGTTTGATGACTGCCGATATATACCATGCCTCCTTTTTATCACCTCCATACAAGCAGAATGTGTCGTAGAATGTCGTCGCAGGGTTGAAAGATACCGCCGATACCTCGTGGTGTCTCCTCATCCACTGCGTGGCGGAGGATTCGTGCTGGCTTTTGAGCGGGCTGGTGGATTTGGTGTTGAAAGACTTTTATGGGGAGGGGCAGGTTGGGTTGGGGGTGGAGGCGGAGGTGTTTGCGATATTGCTGGGTGAGAAGGATGGCAAGTTGGCAAATGCATTTAGAGAGATCGGGCTTCATCGTGCGTTATCATCCTTCTTTCTTTGAACAACGCGCTCATCAAGAACGAAAAGCTGGCGAGTATCTCGACAAATGGTTCGGCCAGCTGTTCATCCGCCACCTCCCCTGGCCCACCGCGAGCCAGGTAGTTCTCCGCTGTGTGTCCGAGGCCGCCTTACATAATGCGGTTGCATCTGTTCTCCTGTTCTCTTGCACGTAATACATATAATGATCTATAGGCGAAATAAGTACAGTCCATCGAGAGCTACTCAAAGCTACTAATCAGCCCTGACCCCCCAACGCACACGCAACTCACAGCTAAACCAACGCAATCTCCTCGCTCGTCATCTCCGGTATAATCTCCCCCAACTTGTTCAGCGTACACTTCCTCCTCTCCCTCAGCCTCTCCACCCTATCCACCGCCTCCTCCTCCCCCACCCCCTTCTCCACCAAAGCTTCCACCATCTCCAACACCTTCTTTCTGCGTCTGTAGAATTTCCGCTCGCTATCGTCGCGGAAGCGCTTGCCGCGCCGGCGTTTGCGGGGGTTGCCCTCGTAGATATCGCGCACGGCGGGCTGGCCGTCCCAGCCGATGGTGTATTCTTTCCAGAGGTCGGGCACGGATTTGACTTCGCGGGACATTGTGAAGTTTTGCGAGGGCGTGCTGAGGGAGAAGGAGGAGAGGGGGGTGTCGCTGGACGGGGGGATGGGGTGGGGGTGGGGGTGGGAGGGGGTGTGGACAGCGGGATGGGGGATGGATTGGGATTGTTGGGATTGTTGGGCGAGGGAGAAGAGGCTGGAGAGTTGGGAGGTTTCGGCGGCGCTGGATAGGTTCCCGAGGCCTGTTAGGCCGCTCAGGTTCCAGGCCGTAGGCGAGGAAGTATTGTTTGCTGGTCTTGACGGGCCTGCAGTCGCATTCACCGGCGCTGCCCTCACTTCTTCCCTCTGCTGCTGCTGCCCCTGCCCCTGCTGGGCCTGAGGCTGAGGCTGAGGATGCGCACACCCCACCCCCGGCTCTTTCCACTCCACCCTCAGCACCATCCCCTCCATCCCCTCCCTCACCCCCTTCCTTACCCCCTCCTCCACCGCCCTCTGCACATCATCCACTATGCCCGCATTCAGCGCTCTGACCGTCCTCTCCAGCTCCAAGAAGGCCTGGGTTTGGGCGGCGGAGGCGTGGGAGGAGGCGGTGGAGGCGTGTTTGAGGTTTTCGAGGGCGTCGTATATGCGGGTGAAGGCGGGGGCGAGGTGGGGCGTGTATTGGCTGGGGGCGGGAGAGTGGGAGGGGAGCGAGATGCTGGCGAGGTGTGCGAGTGTATCGTCGGCCTGGGGCATCGTGCAGTGGTCCGGACAGAGGGAGTGGAGGTAGAGAGGAGGGCATGTGGCGTCGCGAGTTGTCCGGACATTCACGGAGTTTGCACTTGTGGCGTGGGTGTCCTGCTTCGGCCCCCGGGGCGTTCGGCGCCCCCGAATCCCAAATCCGCCAGAAATCCGCTGATAGAGAGGACATGGGACAAGGGACATGGGACATGGGACATGGGTTGTTTCTTTCAGTTGAATGTACAAGTATAGCCGTCTTGGCTGGGACGATTAGATAGGATGATGTGTCTAGAGTTCTAGAGTGAAAACGGGTATTTGTCCACCCCGCGCACGCATTGCAAACACAGTTCACCCTGCTCGCTTGCGCACTGCAGTTCCGAGAATGACCTTCTCACGGATCAAGATATGTCTCGAGCGAGTACATCTACTGGGATGTTTGCCTGAAACGACTCATTCATAAAACCATTGTTCACGTTGGGGGGAGGCGGTGTAGTGTATTCCCTTTGGTCAAAGGTATTGCCGTCGGTGATCGAACAGCCTTTAGAGCCCTTGCATACATCGTCTCTTGCATAGCACTTATTGTTCTGGAAACAAGAACAATAGTTCAAGGACATTAGGGTTAAATCTACATTGTTCGTGAAACAAGGACCACAAAGAGTTACAGCAATGACGGCCAAGCTTTGTGTACCGCTCACTCTATAAATACGACAGCCCAGCAGCGTATCTGTTCATCATCTCTTCAAAGATATTGCTCTCTGGCCCACAAACCCTTAGCCTTCTGAAATATCTTTCATTCAAATACCATCGACAAATCAACATGCCCTGTATCAACGGCTGCTCCAACACAGACGGTCTACCGGATGGACGTCAATGTTCTACATGTGGTCTCAAGGCGTACCTTGCTACGTTCGGAGACTCGAAAGGTCTGGCAGCTTTGCTGCACTGTGTAAGTGAACATCATATGTCTCTCTTCGTCTATCTCTGGTCGCTGACGATCTGTTATCCAGCTCGTGATCTGTGCTTCGTGCGCCAGATCCATGAAGATCATTGGTAGCTTCTGCCCTGGTGCATCCGCTATGACATCTATGACATGCAGTTGTGGCGAAAATGGTCAGCTCTGCTTCTTCTATTCTAGTGTGCGCCGTGTGCTTACCCATGCAACTTTAGACTGGATCGCCCTCGACGTGTCGTCCATTCTTTCCTCCGTCAACACCAAATCGAAATCGTCTTCCTCCTCCACAATTTCGTCTTCGGCCCCAGCAGCTAGCCATGATGACCGCTCTGTTCCTCCTCCTCCTCCTCACGACCTAGCCAGCCTTTACAACAAATACTACAAGAAGAAGATTGAGGAGAGATCGTCAGCCGAGACAAAGACAAAGGGGACAGATGAGTTGCCAGCTGCGCATCCGACCTCTTCGATGGCGCAGCCGCGCAAGCGCGCAAGACAGTAGGAAACTCTTTCTCAGGCGGCCTGCAAGCAGTACGAGTATGAGGCGCAGAAGAAGAAGGACGCTTTTGGGGCTGATGAAGAGCAGAAGGCCGTGTGCAGATGTAGATGTACATGTACGCCATGACCTGTGGGGAGGGGGAGAATGAGTAAGGACATTATGATGAGCTTGTTGAAGATATGAGTGTACTTGTATCTCTGGCCATTTCCCGTTACGAGTAAAGGTCATGGTTAATGAGAAAGAGTAGGGCTTGGTAGTCATGGAAGTTTTTGGAAGGGTCGATTTTCTCTGCAGCAGCACGTTGTTGGCATGCACCTCAATACCTAGATCTTTAAAGTAGTGGATAGAAAGCTTCAATGGCTGCAGAGCGGTCTGACAAGAAGCTTTGCTTCGGAATTGGTTTTACCGAGCGAGTATGCCTGCCTTTCCTTCGAGTGTAAAGCCGTTATCGAAAACACACTTCTTCTGTCTCCAGCCCCTCACGAGTATAATAAAGCAGCAGGCGATTATCAACCACCAGCCATCATACTTTTCGAGCGTCGAGATCTCGGCTAAAATCCCATCGGGGAATAAACTTCATCCATCGGCTTTGGCCGTCTGGCTCTTCTTTTTCTTTGTCATTCTTCTTCCTCGCAGAACCGGGCCGGGGGATCTTGACGAGGGTCAGCTGTGGAGAGCGCTAGGAGATGGAAAGGCTGGAATATCTTGATTTGTAGATGCGTGCATGACTCGGTCGACCTTTCGTGTTACTGCTCTTCTGTTGAATTGAAACAAGAAGCAGGCAAGCCTCGTTCACGGCCAAATCCGATACCACGCGCATCTAGGGTCGGTGACTTAACCCAGTTGCCCCAATCGATTTCATTCTCTTTCTCAGCAATATCTTGTCTACCTCTATACCCGCCACCGCTTGGCTTGAGATGTGTGTACAAAATCAAGATTCACCGACATTGTCGACGACTGATCACGACATGACGATGGACCACGCTAAAGAGACTCCTGCTACTTTGGCTGGATCTGCTTTCAGCAAGGTTTCCCTCGAAGACTCTTTATCGAGCCCCTCGGCAATGGCTCCGATATCCCTCCTGAAACAATCCCCATCATCCCTCTCCTCCAACCCCCCGAAAACACCCTTCCCCGGCACCGGTACATTCTCCAACCCATTCATCGTCGACTACCTCCCCTCCGACCCTCTGAACCCCTACAACTGGCCCAAAACGAAAAGGTGGGGCGTGACAATGTTGATCGGTGTGACGGCGCTGTGTCCGCCGTTTGCGAGTGTGTCGTATTCGGCGACTTTGGGGGATGTGGTGGATGATTTTGGGATCAGTCGAGAGCTGGCGACGGCTGGGATAAGTCTATTTATCGCCGGTCAGTACTCGTCTTCTTCTCATCTTCTGACGAGTAAGTAAAAACTAACAGGAGATGTAGGATTCGGCTTCGGCCCCTTAATCTGGGCTCCCCTCTCAGAGATATACGGCCGCGTCCCCGCCTTCCTCTTCTCCTACCCCATCTTCACCCTCTTCAACCTCGGCACCGCCCTGTCCCACTCGACCGCCCCGCTTATGGTGACCAGGTTTTGGGCGGGCTTCTTTGGGGGGGTGACGTTGACGAATAGTGGGGCGCAGATTGGGGATATGTGGGCGGTTTGGGAGAGGGCGGTTGCGACGAGTATTTTTGCGCTGGCGCCGTTTTTGGGGCCTGTTGCTGGACCGGTGAGTTGATTCTCTTCTCCTTTTTTTTGGGGTGAAATGTGAGGGAAAGAGGGGCTGATGGGGAGTAGATTGTGGGGGGGTATGTAGCTGAGAAATGTGGGTATCGATGGGTGTATTGGATTCAGTTCATCTTTGCCGCGTATGTTTTCTTTGCCCCCTCTATCGATTGCGCTGACACTTCTATAGAGTCATGACAGTCCTCTGTATCATCTTTATCCCCGAAACATACGCGCCCACCATCCTCCGGCGAGAAGCTATCCGCCTGCAAAACGTCGCGCAAGAAGAAGGCAGGGACGAGCACTTTATCTCGAAATATGATATTGAGCGTAAAAGCAAGAGGGAGATTATCCAGATTGGGCTGCATCGGCCTTTCCAGATGCTGTTTACGGAAATTATCGTGGCTTGTTTGAGTGTCTATGGAGCTTTGATATATGGCATGTACGTACTTTTCCCAATCGACTCAAAAGCAGAACTAACGGAATCACAGTCTCTACCTGTTCTTCACCGCCTTCCCCATCGTCTTCCAACAAACCCGACACTGGTCCATCGGCCAATCCGGCCTCGCCTTCCTCGGAATGGGCGTCGGCCTCATGGCCGGCGTAGCCATCAACCCCTCCATCTCCGCCTACTTTTACACCCGCTCCCACCTCATCGACGGCCGTCCCCCACCCGAATCCCGGCTTCCCGTCTGCTGTATCGGCGCCATCCTCGCCCCCCTCGGCTTATTCTGGTTCGCCTGGACTTCTGCCCCGCCCGTACATTATATCGTCTCGATTATTGCTTGTATACCCTTTGGCCTGGCGTTCTTGTTGATCTTTACGTCGATGACGAATTACTTGATTGATTCGTATGAGCTGTATGCGGCGTCGGCGTTGGCGGCGCAGGCGGTGTCGAGGTGTTTGTTTGGGGCGATTTTCCCGTTGTTTGCAAAGTATATGTATGAGGGGATGGGGCTGCATTGGGCAGGGACGCGTGAGTTTCTTTCTTTTCTGTGTGGATGGGTAGGGGAGGGAGAGCTGATGGGGTGGGTAGTGGTGGCGTTTTTGGCGCTGGCTTGTACGCCTCTGCCATTCTTGTTTTATCGATACGGCGCTTTCCTGAGACGTAGATCGCGGTATGCGCCTTCTACGAGTATCGTCGTCCCTTCAAGTCATGATGAAGAGAAGGGGGAAGAGAAGGAAGAGGAGGGGCTGAGCAAAGTACGGTCGAGGGGAGAAGAGGGGCTGGAGCCGGAGTGGGCGAGGGATGCTGGGGAAGGAGCGGGAAGGGAGAAGAGGTCGGTGGAAGTGTAGGGGATAGTGTAGCTTGAAATACTATAGGTTATAATACACAGATGGTTTGCATGTATTTGTATGACATGATTGGGTTTTGGTGCGGGGTAGAAGAGTCACACTCGACGCACGAGATGCAACAACAACGACGAGCAGTAGAAGATGAGCGGGCTCGTCTTCTTGGAGTCATATATCATCTCTTCGGTCATAGAGGCCGAAGAAGATCCCTGTCAAGTAGTAGGGCATCATGATGCTACGTCAGCTACTGCATGGCCGTCAACACCGATACGAAATCAAAGTACGAAATTCGCGTCAAGCTTTGAGATTGAGGCGAGTGGTCACCGGAACTTGGAACTTGAAGGGTCTGGTCTCTGCATCGGCCAGAACGGCTCTTAAGCTCATTGCTGCTGGGCGGTGATCCAGCTAGGTAGAATGTATATATGTACAGATTGCATAGGTATATTTCACATAAATTGTAATACCCCCTCTCCATAATCTACCGCCTTTGTAAATATAACTCCGCGAAAGTCGGCCTCGTGTACGCCCTCAGCAGCCACTCAGCCTCATGTTCGCCCAAGCCCATGAAAGCGCGACCATGCAACCCCGTTTCAGCCTCCAGGCTAGCTCTGAGCGAGACAAGCCTTGCCGAGGGGTCAAGGACGGCGGAATAATACCACTCTTCTTCAGCTGAAATTGGGATGGAGTTGAAAGCCTTGTACTTGTAGAAGTCCACACCGGTACGAAAGAATACCCTGATCTTCCTGTCCTCATCCGGCGGATCCGGATACGTTGAGCTCAACATCTTCCACTCAAAATCTCTCTCCAGCATGTACTTGAACCTATTCACCAATCTCGTCCCTTTCAAGTACCCTGACCTTTGAAAGATTGGATCGACGTTGTAGAGCCAGAAGTCAAGACCATCAACACTAGAGACTCGACTGCCAAGCGCCTTGAGCATGTCGGGTAGGTGACCCAAGAGGTAGCTCCGTTTGTACAACCTGTGCTCCATCTCTCTGATCTGCAAGGTAATTTTGCCCTTGTCCATGTCCCAGAAGCTGGTGCGCGATTGATCCCTCAAAGGGTACTGCATCACATCGCCCCAGAGGAACAGGTGAACCGTCTTGATATTGGGGCAAGGCAGTTTGTCGTGATCTCCATAATCTCCAACAACATGCACCATTCCCTGAAGCTTCGCCGCCGTGCCCTTCACCACAAGGGTCTCGACATTGGGTAAGGATGGCATACGCTCACGCGACACGGAGGCGCCCACCAGAGTGTAGGCAGGTGTCAAAAGCTCCAGTCGCGTAGCAGCGGAGCACAAATGCTCGATGATGGAGTTGCTCAGACGCGTCGGCTCTGCCTTATCGATCCCCGAAGTCTGTTCCTCCCAGAGGAGAGACTGCATGATGACAATCTCGACCGAGGGGAGAGAGGGGTGTCTGTCAAAGTTCGTCCATACTGATCGACCGTTTGGACCCTTTGCACGCTCTACTACGACCGCTGGGGCGGAATTCAGCAGCCTGGCTTTGCTGTAAGGCCCTTGATCTTCGCCCGAGAGAGAAACGCCAGCGAGTGGATTGCAGGCGTTTGAGATCGGAAGTGGGTTGTAGAGCTTTGGCGCGACGAGTCTGAAGAAGAGGGGCGATGTGCGGAGGAGGGGTACGAGATGTTTGCGTGGGGTGAGGTAGGAGAAGATGACGAGGAGTATGTCGACAGTGTGGGCTACTTCGGCAGAAGACGACATGTTCCTCGGAGAATAGTTCTATCTAGTGGATTAGTAGAGATTCGCATTCACGCATTCACTAGAGCCATACACACCCTTGCGGATACGACTGTCCAGCTCTCAACAACCACGGCGGGTCTAGAGCCCGTCCTTGTGAGCTTTTGAGAGAGGGGCGTGAAGACGGAGAGGGCGATGACAGTGTCGTGGTGAGAGAAAGCCGGATTCGAAAGAGATGGCGATAACGCGAGAGTGCAGAGCACCACAGAGCTACAGATTTTTCGTGGTCGTCGTCGTTGTTGTTGTGTGTCCGAGGCCTCCTTACATAATGCATAGTGTTACTGCAATCTCCTCGAGCTGCTGTCTTGTGGATTTCCATCCGCAACCAACAGCTATTTGTGAGCGGTGAGCTTTGTAGGTGATCACGGTATTGCCGAGATATACCTTGACGCCTGTCATGTTTATCGCCTGCATGAGGACACCTCACAACGTCCTCCACCCCCCGTTCATTCTAGTCCCATACTTGATTCCGTCTCCATGTCTCCTCCACCCTTCCAAAGCATCCTCTGCCGTCTTGTCGCTTCCCAAGATACCCTGCTCCACCAATCTGTGAGCTTTGCCAACACTGCCTCAACATTACGCGGTTCCGTGTTTACATGAGCGAAAGCTGTCACATCATTAAGAGACAGCCGACATAGTCGAAGCAGTATAAGAGTACGTCTGGAAGAAGGACGAAACTCGACCCGGAAACAGATCTAGCTCTGACGCCGTCGGTAAGCTTGCGGCACTTTTTCGAGCAGCAATTGAGGGGGCGGACCGTAAAGATGGTGACGCCTCTGAGCATGTGAGGTTAAGGTCTGACAGGTGATAGCGGCGATTTGGTACGTGGAGAGTGACAATGTTGAGATGAAGATTGTAATTTGTTCGCGTCGAACCAAACACCAAAAGAAGACTCCGCACATGAATCTTCTTTCCTACGCGACGCCCGTCACTATGGCTTTCGATATACAGCTACATCGGCAGCAACTTTTCCAAGTCCAAGAGTCACATGTATGTGCGCCAAAACTCTGCTAGCGTTGACCCACTCGACACGCCACCGTTGCCCACCTATCAACCATTTTGAAGCGCCTCGTACGGTGGCGAAGCGGCTCGAAGCCGACATTGCCGGCCTGGAAGCGATAGATGAGAAGTTAAAGATTTCGCTCAGATACGATTCGAGGACAGATGGGCGTATTATAAGGCAAAGCAGGCGGCCAAGAGGGCTGCTGGTACCTTTGCCGGGGTGAGACCTGAGAACCAAAACTTTCCCGGGGGTGTATGGGTGTAGCCAAAGCATACAAGACGTGCGGCAATGTACCGTCAATATTTTCCACCAAATGATTTCACTTGTCTATATGATATAGGTTCATTGTATACTCGACCTTTGAGAAACGCTGGCATCATGTTGTACAATCTATGGCTGACCCCACTTCTGCGGCCGTGTCATAGGCTGACCACATGTTTTTTATGGTGCCTCAAATGTCCTCATGAACGATGAGAAGAATGACACCTCTTGCGTGACTTTCTCTCTTTGCCCAATCGTGCCAATGAGGCTGGAGGCTCACCGGCATGACATCCGCATCATGTTGTACAATTCATGGCTGACCCCACTTCTGCGGCCGATCATCCATCTCCCAGACCCACTTCCCGCCTTTCGTCACAACATCATGGCTCACGTCTACCCCTTCCCAGCTTTCTCCCTCTACCGTCAGCCCCTTAACATACACCCTCCCCTTACTGGCTCCATCAGCGACAACCTCCAGAACCCTTTCTCCTCCTTCTTCATCCCAAGGCGCGGCCGGTAATCGTAGCCTAATCTTGTCGAAGAGAGGCGAGCCGAGGACGTATGTGGCCGAGGCAGGATCGACGGGGTAGAAGCCTAAAGCGGTAAAGATGTACCATGCAGACATTTGACCACAATCTTCGTTCCCAGAAAGACCGGCGGCGGTGTGATTGTATTCTGATGACGCGAGGGAGTGAAGCCAGAATTGGGACTTGTCGGGAGCAGACGCAAGGGAATAGAGGTATGGCTTTTGCTCTCGTTAGCGCGGACACAGGGGAAGAAAGACACTTACAATATGGTGGGACGGCTCGTTCGTGTGCAAGTTGTGCCCGCCGGCAAAATGGCGGTCCATAAAGTCGACGAAGGACGCATTTCCACCCATCAGCTCTGCCAAACCGGGGACATCGTGCTGTGATTTCATCAGCACCACTCCTCTTCTCTTCTTACCAAGCGTAATGACTCACCATGACGTCCAAGCTATACGCCCATTTGTCGCCCTCGGTCCATCCATTTTCGTCTCCCGCCCATGACCCATCGCTGTTACGAGCTTCCATGAAACCTGTACCGTTATTCCACAGGCTCTTGTAGTTTTTCGAGCGAGTGGTAAGAAGAGATGCGGTGGAAGAGAGGTCGAGGTGGGATAGAGAAGGGTGGGATGCGAGTAGGGCGGCGGCATGGTCAAGATCTACACCGAACGTCAATATATCAAAGTCTGGATGAAGGGAGGGTAGGGACATACACGCATAGTCCAAAGTCCTGCTCCCACTTTCCGTATGAAGATCATCCGCTACATAGCCCAATTTCGTATACTCGGTGAGGCCTGCGCGTGCTTCTTGCGGTGTATTTTCCTCGCGGTCTCCGAATCTTCAGCCTTGTCAGCAGGTTGTTCCCGAATACCAAGTGAAATGCAGAGAAAAGGGTGGAAGAGGGATGCAGTGGGAGGGACACGTACTGGAGCTCGGTATCCCGTTCCGGCGGTGTAAAAGCATTCTTCTTGACAGCCTCCCACGCTTCGTCCAAATCGAACCCCTTCACCCCTACAGAAAAGTCAGCCTCCATGACAGGGACCGAATACTGTAGTCTAAACAAGACATACCAGATAGCACTGCGCCAGCCACCACCGCATCGGCATAAGTCCCAACCATAATATTTGTCTCCACGACGTTCTTCCACATCGGCATCCAACCTCCTTCTTTCCAATCTTGCAGCATACTGGTGATCATCCCCGGTACACGAGAGGGTGCAAGGAGGATGAGGAGGGGATGCTGGGCGCGGGCAGTGTCCCAGAGGGAGTAGCCTGAGTAGGACTCGCCTTTGGCTAGAGCGTCCAAGTAGCCAGAGTAGTAGGCTACAGTGCTCTCGCCATCTTCTTTCTCTGTGTCGCCGGACCAAGTGGGGGAGGAAGAGTTGGCGCGGGTCAAGAAGGTGGTGTTCTCGGATACTTCGTAAGGGTAGACCAAAGTGTGTGCCAGACTGGTATAGATCACGGTCTTGTTTGACCCACTCGCGCCCGAGACCGAAAGCCTGTCGAGATGTTCGGCCCACTGGGCACGGGTGGCGATGGAGGTATCGACAAACGAGGACCGGGAGGCAGAGGAAGAGGAAGGGAGTGATGATGAGGAAGAGGATGAGTATGTGGAGTATGAGCCAGATGAGGAAGCCGAATAGGTCGAGGACGCCGAGAATACCGTCGATGAGTCTTTTGGAGACGCAGGGAAAGGGGTAGATTCGAGCTCGATGTTCCTAAATACAGTCAGTATCTCGCAAAAGATCTCATGCGAATAAAGACGGAAGAGGAAAGAAAACGTACCGTCTCGCCTGCTCGACGCTCACCCAGCTGATTCCCACTTTCATCTCTACCACCATCTCATCCTCTTCATCGCCCCCTTCAAACTCGATAAATCCCGCAAGTACCGCCCCCTCAGCCTGTTCATCGTCATATGTGATGGTGCCATTCTTGGACGTGGCGAAGCGAGAGAAGGGGTGGGAGAATTGGGCTACGAAGTAGCCTTTGAAGTCTTTCGCTGGGAGGTCGTCGCCGACGAGAATATGGCTATTCATCCATCAGCTGCCATACTTCGGATATATGAAAGGTAGTGAAGGTGTCGATAAGGCAATGGGGGACTCACTCTTGTCTCTCATCGCCCCAGCCCCATACCTCCCCCTTGTCCCAATCTACCCGGATGAAGCCGCTGGGGTGATAGGGAACGCGGTCGTCGGGCTTGTCACCGTGGACTAGGAACGTAGACCTCGCTGGCTGAATCAAGATTCGGGGTACGACTTCTGCCGAGGAAGAAGAAGAAGATGAGGAGGAAGGGGATGATTTTTGGAATGTGAAGCGCATATGCCCAACCCGGGAAGCTATCAGCGCTTGTCAGTTTCTGCCCCCTATCTTGTTCAATGTAGGGTGAAGCGAGAGGAACTTACAAGCGGTAAGTTCAGCCTCCACATGACCCCCTTCGTCCTTGAGGAGGTTGCGGTAATAGTTTGGGGAGGCGTATTCTTCTGATCGTTCAAAGGGAAGGGCGCGGTCGTCAAAGAGGACTTTGGGCGTGTTTGCAAGGCTCGGCGAAACTTCGAGAGGGGCCGATTCGCCTGCATTATGAAATCAGCACTATGACGAAAAGCAGAGAATGAGGAGAGGGAGAGACGAACCCATCCAGATAGCAGGCTGATGTGTCGCGATAAAACCGTGTAGCTTGGTGTCTGTTTGGTTATACGGACACATCGAGACGTCTGTCAATATTTGCATCAGCTTCCGACCACATATGAGTTAGCAAGGAGAAAGGAGAAGCGTACAATTTGCTCGAGTCTGCGGAGTCCAGCGGGTCATACCAAAAGGGGTCGAGATGGCCGGGATCATACCACCACTCAAGTTAGGCTCGGGACTATCCCAGACAGTCAGTTCCCGGTGCTTCAGATGGGAGATGGGTAGGCGACTCACCCACCGTTTCCGAGGTTGACATTGACCCATCCAAGGGCCTCGCTATTAGGCTCGAGGAACTCTGGGCGCACAGTCTGACGTCGGCCATCTTGGAAATCGGCGTGGCCGTAGACTTCTCCCTCTGGTGCTCGCTCCAGCAGACTACGACCATCCAGCCCCTTTCCTTCTACAAGCCTTACGAATGGATCATCCCGCTTTGGAGATGAGATGTAAGCTTGAAGGCTTTGCAAGTGGTCGTATACGCCCGAGATGGGGACGTAGATGATGGTGAGGGCGAGAAGCAGGAAGAAGAGGGCGAGGGTGAGATGATAGAGGGGAATGGGGGTCCGGCGGTGCTGTATAGGGGGGCGAGGTCGGGGAGGGGGTGGACGGGGAGGCATTTTGTGGTTTGAAAATGAAGAAAGAGATGGATGTTCTTTGTGGGAGAGAGAAGTGGAGGCGCGCCGGCCGCCGGTTTGCGCGCATCTCCTCTTTCATCACGTCCTCATCTATCTTTGCCTGTTTGACTCTCTGCAAAACCGAAAGCGCAATATGGCACTCCCCAAGCCGACTGGACTGGTGATGCAGATAATCATCCCCAAAGACCTCATTACTGTACGTCGCTCCTCCCCTTTTTGGATAAGATCAAGAGCTGATCAGTAAGACAGGTGCACAATTGGCCTACAGGCCCGCTTATGGCTCAGTCGGCCCATGCTGCGACTGCCGTGCTGCACAAGTTCCGTGATCATCCTGATGTAAAGAGGTATCTGGAGGGTGAAGATGGGAGAGGGTGGGAAGTCATGCGCAAGGTGGTTTTGCAAGTACGCCCTGTCTCCTTCTTTTGCATGAAACCAAGGCTGATACACTCGATAGGTGAAAGATGGAGATACCCTGAGACAGCTGGCGGCCAAGATCGATGCTATGAAGAACCCCATCGGGTATCACCTTTGGACAGAACAGCCGTGAGCGCCCCTTTCCCTCCGCCCCCATCACTCACGTTACTCACGTTGGATGACAGGGAGAACATACCCGCCGCCCTCGCTTTGGTGCCCAACAAGCGGCCGAAGGCACTGAAAGTCGCCCTGGACGAGGCTGGATGCGAGCTGTTCCAGTGAAACACCGTCGACCAACGGGGCACGGACCCCCTGTGTGCTTTGTTGGACGACAAACAATACTAAAGCGCGTGATGCAATTCTATCTCCATTCCTCAACTGTACTTCAACAATCTCGAGTATGCACAGCCCGTACAAGAACAACGGGTACTCAACCCTCGTACGTCCCCGATTCTCTTCCGTGCTATCGCTCACATGGAGCAGTATACCTCCGGCCTGTTCGCCTCCAGCCCGAAAAGATCGCCCAACAAGTCTCCCACCAAACGCCGCCTCCCTCCCACCACTCCCAGGCGCCACCGATCCTCCATCCTCCCCTCCACACCCTCCAACCCGTCACCTCAAAAGTACAAGTCTTCAGGCGGGGAGCAGTCTGTCGAACGGTCCTTTGAAGGTGTTATGAAGACTCTCCGGCGGATGGGGATCTCTACGCCGGGGAAGGGACAGGCTGTGAACCAGAGCAGGTGGTCGGCGTGGTCTAGTGAGGACGAGAATGAGCCGCAGCAAGAGGAAGGGGAGGGGTTTTGGAAGGGGCGCAAGTCGTCTGATACTACCCGCTCTACCCGCTCCAAGCTTTCTTTTCGAGCGAGGAAAGGCGTCCCTCAGGTTTGGTCTGGCAACGACCCCGCTTCAGTCTACGAGGAAGAAGAAGGCCGCAAGTCGTCTGATGGACGTTCTGTCAAGTCGAGTCGTTCCATGCGGTCTGTCAAGTCGAAGAGGGAGAGGGGACGCAAGTCGGAAGACGTTGAGCGACCTGCGTTTGATGAAGAGAGAGTTCCTGACGTGCCCGCTTTGCCGAAGGCTATGGAAGCGCCCAGGACGCCTGGCAAGAAGGCCAAGTTGATGTCGGGCTTGGTTAGGCGGTTAGGCTTGACGCCGAGGAAGAAGGGGAGCTCCATGTAGATTTTTCTTTCCTCGTTTCTGTATTCAGGCTGACGCTATGGCAGGGCGCCGTCAGAGACCATGGTCACACCCTTCGACCCTTCCCAAGCTCCACCCCTCCCTCTCCCCTGCACCCCCCGCACCCAAATCCGACCAGAGTCCAACCTGCCGCCTCCCCCTGGTATCCGAGACGACCTCCCCCTCCCGCGCAAAACATCCCTCTCCACTCTCCGTTCCGCTCTCACCAAGAAGGGCTCTGCGACCACCCTCCGCTCTGTCAGGTCAAACCATACGGCCAACACTGCTAGGGAGAGCAACTTTGGGGCATCGTGTACGTCGTTGGCAGGGTTTGAGATGGACCTTGATGCACCGCCCCTTCCGCCTGGACTGCCGAGGCCGAGAGAGTGGGGATCGCCAAAGACGCCGCGAAGGGGAGGTGGGGATGGGAAGAGGACGCCGAAGAGCTCGATTGGGCAGCCAAAGTTGAAGGAAGAGACGTCGCCTTCGGCTTTCCTTGAGCAGATGCCGAGGAGGGCGCCAGAGACGCCAAAGAGGGAAGAGTTCGGGGGTGGGGAGGGTACGCCGGGGCTTGTTGGAGGAGATGGGGATGTTGTTATGGGGGAAGACGTCACGGACGAGTCGCTGGAGACTACTGCTATAATCACCCCACCAGCTCCGGGTCCTGTGCCAGACGTTACGCAGAAGCACCCTTTCGCATCTTCTCTTCGCTCCACCACTGCTATACGCTCGACCTCGCCCCTGGGCAACGCTTCGCCCTACTCACCATTCTCCCTCAATTCATTCTCCCCCGCTCAGTCATCTACGCCTCTTACAGCCAAGGCCTTTGCGCAGGGGAAGGAACGAAAGTCGAGTAGGCTTGGGTCGCTTTTGCCTGCTCTTGGACCGGCTCCGGCTGCGGTGGGGCATGGATCTAAGCCCTTGAGGACTTTGCGGTCAAAAAAGAGTACGGACGCCTTGTCAGTCTCGGGCGCGTCGGTGCTGGGCATGAGGGATGTCAATGCTATGGGCCTGCCTGTCCCTCCTCGGTCTGCTACCTCCCTCGGCGCATACTCGTCTTTCGACGGCGCGAGTACCGGCAAGAAGGAGAGCAACAAGTTGATGAAAAAGTCGAAAGCGCTCGCAGGGGTGGCGGTGGGGCAGACGAGAGTCAGTTTGGGGAGTAAGGTGGTGGGGCTGGATGTTGATGGGTGTTTTGGGGAGAGGGGAAATCCGTTTGAGAGCGTTAGGGTTCCGACGCCGGTGCCTTCACTTGTCGCTGGGTCTCATGACAGCCCTCCGCCGTCATATCAATTTCCGGCACCTCCTACTAGCCTCCCCGCACCCGCCTCTACCGCCTTCGCACCCGAAGCTCGAGAGGACGAAGAGATGCTCGACAAATCCCGTACTTCTTTCAACGACGACGATATCCCGGCAACTGCCGCTGCAATGGGCGGCGGTGAGGCGGGGATGAGCTTTGACGACGGCAGTTTCTACACGAGCGAAGAACCGAGCTACGTCGAGCCTCTTCCATTCACCTTCCCCTGTCCCCGCCCCACCCACACTCCCCAACTCTCCGCCTTCCCGCCGCCCTCCTCCTTTTCCTCCTCCTCCCCCCATACACAGAACAAACACATCCCAACCCCTTCTGCCGACTCGCTCCTCTCCCTTCAGTCGCTGGCGACGTCAGAGTCATTTGGGAGTGCGCTGACGCATGATACGGGTGTGACGGCGCAGACGGCAAGGACGAGAGGGGGAGGGGTGGATAGTTGGGAGTTGGAGAGGTATTTGCAGGAGGCGGAGAGGGGGGAGGAGAGGGATAGGGGGGGTGGTGTGGGTGTGGGAGGTGGGAGGGGAGGGTATTTCTAGGGGAGGGTATTTCTAGTCTAGCTGCGAGATTGGGGAAGACTCTTGAGGGGCTTGGGGTATACTGAGAGAAAGAGACGTTTTACAATGACGTTGTGTAGCTATACATGCCGTTTTTGGTTCATATGCCATATGTGGATATGTAGACCATGGCTCTCTGATCAAGGCGTCGCGTTCGTAAAGAGATGGAATCGGCGGCCGGCGCCGACACTTTGACTCCAGGCACATGGCCTCCACCTCATCTTTCGCCCTTTCGTCCTCTTGTCGTTGCTGTTTTGTTGTTCTCCATCGCAGCATGCTCGCCAGAATACGAAATCGACAGAAGGCGCCAGTCACACCGCCAGACCCAGAGGGCATCAACTATACACAGGAGCATGTTTCCATTGCGCGTACTATCCGGAGGAGACAGAAAATCTTGGGCGAGGTATGGCGGCGTTTGCCCACTATCCAGTATGTGTCTCTTTCCTTCTCATGATGGTGGATACCAGCTGATTATGGGACAGGTGGGTACTAATATTGGCAGGTATGGGGTGGTTATTAGCGTTACCGTATGAAGGCCTCTGGAGGGGGACGTATGTCGATGAGCATGCTTTACAACCAGCTCAGGTACGTCTATCTTGTTTGATTCTGACAAAGTAGGGGAAAGGGACTGATGGAGGAATAGGTGACGGTGTATTTTGATTGGGCGAATGTACATAAGGCAGATTTGTATTTGGGAGAGCTGGAGAGGATTGACAATATCACTTTTGAAGAGTACGTTTCTCGCCTCCTCCTTCTCTCGTTCCTCTCGGCTGACAAGTCTCTAGGCGTACAGAATACCTTCAAAGATCATTCTCAGAATCTGGTCTGCATACGAGTAATACGTCTACGGCTACATACGCGCATGTGTCACCGCCGCGGTCGGCAGGGACGGAGACGATATTGGTTTCGGCAAATTGGGTATCGAGGGATGGGGGGCCTAATTTGCGGGGGATAGCGACACTATTAGCGATGGGAGACTTTATGAGAGGTGATCTTCGATGCCTTATACTTCTTCACTTTGTGCGCATAGCTGACTTGAGGTAGGTCAGAATTACTGGGCGTTCGACTTTGTCTTGGTCATCGGGGAGGGCTACCAAACTGGCCTGGCGGATTTCATGGAGGAATATAGCAGCTTGTTTTCAGGGAAGGTATGGACAGGGGTGAATATCGATTATCCAGGACATTCATTCTCCCATCTCGGTCTCTTCTATGGTACGTCCCTTCTTCCCCAAACGAGCAAACGCTGACCGGAATGATAGAAGGAACGAATGGCCGTCTCCCGAACCAAGATACTCTCAACACCTTCTCCCGCGTTGCCGACTCTATAGGCGTCCCTGTGCGATACCACAACATTCCGGACGAGGTTGAGGTATACCGCTGGCCGTTTGGGTGGCTGGGGCAATATCTGTTGGCGGCGAAACATCTTTTGCATCATCTTGCTTATGCTGGGCTCGGGAGAGGGAGTGGAGGACATGGTCCTATGGCTCGGTACGTTTCATTCAAGTGTTCGATTCAGAGAGAAAGAGGCTTATGATGACGCAGACATAGGATCGATTCGTACACCATCTACGCTGCCCCCGCCACCGGTCCTCACGGCTTCCACTCCCTCGGCCGTACGCTCGAATCCACCCTCCGCTCATACAACAACCTCCTCGAACGACTGCACGCTTCCTACTTTTTCTACCTGCTACCGAGACTGGGGAGGTTTCTTGAAGTGGGCAAGTACTTGCCGGCGGCGGTGCTTATGGGGGCGGGGTTGACGTTGGGGGGGTTGGATGTGCCGAAGCCGTTGGAGGCGGTGGGGTTGCTTGGGGCGGGAGGGGTGGTGGCGGGTTGTATCTGGCTCTGGCCGTTGGTATATGTGCTGCTGCCGCTGTTGAGCCGAGTACCACGCTCGACCGACGACGGTCGCAAATCGACCGAATCACTCCTCCTTCTCACCTACGGCGCCCTCGTCCCCACCCTCGCCATGATCAACTTTCCACAGGCTGTCATCCTTGCTCTCATCTCGATTATCTCGCTCAAAATGCACAGATGGGTGAGGTTTGGGACGAGCTTGGTGATAGTGGTGGCGATGCCGGTGGTGTTGAGGAAGACGGGGATGGATATGGGGAAGGAGTGGGAGGAGGTGGGAAATCTGGTGTGGCCGGGTGTTCATGCGGTGTTGCTGCCGCTGTGCTTGGTTAATTGTGTGTTGACAAAACCGTTTTGATCATGTATATCCTGTTATAGACTTGACTCGTCCCAATGTACAAGTGTACGAAGCATACACCGATCATTGTGCAAGTGGGATTTCATAGCTGCATAGAACAATGTTCTTTGAAGCATGTACAGATCATGCCCTCATGGTGTGATGGTGCTGAGCGTCGTGTACTTCCAAAAGCACGAAAGTGCTGATATCAGCATCCGCCATCGCATATATATTGACAATGCTCCCCTTTGAGTGGTCTATGAGCAAGAACTCGGTCTCGTAGGACCACGGCTAAGGCCTGTCGGGCAAGATGACACCAGTCGTATTGCGAAGTAACCCTCGGACTCCCATCGGTGTAAAAGGAGGGTCATCATCTTCTGCTCATGGCTGCATATGAATGCTCTACCAATAATCATCAATACACTATACAGCCAACGCATCCGTGTTCTATGATGGGGATTGGTGCAGTCTGCTTTCACGACTCGGGAGCCACGTCATATACTTTCATTGTCAAAAACGTGCTGATATCAGCATCCGCTTTTGCATATGTATTGACAATGCTCCCTTTCGAGTGGTCATTGAGCAAGAATTCGGTCTCGTATGACCACGGTTGAGGCGTGTCGGGTACGCTTACACTAACCTGGTCGTTCAGTATTCCTTCGGACTCTCGTCTGTACATCTGTGAAAAAGGAGGGTAATCGTCCTCTGCCGCCCTCCCTTCTTCAAACTGAGAACTATTGCCAGCTAATCCGAACGCCGACCAATTGGCACCCAGTCTCATAGCCAACATCGCCTTTTCATCCTCACTAAACGTACTGGAAAGCTGCGCTTGAGCTTCGAGCGTGTAAGTGACGGACACGGGCCATGCGGTGCCGATTTGGGTTCTATCCTTGTCAAACTTTTTGCAAGTAGCTTTGCAGGTTGCGACTGGAAGTGGCCGGAACAACGAACGATGTGCAGCAGCAGAATCGCCACTGGTACCGGTGTGGGACACGTACTTTTGTATGACTGTCGCTCGCTCGCGGAGCTCTATGTCTCCCGAGACCAAATCGTACATCTCATTGGGGTACTTGTAGCTCCAGTAGGTCTTATCTTGCGTAATGGAAGAGGTCGATGCAGCGTCTGAGCCTTGAGCCTCGCCGGGGGCTGTTTGGCGTCGTCCAGCCCAAAATGATTGGTGAAATGGCTCCGTACCGAGAGCTTGAAGAGCTTGAGCGGCGAAGGTAGTATCTTCTCCGGAGAGTTGTACACGGGTGATGGGCTTGTCTTCGGCGGGTGTTTCGGGTAGTGTTTGGGAAGACATTGGGCTTGAGGGTGACGGTTGTTGGCTGTGGATTCTGCAAGGCTCAAGTTGAGATGATTCAATTGCGCTGGGTTCGACCTTGTTCGGACACTAAAGTACTTTTTCCAGATGGGCTAACGCAGCGCGATCCGTGAGACCGTACCCGTACAGAAACCACTTCTAGCTAGTACATCAGAATGTATTCCTTATATCGGTCTTTGGAATGGTGGGAAAGACTTCGTATGTACTCGTATGCCAGCGCCGACGGTAATGTGGTTCTTCAAACATGTCATGGTCCAGCTTGCCTTGGTGTCACAGAGCTGTGATCGCCTTGTCTCTGTATTCCCACAGAGAAAAATCAGCCTCATCCCGCGGCTCAATATGTGGAAAGCAAGTGACAGAAGGCTCGATGATCGTTCGTCTCACGGTCGCGTTGTGTCGTCTGCGTTCCGATATCGACTTTGGTTCTTCTCATAAAGCAACAAGTACCCTTTGACTTTTACGTATGAGAATGGAGATGACTGAGAAGAGACTTTTCCACTGCATTCGAGAGCTGGATGCAAGACGGTTGAAAGAGAAAGATGACCGTCACAAGTTGGTCTTGAGTTGGTCACAAGCGGCATTGGCCGACATGGCCGACCGGGGGCCGGGATTCTTTCAGTGTTGTTTCAGTGGGACGCTGCCTTTCCATCTTCCCTTCCTCCATCACTTTTCGATCACGATCCAATACAACAACTCAACGTTGACCGGAAGATAGATGGCTAGATACGACCATCTGACATCATGGCAGCTCCCGCAAATTCTGCAGTGTTACAGAACATCTACTACGAACGGGTGAGTCATTTCCTCTGCACCTCTCCTCATTTCCTTTCTTCTCTACCTGCTTCTTGACTCTCAATGCTATCCAGTGGTGACCGAAGATGGAATGCTGACACTACGGTATAGAAAGTAGGCACAGCGAAGTCATGTTACATCTGCCATCGCCCGACTACGACAGTCCTCGCAACGCTCAAGACGGAGGACTTTCTGTATACTTGCGAAGTACATCTGAGCGATCCGTAAGGCTGCAGTCTCTACCCTGGATGATACACGAAGTTCTCAAGCTGACCAAAGCTGTAGTGGGTTGTGAGTATATACTCCGCCGAGTGGAGAGAAAGCGTCTTATGTGTGTAGCGCATCGCCGATCGCCCCCCCGCCCCAACTATCTGCCCCATCGGCTGAGGATATCCGCAAAGTGGTAGCCGACTACAATGCACGTGAATCCAAGAAGAAAGAAGCCTCCGGCAAACCCGACGAGAAAGAGAAAGATCCCAAAGACGCCAAATCGCCCTCTCCTGCCCCCTCCCCTGCTCCAAGCGTCCCGACGTCGACACCGCCAGCGCAGCCGACACATAAGAAGTTTGCGCTGCATGGGAAGATGTTTGAAATCAGGAAACAGGAAATGCGAAGGAGGGAGCAGGGAGTCAAGGCAAGTGAAGTCGGGCGAGGTGAGTTAGAACATTTGTCCTCGGACGGCGTCGCTCATTTGTCCCAAGGGTTGCCACAGGTGCCGAGAGGGTCGTTCTAGTGCCAGGGTGATGCGTTGTACTGTCTCGCTGTAGTATAGTCAATATTGTATGCATAGGATTCCACATGCTGCTTTTCGAGAAGCGTGAGTCGTGACGTTGACAGTGATGCACTTACGTAAGCGACAAAAACACGATGGAACGCTGCTACTGCGGTCATCTCTCAAGTGAACATCTTTTCAACATCCTCCACGACCACATCCGGCTTTTTGGACCCCAGAGACAACCCTCGCCATGCCCCCAAACGCCTCAAAAACAATCTTTGGTATGCTCTCCTCCCCAAGCTTCCTGCTGGACGCTCGCTGACTCTTTCTCAGTCGCCAATATCCCCTAGCAAGTATTCGCTCAATCTCTTCTCGGAACTTGAACTAATACGCATCGTATAGCGATGTGTCAGAGGAACAGCTGGCAGGTGTCTTTTCAGAGGCTGGACCCGTGTCCAATGTAGAGTACGTCTTTTATGAAGGAGGAGAGGGTGGAGCACGATGGAATGCTAATGTCGTGCGTAGGATCAAGTTTGACCCCCAGAGTGGAAGATCGAAGGGATACGCTTTCGTTTCTTTCTATGGTGAGCTTCAATGGGCCCGTATAAGAACTATTACAAGAGCATCTGCTCACCTTTTACGTCTCCTCTTCACAATTCACCGCTTCGCCCTCTCGCCCATTCTAATCACATCTCGCCCTCTCATACCGACGCACTATTCCTCCCCACAGACGAATCCACCGCCCTATCTGCTGTTCGCAATCTCCAAGATGCCCCTGTCAACGGCCGCAACCTTCGAGTCGAGCTGTCCACCGACGAACCCGGTCCCCGTCGGCGCGGCCCCCCTGTTGGCGCAGTCTCTTCCGGCCCTCCCCCCCCTGGACGATTCGGTGGACCATCTGCTGCTCCCGCTCCCTTTGCTGCTCGAGGTTCTTATGGAGGGCCTCCTGGAGGCGGGGCGGGGGGAGGCAGGTTCGGGGATAGAGTTGATACGCCGCCGCCGGCCAGAGACTATGGAGGTAGGAGAGGGGACGATTTGGATTTGAGGTTGGTGCCGCAGGGTGTGGAGCTGCCGCCGGGAGAGAAGGCTGTGGATGCTATCAGCAAGACTTTGGCGGCTATCAACCCCGGGCAGATGCAGGATGTTATGACGAGTATGAAGGTACGTCGCTTTCTCCATTCACCAGGCGGAAGCCAATTGTGTTGTAGCAACTGGTGCAGACGAACCCAGACCAGGCTCGTGTTCTCCTCTCCCAACAACCCCAACTCGCCTACGCTCTCTTCCAAGCGATGCTTTTGCTCAATATCGTCGACCCCTCTGTCCTCCAATCTATTCACCCTCTCCCACCTCCTACGGTTGCCGCGCCCCCGCCTTCGAATTATGGTCAGCCCCCGGCTCCATACGGACAAGATGCGGGCTCCAAGTACGGCCAGCCGCCGAGTGGCTATGGTGGTGGTGGAGGTGGAAGTGCAGGAGGTTATGGATACCCCCCAGCAAGCCAGCCTCCTCAAGCCTTCCGCCCTCCCCCATCCTACGCCGCTCCCCCCGCTCAAACCCCGCCCTACCCTCCCTACGGTGCCCCACCCCCCGCAGCTCACGCATATGGTTCTGCCCCTGCCCCTCCTCCTGCTGCGCCTACTCCCATGTCGGCACCTCCCCCAGTGGCGTCGGGTGTACCTGGTATGTCTGCGCTCCCGCCAGCGGCCCAGGCTGCGCTGGCGACGTTGCCGGAGGATCAGCAGGCGATGTTGATACAGGTTTTGAGCTTGGCGCCGGAGCAGATTAATGCGTTGGATCCGACGCAAAGGGCTAGTGTTGTTCAGCTGGTGAGTTTCGTTTGACGTATAGACCTATATGGGTTGCTGATGATTGGTGATAGCGACAGCAATTCCTCGGGACGGCCTAAGATATGGAGGGAAGAAGAAATTTTGGAGAAGATGAAGAAGGGGATGTTGAGTAAGGATAGCGAGTGGGTGGAATAATCATATATAGCGCTTCAAACAGATATTGTGGGCCACATGACGTATCAGACTCTATACTCGGAGCATGCAGCTCTGCAAACAAAGAACTTGTTTGTCGAAATGGCTGTGATTTTCATCCATGCTACATCAAACCGAGCCATCGTCCAATCTCTACGAGACCGCACGCGACCAATCTCGTTCAAACGATCCACTGGCCCGTTCTCTCATTCGTCGTCCTCAACCTCTTCCACAAATGCTCGTCTACTTTTCAATCCATCCTTCCCAGCAGCAGGTCCTGCACCACCAGCCGAAGCCACAGGATCATTGGCGGGGGAAGCAGGCGAAGCAGGGGCGGAGGTAGAGCTTGTGCCGGGGTTGTCGCCGGGCGCGAGGACAGGTTTGAGCGTCTTGACGCGGCCGGAGGACTTGGAGGTCTTGGGGCGTTTGGATGATTTGGTCTTGGGGATATCGTATTCCCAGCCGGGAATGAAAGAGTCCACCTTTCACAAAGTCAGTTGGTTTCAGCGAAAGCGGGGCGTAAAGAAGACTTACAAATCCAACGTCTTCAAACAGATTGGGGAAGATCCAGATCGCCCTCTGACAGACCATCACCGTCAAACACCAGAAGATCAATCTCACAATCGCCATCACTATAAACAGTCCCACCAGACACAAGACCCCGACGGACAAGTACCACACGCCTATCCTCAAGGTGACGGGCCAGAGTGGGAACATGACACCGGCGAGCATGATGAAGACCATGGCGGCGCCGCCGAGGTAGGTGTAGAGGGGGGAGCCGTCGTAGAACCAGGTGTAGTAGGAGGCGGGGTCGAAGGATTGTTGGGGGGCGAGGCGGAGGGGTTTGGGCTGGCCGGGAGGAGGGAGGGCTTCGGGGGGAGGACGGTCGGTACGGAGGAAGAAGGCGCTTGGGAAGAGTCAGCGAGTAGAACGGATAGGGGAGAGAGGGGCGTACAAGGGCAAAATCCTGACAAGAAGAGCTCTGGCTTCGTCTTCTGTGGTGATGGCGGGCACCTTCTTGAGCTTTTGATATTGAGGGCTGAGAAGACATCTGACGGCGGTCTTGCCTGGGATATGCGTCAGCTGATACCATCCCGAAAACACTCCTCGATCCCATCTGATCTCTGATCTTTCGCAGCCAATGCCCATACGGCTGACCTCCCTCTCTCTCTCTTCCCTCTCTGAGCGGTGCTTGATGCGAGACAAAAGACACACCTTTGAAGTACTCGACTCGCTTCCCATTCAAGACACCCATCCTCACTTTCGGCCCCGCTTTAGCACGGAGAAAGTCTACCACATTCTTGAGCTCCGGTTCGGCCTGTTGGGGGTGGTATGTCAGCTGGGAGTGTCTTGGGAGGGGAGGTGGGTCGGGCGTACTCGTTTTCTGCTTATCGTCAGCTCTGCTCTCTCGGGAAGGGTGGGTGAAATAGGGAGAGCGACTTACTGGGCGTCTTTAACGCTGGTGGCGTCGCTGGGGGCTACCATCCTGTATGCCGTATGGCTTGTGGGGAGAAAACAGAAATGAAAGCGGAGATGGACGGATTGAGGACAAGATCCGCGACGCGAACGGAACCAATGACGTGGCGGTGGAGGTTGCCGCTGGGCTGACGAACAATACTCGTAGAGTCAACGTAGAGTACGAGTATGGCTCTACACAGGGGCCCGGACAGCACCATTGATTCGTTGTAAAGACGGAAGAGGGAGAGCTCAAACACAGAACAGTGTACTCGTTAGCTTTACAACAAACTTGGACGATGAGTCACTCAGCGCCCCCTCTGCTTCTTACTGAAATGATGTGCGTGGCAATGGAAAGGCGAACTGGCTCTATAGCAACGCGATTGTCCACAGCACGGGCAGCGAGCATGCATCGAAAGCTTACCCTTTTGTCTCTATATCACTATCGAAACCTGTACCACGCCTGATGATCCTCATCATCCCACCTCAATATCCCTTCTCAACATCCACCTCATTGATAGCCCTTTCCCTCCCCCCCTCCCTTACTCTTCGCACATTATCAATCAACAAATCTGCCCCCGCATCATTGTACCCAAGACCCTCCATGCTTGAACTCGTATGAGCAGTGACGACAACGCGCGGGTGGGAGTAGAGGGGGTGTTGGGGAGGGAGGGGTTCGGGGTCTGTTACGTCGAGGGCGGCGCCGGAGAGGTGGGAGGAGGAGAGGGCGGAGAGGATTGTTTCTGCGGAGATGGAATAGTTAGGCGTGTAAGAAGAGGGAAGGGCGGGGTGGCGTACCGCTCTTGACGAGGTCGCCTCGGCCTACGTTGATGAAGATGGCACCGGGAGGAAGGAGAGCTATATCTTGATCAGTCTTGGATCAACCTGAGAAGGAGAGATACCTACCAAACTCCTCTTCTCCCAACAGCCACTGAGTCTGAGGCGTCGACGGCAGACTGGCGATCAAGATATCTGACTTTCCCAAGAAGGTCTTGAAAGACGCTTTGTCGGTGGTGGAGTAGTACGCGGAGGGGATGTCGCCTGCATAGTGGTAAGTATAGAGATCAAACAGAGAGCAAAGCAAACACCTACCCTCGACATCGCCGGTGCCGGGGATGATGTACCCATCGTCGACCCTCTTGTCACCCTTGGAGTTGGCGGCAATGACGTTGACGTTGAATGCTTTCAGAAGCCTAGCAGTTTCGCGAGCAATGTGGCCGTAGCCCTGCATATATAGTCAGATACTACACAGAAGAGCGCGCAAGATTGATGACGTTGAACGAGATGGAAGGAAAGATAAAGGACATGGGGAGGGACGTACCAAGAGACCGGCTGTCTTGCCGTAGAGGGATCGCCCGAAACCTTGAGTGTGGTACTCGGGCAGCTGAGGGATGTTGCGAGTCCATACCTGATTGGTCTAGAAACGTTCGTTTGTTAGCTGTTGTTCTCCTATTTCTTGACGAGGGAGAGGGGAGGGGGGTGAAAGGCGCGAACGTACCCGGTGGTTGAAGTTTTGCAGATGGAGCTGTTGATACACTGTTGCCAGTACAGTAAGAAGAATTGCGTGTGATGAGGCGATTATATAGACGTACAGGTGATGATTTGGGCAATGATCCATTGGGGAATCGCCGTCGAGTGGATTCCTATCGGGCATGATTAGCTCGGGGAAGTTATGAAGCTCGAGCACTCACCAGAAGCCGAGGATATAATGATATTCTCTTGAGCCTCTTTCCCGCTGAGTACAGAAGACTTGAGGGCAAGAGCAGCACCAGCTATAGCACCAGTCAGCTTTGAATTGCAGTCGTCAAGAGGAAGTCACTGACCGCTAGTAAGCTGTACGAGCTTCAGGTTTGGCACATCCTCGTATTTGATATACTCGGGGATACCTAGCCAGCTACAGTACCACACATCTACCTCGGCAGCTGCTTCTTTTGGGAGTTCCTCTTTGCCATCGTGGGGGTAGTAGTAGACGTGCTTGAAGTGCGTCTTGAGCTCGGCGAGCTTTTCGGGGGAGAGTGCGACGGTGAGTCCGAGGATGTCAAACTGGGGGTGGGTATTTGTCATCTTGAGCGAGAGGGGGGTGGAGTTGTTGCTGAAAAGTACGGATCGCTCTTATGTGCACCGATAACGACAAAATACGGAGCCGGCCAAATCCGGCACTTCGGCTTTCGGTTACGGCTGCCGTCGGCTACTACTACTAGAAATCAGGCAGCCTAACCCATTTCCCCAAATGATAATTTGGGACTTGGGATTTGGGAAGATGGACTTGCGGCGATGTCCGTTCTCACCAGAAATCTCCAAATCTCCAAATCGACCGTCTTGATCAAGATCTTGTCTCAATCTTGTGTTCAGCTCAATACTATCTCTCTCCACCATGTCTGCCCCGGTTTCGTCTTTCCGCACTCTCCTCGCCTCTTCTTCCAGATCCCTACGCCCCACCCTGAAACCGCGCATCCAAATACGACCATCCTCGTCCTCCTCCTTCCCTCCCCCGACCGGCCCCAGATTCACCACCGCCAAGCCCAAATCAGAATGGAAGAAGCCAACCACTATCCTGTTAATAATGGTTCCTTTTGTGACGGGATACTTGGGCTGGTGGCAGATCCAGAGACTGAGATGGAAGCTCGATCTGATCGACGAGGTGGACAGAAATATGGAGAAACCGCCGATGCTGCTACCTAGCCATATCAAGTGCGTATCCTATCTTCTCATATATTCTCATACTGATGACCATCCTAGTCTCGCTGCTATTCCCGACTTCTCCTTCCGCCGCGTCCTCGTCAAAGGTCAATTCTCTGGCCCTCCCATCCTGCTCGGCCCTCATACCTACGACGGTATCGCCGGCTACCATCTCATCCTCCCATTCCACCGCTCAGACGGCGGCTCCACCATCCTCCTCAACCGCGGCTTCATCACCACCACTCGCGCTACTGCTATCCGTAATCGCTCGCAGTCTGTCCCAGGCTTGACAGCCGACGGGCAATCGACAGGGGAGGAAGTCGTCATTGAGGGGTTGCTGCCAAAGACGGGCGAGAAGAGTGGTTTTACCCCGGACAACAAGCTGGAAACGAATGAGTGGTTCTGGAAAGACGTGGATTTGATGGCGGAAGTGGCAGGGGGGTCTGAGCAGAATGTGCAGCCGGTACTCGTCGATGCCATCGCTGGTGAGTCTTCTTCCCTTGAACAAAGAACAAGGTTTCTCATGCTGACATTTATTTCCAGAACCTGAGATATCACCCACACTCCTCATGCAGCAGGGTACCCCCGTCGGTAGACCGCCCGTTGTCGAGCTCCGAAACCAACACGCCCAATACGCCGCTATCTGGTATGCTCCTCCTTCTACTCCGTCCTTTCCACGGGTTTAATGAAGCTAACCTTATATCTAGGCTTTCTCTGTGCGCGTCAACAACAGTCATGGTTGGGTGGATCCTCACCAAGGGCCGCGCAGGAGGGAAAGGCTCGGCAGGGAAGAGACCGAAATTGTACTAGACCTTGACAGTCGTCATTCTGTCAAGTATCCTCAGACGTCAGCATCATGCATAGCATCATCCATGACTACATAAAACATGGTTGCGGCGCCGCTACCGCTGACTCGCTCGAGGATGAAAGGGAACTCGCTTGTACGGTGGGCACGCGGAGATGCGTCCATGTCCCCGGCGTGCGTCTGGTTGTACGACTGTGAGCAAGCTCGGCGTATTTGTGGTTCTGCGACGATTTCTCTGGGTGTATATACCGCCTATGCATTTCTCCCATTCTCCTCCATCGCACAACCAACATGGCAATTTTCTCTAGCCTCGCCTACAATTGGCAACATTTTGCCAACCACGTCGGCATCCCCCTGTTCTTCTGGAGACGTCCAACATGGTCTGTCCGTCAGATGTCAGAACAGTCCGGTAAAGTATGCAGAGATTACTGCGTTCATATGTCCTACGCTTACTGTTATTAGGTCGTTCTCATCACGGGGGGAAACGCTGGCACCGGATACGCTACCGCCCTCGCCCTTTACAACGCCGGCGCCAACGTCACCATCGCTTATCGCTCTCTCGACCACGCTCGGGAGGCTGTAGAGGGTATCAAGAAGAATGGTTAGGGGGCTATATGGGGTATCCGATACAACAGCCGTGCCCCGGAAGCAGAGAGCAAGGTCGGCACTGTGGACGTTCTTGAGCTTCTTGATCTCGCGGATTTGGGGAGTGTTCAGCGAGCCGCTGAAGAGTACAAGACGCAAGTATTCTTTTAAAAATACAGTGGCGACTGTAGCTGATGTTCTCTAGCCGTGTCAAACAGCTGGACTTGCTTTACTTGAACGCTGGCATCATGGGCACGTACGTCCCTCCCTTTCATACACAAACAAAGACTGACGTTGAGGTAACAAGCCCGGAAGGGCAATGGACCAAGCAAGGCTACACTCTCCAATTTGAAACTATGGTATGTCTCTTCTCCAGTCCTCCTTGTATACCAACTTACTGAGATCCTCGCAGGTCCTCGCCCACCATCGCTTCGCCACCCATCTTATGCCTATCATCTTGTCCCCCCGCCCCGAGCCGGCCAGAATCGACATCCCTCGCCTCTCTCGCGCACAACCTTGCCCCGCCCGGGGGCATCGACTATCTCTCCCTCATTCGCCACCCCGACGACGTGCCCGATCCCGATGGGTCGCCCAAGAGGGGGAAGAACGAGCAAGAGAGGTGGGCAGAGTATGGGCAGTCGAAGTGGGGGGTATATCGCTTTGGCGAGGTATCTTGCGGTCTTGCGGAGAAGTATGACCCGAAGGAGTTGATCGCTGTGGCAGTTCATCCTGGTGAGCTTTCGTTCTTCTGTGTTGCGGTGTAGTCGGACGCCGCTGATCGATACGATGTAGGTTCGCTCTCGACTAATCTTTTCCAACCATCTCGGTACGTTCGCCTGGGTAATGTCCAAAGCACAATGGGCTCTCGTACGTCTTTTCCCGCCGTCAAGCACGCTTTCGTCCTTCTAGGTGCCGCTTTACTTTTCCCCCTCTGATGGCGCGCGCTCAACCAGATCTGGGCCGGTACCCATCCCCTTCCCGGAAGCTCTGGCGCGGAACGGCAGGTACGTCACGCCTTTCAACCATGCCTTGGAGCCAAGAGGCGATCTGGTGGGCGAAGAGGGAAAGAAGAAGGCGGTGGAACTTTGGGAGTGGTGTGATGAGCAGGGAAAGAAGTTTCAGTAGTCGGGTATAGTCCTCTACTTCAGACATCTCGACAAGCGGTAAAGTCGTTCGCCCATTGTCCAGTATCGATCCCTCATTCGATGGCTTTCTCTGCAATGCATTCAGTTCTGCAACTCGGCTGCCGAAGTCACGTGCGTAGCCAACTATGACGTTGTTGCGACTCCCCACATCTGAACTTGATTCTTTCTTCATTTTTCCCTCTTCATCCGCACATCCCCGTCCACCATGGAAACATCCGTCAAGCCCACCTCCACCCTCGTATTCGACAAAGACCTCGACCTCAAAGTCGACGTCTACCTCCCCCCTTCCATCGTCGATGGCCAGCCCGAGTCTGGCGAGGAGGTTCTCAAGAGGCAAGACGAGCTCAAGAAACTTCCCGCCGTCGTCTACTTTCATCATGGCGGTATGGTCTCGGGCGACAGAGCTGGTATCTTCCCTCCCGACCTGCCTGGTACGTCCTCTCACGCCACCCTTCATCGATGATCGAGGTGCCATGCTGACGATCGCATAGAACGTCTGACGTCAAAGGGCATCATCCTCTTCTCCCCCGACTACCGCCTCCTCCACCCCTCGAACGCGTCCGACCTGCTCACCGACATGCACAACTTCTTCTCCTACCTCTCCCCCTACTCCAAGCCCAAAGCCCTCATCTCCCTCCTCTCCGCCTCTGGCTTTGCCCTCGACGCCTCGCGCCTCGTCGTCTTGGGGGCTAGCGGTGGAAACTATGCCGCCCGGGGCGCTGCTGTGATGCCCACCGTTAGCCCGAGGCCTATTGGGTGGGTGAGCGCCTTTGGGCAGGGGAACGACTGGCTTATCGACGACTGGCTCAAGCCCAAAGATATCCAGACCGCCTTCCCGCCCTCGCACTTTGCCTACGACGACGCCAAGGCCGAAGAGCTTCTCAAACTCGAAGAGAAGGACTTTAGCGTCGCCGACAAGTTTACGTTGATCGACGGCAAGTTTGCGACAGAGAAGGGGAGGTCGAATTTGCAGAGGATCTGGCAGCGCGACGGGGTTTATCTCGACCACCTCCTCTGCGCACCGGGCCTGTCTGAATCGCTGTCTTCGATCCCGTACCCCTCCCGCCTCTCCCGCCTCTCATCCCTCGACGCGCGCTACCCGCACCTCCTCCTCCCGCTCTCCCCCTCCGTCCCGCCCAACGTCTACATCGTCCACGGCGCCGACGACAAGATCATCTCGGTGCAAGAGTCCAAGAGTCTCGAGAAGGCGTTGGGACGGCTGGGAGTGGGCAAGGGGGGGAGGAAGAGGGAGGTGGAGGTGGATTATGTGGAGGGGGCGGGGCATGGGTTGAGTGCGGAGGGGAAAAAGTTGGGAGAGTATGCGGAGGGGTATGATAAGGCGATGGACAAGTTGACCGAGTGGATCGTGAAAGTGTTGGCGTAGAGCGTGTGCATCAAATATGGACGAGATGAAGATACAAGTACGGACGAGATGAAGATGCAAAACGAATGACTGGTGACTGTACACATACTGCAATGTCCATTGCGCCTCGAAAAGGTTTTCACTACCCGGCAAGAGATACGTCAAAAGTCTCTTTGCTGTCTTCTCGTTATGATAGAGGGATGAGAGGAGGCATGAGAGGGACATGGAGTGCAATGTACAGATGCAATGTGTTTTTCTTCATTTCAGAGCAAAGATAATCGTATCCGAGAGCTGTAAATAAAAAAACCGATGCTAAATCGTTACTTTTTTTTTCTCCCACAACCCTTCAATCCCACGCTCTCTCATCATAATCACCCTCTGCATCTCTCCAAATCCCATCCCATCCCATCGCATCCCATCCCATCCCATCGGCTCATACTCACACTTCCATCACTCGCCCAAGAAGAAACACAGCGCTTTGATACCACATGACGACCGCCGGGAAGAGAGGGGGGAGGTCGGATTGTGGTAACAGCAAAACGATGGCGAGGTTTAGAAGACTAGATAGATTGTCAGCAGTGATCACTCGCGCGGAAGGGGGTGGAGGGGTGGACGTACGAAGGTCGCCGAGACCACCGGCGTCGATACCAGCGTTCTCCTTGACACCCATCTCAAAGTCTACCGCGCCAAGTCAGTAAACCACAAACACCGCGGGAGACAAAAGAAGAAGAAGGAGAGTAACGCACAGCCGTAGATGATGGTAGTAGCCATCAAGATCCCGGTCCCACTTCCAAGCGCACCCATCATATCCGCAACGACGGACAACAAACCCAAGGTCGCACCGCCAAACGCCGCGGCGGTCGGGATGATGCGCTTGAGCTCCTTGTAGATGGACGCATCGCGGTGGCCGGCGAGGGTCATGTTCTGGTCCTTGAGCTGCTTGGCGACGTCGCGCGGGCCGGAGCCGGAGACTTCGATCCAGGTCTTGGAGAAGACGGCGCAGGCGGTGCAGATGAAGGCGATGTAGATGGCGGTGTGGAAGGGGTCTTGGAGGGCGGCGGTGAGGGAGTGGGGGGCGGACATGTAGTAGGCGATACCGGAGACGGCGTTGAGCTGGGAGGGAGAGTCCTCGAGGGGCTATGGGAATTGTTGGTAAGGAAGGAGAGAGAAGAAGAGAAGGGACGTACCTCCCAAACACCCAAGAGTCGGACGAGCAAGTTTTCGGGAAACCTAGACGCGAGCATCTGGGAGACGAGAAAGATGTTGCTAGTCAAGGCAGACTGGAGCATGATGGGCATGTTGGAGGTGTAGAAGAGCTTGACGGGGTAGGTACCTCGCTGGCCACGCATCTTGGAGCTCTTGATGGGGATCTCGATTCGGAAGCCCTGGAGGTAGATGACGGCGGCAAACACGGCGACGGTCGCGAGGAGGTTCATGATGTTGGGCAGTCGCTCGCGGTAGAAGGCTTCTTTTAATGCGCGAGTCTTGTCGTTCCAGGTGAAGAGGAGGTGGAAGAGGGCGATGATGGCACCTTCAAACTCGGGCCCTCGACCGGTGTTGACGGTGTTGGGGGAGAAGGCCTTCCAGACGATGGACTCGCAGATGTTGGTAGCGATGAAGAGGGAGATACCGGAGCCGAGACCGTAGCCCTTGGTGAGGAGCTCGTCGAGGAGGATGACGATCAGGGAGGCGGAGACGAGCTGGAGGATGAGGAGGAGACAGACACCGGCGCCGAGGGAAGAGGGGGAGCCGTACATGCCAGTGAGGACGTAGACGGTGGCCTGACCGAGAGAGATGATCATGGCGAACACTGGGGAGGATGAGCACGGCCGGGGAAAAGACGCGGCGGGAAAAGAAAAAAGGCGTACACTTCTGGGCGGCACCGAAAAGCGCGCGGTCGTCCTTCAAGCTAAAGTCGACGTCGATGAGCTGAGCACCCGCGAGGAGCTGCATGATCATGCCGGAGGTGACGATGGGGGTGATACCGAGCTCCATGAGGGTGCCCCTGTTGGAGGCGAGGATGGCTCTGAGCCAGTAGAGGGGGTCGGAGGAGTCGGAGGACATGATGCCGTAGAGGGGGACCTGGGAGCAGACGAGGAAGATGAGGAGGGTGATGGCTGTCCATGCGATCTTGTGGTTGAAGATGACCTTTTTTTCAGGAGCAGTGACCTCGGGGAGGATGCTCATGAAGGGGCGCACGAGCTCGAGGAAGCGGACTGCGGGGTCAGTGGAGTGGAGGGGGGTGGAGGTGGAGGCACTCACAGCCCATCTTGCAGTGTGGGATGAGGGGAGTAGGGGCTAGGAGAGAGAGGAGAGAGAGGCGTGGAACCCAGCCGCATCAGGGAATCACCACACCGCTTACGTAACCCCCTCCACTTGCCCGCCCAAAAGTTGACTCTCGCCTCTCTCACCCCTACCACCATGTCCGACCCCCGCCCAGAGACGTCCCTCGACGACACCCCCAGGCATGCCGGCACCGCCCCTGTCAGAGCCGAGTACGCCTCCTGCTGTATCTCCCTGGGCACAGCTGACACTCACCAGGTACCTCATTCGCGCGACTCCCATCGTCGAATCCACCTCCGCCGCCGACTTGAACGATATCCACCCCGCCGACGCCGCCAAAGGCCACACCCCCTCCGACTCGCGCGACTCGCGCGACGGGGGCGACTCGCGCGACTCGAAGCGCCGCAAACCCAACAAGGCCGACAAGAAGGAGCGCAAAGGCCAGAACAAGGGCCGCAAGTTTGCCATCGTCCGGGAGGCGAGTGTACGCATCTGCAGGGCATGGGAGACGACGGGGGAGTGTGAGAGGGGGGAGGGCTGCAAGTTTAAGCATAGCTGGGAGGGGTACTTTGAGGTGAAGCCCGCGGATATTGGGTATAGGCCCGAGTGGGAGAAGCGGGACGAGCCGCCGTATGTCCGCCTTGGGGAGAGGCTTGTGGGCGGGGAGGATGCGTTGGGCAAGACGCTGGATCTCAACACTGTCTGTCCTGTTTACAAGGATCTCGGGTACTGTCCCTTTGGCTGGCGATGCCGTTTCCTCGGCGGCCATATCAACAAGGTCGACCCCGCAAAGGAGGAGCAGAAGGGCGGGCCGCAGAAGAGGATGGGCGAGTGGCAAGTCGAGGGGTGGGAGCAGAGCGAGTTGAATGAGGAGGGGTGGAAACAGGGAGAGACGAATTGGCCAGAGTTTGAGAATCTGCAGAACCTGAGGCATAGTACTGTACGTCCCGCCCCCTCGATTCTCTCGTGATCGTAGCGCTGACATGTTTCAAGGCCGCATTCCCCTTCTCAACCGCCTACCTCGCGCACGTCGACCCTGAAAAACCATTTACGCTCGGCGACAGAAACGACTCGCGCAACAAGCCTCAAAAGCGCAAGAAGACTGTCGTCCTCGACGAAGAAGAAGCTGCCAACGAGGTGGAAGGGGATGAGGAGGCGCAGAATCAGGTGGAGGAGGTGAAGGGGTATGTGCTGGGGGAGAGCGAGAGTTTTGATGTGCCGATGAGGCCGGAGGAGAAGAGGAGGTTGAATTGGGAGGGGGGGAGGTATCTTGCGCCGCTCACTACGGTTGGCAATCTTGTGCGTCCCTCCTCGTATCTCCCTCGTATCTCCCCCCGCTCACAATCCCACAGCCTTTCCGCCGTCTCTGCGTCGACTACGGCGCCACCATCACCATCTCCGAAATGGCCCTCGCCCAGCCTCTCGTCTACGGCGCCAAAGAAGAATGGGCCCTCGTCCGACGACACGCGTCTGAAAAGATGTTTGGCGTGCAGCTGGCGGGCGGGTTCCCGAATAGGATGGTCCCCGCGGCGGAGGTGTTGGCGAGGGAGGTGGGGAGTGGGGTGGATTTTGTGGATGTCAATATGGGGTGCCCGATCGATCTGGTGTTTAACCAGGGCGCTGGGACGGCTTGTGAGTCTGCATTCTGGAGTATAGGTTTGAGAAGCTAATAGTTGAACAGTGATGGACTCTCCTGGACGTCTCGGCAAGATTCTGGTCGGTATGAACAGAGCTTTGGGCGAGAGTACGTTTTTTTTTCACGCTGTTCCAAGAGGATGTGGTCTGACGCTCTGGATAGTCCCTCTCACCGTCAAATTCCGAACCGGTGTCGCCCACGGCAAGCCGAACGCCCACAAGCTCATCCCTCGTTTCGCTACCGAATGGGGAGCCAGCGCCTTGACCGTACGCCCCCTCTTTCCCCCTCTTTAGGACGTATCTGACTTTAGTCAAAGCTGCACGGACGATCGCGCCAACAGCGATACTCCAAACCCGCCGATTGGGACTATATCAAGTCGGCCGTCACCACCCTCCGCGAGTCTGTCGCCGACGCCAACCTTCCCCCCGTGCCGATCTTTGGGAACGGCGACTGTTTCTCGGCGGCGGGGTATTACGAGGAGATGGAGAGGAGCGGGGTGGATGGGGTGATGGTGGCGAGGGGGGCGTTGATCAAGCCGTGGATCTTTACGGAGATTAAGGAGAGGAGGGAGTGGGATATCTCGGCGGTGGAGAGGTTGGAGGGTATCAGGAAGGTGCGTCGTTCCCCTCTTTCCCTCTTTTTTCGTGGGTGTGTGCTGATAAAGAGGACGAGTAGTTTGCCGAGTTTGGTCTCTCCCACTGGGGCTCCGACACCCAAGGCGTCAACATCACCCGCCGATTCCTCTGCGAAGCCCTCTCCTTCCAACACCGCTACATCCCCATCGGTCTCCTCGAACGTCTCCCGGCAAAGATGAACGAGCGGCCGCCGGCGTATAGGGGCAGGAACGAGCTGGAGACGTTGTTGGCGAGTCCGTTTGTGGGGGATTGGGTCAAGATTTCAGAGATGTTTTTGGGGAGGGTGGATGAGGGGTTTGAGTTTGTGCCGAAACATAAGAGTAATGCGTATGGGGGGGAGGAGGCGCAGGGGTAGGGAGCACTTGCCGTTCTTGCGATAGGTGGGGGAAAATCCTTGTTGGCGGCGAATTGGGCTCGCTGCGTTGGGACCCCTGTCGAGTGTCGGTACCTCTGATAAATGTGATGTGAAGGCTATACGCACGAGTGCTGCTGCATAGTCGACTTTCGGACATGGTTGCATAGGCATAGAGCTATGTGATGGGGGTGAGAGTAACTTGCTGCGACATGGCCGTCACTGAGGAGGACGCCTTGAGACCAAGGGGACAATAGAGAAAATGAGTAGACAATTGACCGAGATGGAGATGATAGAGCAGAGAACCGCAGAAATGAGTTATTGGGCGCCTCATAAGCATCAGAGGCCACAGGCGGTTCGCCATGTATATACAGTACATGTCATTGTCGTCGTAATATTAGCTGATATGTTACAGATAATCTATACAATCTGGATGCCCCGGCCAACCGCCCCAAGGTCGGCTACCATCTGTGGCCCCTGAAGATGGCGAGACTCTGCCTTTCCCACAACACGATCTTTCAACCCAAGGATGGCCGCTACCCGGCGCCCCTCGGACGCCAGCCTTCGGTCGCCCTCGGGACCCTCCTCCACCGAGCAAGAGGCGTCAAAGTCGATAAGAGCAAAGCGGCCGTCGGCGCGTCGGCGAATGTGGCGTGGCTCTATGTCGATGTGAAGAACGCGCACCGCATGGATTTGGCGGTAGAGGTGTCGGATAGCCTGTCTGAGAATCTGATCAGCACAGGACCATTGCAGCTGCCGAAAGACACTCACCTATCCTGCAAAGGCAGATCACGCAGCTTACCCTCTCCAGCGGCTGGCACCCCGACATCCTCCATCAATTCGATGTGCAATGGGTAGCCCCCAGAGACAAGCGCGAGAGACATTGCACCACTGAACGAGCCATACGATGCGGGGACAGCGCCTCCTTGTAGGCTTGCGAGGGGGCCACGGTACAGCGCCGCCTCCAGACGATATGCAGCCACTGCCTCTTTGGAATTTTCAAAAAACTCCTTGTAATCTTCATCTCCATCATCATAGGTATCAGGGACCATGACCTTGGCGACGAGCTGCTTGCTCTCACGGCCTTCGACGGTGAGGACGGAGTGGTAGACGTCCCACAGGCGCCCAGAGCTGATATAGCTGCCGAGGGCGAGGTGGGCTTTAAGCTCGGAAGTAGGCAGTCCCAAGTGGATGCTGTCGTTGTCGGTTAAGGATGCAATGACGGAGGGGGACAGGCGACCGGTCATGTAGCCATTATCCAGGTTGCGTTGCTTAAAGACGTGAAGAGCGTCAGGGGAGCGATGGTTGGGCACAGAAACCTGCAGAGTGACGGTAACAAGTTGCTAAAGTATAAATCAGCCATGAGGACAAGTCAAATGTTAAGTGGCACTGACATCCCTCGGGACGTTTCCGTCTCCATCAATAGCATTGTCACTTCCAGCGCCGCCAGCGCCGCCAACTTCGTCGTATCCACGCTTCGTGCCCCTCGATCCCGATGCCCCTGCCCCCCTCTTGTTCTGGTTTTTCTGCGTTGAATCGTTCGCGAAAGCTTCGGACAAAGGCCAGCGAGGTAGAGGTAGGAATGTACGTCCGAGTGGGGGTGCGGGTTTAATCCCAATCACCGAAGCCACCGCAAGCTCCATAGGCGACATCTTGCCGGACTCGGTCGCAGTTCCGGGCGCCTTCCTATGGATTGGGTCACCCATACGAAGCAGGTTCTCGAATTGGCGATCGCGCTGGAAAGGAATCCAAACGTCGTAAGAGGTGAGTATGACGAACTCGAGATTGTAGCGGTCAAGTTGTTCCCAGAGCTGAGCAAATTCGTCAGAACAGCCATCATAGCAAGTCGTAGTAGTGCTCTGAGCTTACCTGGGACAAACCCATTGCCCAGTGCGTCATGTTCTTCACGATCTCCCCCTCTTGGTCGACAATGCGCAAGGCGAGCTCGGCTTCACCACCTTTCACTTCCCTTTCAGCCAGAATGAGCTTCAAGCCCTGATCCTGCTTGCACTCGCGCAACAGTTCCTCCAACCTCAGCGACAAATGCATGTGGATTTGCTCATCCGGCTCCTCCTCGTCGCTGGGCACATAATCACTGTCCTTCTGATCTGCCTGGGACGGGTCGCTGTCACTTGAGTCGCCTTGAGCCTCACTTGAGTCGCTTTGAGCCTCCCTTGCGTCGCTTTGAGCCACCCTTGCGGCGCTTTGAGCCCCTTCCCTCCCAGCTGTATCACCTTGCGTCATTGAACGAGGTGTCATTTCAACCGGGTGGTCACGGTCATCGGTCTGAGACAGCGCATCGTCGCCAGCTGTCGTTAGAACGGTGCGCAGCTTGACCTCGACGATAGCAATGATATGACCGTTGCCGAGCCGGAAGACAAAATCAGTGCGGCCGCTCCCCTTCTTGTCTGGGCACTGCCGCCACTCGCCATGGAGGTGTTCGGGAAGCCCGGCATTGATGGCGTCGGTAGAGCGATCGAAGAAGTTTGTGAGCATGACACCACATAGGTCATTCTCAGAACAAATAGTGCGTCTTTGAGCTTGATCCCGTCCCGCTTCCAGAAGTGATTCCATGGAGGGAGTGACTCCATTCCCCTCCAGCGACGCTTTCTGAGAGTCGAGAGATTCACGAATTCTTCCGTTCAGAGTTCCGTCATGGACGACTCTGATACCTTTCTCTTCAAGGTTTTGCCATATGCGGTAGGTGTCGCGGGTGCGCTTTCGTGTGCTCTTGCTGTCCGTTTCGTATTTGAGATCGTGCAAGGGAAAACGCTTGATGTAGAAAGTGACTGACTCGGGTGTGGGTGGAGGGGCGTTGTCGATGCCTGACATGTTGGCGTGGGCCACAGGGATGGGTGATAAATGGGCGGTAGTGAAGTGGTAGTGAAAGAATATGATAGCGGTACGTGGCCATAGGAGAGTGGCAAACAACGACTTATTGGGCCACTCCTATAACAGACCTACTCGTCTATTACGATTCTGAGCAACGCCAAAGTCCGTCTGAAGTGTGCATTTCTAGGATTATACCAAGGAAAAGTGCGATGACCTCTATACCCTCTTGCCTTTGCCTCTTGCCTCTCGTGAGATGCCACAGCCTACTTTCCAGAATCCAACCTCTTGTTGACCCCCTTCCCTTCCTCCAAAAGCGCCACATCCTTCCATATCCTCGCCTTCTTTGTTTTTTGGTCTTCCGCCCTGCTGACCCACTCCACCCCTTTCCCCTCCCCTAGCCAATCTGCCTCGGCCTTCTTCTCCCACGCCCTTCCAGCCATATCCACCGCCCCCTTCTTCATCTTCCACCCCTGCACCCTCTGCAAACACTCTTCCAACGCCGCCTCACACTTTTTCTTCAACTCTTGCGCCACCAACCTATCTGGGAAAGACACTTCGAGGCAGAGACTGAGCTAGATGTAGAGGACGAGCGATTTGTGGAGTGTTTAGAGTTTGGGGAGTGTGTTGATGATAAGAAATGGGACTTTTTGTTTTGTTGAGGAGCCATGGGATAGCTGTTTCGGATAAAGGGTTTGGAGCATTTCGATGACGTCGTCAAGCGTTGGGAGGAGGTCGGTAGTAGAGTATATAGACTCTACTGTCACGCACCCCAGCGTAACATAATCATCCACCAGATTTCTAACCACCACTTTCGCCTTTTCATCCCTCGAGCTCAGGGGCGCGAACGAAAAGAGGTCGATCTCGCTGATGGACAAGAATGGACGGTATGACTCGATGACATCGGCGATAGCGAGCTTGTTGAAACGGTCGGTCACGACGGTAGAAGGAGGCAGCTTGGCGAGGGCGGAAAAGTGTTACATCGAACGGTTCGCCGTCGATACCGCCGAGAGGCAGCATCTCAACCGTACAGCTCAACAACCCCGAATCGGGGTCGACGATCTTCCGCTCTTCGCCCGTGTTGAGATTACAACTCTTCTCCTTCCCGTTTAGACCACCCACACTGCCCATTCATCCTCTTCACGGGCACAAAGGTTGCTGAGGAAGGGTAGAAAGGGATCCTGAGCTCCGACGTCTTGAGCGACACAGGCGTCTCCAACCCCCCCAAGCCCAATCTTCACCCCTCACTCATCCAGGCGCATCATCAAACTCGGCCTTGTCCTCTTCGTACTGTCTCCTTTCCTTCCCATGCACCACATACCGCGCAGGCGTGGAGCCAGCTTTCGACTTGCGCACAAACTTGTATCTGCGGCTGTGATACCTCTCCGGCTGGATCGGGTAGAACAACTCGAGCAGCATTTGAGAAAGCTCTTCTTGGCGGAAGTGGTGCAGGGGAGGGAAGGTGCGGGTGGTGTTAAAGTAGCAGACTTTGGCCTCGGCCATGGCGACGACGAGGGGCTTGTCGTTGGTCGACCTCTCGGATTTGGTAGATCGGGCCCAGGGAGCGGACGAGTAAGGGGCGTTGGTTGATGAAGATGAGAGGATGGTTTGGACGGCGGAGATGAAGAAGTCCTCGAGAGAGGGCGGACGACCCGCCGGAGCCAATCTCGCCGTTGACGAGGCCATAGGAGAGAGCGAGCGATGTGTTGAGAGGCTTCATTTCGCACAAGATCTCGGCCGCATGGATAGGTTCACATCGGTGCAAGTACGAGAACCTATCCCATATCAGCTTTGGCACTCCAGAGACAAAGAGAGGACGTACGAGTGAAGTACACTTCCATGCAGACCCATACCCCTGTAAGAAGGGTTCAAAACCACCTCCCGGCCGGCGAGGACGACATCACAAGCCGTAGCGAGCGCCACACCACCAGCAGCCGCGTTCCCCCTCACACACAACCGTCACAATGCCCCTCTCACTCAACGCCTTGCCCTGGCCCTGCATGAAAGCAGGCTGCTCGTCGGAAATGTCGGAGCAGAGGAAAGAGACGATATCATCGATGGCGCAGGCATTGTCCCAGGTCTCTTGGCCGGGGGAGGAGGCGTGTTCGATGGGGTCGAGCACGCGCTGGGTGAACGAGTTGACAGAGGCGTACGAGCAGGAGAATATTCTGCTAGGCCGGTGTGGTGGTGACCCCGAACGATGCGGGCAAAGAGGGGGTCGTTGAAGCTCCCGTTGGGGAAGCCGATGGGGAAGCCGAAGTTGACAGGGTAGGCCCGTACGCCCCCGACGTAGAAACGGACAGTGGATGAGCGGTGCCAGCGAGGCTACCCAGTACAATACCATGACAGCATCTCTGTCAAGCACGTTGGCTAGGTGGTTGAATGGAAATTTGGTAGAGCCGACGATGGCGGGTGCCGATACTGGTGGCGTATTCAGTGGAGGCGGGACAATACACAGTCTGTGGAGGAGATACCACTTCAGGAGAGCGTATGTCGTAGGCTGCAGTGTGAAACCGAGCGGCACCATCTAATTCGATGATCAGTATGATACTCAATGAAGATGGGATGAACATACAGGCCAAACAGACAGTCCTCAGTGCCTGCTGTGCTCGATCTGCCTTTTCTTCTCAGCGCCCACCTTGCACTCCCACATCCTCGGCAGCATTATCCATGAGATAGGCCTTCGAAGGCATACCACAACGATGGGAATTCCCGGGCTGCGATATCGTCAGTGTGCTTCGAACGCGTGACGTTGGGAAAGGACGAACGCGTTGGAGTACCAGAGCCAAGTGGTAACAAGAGGCCCGACACCAGCATACGTGGTCGTGCCAACATTGGCGGGTGACGGCTCGGTATAGTGCTGCAAGTGTGATTGCACTACTCGTTGTCAGTCTTCATGATTCTTTCGAGATGGGGTTGACTCACGTCGCTCATGCAGCTCTTCTACCTCACCCCTCTCCCCTGCCTCGGATGCCCATGTCTCTACCCAAGGGAGTCATGTGAATAGCTCTTGGAGCTGTCCATGTATGCAATCAGCCTACGACATCATTCGTGAAGAGGTCAAGCTCACCATTGACTGTGGTTTCGTCCAGACCAGAACTATGACGACGGCAGTATCCTGTACACCGATGAGTCAGCGCCCAGACACGTTTGTACAAGGGGAAAACCAACCGAGAGTTACTTTGCGGACAAAGCACTGGGGACGACCCTCAGCAGGCTCAGACGCGATGAAGGAGGATAAAAAACCGAGAGCGGCGGCGCCGAATCTACAAGCTGTCAGCGACCAATCTACCATGCAAATTGAAAACAGCTCACCCTCATCCTCCCTAGCTTCAATCACTTTGCATCCCAGGGCAAGACCCTTCCTTCTCATTCTCTCTTGTCCGGTCTGGGCAGCTCTGGCAGCTTGGGTTTGTGATTGCGATGGTTTGGCCAGCTTCTTTTTCCGAGAGCAGGCGGTCAGCTGGGAGAGAAGGTGTGTTCTTCCGTGATTCCGTTCTGCTGATAGTCTCAAGTCAGGAGGAGAGTGAATAGGAGGGCGAACAGTCAAAACTTGCTGTAATGAGGAGGTGCGGGAGGTGGTCGTCTTGTGGACCACAAGCGTCTCTCGCTTGCGGTCTTCGCCGATTCCATTGTCATTTTACTTATATAACCCTGCACTCCCTATCGCCATTCTGCATCTATATATACATACATATTAGGCTCGACACAAGCCCCTCGCTCCGACGACGCCAGGGGGTGGAGGCGGCTGCTACCGAGCCTACATACATATGTCCAGACAAGCGGACATGGTAAGTCTCATCTACTCCCAGCTACTCGCTGAGCACTCGCGCTGACCGATGCCCCATAATAAAGCCTTCAAGTCCTCAATCTTGTGGAGGCCTATCGATAAACAAATTCTATCAGGGCCCATGATGTCTGCTGAATATCATTCATACCGCCAGATATGGGGGCCGATAGTGACCGAGGTACGTGAGCGAAGCATGCCATGTTGCAGCAGCTTGGAAACTCGTAGTTCATAACACTACCAACACTATCCTTCATCCGTTCTTTCTCTATCACCCTCGAAGCGGCCGCCACTGAGATGCCCTACGACACAAGACGGAAGCCGACTTTGGAAACAAGGCGAGACAAGGTAGAATCGACATAGCTACAGGTACTTCGTGCCTACCTAGCTGCTATCCACGCGCTTTCTTCCAGCGCCGAATAGACGAGATCGATCACAGCCATGGGTGAGTTCTCCTACTATCTGCTCTGTCTTGTATGACAATGTCTCACCAGGTTTTGAGAATGGATAAGCGCCCGAGCAGTCGTCCATGCGCTTTGGGGCGGTCGGGTGGATGGCAGCACCGCCAGGTCATTGTACACACCGACAATTCGCATCCCAGGTGCTCCTCCGCTGCTTGTAGCTCGCAGCGGCGCGCGACAGGTAAGCCTTGGTCTACCATGTGGCTCCCCAGCAAGGACATTGCACTCGCTGACGCCTTGTCTCGTTATCAGTGGCCCGAGATTTGTCGCCTCGACCGCCCGGCCTTCTGGGCAACCCTGCGGTAGCGTCAGTCCCTCCATCTCCCCGCCATCATCTTCGACCGCCGTCTTCCACCCACCCGCCCACTTCCTGGCCGTCATTCCTGTCCGTACCCGTCCTCTACCGCGTCCCCCTTGAACTGGGTAAGCCTCGCTAGCACTGTCCATCCACTGTCCGCTCCTACGTCGAGGGCGTACGGGCCCAACTTCGGCGTCCCCCACGGGGGCTTCAATGACCCCCTCTTTGCCCGCATCGTTCGGGATCACCACCACACCGGCCCAGCAAAAGACTCCTGCTCGTCACCCCTGTCAACTCGTTCACTCAGCGCGTGCTCTTCTACCCCCAGTTCCTCGACTTTGAGCATGTCTCTGTCCAGCTCGCCATCAGCGACGAAGCGATGCTGGAATCTGCCGAGAGCTGGCAGCACGATATTGTGCTGTGCCCCTTCTTGACCAAGAAGCTGTGACTGAGCATCCATAACACGGTGAGTCTTCTTCCTTGTCACCGCTTCCTGCGCCCCCTTGCGGGGACTGCTTGCATCAGCCTGGACACTGGGAGCAGGTCGCAGGAACAGCCCCGCGCTCGTCTCCGCCATTGGGACTGTTTCGGAAAATGTTTCCAAGAAACCTTGAGCTGACGAGTTACTATCAGTTTCTTCCCTCGACATGCAAACCCACAGTGGATCACCCTCGTTGTCTACCCAGGCCTCCCCGGCGATGCTGGCCCCTCCTCCCTCCACTGGGTCCTGCTTAGGGTTAGCGGGGTGAAGAGAGTTACATAGATCTTGTAAGTCT